AGACATAGACAGACATAGACAGATATAGACAGACATAGACAGACACGACATAACCTGTAGAAAAGAAAGAAGCAAAGAGGGCAATAAAAGAGAAGATATTTTCAATCATTATTTAATTATTCAATTAATAGGAAGTAGACACTTATCAGGCGCAGAGCCTTATTCTGTCTAAAAATAAAAATATATGTAGCAGCTAGATAGATACCTTAGTACTTATTACTAGACAGCGTGCAATAACAAAATACAATATACACACACGCACACATTTTCTTTATATTAGAACACCATCATACTTAATAAACTCTATCTAATTACCTATTGCACCGCTTCCAACCCCTAAAATAACCAGTCCAGACACCTTACCCTCAAATCAAACCAAAAACCTTAAACCAAGTATCCTTCCCCCTCCCCCTCCCCTCCCCTCCGTCCCTGCATCACACACGAACCACGCACCACCACGCAGCCATGCGCACGCCTGTGCTTGTACTACATGACGTACATACATCACATCACATCACATACACACACGCACCACTGCATTGACGCAACCCACGAACCTTCCTCGCAGCTAGCTAGCCTAGCCACGCATAATTCATCCAACTATGCATACATACCTACCTAGGTACACACGACACTTCGCTTCTCCTTGCATTGCTTCGCTTCGCTTCGCGCGTCTGTGTGCGTGCCTGTAGGCTGTACGCCATATAGGCGTGCGCTTAAATGTGTAGTCTGAGTCTCCTGTTGCGCATGTGTGTACTGAGTAGGTTGTGGTGTCGTAGGGCTGGTAGTTGCAACAATTCCTAATGTTGTGCATGTAGGGAGTACATCAAGGGTAATTTACAAGAGAAATGCGTCGATAGAGTCATTGCTTGAATTGATAAGTTTTAATCATCATACGTCGTGTGAGGATGTAGTATAGAGGTGCCCTGACATCCCCTAAAAGAGTTGTCTATTTCCTTGCTATGATAGTAATAATAAAAGAGGCGGATTTCTGTTCTATATCGTTCTTTCCTGTGCTGGTCTGTTAGGTTCTGTCGCACAATGCTACTTGCTGTACTCATCAGTTAATATTTGTCTACCTACTGTATGAGATTGTCGAATCGAGTCACATCGATCGACTAGTAAGAGCGAGGGGTTAGACATATCAGGATGGCCTCCGCCTCACATACACACACATACACACGAGCAAATTCAGAAGAGCAGATATAGCCGATAATCAATAAATAGCAGTATGATTGGAAAAATGTCACGATTGTAGAACCCCATCCTTCCGAAGCCCGCGGGGCCTGGAAATCCAATACCGACAGACCGACACCAACAACCCCGACACCCCCCTCAAACCATGCGAGAGTAAAGATATTATTTGGAGATGGAGGAAAAGGGTGCAGCAAAACACAAACATGGCAAAGCAGAGAGGATAGAGAAAAATTGGGCAAATATTGGGGGGAATCCGTTCAACGACGCTCTGAACCACCGGGTGCATGGGATTAGAAAAAGTGTTAGAGTGAGAGGCGAAGGAATATAGTTCAGGAAGAGAGACAAGATAAAGTATTATTAAGAATTGTAGAAAAGTTCCGGGGAATAAAGAACGATCTGTGAGAAGTAGATGTGAGAAAGAAAGAGAGAATAAAGAAGAGTAATTGGAGAAATAGCACAATCTGGCGAACTTTGATAGGTGGAAGGAAAGAGGTAAGAAAGACCGAAGGCAACCCCATGCGTACCAACAAACTAACACTCGAGTGATGCAGAGAAGGAAACAGACCCTTGCGAAACCCATGCAATGCAAGTCCCTATAGTGAGGCAGATCCCTACAATGCGACCCAACACAAAGTCCGAACGCAGTAGGAAATGCCAGCAAAACGAACAAACTCGGAATGATCTGTAAATGCAATGCTTGCAACGAGAGTGACGAAACATTCTTGAGCCGTCCAAACCCACTCCCTGGAACGGTCGCTCAGGCATATGTCAAACCGCTAGAGCGACCCCTGCACGGCCCGTTGCGTGCATGGCAGGCAGCCACTGCAATGACCAGTCCCATTGGCGCAACTGCGTGGCGAAGCAGACTGCGACCGAATAATATCATATTAAGATGAAACTAAGGATGTGCCCGAATGCCATGCTGTGGACATACTTCGTGCTCGCATTCTCTTTATCCTCGTAATTGCTGACTTTTCAGGGTGTGGACATTACTCGGATGCGTCGTAGGGTAGTCGTCGCCTGAAGGCCGTGTGCGAGTGGACGGACGGAGAGAGATGAGTGTGTACTTGTGTGTCGTTGCGAAAAGCCTCGAAGAGTGGACCGAGAAGCTACCGTGTGGAGATGAAGCAGGCGATGGATTAAATGGGTAAACTTAGTATACAGGGTATGTATGGGGAAAGGAAGTAGGGCGAATGAAGACTGAGAAGAGAAAAATGGATATCCTCCATGCTATTGCAATAAACTGGTTCAATTTGCCATTCATGATTTCACCTCCTCGTGAAGGTCTCCCAGTGCTGCTGAGTAAGGCAGGAACCGCGTTCAAGCTACTGTGAACGAACGAGACCGCACAATACCGGGCGGGTCCGGTTAGACTTCCTCGACCGTGAAACCTACGTGAGGAGCCAAGCGACATGTGGAGATGACGCAATGCCTCAATAGTTCTGCCAGCCAGGCTGAGGAGCTTGCCCTTGCCCTCCCGGAGCCCATCCAGGCATGCCAGGCTGCTGTGGAGCGGACGTCTGGTGTTGCTGTTGCTGTTGCTGCTGGTGCTGCTGTTGTTGCATGAACTGGTGGGGGCTTGGGCTGGGTTGATAGGGATTCTGTCCCATCGGGGGATATCCGCCTTCATTATTCATGGGGTTCATGGTCTGGTACTGCTGGACAGGCGTACCATGCATGGAGCCGCTGCTCTGGACCTGGTGAAGCTGAGGTGAAGCGTGCATAGGCGAAGGCTGCGGGTGTGGCGACTGCTGGGCCGAGCGCTGAGCATACTGCTGCATGTTGTGCTGCTGGGAGAGGGGCGAAGGCTGTGGTGGGCCCTGTGCCCACATGTGCGGTGGAGCGTAGCCGTGGCTTGGTGTCTGGCCCTGGAGCATGCCAGCCGGAGGAAGGCTCTGCGGCATGCCTTGGGGTGGTAGGCCCATGCTTGGAGGGCGCCTGTGCATCTGATCATTCCGAAGAGGTGTATGCTGAGATGCCATGGGCGAGGGTACCATGGGGTTCTGTGTATGGGACGGCGGGCGATAAGACTGCGGAGGCAAGGTAGCTGGCTGCCTCTGTGGAGTTCCGGTCACCGCTGCATACTGGTTGGAGGGGAGGGGAGCATTTGCGGCAGGGAGATGAGGAGACTGGACCGCTTGGGTGACCTGAGGGGATCCCTCTGCTTCTGCTGTAGCAGGTCGTTGAGGTTGTGCGGGGGGCTCATGAGGACGAGCCCAATAGTTCTCGAGGTACTCCTTGCGGTTCTTGCGCGACTGCTCTAGTTGCTTGTTGAAATCAGCAGACTGAGCCGCCTGCTGCATGATCTCGCCGGCTCCACTGGGCCTGCTCGAGTCCTGGTACGGTGCACCCGAGATCTCTTGTCTCGGTCGCTGAACGCCACTGTAGTCTCGTGGCTGCATGTCGGCCGTTGTCCGGTGGTTGAAAGGCTCGGAGTTCGCTGCAGGAACGGTCCCCGGCGCTGCGGTGATGCCGCCAAATGGTTGGATTTGACCCATCCCCATGCCAGAGTAGTCCTGCTCGAGTTTGCCAGTGTAGGGACCTGGATGTGCGAATGCCAAGTTGTGTGCATTCGCCTGGTTGGCTTCCGCAGCGGCAGCCTCTCTGGCCTTCGCGGCGCCTGGCCTCTTCTCCCCGGCAGCATCTTCCTCTGTGAAGCCCTGTTTCTTGGCTTTGCTCTCCCAATAATCATCACGAACCCTTCTGCCATTCACAACCAGTCTGCTTCCGAATTGACGGAACATGGATCGCGCAGTGACGATGGCAATCTGGCGAGACCGGTAGGAGTAGGGTAGGATCTCCTGATGGATGAGGTCATCCTTCTCAGGCTGCGTGGCAATGATTTTGAAGAGAGATCTGTTCTTGTTAAAGAGCAAATAAGAATCCCTATATCCGAGAACGCGGGCGCATTCAGTTGCAAGCATGAACAGCTTCTTCCCTCTGTTAGGCACAAAGAATGTGCGGCAGCGGTACACGCGCCCATCCAATGGATGTCCTAGCTGTGTCACCTTGGTCTCACCGGCTTCATCAATCTCGCGGGGTATATATTCGTCGCCTTCGGGGTTCAATTGATCGGTGGTGTGATCTCTTACGGTTGGCAAGGCCTTGAGGACCGGAGGCTTCGTATAAGTGGGTTTTGCTGGCGGAGAAGCTTGCTTGGGCGAAGCTCTCGGGATCGCAGTGTTCTGTATCTGAGGTGTCTGTACAGGAGGGGCGGGACCTGCGCGGGTTGTTGGTGGGAGTACTTGCGAGACATTGCTCGAACTTGCAGAGTGTGGGATCTTACCTGGCTTGGGCGGGCGACCGCGCTTTCGTGGTTTGCCATCATCTAAATCTATTCAAATCGTCAGCATGGTTGTTACTACAGCGGCGAGTTGATGCGACGAGATACAACACGATGAAATCTCATCTTCGTCGCACTCTGTATCGCGCTGAAGGCGTATTAGCAACGTACCATCGCCATTTTCTCCTTGTCGCGCATCTCCAAAGCTGTGATCTGGGGAACGACTGCGTTTAATTCCCCGTGTTTGTTGTTGTGCCACCGACTGTGACTGATTCCCGTGCGCGCCTGTTGAACGCGAGTTAGCACATGAACGGTTTTAGAAACGGGAAGCTGCGACGGATGTAACAGTTGCGATCGCGCGTGATCGCGCACATCCACGCCGTCCTAGAGGACGGTGATCGTGAATGACGATCGTAATTTTGCACCTCCAAGTAAATGCTCTGAGATGTGTTGCGTCGAGCACTGAAAGAAAAGAGACGCCGCTGTTTTCCGATTATTCTCATTGATTCACGTACCTGCGGAATTCAGCGCTGCTGGGTTGATAGTCCCCGACGTATCCATGATGCCGTTCCCAATACCGCCGTTTGACATAGCCTGTACGGGATGCATTGAGTACATTCCAGGCGTCGCAAGGAGCGGCCGAGCTCACGGGCAGCTCCGGGCGGTCAGCGCGCAAAGCACGAGGCCAATGGAGACTGTATATCTATTGTGAGATGTAAGCGCAGTGCTCTAAGAGCAACGAACAGGGGAAGTGCGGCGCGGGAGAAGCATGCGGTGGCGATGTGTCGCGATGGATGGATGATGTTTGTGGTTGTGTGGTGGTGGTGGTGGGATCCACGGCGAGGACGGTGTGTGTGGACGCGGGAGTAGCTGCGCGTTCCCGAAGCCTTGGCGCTGTTCTGGGAACAACTGCTCGATCCGAGCGTCAAGAAACGTCAAGACTAGTCGGAGGGAGCGAGGTCCAGTAATGCGCGACGGAGGGGGACTCGCGAACCGGATGCGCGAAAGGGTGGGAAGATGCAAGGTCGACGGGAAGGGGTGGTCGCACGGGCTGTGGCCGATGGGGGAAGAATAAGAATAGGATTACCTAGTATGTAGAGGGTCGAAGGCAAGCAGATGATAGCCAGCAAACACAGAGAGAGAGTCTCTCAAGCGACAGAGTGTCGCAAGGTAGCAGCTGTCAGGCTGGGGCTGGGCGTCGAGGCGGCGGCGGCGGAGGCGAAGGGGTGGTAGTGGTTTAGGAACCGCTGGGATGTGGGAAGAAGAAGTTAGGGTAGAGTGTGAAGCGTGTATGTCTGTGTGTGTGCGTGCGTGTGCGTGCGTGCGGGTGTATGAGTGGGTGTGCAGACTGTGGAGTGGAAATGTCTGTGTAAGAAGATGGGATGAACGACGATGGATGGGTATGGTATGGTAAGGGTAAGTGTGGTGTGTGGTAGGTGTGTGTGGTATGGTATGGTATGGGTAGAAATGGGTGGGTGATGGGATGAGTGATGGCGGGAGGGGGGAATGGATGATGAAAGGTGGATGGATGGATGGATGTGATGGATGGGGAGGGGGGAGGGATGTGTTGATGGATGAATGAATGAATTGAATGATGAAAGAAGGATGGGGTGGCAGGTGGGTGGATGAAGGAGACGTCTTGGGTCCGGGAAATGGAAAGAAAAGAGTGAGAGCGTAGTAATTTTTAGTGCGTTTGGCGGTAGCGGCACTAGTGGAATTGATTAGTGGGAGACTGCGAGTTAATAGCTTAATGGTGGTTCTCCGTAGGTTTAGTGTCGTTTCGTTGGCTCCTCGGTCTTTGCTGATTCGGTTCTCGGTTTGATTTGATTCGATTTGATTCGATTTCGATTGCGACTCTGCCTTTGGCCTGTTCTGTTCCGGTTTGGTTTGCCTTTTGGTGCTTTGATGGAATAATGGGATTATGAGGCCTTCGAATTAGCGCGGGTTTGCGGCTAAGCTTCGATGACGAATGACGAGTGACGAGTCGCAATAATGCTGATCGCCTTCTCCCTGATAATATGTGGAAGGAGGATGAGAATTAGGATGATAGAGGATGATGCTGGTGATGGGTGACGGTCCACGGATGATGGAGGATGATGATTACTACAACGCCTTGGCTTGGGTAGACGAGGAATTTCGGCAATGCGGGACAAGGATCCACTCACTACTACAATTACTGTATATCTGATCCGCAAGGCTGGAGGAGCAGCAAGGCAGAGAGACAAGACAAGAGAATCGTAGAGTGGAATAGGCAAGGGTGTCTATGATGGGCAGGAGGCTATTGCTGGAAATAGCTAACTAAGAAGGACCAAGTGAGAAGTCAGCAATGCAATAATGCAGCAATAATAATGCAATCAGAGAGAAGAGAGGACAGAGAACGAGAGGGAACAAGAGAATAAGCTACGGGACGAGTGTGTGCGAGGGTACGAGGGTACGAGTAATGTGGGCCCATGGCAATAGTAGATGGCGTAAGTGAATGTGCCACGTGAATATGTGTGCAGGTAGTGGACAAGGATAATGGGTAAGGATATGGGTGCTAGAGAGGGTATGGGTATGTACACCGTACAGGTATTGGCCAAGGGTCGGGAATGAATGATGTGAGAGTTGAAAGAGTCCGTCCAGTTGAGAGATTTCGCATGAAAGAATCAATGACTGACTGGCTCATTGGGCAACTGGCTGACTGAGTGACTGATTGATAGGATGACTGGCGAAAGCAGTGAGTAAGAGAAAGGAAAGTAGATGTAAACACCGGCCGTAAAACTGATGATTGACGAACTGGCGATTGACGACCCTCGGACTGACGATGGAAGGCCCCAAGGGACACTGGTGGAGGAGGATATGTCGCCCAAAGGGTAAGCGAAGGCGGCTAGCTAGTCCAAACAAACTAACTCCCAACCACCACAACCACAACTCGGCGAGGCGACAAGGTCAAACCCCGTTTCTTGGAAAGAGACAAATGCTTCCAAGAAGGGAATAATCATCATCCGAAAGGGGAATCCTTCTGTCACCGACAAACGTGCGTGCGTGCAGCGTGCGTGCGTACGTTTGTGTGAGGATGTGAAGAACGAGTACTGTTGATAGAGTGCGTGCGGCGGAAACGGAAAGAAAGGGCGGACGGTGCGCAATCTTGTTTGTTAATTTGTAACTACTGCTGCAGTACTCCGTACCAATATCCAGACGATAAGAGGCGATAGAGAGCAAGCCGGAGCCAGAGCCAGAGCCCGAGGAATAGGTTGAGATATCCTTTGCTCTGTAGATAGAGTGGCGAGTGCGAGTGAGCAAGAACAGATAGAGAGGAATGTTGTGATCGTAATAGGGAAGTGCTGCCCGATTCCGAATGGTGCTGTACCTTATTGCGGCAAACAACAATAAGGATTAAGAATAGCAGCAGCCACAAGGAGAAAAGGACCGAACGACGAATCTCTCCTCCACCGTACACACAAATTACAATCCGCCGTCCACAGACGATGAACGAATTATGTGTAAGTGCACTGATTGTTGCGCTGCACTGTGCTATGCTGTGACACTCACTGGACCAGCCTGGCTCGAGCTGCGCTGCTCTGGCCTGTGCCGCTGCACAGAGTATGCAATGTAGGAGTACGGAGCACAAGTAAGGGTTTCGTTTGTGGTCTGTGATCTGTCGTCCACGGATCGCCGCGTGTGGTTCGTGGTTCGTGGCCAGAGACGACGACGACAGTGACTTGCAGCAGAGGAACTGCGCTGGGGCCCGCAACACCCACCCACCATGCAAGATTCCCGTCGCCGGGATGGGGGGTTGGTTGTTGAAGCCAGCCAGGCCAGCCAGACCAGACCAGACGTCGCAATAAGATAGGGCGGTGCGCGTGTATGCGGACCGAAGCGGGTGTATGTGTGGGTGGGTGTGGGCGCCAGTACCAGTAATAACCAGTAGGCCCAGTAAGTACCCGTACCCGTACCAATGCCAGTGCCAGTGCCGTGCCAGTGCCAGTGTCAGTGCCAACGACGAGTCGATCCAGTTCACTCAATCAATCAAATCAATCGTTGGCAAGCAATGAAACCCGACAAATGTTACAATCGAACGCGTGGAGAAATGGGAAGAAAAGGAAATGATTAACGACAACACGACTTGAAATGAACGAACACGTACCGTACTGAACTGTACCGTTATCGTACCAAACCCCGTTCAAGTAACAGGCGCGCTGCTTCGCTTGCCCAGTGAACAATGGCTGCTGCTGGTGCTGCTGGTGCTGCTGCTGCTGGTGCTGATAATGATGATGATGAATGCTAGATGACTGGCAGACTGGCAGCCTGGGCTGTCCTGTCGTCTATCGTTTGTCGTCTATCGTCTAATCGTCTAATCGTCCGAGCCCTCGAGGGTGCGCACATACGTATATGAACTAAGGTGTGTGATGGGTACCCCAGACGATGTGAATAGGGAGAGACAGCGCTCGCGGCTAAGAGCTCAGAGGCCTGGTTTGTGGATGTGTGTGGGTGTTCACTCTGGGTTCACTGTGAGCGGGAAGGCTGGAAAAAGGGCTGGTGGAGGGGTTTTGGTGGGTGGATGATGGCTGGGGGGTAAATGGGGGAAGCCTTCGAGGGAGGGGTGGATGTGGATGGGAAGGTGCGGTGGTGCACTGACGCGAACGGAATCGGACACCCTGTGAATCTTATTATTGCGCGAGTGAGCGAGCGAGCGAAGCAAGCGGGCGGACGGACGATGCAATAATAATCAAATTATTGGACAATAACGACGGCGATTATGGCGATGATGATGATGCTCGGACTGGAATTGGGTTCGATGGGCGTGGGACAGTGGGACATGGGTATGGGTATGGGCATTGACGCTCCCGGGCGGGAATCCTGATCTGCCCTGCTCTAGGTACTCCGTATTTTGCTTTACGCCTGCTCCTCTAATCGATATATGGCGCTTGGCTTCGACGGCGGCCGCGGGCCTGTCAGTACAAATTAGTACATACGGGACAGGAACTCGATCGCGAGGATCAATTCGATCAGTACGCACGACGGAGTAGTAGTGGACAGTACATACGCTAGGAGATATGAACGATGACCTAAAAGCGACCATAAAGGGTAACGATAGTGCTAACACTTGTGGTAACAGGGTTACAGGAACGTAACAATGACCAGGGCAGACACAACCCGACGGGATCGTATTGATACTCCGTACTGCACAAAAGGGATTGTAGACAGAACAGAATTACAATAATCGGTTTTGCAATCTTTTGCCCCTCAAAAGACATATACAAATAGAAGCATACAAGAAAGATAATGTTTAAAAATGATGAATGAATTGATAGAAGTGAATCAAACATATGCGGGAGCCCTCCACGCTTTCAACAAGAACAATGATAACAATAAACGTGAAACCATATCCACCGGTGGCACAACAGACTGCAAAAGGGTCTGTCGCCTTTCCTACTACTGCGGATGGGGGATTCAGGATGGATGGATGGGGAATTTCTGGACGGCTTCTATCACGCACACACTGCACAGTACGGAGCAGTTAGAGACAACCTCTGAAATTTGTGGATATCTGCATCTGCATCTGCATGAGCATAGGCATAGGCATAGGCATAACATGGACATGGGTTGGTTAATGACAACGGTAGACCTTTGAACCCCAGCTTCTCCACCCCATGGAGAGAGACAGAAACATAACGACCTAGGTCCATTGTTGCACTTGCTACGTAACATAACCTTTCTAGATACCAACCGCTCCGTACCGAATGTAGATACATATCTTGCTGGTCGCAGATTCAGGGTAAAGTAGACGCAAGTGATTACCACAAAAACGAACTTGGCCATAACTATCAAAAAGGGAAGGAAATCGCACATCTATTGTGTATACGGGGTACTCGACGCACGAAGCCGAGCATGCAGGGAAAATCTCTACAGTACAGCTCGGTACAGCAGCAAGCGGTGTCGGCGGGAGTGCCAGTAGTGTAAAGAGCATGTACGGAGTACATACATGTATATGCAGTACGTAGAATGATACTATAGCGAATTGAAGAGGCTGCAGAAGATGTGCATACCGCACGGCTTTTTCTGTGGCCGACGGGCGGCCCCTTCATAGGCCTGCATTTCCTGCGAGCCGTCTTTGGCTGGTGGACAGGCAAAGAGTGGCAGCATCAGACATTGGACAGTGGAGTGCGTTGACCGCTGTGTGGAGGTGGAGAGGATGACCTGCATGAAAAGTGCTTGCTCTGCGCAGGCTGCGCGCTTTGATAGTATTGCAATGTAAATTGGCTCCACCGACTCGGATCTCGATACAAGACAAGGTCTGCTAATACTTGCACTCCAGCCTCCTTGCTTGTTAATCGCCATCGTCGGTCGCTATTATTACTGCTATTGTTGTTGTTGCTGCTGCTTCTGTCGTTATCAGATTTTGGTATCATTGCTCACATCGTGACGTTCGACATCTCTTTACCGATCACCCCTTCGTCCTCCTCATGTTTTGTTGGGTATACTGTAATTTAAGAGCATTACCCGTTCACTGCTTCAGACAGACTGATACGGCACATATTCATAGACCGCATCGCTCGCTCCGCCCGTCCAATATTGCCCGCGCGTAAATAGCACAGTAGTACGATAGTGGAGTCGAGCTATCGGTCGAGCCAAGACCGCGCCACAGGTCACAATTAATCGACCGGCCCGCTCCTATTAATGCCGACTCCAAGTCTAACTTCGAGTATGCTCCATGCCTGTTCGATGGCGATGTGATGTGATGCGATGCGATGCGATGCCATATCGTTCTCGTTCTCTGTCTGTCTGTCTGCCTGCTTACTTGCTTCTCCGTCTGCCTGGTTGGCTGGCCTGGTCTCCGACCCATGCTCGTTCTGCACCGACTATCTGTCCACTCAAGCCCCAAATCAATGTCCTTCCAAACTCTTGCTCGGCCGTTCGCTCGATTTGCTTGATCTCTCAGCTGCGACGACGCCTATCCTGGCAACGCTTCGATGCGACGCCGTGGACGCATGCAGGGTATCGAATGCATCCTTCCCTTCTTCATGACGTCCACCACTAAAATTGCTCTATTCTTGTGCTCTTTGGGGTGGAGAAGGGGGGGGTGTCAGCAGGCAGACGTCGCGAATCAATCCAATGCCCAGCCTCAGAGGTGCATACGCCTAGCACGCACTCGATTGGGCGCACGCATGACCAGGCGGCCGCTTATGCATTCAAACCCATCCATCCTGGATTCCTACCCTTTCATCGCCCTCGCTCTATCAAATTCATTCGTATCGTCTGACTCCGTCCTCGTCCTCTTGCCGATGCTCTGGTTATAGCGCCGTTCGAGCCTCTGCGCGATGCTCATGTAATGCTTGCCCGCCCGCCAGGCCTGCCGCAGCAGCCGAATGAAGAAGTCCGCTTTTTATTAGTGTCCATAAAGGCGATAGATGGGTGGATAGTGCCCGCTCTCCGACTCAACTCAATAATGGAGACTGAATCCTTTTTCTCCTCGCCCGCAGCCCGTCCATCCCGTTCCAATTGCGCCTAGCTCGTCTGCGGCGATCACAAAACTTGGCCGGCCAATCTTTGCAAACATGGGGATAATGCGCAATCCGAGTTTGCTTCGGCGGGGGATGAGAAAAAACCTGTTGCTGTCATGTTATTGCTGCCGCTAGTCTATATGCCCAAAACCGCCAATGCGGATATGTCGCAAGCCTTGTTAAGGTGGAAGGTTTGGGAGACTACGACGCCAGGCAGCTGAGCGACATCAACAAACAACGACGCGATTCTGTCGTTCCGGGACTTGCTTCCCTGCACAATGGTTATGGGCACACACACACCTCGGCGAGAAGAAGCGGTACTGTCCCTGCTCTCCCGAGCCGATAGGCATAATAAGTGTGAGCAAGCTCTGGTATCGAAGTTTGGACGACGATCCGTTCCACAAGTCGTCCCGCTCCGCCCATAAGGGAAGTCTTGGTTCGATTTGAACCCTTCGTGAAATGAGTGACTGGTGGTGCCCCGTGCTGAATCGATCTGCGCCCGTCGTACATGCTTGTATCTTGCATCGCTTCCGCACCACACCCAGCGCCACCACCGCGTCCTAGCTTGAAACGCCATGATCCTCGCACAACGTCAAACATTATCGAATGTGGCCGAGGATCATTAAACCCAAATCGCTTAAATCTAAACTCTAGAGATGATTGAAAGAGACTTATCGCCGAATTATGTAAAGCTGAACATGGTGCCAAATGCGTCCGGGAGTTCGCATGTGTCGATAGCGCTACTAGTTCGTGATGATCCATATCGAGAATCGTCGAGTTTCAGGGATTAGCTAGGCGTTCAACGCGTCATGAACTTTGGGTAGACAAGGCACGTTCAAGAGAGGCTGTGCAACCGTGGGACGTATGTCTCAGTCCAACTCTTGTCATATGCTCCTTCTGCAGGGTCCCATTGCGCCGTTGATGAAAGGATACAAACCCCGTAAGTCCTTGACTTCTGCATCTATTCAATCTGTTTAATGTCCATGAAAGATCGTCATCGTTACCTGACTCACGAACATTCAAAGAAACAGTAGATAATGATGTTCTGGAACATTTTTCATGCAAATGAGACATGCAGGCGGTCGGTTTTGGGATATCTGAGCAGCTAAAGCCCGCCCTTGCCCCTCCTTGTATGAGGGTCCGGATCAATCTGGAGAAACGGCATGTGCAAAGATGGACGATGCCTAGAATGGAAGAATGTCGAGCAGATGAAGCTGAAGTCCTGGAAGTGGCCACAGTGGCTCTCATGTCATCCCTGTCGTTGCCAATGGAGTTGCCTCCTCGACCTATTCCTTGCCCAAATATCAGGCCACCGAGTTTCCCAATAGCTTTCCAAGTAATGGAGGGGCAAATTGGAACGGCCTTTGCGACCTGATGGGCCTTAGGATTACGAGAAAAGCCAGCTAGAGGAGGCTGTGAGTACGTTGAGGCTTCCTTTGAGACTCCAATTTGATATACACCAAAGCTTCGGCCGGATGAGATTGTAATAGATCCTAAGTGTCAAGATATCATTAAGAATAGCTTACTGGAGCCACTTCCCTTATTGGTGGCCTAGCGATCCGAATGATTCCATGCTATAGTCCAGATATGCGCCACAGAGTGTATGTCTCTTATCGTGACTCAGCGGTCGGCAGGAGGCCGAAGCCGTCCCGCACAACCAATGACGCAAGTTGACAGGCAATCGAAACGGTCGAGTACGGCTGCCTAGACTCTCCACGATATGCCGTGGCGACATCGCACGCTGATTGATGGGCAAGATCATTGCATTCATAATCATCTGATGCACACATTGTCAACAAGACAATAGGTTGGGTGCTTTGTCTTGGTATCCTGGGATCTTGGGCGGGGGGCAATTTCTTACACAACATCTACATCTCCGGAGACTTGGTGAGAACGCGAGGCAGAACGCAAAGCCATGGCTGTACATGATTTCGATTCGTCCAGTCGGAAGTGAGGTATTGTAGAAGCTTGTTTCAAAATACCGAAGAAACGGAAGATAGGCTTGGCCAATGTTCGTACAATAGGTCATATGTGCAGTGGTGGGGACTCTTGATCCGGGGTCGCCTTCGGCATCGATTGTTTGCCTTTGTCGCACAGCTTTGGCGGTGAAGCAGTGCTACTTTCCAGTCGACCGGCATCTTCCGAGGGGTACTCCCTTCGACTCTCCTCCGGTCGTTAAGGAATGTGGATTATGCAAAGTCACGGACAAGCTCTAGAGAATTCTTTGCACTTAGCAACGGTTCCAGGGTGCCTTTAGTGGTGTTTAACGCAGGAATCTTGATGAAATTAGGGGGAAATTCCATGGCGTTGGAGAGGCTTGCACGCGCGTCAAAGGAAGCTCTTGGGCATATGGACTGTCGAAAAGGCGTGCCCAAATGAATGGCGCAAGCGGAACTCGCAGATTTTGTCCGCAAGTCATTCAAGCTCTTGAGCGGTGGAACGCATCCCTGTTGTAGAGTGTCACGGTGACAGCCCCACCCCACGCAAAGCTTTAGTCTAGTTTGCCAATGTTCAAAAAGGTCGATAGATCCCTTTTTGGATTGACAGTCGAGAAACCCGAACTAAATCTCATCCTTGAGGCTTGATGTCGCATTTACCAGTATCCCAGTCTGGCCAGGCCTTAACACGGCAATTAAGGGGGCGTGAATGCCGTGGCGCATAGTGGAATCCGACCAGAACATCTTCGATAACGGCGTAATATCATGTCGATGGGAGTATGTCTTTGTGTCGTCGGTTGAACAGGTCCAGATAGTGTCAGATGACCCTCCTTGCATTCTCGATCATCAATTGGACGAGCTGGCGCCAAAGCTACCGCAGACCGGGGTCAAACCGCCAGAGCAATCACGCGTACATCGCCCGAAGTTTGCTACAATACTGCGGTCAATGCCGTTTTGAGTAAACGTGGTGGCGTTCGTCGGAAAGGCGAAGGAAGACTCCAATCCCTTAGCGGCGAATCGCGAACGGCATATGTTTAAGACAGATATCTCCACACATAGAGCATGGATAGAGAGGGTAATGCAGAACTCTATCCCAGCAAGTAGCTCACCTATCACTTGTCCAGGCTTCGACTTCTGAAAGCAGGTTTTCGATAGGTGAGGTCTCACCTCTCACAGATGGAGCGGGCCGGGATGCAGATCTCAACTAGCGTCCTGAATGCCATCTTTAGCATGCGAGGTTAATTTATTCATTATCGCTCTTACGAGGGCTACCTACACCGATGGAGTCATAACAGACCCGGATAGAACAATGCCGTTGAGCGCCGTGTAACTCCTTTCCTCATTGTGGTTGATGCTGGTGAAAATCGCTGGAGAAAACCAAAATGCAAATCAGCTGCACGATCGTTGGGATTTACCTTGATCGACAGTCAACCCGCCCCCCTCTTGCTTGACGATGCACAATTCCGACTTTTGAGTGACATTGATTGCATTAGCGCATCACTTGCGACCGGGAGCCAGACCAGGGACTGCACTATATCGTTCGTCACGCTCTGTCTTGAACAGAAGTTGAACCCAGTACTCCTTGTTGTCCTCATCAAACCAGGACCAGAGTTTGCCTTCGCGTCGATCGATTTCGCGAGCTTGCAACTTCACTGCGACAGTTTCGTAGGGTTCGCCGGCCACGATGAAGTATTGATAATTCGGGTCCGGCTCTTCGACCTGCTGCTGGTACGCGTTCATGAACTGCATGCGAGGAATCGTACCAGCCGTGATCTCTGGGAACTGGAATTGGAAAAGCAGGCCATTCTGACGCGTCACCGGATCGCGAATCTTGGTGATCCTGTAGCCAGGCCTTCCGATTTTGATGACGTTTTTCCTGACCTGCACTCCGGCCAGCAAGCCTGGCACCACATCGTTTCCCTTGTTTTCCTTCTGTTCCTTCGCAGCGCGACGCGCTAGGTTTGTTTGATGCTTTCGTCCCTGGGTATGCGCGAGGTATGAACCATCATTTTGATGAACGGTCAAACAGAGACGACACTCGAAACTACCGACGTGGTTCTTGAAGAAGTAAGGGTCCTTGTCAAGGTCGATTGTTTCCAGCGCAAGCTTCCTGAGGCGTTCGCGACGATCGGCATTGGTAGCAGAGGATGAGGCGACACCTCCGCCTCCGAATTTCGAGCCTGCTCGGTTCTGCGACTGTGAGCAGCTGACTTCAGAGAAAAAATGGTTGGCGCAAGCTTACCTGATAATCCATAACTGGAGATGGCCGAGACCTGATGATTCAATTGAGTATGGATTCAGTGCAGGCGGATAATGTAGATAGTTCAAACAAGAAGAACTTCTTTTCGTACCTGTGAAACAAGATATAGGTCGTTGTAATGGTGATACGTTGGAGCGCGAAGAGATGAAGTTGAAGGCAAGATGCGCTGGCCACCACGCTAACGCCGCGCAGGGGTTAGTGAAATGACACGTGACTCTAGGCATAACTTCTTCTCTCCAGTACCATATATTCCAGTTGGAAGAACTAGATGATTCCACAGAGCATTAAGGCTGATATTGCTGTTAAACTGTTCAATTCTTGACTGCACGTCGAATCTTTGTGTTTGATACCAACCGCATGGCATCCGAGTTTTACATCGGCAAACGACTCTCGTTTGATGAGCGACTTTGCACTGTTCGCTATATCGGCGAGGTCAAAGGCACAAAAGGAACCTGGCTAGGTGTTGAATGGGATGACCCAATAAGAGGGAAGCACTCTGGGGAACATGCGGGCACAAGATACTTCCAATGTACAGTAAACTTTCTTCAACAAGGCATCATCTTGTTGCATTATATATACACTGGATAACGCCGAACGTAAGCTGATGTTGATTTAGGCGTGAGGAATCATCCGACAGCAGGATCATTCGTAAGACCAACACGGAAACCTGACCCGTCCAGATCGTTTGTTGAGGCGCTGAAGGCAAAGTATGCCAGTGAAGATTTTGAAGATCCGGACGTTGAAGTTGTCTTTGTGACGAAAAATGATAAGAAGGAGCGACTGGTGCAACAGAATCGCCCAGTACGTATCAGTGGGAAGGAGGTGGAGGAAGTTGGTTTCGATAAGATTCGGAAGCAGCTAGCGGAGCTGAGCGAGCTGAAGTTCGTTATCCTGGACGGCTTACGCATGTCACGACCTGTTGCTAGTCGGAAGGAATCTCAGAACCCCAGTGAATGGAATGGTTGGCCTACTGGTCTGAAAGATGTCAGCGATGCCTGTCCAAAGGTCATTGAATTGGACCTGAGTAGAAACTTGTTCGAAGAATGGAGGGAAGTTGTCTCGATATGCGAGCAATTGGACAAGTTGAAATCGTTGAGAGTCGAGTATGTAATCTTTGATATTCAACTTGGTTGCATTTTACTGATACCTGCTGCAGTGGCAATCGATTTCGGGATACCACTTTGACGGAGACGGAAAAAGAACGAGCTCGAGCAGCATTTCGAAACATCAAAGCCGTCAAGATGGAGGATAATTTCCTGCCATGGGACCAGGTAATCCATTTGGTTCATAGTCATGACCGATTAACTCACATAATTCAGGTTGCAGAAGTCACCAATCTATTCCCCCAAATAACCTCTTTCGTGGCCTCGAGCAACTTCTACACCACCCTCACAGACGACATCCTCAACTCAACGATAACAGACCTAACATTCGAAGAAAACTCTTTCCACTCCTTCTCCGACCTGATTTCCCTAACAAAACTTCCCAACCTGCGACGTCTCGTCCTGAAATCCAACCAAATTTCCGAAGTTACAAATACCGATGCATTGCCAGTCTTCTCTCCAACACTAACCGAACTCGACCTATCCTATAATGAAATATCCTCATGGGCTTTCATCGACAAATTGGTCCACATCTTCCCAGGTCTGACATCCCTTCGCGTTTCGCACAACCCTCTGTACAACTCTCTCCGGGCAGCCGATGGTCGCGCCCTCAGCGCCGAAGATGGATACATGCTTACACTCGCACGACTCAAGAATCTCAAAACATTGAACTACAGCCCCATCACAGACAAGGAACGTTTGAACGCGGAGTCGTACTACTTATCCCTTATTGCGCGAGAGGTCACCTTCGCCCCAAGAAATCAAGAGGAACAGATCTTGGCGACACATCCGAGATACAAAGAACTATGTGAGGAGTACGGCGAGCCGGTCATCAAACGCGAAGACAACGCGGTGAATCCGAATTCGCTAGCTGCAAGGTTGATGCGAATTTCTTTTCATCAGGGAAAGGACGACAGTGGGCAGCTTGTGGGGGCGCCTTTCGAGATCGAGATCCCTAGATCGAGCACTGTATACACGGTTTTAGGCTTGGTTGGGAAACATTATGGTTTCGCACCTCGGAGGTGCAAATTGATTTGGGAAACCGGGGATTGGATGCCAGCAACTGGTGCAAGTGATTCAATTGACGGTGATTCAGCATCTGAGAGTGGGGAGGATGGCGAGAACAGAACTGCCGACAAAGTCAAAGGAGAAAGCGTGATGCGAGAGGTGGAAATTGTCCCCGGAACAAGATCCATAGGGACTTGGATTGATGGGAGAGAGGCTTTTGTCAGAATCGAGCATAGTTGATTCTAGCGGCCTTGCCCTACAGGGACTATCCATAATTAAATGCAAATATAATCATAAATATCTATTTCCTCAGGCTGAGCGGTATGTCCATTATGTCTTTGTATCTCATCATGCTGTGTAGGTCTAATCATTTCAAGTCCTGGCATGGTTTCGGGATAGTAGTTCCAGATTCAATATTTGTTCAGAGAGGGTGCAGAAAGATTGGTCATGGCTAGACCACTCCTTTAGTGCAGAAGTCGTACAATACGAAGCCGAAGTAGATGAAGGCTGTCATGTTGATGGCTTTCTATTTCTTCTGGGGATCCCTTGATACATAAAAACCAAATGCTGCAGTCAACAGCGAAATACTGACATGGAAACACAATACGCACCATCGCCCTGCCTATGATGGCCGACAGACAATTACCAAACTAGCAATGCTCCGTCGATACCATCTATCTACCTCACTGGCAACTCAGTCTTCGAATCAAAACTATATCTCAGCCACTCGCCGACAGCCCTTAGACTCTCCCACCTCACGCTCTCATCCGCTTCTGTCATGAGCGCCATCACCCGTCCCTTCAATCCCAACTTCTCGAGCTGCTGTCTCTTCTCGGGTACCTCCTTTACCAAAGCCGCCACGTCGTTACAGCCAATAGCCAGAACCTGCTTATCATTTTCCCAAGGCTTGGACAGGATCTCCGCGAGCTTACGGGGAAGCTCGCCCTTGTTCTCTTCGAGAATGCGGCGAGCGTTTTCTCGCCAGAAGGTAGGGTTTCGGTGGGGTGGTGACCAGCGAAGATGTCCAGACTGTACCTCGGCGGCGTACTCGTCGAAGGTGGTCTGGGTCTTGGTGTACTCATCCAATAGCTCGTTAAGGGCTTCGAGATCTTCAAGAGCATCAGGGTCGGCAAGGTGACGCGATTTTAAAGAGTTGAGGAGTGCTGGGAGACGCGCAAGGGTGGATGCTGGCAGAAGAGTCTGGCGGTTGGTGGTGAGGAGGTTGAGAAGAGTGGAGAGAAGTAGACGGGTGGTCTTCTCTTTGGGAGATACTCGGAGGAGATGAGTGTAGAGGATAATAATATCGTGCTCGCTGGGAGTATGTTAGTATGTATGAGAACAAGGAGAAGAACAGACCATACTCTTGAAGACCATCGCCAACTAGCTCGCCTTCAAAGCTAAGCTGCCAAATGACCAGCAAAACATGATACAAAAGTTGGAGTCCAACTCCTCCAGCAAGTCCCTCAGGGACACTACGGCCGCTGGTGCTTCCTCCACTCCAGAGTACAGAGTCCGTATCCTTAGATGCACCAGATGCCGCGCGCAATATATCGAATAACGGGTCCACTGTCTCCTTCCTCTGCTTCCAAAACAGGTGTCTCGACTTGCTGTCACGAAGGACTGCGGAGAATTCCTGAACAGCAATATCCTGAAGGCCAGCATCGTTGCTCTTCACAAGCGAGGAGAGGTAGCTGTATAGTGGAGGAAGCGCCTCATCTACCTGGGAGGCATCCTTTGAATACTGAGTGAGCGCGTGCGAGAGAAGGCTGGATAGGACGGATGAGGTCAGGAGCGGAGTGGAGTCTTCGATTTTGGCTGGTGCTTTGAGGAGCGGGAGGAAAGGCTTGAATGGCGCTGGGTGTTGTACGAGCGCAGAGGTCAGAGCTGGGATATCTAGATGATCTTTAGCTGAGTATAATGCATGCTTTTAGACCTTCTCGACGTCTATAGAAGACACATACCCTCGATCAAGTCACCCGTCAAGACGAGCATGTAATGAATGATGTCCTGTCGCTTTGCTGCTGCCTCAAATATGCTCTGTGACCCACTGCCACCTAGCAACAGGCTTACGAAGCTATCTACATCGGACTCGATTGTCTGCTTCCGCTGCTCCTTGCGCACCTTGTCAATTGACTTGATCTTTTTAAGGTCCTCCTCGGTGATTGTCTTCGCTCGGACTGCACCCTCCCATGAGATTGGACGGGCGCGGATGTTGTTCGAAATGGAGGAGAGGTACGTCGGTGGGTCTAGAGACATGGTGGGCGAGCTGTGACAATCCCGCGTCGACAAGCAAGAAGAAGGGAGGCGCTGGAGATGGTGTTGGAAACCAACTGCGGTCGGTGATGGGTTGCTATCACGGCCCACCAAGCTGGTCCTCCGTCATCCAGGAAGCTTTGACCATCTAAGCCCTGGGACGAAACAGTACACCTGGACACCCAGAGCAGCAGTACAGCTTACGTCCTGATTGTCGATAAATTTCCGCAGAGCTTCTATGAGATATTAAATATGGCAATTCCATGAATGCTTCAATTTTGTCTTGTCCAATTACTCATGGGAGAGAAATGTGTATTGAATAAGGAAAGAGTGTTTATGCGCTATCTACTATAGGATTAGCGTATCACGCTGACCTCGATATCTTGGCGTACTTTGAGAATTTCATACAAACACCAACTACGAAACAAACGCCACACTCTTCTCCAGCTCTGAATTTATATCATCAGAAATGGAGTATTTTTCTTTGAAACGGTCGACTGCTGCAGATCAGGGACAGTCGAACCTTTCCAGTAAGGTCTACGTGCGCTCAACAAAGAGTGGCAAGGTCCAAAAGATTGTCCGAGAAGTCTACTTGCGGCAAGATATACCATGTTCGTCGAATCTGTGCCGGGCATGTCTTGAGATTGCTCCTACAGATTACTCACAGAAAGGTTTGCATGAAAATTCACGTGACAGGACACTGGCTGACCGAAATAGTTTCACCGTTCGTGCTTTCTGATACTCCTGCTGGGTCAAAGAAATTCCCCAATGGCCAATATCTGGTTCCAGATACGAATGCGTTCCTCACTGGAATGGACCTTTTTGAATTAGAGACAGCATTCCACGATGTTATCGTACTGCAGACGGTACTGGAAGAAGTCAAGAACCGGTCACTACCTCTCTATCACCGCCTCATTGCCTTGACCAAGAATGAAGGCAAACGCTTCTACGTCTTTTTCAACGAATTTCGACAAGAGACATTTGTCACGCGTGATTCCGGTGAAAGCATCAATGATCGGAACGATCGTGCCGTCCGAAAGGCGGTTCAATGGTATAACCAGCATATCGCCGCAGCAGTCGCCGCTAAGAGTCCACTATCAAAGAGGATCCCATCTGTAGCCATGATAACAGACGACCGGGACAACCTGAGAAAAGCCAAAGCCGATGGGATCCCCGCCCTAACCTTGTCGGATTTCGTATCTGGACTTGAAAATGCAGATGAGCTCCTCGATATGATCAGTGCCGCCCAGGAGCAGAGAGAGGTGCGGTCAAAGAAGGCAGAAATGTTCTACTCTGAGCATTATAGCATATCGAAGATGATGACAGGGGTTAAGGCGGGGACTTTGCATCAAGGCATATTCAACGTTTCTCCATACAACTACCTAGAAGGCTCCGTCCACGTTCCAGCTTTCGACAAATCACTTCTGATTCTTGGCCGCGAAAACAGCAATCGCGCAGTTTCTGGGGACGTTGTAGTTGTCGAAATTCTCCCTAAAGATCTGTGGAAAACGCCATCTACCAAAATTATCGAGGAGGAGACCGTCAACAAGAACGACAATGCTGAAGCCGACGATGGGGAAAATGTGACATCGGAGAGAGAGCGAAAGGCTCTACAAGAGGAGGTCAAGCGTGTTCATGGACAGACTGCCGAGGGCCGACCGCAGCCAACAGCTCGAGTGGTGGGAATCATCAAGCGTAATTGGAGACAGTACGTAGGCCACATCGACAGAGACTCAGTCCGATCGACTTCAAAGTCAAGCCGCCAACAACAAACTGTATTCCTTGTCCCCATGGATAAGCGCATTCCCAAAATCCGCATAAAGACCCGTCAGGCTGGAGAGTTGCTGGGACAGCGTGTTCTAGCAACGATCGATTCATGGGACCGTGACTCACGTTATCCCGTTGGCCATTTCGTTCGATCCCTTGGTGAACTCGAATCGAAAGGTGCCGAGACGGAAGCGCTTCTTTTGGAATGGGACGTCCAGTATAAGCCATTCCCGAAAACAGTATTGGATTGCTTACCGGCTGAAGGGCACGATTGGAAAGTGCCAGCAAGCACGGATGACCCGGGTTGGAAGAATCGAAAGGACCTCCGTGATCTGCTTGTATGCAGTATCGATCCACCAGGCTGCGTTGACATCGACGATGCTCTACACGCCACCAAGTTGCCAAACGGAAACTTCCACGTCGGAGTGCACATTGCAGATGTATCACATTTCGTGAAGCCTAATAATGCCATGGACAAAGAGGCTAGCCAGCGAGGCACGACCGTTTACCTTGTCGACAAACGTATCGACATGTTGCCGATGCTTCTTGGAACCGACCTTTGCTCTCTAAAGCCCTACGTCGAGCGTTACGCCTTTTCAGTCCTGTGGGAAATTACTCCAGACGCCGACATCGTTTCTGCCAATTTCACCAAGTCAGTCATTCGGTCACGAGAAGCGTTCAGTTATGAGCAGGCCCAGATACGGATAGACGATAAGTCACAGCAGGATGACCTCACTAATGGGATGCGGACGCTGTTGATGCTATCAAAGAAGCTCAAGCAGAAGCGTATGGATGCAGGAGCACTCAACCTTGCTTCTCCCGAAGTAAAGGTCCAAACCGAGTCCGAGACCTCCGATCCTGTTGATGTCCAAACCAAGAGGCTGCTCGACACCAATTCCCTTGTCGAGGAGTTCATGTTGCTCGCCAACATCAGCGTGGCGGGCAAGAACTACGAGGCATTCCCACAAACTGCGCTCCTGCGTCGCCATGCCGCACCACCGAAAACGAACTTCGAAGAGCTCGGCAACCAACTCAAAGTCAAGCGAGGCCTCGAGCTGCGAACCGACAGCTCCAAGGCCCTCGCCGACTCGCTCGACAAGTGCGTAGATGCCAATGAACCCTTCTTCAACACGCTCGTCAGGATCATGGCCACGCGATGCATGATGTCCGCCGAGTACTTCTCCGCCGGCACGCAGGCCTTCCCCGAGTTCAGACATTACGGCCTCGCCAGTGAGATCTATACGCACTTCACGTCGCCCATCCGTCGATATGCTGACCTCGAGGCTCATCGTCAGCTCGCCGCCGCCATCGACTACGAAACTCTGGACCCGTCCCTGCAGGTCAAGTCCAAGCTGGAGGGCGTGTGCAAGAATATCAACGTCCGACATCGCAATGCCCAGATGGCGGGTCGCGCCTCCATCGAGTACTACGTCGGACAGGCTCTGAAAGGAAAGGACATCGTGGAGGAGGGATTCATCATGAAGATTTTCTCCAACGGATTCGTAGTGTTCGTTCCACGCTTCGGCATCGAGAGCCTGATCAGGCTGCGGGATCTGGCCACGCCGGAGCCGGATGCCGAGTTCGACGCGGAGAATTACGTCCTGAATGTCAAGGGAGAGGTGAACAGGAGCGTGGAGCTCTTCGAGAAGGTACAGGTGCGGATCACGGATGAGATCGAGGAGTCTACTGGGAAGAGGAAGGTCAAACTGACCTTGGTGTAAAATTAACTAGACAGACACAAAACCGTATGTCCGTAGTAATGATCATGATAGATAAGAACAAGATTCACACATAAACACTTCATGGAACCCGCCAGCCATTACGTCCATATTGATTTGAACATTAATTTGAACATTATCATGTACCGAGAGGGGGCACGTCAGGCTTTCCGCCTGCTAGTTTCATGCATTTACTATATTCATTACCATCCCTCAATCCTTCCTCAGGCCCCTAGCATCTCAAGCTGGCCTTTCAAGGAGTCTTGAAAGTAGTGATCACACTCGCATGATCACTCGTCCACTCATTGTTCACATAATTCTCCGACGGCATACCCACAACCTTGACCTGTGAATCCACCGCCGACAGCTTCGCGTTAGCAAAAATGAAATCAATGCGGTCCTGAGGCTCTTTCTTCCCCGCGCTGCCCGCTTCGCTGTTCGTCTTCACGATCGGGGACCACGTCTCTCCAGGCGTGGCCTTTGGATCCGGATGGATCTTGCGGAACGTGTCCGTGAGGCCACCCTGTTCAGTAGCATACTTCGTGACGGGCCAAGCGTAGGCGCCGACCTTGCCGTCGCAGTGCTTGTTCGCGGCAGTCCAGTCTAGGTGGGACGGGGAGTTGAAGTCGCCGACGAGGATGAACGCGGCGTTGCTTTCGCGCTGCGCTTTCGTCCCGTCGATGACGGCCTTGATCTCAGATACACGCCCGGAGCTGATCTCTGCTTGGTCGACTTGGGCGGAGGTTTTGCTTTCGAAGCAGAATTCGTAGGGTCCGTAGGGGTATGCGGTCGTGTGGAGGGACCAGAAGTTGAAGGGCTTGGTCTTGTCGCTGTTGATGGCGAGTTCGACACCCGCGGTTCGTGCACCTAGATTTGCGTGTCGCTTGGTGATGGGGAAACGGGAGATGATGCCAGCGGTATTTTGTCCGTTGTTCTGGTGGTAGTTCCAGCCCAGGGCATTGGCGAGGCGCTGTGCGTGGTCGCCTGTGGCCTCTTGGAGTCCAACGACGTCGACGGCTTGGTCTTTGATGAACTTGATTTGTTTCTCGTGGTAGCCGTTGATTTTGGTTCCTCCGTGCCAAAGATTCCAGCTCCTGATTACGGATCAGAACAATTTCCATGATGTTTGATAATACGCGATGGACTGGAATGGACTTACAAGACTTTGAACTGTTTACCATCGCTGATGGTAGGCGCAGATATCTCAATGGGATTGGCAATCCAAGTGTATCCATCATTCGCGAGGAAGTATGCCTTGAATTTACCACCTCCGAACGGCACATCGATCTTGATGCTGCCCTTCTGAGCCGGCGCGTATTTCCATGTCAGAGATGGGTCGACTTGCTTCTCCTGGTCGGGACCACCGCCTGTGATGTGGTAAATTCCGATCCAGTTCTTCGCATTCGCACTGGGTGCCGTGTAGTCGAACGTGAACGGGTCTTTGCCCTGAGCTAGCGACAGAGCGCCTGTGGGGTTGGGAGCGGCGGAGACCAATGCTCCCAAGCCTGCGAGAAGGCTGGAGAAAGGGATCAGGAAATGCATCGTTGCTTTTGATCCTCCTCAAGTACCAAAATGTCGAAGATTGTTACTCAAACAGTCAACGAAGACATGGAACAACACAAAAAGAAGCGAGGGGAATAACAATAATATGTTATATCCAAGTCTCTATACGAGCCCTAACATTCGTCATGGCTCGGTCGGCCGTTTAAACCGTTTCTTTTTGTATGGGCAAAGAGGTTTAGATCAGATCAGGCGTGCCTGGCAGGTCATAAAATTACGTCAAGCTGTTCACGGGGGTCTGAATGTGGGTGCGCGCAAGGGAACGTGCAGCCATCAAGGCCTCTCATTGTAGATCCTTCTCTCGAATTGCCGTTACACTCCGCCACCCAATGGGTCAGCGCGTGCTACCGTGGTACACAAATGGAAGGTCGTGTTGCAGTGATACATGTCGTATATGTACGAGGTATGTACCTGTGTAGTGGGATGTTATGTTTCTCCATACATCGTTCGTTGTTGCTTTTGCGAAAATATTGGACATGTCTAGCATTGCATTGTAGGAATAGTATTTAGGCCCCTCCAGAAGAGATCGAAAACGGCAGCTGGGTCGATCAGGCTTCTGCAAGGCAGAAGAAGAGCATAACCGCCAGGAGGAGTGGAGATTTGAGGGTAGAGTTAGGCGGGCGGCCGCCAACTTTAGGTGTCCAACGACAACTCATCTTAACGGTTACGGAACTTGGGAGTCCATACAATGGAGTTGGAGTCTATATTTAGTCATCAAGAAACGTGCAAAGGGTGAATGATTTCAAACAATCAATTACCTACCATCGTTCAATATCTCTGTGTTGGTAAACATGTGCGGTTCTCGAGGGGTTGATCAATAATTGTTGTTTCAAACGAAACGATCGTAATTTCTTTCGACGCATGAACCGACCCATGTTAAATTCCTATGGACACAGACGATGGACCAAGTAGAAAGGTCTAGGCAAACCGGAAAGATACTCCAATTATCACGACATTGAAACTCAGCCTCAATGTCTCACGGCCTAATGACCCCTTACTCTCCGATGCAAGTTTGAAGGCCGTGATGCTTGCACCACTCCAGTCCACGATCAAAATTTCCTAGTCCTATGGCGAAGACTAAATCTAATTCGATTCAGTAATTAGGAGAACACATGTCGACAAGCAGGGATGATAGATTGCCTAGATAGTGTTTCCCTTCTTGACATTGTAGTCGCGGATTTAGTTACTCTTCCTGTTCAGGAAATCGTCTTGCGCAAGCAATGGTGTATACAATCAAACTAATGTCCGCTTGACGTCCAGATGCTCAGAAGCACCTTCGTATCATTGCAATCTCACGAGCGAGTCGTTGGTCTTAAGAATCTTGCAATATCGGAGTAACAATTGTGTAAGTGTATGTTATTGATAGTCGTTAATCATTCCTTTCATCCCGTGGGCGAGCTGCCAAACTATTCTAAACCAGTCTCTTCTGATCATTTCCATGATCTTAAAGATATCCTTTCCAATCCAATATGTTGTCTGGAACTCTGATAGCGACAACCACTACAACAGTAACAACGCTTTCGCTGGAAAATGCAAAACAATCGTCTTTCCCTCCCGCGTGAGCGCCAGAAATGCAAACACTTTTATATATCCAGATCCTCATATCAATAAATCCTTCTCTTCCACACAGATGTTCGTTTCTCCATATCGACCTTGTTCCCAACACTACTACGCAAGTATCCAACTCTTCGCGCCTTAATCGGCCTTATAACAGGAACCTCACCACCTCCCCCAACTCTTGCCTGACCGCCCCCTAGACGCCTGCTGCGACAAGAAAATCTCCTCCTCTTTCCTCCGCCTATTATCCCTAACATCGCCTTCGAACCGCTCCCACTCGCCCCACCAAAACCTCGCCAAACCCTCCACATCATCGATGAACCCGTCGACACCCCTCTTGTAGATCCACACGCCAACGAAGCCGACGGTGCCCCAGAACGCGATGCGCAGCACGAGGCGCACCCAGAAGAGCACGGCGCGGTACGCCATGTCGAGGATCTTGAACGACAGGAAGAGTATGACGATTAGGAGGAGTACGGAGGTTGCGTCCGGGGCGGTGAGGACTCGCGTGTAGAGGGGATGCAGGTGCGTGGAGATGGTTTGGAGGGTCGCGAAGATGGTCGTGAGGGTCTTGAAGAATGGGGATATGATTGAAGGCGGGAGGAGGTTGTGGAGTAAAGGGAGGTAGTCTGTGAGGGTGCTGTTGTTAGCTTGTGATGATAGGATGGGGTAGATCAAGAACCAATGGAGGGCTGCGGGAGTCGCTTGCCTTGTAGGATATCCATTTTGGACGATCAAGAGAATATTTTGGCAGTTGTATGGAGTAGAAGGTGTATGTTCAATTGGCGACGCGCTGTAGAATACGCGGTGAGGATTGGGTAGATGGTACTCTGGTGGTCGCGATAGGGTAGCGGGTAGAAGTGGATACGGGTGCGATGTTGTCTGGATGTAGGAGAAAGTAGCTAATGAGCAGAAGAGTTGACCTCTAAGCTTCTGGAATATCAAGGCGGTGAGTGATCGTATGGACCGAGAGTGACTCCCTAAGAAATTATTGGAAATGTTTTGTGTGTTGTTGTTTCGTTTCGAATTGGGTCAGTTCATTCACTCGCACTGCAGAGACAAGGATGGGCTGCACATCATCGTCCTTGGCGTGAGACAACTCACTGTGAACCCTTTAACCAATAACAGTATAGCTCCTGGCATACATTCACTCCCCAAACTATCAACTACGAATGCCTCAGGCATACATCTACCGCCTCATCTACAGGGTCAAATTGCTTACTGTACAAAGCATCACTCCGTACATGCGCGGCTCTATCATTTTCATTCATCCTACCATGATACCTCCTTCAAAATGGCCCCCAAAAAGCAAATCCGACACTACCACCCAAACCACCAAGGACATCCCTTCTCTCTCAGCTCCACTTCATGCAAGCCATGTCAACGCTCATGACCAGAATCACAAAATCCATTCTTTCTTTTTCCTCATGCGATTCCGAACTCACTCCTGCATATCCATGATTCTTCTGGGTAGATCCAAGTATATATTCCTACGCATACATCGGCATGTAAAGTAGGGGTTCGATCATTGGACGCTTATGAGAATGGTGTATACTTTAGTTAGCTAGCTAGTCACTTAGTTAGTGGGGGACCCGCCATCGCGAAATAATTAGGGTTTCAAAACCTTGATACGAGATAATGCATCCATCGCGCCAGATATGCATACATACGTTATCTCGTAATTATGGTGGTCGAAGGAATGGATTTCTCCCCCTCCCCCTCATATGCCCCCCTCTGTCTGTCGGATTTGAGCGTCCGCCGCCCAAACGGCGACATCGGATGTTGTATAACCGTCTTTGTGTTTGCTTTTGCTTTCTCGCGAATCTGAAAGTATATCGATCGTGCCAGGCGAAATAAGCCAGATCTTTGGGATAGTAGATAACGTGCGAGTCATTCGGAACAGGTAATGTAGGGTGGTAAATGGGCACGTAGTAGTGCAATGGTTATATTCGCTCTCTCGATTCCTCTCTTTTGGAGGAGGTCGAGTTGTTGTGCTATATTACTGATCTGCATACATATGCCGCACCGCGGTTCCAATCTTGCTGTGCTTAACCCAGTCCTCCTACTGTCTGCGCGGTATCATTGCGTCTGCCAGACCCATACATGATGTGTGAAGAAAGAAAAGAAGTAAAGGTAAGATAGGAAAACTGAGGCCGAGGCCCGTGTAAGTGACAAGATGTCTGGTATCACTGAAAGTCCAAGAAGCCGCCAAACGCCGAGGGTGGTAAAGTCATGTGCAGTCATGAATATGTACTCAGAAGGGTATATCAATTATAAGAAACAGCCGTTCGTGAGGGTGGTGGGTCGAGTTGTGCTTGGTTTGGCGATACTCTTGAAAAGTGTGCAAGTGCAAAAGAGAATACAGGAAGAGACGATGCGTGCGTCGAGCGGTTGAAAAGGAATGCTGGGACCTTTGTCCCGGTCGGTAGTCGAACGGCCTCCATGATGGAGTAACTGTTCAATGTAGATAGGAAGTCGATCAAGCAATGCGTTGACTTGATATCAGACACCAACCCTTCGTCCCATCACGGGCTTTCGCCGTAACGAGCATACGAAAGGTGAAGCGGCCTCTCATCAGACTTTCGTGAATCGAGGATCTTAGTCCGAGGTGATGATTCGAGTTCAAAGTTGAAGGCCGATGCTTCGGACATGGAGGGATAGTGGATGTGTGGAGTCGATCCTGACCTGCGGGACGAGTATGAGCCCCGCTGGGGAAACTCTCCTGTGGTGGATGTTGGTGAGTAAGGGGTCGGCGGGCGGTCCGCTACAGAGACGATGCTGGACTTCCGTCGTACGCGTTCGGGCTTGCGGATAGGAGAGGTTGGAGTCTTCATCGAGGTTCGTGGACTGGTAGGCGACGGGCTCCTCGCGACATCATAGAGGTTCAATTCTTTTTCGAACATATTAGGCGTTCTGGAGCTTCGCACTACAGCCGGAAGTGTAGGTCTGATGCCATACTTTTCTGGGCGTTGAGTATATTGGCTTGGCCTCCTCCACGATTCGAATTCGGCATCGTCCAGAGGGGTAACAGCCCGAAGCGAGAATCCTCTTATCTTTCTCTTGGAACGCCTCCAACAGAAAAGGCCCAATGTGAGCGTCAAGAGAAACAAGAGGCTACCGAGGCAGGCGGCAAGAATGATCCAGATGTCCTTGTTCTCCATGTTGTAAGTGGTCGACGGTATGAATATCTGGTGTAAGTCCTAGTATCCCAGTCCGGATTAGGTGTTGGGTGCAGGCTCAGATGTGTATATTGTAGATTGACGAGAGCACTGCCAAGCGATGTTGGGTCAGGTACAAGAAAGCCTTGTGGAAGGATGAAGTCTCTTTTCCTTCAGATTGTACGTCCTGGAGAAGGTGAAGATAATGAATGTATTGGTAGGTGGGCTTGGGGAAGTTGTTGACAAGAGTCCCAATGTAGGCCACGCAGACTGACTGCAAGTCTAATCGACCATGGCTATGGACGATGACGACAGCAGCAGTGAGGTTTGCCCGACAGGACTGAGGAGGAAGATGCTCGACCGTGGGAAGAGAAAGCCAGGCAGAGCAGAAGGAAGTGAATATGTACGGGCAGACAATACGGATAAAGTACTGCGCAGGGTGCGGAAGGCTCAAGTGAGCAGGGCGATGGTCATGCGCAATCGACAATCGAGCTGGATCCACTAATAATGGATGCAACTGCAAGTAGTAATAGTGAGGTGGGCGCTCCGTAGAGTATGTATGTATGTGCGTATGTATGTGAGTAATGGTGTGCAGCCAGGACGACGAAAGCAGAAGAAACTGGAGAAGCCGCACGGCAATAGCATTAAAGAGGCGCACACCGTACGAGGGGAAGTTCTGCAGCTTATACAGACCGGTCCACCTTGGCTGAGGGTGTGTCTGCAGGAACAAAGGCAAAGTGGGTGTAGGGGAAATAGAGGTTAGAAGAGCACTACCACTGTACTATGTAAATCAACAGCAGTAGATGGAGACGGACAAAAGAGGCTGAAATATCGGTGAGGGTGCACCCAGACACCAGAACACCAGAACACCAGACCAGATGGTTTTGTTTAATTTTACATGCCTTGGAATTTCCCCTCCGCCGTTGCAGACATCCAGACATCCATGGATGGCGCTGTGACTTGATAGGCAAGTCGTCCGGCACGTACCTGCATGTCGACTATTCTCCACACCCACGATGCAAGACGTGGCGCGGTTTCAATCAGTAGTTTGGCTGCGCAATCGATGGTCGCTCGGGATCGCCATACTCTGTGGCTGTTTGGAATAGCTTGGACTCCTTACAAGGTGCGGAGCTGTAGCCATGGTATGGGTGTCTTGTCTTTCATGATGGTTACTGTCTGGTCTGCTGGTGACTATGGGATGCGACGAACATGGGTGGGTGGGGAGTAATCATGGGCCTAGCTATACCACAGTAGACAGTTGGCTCGCAATTTTAGCGATGACCATTCCTTGATTGTATTCGAGTGACCAGGTCCACACTTCGAAACGAAAGCGACAAGCAGGAAGGATTTGATAGTGGATAGGGATCGTGGTCTGTGGCAGCTTAGGATAGGATAGGATAGGATAGAATGGAATGGGTGGATGGGCAGGCTGGTCTCCATTCAATCAGACTGGTTCGCACACTGGCGAACCTGAACTTACCCCTGACACGATCAGCGTAACCATATCGATAGTAGAATGGACTTGCTTGTCAGTGCATGTCCCTTTCTTCCAATAAAATCGTAATGGATGTCTATGGCCGTAAAATGGTTTCCAATCGCACTGGCCAATCCCGCGCGCGTCGTGCCGCAAGCTTCCATTCAAGCATGCCCCCCTCCTCTACTCTCTCTGTCGGACGCAAAACCGAATCTGGTAGTAGGGAAATCTCAGCTGTGAGCCCAGAAGCTCTTCGCTGGCACCAGAACACATCTAAAAGTTTTCTACAGCATGTACACGTAGGTATATGCTCGTTGCGGCACTATCGAGCTGAATCCAGGCTGAGGACAGCCAAGGGGCAGATAATCAGTTTCTATTCACCACTCAGAGGCGTTATGGATCGTTGCTCTCTTCCTCGCTCTTACAAGCCGAACGCAATAAAGCTTCCCCCTGGTCCGTTCGCAATACCACATCCTAGCCCACAACGGCCCTCTCATGCGGGTAACCAGACGGCAACCATACGCCAGCGCAAGAAGCACCGAGAGTTCCAAGTTGGAAGCCGTTGTTTGGTGGCGAGTCTGCCACATCACAAGTGCTTATGCTGACCATCACCATGATATATTCTGCTTCAAAGGAAGGACGTTTAGTCTTGTACCCAATCGTTGTGGGAATATTCCATCCTCCACACCCACCATATCGTATCCAAGTTGCTGCGTTGGAATGTCAGGGTCAACGGATTTCATAATAACTGCAGCATCGTGGTAAGCGGCACAAGTCGAGCCATCGCTAAGAGTCAGGGCAACTCTAGGTGCGGTGCTAGAAAAGGCTCCCGTCTTTGTCACTACGGCTAGTAGTGTAACCGGCGCAAATGCTGTTTTCTCTACAGCGTCCCCTCGCTTCTTGGCCCATGGTTTTGTGTAAGACCCAGTCTGGGCTCATGGTGCAATCTGCCTACAAGTATCTATACAAGGAATACGCAAAATTTAGCGAATTGCTCCCAAGAAATCTTCCGAAGCCGCTTCTTGCGCTCAAAAATCATCGTGTCGTACCTGAATAGGTTAAGGTTCTCGGTGGAGCTCTCTTCAAGTTCGTCGCATTCGCATCTGAACAGGCGAGTTCCCTCATCTTCTCGGAAATACTCATTCCGCTTAAAGAAAAGTATTCGCCAGACCCTCCTATATCGTCCTGACTGCGATTCAGAACCCGGCATCATTATTATTGCAAGTCATGATGTCGATATATGATTACAAGAAGAAAGAAATGTGCCTTTCCCTATCTCCTTCTACAGTGATCTTCATATCCGCCCGTTAGCGAAATGAGATACTGCAACGTGACGACTAAATAGGTGGCGAGACATGCAAATCTCTGTCTGGAATTTTTCAATTCACATCCACAAGGATTTTCAAAGGATCAAAGAAAAGGCAGATGGCAGTCACGAGTCAGTCCTCATAGGCTTTCCGAATCATTTCGACGTTCGATCCCATGGGGGAGCGGTGAGTCCAAGACCAGGAATGCTGGAGCAGTGGAGTTTGGTAGAAACCCGCTGTCTATGCTCATCGTCCGCGTTGAAGCCGTAGCAGTTCCGTTCCTGACGGCTAAGGGGACACTTGCGCTCTAGCGGAATGGAGCTCTGCGCTTGTTTTACGGCTAAATGCGAGACTTGCTGCACGTGGATAGAAGATCGACGCCACAAAGCGAGGCACGCGATAATGAAAGAGGGTAACCCCTGACAGGGCTTGAACTTGGCGTACTGAGGTTCATGATCATCATCACGATAGTTCTCGTTCAGAGATAGAACGACGGCTAGAGACTTTGCCATCTTATTTTAGCACATTGGTGTGCTTTGCGGGAAGGAGGGCGAAATTCCTACGCCCTTCGTTATATCTTACGTTGGCATGACCATCTCTTCCCCCAGATCGGCGTTGTCACAATGCAATGGCGTGAACAGTGTGGAGCAGAAGTCATTTCAAATACCTGCATGCAACGAATCTGCGGTGCAGCCAATGGAGATGGCAATCGCGGGTGCTTTCTCACGATCCAGTGCTTGAATGTGAGGGCCTTGTTCACAGTGTCCTAGGAGGATATGCCATGTAAGAGGATCTTCCCTGTTCATTTCGGGTTCACGAGCCGAAAGGTCTCGTTACACAGATGCGCATCTTTGTGCTACAATGACCTGAGGCATGCGCATACGTCGTCCTCAATCAACTTGCCACTCTTGTTGGCGCTGTACTTCCAAGTGAATCAGTGCTTGCTTCAGAACCTTTCAACATCCACATTGATTCCGAATTTGGCGATTGCTTCGTGAGTTTACGAGGGACGATACAATAAGCAGTAGTGCCAGCTGACCACACGCTTCATCCAAAGGTGCTGTCACTTTGATCGGTCTGCAATAATCTACGCAGGTTCTTAGCAACCCCTAATTCAAGAACACCATGTCATTGGGCCATGCGCAACCAAACGTTCGCAGACACGAGTTCATACCTGTCCAAATATCCCTCTACAACCGCGAGTACCGATCCCAGGAAATAGTAGCTAGAATAATAAGAACATCCTCAAGTCTTGATTTCTCTCCAGCGTAGCAGTCGATGACCCGACGATATCATATTCAGTTGACCCGCGGACATGACTCCATGTCCGGTTCACATGCCTACAAGACACAAGCATACGCATACATCTAACAAGCATATCGGCCGCCTACTCAATCCGCTCAATCCAATATATTCAACCTTACTCATCACACAAGTGATCCATTCCTTCGCATCCCGATACATATTACCCGGAATATTAACCCCAATCGGTTATCCTCTCCATCATCACCATTCACCCCCACGGACGAAAGCGTGAACTACTACATGTACTCCCTCAATCTTCCGAGCGTGGGATGCTCACTGGAAGCTATTCGATTGACTGACAAGGTGCTGTATGCTGGCCTATATAACTCCAGCGCCTAATATATCGTTCACCCAGACTCCCGGTGCCAAACCTGCAGGAGAGCGGGAAGGTGCAACCGTATATTGAACATACATACTGCAGCGTTATGTAGGTACGTACATACATTACATGTGCGGCTCCATGCAAGCTGCAGAGCTAGAAGAGAGTGTGGTTGTACTCCGTAGAGGACATTGTATTGAGCGTGATCAATGCGATGCTGGTGATGTTGGCCTGTGGGGCCCGGAACCATATTGGAGTGTTACACTGAGATCGAAGGGAATCTCGGGTGATGCTGTTTAAATGTGCTCATTGCGATCCCTCTCATTTCGGAACTTTCGGTCGACGGGGAATTGAAGCATTTGCAAATTTTATCGGTAGGCTTGTTCTACTCCTTCGATCAAGGCTGTTGTTCTGTTACACATGTGTCTATCACCATTCCATGCGGGTAGGCTACACGAAAGATGATAGGTGTAGTAATTACATCCCGTTCTACTTGCTTGATGTATGTCGTCATCTAATTGTCCACACTGACAGTGCAAAGGAAAAAGTAATTTCTGTGAGCCACTTCATCGAATAAACCTTCTCATCCGCGTTGTACAGAACATGTCTCAAATCCACGCCGCGCCATGGTCAACAGAGACATACTCCACCAACGTGCACTAAACACCCTCCCCAAGGAAATCCGTACACAAGATCTTCAACGATTTCCCATAGCAATAAGCCACGATACTGCAGCTCAAGTGACACCGATTGTATCTGTATCACACACACCATACATCGGACCCAACTCCGACTGGCAGCGCTTCCAAACTCAACCAAAGCTCTGACCAACAATACAGATCCTCGCCAGCTTCCCCCCCAGATGCGCAACAAAGCCAAAAAAAAAGTGTTAAATCGTATCGTAGCTTGGAACCTTCCCATCTCGATGCATTCAAGCCCCCTCTCCCAAACGACATTCCCGTTCGGGAATGATGGGCTCGAAGCTGAACTCTGGTCAAACGACGCCACAAGCGAGCGAGCGTACCGAACAATAGCTTGTGAAGATCTGGGGTGGTGGGCAACGTCACCCTATGAACGATCGCATCATTGGCCCGGATAAGAAAATGTCAAAAGTTCTACTTATGCCACTTTATTGAGCCTTGCCGTTCGTTTCGCGGACTCCGAGAAGAGTGTTCGGAAGAGGGGGGGTGTGGCAGGTGTTCGTCTGTTGAGAAGCGGGCAACGCCATCCTGTCTCTTTGCGCCTGGTATGGCTCAATCCGATCCACAGGTCGATCCCCGTAGGGGTCATGATACCAAAATTGGATATGTACAGCTTCCGTGGTCAGAATACGGTAGGGCGTGAACAGAAGGTTTGAAGGGATCTTCCGAACGACGTCCTTCGGAGTCGTTCCGATCGAAGTCCCCTGTGCGTACTTACGATCTGCTACAGAAAGCCTCTCGCGGTCGTGAACTCTATCTCTGTGTCACCTGGCTAGCAGCAAAATGTCTCGATTCCAGGTAATGGGACCTGCTCGTATTGCTCGGTTCCGCCCGTGTGGGGAAGAGGGCTCGATGTTCGGAACGACATCCACCCGTAACGGGTGTATTGACTATAGATGGCAGGAGGATTAAGTTTCATGGTCCAGACCAAGAGTCGTTGAATTCTAGGGTATGAGGGTGTTGTCGATGGAGAACGGCATGGCGAACTATGATCGCGGCTCAGGGGGTTCTGGCGAATGCAAACCTGTTGCTGTCCTTGGATGGTGTCAAAATAAATTTGACATGATTGTCAGGTCATGGATTTGGTTAGTAGAGTACTAGTAGAGGAGGTAGAGGAGGCTTGTAGGAACTTGTACTTGCCCTTCATTCACTTGACTACCGCTGATTTTGAACTTTACTCGATAATCTAGGAAATGATGCAGGTCTGGCATTCGCCGTTGCTTCAGTCTATACCAATCATTTGATATCGTTTCCTGAAGCTATGAGTATGCATATCTAGTAATTGAAGGATCTGTGAGTTGAGAACAACATGAAATTATAATATAGCTTGCAAGGCGACATCTCTATCAATGGGACTAGTGTATCATGAATGAGGAAGTACAATTTCGCAATGTTGCTACCACTTCTGGAGATTCGATTAAAATCGCCTAAGGGTAGCAACATGATCAATCACTCGTTCTGAAGGGAAGATTGCAGAGTAGTCACCATATTACGTCGATGCCGAATAGCGGCCGATCACTCAATCACGCCAGCTATGGGTTGCATGTTGTCTTCGACAGAATGAAGTTATACTCCGTAGATGACTCTAAATTTTCTCACTACCATCAACTCCAACCTACTTCCCATCATATCCCGCCCCCGTCCCCTTTGCCTCACCAACCTTTCCACCCTGAGCAATCCTCAGCGTCTCGGAGAATTGCGCCTGTAATGCCAGAACATCCGCCGCGATACTGATGACATCGAACCCTTTCTCTGCGTACATCCTGCTCTGCTCGCCACTGGTGCAATAGATACCCACCTTCTTGCCCTCTGCATGGGCAGCCTCCTTGATGGAATCGATGGCAGAGACAAGCTCTGGGTGCATGCCTTCAGCCAGGATGGGCCTGCCGATGTTATTTCCCAAGTCGAAGGGGCCGATGAGGAGACAGTCGACACCTGGGAGTGCGGCAATCTCTCGGACCTTGATAATGAGTTCAGAAATCATTCATAGTACACGGCAAGGTCAATATAAAGGTATGGAGGTCGAACATACCTGTTCCAAGGCAGACTTGGTCTCGATCTGGACAATGGTGATTAGAGTTGAGTTCGCGTTTTGGAGGTAATATGTCATTGTTTCATTTGAGAAGGTCTGGGGCGAGAATGGCGATCCAAAACCTCGAGTGCCTTCTGGTGGGAATTTCGCAGATGAGACGAGTCGTTTGGCGTCGTCTACTGTGTAGATTAAGGGGACTACAATTCCATGGGCTCCGGCATCGAGTGCACCTGTCAGGTCTTCAGAAGATGGATTAGAGATGTGGTTTGGATGTTGAATTACGTTTGACCATCCAGGGTTCGTTGGCAGTGATGCGGACGATTGGACTGACTCCTGTTGCAGCTATCGCTACAACGGCTTCGTGCATTTGTCCATCTTGGTAGGGTACGTTAGTCAAGTCTGTTGAGATGAGGTGGGTTGAATTCATTCATACCGTCGATGTTGCCATGCTCACAATCGACACAGATCCAGTCTACACCTGACCTCGCGATAGCTCGAGATGAGTTGGTCCCGGGAAGCATCTATAGAATCAATTAGCATGACGTACGTAATACATATTGGGTTGTTCCTATTGTGTATATGCTGTTTAAGCAAAAAGACATAATGTACAATCACTCAAGAATCCTGACAATTGAGATATACAATCATCCAGAATAAACTTGCACTGAGAGATGCCCGAGATAACGAAACATACCTGCCATCCTCCGAAACTCGGACCACCTCTCTTGAAGGCCTGGTATATCCTGCTCTTTTCCTGGAGAGAGTTCATTGTTCTAGGGTATTGACTGAACGACCTTCGAGATAAGGAATGAGTAGATCGGGCGTTGACAGCACTTTGAAGTAGTTTTGATCTAAATGTCTGCGTTATCAAGAAGTGCATTGTCGTCATGGGCAAGCCAGTCCGAGAATGCCACCGGGTAGAGTAACCCCTCTTCCATTATTCGAGGTAACATAATCCTCTAGATTATTACCCCACATCAGCAAAGGGATACGCTAAAGTACTAATTACTACAGTCCTACTTCCGAGGTTCCTTTTTTGAATCTTTGGTGTGCAAGTTGATCGAGTGGTACATGTGTAAATATTTACAGTAATGGTACAAAGTGTTCACTCCTCCCCCACTCCTACGATCAACTATCACGAACGTTCGACATCATCCAGAAGCTTCGAAACATCCTCTTCCATGAACCTATGCATCAGTTTCAAAGCCGACGCTGAGGTTTCCCCGACATCAATTTTCTCGACGTGGATCTATCCATGTCATTGAGTACACTCATTCTTGGCTATGTAGCATCGACAATGTCAGATTCGCTTACCACCGGCGTGTCGAATTCATAGACCGACTTCCACTTCTCTTGGCCCGGTTGCATCACATCGATTTCCTGGTATGCGAATGGTCGGTTGGTTTTCACGTTTCCGACGACTGACTTTGCGGTGTCGCAAAGTGAACAATTGACGCGTGTGAAGAGGGTTATGCGGCTGCTGTTGAGCAGACGAGACGTAGCCCGAAACATGATGATCGATTGAAAGATAATAAGTAAAAGGAGGAATAATTGCTGTTTCGAATTGTACTAACTATTGGGATGATCGTGATCGGACCCCTCCCTGCCTTCCTAAGAAACGAGATGGGAGGTTGACGCTTGGGCCAATGACATACCCATACCCATCTCATTCCAGAATGTTCGTTTCTTTAAGAAACAAATGAATCGGCTCACCTTTGTATAGTGCTACAACACATACACACCTTTCTTTTATTTTATAATCCCAACTCTCATCCTTCCCAATAATAACGTCTAGTACCTAGTCTTACCTTAGAGTCTAATTGTTTAATCATCAATGGCAAAGAAGTGCGTTCACAAAGGTTGCGGGAAGACGTATGAGAACGAAGACGAAGCATGTGTCTACCACCCTGGACCCCCAGTCTTCCACGAGGGACAGAAAGGTGAGTCGTTCTCCTCCTTCAGATCTTCCTCTCGTTCAAGTCTGAGAAAGCTTCGTAACTTGTTCTCCTGGGAAAGCTAACATGTTTGCGCGCCAGGCTGGAAATGCTGCGAACCCCGCGTTCTGACTTTCGACGAGTTCCTAAATATCGAGCCTTGCACAACGGGCAAGCATTCTGAAATCGACGACACCCCTGCTCCCGAACCTACGAAAAATGCTACGACAGAGGTCCCCAATGATACACCGGTCTCATTAGGCTCTCTGGAAGAGGCATTGCCCGCTCCCGTACCTCGTCTTCCAACCAACACTACCCAGACTGCGACCGCGAAACCCCCAGCGTCACCCGCACCCCCGCCCGAGGACGAAGACGATGACCCTAGCCTGCCCATTCCGGAGGGACAGTCGTGTAAGAGGAAGGGATGTGGACAATCATATAGTGGTGACTCAAGCCGGTCGGGAGAGAACTGCGTGCACCATCCCGGTGTTGCGGTGTTCCACGAGGGTTCGAAGGGTTGGTCGTGCTGCAAGAGGAGGGTGCTTGAATTCGACGAGTTCATGCGAATTGAGGGTTGCAAGGCGAAGGATAAGCATTTGTTCGTTGGTAGTGCGAAGAAGGCGGGAGAGGAGAAGCTTGATAGTGTCAGGTAAGCACATGGTATGTTACATATAGTGGGTACAGGGTGTTAATGTGGTACTACAGGCACGACTACTACCAGACCGGCACGACGGTCACCGCATCTCTTTACTTGAAGAAGATCGACAAGGAGGCTGCAATTGTAGAATTCAAGCAGACAAATGTCAACCTCGATCTTCCCACCACCGACAGCAAGCGATATAGATCCGATTTCCCGCTCTACGCAGCGATCAAACCGGCAGAGAGCAAGTTCAGAATATTGGGCACAAAACTGGAGTTGACCCTCGTCAAGGCAGACGGGACGAGCTGGCCTGTTCTAAGATCAGACGATAGACCGACGGGCGAGATGATCCAGGTTGGACGTGCTGGACGGGTCTAGACAAAACAAAGTCATTCTCATGGAAGGGAATTGAAGATGAGTAAATGATCTCTGACCCTCAACTATTTCGTGTTCAGTGTGGGCTACGAACACTGGAGGGCGATCCTGTTTGTGTATCAAGAAAAACTGTGTCACAAGGCAAGGCCTTGTGATCTGGTGGAGCCTGACTACGGATGAAAAAACAATAATGAACTTTTGAAACAAACTGAGAAATTATGGTACATGCTTGTCTGCCCAGGTTTGAATTACCTCATTCTTTGACTGCCCTTTCCCGTCAATTGACTCTCCATTCACCCATCCAAAACAACATCTGAGCCGCACAATCGAGTGAATCCCAGGATACAAAGAACATGGAGCATTCCTACTTTGCATATCGCCGAACGAAGGAGCAAACTGCCCTTTTGGAGGGTCGCGTAATGCTCTGGACCCTTAATTTTGATCGCTAATGCACCTATGCACTTTGTCTACGCAAGGTTTTGCTCAAGATTGCCAACAAAGTTTGTTTATAGCCCATTCTATGGGTTGGTCAGCACCCACTTCCCAGGCAGCCGTATAGCCACCACCCAATATATATATTTGCAATATGACCCCAAGTCGACATCCTCAAAGCACTCCACTGCTCACCCCACCACAGGATCAATGGCAAAACTCCTATAAAGACGTTGCTGGCCCACTGCCACGCCATTATTTCACTTCAAGCCGTGAGCCACTACACTTATTACGAAACATCGTCTGCCCCCAATACTCTTTGCCCGCCCTATATTGTAATCGTCATGTGGGTATTGCGAAACACCAGAAGATGCTTCAGCTGACACATTCAAAGGTACACCGACATCTCCACCAGTGCATCTGGCTAACGGTTTGATCGTATTGTACACGGATGCAACCACAAGCGAATGTGGAGAGAGAGGTCCTGAGCCGCCATCCTCGCCACAATGGTTTCTGTTCCATTCGGGCAATTGGCAGGCACTTTGTATCTCTGGTGGCCCTCTCTTCCTTTCCATATATAAACACGGACCATGCCACTATATTCGTTTGGATTCTTCGGTCTCTAGCACCTCGCGACATACCAAAGGTCGTCCACTTCAGAGTCTACTCTTGAAGCAACTCATATACATACCCTGTCTGGTAAGACCCCATCGACTGACCATCATTCTTCACATACTAATCTTACAGCCACTGAAGCAGCAATTCCAAGAGCCAGGGTGGTTCTGCAATCCAAGGCGGCCATGCCACCCAGGCTGAACCCCCGTAAGCCTGCTGCCACCATCAGCACATTTTGGAATGAGACGCATTCTTCTACACCGAAGATTGACATATCGATGTCGATCAATCAAACCGGGCACCAGAAGATTCATCCTTGGTTATGCCATTCCAAGCGAGCCGTCATCAGAAAATCGCTTGCCTCAATGATCCATATACAACTCCACCATCAGCCTCGAATATCCTCTCACTCGAGGACCGGAAGTCTGCCACACGCCGCTAGCTCTGTATCCCTTCACCGACATTGTTCGACATGACCAAGGATCCTTACCTCCTCTCCTTCCCCGAGACCTAAACCGTTGAGTTCGAGAGCCTCATGCTTTCCCACCCACGATCATCGAGACTCTTGCTCAGTATATAACCAATCTAGTCGCCAAGCCGACTGATATCATCAGGAAGTGAAGTTTCTCTGCCCCAAAGTGCTGCATCTCGCGAAAAGAACCAAGATCGGTCTGTCGAACCATCGTTGACGAGCAATCACGCAACCCAGCAAAGTCGACAAGAAACTATATACCCCCCCAACACCAGCTCCATGTATCGCCGTGCAGTGGTCCTAGCGAAGGCACAGTCGTATAAGCTCGCCACATGACCGAGGCCGACGACGAGCTATGCGTTCATACCTCTCGCCTCCGCACCTGCTCAAGCTACGTGTGTCGACGTTGCCTCAAGCATTTTCATGACTCAGCCGAAGAACTGATCACTCATGCAAAGCTACATGAGTAATTATGACGATCGATACTCGATACCTAAGCTTCAGGATCTCGCCACAGCTACCAATATCAGGTTAGTTGGAAAGGCTGGGCTATCGGGATCCCGATAGCCAATGGTATGATGCTGAGGGCTTCAAGAACGCTGCAAACAAGCTAGAAGCCTTCCATAATCAGTATCCTACTAAGGGAAAACGGCCGAAGAATTTGACAAAGTGGCTGAGAGCTAAGCAAGAGGAGGAACCCCCTGATTCAGAGGACGACGATAATTCACCTCTGCATTGAGGACAATGCTTAGTATTTGGGGGGGGGGGGGGGGGGGGGGGGGGGGGGGGGGTAATGTGACGGTTGATCGATTGATCAATCACTATCGGATGAGGAAGCACCAATATCTAGGACGCAGATGCAAGTGATCGAGCACAGAGACGTATGATTCGCTCTGACAATGCGCTGTGTCTCACGAAGATAGAGCGCATATACTGAGCGATCAGGACGACGGGTCATTTAAGCCACCGTACATTGACCAAGACTCGTATCACCCACCCACCAACCCACGATATATACCGCCGTATCGAGCACTCCCTTCAATCAAGACCTGGAAAGAGTGCAAGCAGCGCGGAACCCGCCTCAAACACAATCAATTTTTATCTGCCCACTATATAAGGACCTAATCCTCCCGCCTCCTATAGCTCGATCCTAGCTTTCGACACTTCTATTCAACCTCGAGACTCTGATTACAACCAACTGATCATTGATCCATCTGGTTTCCAAACGCACGAACGATACTGGACGTTTGGACGGAGCCCCCACCACTATCAACACGATTCATGTTCTATTCACTTTATATAAATTATAATGGCGCGCCGGAACGACTCGTGCATCTGTTTCCAATACCGTCATCCACATGAGGCGAAAGATTTCAAGTCAGGACCATCGTCAGCACCGCCGAACGAACCAGTCTGCACAATCTGGACGACAATGGATCGAGTGACGGCGAAGACTAACCTTCTCAAGACGCGTCGTCAGCACCGCCGAACGAACCAGTCTGCACAATCTCGACGACCATGAGTGGAGTGGCCGCGAAAATGAACGTCACGACGCAGTATCGGCTTTGCCTCGTTCACAAGACCGCACCGTAAGGTGATTCATCGCCGAGACATACGGATGGCCCAAATGGACGCCTCGTGATGTGACGATGATGGTGAGGATGGCGACGGCAAGGCAGCAACGGCACATATTTCTGCTGCTGGTTCGCAAGAGGCCCGACGTAAGACGGAAAGAATATATAGCAGCATTTTCCTTAGCTGGGGTCCTTGGAGGCAAGGTCATCTAGTGAGAGGATTTGTGTCGGTGGAAATGTGAGATCTGGCGATTTGGTCTTGTTGGGCTGGGAAAGTCTCTGCGATCGGGCCACTCACTGGACTGAGTGAATTCTCTGTGATGATGGAGGAAGAAGAAGGATAACAAGGATAACAATTACGAACATCTACCCTTTATGTGTATCTAACGCCCCTAAATGCAAAATGCAAATGCAAATGAAACATGAAAAATGTACCCAACACAACATCTCCTAGAAAAGACTTAGAAACCTTCACAATCCCCGAAACTCTCTCTACCCAGCACCAGCAGCCACAATCTTCTTCCCCTTCACGCTCTTCCACTCCATCCCAAGACTAACCGCAAACGCCATCCCCGCCGTCGCAATCGCCAGGATGAACGCACTCGTAATCGCCTTCGTATACGCAACCAACACACCCTCCAGCAACTCCGCCGGCACCACATTCCTCACATACGTCGCACCCGCGCCGATCACGATGCGTGGGTCGAGCCCCGGGACGTGCTTGGGGATCTCGCGGGACAGCGAGTTGACGAAGATGTTCTGCGCGATGGAGATTGCGATGGCGCCGCCGAGGGAATTGAAGAACATGACGCAGGCGTTTGCGGTCGGCATGTCTTTCGTGGAGGTCACGACCTGCACGGCGATGAAGGGGATCTGGACGGATGCGCCGGCGCCGACGCCTGCCAGAATCTGGTAGCCGATCCATTGGCCGGGTGGGGACGCCACGCGGAGGGTGTACAGCATGCCGCAGCCGATGGTGAAGATGGCGGAGCCGAACCACATGAAGGGGGAGTAGTAGCCGATGGCGGTGATGAGGCCCCCGATGACGATCGAAGCGAGGGTTATGCTGACGAGGTAGGCGATGGTGCGGATGCCGGATTCTTCGGCTGAGGTGCCTTTCGAGGCTTGGAAGTAGAAGGGGAGGTAGAAGATATGCCTGGCGGTTCGAGTGTTAGTACAATGTATCTACTCAGAGGGTTGTATGGAGGTTTGACACTCACGTGTATAGACCCATGGACAATAGTGCGGAGAACACGCAGCTGACCAACACAGTTCTTTGCTTGAACACTCTGAGAGGAATCGTCGCCCGGTCCTTCTGATAGATCTGAATTGCAATGAAGACCGCAATGATAAGTCCAAAGCCCAACAACGTACCCCAGACCTTGGAGTTCTTCCATGGATACGTCTGACCGCCCCACTGCAAAGCAAGCAGGAGGCATACAATGGCGCAAATGAGAAACACGGCACCGACGATATCGACTTCCTTCACCCGTTGTTTGAATGGGATGTGGCTGTACTGCCGTTCCGGATTCTTGAAGAAGAAGCCAACGACGCCGATTGAAACAGCACCGAATGGTAGGTTGATCCAGAAACACCTTTCAATGTCAGTAATTGGACTTTTATGAGAAATTTTATCATAGCATACCAGCGCCAAGAGACATTGTCAGTGAGCGCTCCTCCAAGAATTGGACCGACAACAGATGCAATGCCGAACATACTAGACAGAGCAGCAATATAGATGGGACGTTTCCGAAGTGGCACAGAGTACCCGATGATTGTCATACCACCCGAGAAGAGAGCTGCTGCACCCGCACCAGCAACCGCGCGGCCGATGATAAACATAGGCGAAGTCTTCGCTGCTGCACAGATGATGGAACCGACTTCGAAGAGCAAGAGAGCGAACAGATAGGTGTATTTCACGTCAAAGTATGTGTATATTTTGCCAAAGGACGGCTGGAGGGAACAGGTCGTGAGAAGGTAGGACGAGCCGTACCAACCGACATCCTCGAGACTGTTGAAGACGGTGGTGATTTTGGGGATGGCGGTTGCGATGATGGTGTTGTCGAGTGCGATCACGAACGTCGTGAGACACAGGCCAAGCGACAGGATTCCGAGCTTGATTCCGCTGAGATATTTTGATTCGTCTTCATCTTCCTCGTCCTCTTCTTCGTCACCAGTGTTGTCCTTTCCTGTCGGCTTTGAGGGACTACTAGGATCATGATCTTCGGTGCTGTATGTAATGTAAGGACATGTTCAATAACCACAGTATGACAGAAAAAAGAAACCGTTCTTTCCAAGATAGTCGTTCTGACAAAGGAAACATAAATTGATATTGAAGAAAATAATACTGACGTTAGTTCCTTCACATTTCCTCCAAATTCGCCAGTATGTTTTTCGCCACTCGCATCGTCTGTCCTCACGACACCATTCTCTTTGACAGTAGCATCTCCCTTCTCTCCTGATGGAATAGCTTCTTTCTCATTTATTCTCTTCTCGTCCCCATTTTCTACACTTCGTCTCGCTTCCTCAGAATCCACACCCATCGGCCGCGATGAAGTGGTTATTGTCGTTTGTCTTTGTTTTTTGCGCCCAGGTTATCCTGCATGTAGCTCTCCAAGCCTATTTACCGATGAAGTCCGGATGCTCCCTTACTTTTATTCTCAAGTCTCACCAAGCCGACGTTGCGTGTTCCGCGCCAAATTATTGTGGAGGCGTCAAACGTTTTGCGGGGTGGACGAATAGTGGAGAAGAACTAGTGAAAGCCGCGAAAATCTGGGGAAAACGTGCGGTTCTAGTCAGATGTGGGTAGTGGATGGCTTCAGTTCATGCTTTGCGATTCAGTCCGGACTCGAGCAATCGTGAATGAATAGTTAGTCGTTTCGCAACAAAAGTCGCATGTAAGTATGTTCAAAGGAATAGTTCGATCTCGAAGGGAGGCAAAAGCGACAGGGGAAAGTAAAAAACAACGAGAGGGAGAAAAAGAATCACACGAGAAAACCGCGGGACCAGACCTCCTTCTTCAACAGATTCCCCATTCCACCACCTCGTTAAACAAAATAAGAGGAGCTCCTCATACGGTAGGTGTTAGGCCACACAGAGGATCGAGCAACAATACACCCACCCACATGCACCTTTTAGCTAACGAGACGAGCACGTTCTAGCCGAAGGGGAAGGAAGAACGCCCGGAAGACGAACTACCCGGTCTTATCACCCCGTGGGCTCCGTACAGAGCGAATGCTCATTCATGGGGATTGGAGACGAGGGTTGCAGGGGACGGGGGGTCAAGGCGAGAACCACCAATTAGCCAGTCGAAAACGGGGTTGGTTCCCGCTCTTCTGTTTTGGCGAGATCCCTTTTCTTGAACGAAATCTCGAATTCGTATGTTCGAGTACGGTGATCTGCTGGGATCCTGGACCCCTTCGGGTGTCGCTTAAAATCGTGTCTGGTGATTGGGACGGAAATCTCGTCATGAGGCGAGGCTCATGCTCCCAGGAGGAGGGGACGAGCAGAATACGGTGCTGCTATACGGCGTTATCAATAGAACCTTCCCTTCGAAGATCTGTTAAATGCGGCTGTTGTTCTTCAATTGCGCAAGCGCTGGCTTTCTCCTACTCAAGTTTCAGCATTCGCGGGCAGGAATTTGGCTGCGGTGGTACAAGGAATGCTTTGAGGTCCCGGCTGTAGTGGTTCTTCTTTGTGTCTTCTGTTGTCAGAGGAGAAAGTTGGGTAATAAGGTGTGCACTGTATGCGACCCGGCCCATGGCCTCGGTAGGGAGATGTCGGTGTTTAGCCTTGCCTTAACGAGAGGGTGTGTTGCACATGCGACGGCCTTTGGAATGCAAGACCGGTTGGGGCACGTGTCTGGATCGGTGTGGCGGGATTGCAGAACGCGATGGATGTCGTGTGGTCGGATGATAGTAGAATGATGTTGGTCTTGAGGAATACTTAGTTCTCGTCAACGTGAGGAGATGGAAGTCTAAGAATGTTTGGTCAAGGTAAGAAATGGGAATGTGCAATACATATATGACCTGCCAAGATTTGGTCAACGACAACGGTGGTGATTACCATGATGATGGATACTCAACAACGGATCAATACCTGTATCACCGCGAAGTAAATGTGAAACAATCCTCGTCCTTACAAGCACCATATACTGCATCCATCCTCAGGCCAGCCTCAACCGTACCACCATATAGATTTAGGTTTGACAAGAAGTGAACAGGCCTCCTAATTAGGGAAATCGGTACTCTGTGTTACTACCTTTCTGTCACTTCCCGCAGATGCACAAGAAGACGTAGCCGGGAGACAAAAGTTACTTTGAACGTTCCATTGAATATGGATTACCACAACAGGAAGCATGCAATGGATGCAGGCAATTTATGGGAGTCTATGTGGAGAGGTGTAAAGGAGATGAATATATGCAACGAGCCCGCAACGAGCCCCAAACAAGCAAAAGTGTGAACAGAGTAAAAGAACAGTGTCGTGTCAACCTAGTGATTTCCGTACCCTCTTGGAAAAGTGACGACGCAGCAGACGCCGTGAACTCCTGAAAGCACACCCCAGCTCTAGAAACCTTCTATCAAATTCCTTTGATCAATCCCCATATCTTCCGCTTGTGTAATCACGTGTGATGTCACTGCGTCTAGGTTAGTGCTTCGATTCGACGTCGGACTCTTTGCCACGTACCTTCTTCGGACAGCCTTTGCACGGATACTCCAGCTTCACGGTTGTAAGAATCGTTCCATCCTGGCCACGAGAACATTTCTGTTGTGTCATCTGGCCCTTTGGGCAAAGTTGTTGGAATATCATTTCCGTGTGGCCACAGATGTGGGAGTAGGCATGGTAGTAGCACATGCTGGCTTCGTTCGCTCCCTTGCTTGCGATGATGAGTGACGACTGAGTGAAGAGTGGTGATTGAGAAGTCAAATAGTCTTCTCAATTCGCACTGATGATGTCCGAATGCGTATTCCAAAAGGGGATTTGCGGTGTGGTCGTTCGAGTGTGGTCGTACGATGTCGGAGTCCCTCCGAGTGAGCTGAAGTAAGGTTCGTAAGGGGCAGAATTCACCGTGCCGCGGCGGAATCCACGAATGAAGGTGTAGCTTGATGGTTCGCTGCCGAGGAGATGGAACTTTGTTCGGTCCAGGTGTGGAAAGATTTGATTTGGTTAAGATGGATTGAGAAATGAACGAGTGATAGATGAAGACTGCTCAAGAGAAATGTCACAAGTTGGTAGTTGCGGTGTCGAGCGAACTAGGACATGTGGTTGTGCGATTCTTATAGCCTTCAACTGAGCTGCCAGTGATTATGGGTCGAAGTATGACATGTGTAGCAGTAGCAATCGGCTGAATCGGTTGGCAACGGCGGGAATAACAATCATAGCTGCAACATGCATAGTGACTGCTCGACTGTCATTGCTCCGGTGAAAACAATCATGGTATAGAAGAGGGTAGGAGAAGGAGCAAACTTGAGATATTACACAGCCATTATGCGGATAGAATCTTGACTGTGTCACAACCAGGCAAATTACTTCCCAAAGCAGTAACATGACACTCTACTGGTCAAATCGAGTCTGCGTAAAGATCCGAATGCATATAAGCGCACTGGTGCCGTAGCTGCCACGGCAATGGGATGGTTCGCAGGTGGCTAGGTAGCAAGCAGGTGCTGCTGCTGTGGGACAAGACCGCGTGAAGTTCTTAGTAGTAGTCCTTGGCAATTTGCAATCATTGTTGAGATAATAATAGTTTATCGTTCGTTGGGGTAGCAAAGTGCAAACAAATAAGTTTGTGATATCGGGCCTGTTAGCGACGATGGATGAGAAGTATCAGTGGACTTGTGCCGTTGGGCGTCAGGGAGTTGGAGATTCAAACTAGCTAATTGATTGAAGGGTTTCGTTTGCAGACAACGAGCTTGACGAATTGCCAAAGGGATGGTGTAATGCAGAACGTGGAAGTGAAAATATATGTTCTTCGTGCCATACCGACTGCCTACTTGGGAAACCCATGAGACGGGAGAACGGTACGGTTCGGTACGGTACGCTAGCGGGGGAATGGTACCCGCCTCATTGCACAAGGCATCCATGGACAAAGAAATGAACGTCATCCTATCTACGGGCTTTCGATGAATTCAATTCACGATTCACATATCTCCTTCTATGACTGCCATCAAACGTTCAGAGACGTTGTGTCAAGGCTTGAATTCGATTTAGCACTCGTGACTTGTCCTGGTACGGTATAGTACCATAGTCTGACCATATACTACTACTACCTAGGTACCAGTGCGCCAGTACCTAGGAGTACCGCGAATGGGAAAACTTGGCATGCTTACTCTTTCTAGGAAACCTCCATTAACTATTGGGTGTGAAACAATATTCCTGCACGTTCTTTGCCAGCGGAGCCACTCGAAGAATTGTGTAGAATGAGCAGCCGGGGGTTGGGGTTTGACGTTGGTCGATGTTGCGCTGGCGAACAAAAGTCAGTCCAACAAAAGTGCCGGTATGTCGTGACCAATGGCCGTGAGCCTACACCGCCAATTCAATTCGACAACCACGACCACGTCGATGCGAACCGCTGCAGACACTGCATAATGGTGCATATGACGGAGGAGCGAAAAGAGGGGCAGAAGAGAAGAGAGCTGCGGATTATTCCTGTGCAGGCAGTACTAAGTAGACGATGATGTTGTCATGGCTGCAAGTCTTCTTTAATTGACTACGGGAAGAGGCTGGGAGAACGTGGCTGTAGAGATGGTCCACTTTGGTCTGTTGCGAACCCGCGATGATAGGTAGGCATTGGGCTTCTTCGACATCGACGGCAATGGCTTCATACTGCTGCAGTCTCACACGTCCAATTGTCGACAAAGAGGATCAAAGTCAGCATGCGACTACTCGCCTCCTCCGCACAGTGGGGTCCAGCGCAGGAAATGAAAAATCGCCCAAAGTGCTACAGCGCCCACGTTGTGTGTTGGCAACTGATTTGGGGGTGGCTGACCTTGGTGCGCCTCGAATTGGGCGTGTACGTCTAGTACGAGGCGTTCGGCCGCCAGAAGCAATGATAGCACACGGAGGAAAGATACAATAGTTGGGGATAACAAGAGTGGGTGTGTCGAGATGAGTTCCCGTTTGCCAGAACGCAGCCCTACGATCGATCATGGCTTGCGCGCTGGCAAAACCTCCAGAGTGGCCATGTGGGTATCTTTTGGAGTACGGAGTACCCATCCGGAGATAGTATGGAGACGAGACGCCGAATAGAGAAGACGAAAAAAATGATGCTGGAACAATTGCTGGAGATGACAGGGCAAGTCTTCCCAGATTCCTAGAACTTCGCAGTGCCAGCTGGCAATGACGCCCTGTTCGCACGTACATACATACGTACGGAGGGAGTACTCTCTGTCTCTGTCTTCCTATGCCTCGTCGTCACGTCCCTCGCCTTCGTCGTCGGGACAAGATGGACATGCATGATCTAGCGGGTCTTTGACGCTTGACACGTAGCCAGCGTATAGCTCGCCTCTGCATATTGACGCAGGAGCTGCAAGTGCGCTTCCCAGCCCGACGGCATAGATTGAATATGGCATAATAGAAAGCACCGAGGATTCTCTCTGCGCGCGCGCCGTTCATATTCCTCCAATTCCTGCTGCGCAATTGTGGTGCGCGTGTCGCTCGTTTTGAATCTCTGTATGAGTGCACGTAGTACCCGTCCATTTAGTACTTGGTTAGTACTCTGGGGTACTCCATACTCACATAGATTGTCTCGTCCTCCTCTGGCTCCTACCAACTGACGCTGCGTTATCTGCCATAATCAACTAATACCTCTCTGCATAGAGCAACCTAGTCTCCGCTCCCTTCCTCGGTCGCATCGCCCTCACCACCGTACGGCCTGTGTCGCAAGCCGGAACTTCGTCCGCCTGCTTGACAATCGCGCATTCAGACACCAGTCACCGCCTGCCCGCCACAAATGAATAGAAGGGAGAGAAAAAGGAACGAGACACAATACAATACAACTTAGGCTTTGGCTTCGTTAGTCGCAATTGCGCGGGTGCTTGTGTGTGTGCCGAGACGCTCACTGTCCGGCCATCTCGAAACAGGTCCCAGGTCCCAGCACTGACCATAAGGGCTTTTGGTCTTCACTCACCGCCTGCCAGACGTCACGCCTCTTAAGCAACGTCGCAGAACCCTCGCGCGACCGGTAGAGAGAGAGAGAGAGAAGAGACTGAAGGAGAGTCGCAATGTGCTTGAAGGAGCCTCAATCATTGACCTCCCAGCCACCTTGCACTCTCCGCCGCATGTCTGACGTCTACTAGCCCGTCGCAAAGAAGTTATCCGATTCGACCTCTCTCAATCTCCCCCAAACCCACCCCCTTTCCGAAGCTGCCATTGGCCCATCGCCGCTCCCCTTTCGTCGAATGAGATATCACCGACCATACAAACCCACAACAACATCGACTACCGTCTAGTCTACTCTCCGTATTCGAGGTAATTGGACCTCTGACGACCATTCGTCATTCCTAAGGCTTGATCCTTTTTGACTGATTCCATTGACAGAGGCAATTGCTACTTGCTGGCACTGGGGAGTTCCACTTTTGGTACTGTATCATATCTACTCTCACATACTAAACTCGACCCCGACATCCACTACTTGTACCATTACGGCTACCGGATCCATTCACCTATCATCGTCATAATCAACATCATCCTCTAATTCCATCACATACCCGACACGCTTACGACCTCTTCCGTCATCAAACCATTCACCCAAATACCTGGTTATCCATCTCCTAGCGCCATCACGGGGTCGCGCCATTCACTCAGGCGTCTGCGCACGGGCATCTCCAGTCAACTCCAGTCAATTGGCCAGTAGCGCTGCCTGGGTTTCAGGATCCTCATTTCCTCGGCCATTACAATATCAAAGCGTCTTTGATCAGCTCGGCTCGGGTTGTACTGCATCACTCGGTCGACAGCTCCAGTCGACGTGATCGGTGTCTAGGCGTGAATGGTGAGTTGCCTTCTCATTTGCATCCCGGTAAACCAAGTCGCAGTCACTTCTGTCTTGGGAAGCAATAAGGCAATTGTTGGGCATTGCCTCTCACTTGCAACCCGCAAGTGATTGACCGTTTGTCTAAGCTCGGTCCCAGCAGTGAACAACATCTGTTGTTGCTTCATCGTATAAAGGTTGAAGACATCGAATACTTGCCTCTCAACACTGCATCAACACCATTTCTTCATTCTTCTCTGGGTGGAGTGAACAGAGCTGACGGGCATAACAGGGCCTGAAAGATGGCCTCTTTGGACTTCGACCAGAAATTCCTGGGTCGGGTCGCCAAACAAACAGCAGACAGCAACGCATTACTCTCCAGTTCGCTCTACCAGATCCTCGGTCTTTCCGTATTACTTTCTAAACGATTGATCAAGGCCCGCAAGTTACGAAAGCTCGACACGTCTCGCGATACACCTTCGCTTGCCGCCTATCAGCATATCTTATGGCTCTCGCGAGAGGGCCTTTCCATACTGGAACTTTATGTCTTACCATATGCACAAGATAATCAACAAGGCCCAGAGTGTCGCGTACTGAGCGTTAAGCTACGAGCAAGCTTCTATCACATATTCTGCTTGTTCCATAACCAGCCTCCTGTAACTATCAGGAATCTCTCAAGCAATGACCCTCGAGGCGCAATGCCCCCTTTCCCTTCCAACGAGCGTGAAGGCAACGGCCAGTTGCGAAGACACGATGGTCCTCCAGGACTATCACCTTCATCGAAGCGTACGGGCAAACAGCCAACACTCAGAGAGCCGATTGATTCAATAACGTCAGAGACTTCCTTCCTCACCAACCCTTACGCCGCTGGTGGTCCAGTCGGCACCCCATCCCCAGGGCCTATCCACGCGCCCCCTGGCCTGAATCCGATCCCGATCCCTCAACCTTCATCATTCATTCTACCGCCCCTCAACTTCATTCCTCTTGCTACGGGTTACTTTGAAACGGCAACCAGCTACGCGCAGAACTGTCTGCCGGGGTCGCATCCCTTGCGACTATCCGTGGCTCTGGAGCATAGCGCGTTTGTGTGGGATTGTCTTCATGATCATGAAGCATCTAGACGAATAGCTCGACGTGCGATTAAGGATGTATACCGTGCTCAGGAGGAGATGGAAGACAATGAGTTTGAAGATGCGGCTGAGCTTGTTGGAGTACTAGGACGTATGATGAAGCGTAAAAGCTTCGAAGGGACCCCACGGATACCAAGTGCAAGCAGCCCGGCACCAGCACCAACTGGTTCTGGAATTGCACACAATCAACAGGGCCATGGTGGTCCGCTCACACCAACATCAACCCAACAACATACAGGAAGTCCTCAAAGGACCAGGCGCGCTGCCGATGGTCCTCCCATTCCGAACTCGCCGGCACAAAGTCATACAAAACAACGCAGCCGGTCGAACTCAAACGCAAGCAAACCTTCCCCCAGAACGAACCTCAATATTGTCGAGAGCATGGAGCACACACCAAGGGGTGAGTCACGCCGCCAAACGGGAGGCAGCCAAGGTACTACACCACGGATGACTGGTGGGGGTAGTCAAGATACAACACCAAGAGCGAGGCATACGAGCGTGGAGAGTGGTGCATCCTCAACGCCACGGGCGCCGCAAGGCGCCGGCGGTCGATCACCCGCGACCCCGTCTACCGTTCGAACCATACAACACCAGCCACCTGAACATACAACGCCTGTCTTAGCAAATTCGGCACCAGTATCTCCAAGCACGGCAGCTATATTTGCTTCCGATGCTGTCCGAGCATCACCCACGTTGCGAAGGTCTCCTCCACTAGGCTCATCCCCTCGAGCGCCGCCTTCTCAGGATACTAGATATGCTCGACAAGAGCCTGGGTGACAACCAAAGACGGAGACTGACAAAGCGCGGAAGATGGACGTTCAATGGACTGTCCCAGATTATGAGGCTGAAGTCTTCCTTCGCCCTTCCACTCAGTCTCCTTCTGTGACCTCATCCAACAACCAATAATCACCCTCACACAGTAGGAACCCACTCAGCCCACGCATTACATATCGTAGACAGAGAGCGAAAGCATGCTCCAATTTGGATTATACCTCCTCTATCCGGAGAAGGACCGCACATAACCATACCACCCCCTGCACTGCCATAGGACATGTCAGTTGTATCACCGTACATGTCCAGTCATCAACGGTGCCCTTCGACAAGGACATCACTTGTAGTATATCGGAGTTCACGGCACATAATCAATGTTCATACCTTCCCACCATTACCATTCCTCCCATCAGTTAGCACCATTCGAATCGATCTTTGCATTTCGGCATCAACACGGATACGGCAAAAAGAACATGGACTTTCGCGGCTGTCTGCATTAACATTTAAATACCCTCCTGCTAATTCCACCGCCATCATATCCTCGGGTCACGCGTCATGTCACTTATTTTGGAACCATGTTTCTTCCGGAGTCTTCCTTTCGGCTGTTATTTTGGATCTTTTGGACGCTTAATCTTATATCTACTTTTTGGTTCCTCTACAATTTCCATTCATCATCCTCTTTATCAGTTTTTCGCCATCCTCTTTAGTGAGTGATGTCCAGTCCTATTGGTGTGGTCTTCTCCTTTCCCATCCGTACTAGCTTTCTCAACGGGTGACAAAAAAAACTTCATCTTGGTGCGGCAATCTCTAAACAGGACCTTTATTATTTTGGACGGAATCTTTACACTTCCACGCATTGCAATTCACATCTATTAGAGGACCTTTTTGGAGTTCTTCATACCCCCTGATCTTGATTATCTCCATGATGTCGAGTTTGCACTTGCCCTCCTTGCTGATCACTGTGACGTACATGCGCATTCTTACCCAACTTAACTCCCATCAGACCCTCAGAAGCCTTCAAACCCTAGAGGTAGGTAAGCCCTTTTGAATCTGTGATCGGTCTATGAAACGTGATCAAAAGTCTCCCACCTCAACTGCTTCACACATCACGCAATTCTCTCAGTCTTCTTGTCTTTGCCGTATCTTTTACATTTCATATTACACTCGGAGCAAAAGTAAACTGACATGCTGCGTTTGTCCTCTACCTTTCACTCCCACTTTGCAGAATCGAAGTAGTACTCAATGCTAAAATCCCCCCTTCTCAATTGTTTGGCAGCCCACGTTAACGCCATGATAAATGCATGCAAAAGTCGATGATGGTGGAGCAAAACCCATTTGGTATCGCCACCCGCCCCTTGAAAGATTCCCCAAGAAACATGAGTAAGTGTGAAACGCCTGTCTTGCCGCGAGAAGAAATCGGAAAGAAAAGAAAGAAAGAAATGGGAAAAGGTGATGTGATGCATCTGTTTTAAACACGCGTGCGCAGATAGCAAGGAAAAAGCCGGCAAAGGCAGCAGATAGACAACCGCAGAACATAAGAAGCCAATATCGAAAGATCCTCCATTTCTCACTTCGCGTCCCCGTTCTCCAATTTCTGCTTCTTGATCGGGAGGCTGGGGACCTTGAAGCCCGCGCTGTCGACCTTCGCGGGAGCCCCTCCGTTTCCGATCTGTGTGAATGTGCCGCCCTTGAACCAGCGGTCCTCCTCCGCTTTCCTCTTGCGGTTCATTTCGTCTCTTGCCCGGGGGTCCACGAGCTCGAGGCCCTGGACGGGGGTAAACGCGATGGAACTCGTGCCCGTGTTGCCGCCGACGCCCGTAGTCCGCAGGCCCTGAGCCCGCAGCGTAGTCGCGGTGCCGCCCTGGCCGAAGCCCTTGAGCGAGGACGCGGCGCCGAGGGAAGACTCGCCGCCCCAGCCCGGGTTCTTCTTTGACAGCTTCGCGCGCGTGCGCTGGTCGATCTGCTGCGCGCGGAGACGCCCCGTGTCGGTCGCGCCGATCATGCCCATGCCGACCGTCGAGTCGCCGGTGCCGTAGCCGGCTTCCTTTTCCTCCTTGCCGAACGCCATGCGGTTCTGCGCCTTGCGGATCTCCGTCATGGCGGTTGCTTCTTTGGCTTTGCGGGCGCGGCGGCCTCCGCGCTTGCGGGCGGGCTTGTCGTCTGGCGCGGGCAGGGCGCGGACGCCTTTGTTGGGGGGCGGTTCCGTGAGCTTGTCGAGGCGGCGCTCGCAGTCGTCTTTGAGTTGTTGGCCTAGGGAGCCGTCGGAGGATTCGTGGACCATGTCTACGCGCGCGGCGAGGATGACTTTGTTGGCGACGATGCGCATCGCTTGCTTCTTGAGGTCCTGTCGGATGGTCTGGATGATGGGGCTGTGGTAGAGGAAGCCTTGGTGGCGGATGCCGACGTTGGTTGCGAAGCCGAGGCCGGTGGCTTTGTTGGAGCCTAGGGGTGGGATGTTGCAGGCGGGTGTCTTTGCGAGACCAGTGAGGCCGCCGGCGTAGTTGATGAGTTGGGCTGCGGTGAGGGAGCCGATCAGGGTCGTGAGGTTCGGTGCGAAGACGTTCATGCGGGATTGGACGTATTCTGTGAGGATGTGCTTGGCCTTGTCGAGATCTAGTAGCATCTTGCAGGAGCTGAGAATCTGATCCAACTCGGCGTCGTTGAGATCGCGGCCAATGGCACGTGTTGCTTCGACCGTGACGACCATGAGGGAGGGTCCATCCAAGATGCTCTTCAGCGGCACTCCGACCAGGTTGTCCGAGCTCTGCGATATGCCTTTGATATCATCCAGGGGTCCGTTCTTGATGATAGCGACGGTTTTCGCATAGTCCACGGGGTTCTTGATGAGCTCCTCGAGATATGGAAACCTTATTGAGTAGTGATCCCGAATGAACTTGTGCACCGCCGAGATCTCTCCATCAATCTGCGTCGAGTATTCGTTCGCCTCCTTCAACAGCACGTATTCGGGGTTCTCCTCAATCGACTCCCCATCCAGCAGACCATCCATGCTATCCTTTGTGTCCTCGATCTCCTTTAACACCCGTCGCAGCTTGGCCACGAGGTTTGACGCATTCCGTATGTCGGCGGGACCCTTTGACTTCTTCTTCTGCTGCTCGGCTGCGTACTCCGCCTCTTCATCGACCATCTCGTCGTCCTCGCCATCTGGTGCGTCATCGTCGCCGCCGTCTGCACCAAAGTCCTTCTCGAGATCGGCAAGGTCATCGTTTGCGTCGAAGCCGCCTTCTGACCCTGAGTCGGCAAAATCTGCCAGCAACTCCTGCTCGAGCGTCGCCATGTTGAGCTTGACTTGTTGGTCTCGTGTAACTCTTTCTCAAGCCTGGAGACTTGCTTTCGGGCGCGCGGGAGCTCGAAACCCTCACACTACTAGCGCGCGCGGCTCGAGTTATTCGAGAAGTAAAAGAAAGTCCTGCGCTTATTCGACAGATTCTCGTGGACGCGTTGGCGACAAAAGCGAGTGAGTGATGGTTGATGTTGTCGCAACAAAAAAAGTCGCGGGGAAGGTTGCTTTCAGTTTTAGAGTGCAGTTAAGTTAGTTAGTTTCGCGGCAGCGCATGGATGGTCGCGCCAAGATCTTCCGCCTCCGACGACCGACGACCCTAGCCAACCTCCGCCCATTCGCGACTTTGCGAACTTTCTACAAAAGCTCGCGGCGTCGGCGTCGTCCAACCTGACCTCAATACCCAACTAATTCGATACCCACGACGCTCGTCGTCGAACACTTCCTACCACTGCTAGGAGTAGCCCCCGATCGCAACCTCAGCGGGCGTAAAATAATACCCACCAAAAAAGCCATCCACCGCATACTTCTTCACCTCCACATTCACCCATCATGGACAGCTCATCACGAGGCCCACCGAGGGTCAAGAACAAGGCCGCGGCGCCCATCCAAATCAGCGCCGAGCAGCTGCTCCGCGAGGCCGTCGACCGCACAGATGAGAAGCTCAAGGCGCCTACGCAGCGGTTCGCGGACCTGGAAGAGCTGCACGAGTACCAGGGCCGCAAGCGCAAGGAGTTTGAAGATTATGTGCGGAGGAACAGGATAAGTATGTATCTTGATTCCACTATAGACTATCTATGAAGTGTGCAAGTTTGCTAATTACAATGCGTGTGGAACAGATATGAACAATTGGACACGATACGCACAGTTCGAACTCGACCAGAAGGAGTACCGGCGCGCGCGATCGATCTTCGAGAGGGCCCTGGATGTCGACTCCACGTCGGTGGTGCTCTGGATCCGGTACATCGAGGCGGAGATCAAGACGCGGAACATCAACCATGCGCGGAACCTGCTCGACAGAGCGGTCACGCTGCTGCCCAGGGTGGACAAACTGTGGTACAAGTATGTCTTCATGGAGGAGACGCTGTCGAACGTGGAGGGAGCGAGGTCCGTATTCGAGCGGTGGATGCAGTGGGAGCCGTCGGAGGATGCGTGGTCTGCGTACATCAAGATGGAGAAGAGGCACGGGGAGTTCGAGCGGGCGAGGGCCATCTTCGAGCGCTTCACGGTGGTGCACCCGGAGCCCAAGAACTGGATCAAATGGGCCAAATTCGAAGAGGAGAACGGCACGAGCGACCTTGTCCGTGACGTCTTCGGTACCGCGGTCGAGACGCTGGGCGACGACTTCATGGACGAGAAGCTCTTCATGGCGTACGCCAAATTCGAAGCCCGGCTCAAGGAGGTCGAGCGCGCGCGAGCCATCTACAAATTCGCCCTGGACCGCATGCCGCGCGCCAAATCCGCCAACCTCCACAAAGCCTTCACAACCTTCGAGAAGCAATACGGCGACCGGGACGGCATCGAAGACGTCATCCTATCCAAGCGCCGCGTGCACTACGAAGAGCAAGTCAAAGAGAACTCCAAAAACTACGACGCCTGGATCGACTTCGCGCGCCTCGAAGAGACATCCGGCAACACGGACCGCGTGCGCGACGTCTACGAGCGCGCGATCGCGCAGATCCCACCCACGCAGGAGAAGCGCCACTGGCGCCGCTACATCTACCTCTGGCTCTTCTACGCCGTGTACGAGGAGACGGTGTCGCGGGACGTCGAGCGCACCCGCCAGATCTACACCGAATGCATCAAGCTGCTCCCGCACAAGCGCTTCACCTTCGCGAAGCTCTGGCTCATGGCCGCGCACTTCGAAGTCCGACAGGGGCGGCTCACGGCCGCGCGGAAGCTCCTCGGACAATCCATCGGCATGTGCCCGAAAGACAAGCTGTTCAAAGGCTACATCGACCTCGAGAAGAAGCTCTTCGAGTTCACACGCTGCCGCACGCTCTACACAAAGTACCTCGAGTGGAACCCGAGCACCTCGCAGTCGTGGATCGCGTTCGCGGAGCTCGAGCGCGGCCTCGACGACCTGCCCCGCGCCCGCGCCATCTACGAACTCGCCGTCGACGAGCCCCAGCTCGACATGCCGGAGCTCGTATGGAAGTCCTTCATCGACTTCGAAGAGGAGGAGGGCGAGTACGAGAGGACGCGCGCGCTGTACGCACGCCTGCTCGACAAGACGGATCACGTCAAGGTCTGGATTAGCTGGGCGCAGTTCGAGATCGGCGCCCCGGATGCGAATCCCACCGAAGAGGCTGTCGACGACGAGGAGGACAGGCCGGTCAGCGAGGAGGCGAAGGCGAGGGCGCGTGCTATCTTCGAGCGCGCGCACAAGGTGATGAAGGACAAGGACCTCAAGGAGGAGCGTGTCGCGCTGCTGAGCGCGTGGAAGTCGTTCGAGACGACGCATGGCAGCGCGGAGGACATCGAGAAGATCGACAAGCAGATGCCCAGGAAGGTCAAGAAGAGGAGGAAGCTCGACGACGACAGCTTCGAGGAGTACATGGAGTACGTGTTCCCCGCCGACGACGCGAGCGCTGCCAACCTCGCGAAGTTCATGGCGAATGCGTACCAGTGGAAGGCTGCGCAGGACCAGAATGGGGATTCGTGAACTATGGCTCTGGTTTGATGTCTATTCGTTTTTGGCTCTGCGCGTCGCTGTGCTCTGCCCTGTACTGCACTCCTTAGTTTTTTTTCACGGATGGCAAAGGCAGGAGGGGGAGCAAAACAATTCTTTCGTACATCGGTTGAGATGTAGTTGGGAAGCACAGGATGGAACAAAATTCCCAATTGTACAGTATTACCATTTGGTGCGGTGCTCAATCGTTCACTGAATCTACCAATGTTCCTACTATTGAGCAAAAAAATCAACTATAGTGTAACATACCCATGTTTCGCAACATGAATAGCCCGACCCATCTTTTTTATATTGCATGTTTCCCCCGAGATCTTGGGTGCTAGGTCGTCCTTTGCAACACGCTGTTATCTTCTGTCATTATGCAAAAGGTCTTTTTATTGGATGGGGGGCAGATCTCCCCTATCTATCGATGATACAATCTGAGGTCAGTCGATTCGAGTGCAACCGCAGCAATCAAGTTCCTGGGCACCGGCTGATTGCGAATGTTGATCCGAACACGATTGACAGGTCGAGTGGTGCTGCACCGAGAGGTCAAGCAAGGGGATGCCCGTTGTCGGAGATGCTCCCAGCAAGCAGAGCCACGTACGCTCTACGGTCTTACATGTAGTCATTTCTCATTCGTTGCAGCCGGGTGCTATGATTGTCTCGTGGCGGACGGGGAACGGGAAGGAGAAGTGGCTGTCTAAGCGAAGCCCAGAAGCGAGACGACTGTACATGATCAACGTCGCTCCGCATACCTCAGTCTTACTTCAGTCGTTCGCACATGTAACATTGTCTGGTAGCCAAACGTCCTGGGGGTTAGCTGGTGCGCCAGCATCTGAAACGTAAAAGTTTGTGCTCCCGTGGGATGGAGTGGGATGTATTGCAGATGTGCACCCCGAGAGAAGCCGAAGAAATGCATGTAGTCTTTTTCCCGTCCTGGACCGTCTCCCCGGTACTGCTGCCGTCGTCCAGGTATGTTCCTTCGATATCATCATTGGCCAAAGTGACGCGATAACGCACATGGCGGGCCAAACTGATAGGGTGGCCAATCCGGGATGTTCTATAAACAAGTCACAGAGTCGCACCTACGAGGCAGCACTGCAGATAGTTTTTACTCCCGTACTCCCCTTCTATCACTCAACCCGAATCCTTTGGTCTCACAACTGCGTCGCCTTCCAGGACTTCACTAATCTTGCGACCATTAGCTCCTGGCTGGGAGAGTGTTGGCTGGCGGGGCAGGGTCATTGTTATCGCGATCGAGGCTGCGCGGGGTATATCAATCCGAGACCAGATCGGTTACAGTGGCCCATACAAAAAGAACGACGGCCTCTCCCGGGGTTTATAATTGTTGATTTTCCACCTTGGAATAACTCCAAAGAGCCTCTTTTGAAGTCAATTGTACTAGCAGCACTTTTCTCGACATGACGAAACCGCATGTGTTGCTACTCGGAGAGATTCTACGGTGAGTACTGCAATATCTCATCTACACCTGGCGAAGGCTCAACCCAGATGGCACCTGGATAATGCCATACGGATTCACTCGTCTTCGGTTGCAGTCTTGATACAGAGAGGGAAAAATCGGAAAGGTTGTTCTCGTTCTTATTCTGCATAGTGCACACGAAGCTTGGGAATCGCTTTCATCGTTGGCCGAAATCGTCAGTCCCAAAGCCCAGGACCGCACCGAATTCCTCGAGGAATGTCGTAACGGTGCATTTGACAAAGTTCTGGTGATTTATCGGACGTTCGAGAGCGTCGCACTGACTGGCTGCTTCGACGAGGAGCTTGTGCGTACGCTACCGGATAGTGTACAATTCATCTGTCATAACGTAAGTGAATAACTTTTATACATGAGCCGGGGTCTTTCCCATCCGGTCACACCCTGCATACGAACTTGCATGGCCGAGCTGCATCTGCTCGCTTCGGGGTGTGTCTGCGTCAATCGCCTGTCTGATCGCTGGTCCTAGTATGTTCAATCAAACGATTAGCCTGATAACTCGGCTTCTCTTTCTCATAGCTGCCCTGTTATACCTAGGACTCAGTTCAGTGCACCTTCATGCCTAGTAGTCGGCGACCGCCCAACGTCACTGGGACAATCCTAGATATGAGAAAGTTAAAGCCCCATATGCTGTAAATGGTTCACTCTTGGAGGGCGGGAGACCTATAGAGCCTTGTTCGAATGGCATATGCCACTGCCCAGAGATCAGAGTCGATACTCCCAAGAATGTAACAGGAAATTGAGAAGCTGGTAGACTCATGTGTCATCGTTCCATCGATGGGTCATTGCCGATGTCCAGACTACTAATTGTGTCGAATACAGGGCGCAGGTTACGACCAAATAGACATCTCTGCTTGCACTGCACGAGGGATTCGGGTCTCGAACACGCCGACCGCCGTCAACGATTCGACCGCCGATTTGAACCTATTCTTGATCCTTGGTGCTCTCCGAGGGTTCAATGCTTCGATGATTTCATTACGGGAAGGCAAATGGAGGGGATATCCGCCACCGCCGCCAGGCCACGATCCTACTGGCAAGATCCTAGGGATATTGGGCATGGGAGGCATTGGCAGGAATCTCAAGAAAAAGGCTGAAGCATTCTCCATGAAAGTCATCTACCACAACAGGAATAAGCTCGACGGAGACCTGGCGGGAGGTGCAGAATACGTCAGCTTCGAGGAGCTTTTGAAGAAGAGTGATATCATCAGTCTCAACCTGCCCCTGAATGTAAGTCAGCTGAAGAAGGCTTGTACGTGTCTTTAGGCAGCGTTGTCGGATTAAGGGCAGCCGTCCACGGTCTGCTTTCATATTGAACCCATTAGGGCCCGACACTTGTTTTGTTTGATCTTCCGAACGGTCGATCCAGAACAGAGCTCCTTGGATGCCCATATGGAATACCTCCGTCTTAGAAACTCGATTCACTTAGCTGATTTGAACTAGGAAGAGACTCGACACAAAATATCGGTGCACGAACTTGCGATGATGAAGAAAGGTGTTGTAATCGTTAATACAGCACGGGGTGCGGTCATTGATGAGAAGGCTCTAGTCAATGCGCTGGATCGGGGACACGTCGCATCCGTTGGTTTGGATGTGTACGAGAATGAGCCAGAGGTACATCCGGGGCTAGTGGCCAACCCCAATGTACTGCTCGTCCCGCACTTAGGCACATACACTGTGGAGGTAAGTCGATGTATCTCTTTGATCCAGACACCAGAAGTCAGCGTCGGCAAGTCAGCTGTTCCGCAGCCGCCAGCAACGAAGTGCTAGTTACATGCTGCGGGAGCTCTGGGTATTGCACCAATGATGATGCCAGTCGATGTGCCCCCAGACGAGTTGTAGATTGCGCAGATTGTAGTGGTAGAGCGTTGTTGGAGAGTACAACAGTTGAGTGTTGAAGTGGCCTGGACCAAGCCAGCTGCTCGCGCCTTCCTGATTCAACGCTCGCACATGCCACAAATGAGCCGCATAACAGAAGGAAGAACAACGAACGACGCAATGCTAACCATCTGTGGTAGACCCAAAGAGCAATGGAGGACTGGAACATCTCGAATGTAAGGTCTGTACTGGAATCCGGCGCATTGAGGAACGTGGTACCGGAGCAAATTGACCTCTGAGACCCTCGGGGTGGGCGCAAGAGCCAGGCGTTCGCATCGCAACGTCAAGGGCACACAAGTATTTCCTTTTCTATGATTAGACATGGTAACCTGGTGATGAGAGGAAATTGAGAAGTAGTTGAATATTGCAAAGCAATCTTCTGTGCTGCATGAACAAAAGGTGATGCAAGCAATACTGACGATCTCGACTTGGCGATGCTGCAACCTTGTTGGCCATATGACATGTTGAATATCAGATTGCGCCGACCGACACGGCTGAACGCTGAAGCATTTCAAATGCCAATAGTACGAGGCATATCTGACCACTTAGTGGGTTGAAGCCTGTCCTAGGGGTGATCCTACAACAAGGAACCCATCGCACGAGGCAATATGGCTTGACTTTTGCGAGATCTGAACCGCGGGCGATGACGTCCGCAGCTGATGCAGAACATCAAGCACGCTGTTAGTTCTCACATGTTTTTCGTTCCGCCTGAACTCGCCTTCCGACGAAGCTGCAGATGCAGGAGACTTCTTGGCGTCGAACGCCTCGAGGGTACAGATGTAAGCAACCGCAAATGGCTTCGCGTAGAGCAAAACTTGCTCGTTGTTGGCGACGGGCGCGCTCAACAAGCAACATAGGTAATCGTGGAGCGAGCGTTCACTTGTCCACAGACGGTTAAGAAGAAACCTAGGACACCGCGTACGGGGCTAATGCCAATACGAATGAGTACGGGGCAGACACTATTCAGGCTGCGCGTGAATGGAGTCAACAAGACCAAAAGAAGTCAAGAGGTCCGTATGGGGCAGACCGAACCCATGCATCCGTGATACCGGAATTATTGGTTCGAGACAGATGTGAGGGCGATGTACAGTGTACATGTACGTAGAGATGCCCGGCATGAGCGAGCGAGATATGTGCTTGTAAACGTTCCGGGTGAGTGAGCAATAGTTCGAGTTGATCGCCGTTGTTCGTGGTGGTGTCAGATCGGGCGCCAGCCAGCCTCGGAGTTCAATTCAATGTCATCTCCTAGGTAGTCCTGCTAATGAATTGGCTAGGGTCTACCACACTCATTCGCCGTGACTGCATACACCGTCAACGATACAGGCTAGCCTCCAACTTAACGAAAGAAGCATGGGCAAACGTTCTCGAAGTCATCCCGCATGCCTTCCCTCTCAAGGGAACCCCTGCGACTATTTGGCGAGAACCTTTTCCACGCTGTGAGATTGAGAGTTGCAAGAACTACACTGGAAGAGTGCCAGTCCATGCTGAATTCGGAGGCAACTTGAAGCCGTCTTGCCGTCTTTAACACGTGCGTTAACCAGAGGGGAGTTGGCAGTGCACTATTGGAAAGAAGCAGCTAATAAATCAAGGTTTCATAAGTTCTGCTGCCGCTACATCGTGTCGCCCATATTAGATCATTCATTCCAATTTTTAAACACTCTAGGGGGCAGTCCGAGCGTGCTGACCGTTGCACGTACTACGCACTGAATGCGCGACTTACTGTCGTCGGTAGTTAATGGTCTTTGACAGAGATTTTGTATAGCAAGAGTGGACTGTATGAATCCACAATCGTAAGGTAAATGGAGCGGACCGATAGCCATGTTCGCCTCGTCTCGCCTCTTCTCGCCTTTTCTCGCCTCGAGTGAGTCGCTGACACCAGGCAGACCCCTTCCAAGCTGAGATCGCTTCCGCACCATGGCTAGCACTGTAGGGCTGAGAGATTCTGGGGTTCGCCAAAGGGTTGAGGCGGGGATCTCGTCAATGAATAGTTCCCAGCAGGCCATCGATCGCTACAGTTCTGCGCCTACCCGAACAATGCATTCGAAGGCTGATTGTCGCTGGCTAATCGTTTCTGCTAATTGCACCAGACTTGTCACACTTGCCGTCACGCAACGGTAACGGCCATGATCACGGCTCCAACGGCAGTACATTTACATCTGCCTTTATCCGTTGACAGCCTCTGGTAACACAAGTTGCCTCGTCGTCAGGCGTGGGCTTGACGCAGAGCTGTGCTGCCTGTTGGGTGAGAAAGAGAGAGACATACGCGCACAGGTACTCCGTACATCGGTATGCTTCGCCGAAATACTACCTCATTCGCTAGGCTTGCCCCTGTTCACAGTCTGGATTGTGCTATTCAATTGCGGCGAAGAGCCGCGAGAGTGATTGTTGTCATTGATGGGGGGTTTGAGCCCACTTACGGGTTCTTCTCCTTCGACTCCGATGTAGCCCGCGGGTAAATCATGGTGCAACTGTGCAGCTCGCAAATTTACCTCGTCCTGTCAGCCCAGCGGGCATGGGCATGGTGCTCATAGATGCAAGACAGTGGTGACAATTCTCGTAGCTGAAGCATGCGTTGCTACCCAGACCGATCCAGTGGATAGCCGGGCCGGTCTAGGACCATGGGTAACAGCCCCTAGAAGGGTGGTGTGCCTCTTTGCCTTGCCCTCTACTCGCTCGAGACGCGTCGTGACATCAGGCACTTTATTTTTAAGCTGAGAGAGAGGAAGTGTGCTCCGTGTCGGTGGAGAGGAAGACGGCTGAGAGAGACGAAGAGAAGGCCCAGAAGGAGCGTTGTTGATATTGGATGAACCCCTACACCTTACCATGTACATGCGTACATACATAATACAGACGGTACATACAGTACAGAGACTGCGTACATACAGTACATATGTGTGTATGTATGTATGTATGTATGTATGTATGTATGTATATGTATGTACGTTCCTGCGGGTTGGGCAGAGGCGAGCTGGGTAGGCAGGCAGGCAGGCATCCAAGCGAGCGAGCGAGCGAGCCATGGCCCAGGTGCGGACTCGGCACCGGACTTGGTCATCTGTGGGTATGGATATATAATTGCAGGATTATAGAATAGCTCACGGCTTCGGAATTATAGCCTGGCAGGTCATCTAACGGAATCAGTGCCCTCCCGGCCCACTCACTACGAATTGCGTATGTGTATGCGCGAGAGGATGAAGTGAGAAGCATGTGCATGCGTGATGGAGAGTAAGGATAGACGAGATTGCAGTTCCGGATCGGGCCAGGGCCGGACACGTCGTGGATGCAGTCTGCAGTTGTCCGCCTGGCTGCATGATCTTGTCATTGGGCAACGGTGCGTGCGTGTGAGTGTTTGGTCTTTGGATCAGTTCGATTGGGAGAGGGGAGGGGGTTGGGTTAGTTGTTGGATTGGTCGACTAGGGAGGGTAAAAGAGAACTTCAAGTCTCAGCAGGTTGGGGAGAGGTTCAGAGATCGAATGAATTACGACTGCAGATGTAGATGGACGTATTCGGAGTGATTTGATATACTGCACCAAGTAATTGAAGTGCGTGAACGCGAATACGGCGTTCTGTGTATGTACAAGTAGCAGCGGAGGAACAGAGGGTAGGCCAACAAGAAGGAAGGAAAGGCGAACGGCCAACAGGCATGCCAGCAAGACGATGCAAGAAGATGCAGGAAGATGCAGGCCATAGGCCACAGGCGGGCCACGCAGGAGAGAAAGAAGACAATGGCATCGCATCAGCCTCTATTGGTATAGGATGAGATGGCACAGTTGGAGAGGCGAGGTGGTGAGCGTTGAGGGTGGTATCATTGTGGGACTAACCGTATCGGGTAACATGCCAAGGACGTTACCTCTTTTCAACGACTTTTCACGATTTCCCTTCCCTTCCGTTCTTCCACCACTCACACCCACACACTCTCTTACTCTCCCTCATACAATACATCTCTCACCATTTACCTTTACCTTTCCATCCTTCATCCTTCGAACCTTTCACCGTTCATCTTTTCGCCTTGTCGAACTCATTGGGAACAAACATACATCCATCCCATCTTGAATTGGGAATTCATCCCTGCATCCATCACCAACCAGAAAAGACTTATTCTGCTTGAAGGTTGTTTTTTCTGTTGTTCAACCTACCCAGTTCAGTCAGGGTTGGGGGACGACCATTACTCTTTGACACCCCTACAAGTACCCTCTCGTCTCTCCCTCGGTTGCGCGTGCGCGCGTGGAGAGCAACGGGAAGTCCAGCGGCGGGCTTGTATTAGGCGAGTTGTTAGGTATGTTGTGCCTTTTGGGGGGCGGAAGGGGGGTGTGACCCCCTCCTCTCGTCCCGCTGTTCTGCATTCATCCATCCACCCATCCATTCACCCATTCACACACACACCATCATCTCATCTTCTATTTCCTTCATACGCTATTACACCATACACACATACACACACACACGCACACACGCACACACAAACCATGCACCCATGTACAGTAATTACAGGACAGTTGCGCCGAATGCTCCAAGTTCCTTTGGCGCATAACATGATGCATGTTGAAGCGGCTCGCGGCACGATCCAGGGCATGTTTGGCGTTGGTCTCTCTGAAGTACTCGGTACCTTCTACGAAGAGTTTAGAGGCAAACCATAAGCTAGTGTATACCTAGCCAGTTGTGCCAGTCCAGTCCTCCATAGAACCAGCCCCAGCAGTGCCAGCCAGCAGCCAGCATCCAGCATCCAGCATCCAGCATATCGTGTATTATTGTTGTTGTTGTTGTTGTCTCTGAACAGCATAAGTTCAGCAAGTCAACAAGAAGAATAATGAATGGACCGGCCAAACTGCTGGTGTTGTCTTGGTTTTCTTTTTTGGGGGTGGGACCTTTTATTCTTCCCTAGGCTTCAATCATGGGCCTGTCCTGTCTGTCCCATCTTCCTATCCCCAACTCAACTCACCTTTACTACCAATTACTTCTCCCCAATAATCGTCAATCCTCCCAAAAAGCTTGGACGAGATTGATTGATTTGATCCCTTGAACCTCTTTTTCCCTAATTCTTCCTGTCTCTTTCTCTTTCCCTTCCCCTGCGCCGCCTCTTCTCTTTTATCACGCTCACGCACCACCACCATCACGCAGCCTTGGACGCTACTTTGCCTTAGGTACACAGTACATGATCCCCATCCATCCATACACCCACACCCACACCCACCACCCACCCACACTCCTCTTAGTCTTAGTTCTCTTTTTCCCTCTTCAACTTTTCTTTCCTTTTCTTCATCTTTTTCCCTCTCCGACTTACTCTCACTCACTACCGACTCCCTCCCCCCCTACCCTTCTTGTCGCAAAAAAAAAAAAACCTCCCCTTTCGCCTAATCATAACTACTATCGTTGCTTTGTTACACTTCTGACCATACCATCTCGCAGGAAGCGTCTGTCTTTTACCGCGCTACAGTTTAGACGATTTCGCTTGTGCCCTGCCGAGGTAGGGAGGGAGGAACCCCCTTGCGCGCCGCCGCCGCCAACGCCGCCCATTTTTTTACTTCCTACCGACCAACTTTGCCTACCAAGGTCCAATACCAACCTACCCTCGTACCCTGGGCACCCTACTTACAGGCTACCGCATATCGACACTCTGCAAGATACCGCTAGAGATACTTTTGCCTTGCCTATCCTGCCCGTGTCCTGACTCCTGCTTGTCCTACCTACCTGCACTCACCTCTCCGTCTGACCTTGCTGCTCGTTGCTGCTGCTGCTGCTGCTGCTGCTGCTGCGCCGCTGGTGGTCACTCGCTCACTTGTACATTCTAGGGCAAGCTATTCAAGCTTTCTCGCTTGCTACCTTCCCCCCTCCCCCAATCCAACCAACCATCCTACCAGCTCTCATCTGATCCCAACCCCAGTGCTGCTTCCTGTCGTGTTCTTCGCGCTCCGCGAACCTACTCTCCAACATCCTCTTTTTCTCTGGTGACGCTCCAGAGGGAAACGAGGACAGGAGGCCTACTCCCTACCGCCGGACTCTGCGCGATCCGCATGTCACACGATTTTTCCACCAAAGCGCACAGCATCGCTGCACCCTTCTCCCCAGCTCCCTCTCACTACTCGCAATCCACAATGGCGGATCAGAGCACGCAGCAGTCCAGACCAAACTCCTACCCTTCGCCGCATTCCTATCCATCGCCCTCAATGCAACCTACCTATACCTACCCTCCTCCCCAGCTCGGTCAGGCGAATCCTGAGCCGTACAGAGGCTCGCCGCAGGGCTCGAACATGTCCCTCCCTCCTCTGAATCTACCTCCCATACGCGGTTTGCAGGATGGCCAGTCGCAACAGCCTCCCCAACCTCAACATGGCCAACAGCCCATGGGCTCTCCGTTACCGCCGCCGCCGCATGGCATGGCTCAATACTACCCCCATGGACACGCCCCGCCGCCAGGCCAATCGATGCCAATGGCTGGAGGACTTCATCAGATACGATATCCACTGCCTCCTCAGGCCGATCAACGGATACTTTCGGGCGGGCGCCACAAGAAGGAGATCAAGCGTCGCACAAAGACTGGCTGCTTAACCTGTCGGAAAAGGAGAATAAAGGTAAGGCGACCGTCTCAATCGGCATGCGCTCTTTACGCGAAATGCGATCCTGGGACGTGAAGGCTCGAGGTTACGAGATCCAGCTTGCTGGGAATTACTTTCAACCGAGAGGCACTATCAAGCGAGACCCAAACAACCTCCACCCGTTCCTTGTCCCAAACCTTGTGAAAATCATCACTGACGATTTATTTTTGTGTAGTGCGACGAAGGACATCCCACTTGTCGCAATTGCCAGAAGAGCAAGCGCGAATGTCTTGGCTACGACCCGATCTTTAAGCAACAACCGGGTCCTGCGACGATACAGCCAGCTCCCAACGCGGCACCTCACCACTCCCCCGTTCAGGCTTCTGCTCCTCCATCTACTGCCGCGTACGCTGGACAGGTTCCTCAGGGTTACGCTCCTGCCGCCTCTGCTGGTTACGCGCCGCCACCTGCGAGTGGATCGGGTCATCCCCACGAGAATTTTGGAGGTTCTGCCATTGATCCTGCTCTCGCCGCCGATCCGAACATGCACGGCGGGCAGGCTCCTTATAACGGTGCTCATGCCTTGAATCCTGTATTGAGGGGTTTGAATAGTCCGAATCAGTATCCCGGAGGGCCAGAGGCTCCTCTTACGAAAGGTACGTGTAAAAACTACTGAAGGCATTTATACCATAACAATAAGCTTATGCGCAAATAGCAAAACGCATCAGGATTAATGACGTCTTCGCAATCGCTCACCACCCTCCTCCGGACGTTCCACCTCGCGCTACCCCTATAACCCCAGAACTCGATGAAGAGCTAAAAACAATTTTTGCCAACGATTACTGCCTTGGCTTGGATGCGGTCCTCGAAACGAAATGGTTTTCAACGAACAGCAACGCGCTTACGAAGATATTGGCGGACAAGCACCTTCACGAGGAGGCAATACACTTTGTGGAAACCGTCAAGTACCGCTCTCAAAGTGCAGACATGGGCAGCATTTTCAGTCAGGAGGCCCGTTTGATTTGGCACATGCTGGGAGTCTGCAAACAAGCGCCTCCAACAACGAATGGCACGAATGGCACAACACCTCCCAGTTCCGAGAACGAGGATGTGTCACTGAAAGAAGTCCGGGCACGTTTCGACATTCTAGAAGCCCTTTTAACCAATCAGAACCTGCCAGCAAATCCAGTCCGACAGATACCGTACGGACCTGATATTCCAGAACTTAAGAAAACGGAGATTACTTTTTGGGAGGAGTTGGGTAATTTTGTGGTCAATGCCGACAACGAGTCTGCTCCCGCTGGAGCTGTTGAATACGCACTAGGGACCATGCGCAATGTTCTATCATCATTAGAGGTGCGCGATGCGATCTACTCCATCGCGATAGCACGGCACTTGGGCAATCGCATTCACGGCTTCCCCAACAGCCTTCCATCCGTGATCGACCAGAACCCGGAGAGCGAAATCAATAAGCTAACGGTCGCCATGAGCTTCATCAGCTATGAGTGCCGCAACGGTTCTCAGCAGGTGGTTGCACGCATATGCGACATGGCAATGCTCTCTTGGACAGTCAGCCGATCTTCATGATGAGTCGACCGACTCCTGTTGACGTTGCAACGGCCTAACAGATAAAGTCATACTTTGTGGCAATTACTTTAACGGTATTTTCGCGCACTTCTGGTGGAATGAGGTCCTGCTTGTGGGACAGATCCTTGTCACACGAACAATAGAGACTCATTTTCGTACCATCATGTACCACTACACTTTCGCCAGTACATCATTGCATACCTCGGAGAGGAGTTAGTTATTCTTTGTTTATTGGTTGTTTTTCATTTTCTCTCACTCAATGGCAGCCTTCCCTGGTTGCAACTTGTTTTGACATATTCCCCACAACGCTTTCTTCACTCTTTCGGACTTTTCTACATTGCAGCAGCGCGGGATGAGCATTACAGACATCCGAAAAGTCCCCACTTTTACGCGCTCACATTCGTCATGCGAGTGAGCAGATAATTTGTATTCACCTAGTACGAGAGTCACACTACGTCGAGATTTAGGATATTTCAGAATAGGATGGTTCTTCCATTCCTCAATCAGACAATTCTTCCCCCTGCTCGTATCGAAAGGACATGAACTGAATCGATTGGATCCAGCATGTCAACATTCCGACCTTCCTTGTGACCTTGGATCGATGACGTCCATGTTGATTCGCCGCTGTCTGCATGACACCGGAAAGTGATGCATGAAGCCCTAAATTGAGCCTGCGGATGTGTTCGAAACCAACGCCCAATGCAGTACAACGAAAATGGACCTGTTCGATCAGACTCACGGAGTCTGGCTGTTCACAGTCCGGTCCAGTGCCCGTCAACAAGCACAGCGTGGACGATGTTTCCACACGCGCCCGCACACGCAGTTGAGTCTCATCCCTTGTGCTGTAGAGAAGGCTGAAGAACGTTGTTGGGAGAACGGAATTAAGGTAAGAGTGCCTCCACCGGGTTTGATTTTAATCTCACAAGAGTTCCACGACAGCATCAAAGCTACCCGTAGTTGCTGTAGCCAGACGCACTTCCAATAACGTGCTGATTCCTATTACCGGTGGTGTTATCAGAACTGTACCTATGCAACGCACTATATACAACCATTTTCGCTTTGCACCCATTCTCACCGCCCTTCCAGTGCCACCAGCATTTGAATACCGATGTCGGGGCTTGTTACCACCAGTGTCCAGGAGTCGATTTGCAGAAGCTCACATTGTTGTCGCGAGTGGCAAATGTCACTTCACGGGCAGGCGCGAGGCTGAGCAACGTGACCCAGCAACCACCCGAGACGTCGCTCAGATAGTGTAAGTGTTTCCCACGGCTGCTGCTGCTGGGGGTGGGTGGGCGATACACAACGGTCGGAGAATTTCCATCTCAGAACGTGCAGCCGGGATCCGGAAGCGAGGGTGATCTGTCGCCGTCGTGATACACTCCTAGCATGTTGATTTGCATACAACCGCCCACACCACCAAGCGAGATGGGCACGACGACGATCCATTCGGAACTGATGGCGCTGTGGCCCTGAACACAAACGTGTGGGCGGGCAGCGCAGCGTACCAACCGTTCGAACCCAAGTAAACGACCTTCTTCTCGATCTGCATTTCCCGGTTCTGCAGTGCGACTCGAACGTCCCCTACTCAATGGCCAGGAAACGCGAAATTTGTACCTCCCCACACCCAAATGAAAACTCCCGAATGCATGTTACGAAATACACAGCATATGCAGAGGATACACAATGCGTCTTTTGACAACTCCGAAACGAACCGAACCCGCCCCTTGTTCGCCCCAAATCCCTCATGTCCCCTCCCCCTCCGTCTAACTAGTTTACCTGTGCTGCCAGCTTTTCCCCCCGGAAGAGAGGTGGTACGATGTGCTGTGCAGCTGCTCGGAGACAAGAAGGACAAAAGTGGGGATTTGCGCCTTTGCGTTACGCTGTACGCCGGGGGGAGGTGGGGGGGGGACACTTACATACAATACAATGTGTCGATCTTTGCATTGCATTTCTCATGGTGTCTGTCTGTCCTGTGGAGCGAGCCTCTTTGAAGGTCTGCAGCCCAACCTCCCGACTTCGACTTCATGCAGGATCCTTTGATCAAATACCGCAGTTCTTGGGATTGGCCTTGGGATTTCGATCCATTGTTTCGAACTGAATGTGCTCCTGTCGATGAATGGTAGCATTACAAGGCGACTCTTCCGACCATGCATGTCTGATTATCGCATCTGAGAACATGGAACAGGACCTTAAAGTTGTGTCGAAGATACGGAGTACATGCTAATAAACAAAAATCCATCAGACCTCATGTCTTCCCCACTGACTGACGTCCAATTCACTTCGCTCACTACGACACACACTTTGTCATCCTTCCTTGCTCTTCCATCATGTTTTGTAGCGCAGAGAGCCAGCCTTTCCAAGTTTCCTTGAAGGTGTTTATATGCCCTTGTGTACGTGAATACGCGGCGAAGTAATCTTACTTACAGTGATATCCTCTTTACAGATTCTAAGCAGGAAGATGGATTGACCAGGGAGAATGAACATCTCCCCTCTAACTTGGTCTGTCTGTCTGTACTATAGTCTATAATATAAGGACTATCCTTAACAAAAGGTAGAGAAAGGAAGCTCTTGTCTGTAGATGCTAAATGTATTTACTTCTAAAGTGCGTGTTTTTAAAATAAAGTGGTAAAGGTGAAGATGATGGTGAAGATAGTGGTGAAGATGGTAGTGAACGGTATAGTGAACAAAGTAAGGTTAAAGTGAGGTGAAGTAAGGTAAAGTAAGGTGAAGTGAGGTGGAAGTGAAGTGAAGTGAACGTGAAGTGAACGTGAAGTGAACGGGATGGTCAAGTAAAGTGAATAGGATGGTTAAGTGAAGTGAAGTGAACAGAGTGAAGTCAGGTGAAGTGAAGTGAAGTGAAGTAAAGTGGAAGTAGAAGTGAAGTAAAGTAAAGCAAGGCAAGGCAAGGCAATGTAAAGTGAAGTAAAGTGAAGTAAAGATAATAGTAAGGTGAAGATAATAAAGAAACTAAACATGTTAGTGAAGGTGTTATGTAGTGTTTATTGTTTACCTATCTATATATACAGAGTACTCTCTATCTCTTATCCTCACCCCTATAAGGGAATGTAGCAGTAGGAACAGAAGTGCAGTGATAGCCATGCTCAAATAATTGCCCATCGCTCTTTTCATAGCAGGTCTTCCTCATCCACATGTTCGCCTCTCCTGTTGGCGAGGTACACGCGACCGCTCTCGTAGACGCCCAGGTACAATCCGCTCCCGACGAACGTCCATACGGCTCTCAGCGCGCCACCCCTCCAGAGTCCCTTGAAGCCCTTCTCCCGCATGATTTCCTTGCCAATGCGCCATGCACTGCTACTGCTGCTCTTTTTCTGTCCGCTTGCGACAGGGTTGAGGTTCTCGGCAGCGGCTTTCAACGTGCCTTTGCCCTTTTCTACAGACTTTCCAAATGCGTCAACAAGACCGTTGCTCTTGGGTTGAGATAACGACTTAGCAGCCTCGTGCGCTGCGTCGTCCGCTGCAGACAGCATGATCCTCGTCTTGACGACATCAATTGGCGTTGTGACGACCGCCGCGACCGCACCCGCAGACCCGGCGCTCACAGCTGTGATGATTCCACTTTCCAAGATCGTGCCCGTCGCGAGGCCCTCCCTAGCCCTGTACTCCTTGATCGCAAGCTTCATTTTCTCGAACATGGGGAATTGCAGCGCAGTGAAGGGCAAGTTGCGTCCGGCCAGCGCCGTGTATCCGCGCCACAGCGCCGTCGGGTTCGAGCGAAACTTCTTGAGCGTCTGGAGCGTGGCGTTGGTGGGAGACCCGGCTTTCACCATCTGTGCGTTCTGCTTGATCACCTCCGCGGGCGTTAGGATGGCGCAGGAGACGAGCTCGGCGATCGACGAGGCTGTCGAGTGAATGATGGGCGCGGGAATGAGGCCTGCATTGCTGCTACTGTGTGCGGACGGTGGGTTGAGGTAGGTTAGGAGCGATTTGGTCTGCTCGTATGTGGTGAAGAATGCTCCTGCTGGGGGTGGTTGTGAGTGTTTGGGTCGGAAATGGACGAGGTGCGGGATGGTGGGATTGGGTTGGGATAAATCAGGGAGTGTTCGGGAGAGCTGATTGAAGCTTCTTTGAGGCTCTCAAGGTATACGTACAGGATGGCAATGTTGCTATGATGACGCTGAAGAGGCCTTGGTAGAGACCGCGGAAGAGCGCGGGCTTGGGCGCCTGTGTCGTGGGATTGACATAGTAGCGGTAGTAATTGGGAGACTGGAAGCGCGTCTTCAGGGTATCGAGAGGATATACGAGCAGATCGACCGAGAAAGCTGCGAATGCGCCCGCCTGGAGAAGAGGTTGGTTAACTCATTGTACTCGAATTGTTGTCGAAATTATCAATTCGTTTTCATCCCACCGAGCAAAGCTTCCCCACCACCAAAAAGGTACACTGAGTAGCTAGTCGCGTGTTCGATTACGCTTAGAATGTAGCGGTAATGCAACGGACAACAACGAAAACAACAGCAACAGCTTGCAAGATGGGATAATATCAATTGGAGGTGGGACGTACGATGAGGATGTCCGAACTCGTGTTACCGGACATGGACATATGGGGAGGCGAGCGGATCCTTCGCGGGAGTGACGACGGAAAGATACATGGTTTTGTGAAGTGTGAGGGCCGTGCCGTGGATTATATGAGAGGGAAAATGGCAAAAGGCCCGCCAGTGGTTCGCGAATTTTCTGGCTGGGCCCGACTATCGGAACTAGCACGGATGCGGTCTCACGTGCGTCATTCGGATTGGTCGATCCTTCTTTATCAGATCACTAGATAACCTTCTTTGCACTCTACCTGCTCGTCACCTCGTATCGTATGAGGTACTTATTACTCTATAAGTATCTGCTACTCCGTGTATATTACACATAACACCGAAGGGTGCAGTAGCTATACTCCCTACATGCCCCTTGTCATCCTATACAAGGCTTTAGTCCCGGCCATTCTTCTCTTCGTCCTTACGGTAGAAAAAACTGAACGTCTTTCATGTGCTCGGCTAAGCTGTACCCTCGCCTACGAGGATGATATCCCACTACTATGGGTCCATAAATGCTAATCTGGACATCCACTGCAGCAGTCGTGGCTCCGTGGAGCTGTCGACCTTCTCGGCTGTCTGCATGCATATTCTCCTCTCCCCCTCATGCTCTCCTCTTCCCTTCCCTTCAGTCTGCGACTCTGCTGTATAATTCGCTCTCTCTTGGCCTTGGCCTTCGTCCTTCAGGCCGCCCAAATAAACATCGAATGATCTCCTGTACCTAGCCCAAAATGGTAATCGGTGTTCTCCCAGGCTTTCGACATTCCAATCATCAAAACCACCTGGTCGACCTGTCCTGGGAGTAAAAGTCGTTCAACGAATGAGGTGAGATCGGACGCGAGCTCTCTGGTCGCCTGTGCCGAACTTTGACGTCCTTCTTGTAGAACAGTTTCCGGTTGTTCATCAGGCGTTTGAACTCCAAGTGTATGTCCGTTGCATCGATGCCCCCGACCACAACATCAGATAGTTTGCGGTCGCGGATATCAATCTTCTTGTAGCGAAGCGAAAACTTGCATATGTCCGAGAAGTGGACCCCATCCCTCGGCCGGAGTAGCGCTCCGAGGGTGGGAAGGGCGATCAGCGAGTCGGAACCTAGATCTCCCCGCTGTCGGCGGAAAATACCCGGTATGGTCTTGCGGAGAGTATCTGGCCTGACGAGACTAAGCGCGGATATCATCAAACGGTCCTCAATCCACTGCGCGTGATCTTGCTTTAGTAGGCGGCTGGGTGCGTACTTCTTGACGTCCTCTGGGGTCAGCATCCGGAGAACCAGATCGTCCTGTGTCTTGTTCTCAATCGTGATCCAGAATCGGTTGTCGAAGAGCTTCCAGTTGTCCGGCGTGTTACGAATGAGTGTAGATGGTGGAACAACTATATGTAGCCCACTCTCCCGTTTCATTTCTTGTGTTTCAAGGGGCTGGCGTATCAATAACCATTGTGCATCTTCATGAGCTTCGGACGGTCGTGTGTCGACGTCAGTGGACGATGGCTCGTCGTGGACACGGAAACTTATGCCATGGACCGTGAAGGCACTCTTCCCTTCAACGCCCGGATCCGTTATCAGAGATGGCCAGATGTTGTCGGCTGCAGTCGCGAGCTGACTGAGCGAGTTGTTTTCCTTCGGGCTGATCAGCGCTGTTATGCGTAGTAGGAACAGGCAAGCCGTGTTTCTTGCCATAGCCTTGTCTGCATCCGTTTCGATGGGTTTCCCACCGAGGAATGCACTGTCATTTGGAAAGCGAACTTTCACGGAACCAGTCTGAAGGTCCAGCTTGATGGGAGTCGTGTCGAAGACCCGATCTGCGATGTCCTGATGCGAATCGACACGATCCTGCATGTGCTTTGAAAGACCGATCAACGCATCTTTCGATAATGCAGCCGGGAGCTTGTTATTTTGCATGATGTATCGGATTGTATTGCGGTTTGTTAGAGTCGGATCCTTGTTAGTCTTGTCTTCGACCCATGGAATACCATGTTGCTCGCATGTCGCAATGAGTCGGCTCTTCTCGAATGCAAGTAGAGGCCGCAGAATGTTGATACCGCCGTTCTCGATTGGAAGCGGCGTGTCTGGGGATGATAGTGTGGGCCGGCCGCTATGGTGGACCCCATATAGACCACTACATTCAGGAATGGACTCCTTGACCTTCATGCCTTGAAGCCCCGTCCTCCACTTCTGATCAATGAGCCTTATCACGACATTCTCCACTTGGTCGTCCAAGTGGTGGGCCACCAACAGCGACTCCGTCTTGGAATCCCTGCATGCCCGTCCGAGAGCTCGATAGCGAAGTATGCGGGCGACGGTCTCGAAACGGCTGGAGTTGTGCGGATCAACGTCCTCAGGCCAGGTAATCGGTACGATTGAGGTCTTCATATGAACTGTTCATGTTAGTGTTTGCTACCACGGAGCATGAGGATCGAATGGCTAACGTTTATTCCGCAATTGGTCTGATACCCAGTGGGCCTCTTCTGTGCTCTCGGGGCGTGCCTTGTGGTCAATGATGATCCCGTGGCATTTTGGGAAGGCAGCAGAATCGCCTCGTAACCTCGAGCAAAGCGTGGCCAGGGCCATAGAATCCACGCCACCGCTTATTGCAAGGCCTGTAGACATGTTAGCGCTCAAAGAGGTTCTTCGGAATCATGCGGTAGAGAGTATATAACGAACCGATTGTCTTCTGTGTCCTCCATGATGAACGCGGAAGACTCTTGTCTAATTCTCCCAAGAACTCTTGATCACTTATAGGTGCATCGGCAGCATTGCTGCTATACCATCTCGTTATGCATCGTCCCTTCGGGAGTGCGGAGAGGCATTCCCTCAACCTGAGCGCATGACTTCCCCACATAAACGTCGCTATAACATTGACAAAGCCCTCACCAGAAGCCTGAACAAAAGTACAAGGAAGCTCGTGAAGAACACGATCCAGGGGTAAGCAGCAGTTGCAGAGAGCCCAATTCGCCAATATCGTTTGTTCCGAGAAACGCGTTTTCGTTCCGAGGTTCACAACAGCAAAAAAGAAGCAAGCTCTCACAAACCCGCACGGGCCTCCGAATTTTCTAGACCTCCGACTCCTCCCCCATCACAAAAACATCTTTCTCCTCCATTTCGCCCGTGAACCTTCAACCCCAGTTTCCAATATCCCACATCCCAAACATCCTCTTAGACCGCTCTCTCCCCAACCCATCAATTCAAAATGGTAAGCTCTACCTATGAGCTCCTAGGCCGCCCGCCCGCACGCACATACAAGAAATGCTAACAAAGCTATTTACTACAGGCCGCCGTCCGCTCCATTCGCAGCATCGCTCCCCTCCTCGACCGCATCCTCGTCCAGCGCATCAAGGCGGACACCAAGACCGCGACCGGAATCTTCCTCCCCGAGAGCTCGGTCAAGGAGCTCAACGAGGCAAAGGTGTTGGCCGTCGGCCCCGGTGCCTTCGACAAGGAGGGCAAGAGGATCCAGCCCAGCGTCCAGCCCGGCGACAAGGTTTTGATTCCCCAGGTATGTTGGCACTCCGTGATGAAGCTGGATCTAGAGAAGGGATCTATGGGAAGGTTCAATGGCGGGGATTTCGGAGAAGCTAACGTGTGGACAGTTCGGCGGCAGCCCCATCAAGGTCGGTGAGGAGGAGTACTCTCTCTTCCGTGACCATGAGTACGTCCCCTTCATCTTCCCCCACAACTCAATCGAAAACACTAACACAAACCCACCAGGCTTCTCGCCAAGATCAACGAGTAAATGCATGTAAAATCAAGAGAACCAAAGAACTATCAAACTCCTATAAACCAAGCAAGCAAGCCCAAAAAAAAAAAAAAAAAAAGAATAATCGACCTACCTCCCCAATTGTACACTCTTATCCATCATGTAACACCACCATCCCAGCGTCCAGCTGCTACACCCTCACGCCCCCCAATGAAAATCGCCAATGTCATGACTTAAACAAACGCCCCCCACGCATCGAAAAATCGTCGGCGTTTTTGGTTTTCTGGATTGAAGCCAATTCCATCCGTGTTTCTTTATTGGAAGGCGGGGAGAACTTTTGAAACTCTATTTTATGTGCATATATTTTAACGTCGCCGGAATCGATTGATCGATCGATCGAAGCTATGAAGGAGGAAGAAGAGGAAGGAGAGTCACAGGACCACCATGTACTACTTCTTAAAACAATGAAAAAACGAAAATCTCTGCTCTGACACAATCACAATCTATCAGCCACAATGTTGTGATGATTCATAGGGTGCATATATATATAGCCACGTCTTGGAGGAGGTAAGAGGAAAAAGAAGTAAAATCTATCCCGACTTTTTGTTTTCTCTCGTTAAGGGTTAAAAGGAATCCCATCCCATCCCGTTCCATCCATACAGCCTACAAAAACAGAAAAATTACACCGGCCGCACATAAAGCGCCCCCCAGCCAGCCAGCCAGCCTCCCCCGCCAAAGCAGAAGAAGAAGGGAAGTAGAAAAAGTTCAAATCGATCCAACCAAAGACGCCACGCTCCAAAATGCCGATGTGTGTGTGATGTGATGATGCATGAAAAATTCGCGAGCCTTGCCCGACCCGGCCACTGTTCGTCGAAGCATGCGCGCGAGCGCTGACAGAAGGGAAAGGGCGGTGGCTTTGAAAAAAGGGTATCTTAGTGTATACATGCTGTTGTTGTGTGTGGGGGGAATTGTGAAGGGTTGTCGTTTTTTTAGAGGGAGAGGGAGGGACTCGGGTTGTTGTTGTTTTGCGAATGTTGCCGATGGATGGATGGGTGGGAAAGGGCAATGTTGCGGCGGGTTAAGATACACAAGTATGGGGATACAATGGTGTGGAACACCAGTGGTGAGTCTTCACTCATCATCGAAGGCCAATCATCTTCTTGGACTTGTCGTAGACGACGTAAGTGATGGACACGGCCGGTACGACTTTCAGTAGATTAGGCGTGAGGCCCTTGAAGAGACCGCGGAATCCCTCGCCCTGGATGGTTTGTCGAGTGACATCGACGATTCCGGTGTACGTCCGCGGATGCAAAACGGTGCCCTGGCTCTGGAGACGAGTTCGTAAGAGGTTGAGGGGGTAGACGGCGCTGGCTCCGAACGCTCCTGAGAAACCGCCAATGGCGGCAGTCATGAAACCTCCCGGCTCAGCGTCGCTTTCGTGGCATCCACGCCTTTTGGCATTCCGTGTGGCGATGGTTCGTTTCAGGTACTCGAAAGTGCCCAGGTCGATGGCAGCGTAGGGGAAAATGCCGACCAACCCCATCGGGAGGCCACGGTAGTATGCGAAGAAACCTCCGGTATTCCACATCTTCTTTGCCGTTGCGATGATGAGCTTGTTTCCATGCAGTCCGCCCGAGACTGTCTCGCATTGCATGCGGAACTTCAGAGTGTCGACGGGGTAGACAGCAAATTGAGAGATCATGCCTTTGCGGATAACGAGTTAGACCATGGGGTGCTGGCAATCAGAATCGCGACTAACCTCCAAATCCACCTGCCACAAATTTGGACCACGAGTGGATTTGATTTGGATCACTGTGTCCCTCGAGCTTGGCGAATGCTCGCTTTGCGGCCTCGTAGGACCCGAACTTGATTGCGGATTCGGGCATGACTTTCACGACGTTCAACCCGTTTCCTAAATGCATCCATTAGCAACTGCAACCCAAAGATACATGATCTCGGCGCTAATTACCTGCGTACAAGCTGCGCATGCCGCCAGCCTGCCACAGTTCCTTCGTGGCGTCCACGAGCGGTTTCCAGGACCTGGCGAAGGCGCGGAAGACGTTCCCAGATTTTGCGTCGGAGACGGCGTCTTGGGCGACGCTGGTCTGTGCGATGAGATAGACCTTGAGACGATCGAGGGGGGCAGTTGAAGTGCGAGACACGATTCCTGCTAGCCCTCCCGCCACGAAGTAGCCTGGATTGGGAACACAAGAAATCAGCATTGATTTTAGGCTTTGCCCGACCTCTTCCTTGAGTTCCGTGACAACAGTTCCCACGGACTGGACAGGGCGTGGCGGGCGGGTGTGAGAGACAGCGGAATGTGATACGGGAGACGGTGTGACGTGGTGCACATCAAGTAGTTCAACTTGGTCGGACGAAGGAAATGATTGCGATGGTGATTTGGCAATAGTGAAAAGTGACCCAAAGAAAATGCGAAGAAATCGTTGTGTTATACCTAGTCCATCAATTACGTCGTCACTTATCTGGACGTCGCCTTCGATGTTCATTTTCATGGTGGCAGAAAAGTAGGAAATGACCGCTTTCAGGTTTGGCGCAGTCGCGGGGATGAACAGGAGAAAGTCGCTGCAATGCATCAGTAATCGCGTTCGAATTTGTTTCATCAATTGATGCCATATTCCCCACACCAAAACACATCAATTTTGACAATATTGCCGTTGGTCTCGCGAGCATCTCCACAGCATGACAAAAACACTTACCGCCATTCGTCGAAGCTAATTACCCCATCTTGGTTGACATCCACCTCCTGGAAGAAATTGTCCAGCTTCGAATTCGGCACAGCGAGTCCAGAACGGCTGAAGGCATTCCGGAGTTCCTCCTTGGATATCTTCCCGTCGTGGTTGTGATCGATACTCTGAAAAAGAGTCAAGAGCTCCTTTTCGGTCTGCTGGACGAAGGAGCGGAATTCTGTTCGAACTCCATCAGTAAAAACGGGATACATATTGGGCCCCGGCTAGTCGCCCCCCACTGACCATTGTATTGAATGCATCCGTCTCCGTCGGCGTCGACAGTTTTCAGGATCTCGGCCAGGAGTTGATCTGCGTTTTTCAAGGCTGCGGAACTGTCTGTCAGCGGTTTGCCATTCCGTCGAGAAGGGCCAAGACTAAAGCTCACGGTGATCCAATTTTCGAAGCCCCTTCTTGAGGCCGGCTAGGTCCAGCTGCCCCTGCTTGCGCGTATCGAGCGTTGCCCACAATGCATCAACCCGCGCATCCTGGGCATTCGCGGTCTCTGTGTCCATGGTGGCTATCTGTGGTCTATCATGGCTGTGACTCGTGGTTGGGGGAGGGAATAGCGGTCGGTCGGTGCGGATGGGGTCGCGGTGGATCGTTTGGAAAAGTGATAGCGAAGGGAGAGGTGAGAAACCTTCCAAGAATGAATGGGTTGGTAGCTATTCAAGAAAAGCCCCGCTTGCGATGATGCAGTGGAGAGGTGTTGAAGTTCGGATTACACGCTATGACTAATGCAGAATAGCTGCCTCGGAAGGTGGCTACTGACCCGACCTCATCGATCGAGTTTCGACATCACGAGAATCGATCTATCCAATTGTCTGTTTCATGACCACCCGAACTGTACAGGAAGCCGTCGGTCTAGTCTGCACGTCTGTGATCTGGCGTTGTGTAACAGGGTAGTTGGTCAGGATATTGCTACAGGACGTTCGCAGGGCGAGCAGGCCCAGGCTTCCGTTTCGGGAGAGAAAGCCTCTCCTCCTTTCTCAGGTGCCCTCAGACGAGAACCGTTGAGCAAGGCATCATTCATACTATCCCAGCGGTCTGGTCAGGTCATTTGCTTAAAGTTGGATTCACGAAATTTATGCTTCGACCATATGTCTTGAGATTGCCCTGCCTGTCTGTCTGATTGATGCTGAGCCCAACCCTTTCTGTATCTCTTGTTTAATATACATATCGCACTATTGTTGACGATAGGCGTCACGTTCCATTCCCCCCTCCCCCCATAATGGCGTCCAGCTACTGGGAATCCACCCAGCGGAAGTTCTGGACCTTCTCCAAGCAGCAATTAAACACCGAGCGTCGAAAGATCGAAGACTCGGAGCGCAACCTGGTGAACATGTACCCCCTACCGGATAGGCGGTTACTGAGCATATATTTCTATCACCGTAAGACCGCAACCCCCTCAGCCCGCAACAAACACTAATACAACACCCTTCAGAACTGTCGAAAATGGCCCGGCCGCTGGGGATCCGGCAACAAGCGCTCGCGACTGCACAAGTCTACGTGCGGCGCTTCTACACCAAAGTCGAGATCCGGCGGACGAACCCAGCCCTCGTCCTCGCGACCTCCCTCTACCTCGCCTGCAAGATGGAAGAGTGCCCACAGCACATCCGGATGATCCTCGCGGAAGCCCGTCACTGCTGGGGTACGTCGTCCTCATCCTCCTCCTCCCTCTCGTCACTGCCTCATCCACGAGATGCACTCTTACTAAGACTTCACTCACCCCACCCAGATACATCCTTCAGCGAGGTGTCCAAGATCGGCGAGTGCGAGTTCACGCTGATATCGGAGATGAACTCGCAGCTGATCATCCACCACCCGTACCGCAGCCTCGCGGAGCTGCAGACGCAATTCCAGCTCACGCAGGAGGAGAACGCCCTCGCGTGGTCCATCATAAACGATCACTACCTCACAGACCTGCCGCTGCTGCATCCGCCACACGTCGTCGCTATCACGGCGCTGTTCCTCGCCGTCGTGCTGAAGCCGACGCAGGGGGGGCTGCAGATTCACGCTGCGAGCGTGTCGAGTGCGCTGCAGACGCTGGGGAGTATGCGGAGTACTGGGGGCGGTGGGGGAGGTGGTGGTGGTGCCGGGGGTGGTGGCAGCCAGAACCGCGTGCAGAAGTTGGTGGACTGGTTGGCGGAGAGTAGTGTGGATATCGAGGCCGTGGTCGAGTGCACGCAGGAGCTGATTTCGCTGTATGAGATTTGGGAGAATTATTCGGACAAGGCGTGTAAGGACTCGATTGCGAAGTTTGTGAAGTCGAGGGGGTTGGATAAGTAGATGTGTGGGGGGTTTGGATATAAATGAGAATTATTCATACGGGGGAGTTTGGGTTGTAGTGACTGTTAGATCCTAATATCAAGAACTCCTCCGTGGGTACACTACGAACTACGCATACCATTCCCTTCAAAAAAACCCACCTATGTTCATGTATGCCTGCCATCTCAACCTCTCTTAAGCAAAGAACTATTTTAGTGGGCTATACTTCAAGGGAGTGCGGTGCTTTGTATGCGTAAGAAGGATGTATAGATGGATGGATGTATTTGTTGATGTTGTAGTTAATGGATCTGTTAATGTTGTATATAGCAATGTATGAAATAATGTATGTGTAGGTAAATATGTAAATGTGTAGGTGTGTGTGTAGATATGTAGATGTATAGGTAAATGTGTGGACGTGTAGGTAGATATATAGATATGTAGATGTGTAGGTAGATGTATACAAATGTAAGCAGATGTATATAAATGTGTAGATATGTGTAGATATGTACGTAAATGTCTATGCATGTATATGTTGTTAGTCATTTGTCTGCTATGCATCTTCTAAATCTATCCCCATCACTAAAAGGCAATAAACAGATTCTCTAACCGGCCAACAAGCAAAAGAAACCATACCTTATTTCTACTCAAGCAACCATCGTCCGTCCGCGTTGAAATCACATATTTCTAGCATACTTGCGTAGTATCAGCAAAGCAAAGCGACAACCCTGACTGAATACGTCCACTCTGCGGCCAACTACCGTAACCACTACCGCGCACGCAGGTAGAACATCTCAGCACTCACCTGCATCAGCAACCTAATTACCTCGTAGATTGATGGAGAGATACGAGCAGACATCAACATCACGCCACTGTCACCCTCAACACCCAACGACGTCGACAATGACATCACAGCTCTCGATTGCAAAGATCTTACGAACCGAACGCAGCGAATACCTGATAGATTAATTCGAATCTAAGGGTCTCGCCGTCGTTCAGTCGTGCGTCCTCGTTCGTTTCCGATTGCTCATGTACTGTCAGCCAGGCTGCTAGGCCGGAGTCTGTCTAGCGAGCCACCGACCCGGCAGGGGAGGGTGTGTGGTCAAACACTGCTGGCTGGGGGAGGAATGATGTGATGGGTGACATGGGGAAAGGAAGGGGATGGGGTTGACGGTGTTCCGAGGAAAAGGAAAGGAAAAGAGTCGCGTGGTGAAGTTCATGTGTTGAGGTATACGTAACTATGGACATTGAGTTCTGCAGGGCCATATCCGACCGGAGGGTTTAAGGAGCAGTTAGGTTAGATACGGACAATGTGTGAGGTGTGAAGGAAGACGGAGGCGGAGGTGGGAAGTCCGACATTGTGTCCTCGCGGGCGAGAAGAATTGGAAGGAAGGGGATTGTAAATCTTCCTGTCGCTGGGAGGGCGAGGCTGTAGCTGTTCATTGTTTGTTGATGTTGTCGGTTTCTCCGTTGATGGCTGTATACATGCATTGGATAGCGTACATGGAGAGTGAGCAGTTGGGTATTGCATCATAACGATCAGCCTGTACTGTACCATGCGTTTTGCCAGGAATACGATGATGGCTATGATCGAATGGGGTAGTATGTTTTCCCATTGCTGTAAGGCTATGCGCTCTGTTGTCTGCCTGCGCCTCTCTGCTCTGTTCTCCCCAGATCGGAGCGCAGCGACGGCCAGCGGGCCATAGCTCTCTGCTACTGTAGGTACGCAGGACCCCACAGTTCCTGTGCGGGCATTGCTGTGCACGGCACGATCTCCATGTATGATGGATGTACGAAGGTGCGTCGCTGAGCCACCTCCGATTTCCCGGACGGGGAACGAGAGATTGCTGTGCTGAGGTCTCTTTCTCGACTTTTAATTTGGGTGCTGACCACCATCACTCGACCTACCAGCAGGAGATATTCGAGCGTGCATTAACTACAGACCTCTTACAGCCTTGTTGCTCGTGTCGCGAAACAGACGAGACGAGGCGTAGCCAGCCAGGCCAGGCCAGGCCAGGCCAGGGAAGGGATTGTCGAATTCGAAGCGGCCTCTGTTATTGATCGGCATCACTATCGTCGTTCACCCCGACAGATTGATGAATGATTAGATGGATTGTCCCCGGTCCTATCCCTACTCGTGCAGCATGCGTACATCCGCCCACCTTGTGCCACCCTCACCCCACTGGGCATGTCATTTATGAGTGAGTGAGTGAGGCAAGGCGAGGCAGGTTTTGTGCATCGGGACGTGGGGAGAGATGGGTGGAGAGGTGAGCTGATGTTGTTTAGTCAATCGAGATGCAGCGGTTGCCAAGCGCGCTGTATCTGTACGCAATATGAGGCAGGGCAAGTGTACCACAAACGAATCTGATCCAAGAGTCGTTTCGAACAGAATGGAAGCTCGAAATGATATTGGCCTTCATAGAAAGTCGCTGGTATTATTCCCACAACCCAGGCCGTTGGGGCTCGAGTGTTTTGCATTGTACTTGTACATAGAACGGCTTTAATGAGGTGTTGCTAATTATGGTGCATTGTTTGAGCGCGGGCGCGCCGTTCGCTCGCTGGGAGAGAGCAGAGCGTCGGGAGCGCAACGCATGGACGGCGGCAGGCTATTTGCTCGACCCTGACCGACCATGATCGGAAAGGGTCTCTGGAGGGGTCTGTTGCACAAGCAAAGGGTCTCTCATTGTTGCTTTGTGTTCTGCATCTCTGTCGAACAATCCACGACATTGGACAGACGGCAGCAGCAATACTGTCATATCAGTAGTGAAGCCTGCAGGCGCTGACCACCTGCAGCCTTTGTATCCCGGCGCTATGTGGATAAGTGTGTTTATTATGAGTGATGGGCATGGAATGGGGTCACAGAACGTTGGATCAAGAGCATTCTCGAACACTTGGATGTCGCTCAAGGGGGAGATGATATGCGTCGACCCGTTGAGCAGCCCAGGAATGCCCCCTCAAGCCACGAGAAGGGTCATTTGCTGGGAGAAGAGTACGGAGGAGGTGCAGTGAACTAAATTGGCGCGAGAGCGAGGCACTGCCGACAGGTTGTTGGACAAGCACCAGCACAGCAGCGAGCATTGCTGCTTGTCGATCTAGGTAGTGGTATTGCCTGCAGACTGTAGAACAGCAAGCACCCCAGAGGAATAGGATATCGTACAATAGAAAGAGAGTGAGAGAGCGAGTGCGAAGCTTGAAGGTACGACAGCGCACGCACTTGGAGAGTGGAGACATTGGAGTTGAGAATGGACTAATTACGTCGACGGACGGGTCCGGACAATGAGGATTTGCTGGATGCGCCCTTGCCGATGCAAGGGCTCCAGGACTTATTCAGCTCCCTTGTAAGCCTTCGGGGAATGGAGACGGGCGACGGGCTAGCTCGTGTTTGGCGTGGCCCAAGGGAAGGGGAGCGGTAATAGGTGGTTGAAGGAGCGGTCAGATACACAGTACAATGTAGGCTATCATAGGAACAGACCAGAGACTCGAGAGAGAGGTCAAAGGGAGAGACTCGAGAGGTGAGAGAGGAGAGGAACAGGGAGGGGGGGATTGCTGGGGATTCGGTAGGAGAGGCTAGGAATGTGGTTGGGCCATTGTGGTCACGAGGCGCCAACGATGCGGCAAGTTGTAGCGTGAAGCGCATAACAGTGTTTGACCTTAATGTACGGGCACGTCTTGTGTACAGTAGAAGACTGCAAACTATGGTAAGTACAGTAGGGCATACAGCTACGACAGCCTACGAGTTTGATTACTGCCAGGCCAGGCTGCGAGCGACTTGCTGCCGGTGCGCCTTTCGGTTCAGACGGCGGGTCGAGAAGGGGAAGGGGGAAGAGAGGAGGGGGGGCACTGGGGGTTGTCTGCGCCGCACTTGGGCATAGCTGCTGACTTGGAAGATCCACTCGTTTCGTGGCCGACCAGCATCGTGAGGATACCTAGAGGACTCAGAGGAGTGTGTGCAGATTGCAGATTGCAGACTGTACAGTTGTTCACCAACGTGTAAAGGTTAATTGTGGGCAGGAGTCACTGATGCACTTCACTTATGTACATGTATGAATTGATCCATGATCCACGAGGTGAGGTGTCCGTGGGAGATCGATCACGAAGGGGATCATAGGTAGTTAGTTACAGTAGTCAGAGTAGTAAGCTCGAACCGTCGGACGGCCGTAGAGTGCGGTGCGACATAGGGCAAGGTGAGAAATGAGTTTAGCCCTGGGTAGGCTTTTGGTGGTGGCAGTAGTAGTGATGATGGTGATGGTGATGATGATGAGGGGGATGGGACTCGGTAGAGAAGGGGAAGGGAAAGGAAAGGAAGGGTCAGAGAATGAGAGTGAGTGAAGGGGAAGGGAGGAGGAGGGGGGAAGGAGGCGGAAGACTGGGACTGGGACTGGGACTGGGACTGGGACTGGCTGGGACATTGGCAAGAGTTTTTTGCCGCTAGCGTTGAAGGGGCTCAATGTTCAAGGGGAGATCCAAGCGTTGCTGCCAAAGTAGTGGCGAATGAGAGATCGTGGATGGTGGACTAGCGGGCATTTCCATCCACACCCATCCTTGATCATCTTGCTAATCCTTGCCCATCCTTAGCCATCCATGTCCATCCTTGTCCACGGTGGCGTGCAAAGAGGCAGGCCAGTCTGTCTACTCTTGTCATAGGCTGGACTGGAGACTGGATAGCGTCTTCTCTCTCTCGTCTACCTTCTCTGCTCTCTTCTCTGCCTCTCCTCTTATCTCTCCCTCGCCCTCTTCTACCCTCTACTCTCCCACTCCAATCCCAACCTCCCACCAACGCTCACCACCGCAAACCACCACTCACACACACACACACACTCTCTACCACACACTCTCCAATTCAACCTCTTCTCCATACCAACCTCTCAATCAACAACTCACCTCCACCGTCTTAATTATATCAATATTCTCTCTCAACGTCGCTACAATTTAACAAACATCAACACTACCTAGCTGACACCACCTTGCGCCTCCCTCCGAAGCGAAATAAACCCCCTTTGTTGTTTCGCCTTTGTTGTTCTGTGTGTCGTCCCACGTCCCACGTCCCGCCATCCCACCGACCCCAACCCAATCCAACCGTCCACCAACGCTTTCCCACCCCAACACTCAACCATCAACAACAACATCCAATAATCCATCCCCCATCATGTCGCAATTCTTCGGATACGGTTCACAACAACAACAACAACATCAACAACAACACCACCACATGAACACTCACTCCCACAACCACCATGGCGGCCGATCACGGAGAGCCCCAAGGGTTTCGGCTGCTCAACACCAGAAGCAGTTCCGCCAGGTCCGAACACCAAAAGAGTTCGTCGTGGAGGCTCCGACAATGACCGCCTTCAAGCGCGACTTCGAGGCCGCACGATCGTTCGACCTCGAGGACGATGAGCTCTTCTGCCCTTTCCACCTGCTCACTGAGGATGATGTAAGTTGAACGACCCATCTCAGCATGATGATGACGGTGACGATGATGTTTGCCACCCGTCAACACCAACACCACCTCACACTTTGAAGCAGTAGCAGGCACTGACATGCGATGATCAGCTTCAATCCATCCACTCTGCTGGCTCCGACCGTTCGTCGTTGTCGAGCGGTTCGCCTGAACAGTCTCCCCTGCAGCATCAACTCCAACCCACCCCCTCGTTCGTACTATCATCTGCTCCCAACCCATACACTCCTGCTGGCTTCCAACACTCCAACAACTCTTCCCAGACGAAGCTCCACCAGCCACTAGCACAACGCACCCGCAATGCCATCCCCATTGTCGACCCGTCGACTCGAACTGTCGCAAGCCCACCCCCGTCTGTCTCCCCCAACCGACAGATGCAGCAGCAGTTCATGTCTCGACGCTGGTAGTAGCCCGGCTGGCACGAGGCTTGGCGTTTTCTGTTCGGTTGGCATTGCGGCGTCCCTTCGTTGTTGTCTAGTGGCTCATCCCCATCGTGCCGGATCCCTTCTTTGGCCCCGGCATGTCCCTTCCAGGATTTAATTCTCTTCTCCACCCCCCTGATATCCTCCGGAGGATCACACGTCTATACTATCGACTCTCCCTGTACAAATCTTCGATATCCATCCATCTATCTCCTTCGACATATTGGGACTACCACTCGGATACGGCGACGGCGTTGCATCTTTGCGAAAGCATAATCTTTCGAATAGAGCGCTTCTGGTCTCATGTTAGCGCTAACGCATTCACGGCGGTTTGCAATTATCGGTGTTCTCTATTTTTGGGTCGCATCTTGGGCTTCTCTTCCATCCGGACGTTGTTTAAAGACTTATTACTTGAAAAATTATCGGTTACAGATAAAAGGTGTTTTCTGTAGCGCTGGATGTCTTAACTTTTATAGTACTTGTCACCCGGTCACCTTGCATCATCCCAGGGACCATTACAAAGGGTAGATTTCTTTTGTGCGGATTTGGCTTACGGAGGCTGGTATACCATTGGCGCGATAAAGTCTATTGAAGCGGCGGTGTCGGGTTTTCTCTGTTCCTCTCTACTGGGTTATTGGCTGCATCTCTCTCCCTATCTTGTTGTGGGTTCAACTGTATGCTGGGATGATCTTTTAAACTTATTTTCTGCTGTATGAGGATTCGTTTACACCACCACCCCGGGGGCGCGCGTTAGCCGGAGCATTTGGGCAGACATCTTGCTTCTCAAGTTTCTTGCCATGTTTTGTCTTTGGTTCTTTTTTTGGGTTTTTCCTTTCTCTCTCTTCGGCCCACGGGTCCAATTTCCTTCACTATTTTACCATGGGATCGTAGTTGATGACCCGCCATACGTTGGTTTTATTTCCATTATGCACGCCTCAACACGGTTGGGGGTCAGTGTTTAGTCTTTTATCATCGAATATGGAATCGCTACTTGAATACTTTGGTGTGCTTTGATTGGTGATGTACAACCATTGAACTTGAGTAATGATGTAACAACGATGAGATGTTCATATTCAAAGGATTACACAGGTCAGATACTTGCAGAAGCGACTGGCCATCGAGTATCATTTCAGGGTCCTCAGAGGCCTTCCTTGGAACGCTCACATCATTGGTACACGCTACACTGCACACCTCCAAAACACAATCAGGAATGCATCACACATCTGGTACCTGGAATCTGGAAGCTAGACTCCCATGTTGCACAAGTACCTACCGTACGTAGGACGTTGGGGATTCCCGATCCGCTCCGCTCATCCGTCGATTCCATGTAGTACCCAAGTACCACCAATTCACCCCACTCCTCCCAACGTCAAACAGCACTCACGGGGACGGCGCACGCAAACGGCCACGAGCGTTGTATGTGACAGACATGCACAATGTGTACCTGAACCCAACTGAATCGCTGCGTGTCATGTTAGCAATTGTGGTAATTTAAGTGGCTCGCATTGCGTGCTGTCCCAGTCGCAGCAACAACTCGACGCTAAATACCGAAACCTGACGTCACCACCACCAACGATCGAGGGCGGGCGAGTTTTACGTACAGCTACCCCGTTGTTGAGGGGAGGAGCTATTGGCATTCGTTTCGAATCTTTTCTTCTTCACACAGTCTTTCTCTTCAGACATATTCCTGAATTGCTTCGATCAATTGACATTGCATTGTCTCGACATCCGTGAGAACGTAACAGATACTCGCCCTGGTCACCACAACCATAACGACTTCTCCCACCAGCTTCTTCACCCTCGGTACTTGACCTCAAACCCTCCTCTCTCCCTCTCTCAACAACCACCGTTCAATTGAACCCCCTCCCAAGAAACAACTCAATTCCTCAAAGGAAAGACACGCAACAATGAACCCCATCCGCACCCTCGCCGCCGCCGCCGCCCGCCGGGCGACCACCTCCACCCTCCCCCGTCGCGCACCAGCAGCAGCAGGGTACCACGTCTCGAGCGTGCGGCTCGCGGGCAAGGAGTCGAAACTCCGTGAGTCGTCCTCTTCTCTCCCCCATTGAACCCTGTCCCTCTTCAACTGTAGACACACACACACATACTATGACGGGCGATTAGCTAACGCAAAAGGAAAAAGATTCGGAAGGACGCGCCCAAGACATCGAAAGAGAGAAGCAAGACGCGCTGGCCAAGGCGAAGCAGGGCCAGGGACAGTGGAAGGAGGAGCTGGCTAGTGATAGTGAGAGTATTGTATGTTTTCACCCCTTTACCCTTTTGCCCCCAGTTTGAATTTCTTTACTGGAAGGGTGTGGTTGCTAATGTGTTTGTGTGTGTGTACAGGTGAAAGCGGATCGCAGCGAGGGAGGTAAGAGCACGGAGGAGACGATTCGGGCGCTGCAGGAGGAGGCGAAGAAGGTGGGGAAGTCTTGATCGGCCGGCCGGCCTGTCTTGCGAGAGCTATCTTGTATACGTCTTCTCCCCAGGGTTCAAAAAACTGTGCGGCATGGGAAAGAGTGCCAGTGAGGATAATTATTTGGAATGTAATGACTGAGATGGGGGTCTGGATGATGAAAAAAATGAATAATCAAATCATGTTACTGTTATGTTTGAGCTTTTGGGTGGGTGGGTGAATAGTGATGAACTGTTTCTATGCTGCTTTCTTTTACTGACGCTGTCTGTGACGTCGTGCTGCTACAATGCTAAACTTCTCCTTTTTTTTTTGAACATGTATATATTTCCCTGTGTACATACACATATGTTTAATCTTAAGAGTGCATATTTATCTCAGTACCTTTATCCTCTTCCCTAAATACAAGTTATTCTTGTTTTTTTTAAGAACGTCTATTACTATTATATATTCTATTCTATTACTAGGAGAATTATACTTGTTTAGTTATTTTATATAGCTCTTTAATAATTAAATACTAAAAGAAAAAGATAGAGTAAGAGGGAAAAGTAGAGGTTAGAGAGGTAGGTATATATATGTATATATGTGTATATATATGTATATGTATATATGTGTATATATATGTATATGTATATATATATATAAATATATGCATGTCCATGTAAACACACGCATAGGCAGACAGATATAAGTTCTAGTAAACTGTTGTAATGTAGTATAGCTACTCGTGCAGTCTACGGACTATAGTAACGAAGTAGAGTGATCAATAGATGAAAGTCAGATTTATAGATAGATGCAGATATATAGGCACCGCGAGCTGTAGCTAGCTAGCTGGCCTGGCTAAGATAGATATGTAGATATGTGACTATGTGACGCTGTGCCATCTTCTGTGTATCGAAAGGACAGTGACGACCACGTAAAACGCCTCTATAAACGCCCAACCATGCCTTTTAAAAACGCCCACAAAAACCCCCCCTTTCCCTTCAACAACCCGCTCCCGCTCACTTCGTAATCACAATCAACAGCACCAAAATAATAATCAACGCCACAATAACACTCAAACTCCAATTCTCCCTCGCCTTCCTCGAGAACCTATCCAACCTCCCCCTCGCCCTCCTCAACTGCCCCGCATGCCTATCCACCCCCTCCTCCACGTCGTCGAGCAGCAGCACCTGCCCGTCCAGCTCGTCGCCAATCTGCATGCTGAGCTCGCGCTGGCGCCCGATGGATTCGCCCAGCCGGTCGAGCTGCTCGTCCTGGTCGCGGATCACGTCCTGGTGGTAGGCGTGGATCTGCTGGTTCGAGAGGTCGGTGTGGTCTGGTGAGGCGTCGGAGGGGTCGTCGCGGTAGGGGAAGAGTGATGCGCGGTTGGGGTCGTCATCGTCGGAGGTGTTGTCGGTGAAGCGGACGGATTTGGTGGAGGGGCGGGGTTTCTTGGACTGGGCGGCGGCGAAGTCGGCGGTGAGGGAGGGGTCGTTGGGGGATGTGAGGGTTGGGGAGGTGGGTGAGGTGGTCGTCGTCGTGAATTGAGAAGTTAGCTCCGAGAGTTGGCTGCGGAGGCGCGGGAGTTGGGATGATATTGCGCTGGGAGGTACGTGTTAGCGATGTTGGACGATTGGTAGTAGGATTACAGAGGCATTACTCGTCTGGTTTGTCTTCGACTTGCGACTCGAGGGATTCGATGCCGGAGCGGAGGGAGTCCAGCGATCGCGATATCTGGACATCTTGGGAGTTTGGGGAGAGGTTTAGGGAGATTGCGCGCTGCCGTTCGAGGAGGGAGAGTTTGATGTGGTCGGCGAGGAGGAAGAGCTGGGGAGGATTGGACGACGACATGGCTTTGGGATTCTGAGGGTCGTGGACTGGGGAGAGGAAGGAGGCGAGGTGGTGTTGAAGGCGGAGTTGAGTTGAGTTGGGTGAGGTTGGGAGATCCGGTTTGGGGTTGGAAGTACGGGCACTATAGACAGATTGTATGGCGTTTCGCCGGGAACGAATGTCTTGGATTCTCTTGCCAAGATGTGGATTTATTATGTGGAGGTCACAAAAAGGAAATATACATATTATATTGTACTAATATGAGGTTGGAAATAGACCAAATGTACACAGTACGGCGTAATGCGGGTCTGCCATCACCATCATCAGCATTCTGTGAGTGAGCCTACGAGTACCCAGAGGCTGACTGAGGCCTGAGGCACACCGGGTAGCCACGTGATGAAAGAATAGAGGCAATTTCCACGTGACTGAATAGATTCCGCCCTCCCACGCCGCCTGACCTACTCTGGCCTAGCTTATGCCCTCTTACTGTACTCAGCGTAGTTACTGTATGGAGTAGTCGCTGTATGTACTCGTCTCGTACCTTTACTGTAGTGCCAGCGGCCAGCCGTGCCAGCCAACGACCACATACCGACCACCCATTTGTCTCTCATTTGCACAACTCACACCTCACACCTCACAACCTTACGCCAACGCCGCATGACTTTTCCTTTTTCTAGGAATTCCCCATGCTCACCCACTGCTCCTCTTGCTTTTCCTCCCTCCTTCTCCTCCTATAAAGAGGTCCTCGGCCTTGCTCTGCCTTCACAACACACTGCTTGACCGAGCCTCCTCCCCACCTCACTTCCGATGTCGACTCCCTCCCCAATCCCCCCGCCAAATGACCGGCGGAGCTCGCGGGCTTCCAGCAACGCGGGTCCGCCCTCATCCAATCTGAATGTCCCCTCTGAGCCTTCAGATTTGCTCGTGGTCGGTGGTCCTCCCAGCAGTCCCTCACCTTTAGCTCTCAGAGCATCCAACTCACCATCCTCGAAGCGTCGAAAGAGCCGCGCCGCCAAAGTCCCCCCCGACGTCCACATGCTCGAATACGTCTCCGCCTGCGATAGCAACCTCGTCTGCCTCATCTGCCACTCGCCCTTCGATAGACCCGTCAAGCTTCCCTGCGAGCACTACTTCTGCCGTGAGTGTGTGGACCATGCCTGGGATGCTCAGCAAGAGGATCTCAGGTCGTGCCCTACATGTCGGACCAAGGTAGACCCGCAGAAGGACTTGTCTCCGGTGCCCAGAATCATAGAAACCATGCTCGATGAACTCGTCGTCAAGTGTCCGAACACGAAGACGGGCTGCGACTGGGTCGACCAGCGAGTCAACGTCCACGACCACGTCATGCTGTACTGCGAATACACCCTCGTCGAATGCCCATCCACCGACTGCCGCCTCCCGATTTCCCAGAAGGACTTCCATAAAGGCTGTCTGCACTCCACTGTGAGCTGTGAGCACTGTCATGCCTCCTTGATGAAGAAGGATCTCGAGGTAGGCTCCGTTATGTTGTATTGATTGGAAACTTGCTAAACTCGTGGACTATCTAGGAACATCAAAGGTCGATCTGTCCAAATCGATCTACAAACTGCCCTCATTGCTTCATTGAGCTTCTCCGTCTCGATCTAAAGCCGCATGTCAAAGATGTTTGCCCCATGGTCAGCATTCCTTGCTCCGGCGCAATCGTCGGCTGCAAAGTCACTGCAGAGCGGATTGAAGTCGAAGAGCACGAGAAGACGTGCCCCATGGCCACCATGGCGCCCTTCTTCCGAGAACAGCAGGCGCGTGTGGAGCGAAGCGAAGCCCGTCTGGATCCATTGTCTCGCAAGATTGGAATCTTGGAGGACGGGCTCACCAACATCACCAGCATGTTGTACCCAGCGAATGGCAATGACTCGTCTTTCCCCGTGACAAATCCTTTAGACCCCAACAGCTCAGAGGCCTTCCCTCCGGCCTCTCTCATGCCTACGCCAGACTTTCGCCTACCGCCAGCCTCATTTCCACCAGTCCCACAAAGCAGCGATACGACGCAGGCACAGCCTCCCTTTGATTCTCAGGTCCATCATCTGCTCACGCTTCATGAATCCCTTCGCGACGAGGTCTCCCGCGTTAGCAACGCGTTGACGGAACTCGAAGGCCGCACCAGCATGACGATCATGAACGAAAATCAACGAGTCAAGGAAGACATGCTACATACGAACGCCGCCATTAACGGGATGCGGATGCAGTTGCATTGGCTAATGAGTGCCACCTTGCAACAACGTAGTGCAAGTGCTGCCGGCAGTTCGACAGCGCGAGCCGGCAGTAGCACGGGTCCCTCTGCCAGTGGGAGCGGGACGCAAGGGGCCTCCTCCAGGGCGAGTGCTACATTCCGGGCACCCATCCGGCGACTAAGCGACTCAACAAGACAAGACGTCAAGTTGTGAGCGAAGAATGTGGTTACACGATGCCGCGTATAGCGCGTTTAAGGCGGACACAGACAGCCGAGTCAAGGGGATTGCTTACGATCACGATCAATGCGTTAGCTTATGCCCCGAGACATACGTCAGTCAGACAGACAGACATACACACGTCTGGCCGCCCACGAACCTTTTATGATCTTTTGTCTTCGGGGAATCAAAAAACGGAAAAGTGCTTTTTTTTTTCCATTTTGGAATGGACGGCGTTCAAATCATGCAGAGAGATACATTGAGTATCCACATCGGGTCATCGGGTCATTCATCTAACGTTGGGATGGCTTTCTTTTTTTTTTCCACGGTTATAGATGGCGGAACGGGCTTTTCACGACGACCTTATCCCATCATCCAGGCATTCATCACTTGTACAAATTATACCCCCCGCTTTTTAGCCTTTTTTTAGGTAGTTTGCTTTTCACATATGGGAATGGAAAGAGAAAAAAATACTCAGTAGGCTGAAGTGACGTAGTTTAGACAAATGTGTGCGAGGTTCGCCCTCTATCATTTATGATGAGGTATAGAGAAATATGAGATATGAAATATGAAACGTCACATTTATACTTGGAGCTATATTTTTGAGGACTTGAGGTAATGCTCCCTCAGAAGCAAAACAACGACGGGCTTTAAGGTACTTCAGACGAGAGTGAAAAGATTTACAGGAACATACGCTCATATCTTATCGAAAACATACTCTCCCCCACGTCTCTATGTATCCTTTTATGTGTCGATTTCTGATCGATCAGAGCATCAGCGAGATCTCCGGGGATGAAAAGACGAACATGATAGGCATGATTTGGTAAAGGAAACAAAGTTTCGACTCTGTTTGGACGTATTGATTGATTCGGTCGACCATACCTACTTACTAGTTACTTCATTATCATAACCGTATACCCGCCTGATGGACATATCGAGCTCATTAGAGATCCCTCATGCTGGTTCAATTCCAAGTCCCCAAGTCCATTGCACATCACCTACGTATGTATCTCAAATCTCACCAGCCAGAGTTACCTCCACCCTGACCCCAAGGCCTACCACCTCCGCCTTGTTGAGACTGGTCGTACCCGCCTTGATTATACCCTCCGCCATACGAGCCCTGTTGGTCGTATCCGCCCTGCTGCTGCTGCTGGTACGGCGGCTGCTGTTGCTGCTGTCCATAACCACCCTGTTGCGGTGGAGGCTGGCCGTACCCGCCAGGACCAGCGCCGTAGTTCTCGTAGCCTTGTTGGTAGGCGGTCGGGACGGTGTAGCTTGGTTCCGCGCCCTGGCCGCCGTGGAACTGGCCGCCGCCCCATGCGTCCTGCGGAGGTGGTTGTTGTGCGCCGTAGTTGCCGGGTGCCTGGGATTGTTGGTAGTAGGATCCTCCTGGGGTCGTGGGACGGCTTCCGCCGGGGGAGCTGCCTGTGTTGTCGCCGGCTTCGCGCGTGCGGTGGCCCGAGGAGGAGAGGAAGGGGGAGAGCTTGCTGCCGAGGCCGCCGGGGAGGTTGCTGGTTAGGCTGCTTAGGAGGCCTCCTCCACCGCTTCCTCCGCTGCTACCGTGGGAGCTCTGCTGGTGTCCGCCTCCGCTGGAGTGGGAGGAGTGGTGACCGCCGCCGCCACCGCCACCGCCGAAAGAGCCCACGCCAGCGGCGCCGTGGCCGTGGGCGCCGTGAGAGTGGTCGTGCTCGCCGCTGTGGTTCTTGCCCGCGCGGACCGACTCGGAGGACAGGAGGTCGTTGAGGTTGTGCTTCCGGTAGCCGTCGGCCCACTTCTTGACGGCGCTGAACATGTTCCTGTGGCACTCGTTGCGCTCGTTGCGGAGGGCTGGGTGGTGGAACACGCTGCAGACGTCGTTGAGGACCTGGTCGACGGGGACGTCGGTGTTGTCCCATGCGTAGACTATGCGGGGCGCGACGTATTTGAGGATCTCGGCGGCAACCTGGCCCGAGGGTTCGTTGAGGATGTTGGAGAAGTGGTCCTTCGAGAGCATGGAGTGAGTGGGGTCGGTGCTGTGGGGGTTGTTCCAGACATCGAACTGGTGCTTTGCGGCGGCCTCGACGACGAGGGAGGAGCCTTGCTTGAGCTGCGTCGAGGCAGCCTTGATGATGGGCATGATGAAGGGGGCGAGCAGAGAGAGGACGAAGAGGGTCACGCGCTCTGTGATGGTCTCGATGAGCTTCTCCAGGCCGGGGATCTTGGAGATTATGGCGGAGATGCTGCGGACGACCTTGTCGCGGAAGGCGAGGATAGGGTAGATCTTTGGGATAATGGTGGCCGGGTCGGTGTTTGTGCCTGGCATGTTGGGACCTGGTGGACCGCCTTCGGAGCCTGGGGGCGCGGCGAAGGTATTCGCTGAGGCGCGAGAGCTGTTGTAGTCGTCGTAACCTCCCGGTGGCCCTCCTCGAGAGTTGGCTGCTGCTTGGGCATCCGAGGCGGCCTGTAGGCTTTGCGCTTCTTTCACGAGATCGCTCGTCCCTGGTACTTTGCCTAGGACGTCACAGAGGCCAGAGAGAGCGTTTCCATTTCCGCCGCTGCCGCCGGGACCGCGCTTCGTGTTGGGGAGGACGGCATCTGCGAGGGCGGTGTTCATCTGGTCGACTTCGGACTGTGTAAAGTGATCTGTGGCCTCTCCGAGGACGGAGTGGAAGAAGTCGACGCCTCCAAAGGTACCAGTGACGAGTGGGAATACGCGTTTTCCATGAAGATTGATCTCGGTTGCGGCTCCAACATGGGGGAACACATTGTGGTAGCCGATTTCTCGAAGGACCAATTCGGCGTAGTTAGTATGTGCGCCGAAGTCCTCCATGCAGTGAAGGCCTTGACCAAGGCATCGTAGGGCTTCGGCAAGATCTTCGTCCTTACCACGCTGTCCATGTGATCCGGAGGTGTACAAGCGACCGAAGTGAATGGCACGAGCAAAGGAGAATCGGATATAACCTGTGGAAGTCGCCCATCCGCCGCGGTCGTTGGCAATGTAGTTCTTCATCCCTGTTTCAGGGTCCACCGCCAGCTCTGCATCACTGACGGGAGGGCGCAGACGGGGGTCAAATTCTCGTGCATCTTTGTTGTCGGCATAGTCTTTCTGTAACACAATTGAGTCAATAAATCCATGACTGCCATGGCACCATGATGGAGCAGGACATTCTTACGGGATTATCTGATTGATGCGTCAGTATTTCCAGGAGTCATATGTTATGGTGAATGCATCTTACCAATATGCTCCTCGGGTCGGTAGACTCCCAGTCTCTCAGCAGTGACTTCGAATTCGGCAGTCGCATAACCAAAGGACATGAATGAGAGGATCCATACAAGCACACGAATGGTTTCGGCCTGAGTAAATTATTAGTATTCGTGAGTCGCATCTATGGCGCATATGCGATCTTGATGAATTTACCTGAACTTTCGCAAGGGTAGCAGTATCAACAGCCTTTCAAAGGGGATTAGTATATAGGGAAGACCTGGAGCAATTTGGTAGTAGTGAACGCACTTGTGAGTAATCTCGGAGCCAGTTGCCGAAGTACACACGCTATACGGAAAGTCAGCGCAAGTTAATGGCGGGGGAAGATGACTGCGGGGGCTTTACCTTGATCATCATCGAGTTCCATTTATGACCTTTCAAACAGGCGACCATTTCGAGCATGTCTTCGATATCTCCATGGCGCCAGTTCTTTCCCTCGATCTTGGATATGGAGGCAATGTTTCCAGCGCCGAACGCCTCAGCTTTGCCCGGCAGAAGGACGAGCAGAGCTATGGCGACCAGCAGTACATACTTTGCTGAGATAGCCATGATGACTAGCTAAAGTGAGGGACAGGAAAGGATCGTGATGCCAATCCTAGGATAATGTATGAGTAGGGAAAAAAAGAAGAAGAGAAGAAAGTAAAGAGAGAGTAGGGTTACTAGGAGTGGTAGATAGTGGGGAGGCACGGAGGGTAAGCTCAATGATGTGACGTTATTACGCGACGCATCATGTGGCGGTGCGGAACTAGCTACTGTGGAATCGCTTACACAGTACACAGCTCTGTGTGCTCACCCCACCCTCATCCTCACAGGCGCATACATAAAATCCATTCCGAATTAAAGGACTAGTATTCTGACATGCATGCCATTTTATCTGAACATCTACTTCTTTTTGGTACAAAGACGAGGCTACGAGGAGTTGCATGTTGCGATTTACTCGTACGGGTAAAGTATACATAGTGCTAGCCAAGTCCAGCGTAGGAAGATAGATGGCGGCGATCAAGCCAAAATCTTATGTATTACGGGAAGATTCGTATGATGGTAACGGAAAATTAACTATTGGAGCTCAAGGAACTTCATGAGTCGTTCAAGCCCTTGCAAGTCGCCTTCCTCCTTCTCAACGAGATGTTGGTCGACCCACCCATCTGTGTAGCTTCCTCCAAAGTCGATAATCCATGCGTTACCCTCTTCATCGATTAGAACATTTTCAGCTTTGATGTCGCCCCATACCAATGACATGCTATGAATCCAGTTCAACGTATCTCTGACTTGGCAATACCATTTCTTCCTTTCCCTCATCGTAACGGATTCTCTCTTGCACCACGCAAGACTAGAAACTGGGGGTACTGTTTCTATGTATTCCATCAAAAACCCCAAAACCCCATTTTCCGACACGATGAGCCCAATGAGCGATGGAATACGGTGGTGATCTGCCGGTGTATTCTCTTGAACACGTCGCTCTTGAATGCGTCGTAGAGTATTTATCTCTCGTCGGATAGGTGGACACAGGGATTGTCGCATCGCGACTTTCGCACACATCGTAGTCCTTCGAACGTCAACTTTGAAAACTGCATCGGTTTTAAGCACCTCAAGCAGGCTGATCTCGGAGAGCTTATAGATAGGTATGTCGGAGAAATCGTCCACAGATAGCCCATGGAATGCGCGATTCGTACATCTCTTTGAGCTATCATCCTGTACAACTTGCAACTCTCCATCGACCGTTGCCAATCGAAGAAAAGCAACAGGAGGTCTGACAATGTCGGAAAGCACCTTGGGGGCATTCAGGTCGCCAGCGAACTTTCGACACCATGGCTGACACTTGATAGCAATGATATCGCCCAGCTCTTCGAAAATGACATCGAGTTCGGAAGCTTCATCCAAGTTGGCTTCGATCCGGTCAAGGTAACCCCGTTCAAGAGTCCCCGCCTTCGAGTCGGCGGATAAGGAAACTTCGAAGTATTTATTATTGCATACCATCGTAAATACGCAATCCGCTCCAACTCCATATTGAATTCCGTGCACCCTGTTCGTGAGGGGAGGTAAACCCATGATTATAGTGTAACGTGACTGATTATTATACTGAAGCAAACACCGGTAGAAGTTTAGGAATAGTGGCTTTATGCATGGCACTAAGCTACCTTGGTGTGCCTACGAAAGTAGGTATATAATACAAGGACAATACTCCTTTCTAAGTATAAGTTATAAAATATGTCTTATTATTTAGTATTATTTACTTGTTCCTATTTGCAGAGTTATCTTTCACTTGAGATAGAAAATATTAAAGTAGGTAGGCTCTCTATTAGCATTATCAGGTTCATGACCTTATCCGCCCGACGCTTACCACCACTCCTCCGTACGAGTACATACAAAGAATCAACCTATCTCAGCTCTTCAGCTCCTCAGCTCCCTCACCTCTAGCTGATGCCGTGATACGACCGATAACCCTTTGATTGGCCAAAGCCAAAGCCCTGTCCCTAGCTCCACTTGCACTCTCGATTAAATTAGGCATGTCTTGCCTTTCGCATCATCTCCCGCTTCAAGATGCGATATGCGCTCGTTCACGTGCGTGGCTGCCTCAGCCTTCCTACTCGCACTACCCAGGCTACCTCTGCTGCCTGCGCGGGGTGGACGACTTCATTCCTGTCCTAGAAATGCATTCATCTCTCCTCCATACCACTCTTTGAACAATATCGTGAATTTCTACTTATCGTGCCTTCTTCTCTTGCTGTCAGATCCTACATCCTTCTTTTATCGTGCGTGATACTTGCAGCCGATCAGACACTTAGCCTGGGCGGTGTGGATCCTCAGCTGAATCCTGAACATCAACTCGAGCGAGATTGAATTGTTCTCCTTCCCGAAATGTCAGAGGAGTTTCCTGTATCGGAAGGCCTGCCAAAGGAGCATGGGAACAATTCAACCGGCGTGGAGGTTGCTCTCGAGGGTGCCGTCGAACCTGTAGGAGAGCAGATCCCCCCACCTCCCGTTCCAGCTACAGACCAAACCCTTGAAAAGAATGAAAGTCAAGTGGTTGGTAGCAATCATCTGGACTATGTGACGCATCTGGCCGAAGCGCGATGGCAATGCAAAGCCCCGGGTTGCTCGAAACTATTCAAGTCCTATGGCTATTGGCTCATGCACAGAGAGAGACGACATCCCGACTTGGACAACTCTCCCAAGTCAGAAGAGGCGTCGGATGAGCAGAACGGCACAAATGAGAAGCTCGAGAAATCTAAAGATGACATGACGACCACGCCAGCAGAGCAGAACGGAGTCGGTGAGCCTGGCGAACATGGCTTCGCGGAAATCAATAGTGATATCGATATCGATGACGATGATACCACATCAAATGGATCTTGGCAGCTAGTTTCGAATCCGAACGGACCATGCGTACCTCGACGAAACTACAATGGCCCTTATTTTACTGATGCGGACTTCGTAGAGTTCTTTACGGCAGCTCGAAGTGGGGACATTGATACATTCTACAAAGGAATGAAGAGAGGCATGTCCATCGAAGCACGTGGCGATGACAATTGTACTCCACTAGCTGCTGCAATCAATGCACAGCAAGTAGACATGGTCAAATTCCTACTCGAGAAGGGTGCCGACGTCCACCATCATGCCCAAACGCTCCCTCCTCTTGCGCACGCCGCTTGTCAAGAGAAACATGGTGTAGAACTCTGCAAGCTACTCATGGAAAAGGGAGCAAGCAAGGCCACAGTCTCTGGTACAGACGGAAAGTCTGCCCTTCACTGGGCGGTAACCGAAGGCCGCGCCGACGTCGTCGAGTATCTGATCCAACAGGGCATGGACGTTGAAGCAAAGTGTGCTAGAGGGTGCAGCCCTCTCATCCTGGCAGCTGAGGTTGGCAGTGTAGACTGTGCAAAAGTGCTCTTGGAGCATGGTGCCTCTCTAGAAACAAAGAGTGAGACTGGGGGCAATGTCATGATCTGGTCAAGCTGCCACGGCAGGGTAGATGCAGTTCAGTTCTGGCTGGACAAGGGTGTTTCCGTCGACAGCGTCGATGAACAAAATTCAAGTAGGACTTTTCCATGATTCCCATTTCTGAACTCTGCTAACTTTACAGGCGCGCTTCATCTCGCTAGTCACTTCGGTCGAACTGAGGTCGTTACACTACTACTCGCCAATGGGGCAAATGTGAACACGGCCAACTCATCCGGCATCACGTCTTTGATGGCAGCCATCATCAAGAGTAAACCCCTTATTGTGAAGATATTGATCGACGCTGGAAGCGACCTCAGGGCGAAAACAACCTCTGGCATTGAAGCTCTTGACTTCGCGCTTGAAATGAACATGCACTTGGCCCAGCTCATGCTCACAGCACTGGGTGGCCGCCCGTCATACCCCTCATGTACCGTGGCGCATCAGTTAGCTATGACGCGAGATTATGCTTCGGTGAATACAGTCGTTAACACAATCTCTATCATGTGGCCGTCCATGCGCATGGCGGCTTCTGATGAACCAGATTATTCATGGCTGACGTGGGTCATTAAAGAAGGCGAGTGGGTTCTCAAGCCAAAACTTCTGACACACCTACTCAGATATTGTCTCGACGACAAGAATGTAAGTTCAGACTACGATATCTTGGATTCATGGTTTCTAATTGCATTGATACTAACTGCCACGTAGGTTCCCCTCCTCAAAGCTCTAATTCGAGAAGGTTGTGACGTGAACGAGCCGTTGGGTTCTGGACATACCCCTCTCGCTGGTGCTATACGTACCAAAAATGTCGAAATCGTCAAGGTCCTCCTGGATGCCGGGGCCGATCCTAACAAGATAGGTCTGATCCGAACTGCAACGCCTCCCAGAAAGGATCTTCCACCTCTATATGGGGCGGTGCTGCAGATGAAAGACGACAAAGATACAGGGATTGTGGATCTTCTGCTTGCGACAGGCCGCTGTAGGCTCAATAGTGCAGAACACTTGTCAGGAAGTGTATTCGCATACCTCCTATCCCGGGTCACTCAATTTGAACAGGATAAAGCCGAGGCATTGGCTATCCGCATGCTTGACAGTATCAAAAAGGGTGAAGATGAAAAGGACACATCGACCACGTTCGAGGAAGATCAAGCGGAGCTCACGTATGGGATGGAGAAGTTGCAACTTGAGAACAAGCTCCGCACCCTTGATATGGATTCCGAATCCCCCAAATCCGATAAAGAAGAAAACGAACGACAGTTACGTGAGCTCGTCGAAAAACGACAAGCAGATGTGGCTGCCGAGCAGTGGAGAGTGCTCCGGCATGCCAGCGATCGATGCGACGAGGGAGCCAGCTTGTTGCATGTTGCCGTCGACAAGGGCAATGAGACCATTATGGAAGAGCTCCTCAAGAGACATCTAGACATCGAAGCAAAGGACAACTACGGAGCTACGCCACTCATTCTGGCATGTCAACTTGCTCCCAAGATGCTGCAACCGTTGCTTGACCGGGGAGCCGATGTTTATGTCAAATTCCTCAATAACTCAACCGCACTTCATGCTGCGGCTGCTCACGACAATGTACAACTTCTTGATACACTTCTGAGCAAAGGCCTTGGCATCGATGATGTCAATAATGATGGCTTCACGCCACTATTGTCGGCACTGACGTCTCGATGCGAAGGAGCTGCCTTGTACTTGATCGAGCATGGCGCGGATGTTCACCGAGTGAACGCGAAGGGAGAAACGGCAATCATTCTAGCTGCACGCCACTACCTACATGAAGCGGCCGAGAAACTCCTTTCCATGAAGGTGGATGTGAATGTCAAGATGGGTGACGGTTGGACGGCATTACAGGAGGTTTGTTGTTCCCCTCGTCAAAAGAAAGTTTTTTTTGTTAACATAACACAGGCTTGTCAAGCCGGATCAAATACGATGGTCCGCGACCTTCTCAACCAAGGTGCCGACATTGAGCAAGCCCTCCCAGACGGCAATCGACCCTTACACACTGCCATACTCCGCCGAAGCACGCCCACCGCGCTCCTCCTCATCGAGAGAGGCGCCGACATTACAGCTCGCGGAGACCAAAACCGGGATCCCCTCAACCTGGCTGCCTCCGCCAATCACTGGGTCATCGCTCGCAAGCTGCTCGAGATGGGAGCATCGACCGAGGAAGTCGATGACATGTCTTGGACGCCTCTCTGCCGCGCCGGTCGTGCCGAAGTCCTCGAGCTCCTGATCGAGTTCGGCGCGAACGTTAACTACGCCGACCGAGATCTTTGGACGCCTTTGCATCAGACGGTGTCGAATGGAGAGGTCTCGTGCGTGGAGGCACTCCTGAGAGCTGGTGCGGATTTGGAAGTCAGGACTACGGACGATGGGTTGACAGTGATGGAGAGAGCGCATATGCTGAAGGAGCCGCGGAGACGGAGGCAGATCATCTGGATGCTGAAGGACGCTCTTCAGAAGAAGAAGAGGAAGGAGGAGGGCGATGATGATGCATTGACGATATGGGACGACGAAAGGATAATCGAATTGGACTAGTCTCAGGGATCTTCAACCAACCTACGATGATTTACGTCACGGGTGTCATGATTATTTTTCCCTTTTTCCAATTTCCTATTATGCTTTGGAGGATGCTGTCATTTCTGGTGCACGTTACTGTATACTTTCAACTTATGATGACGACTAGTGACTTCTTTTCGTGGGCTTTGGTTTAGCTAGCAATTCAATCAAACCTCACTCAGACATGACCATCTTCAATTAAATGGCATGTATCTTTCGTCCCAAGTAACCCAGAATGAAACCCAAATCGCACTTCACATACGATAGCTCCCTCCCATTCGACATCGAATCCAGCTGACCGTCTATGACAAACGGAAAGATCGACTCATGAATCCACTCCACCCCTCACCTTCTCCCTTCTCAACTGCTTTCAATATCCCCAATCATTGTCATCCTGAATACACTAAACACTCAGTTGCTACATCACCACATACATACCCAACCCCTTTTCCATTACTATTCCTCTCAGCTGGAGAGACTTGCCACGATCGCTTGACGCGAAGTCCTCAAGCCATGGCTTCAAACGATGACGATAAAAATGAGTATCACGACGTACGCGAATCCATCGAACCCCACACTCCTGCAAACACATATCCTTGGGCACAAGTGGGGAGTTATGAAGACGACAACGATGATGGTTATGTTATGCAAGAGCCGAGCCCCAAGGAAGATGACGATGATGGGGATTATAACAGCGAAGAGTGTGTCACTACAGGGCGCAGTGTTCAACAGCGAACTAGTTCCCGGAGTCGATGGAGCTATGTTGGGGTTTATAGGAGGGCGGACGGGTCAGTGTGGCAGGTTGCGTCGAATGCTTCTGGGCATGCTCGTAGCGCTGTGGACTCTGAGGCGCCGGATGAGCAGAAGAAGGAAGACGAGAAGGGGAAAAAGAAGAGAGCTGTGGAGAGCGATTTCGAGTTGACGGCGTCTGATATCCCTGAACAACCTTGGGATATTGGTGCCGGTGGACGGACAACCAAATGGACGTGTCTTAGCCGGCCGACCACTTCGTCGAGTGGAAATCCGCAGGAGAGAGATCGGGCACCATCGCCTTCTTCGTTTGTTATGTACAAAGCTGAAGACGATGCAGCGGGAGGTCCCTCGAGCGTGTCGAAGGAAGAATTGTCACCGGGACTTGTGAAGAGGCATGTGGAAGGTGTTCTGGGTGATCTTCTGGAACGCACTATGAGTGTAGAATCCAAGGAAGAAGATGCACCGCCCGCAGGACACGACATTCACAGAGCTCGATCTTCCGATAAATCAATCTCTCCCGACCTGGAAAACGCCAGATGCCAATCTAGGTTGCTGCAGGCCGCACTGAACGACGGAACGCCGCCTAAACAGAATCGACGTGGAAGCCTCCTATCTCGACGAGACAATCCCATCCCCATGTCTGAACTCGATCAGCCTCTACCACCTCCAAGAGGAGACTTCAAGCCCCATGTACCCGACCTGGCCACAGTCCGTGGTGTCCCCGGCGCTGAACGTGTTGGGAGCTGCGGACCAGCACTTTCTCCCAGCGGCAACGAATCCGATTACCACAACGCTCCATCACACCAATCTCCCACCAATCCCACAGACACCAACGTCAAGCACAACCGTACCGCCAACAGTACAGATTCCAGCGCCACCATACCCATCCCCGGACGCACCATCCATCCCAGACTCCCTCCCTTCCATCATTCCCTTCCACCAAGATGAACCATGCAACTATGCAAAAACTAAAATAAGGACATGGAACGGCAAATGATGGAGTACGGCGTTTCTGGTTTCGATGGCACACAGTCCGCGCCCGAATGCCGGTCTGGCTTCGATTCCGGATATGATGGCGATGATGATGATACTGAGTACGAGCTTCCCGGAAGTATCTATCGAGGCATCATGAGGCGGAGAGCTTGGTATCGGCCTGATATTGACAATTGCGATGATTGATGGGGTTGGTTGGATTGTTGACAGTGGGAGTTGGGTGTGGAATTATGGGACAGTGTCTGCGTACTCTTGATGCGGTGGACGTTTTTCTAGACTCTTTCCTGGATAGCCCGGTGATAGGTAAAGTCGGAAACAATGACTTCGTTTTTCTTGCTTGGGTTGGGTTATCAAGATCGAATAAGAATAGAATGGAATAAATGAGAGTATGATTTTTTCTTTTCTTTTGCAGTGTGTGAAGTTTCAGAAATCGAATATTATGATATTTATATATATTTATGTATATATTCGTTCTATTGAAATCCACCCCTACACTTGATTTCATATATCTTGGTTGTTTGAAAATAATCAAATAAAGAGAAAGGATATTGATTTGAAACCCAGCTCATGTTTCTTGACGTTATAAAATTTAAGGACTTTTTTATAATATTAGTTTGTTAAAGGCTTAAACAATCCAGAGAGAAATGCACTACCCCTCCAGTCCTACCACAACACTACCAAAAGATAACAAAATAATCAAAGTGCCTATTACACTAACCACACAGCGGGTCCATACACGCAGAATTCTCTAGGACGGCGTGATGTGAGGGGAGATTCGATGAAGTCATTCCCCATATCGGGACATGGATAGCCCGATTGGATTGATGTGTTGGCGACAGCGAAGGTGTTCAAGGGTGATGCTTGGGGGTTGGGTATGGCGTGCGTGTGTGCGTTGTGTGTTGGGATCATGGGTTCTTGCGCTGGTTGTGATAGTACTATGGTAATGATGATTGTGATGATGCTGATGATGATATACAACTAATTCATCTTTGATAAAATCACTGGAATTATGTAGTTTATAGAAAGGAAAATTATATTGTTACAACTACTTATGTTTTACTACTCGTTAATTGGATTTATTGTAGAGTTCGATATAGTTGTTCTACTGCTTGATAAAAACTGTTCACATATATGTGCTGTGTATATCTATAGAGTCCAGACTGACGTTCAAAAAGCCAACGAGAAAGGTCAATTAGAAGACATGGCATTCGCCTTTGACCAGTCCCACATTCGCAAGTCAAGTTAGGTCCAAAGACCACTTAGGTAGGTAAGAACGCACAGATAGCTTAATTCGACCTCCGGGCGGGAAATAGGGAACTCCCCCCCGCCAAGCGAATTCCGGCGATGGGAAAATTTCAAAAGTACGAGGTGTGCCATATCATGCTTTCGGTGGCACTAGTTAAGGAAAGAGAGAAAAAGGATCTTCTGGTTTTCATTAGCTCGTGGATTGATTAGCATCTTGATTCTTGCTTCGTTCTGGCATTTTTACGTGCATGTGATCAGGATGAGAATTGAAGAAATTTTCATGCTTCTCTTTTCATCTCTCTCCTTTTTGTTTCGGGTTCATCTGATCATTCGATGATGAGATGGATAGTTTCTGATGCCATGGGTACAGAGCGGGATGGAGCCTTCTGATAGGCTAGGCCACACGCGTACACTCCGCGGGTATTAGCAAATCAAGACCGGGATAACTTCCATTATTCTTCTGATCTTGCGAGACCCGAACACTTTCGAAATAGGTGTCTTTTCTAGAGAGCACTACGGATCGGTTCTCCATGTGAGCATTGGATGGGAAGACGTCGATCCTCGCGATCTGGTTGGCCCGCACTAGTGTCGTTAGGTCGTGACTCTTGACTCTCAACTTGTGGCTCGCCCCCGTCGTTGACTCAAATCTCACGATACTTTATTGAAACGTGGGTCTGGCGGTGCATGTGGAGCGCGTGGCTTGCTCGAGACAAAATTGCAACGGCTCGGCACGCGAAATCTTGGACCTTCTGCAAAGAAAAAAAGGTCCTTGTTGCGTGGTAGGGTGTAAAGGAGGCTCTTAGAGGGACCGTGAACTAAAATGCAATCCCTGCATTTTGTTTTATGTGGATCAAAGATTTTTTTTGCCCGTCTGTATTTTGATTTTTCCCAATGCGGATGAGTATTACGCTAGAAGAATTGATGTTCCATTGTTACGGGAAAAGGGAAAAGGGAAAAATCAGTTCATCTGCATCGATGGCTGTATGAATGTCAAGACACAGGCATGGCCAAGTTATGCTGGATGCATGCATAATGAGCCGAGTTTTGCCCATTTCCTATGCCGTTGTGGCACAATTGTCGATGAAAATGTTCGGCGGGGCATGGTCGACAGGGGGAATATGAAATCCCTTTCCTTGCAAACTTGTGGCGGTGAGGGAACGAGCCAGGAGATTGGCCGGGCAGACTAGGGGGATCTGCGATTCGATGGTCATGGTATCAATTGTATCGCTTGCACTTACTGTACCGTGCCGCCGACGAGATGAAAGGGAGATACTCAAATGATATTATGATGGGGGTCGATGTTTTGAATACCTAGATGGTGGTGCATCGTCTGGGCGACTGGAACTGTGACACGTAGCAACGATTTTGGATGAGAGATGAGGCAAGCCGTCCCATGGTTGAGACTTGTGTATCTGCCAGACATTGTTGAGCAGTCGTAGTGTAGCGATGGTGATGGTAGAGCCCCCCTTTTCCCCTTCACGTGAGTCGAGGAACACCCTAAACGGGAACTCGACTCCCTGGGCGCATCTTTCCCATTGTCAAGATCAGCCGGCGGATTCGGCATGGTCGCGACGGATCTGGCTATTCTACTACAATACTGGACTGCAGGAGCCGTACAGTATTGTATACGTTGGGCCCGAGCTTCCGCAGGTTCTGATCAGCGAACGACCCTCGCAAGGTCAATCTATCGAGCAGGGAAGTCCGTCATGGTGCGTCTCTGTGTCACCTCCAGCGACGCATTGCGCCCAGGCACCGCGCAGGAGAGGGATGCCTCTGCGTCGTACGCCGTGGGCGACGAGCGGGGAACTAGGGTGGAAGGGCGACGGAGAATTGAAGTGTCACAGAAGTTGCGGACGATGGATGTGGACATGTCAGGACTCAGAATCAGGATTGTTTCAACATCTGAGACCTGCGAACAGAAAAAATTGGGCGGGTTCAAGCTCGGTAATGAGGTGTGAGAAAGAGAGCGCTACGGAGGGTTAGTTTAATGATCCACAAGTGTGCCGTAGACCACACATGGGACGAGGATGGTCGATGGGTAATGGGTGATGGCCCACTAACTACTGATGGGATGATGGGTGATGGCAATGGGCTCTTGGTGCCGTGAGGTGGGCGACCAGCTTTTTTGGCGGGCTTTTGGCGGTGGACCATGTCACGGATAGACATGCTACGGGGGCCTCTTTTGATCGTAAGCGTTGTTTGGCGGCAAGGGTCCATTCGCTCTAAACGGGGATCTGCGTTGTGAGGAAGAGGATTATTGGGATTCGCTGGCGACGGCAGATAAGTAGAGTAGATTGGAGAAGAGGAGGGATGAACAAATGATGGTGGTAGTGCTGTAGATGTCAAGCAGTAGATTGTGTGTCCGTAGGCAAGTGCCTGTAATGTTCCGAGTAGGTGCGAGTGAGTCTGTTGTAGGCGCTGGATTGAAGTTACTCGTGGTCTCCCGTAGTCTCGTACCAGGCAATAATACTCAGGTTTTGGTGAAAGGCGCAACCCCGTGACTCGTAGGTATTGTTGTCTAGCCCTGTAGCGAAGCTATGACCAACACTTCTTGGCAGGTGACGGTGTCGTGCTTCTGCTAACCATGCCGCGACGGGCTAGACCGTTTATCTGGTAGGGAGTACTTGTGTTCGCCGTGCATTGTCAGAGGCTGCTCAGTTGTGCAGTGGATACTGCGTTAGGTCTGCAGTCGGGATAAATGCACGATTTCGAGAGTGGTGTCTGGCACGCGAGGTGTGTGTGGTGGGTGGTGCTGAAGGGAGGGGGAGTCGAGCATTCTTACCTCTGTGTACTCCGTATGCACTCGTGAGCCGTAGGTACAGAGTACAGATGGTACTTAATCCATCATTGATTACCACCGTCATCCAAGACCTACTACGGAGTACCTACATGGCTATACTAGTGTACACACGTCAGGCTCAAGTTGCCATTCACGTTCCATTTCTACAAGAACGAAGAGTATCGGAAAGGAACAAGAGGCAGAGAGCGTTATGACATGGTGCAGGCAATAATCGGTAGATACATGGGGGTGATTACAAGTACACCGTGCAAACGATGAGAGAAGACATGCCCAGGATGGCAACATGCAGCGGCTACTGGGCAGTAATGTACAGTACATACTGTAGTCAGTCTGCAGTCTGCAGCGGACCCCAAGTATGTATACGTACACAGATGTCTACCGAAGACAAGATTGGCATGCCATGTAAGTACGCCGTATGCTGCATGCCTCCGCACCGGACCGGGAGGCAAGGCAAACTGCAGCAAACCTGGAAGACGCGGCATGGGCATCGATGGTGGTGATAGCACGAGTGGTGGTTCACACAAGCCCTCCCGCCAACACATGGCACACGATAGTTATCGGGGAAGAGAAACATGGTTCGCAGTACCATTCTGTGGGATGCTGAAAGACGGCCATCTCCACGTTTCTACCCGTCCATACGTTAACAATAAGACGAAGCCACAGAAAAGCTTTCTACGGAGTACCGTTTATCATGTACTTTATCATTAGTCCCGCTCGCTGCTTTGGTTGACCGCATGTGCCAGGTGATGCATTTCCCAACTGTCCCAAGGCAACGGGCGCCGACAAGTGGGTGTGGCTTTTTTCAGATGCGTCCTGTGAGAGGATAGACGGCAGGACTGTTGGAGGGTCTAAAAAGGGTTTTCCCAGGGTCTCCCAAGAAGAGAGTGGATGGTGAAAGGTCGCATGACCTCTGACATCGGCGAGATATCGCGACCTAGGCATTGCGATCGCTCATCATCGTCATCGTCATCATCGTTTTCTTCGTTCCCCGTACTCACTTATTGTACGGGCCACGGCGGAATTATTAGCAATATCTGCAGATGCCGATAGCGATCATGATAAGGGGGGGTAGAGGGGGTGAGAGGAGGGGAAGCAAGACAAGGTTGGAGTACTCCGTAGATAATACAGCATGAATGGATAAGGTACAGTCACCGCCACGTTGAGACTAAATTTGAATGCATCCGTGGTTGTCCCGCATCTTCCCATTGTTACGGGGGAGGAAGAGTGTCCGCTATAACGTATGCGGATTATAGCCTTGTGTTCGTATGTAGCATGTATGTATATCACATACGGTGTAGGTACAGAAATGTACAGAAGTGCATGGATGAACATACGGTCAGATAGTGTATAGGATGTGCCTATGTACTGTGTACTTCGCAGATAGTATTGAGAGGGGGGTGGGGATGAAAAGGGATGAGGCGCAAAGACAGAGAATAATTACAATTATCTACAACGGTACTCGATACTTTGCACGTAGATGGTTTGTCCATCAAATAGAGGTGAGAATAAAATAATATTGAATAACACTCCGTACAGACACAGATACATTATCAGACATATATGCAGTAATACCCCATACATGCGTACTGTGATATCCAACCAAAGGCAGAGCACAAGTTAAAGGATGAGAGGCGCTTTGTTTCAGAGCGCCCTCAGCGCTTTTGCATAAGCAACCCAGCCCAGCCAGCCCAACCCGTTTATTTTTTAATTCCAGGAGGTGGACGCAAGAAGGCCCAGGTGTCCCAGTCGAGTGTGCTGAAGGCCAGGACAGGAGAGGATAGGACGGGATAGAACAGGAGTAATAAAATACAGTACATGTGCACCGTACACAGTTCCTGGTAAAGGGTAGCTAGGTACTCTGTACCTAGGAGAATAAAATAACTAATGCCCTACCACTACCAGTCTACCACCACTAGCTAACTAGCTATGTACTCCGTACTACTAATACTGCTACTCTACTCTAATACAATTAAAGTACAAGCGGGTGGTAGTTGATGGTGGGCGGGGCGAGAGGTGCGAGTGCGAGAGTGAGTGTGAGAGTAGGTACTCCGGTAGAGGAGACAGAGAAGTGACTGTGCTGAGCCAACCAATTTCCGTATCCCTGCCCCCTAGCAACGAACCCAAGTCCTACAACCAACCATGATCCATCCACCCTCTTAAAGCTCTCCTTGCCCTTGGCTCCCTCGCTTTCTTCCTCTTCGTTCTTATTCCTCACACCACCTCGCTCTCTCTCTTCCTCTTTAACTCTCTACTTTTTGCTCTCTCGGATCCTTCCCTCCAAGATCGAGCCTTCTCTCAATACATCTTCTGTAGCTGTCTCCCAACGGCACAGTCCTTGTCCCTTTCATACTCCTTTGTAATACACATATACCCCCCTTATACCCCCACCCAACCTTCGATAGCTTTCCAGCGTCAAGCTTCCAGCTCCTACTCTCACCGTATCTTTCGAGTGACTCAACACCTTCAACCTACAACCAACATCACCCGAGTTAGTTTGTTTGAATCATCACAAAATGGCCGCCGTTCCCGCTACCGCACCAACCACTGAGCCGACCACTGTCGCGCCCGTCGATGCTACCGCCGCGCCTGTCGCTCCCGCCGCCGAGGTTGCCCCTGTCGCTCCCGCCGAGGTTGTCGAGCCCAAGGTCGAGGAACCAGTGAAGGCCGAGGATGAGGTTGCTGCCCCAGCTGCAGCTGAGGAGAAGGTAGAGGAGAAGAAGGAGGAGACCAAGGTTGAGAAGCCCGTCGAGCCCATCCACAGCGGTGCTTTGGGCTACAAGGCTCCGGGCCTCAAGAAGTGAGTATTATGCCATATGCTTTTGGGCGCAAACATGCTAACCACATCACTAGTGCTTTCCGCTACTCCAAGAAGTACTTCTGGTTCGGCGAGGAGGCTGTCTCTACCCAGAGCTTGAGCCACTACTTGCGCGGCGAGAAGGCTGAGGTTGCTCACCCAACTGCTGCCTGGTCTAGCCAGACTGGAAAGGGTCTCCTCTACTTCGTCAAGCACGCCGACGAGAAGGCCACTCCCGCCGGTGTCCTTAACTTGGTAAGTGTCGAGACTGTTCGAAAGTATCACGTGGTTCCCTAGCTAACATAGTTGGCCAGGCTGAGGCTGAGAACCTCGTCAAGGATGGCACCATTGCCTTCCACTTCAAGTTGCACGGTCAGAAGCACGCCTTTGAGGCTCAGACCGCCACCGAGCGCAACGGATGGTTCGTTGCTTTCGAGGAGGCCGTCAAGGAGGCCAAGGCTCAGAAGGAGACCATCGTCGCCAGCGAGGGTTACAAGGAGGAACTCTCCAAGCTTGGTAAGTACAATTAATTCATCAAAGGCGCGTCGCGTCGCAATCGGAGGGAAACCATTGCTGCATTCGCTTGTTCCCGTTGCATGGACTCGATGCTAACCCTAAGCGAAGGCAAGCCCGCTGCACTAGTTGCTACCGCCGCTAAGGAGAGCTCCACCCCTAAGAAGAGCACCGACGGTCTCAAGCCTACTGAGGAGAAGCCCGCCGAGGCCACCGAGCCTGTTGTCGCTGAGGGCTCCACTCCTGCTCGTGCCGGATCTTCTTCCAGCTCCTCTTCCGACGAGGAGAAGGAGAAGAAGAAGAAGTCCAAGAGCAAGAGCCGCTCCGTCTCCCGTGGCAAGCGTGCTTCCATCTTCGGTGGTTTCCTCGGAAAGAAGGAGAAGGCTGAAGAGAAGAAGGAGGAAAAGAAGGAGGAGAAGAAGGAGGGCGAGCTCGAGGCTAAGGAGGAGACTGTTGAGCCTACTCCCGCCGCCGCCACCGAGGCTTCCCCTGCCGTCGTTGCTCCTGTTGTCCCTGCCACCGAGGAGGCCCCCAAGCCTGCTGAGGAGACCAAGGTCGAGGAGCCCGTCGCTGCTGCGCCTGTTGTCGCTGAGGAGAAGAAGGTTGAGGAGAAGCCCAAGCCCGCTAAGCGTGCATCCATCTTCGGCAACTTCGTGGAGAAGCTGAAGAGCCCTACCACTGAGAAGAAGGAGTCTGAGGCTGGCCTTGCAGCTGCTCCTGCTGTCCCTCCTAAGGAGACTGAGGTCGCTGCTGAGGCACCTAAGATCGAGGAGATCCCAGCTGTTGCTGCCCCCGTCGAGACCCCCGCTGAGGCTGCCACTGAGGCACCAAAGGAGGAGAAGAAGGAGGAGGTCAAGCCAGCTGCCACCACTCCCCACAAGGAGAAGCAGCACTTCTCTTTCGGAAAGTTCTTGGGTGGCACCAAGGAGAAGGTCAAGTCTCCCAGCGAGGCCAAGAACCCTCTCGAGGTTGCTAAGGAGCCCAAGGTCGAGGAGCCAGTTAAGACTGAGGAGCCCGTTGCTCCCGTCGAGGCCCCCAAGACCGAGGAGACCCCCGCTGCTCCCGTCACTGAGGCCCCCAAGGAGGAGACTCCTGCTGAGGCCTCTTCCCAGCCCAAGCGTGGATCCATCTTCGGCAAGGTCGAGGGTCTCTTCCGCAACGCCAGCAAGGCTGGACGTTCCAAGAAGGAGAAGGAGCCCGCCGCCCACCCCGCCAAGGTCGAGGAGGCTGCTGAGCCCAAGGAGGAGACTCCTGCCACCGAGACTCCCGCCGTCGCCACTGAGGAGAAGAAGGAGGAGACTCCCGCCGCTGCTGCTACCACCGAGCCCACCACCATCGGTGACGTCGTTCCCGATGCGGTTACAGTAGGGCAGGCTCCCAAAAGCGCGCCCCAAGTCTCTACCACTGCATAAGGTATGGTGGGAAGATCCCACCTTCCTCGACGATAGCCATGATGGAATGACGGAAAAGCAAAGATACCGAAGATCCCTTGTTTGACCGCACGGCTTGCACGATGAATACCCCCGAAAATCCTGCATTGGACTACCTCGCAACCTCGCATGTATTCCGGCGCAGGGCCTTGGATTTGAGCTCCCACGCATCACTCTCCTACCCGTACTCATACCCGCCACCCCTTGTCGTCTCTTTCTTTCGCACCGACCCCTGTCACTCGCTCATAGTTATGTGTGGGCATTCATCTGTGGCATTGGACATGTTTGGAGGTCGTCAATCTCTGCTGCTTTCCTTTCGTGCTTATGCCCACTTGTTTGTCTAGATTGATACCACTCTGCACTTGTTTCTCTCTTTTTGATACCAAGTATTTGTTTTACTGTCTGGCCTGGCTGTCGCTATGTTTTCTTGCTTTTTTGTCGCGAAATACCCCTGATACCCTGTGTACAGCCTTATGAGGAGATGTACAAGCGGCCACTAGGGCAACTGAACCCACCTAATAATCTCTAATTAAAATGTGGTTTTCTCGTTGGAACATTCCTGAGACCTCTGATGTGTGATTTTGCATTTTGCGTGTGTATGTGTGTGTGATGTCTCATACCCCTCGGTCTCAACGGAAAAAGCAGGATAAGTAATACCTAGGCATATTTGCGATACCTCCTCCAAGTGTAACTGAGGGTCACGAGTGAGTCTGTAATTCCTAGTTACATGGTACTACACATACACTACTCGTCGTAAGGTCTAGATGAAGACCAAGATGAGGAGTATGGTAAACGATAAGGATCTACTGACCCGATGTTAGTTGTTGATGTTGAGAAGCTCCTCTAGTCATTAGTTTCGCATTACTCGTTACTCAATGGCTAGTTTCACGCTTGCGCACCTCAATTAAGTGGGTTGCAGCATTTGGTATACAATGGCACCACTGAGTAGTGGGCACATGCATGCATTCACACTTACTTGTATATACCTCATAGTCATACTCTACCTACATTGGTACGGAGTAGGTGTACACAGCAAAGAGACAGTACAGGAAAGCAGCGTGAGATTACGGTGACAAGTATGTTTCAAGTTACATACATACTCCGCAACAACAACGGGACAGCAGAAGCTGTGCCCCCTTGAGTATTTGCCTTCTCTTCTCTTTCCCTAGCTCCATCTGGAGGGGTAGGTGATGGATGCTCGTATTGCCTGTGGTCACGGTCACGGTTTACAGTCGGCGGTAAAGTCCTGACCTGTCCCGCACCGGATAGTTAAGCCAACCACCCAACCCCAATCGCCAGTCGCCGCCAGCGCGCGATCGCCAATGCCAATGCCAATGCCAGTCTCGACGTCTAGACTTCCCTTCTAGATTTCACAACTTCTTCTTTCCTGCGCACCTGCTTCAAACCCTCTTCTCTCTCCACTCTCACTCACACACAATCACACACATACTCCTCTCTCCTCCTCTCTTCCCCACTCTCTTCGTAAAAAATCCTCTCAAATGTCACATACACTATCCCGCTCTGTCTATTCCATCGCATAGCTGCATTCGCTTGCTCGCTGTATCTTTTCGCATTACTACGATCAAATACCAGAAGTCGACCGGTCATTGACCCTCTTAAGCAGACGTTCGTTCTGAACCATGGTATGTCGTACAGCTTCTGAGACTCACTTGTCTTGGAGGTTTCCCTGTCTATTTGGACAATGACGATATACTACATGCTAGAGCTTACCGAGGCTTGTCGTGAGCTGCTGCCACTAGCTTCACCATGCTTGTGCCCATATTCACGCTCGAGCTCAGGTCCTGACCCAAGCGCAAGCTCATACTTGCTTAAACTTGTGTTCGCGCCCGTTTTGAAATCTTACTGACGTAGTCGATCACTTAGGGTTGCTGCGCTTCTCGCCCTCAAGCGGGGCAATCGCCTTACAGACATGATCCAACGCTTGCCAACCAAGTAGATGCATCGTCGCGACACATAACGGCCGGCTCTAATCCCGACTCCGCATCTTCTCAGCCCGCTACCTCTGGAGCCGCGGTCGCTGCGCCTAATGTGACTCTCAAATCGATACCGCGATCTGCTCGCGCAAAACTCCCTGCCCCGACGCAGGCTACATCTTTGCACAACCCCGGGCCTTGGACGCGCGAGCGCCTGGCTCGGGAACGCGATGACTGGTGGGACACTCGAACCGAGGGAAACAGGCACATATGGCAGACCTACCAACAAGCTGTGAAATTTGCGCAAGAGGGGGACATTAAGAATGCGCAAGCACTGATCGATGCCGCCGAATGCACCTGCCCAACGGGTGAGCTGTGGCGGCGCATATACGACAATGTGGGAGTCGAATACAGCGTCAGTAGAGCTAAATGGGTCGTTTTGGAACCAGAAGGAATCGTATCGGACGAGGATGCGGCGCGGGAAATGAAGGAGAGGAGCACCGCTGCGAGGACTGGATCTACGAATGACGGAGGATCTGCAGCGGGCGGCACACCAGACCTGTCCTCCCCTATTTCGCCAGTGCAGAGCCAAACTTCGACGCCCGGAACCAATATGAGAGTCTTCTGCCGTATGAGTGATACGAGCAAAGATATACTCATCAAAGCGTTTCCGAATCCAAGAGTGGTCGACATAATTTCTCACTTGCAGCATATGGAAGGGGTAAGTCATCACAGATGCAGTTACCTCCGAGACATCAGCTTTAAATACTAATATCAAATGCAGTACGCCAACAAGCGTCTGAGGGTGGCCTACTTGGGTCACGAACATGATGCCGATGAACCTCTTTCCAATTTCTACCGAGAAGGCGATAGATTGACAGTTCTGGTTCTACCTCAGATTTGATAGCATTCTGGGCCATCACCGCCACCACCCAGAGCTGGATCCATACGAACCCAACGCATCGACTTTCGTCCACCTCTTTACCATGTCACATGAATTCCACCAAATAATCCCACCTTTCTTAAGCGTTGCAGCGCCGCTGACGAGACATCACCGGAACCGTTCGACAGATTCGACAGATGTATATACCCTCTAGCCTCACAACCACCTTCCGTACATTGGCCGGCCGGCCACCATCTTTGGAGTCTATGAGTCTGCATCAGAGATACCCCTTACCTTTCGTTTCCTTTTCTCTTTCTTTTTTTGATTTCCTTCATGTGTCACTACACTCCACCCATCACTGCTACTGGACTTTTCACTCACCTTTTTCTCTTCTCCCCTCCAGTTCATATCCCACTCATCGTTTCCAGCATCTACCGTTCCAATCCCTTTTGGGATTCGAACATGAGCGCTCGTTCGGCGGAAGTTATGTAATCAGAGAGGCTGTGTGCATTTCTCGCTTCTCTTCCCTTCGGCTCTTTTTTTTCTTTTCCATCACAGATATCCCCGGGGCGTTAACACGAGCGAGAGGAGGAGAGATTGCGGTGACATTATGGTCTGGGTCATAAGTAATTAGTCGGCAGTCATCGAGTGGACGGAACGTAGATAATGCGAGAGAGACAGTCACATACGTCAATGTTAATACTCGAATCCATAATGAGATTAAGAATTGGTTGTGCTTTGCGCTCAAGAAACCATCATCTACTTTGACGAAACCGAGTGATGTGATATGATGTGGCTTGATTTGAACGGGTTCTCATTACGGGGACTGTGAACGCTTTCATTTTGCTGTGAATGCGAGAAAGAGAGATGCTTAAAACACACACGCACGCTTGCTTTGATATCTTCTTTTTCTGCCTCAAAATACCCCCTGGGCCTTTCCCATACAACTCATGCAACCATCCAAACCATCCAATGCATCCCCCCTACTTTTCGCGCCCGAACGACGCAAGCATCAAAACAAGATTGCAAAAGACACAACCAACCAACCAACCAACCAACCAACCAACCAACCAACAAAAGACAAAACAGTGCAAGCTTTACGCAGTGACCAAAACATAAGAAGTAATCGCATCCATCCTCTCCTTCGTCAACTTGAGCCCGACCTTGAGCAACTCACTCGCCACCTCCCGCTCCTTCCCCTCCAACTCCCTAAACCTCTCCCTCGTCAACAACCACGCGACGCTATCTTCCTCGGCCGCCACCGTACCCGTGCGATCCGTCTCGCTGAAGAACGGCAGCTCCCCGCATGTCGTGCCGGGGAGAATGACCTCGTAGAACCGCCCCTGGTCGAGCGCGTACTCTGCGCGGAACCGGCCCCGCTCGAGGATGTAGAAGCCGTTGGGTTCGTCGCCGCGGGAGTAGAGGACGGTTCCCGCGGGGAGGTCCTGCCGCGTGAAGTAAGGGGCTAGGCGGTGCCAGAAGTCTTCGTTGCGCGTGGAGACGTCTTCGAAGGTTTGGAGGAGGATTTTCAGGGGTTGGGCGAGGGATTTCCATTTGTTGGGGATGAGGGGGTGGTGTTGTTGCTGTTGTGGGGACGGGTTGGGGGAGGTGGAGGAGGGGAGGTGGTCGGAGGGGGTGTGGTTGGGGAGGCTGCTGCCGCCTTGTTCGGCGCGCATGGTTGCGGCTGCAGCGAGGTATTGGGCTCCGCGGCGTGGGGAGTGGAATTGAGGGTCGAAGAGTGAAGGAGTGGGTTGTTGTTGGGATTGCTGGGAGGGTTGCTGGGCTTGGAGGGAGGCCGCGGGCGTTGAGGTTGCGGTGGTTGCAGCGGGAGTGTGACTGATGGATATTGGGGGTGTGGTCTTGCGCTTCATGCTGGACGCGCTGAACGAGCCATTGTGGCGGCAGTGTAGGTAGAAGGCTTCTAAAAGTTCGTTTTCGCATGATTCCAACGCTGTGTTGAGGTCTTCGAAGACCCTTGGTGGCGGGCTGTCTTCTTCTGACTTTTCTACGTCGAGAAGGCCGACGTTCTGGAGAGCTTGGCCGACTTTGTTGCTGAATGACACGCTGCTGAGGACCATCTTGACGCCCTTGCGGTTGAGGATCCGATTGATTCGTGCGAAGCCTTCGGAGCTGGAGAAGTCGACATCGGTAACGTGCGAGAAGTCGACGACAATGAATCCAATCGGTTGCTTCCGGAAGTTGTCGTCTTCGATTAGAGATCGCATGTACTCCTCCACCGACACAATGGTTCCGAAGAAAAGGAACCCGCTGAGTTTGATGACCCGGATTTGTCCGCGCACCTGACTGAGGTAACGACGGTCTGCACGAGGTCGACGGACTGTGGACTCGGCGACCTCACCACTGTATGTGGCTCGAACAGCTGGTGTCCGGGAGCTCTGAACGACATAGCTCAGGCAAGCCATTACGATGCCGGTGAAGATGCCGACGACAAAGTCGTAGACACCCATGATCAGGACGATCGCAATGATCGTGAGGTACTCTAGCTTGTGGCATTTTCCAAAGGTGTCCCAGACAGCCTCCTGCATAAGCTCGATTCCGAGAAGGAAGATCAGTGCACCAACGAGACAGACGGGGATGAATCCGATCATGGCAGGGCCGGCCACCCAGACAGCAGTTGTCGCCATGGCAAGTAGAAAGCCTGCAAAGCGGCTGTCACCACCATTCGCTATGAACAAGATGCTGTTAGCGTAAACAAGGTAATTCTAAGCACGGTTAGCCAAAGAATCGTTTCATGAATTGACTATCCCTACCTGAATGCTACCAACACAGCCTGAAAGCGTGTTGGAGATGCCATGAGCAATGAGCTCGCGGTTGACATTAACGTCGTCCTCTTTGACCGCCGCTCCGAGCGCTGGAACGTTAATAGGCACGTGGATAATGCCGAAGAAAGATAAAGCAAACATGGTGGGTATAGTGCTGGCAAGAGCTGCGCCATCAACTTGCCCGAATTCTGCCAAATATCAGCTCTGCTCCACGATAAAGGTTACAAGGACGACTTACTGAAATAAGAGTAGAAACGATAAAATGGTACGCCGGCCTCGGGCTTCTCGAATATCCAACCCGAGTTTCGGACGTTCTCCAAATCGAGTTTGAGTATGCCTTTGACAATTGTGTAAAATGCCGCAAATACAACAATGAAAAACGCTGGGAGAATGAACGGGCTCTTGTTCAAGCGCCTCAAAATGAGCACAATAATGGCAAGAGCGAGAGGCAACATCCAAAGATACACTGTGTCGTGTGAGAATAGCTTCTGCAACGTCTCAAAGTCGTAGTTGAGGTTGCCTTCCAGACGTGCAGATACCTCGATACCCGTGACGACCAAGAAGAAACCCACTCCCCCAATGCACCCAATTAGGATGTGCCGTGGGAAGAAGCTGACGAGGTTTCCAAGTTTGAAGCCGCCCAATGCCAGGAAGATGAGACCAGTTACGATGGAGCTTAAACAATACGCTACAATGACGGTGGCCATGATAGCCTCATCGCTCTCGCCCTCCATCTTGGCCATGATCGAATAGGTCATTTTATGGAAGAATGGAACAACTTCAATCATCTCAGAACCAACACCACCTCGGAAGACGGATAGACCGAAGGAGTAGCATAGTTGCGAGACAATGCAGCTAACGAAGAAGATAGAGATACCATCTGGCCCTGTCTTGCTGAAAACGGATTCTCCGAGTGGGAAAAGAATATATCCGTAGGAAAGGGCATCTAGAATATTCAAAAGAAGGCCAAGGAAGACTGCAGATAACGTCTGCAGACTGGCTGTGGCACCTGCAATGGCGGCTTCCTTGGTATATGTTTTCGGGCTGGATATGGTGCGTTGGAACTTGGAGATGTGCTCCTTGCCATGCCGCCATGTATCTCCAAAACCGAATCTCGTTTTTCGGAGGCGGAGTGGTTCGGCCTGCAACTCTCCCGTGGCCTTCGGTTTGGGTTGGGAATCTGTTCGCGAGAGACGAGCTTTAGGAAGTAGCGGCGTGCGCTCTGATGGAAGGTATGATTCTGTGTCCTCCACAACCACCTCGGGTGCAGGCCCTCTCTTTTGTTGCGCCTTGGTCTTTGCCATTTGGCTGGATGAGTCTCCTCGTGTCGTGCCAACGATTGTGGATGACGATTCTGGTTCACTTTCTTCATCAACGACGTCCGTATCGATCGAGTCTGAATATCTCCTTCCAGACCCGAACTCTACATCTGCGTAGAAGTTCCGCCGGCGGCCGGAGAATGAATCTGAATCCGCAAAACTCAACGCTCGGTCTCGGTCCTGGTATACCTCGGAGTCCAATGCGTAGGAGGCGAGTTGGCTCGATCGTTCACGAACGCCATGCGAGGAGTACTGGGGAGGGTTTTCTGTGTATTCAATCAGTCTCATAGCGAACCATAACGACGGGCGCGATCCCAGCGATCCTACCTGGGCCAGAGTGAGAGGCTTGGTGAGCGAAAGACCGTGCCGGAGTCCTTTGGGAGAAGGAGCTAGATAAAAGGGAACCTGCTGTGACGGATGCTGCTCTCGTTGATCGCGAGCGTGGGAGTGTGGCTGACCCAGAGGCAGATTGCTCCAATGCAGCGATGTCGTCTTGGATGTCGTCCTCCCCTGCGAAAGGGAGCTGCTGCTGCTGTCGCCCGTCGTCGGAATCGCCCCGACGACCCAGGGACAGACGAGCTGACATGGTGGCCAGTGGGAAGAGGAATGAATGGTGCAATTCGATAGCCCAGGAAACCAGTGTTGTGGTTGAGCTGTCGGGTGGAGCGAGCGAAATTTCGGGACTGTATGGATGGCGAGCGATCAACCGGGATCAATTGCGCTGGACGTGGGGACGGGCACTAGATGCATTCGTAGGGATCAGGTTAAATGGCAATGGCGGCGCGCGCCCGCATTACGACGGGGTTGCGGTAGTGGTGAGGAGGTCGAGGTCGAGGTCTAGGTCCAGTTCTACTAGGAAGAGTTTGCTGCCAGTATTTAAAAGGGAGGCCGACCATCGTCCGGCCCGCACCCGGCGACGTCATCTTTGGTTGTTGAGCAGAACCACAGATACGGAGAAAAAAAGTTTTCTCTTCTGCAACATTCAATGATAAAGGCCCATGGAGCGATAACACTGATTTGAATACATTTCCTATTCGGGGTTCAATCAAGTAGATACATTGATGTGGACTTTTGGTTGATGGCCATTGAACCAGTTGTATGGCGAGCTATCGCATCACTCCCAACAATCGATGGCGACTGTGAAATGCCTACTGTCCAACCAAACAGAGAGAGAGGAGCGAAGTGGGTATGCATTAATGGTATTACTCGTATGCCGTGCCATGATATGCATCCGCACGGCCCAGAGGTTCCATACGAGCTGCATTAGCGACAGCGTCCGTCTGGCCCACTCTGTAAAATAATTATGTCCTAGAAGATAGAAAGTCACCGTGTACATGTAGACACCTGAATTGGGTAAAGGCAGGCAAGGTGAGACGCGTTCGCACATCGACAGTCAGCTGAAGTGGGACTTGGCTCTTCTTAACCTAAGCAGCCCATGCCCATGTCAGTCGCCCATTCATGAATAAATTCCAAGTGACAGCATCGTCGAAGCACTAGTATGAGTAGATAGATCATCAATTGCCTGTACGGAGTAGTTATCGTGCCCATTCATTCCTTCGATTGTCAATATCATCTAGAATTCGACACCATTAGTTACAACACAGCGTTGTGTCACCCATTGAGTACCTAGGTAGATAGTTCTGCACCTACGCTCGCTTGAAGCAAAGCCACAAGGTACAGGCCCATGTGGTTAGTGTGCGCAACCCAATTCGGTGCAGGCTACATGACACCTTCTGATCGTTGGCTGCGGCGACGTGCGATTTTGTCGTTCCCCGTGATCACGATGCCTGTAAGCTTCGAGCGATATTATCCCACGCAAAGCATACCGACCCACCGGACCCAGTCTGAGTGGACCGTTGGTCAACCGTCCTGCAGCATCACTTGAAATTAATTGTCAAGATGATTCTGTCGAACGTTCCGACAGAGTCGTCTCGAAGTTGAAATCGTACCATCCCATCGTGGGGGGCGCGGGGATGCTCTTGGCTGCTTCCGCGGATGCTGTTTTTGTTGTTGTGCTTGCAGGTCTGCTGCTTTGCAACGCTCAACGCTTCTTTTAACCCAATCGTTGAAGATACCCCTGCGCGATGAGTCTTTCAACATCACCTTGACGCACATAGAATTGACTGTTCTTCGTCAAGGTAATAGAACTTAAGTTTGAGTCAGTCGCGGTGATCATCATCGATTCTAGAGACATTACTCACCCGTATTCGGTCTGGATCTCCCCCGCGTCTTTGAGTACTCGTACGTCAATGAACAAGTCCTTGGGAGGTTCGAGACTGCCCGTCAAGTCGATATCCGTCCATTGACCCTTGTATGCAGCAAGCAGATCGCTGTATTGACGAACGTACTCCTCCTCCTCGGGGCTAAGACTGCTTGAGTTGCCGTCAGACCCTAATGTTGTTGCCCCTTCGCCACCTGGTTTACTGGTCTGCTGCTGCTGTTGTCTTTCAAGGACATCGACACCACCCCAGCACATCTCCTCAAGCTTGTCTGATCGAACCCGGTGATACGCCAGTAAGCATCGTTTGTTTCTCCGCATGCAAAGGTGGTTGACTAGGAGAGCACAGGCAGTTGCGGGCTCAGTGGAGGGGTTGAAGGACCCAGCGAATGGTTCTAGGATCGTCCCTACGTCTTTGTCTAGGTCACGAACCTCTCGAGTGACCGCTCTGACCATCTCAGTTCTGTAACGGGGTAGGTGGGCGAGGGACTGCGTCCGCTTTGCATCTTGGACCTTCACACGATGTTAGCCAGGCCACTTGAGATGTGCAGCAATAGCGGGGTAGTATACCAGCTTGTTGCCAATTTCTCCATACATTCTGATCGTCGAGCGGCCAGTGCGCCCTAGAATATTCTTAGAAGAAGGTTAAGTGAAAGAAAGACAGGCGCAGTGGAAGGCCGTGTTTTTCGAGGAGACAAAGGAATGATACCTCTGCTGGCTTGTCGGCTTTGGGGCGAACGCGGGATCATCAGTCGCGTCGGTACCTGCAGGCGTTGCGCTAACGCTGTTCGTGGCCTGTGCGTACTGTGCTCCGTCTAATTGTTCTTTCTTCTTCCAACGTCCCATCATTATCAACCTAACCTAGCGAGCAGCAACAACAACAACAACTACACGCCTCTTCACCAAGCCACCGCGGAGGGACTATCGCCGCCTATCCTTGCTCGCAAGGCTTCGATAGCAGTTTCACCATGCTCGAGACCACTTCACGAAGCAGACAACAGGAGCTTGTGACCATAGGTAGAGAAACGTGCAGAACGGAGGTTTACAATCAGCCAACTACTGAGTGATCAATGCTCCTCAGAGAGAATGGATATTCGATTTGAGTAAAACATCAATTAGTTGACGACTTTAACATTGCACACTTAAGACTTTCACTTATGAGAGAACAGTGTCATGATGGAAAAAAAACCCATATTACTGAAATCTAGGTAACTCAAAGGTAACCACAAAAAATGCTTGTCAAACTGTCATCCAATTGTGACAGGACGATGGGTATACCCTGATGAACTCCTTCCGTAATCCTTCCGTACTCCTTCCAAACTCCTTAAAAATACAACTTCGTTATTCTAGGACAAGCGAATGCCATAGCTTCAGTATGCTACAACGCAAGATCCTTGCTTGACGTTGAATCTGACCAGCAGGTTCGGGTTATGTACTTTCCTCCTCTCCCGGAGGAATCGCACTGATGTACAGAGCTCACTGATATGCCCATCATGAAGCTTCCATCCACTTTTCAAATTCACAACCCTGTTCTATGGCTGCCAGGTGAGAATCTGCTTGCCACTGCTCGGGGTGATAATCTGCTTGCGGCGCTCCTGCTCCTAGCAAACCGTGAACACCGTCCTGCTCCAGCTCCAAGATTTGGCCATGATGCGTCATCGCAGGCTCCAAAGCCTGGTGTCCTCCGTCATAGGCTAAGAGCATTGGGTCCACCTGTCCCTCATCGGTCAATGGTGTCCCAGTATGCGAATGCAGCGATTGCATCATATCGGCTGCATTGCCTCCTGGCAACCCAAGCAAAGCATGTCCCGAAGAGAATTGCATGGTGGTAGTAGGTGTATCAATCTTTCGCATGCGCAGGTCATCCATATGGCCCATGCTCATAGTTGGATGTATGTTGGGTGGGAAATATTGAGTGTAGATTTCGTTGTGCATGGGCATGCTCATGTGCCTACTGTCGGACGACACATCCCAAGACGGTCTGCTCATGCCGCTCCCATTCGACATGTAAGAGCGGTCGTAGTAATTTGCTCTCATGTTGTTTACAGGGTATCCTACGGTTCGGTCGAGCCTGCGAGCAGATCTCGGTCTTGACCGGCCGGGGGCCCAGTCGGCGTCGTCCAAATCACTGGGCTCGTCGTCGTCGGAAAACTCGGCCTTCCGTTTTTTGGCTGCCGAGATCGATTTACTTGGAGAAAACTTATAGTCCGGGTGGGCATTCTGATGGTTGAGTCTTTCAATCTTCGCGTACTCCGTGTACATATCGCGGACTTCGGGCGGTTCCAAGGGCCAGCTCTCTCCAGAGACGGAGGACACCACCTGGTGGTTATTCTGTAGGCACCACTGTTTAGTCCTCTCTGCATACGCGGAACGATACAACATGAAGGAGTTCATGGGTCTGGTGATGTACCCATTTTTCTTTTCCACCTCCTTTCGTCTCACTTCTATTGATCGCTTGACCCAAGCTCCCATATCTCGTACTGGTATCGAGGCCATGTTCTTTGTCAACACGCTTAAGGGTGCCGTCAATTTAGGCGTCTTCCGGTTGAAATCCTTGCCGGACTTCTTCCTAGACTTAGGAGTTGATCTTATCCTCGCGGGTGGCTGTCGTTTTGGCGAACGTGATGAACGCACAGATTCGCCGCTTCGCGTTTGTCGGTGTAGGTCGTCGTTCTCATTCGTGGAACGAGGTGTAGGGGGTGAGCCTGAAAATACGGGATGGGTCTATTCTAGTTAGCAAAGTCCAATATCGACATGACTATACTGGTCACTTACAGGAAGGCCGTTATAATGACCGTCGGAATAAAAGCTAGAGCTGTGGTGATAAGTATCCTGTCTACAATCAGTATGTTACAATCTCCTTCAGTTTCACAGTGTCCTTACATATTGTATATCTAGCCCAATTCCTGGAGCGCCTTGCGATACCAGGTGAGCGGGGTGGAACGGTACTGTGGCCATTCCGTCTTGTGCCACTGGAGCTGGGGAGTCGTACCCGGAGGCACACGATTGTGAGTCCTCAATCGAAAACTTTCGGTCTTCGTTAAACTGCGCAATTTGCTGCATGCCGGAGTGTAAGTCTGCGCTGACGCTTAGTGGGGTCGGGGGGTGTTGTTGAAGGACAGACTTTGTCGCCATGGCTGGGTACTAAATCCAAGGCTTGGTGAAAAGTGGAAGGAACCAAGGGGACTTTGCCAACGAAAGATATATACCAGTAGCTCGATCCACTCCGAAACACGTCTGTACGGCCTCAATGTACAGTCTTGACGTTGTTAAGGAAGCTGGTTGAAGTGTTGAAAGTGCTTTGTGAACGGCGTTGTGAAGGGTGGCGAGCCGATTTGCACAGCGCAACACCACAAGTAGGAGGTCGAATGATGGTCCAATTCTCTAACAAGAGCAGGAAATACAATAAGGAATGAGTTCAGAATAAGCGATGTTCAATCCAGTTAACAGACCTAGTTCTGTATGTCAGTGTTGTTGCTCAAACCGCGCATCGCTGCATACACCCCCAGTTTGCTTCCTGCAAAGGGACATGCACAGCAAAACACTAAGAGATGCGGTAACGGAATTTTGGTACATACTCTACTTGCACTTCACCGGATCAACCTTGGATTTCGGAAGCAATTGTACGGGACGTTTGGGGCAGATATGTGCCAATCTCAAACAGAACGTGGTGTGTCTAAGATTGGTGGAATGGCACGTTTCTTTGTCGGGCCAAAAATTGGCAACCGTGATAAGGCGAATCTAAGTGGCAGAACTCTTTGTCTATAAAGGTAAGTTCAGAGGTATTTGTAGCGACAGCTGAGCCTCGAGGTCTTCTACTCACAGTGAGTATAGCCAACCAGGGCTGGTGTCTGAAGACGGACAAAGAATACCGGATCCGTGGAGTATCTCTCGAACCTTGCCACAATTGGAAACTGCAGCTTTTTATGGGTATCGATACAGTCGGGGTCGTCGAGCGGATGTCTGCAAGTAATATGTCCCTAGTCTGAGGGGCTCTCCCGGCGCGCTCATAACGCCAGTTATCATATGTTGCGACAACTCGTGGTTGAAAACGGCGGCCATCTTACTCCACTTGGGGTAGCACTGGCAGTCGAACGCCATGATCGCATCGACATCAGGGCCATGCCCTATCGGGCCCTAATGCGGTGACAGTCATGGTGGGGATATGCACCAGTCCAGGCTGTCTGTCGATCCAGACTAGCATCTTGTCTGCACATTAGCGGTCATGTGGTCTGACTTCACTCTCATTACATGTTGCCGTGTCTTCTTCACGGGGGATGTGGTAGACCCCTCAGGGAGAGAGTATGCTGTTACACAAAGAGTCGAAGGGCCACATTCCTTGCACCAATGCCATTTGCAGGCGACCCTACCATGCCCAGTTACGTCTCCACAGCGGAGGGCTGTCTCAAGCAGTATCATTTCAAGTCTTGTTGCTCTGTCGCGCCGCGGCCGCCTGGGTTGATAGATTGGTAGGATCTCCAAGACCGCTATATCACGCCTTAGCGTGAGACTGGGGTGCACCTTACAGCGGTTACCTGCATTGCAGGACGGTCAGCACCCCATGGACACATCGAAAAGACCTCCTCTCCGCAGGAAAACTAATAATCTCATCCACTATCTCCCCCACTATTCTATCACTCTTGGAGGAGCGCTGCTGGGGCGGAGAAGACTTCACTGCTATGCTTTCTATTGACGCAGCACAATAAGAAAAAACTATCAATAGAGATTCTTTGGGTTGCAGGATCACTGCGGCCCCCCATAGTAGTCCTCTCAATGCATGTTTTCTTATTTGCGGCGAGGTCAAACAACCCGAAAGCGAGTTGGGAGGCAGTTCAACAAATCTGCACGTACGATGATGTGGAGTCATTTTCAGGCCATACGCCATTGCAGGCATCACGATTGGCAGGGCTGCCAACTCCTTCCCACGACTCCGAGCCAATTCCGACTCGTCGACGCAAATGAGGAGCCGTATAGTCAACCAGACTTGCTCCTCTGTTGTGCTCGGCAGATCCGGGTTAGTCAGTAAGATGCCGAGGACCGTCAGGTTTGGTACCAAAACTAGTGCACCAAATGGTATGAATAGGCTAGGAAGCACAATTCCTACAGCGGCTGCGACTGCGAGCTACGAGTATCTAATGTCACGGTATATTCCTGACGCATGCAGCAAAAATCGGTTGCATCCGGTCGATCCTGGTATCAATTGTCTGGGATTAGCCCCTGTCACAGGCGCGCAAGGAATGTACGCCATTTCCATAAGCAGTTGATAACCAAACGCAGCGGGCATATCAATCAAAAGTTGCGGAAAACTGACTGGGCCTGGCAAGCGATGCAGTGAAGCAAGCGGCAGAAAATGTGCTTCGCTTGCGTCTAACACACGCTTGAATCAGGGGCAGGTTTGCTTTTTCATTGCTTCTTGGTCGGCTCGGGATCGCCTGCATTGATTGAAGATACCGACCGCCAGGCAAATGGCGCGGGATATGCGCGGCTGCATCGTCTACACGGTATGGAAATATGTGATTGTTGAGGACCTTCCTACCGACCAAGATTTCATAATTAGGTATTCAAAGTATCTGGACGGGTTGACGTTGACCCAAAAAATGGATAGAATGTGATTGGCACGAATTACTATTTGTGGTTAATAGAACCGAATGACATCTTTTACCTGATACAATGTTGACTCGTATGCGATTGCGGGGCAACAGATGGGGAGGTCTCGGCAACTAAAATCTTTAGGGCGAGGTTTAATCATGTTCAATTGCTTGGGAGCATCTTTATCCCCCCCGTCTTTCTACCTGTCTCGACTCCGTACCTCGTATCTACTCTACTCGTACCTCTGCCTGTCTTCTAACTATCGTTCAATGGCACGCCTTCAAATCCTAAATCAAGTTCAAGGCATCTCTATCCGAATACGGTAATTTTGTTCATGAGTCGAACTGAATTCTCTGCCGCTCTATCCATACCCACACACATAAGCCATCGATTGCTAAGGCATGCTCAACATCCCAATACCATGTCACCTCCTACGAGGCCACTCCAAGAGGAAGCTGTCATGGCGTTTAGGGGACTTCATTGGGTGCGTATGGCCGTGCCTCAGTTCTGCATGTAATAGTCGACGCCTGTGGCGTTCCATTTCCCTAGCTTGTTTTCTCTAGACCGATTACATTCCGCGGGCGCTAATGGAATTGCAGTACTTACTATTCTTGGTTTAAGTAGATATCTGCTACGAGTAACTAACCGTCCAACTGTCCAACTGTCCAACTGTCCAACTGCCCATCCCATAGCCAAGTCCATTGCCTATGTAGGCGTAATGTGGATGGACAATGAAAAGCAATGGTTCTCGTGGCACCTGCAGCCTCGAACGCTTCATTGGTCAGAGGAATATCATCCGCGCGGCCGCCCATCGCGACGGCCATTGTGCACGCACACAATCTCTAATCTCTCCCTCGTGCTCGCGCTACAGATCAAGCTTCACGTTCAGGAGAATTCGATCGGACACGATCCATACCAACAACCTCGCTCGTCCTTTGCGGCACAGTATCGTCGAAGTGGCACAGTACCCCACTTTACTAGGATACGCGAGCCACGGTTGAGTAGTGTGTAATGGCACGGGAATGCCGTTTGGTTGTTTCGGGGAAGCAGTTGTACTCTACCGCTCGATTCTCGATTCGTCACCACCCACTATCTTTCCTACGAGTATGCCGCGTGTGCCCTCGTTCTGGTCGTACTGCTGTGCGGTGCCCTGAGCCGGAAAACTAAGGGCAGCTAAGGCACTCGCTGGCTAACTATCATGCTATTGCTTCCGTTCTCCTCGTCGCCGATGCGCCTCGTCTCGTTCCTCGCATAGCAGTATCTTAGTACGGTTCACGTTACCCAAGATTTCCGCTGGGCCATGGCATTGCAATCTGTACAGTGGTAGAACTCGCTTGTCAATGCTTACTCTGGCATCGATATGCCAAATAGCGCCTCCTCGGACCTCATATAAACATGACATTTGACGGTACACTTGATCATTTGAGTCGAAGATGCACAGAGGGGAAGAGAGGGGTGTTCAAACGGTCATTGCGGTCGGAGAAGCGATGTCGACCGTCCGACTTGCCAAGCTGGACGTGGGGATGAATCGGCATATATTTTCACGATGCAGGGTACAAGCCGCACGCACAGACACGTGTGAGTGTGCTTGCAATGGATGATCTTGACAGGAGGATCTCGTCCAAAAAAGGCCCAGTAAGGGAGCGAATCGGTTCCCTCGCCGTCGATTCAGTATTACCCATGTTTGGCTGTCGCTCTGAATTGAGGGTGTGAGTGGCCAGGGGTTTCTTCTTTCATCAATTCCTCTCTTAGTGCGGCCGCGGGCAGGGTCTACCCGGATATCTTCTCGAACAACCACCATCCACCAATAGGTCCCGTGGATAGAGCAATTCTTGTGGCTTCATAGACCTTGTTTTTTGCCAGTTAATCTGCGTGACTCTGTCTTGCTGCCAAGGATGAAGTATGGTGTTCCGCATTTCGCGTGCTTCCACCGCTCCGAGGATATGCCATCACATCTATTCACTATGCCATTGGATCTCTGGTTTTCGCCTCGTCCATGGCATCAACTGTGTCCCTCAAGTTCGGTCCGTACCCCAGCTCACGTTGCCAGCCGCTATGCACGTATATAGAAGTTGGTGGACGTCGCCAAGCTATATGCACTTCTGCATTACCCACGCCACGACTTCCACAGTCGCCGATATATTATTGTACCTAGAGGACCCGGGAACCTGGATAACACGAGAATTCACATGAAAAGGCTGCAGCGGTGATAGGATGCAACTCGAACTAGAACGAAATGCCTCCCTCCCTACCTGTCCTGCCTCCCTGCCTCCCTGCCTCTCCACGGAGCTTATCAATCGATCGCGGAGGTAAACGGCTTGAACATGCACGCTCTCAAGATTGCAGCACGATCGAGCGTCTCGCTCCCCCCAGCATCCTCTAGCTGCAAGATAGTTACATCGATTGCGAAGGTAAGCACCATTGGCAGTCTGGACGGTCGACCTTTCGTCATACCATATTTGCATCAACCCATGCTTGTCTCGATCTGTTTATTGCTGCTACTATAGTAAGGCTCGGTGTTCGACTCAGCCTTGCGCATAGCAACGCAGCACAACAACGAGGACACACAGTAGCGGGACAGCCACGGAGGGCGCTGGGCGGTTCCAGCATTAAACGGTCCTCAGCACGTGGATGTTCCTTTGTGAACGAACGAATCGAAATAAGGACAAAGGTCCTCGCCAAGAGATCACCACAAAGAAGAACGTCCCCCAAGGATCTGGAGATTGGTTTCGAAATAGAAACATCCCCATGACAAACAAGGTCTCTTCAGTTTCTGCACATCGCAGTTTGTCTGGGAGGAAGAGACATTCGAAAATAGCACGAGACAATCGGTCAAAGCTGCAGAGTCCCATGCCCCCGACAATTGCAATGTTCAAGCAGTGTTCACGCCCCCTTCCTATATGTAAACACAGTGTGTCTGACGTTTGAACATGCATTGTTCGAGTATCAACATGGGAAACATACACCCCGGCTCGAACATTGCGAACAAGTGTAGAGTAGACTCAACTTCACATTTTCAATGTCAGAAAGAAGTCTGTCAACCCGTGAGGATGATTCCAAGAGCGTCCTCGAGGCCAATGTGTCCATATCGTCTTATGAGACTGACACAGAAACATCGCCTTCACCACGAGATGGCCTTTTTTATAGGGCTTGGCCAGAACCATCGCCTCCCACTGTTTCAAGACCATGGCGTGTTAGCGATACAGATGCCAGCGTTAGCAGCGCTGGAGCTAGTCTCAGTATCAGCGACGTCGACGTTAAAACCATCATGCAAAATGCATACCTACGTTTTGCCAACAAATACAAAGACCATGACTCCGACATATTCAAGATCGAATCCAGCAAGGCCCCCGATCACGTTCAACAGACCACAATCAAAACGCCAGAGTCGCCAAAGGTTGCCCATGAAACACCCGATAAGCCTCAGAATGCGGCGGGAAGTGCGACCAAAACTGCAGCAACGATGACGAGGGCCCTCGAAGCCAAGATGAAGCCTAAGATTCCGTATAAGAAAAAAGCCCTCAGGACCAAAGAGGTCGCGAGCTCCCCGCTAGGACCGAACAGAGGTCGAAAGGCAACGCGGGAGGAAGAATCTCCTGGTATTGTGCATTCCCCCGCACACAAGCCTAAACCAGACACGAAGGGAAAATCCAAAATTACCGAACCATTCCAAGAGGTACCAGAAACAGAGAGTCTAGCAATGCAAGCTCAAGTGCCATCTCAAGACCTCGATTTGCAGGAAGATTACGAACTCATGAAGGAACTCGTAGCAGAACACGAGGTTCTCCACGAACAGCTGCTCGAAGAGATTGCGCATTTGACCGAGGGTGTAGAGACATTGCAGGAGTGGTATACCGAGCTGGGAGATGTGCTCCAAATGTTCGTGATGCATCAGAGGCTAGAGAAACGACTTGAGTCGTGGAGTAGCTCAAGCGGGTCGTCACGATCTAGCTCTTCTGCTTCTAGTCCCCACCAAAAACCTAGTTCTCCTTCTCCCAGTCACCGTCGAAGATCAAGCAGTGATAGACACAGATTCACGAAGTCGCGTCGATCAAGCTTATCCAAGGAGCCCGATGCAGGCCCTCACTTCGAGCACCCTCAGGTAGTGGAAGTGGACGAGCACCCTCCGCTAGTAGAAGTGGACGTCAAACGCTCAGAATCCATTCACAGGCCATCACGAAGTTATTCCTTGATGAGAAGGCAACTAAGCACGGATATGAAAGACCTCGTGCTCGGCGGACCCGTCCAGCAAAATAGTGAAGAGACACTCAATCCCGCCGGCGATATCACAAACTACCCGACATCCATGTTGGACCAGTACCTCGCCATCCGCTTGGCCCTTGAGGAAAAGGTTGCCCTTGTTCAAAAACAGAACGATGAAACGGGAAAAGAATTAGAGGAATTCAAAGAAACGCAACTCATATCGCAATCCAAACTTGCTGAGCTTGAGAACCTTCTGCGGTTAGCAGTGCTCAAAGAGTCTGACGAGGCGAACAACGAGGTAGCGGAACAGAAGGACAGCTGGGAGAAACTATACCATGACAAGGTGTCCACATTCGACGCTATTGAGGAGGCCTACATTGCTCAGAAGGACGCCCTCAAACGTGAGGTAGAAATATGGAAACAGAAACACGACGATCGACAAGAGCACTGCGAGATCCTCGCTCGTCAGTTTGAGTTCGCGGGATCGACCCAGAAGAAAGGGAGGGGGGCACTTCGTCGTAACAAAAGATCATTCGGCTTCCCTCGTCTCTACATTGAGGATGATAGCGATGTTCAACCTGTTTACGACGAGCAAGGCTTTTACGTTGAGCAAGGCTTTTACGACGAGCAAGACTTTTACGACGAGCAAGACTTTTACGACGAGCAGTCATCGATCGCAGTAATTCTACCCAGCAAGGATCCAGTCCCTATGTTGGACAACATACCGTTGGACAACGATAGCGCGCAAAAGCGCATCCTCCAGGGTTGTGTAGATACTATCGAAACTCGAGCAAGAGCATTAGACACCAACAGTACTGTCCAACTCACTCTAGAGTATTGTCCCGACGAATTCCACGATCAACTTGAAATCGCAGCCACCCCCGAACCACCCACTGGAGGATACTACTATACCTCCCCTCCAATCACCCCCCCTCCGACTCCCCCCCTCCATCGCATGAAACCGAGGCGCAAGTACGATTCACCAAAAGAGGTAGCAAGGAGAAAAGCTGCTTTATCGGAACTTTCCGAGAAACAAAAGGCAAGAAGGTTCTTAGACGCCGTGAAGGATCACCAGCTTGAACAAGCACGTAAGCAGCGAATGAGGCCTCACTATCCACCAGATCAACCTGGGTACGAGGAATTCAAGCGACAAAGTACCTATTACCGATGCGACTTTTCCCGTTGGCTGTCATATTATGCCACGGACGAAGAACGGGCTGATGCAGAGACTTTGGGTTGGCGGTGGAGGAAAGCTCCACAACAGATGAATAATTAGAATCGCCACCAAACTTGATACTCACGATGATGTCCATATACCCCGAACCTTAGATTATTTGAACTAGAATTTCACTCCCTAGCATAGCGTGAATCCATAGCCATAAAATAGCATGATGGTCAACATCGCATAGCCTCAGATGTCTTAGAAATACCATTGTTCTCTTGCCACTATCTCACAATTGCATGCACATCCCAAGCAAGGCGTTAGGCAGTCGTGAGATTCCACAAGGCAGATTGCCGATCCAACCCTGGGCGCCTAAATATGTATTACCACCATTCCCTAGCCAAACCCTCGCAACTTGCAACTCGCAATTCGATATATTCTCATACTTAAAACCCCGCATTATCCAATTCTCAAACTCACAAGGAGAAAAAAGAATTTCTCATGCTTTCTTCCCTCTTAGCCATGGCGTCTCAAAACAATCCCCCCGCCGGACAGGTCCCACTCATTGACCCCAACAACGTCGAAACAACAGGCCCCTACAAAGGTCTCCCTAAGCTCCCAGATGGCATGGTATGGCACCAGTTCCCCTACAACTCCCTCTTCCTGTCCGACCCCATCTGGTACGACTCGCTCGGCATCAATCTCCTAGACCGACGCGAGGTATGGGACATCACCGACGTTGAGGAACTGCACAAGGTCCTGAAAGAGATATACACCGAATGTCCTAACAAAGGGATGGATATTGTGTTTAAAGCGGCTGTGAAGGGGCGTGCGGATGTGATCAGGTGGGCGATGGGGGAGGGAATCAAGTTGCATCCTTCTGGTGGGAATGGCGGCGCTGGCGGCGAGGCAACTGGTGGTGAGGAAGACGATATGAGTTGTGTGCCGGTGCATGCGGCGGCGGCGAATGGGAACTTGGAGTGCGTTAAGGTGTTGATTGAGGAGGGTGGTATCATCGTGGATGCGACGTGTGAGTTGGGTGGAACGCCCGTGATGCGAGCTGCGCGTGAGAACCATAACGATATCTTGAAATGGCTCATCCAGAAAGGTGCGGATTTGACACTGGCACAATGGACAGATGGTCAGGGGGATTGGAGTGCGCTTGACTTTGCAGCGAGTGCGGGTAATCTTGAGGGCGTGAAGATGCTTTATGACGCATTGGCAGAGAAAGCACTGGCGGATGGGAAGGACACTACAAGTATCATCACTACGCTGACAGTACAAGCTGCTGCAAACTCGAAGGACTTCAAAACACTCGAGTATATTTTGAGCAAGGGCGGCTTTCCGACTCAATCTAGCGAAGAGGGGAATGGGTTTCTGGGTGCACAAATCACGGCTGCCCAAAAAGAAACTATTCGATCTGCCCTACACAGAGCTACGATCGCTGGATCGGATGTTCTTGAACTACTCTTTTCCTATTTGACGCCGAAGAAGGACGGCCAATTCGATTATTTCGACTCTGATCCAGAGTTGAAAGACAAATTGTGCAATGCGGCGGGCAACGCACTTGTCAGAGGCGACATTGACACATTCAACTTGGTGTGGAAGACAGGACTAGACGATCCCAAATCAGATATCATCGCCGGCGAAGCTCCCGGCTCAAGATCGAAGCAAGATGTTCTCGCCAACCTCTTCACCGACGTCTTGCGAGAGGCACCTCTACCCGCCATCAGGCACCTAGTGCAGCAGTATGGCGTTGATCCCCATACCGCGGTGGACCAGCATTACTCGTCGGCACTCTACAAAGCTACCTCTTCCAACAACATCGAAGTTGTCCGGTACTTACTGGAAGAGCATGCTTTTGATATCGATCTAGCTAGTGGGAAGTTCGCCAACGGTCCTACTGCCCTGGCTATTGCGGTGTTAGAAGGCCACAAAGACGTGGTGAAACTACTTCTCAAGTATGGCGGGCCGGTCGAGGTCATCGAGCAGGAGGTTGAGTTCAAAGAGGCGAGGAAATTGATCATCAGCGCGGCGATGGTCTACCGACAGGACGTGAAAGTGATCATCGCTGGTGCAGAGCGTGAAGCTCGAGAGCAGAATAGCAATCAAGGAAGAGTAATGATAGTAGTTACTGACGAGGAGGACACTACTTGGTTACATTCGATACGAAAGCGGAAGACCGATGAAGAGTTAAAAGCCGCCGATATACATAAGAGGGAATTGAGGAAACCAGATGCTTGATAGTACCCATCGCAATATAAGTTTATCGAGTCTATTGTAGCATTGTATGTTCCATTCATTCTGAGTTAACTTTTACTACCCATCGTTGTCTTGGATATCTCAGCTCGAGCGAGACATTCCACAGACTTGTGTCTCCCGAGAAAGGCAACTCGATCGTCATCTCTTGAGTTCTCTACATGCTATTGTAGCACAATGATTTAGTACTCTGTATGGTCACTAAAATTAGTTGAGTCTATCGATTGTCTTTAGCGGATTATCCCCATCTTATCAAAGCGACTTCCATCAACCAGAACATCATATGATGCTCATCCATATATATAGCGCAACTCTAATTTCTGAGAAAGTAATAACACCGACGCCCGCTATGAGTAGTGCGCATCGGCCTTGTGATAGGACGCACAATGTAACGCCATCTCCCCTTGCTTTAATATAAGCCGCTCGCCAAAGCCGGGAACTGAATGCTTAATGAGTCTTGTATCCCCTGTCACCACCCCCCGCTGATCGCCCGCCTCAGTCTGGGCAACGGCTCAGGCCATCCTGCAGGCCACATGCACAAGCCATGACCCTCAATTCTCCCCGCCGCACGACGAGTGGTGGAATCTTGTACTACCTAGACTTGCCTTCTTAGCCCCGGATGCAATCATGTCGACTTCGCGGGAGAAACTTGAAATAGATTATAATGGGAAATTGCATAGTCGCGGGGTACCTAGTACACGTCATGGTGCCATTGGTAGCTACGGGCGTGTTAAGCCTCGGACGTCCTGGTAAGGGTATTTACAGAGATGTTGTCCCTGTTTTCAGGTACTTAATCAATTTGCTGATTCTGTCCTAATTGTTCCAGGATGAGACGAATTTCCAAGCTCGCGGGTGCCATTGCGCTCTCCTGCTTCGCAGTTCAAACCTGCGCCAAAGCAGTGGGCTACTCGCCGAAGGAGTGGATTAGAACATCCAAAAGAGGTCCGCTACAAGATATTGTGGGTTGTATTAAAGAAACGCGGATCATATGTTCAGTCGATTAATCTGTCTATGCAGGTCACTTGGGATGAGGACTCACTATTTGTCAATGGCGAGCGTTTACTTTTATATAGCGGCGAGGTGCATCCCTACAGGTATAATCGTCCAGGAATGAATCAAGACATTGTCCGCTAATAAGCCACTCAGACTCCCTGTCCCTGATTTGCATCGCGATATTTTCCAAAAGATCAAAGCTCTTGGTTACAATGGCGTGTCTTTCTACGTGGATTGGGCGCTACTAGAAGGCAAGCCTGGGACCTATCGCGCAGATGGTGTCTTCGACTTGAAGCCTTTCTTCGATGCTGCTTCAGAGGTTGGCATATACCTCATTGCCCGTCCAGGCCCTTACATCAACGCCGAGGTTAGTGGAGGAGGATTCCCAGGTTGGCTGCAGCGCGTAAATGGTACATTGCGAACCAAATCTCCCGAGTTCCTTAAAGCGACAGACTTGTATATGGCCAGCATTGGAAAGACGATTGCAGATGCTCAAATCACAAACGGTGGGCCAATTATCCTAGTCCAGCCGGAAAATGAATACACACAGGCCACATCCGACCAGGTCTTCCCTGATCCAGACTACATGGAGTACATCTACAAACAGCTTCGCGATGCCGGAGTCGTTGTCCCTCTCATCAGCAATGATGCTTCACCCAAAGGACACAACGCCCCGGGACAACCTGCGCCCGTAGACATCTACGGCCACGACGGCTACCCCCTTGGATTCGACTGCGCGAATCCAGCCGTTTGGCCAGATAAAGCTCTACCAGCAAATTGGAGACAGCTGCACGAGCAACAGAGCCCAAGCACCCCTTACTCGATTCTGGAGTTCCAGGGAGGATCCTTCGATCCTTGGGGCGGTCCAGGGTTTGACAAGTGCGAAGTACTAGTCAGTTCAGAGTTCCAGCGAGTATTCTACAAGAACCTCTACAGTTTCGGCGTCACGATATTGAATCTTTACATGACATTTGGCGGAACGAATTGGGGCAATCTCGGACACCCTGGCGGATACACATCGTACGACTACGCAGCCGTGATCCGCGAAGATCGTCGAGTCGACAGGGAGAAATACTCCGAGCAGAAGCTGCAAGCAAACTTCTTGAAAGTGTCGCCCCAGTATCTCACCCTTACCCCTGGAAACTCATCGAATAATCTCTGGACGACGAGCACTGATCTCACCGTCACTGTTGCGGCAAACGAGAGCACGAGATTCTACTATGTGCGGCACGCCAAGTACAATACCCTCGACTCGACAAAATACAAACTCACCATCCCGACTACGGCGTTTGGAAACATTACTGTTCCTCAGATTGCCAATACGAGTCTCACCCTCAGTGGCCGTGACTCGAAGATTCATGTCAGCAATTATGACATCGGGCAAGCAACGCTTGTATACAGCACTGCAGAGATTTTCACCTGGCATAAGTATGAGGATAAGACCGTTTTGGTCTTGTACGGTGGGCCAGGAGAGACACATGAGTTCGTTCTGGCAGTCACTGGACTCGAAGTCCTCGAAGGCGAGGTTCAATCCATCGCAACCAGGGGATACACGCTGGTCAACTTCGAAGCCAACGAGAAGAGGAAAGTGGTCAAGGTCGGAGTGGGAAGTAATTTCATTTATGTCTACATGCTGGGTAAGTTGATCAAAAAGATGATCCTCGAAAGCTCTACTGACATGTAACAGATCGCAACTCCGCCTACAACCACTGGTCCATCGACACTGCACCTCACGACTCCTCCCACGCCGTCATCCTCAAAGCCGGCTACCTCATGCGTACCGCAAAGATCGATGGGAACACCCTCTCCCTGACTGGCGACGTGAACGCAACGACCCCCATCGAGATCCTCGGCGGTGCGCCCTCCTCCCTCTCAACCCTAACCTTCAACAAGCGCCCCCTCCCCTTCCAAACCTCCAACCAAACCGGCGCCATAACAGCCACAATCCCCTACAACCCACCCGAACTCTCCATCCCCAACCTCTCCACCCTCCAATGGCACTACCTCGACTCCCTCCCGGAGCTTCTCCCAACCTACAACTCCACCCGCTGGACCTCCGCCTCCCACCCCAAAACCCCCAACACGCACCGCCCCCTCACGACCCCAACATCCCTCTACGCCTCCGACTACGGCTACCACACCGGTGCGCTCCTCTACAGCGGCACCTTCACCTCCACCGGCAACGAAACCACCCTCTCCCTCTCCACATCCGGCGGCTCCGCCTTCGCCCACTCCGCCTGGCTAGACGACCACTTCCTCGGCTCGTTCCGCGGCTACGACGCCGCGACGACCGCGAACTCCACCTTCACGCTCCCGGCCCTCGCGAAGGGGTCACAACACGTCATCACAGTCCTAATCGACACAATGGGCCTCGACGAGAACTGGACTATCGGCACAGAGCAGATGAAGAACCCGCGCGGCATCCTCGACTACCGTCTCTCAGGCCGGGATCAACGCGACGTGGCGTGGAAACTGACGGGCAACCTCGGGGGCGAAGACTACGCGGACGTGTCGAGGGGTCCGCTGAACGAGGGGGGGTTGTTTGCTGAGAGGTGTGGTTTGCATCTCCCTGGTGCGCTTAGCACAACCACCAGCAGCAGGAGAAGTAGGGAGGGTGGTTCATCATCGCCGTGTAACGTCGAATGGAAAGCGTCGAAGGGTCCTGTGTTGGATGGGCTGACGGGACCGGGGGTTGGGTTCTTCGCGGCGGAGTTCGAACTGCGTGTGCCGGAGGGGTGGGACGTGCCGATGTCGTTTACGTTTGATAATTCCACGCTTGGTGGGGGAGGAGGAGGCGGGGAGGCGTATAGGGTGCAGCTTTATGTTAATGGGTGGCAGTATGGGAAGTATGTTAGTAATGTGGGGCCGCAGACGAAGTTCCCTGTTCCGAGGGGGATACTAGATTATGATGGGACGAATTATCTGGCGGTGACTCTGTGGGGGCTTGACGATAAGCCGGTGAAGGTTAGGGGGTTAGAGTTGACGGTCGATGGGGTGGTGTGGAGTGCGGTTGGGGAGGTGGGAGTGGTGGATGGGGAGAGGTTTAAGGTTAGGGAGGGAGCTTATTAGGTGTAGATCGAGTTGATGGATTGTATTGGAATGGATGGCTTTTTGACGGTATTGTGCATGGTGATCAAGTGTCCTATGTACCATATCCATCCTTCGTAGATTACCATAACCATATCTCAACCATTATATACTTTCGAGGTCTACACCCCTATTCGTCGTCCCGTACATTCGCTAGTCGAAGTAAACCATAAACGATACTTTTGAACCCCTCATATCACTCTCCTTCTCACTCACTCTTCTTATGAATCCTCGGCAAACAAAGCCACAACACCAAAATGACGCCCAAAAGCGCGAGGATGATCGGCTGCAGCACCTGAACACCATGCCCCTGCGCAATGGCGCCGACAGCGAACGGGAAGATCGCCGCGCCGGAGCCGCCAAACGCAGCTGCGAAGCCGATGGCGCTGACGTGCAGATGGCGGGGAAGGAGCTTCGTGGCAGCGACAACGGCAGCGGGGAAGAGAGGGCCCAGGAAGAAGCCTTGGAAGGAGACGGCGACGGCGGAGACGTAGAATTGGGGGACGAGCCAGAAGATTAGTTCGAGGGCCATTGTGAGGGGGAGGTAGATCTTTCGGGATGTTAGTGCTTTTGTCCTGGATAACGATCGGGGTGTAGGGGGTATGTGTACATACCGCAATAGCGAGCTTCTCACCCAACCTCGGCGTGACGAACCCCAAGACGATTCTCCCGACGGTGATGCCCATCCAGAAGCCCGTCGCAGTCATACCACTGGCAAAGTCCCCGCCCTTCCTGACCTCCAGCATGAACTTCACGATCCAGCCTCCCAGGGCGACCTCGATACCGACGTAGCCGAGCAGGAACAGAGCGCAGAGCCAGGTGACGCGGGCGTTTGGTAGGCGGATGAGGGCCTCCTTCATGCGGTTGTCTTTGGTGTTGGTGGTGCGAGGGTTCTGGGCGCGGAAGACGGCACCGGTTGCTTTCCAAAATGCTGTGGTCGAAGTGACGCACTCGATCACGGCCATGGCGATCTGTTTATGTTGTTAGTATCGACACGACACTTGAAACACCGATTGATGACAAGACATACCATCACGTAGTAGAAATAATACCAAGGCAATCTGTCGCCCTTGGTGATCATAGTCGTAGCGATGAGCGGCGCAAGCACGGCCCCGAGTCCGTAGAACGCATGCAGGAATCCGAGGATCTCATTCGGGTTCGCCATGTTACCCATCCACGCATTCCACGCAGCGTCAGCCAGGCCATTGCCGAATCCTGCGACCATGAAGATGACAACCAGCACCGGATAGGGCGGGTGCACGGCAATGACAACGTAGGCGACCAAGTGGCAGCCCGGCGCGATCATGGCGACACCTCTCTGGCCGAACTTGAGATGGATGGTGTTGTTGAGGAGCGCCGACGCTGTGTATCCGACCAGGGGGGATAGGAAAACCAGAGATATGACCACGAATGTAAGATTGTAGTACTCTTGAAGCTGGATACCATGTTAGTCTGCTATTCAATGCCATGGTATATTAGCAATTGAAGTCTGCCTTACATAAGGGATAAGTGCCTATAACAACGTCAGTCAATGGCAAGATAACTAACGATATCAAGAATACATACACCATACGCAGCATCATTACTCCCCATCACGACGAAACTCCAGAAAGCAGCGAACGTCCGCCAGAGGTTCGTCCTGGGCGCATGCCAGCGCTCCAACTTCTCGGCCGGCGTCGTCGTCGGGCTCGGTAAATTCTCCACAGGGTCCTCGTTTGTAGTATACGTACGATCCTTGGTGTCTTGTTGCGTATGAATATTCAGACTGGAGCGAGGCTGGTCGAGCTTTGCGGGCTGCGGTTGCGATAGGTAGCCTGAGATATCCTGGAGCTCGAGGGGCTCCTCCATGACGCAGGTGGAGGAGCCGCCATTCTGGGCGATTGCCATGGTGGATGGTGTTGAATAAGAACAGGTGTATAGCAAAAGCTCGGAAGCCTTTCGAGTTGTCTGATGGCCAGATAGCAGAGGAAGGGAAAAGTCAGACGACGACCTCAATTAATCCTTCTCTTACGCTACCGAACGGAATCCAATCCGATATAACTACCAACCGTCTGATCGTCTCACTTGTCTGTATGCACAACTATCGCGACCTTACTTCGAGAACACCAATCCCAGTGTCACAAGAAGAACGTTAAACAAAGATTCGCAACGATCCAAGGGCGCGAAAAGGGCGTTAAGAAGAGCAAGTGACGTTCAATAAAAAGATATCTCACCAACTCCCCTCCCGCCAATTACGCACTTTCCCGTATGAGGCATCGAATGCCACCGGCTCGGTAGCCGGCAACACTTCGGAAGGTGGAGACTCGGACCGAGCTTCCTCATCGCTCGAAGCGGTATCGATCGACGGACTTATCGAAGACGTGATTGGTGCAAAGCCGGAGGGAGCACCATGACCGACACTCCCCGCGTGTAGCGACGCCTGCTCGTCTAACATCGATTAACTACTCCGCATTCTGGAAATCCTGCGACGGAGAGTCACGAGGTGCAGCGTATCTCGTAAGCTGTGCAGTTCGTTCTGTTGCGATCATCCAAACCCGGAGTGATCAACGAACTTTTCCTTTTGCTTACGAGTAGTATGAGTAGAAGGAACGAATGCATACGTTATCGACATGGTGGTGTTTCGCAAAGTCCGCTGCTTTGGGATGGATTGCGCATCACCCATCCACTACCACCACCCTGCAACAGTTGCAGTACCAAGTCTGAAGGTCCTTTAGCATAAAAGTCAAATTGAGTCAGGTGGTGTCCTGCGTTACTAATGCGTAGAGTTTCTATTTTATTTTTGTCGTAGTTGAAGAAGAGTTTCAAAGTCAGTAATAAAGCAATAGCAAGTAAGTACTAAGTGTGTCACGATAGTTAAAGTTCACTTGAAGACAAATATGCAAAGTGCGCTGCTGTTTGAAAAATTTTGAAATTTTTCATTAACTCCTGATGGGCGACGACCGATTCACAGAATCGTCTTTTCTACCCTTTCATCAAGAAGATATTATGCCTTTGCTATATAAAAAAAAACACCAAAACTGACTAACTACAAACTTCTTGTTGGGGGGTATTTCTGCGCGCAGGTCTTCCTTTTCGAATCCTTTCTTACCAGATCTACATACCTCATTCAGCTCAGTCATCATCCAACGATACCATGACAGAATAAAAAAAATATGAAAAAGAAATAAAAGAACTAAAACAATGCTTTGACTTTCAAATGCTTGTATATTGCAACGACTGTAGTGAAGTTTAAAAATTGTGTGGTTGGTTGTTGTTGATGGCTTGTACACATACGCTCTTCGCCCTCTTCTGCAGGAACGAGGAAACCCCCCTCTTTTTCCCTAGTCCACTCTCATAAACATTTGGGAAAGGAAAAGGAGGGGGGGGAGGAGAGAAACATATATGCAGAATTATAACATGAACGCGCGTTAAAGTCATATTTTATCCTTCTCTTTTCCTTTAATTCGTCTATGAGGGCTGGATGACGGAAGGTCCGGCGAGCACCTCGGAGTCGGCGACGGACTGGGACTTGGTGACCATCATGTACACCTCACCGGCGAGGTTGCCGGGGATGACGCAGTTGCCGTCGACGAGAGGTGCGAATTGGTTACCGCCACTGGTATGATTATTAGCTTCTATGAATTGGATGCTTTGATGAGTAGGGAAACGTACGGAGCAACGAAAGCGCAGAACTGGGCACCGGCAGGGTTGGCAGCATCAGCCAACTTGAGGTTCTGTCCAACGACGGCCTGCTCGGGGTTCTGGAGAGCGATTGAGGGGAAGGCCTGGATGTTCAAGTTGGAACCCTCGGGGCAAGAGGTGATGAACTGAGCGGCGAGGGTGAAGACGGCACGGGGTCCAAGGGCAGTGTCGAATGCAGCGGGGACGGGCTCGGCTCCAGCAGCTACACGGATGAAAGCCTGGTGACGAGACTCGACCGTGGCAATGGAAGCTGCGGCTGCGAGGACATCGGGCGAAGTGATCAGAGGTGCGGCACCGAGATAGGCAGATACACCGACGGCCTCGAGAACACGTGCGGTAGCAACCATGGTCTTAGCATCTACGAGGGCAGCATCGAAGTTGTACTGGCAAGGCTCCACGGGCTTAACACCGGCGCCAGAGATGGCGCTCAAGAGAGTGGAAACATGGGTGGCCTCTGTCTCTCCGACCTTCTTGAGGGAGGCGATCTGGCCCTCGCTCAGTCCGAGGGCAGTGAACTGTTCCGCGGGAATCTTGGCGAAGCCTTGCTTGTAGAACTCGGCCTCGAGGTGCTCTGCTGTGAGGGCGCTGAGGGACGAGTCAGTACCGTTCGATCTACTATGGACCTGGAGAATGAGACTTACAAGTTGAGGATGTCGGGATCGGTCAATCCACCTGCTGGGGGAGCGGCTGCTGGAGGAGCAGCTGGTGCACTTGCGGTGGCAGCTGGGGGCTCAGCAACGGCGGCAGTAGTAGTAGCCTCCTGTCGAGGATAGACACCGGCCGGGGCGGCGAGAGTAAAAGTTGGGGCGGCCACGAGGAGCCAGTAGAGGGTGGAGCGTACGCTAGGCATGATGATCGAATTAAATGTGTCGTTGATGTTGTTGTTGATGTTGCGTTGAAAGAATGGTTAGTGACAGACGGCCAGCAAAGTCTAGCTTTGAATGTATAATTATTAAATTCCTTTTTCAAGTCCAACCAGGGACGGGGAGAAGAGAATGTAAGGAGTGTGTGGTGGGTATTAGGAGGTACTTGGAAAGGTCACTGCCGCTGATGTCCAACAGAAAACGTTCAATAGAAACAGAAGTGGGCAGCAATGGACCTTATAGCAAAAGTACCGCGACTCAAGGATGGTATCTGAGACGCCACAGCCAATTCGGAAGACGGAAGGACAGCTCGAAGCAAGTTGGCGGACTGCAGCGATCCCGTCAACGCCTGGTCCACTTACCGGATCTGTGGCCAGTCAAGCCAATTCCCTTCAATGAACGGCCTGTGATCTACCAGGAACAACCCACTGCCACAGTGGTAGAAGGGTCTCGCAGGTTGTGTTCGCTGAGGTTGGGGATGGCATCGGGGTAAGGAGGTGTAGCAGGACCGGGGTGTTGCGACGCTTAGCCAACCGGTCTGAAACCCTCTGAGTGACAACCTCACCAACTTCACACTTGGGCGCTACCCGGAGAGCTTCCACCCGTAAATCAATCTCTCCCGTAAAATCATTGCATTACTGATAATGTGGCGGCTCACTTTCATTCCGGCCGGTTGTCGCCATGGTAGTTGAATGCGCGTGGAGCCATTGCTGGGGGTCTATAGAAGCGCAATAACGTTGGCCGATGGTGCCAGCAATCTCTTGCACTGTAAATGTTTTGCCAGTGATTTGTGCTATGAATATCGTCGCAAGAGGCTGTTTGCGTATGGAGACATATTGTTAGCTGTGACAACTGATACCAGCCACCGGAGAAGTGAAGAAAATAGGTTTACTTACTCCTCGTTCGGTGTACCTGCAGAGCACGCGCGCGCGATCTACCATCAAACAAAAGAATAATCTTGCCAATCTCTTGGCTTCTAAGACCCTATCCAGCCGTGTTCTAAGATGTTTCCTTCAGAACCACTTGCCTGCGATTCAAGGCTGTGCCTGGCTATCAAAAAAGGTACGGTTTTGGATGGTTGAAGCAACCTCAAACACCTCCACGATGCCAAGTAAGCTTGCCGAGGGGTGGAATCACATCCCTACCCCGACTTGTAATCTCCCACAGACTTACAGCGGGGAGCCTCAGGCCATTCTTGCAGATCTTGGTAGAGATGCTAGAGCACTTGCTCACAGGGGACGCCAGGGGCAGGGGACTATGGTTCGCAAAAGGTCGCATGTCTTGCAGCCAACTGAGCCAAGGGGGCATTTTGTGCCTGACTAAACCGGAACAATCGCCCGCCGCATGTACAGTCAGATTGTTTATCCGCTTGGATGTGCAGAAGTTAGAACAGGCTGCCGATACCTCCGAAGAATCTTGTCTTGAACTGACAGCTCGGTTGATTGTCTGAGAACGGCTCCAAAACATTCACACCGCACAGTGCACACATCGCCAGGACGGCATCACCAATGCCGACTCATGCGGCTCTAAACTCGAGGAAACAAGACTTGGAGACAATGCTCGATTCAGACTATGACTAAGGGTAAAACAACGATGATATCGACTACACCTGAAGGCTTTTGCAATTGCCCACATTAATATGATACTTTCCATCTCCAACTACCTACTAACAATGTCCATGATATTGTGCTTGACTTGTTCGAACCGGTGGGGCCACCACCCAAGTTCTGCTTTACTACTTTCTGTAATCCTGCATTTGTATATTGCTGCAAACTCAGAAGAATGTGTTGTGTCTCTTTGAAATCGATACGACAACGTCACCAACATTCCGAGGCCCCCGCTGAGAGACCTTTGGTTCCAAACTCGTTCCTGGTCGCATTTCACGGTCAAAGACAAAGACGCCCAAAGTGGCGTCTATGTCGACATCGATACAGTTGATCGGGTTCATCGTTGATCGAGGTTATTATAGAGCGTATGGGTTGAGAGAGCGGATGGTCAGGCAACTAAACAAGGTCAGTAATGTGGAAGGCTTTTGACAGGTGGTTGAACTTACGGAGGGCTCTTGGAGAGATCAGTCTTCAAGATGATTGGCACGCGAGTCATCTCCCGGACGTCCTGGATGTAGTCGCCATTCTCCTCCCTGAGAGTGAACCAGTTCAGGTACTTCTCCTTGTTCGAAAGCTTGGCCTCGGGTACTTCACTAGCGCTTTGAGCAAGCTTGGAGTCGGACTTGACACGGTGAGGGGCCTGTCCAGTTGAGAGTCCGTTCCGGGTTGGGGAAGGTGGCATGCTCTGAGTAGGACGGTCGGCTCCTGCAGGGTTCAAAGACACACCTGCCATTGTGCCTGCAAGATCCGTGGAATCATCGTCTTCATCATCGAACAAAGCGTCAACATCATCGGTGGACATAGTGCCTGTATCCATGTTTCGTCGTTGAGCCTCCTCTTGCTCCTTGGCGCGCTGTTTGGCGAGCTCCGCGTCGCGGGCAGCAGCAGCAGCGTTTGCCGCCCGGCTTGAACCGTGCTTTGGACGCTCGTCTTCAGGGATGTAGGTCGAGGAAGGAACACCCTTCTCCCAGTACAACTCGAGGAGCCTCTTGTTCTTATCGAACTCAGCCTTCTTCAACGGAAGTTGGTCACAATGGACGCGCTTTTCGAATCCAAATTCGGGAATTAAGACGTCAAAGGCCGACTCGTACACGCACAAGATGATACCTTCACTGATGAGATCACCGCCGAGGTCTTGACGCATCTTATCCATCCTGCGGCAAGCCTCGATGTGTACACTCTGTTCCTGGGCGGCATGAGCAGAGTCCTTCTTGGTATTAGCCATTTCTGCGGTCTTGGAGAGAACCTCCACATCATCTGTGAATTCAATGGCCCCATTGGAGAGGACAGCCTCCAGCTGACGATGGACAATGATATCAGCATAGCGACGGGACGGGTTGGTGAAATGAGTGTACACAGGTAGGTTGAGGGCATAGTGAGGGTATTGATCTTCTGTAGTCTTGCCGGCAACGAAGTACTTGGCCCTTGTCATGGACTTGATAACAAGAGTCTCGATACCCTTGCGGATGTCGTTGTCTTCGATCTGGAAAAGGCTGCTCTGGAGGCTGCCACTGCTAGTTGTGTCGAGGTTGTAACCAATAGCATTCATCCTCTCAGCAGTCGTTTCCAGACGTCGAGAGTTGGGCGATGGCTGTCGTCGGAGAAGAGCCTTTTCAGGAAGGCCGGCGACAATCTTCTTAGCAACGTAAGCATTCGTCTTGTGGCTAAGCTCCTCAATGAGCTCGTGCGCAGGCGATGAGTAGAAAATGTTCTCCTCGACGGGCACATTCTCGTCATCGAGCTGGTAAATGAGTCTAAGTGGAGGGAAGTCTGTGCTGTTGTCGGTGGAACGGTCGCCCAAGCGTGCTTGTCGGAACTTCTGCGTTATGGAATGGGCCAATTTGATGTCATTGGCTCTTGCTGCTGGTACCTGAACATCGTTGCTTCCGCTGATAACGGAGTCAACCTCTTCATAGGTAAGCTTGCCAGAACTCTTGATGACGGACTTTCCGATCCAAGTCTCGTCCTCAAAGACATGGCCAGTCGAGGGGTCAACCTGGAAGACAACACTGACGGTGTAACGATCCTCGCCTGGGCTCAAGCAGCAGATATCAGTGGCCAATCGTGGAGGAAGCATATTGACGGTCCTAGTCATCAGATACACTGCTGTTCCACGCTTCTTGGCCTCGCGGTCGACGAGCGAGTTGGCCTTGATGAAATGAGCAACGTCGGCAACATGGAAGCCGATCTCAACGCGGCCATTATCGAGGTGTTTGAAGTGGATGGCATCGTCAAGCTCCTTGCTCCCGTTGGGGTCAATGGTGAACGATTCCTCATTACGGAAGTCACGTCGGTTCTCCAAGGCGGTCTCACCGTCATTAGTCACAGACCAATTTTCAAATCCGACGTTCTTGAGAACGGCATCAGAGAAATCATCTGGACCAAAGTTGTTGTCACGCAGCAAAGCATCGGTCTCAACCTTGAGGTCACCCATCTCGCCCAATTGCTCGACCAAGGTACCGAAAGGATGCAGGGAGGTGATCGGCCATCGCTTAATGCATGCAACAAAGATGCGGTTGGCATAATCTTGATGCTTCTCGACGAAATCCCTTGGTGCCTGCTCGGTAGGAATAGCAATGAGAGGGACACGCTTGTCAGTAGGCTTGAACCAGACAATCTTTGGTTTGTCTTGCTGGCGTTCAGGTTGGTGGCGGCCAGAGCTACCCTCGCGAGCCTGTCGTTCAGCCTCCTGCTTCTCCTTTGTCGCCTGGCTGCTAGGACGAAGAAGTCCCAGAGTGCCTGAAAACATCTGGCCAGCAACACGCTCGATGACTGCGACGATATGACCAGCGTAGAGGGGCTTCTGCTCGTCGTTGATTTCTTCCTCCTCCATGAGAAGCAAGCTCTGTCCCTCGACCTCCACATCATCATTCTTCTTCTGGGTAGGTCGCTGGCGCAAGCTACCACGTCGGCGGATGCCGCCTTCCTGGCTCGTCTCTGGCTGAGTAGTAGCGTCATTCACAGCGATGCTACCGCCGCGAGGGTCGGCGTTGTCCTTGCGCTTCTTCTTCTCTTCCTTCTCACGTTTTTGACCCCAAACCTCATCGACATCGAGAAGTTCAACGGCAACCAGATCACCCTCGAGGGCACGGTTCCTGTCTTTGCTTCCGCAGATGAAGATATCAGCATCAAGGTCGGTGGTAGTGACGTAGGCGTCGCTACGGTTCTTCTTGTTAACACGAAGAATACCAGCAACTAGCTGTCCGTCACTGAGTAGTGCAGGCAAGGTAGCTTGGGGTAGGTAAGGAGTGAAAAGCGTCTTGCGTTGCTGCTGTTGCTGTTGCATAGACAGCTGAGGCGGCGCATGCTGGCTGGCTTGTAGGCCACCCATGCCTTGGCCATTCATCTGAGCAGCCTGCAGTGCCTGTAGATGAGCAATCTGAAGGGGGTTCAGACCCTGTCCACCGAACATCTGCTGCTGCATAAGGACTTGGCCTTGAGGAAGTTGCATCAACTGGGGTTGGCCCTGGTACTGGAAGTTGCCCAGGGTACCAACCGATTGGTTGACGGAGCCTCGAGAACGGTGACCGGGCTGGAAAGGAGGGGCATTGGCAGTCTGGTTCAGGTTGAAGTTGCCCATGTTCTGAGCCTGGGCATCCTGGGACTGCTGTTGTGGCTGCTGTGGCTGGCCTTGTTGTTGGTTGTTGGGCTGTCGCCAATTGCCCTCAAAGTTGCGGGAGGAGGTCCTGCCATGTCCTGAACTACCACGACGCTGGAAGTCCGACTGCCCGCTCTGATTATTATTATTGTTACTGGCGTTCGACTCGGTCGACTGGGGGGCAGGGAACTGGAAGTTGCCTCCGCCGCGATTGGCGTTACCTCCACCACGCCCAACTGCCATACTTTGACTACGACCGTGTCCGCCACGGCCACCTCGTCCAGAAGGTGGTTGGTCACTCGGTGCGTTGCCGCTAGGGCTTTGATCACGGTTGCTGGAACCGCCCGCGGAGGGTAGCGGGAATTGGAAGCCAGAAGTCTTTCTCTTCTGCTCTGCCAACTCTGCAGCCTTCTTCGCCTCAGGCAGAGCGAGGGAGTGGCGGCGAGCGTGTCCAGATCCTGCACTTCCACCACCTCGTCCACGAGGATTCACGTTCTCACGACCCTGAGTACCTTGTCCACTGTACTCACCGAACCCGGAGGCACCGGAAGACGGGGCAGGAGGGGGGCCCATCACATTAGGGAGGGCGGACTGGTTGCGGCGGTGAGAAGATGGCTGCGAGGGCGCGTTCAAAGGTACCTGCATATGCTGCTGAGGTACTTGCTGGGGGAATTGGAAGTTGTTCGCGTGCGGTGAGACGTTCGAGATTTGTCCTGGCATCTGGAAATTTGCACCGGGAAGGTGCTGTTGTGGTTGGATCATGCCCATATTAACATATTGTTGGTGGGTTGCAGCAATCTGTTGCTGCTGTTGCTGTAGAGCTTCGATTTGCTGGGCAATCGCAAGTTGTTCCACTACAAGAAGACATGTGTTAGTATCGATCGAGTCAGGGGGAGGGGCAAACGAGAAATAGTTGATAAACGGTGAGGAGGCAAGTCACTGCCAGCCAGCTAGCCAACCATCTATGTAGTCGAACTCCTATCGCTCTCGTGGAAGAGAACGGAGAGTAATTGAAGCGGGGACGAATAGGCCCCGGGCGGAAAGGAGAGGGAATAACGTACTCATAAGCGGTGTCAACTCAGACGGGCTACGTCGATGAGCAATGTGCAGCCGACGGCCTGCAGGGCCCATGGGGCCTTGCTGTCCTTGTTGCTGATCCATTGTGGAAAGCTACGGTATCTCGCGATCCCAAACGTGCAATTGTATATGTACTATGAAAGCAGATGAGCTACGCAGGCTAGGCCGGCTAAGAGCTCGAAAGATGTGTTATAACGAGGTGCTTTTGTAGAACCTGGGACGGGGTCAGCGATGGATCTTTAGGAGAAAGGGGTGTGAAATCGATGCGAAGGGGTGAAGGATGGGCTCGGTGAGCAAGATGCAGAGCGGGGAAGCTCTGGTTGGACGCTGGGTCTTGGGCTTTTGGGCGGGCGGTGGGACCGGTGGTAGAGAGGCAAAAGAGGAAAGCGGAGACTCACGCTGCAGAAGGTTTCTGTTTCCGATGAGAGAGAGGGGTCGTACTAGCAATCAGAGATTGGGAGATTGCCCGTAAATCGATGCTGAGTGACGGGTATAGCTGTGCAGAGTGATGAAGAGCCTGTAGAAAGCTTTTGTGAGTGACGGTGTGTCTTGACGGGAGTCTGAGATGGATGGCAAGATGGATGATAAGGATTGCGGAGCAGGGGCTTCAAGGAGCGCGGTTCCCTGGAGCGGGTGGTAGATGTGCCAAAGCACAAAAATGGGGTAGGAGGGAGTGCGTCGAAGGAGGGAGCGATCGGTCGCGAGGATAGAGAGAGTGATAGAGAGTGAGAGAGTTTGTATATAGATGGGGATTTGAAGGTTGGGAAAGGAGGGATGGGGAAGCTGGGAAGCTGAGGAGAGAAGAGAGCAGCCAGCAAGAAGCAGCAAAAGCGGAAGCGGAAGCAGAAGCCCAGGCAGGCGAGACCAGTGAAGTCACTGGGGGTGCGTGCGCTTGGGGTGTAGCCGTGGGTGGGTTGGGTGTGTGTGTAGTGTGTACCACCCACTACTAATGTGGTATACTACACTACTGACTACTGACTACTGACGTGCGTGCCAGTGTGGGCGAAGGCGTAGTCGTAGGGACGGGACGAGTAGCAGAAGCAACCACACTTCCACTTGGCAACCTCCACCACGACAGCACCAGACCAGTAATAGCTCCCCAACCCGGTGGAATTGGGAAAAGAAAAGATGGATGCAAAGAATTGAACAAAATAGAGCTTGAACTTACCTGCAATGTGTCGTTATAATATTAACAATACTGATAATGCCAACGACCACAGCGTCAGGCGGATTTGGTGTCGATTGATACCCGAGTAATGACGTTCCACGGTAGTACGGGTTCGGTGCGGTACGTACGGGGTAAGTCGTCTCTAGGCTCTCTAAGCTCTCTAGCGAAGTTATTGGGTGGAGGTGATGGTGTTGTTATTGTTTATTAGCAAGCACCGACTGTTCGAAATCTTAGTCCCAGGCTATTCTTGTATCGACTCCCAGAGCCGATGTAATGCAGCAATGCGTGTGAGTACCAAAAAGTAGGTATGTACGTTGTAGGGATGTATGTAAAATACGTAGGTGGGTATTGAGAGAGACAGAATATAATTCGAAGGAGTGGTAAAGGCAATGGGGGGGTGGCGAAGGAGCGCGAGACAACGAGAAGTCAAGTCAGTCAGTAACAAGAGGCAAAGAGAGAAAAGAGACTGAGGCCAGGCTGGCCAACATGCCATCTACATATATACCTACCTACACAGTAGTAGCTAAAGGTACCCATTAATTACAACAGAATCATCACAATCGCACAGCTCCCATGCAGGTCGGTCAGGTATGGACAAGTACGACGTAATTGCCCGTGCTGCGAAACAGCACCACCACGTCTCACTACTACAAGTGATGTGAAGCATCACGATCTTCACTTTAGTTCTCCGCGTTTCAACCTCTGTCCTAGCTTGGTTTCTTCCCCGAGCGAACGAGCAAGGACGTGGCGGAACGACCCTCTGCACACGGGATTCTAGCAGAACGAAACCAACCCATCCGTCGTATTTTGCGCTCGAGCTTTGAGAACCCCTACGCCGAACACGGTCGTCCTGATTTACCTCTAGCGACTCGGTACAACCCCAATTGAGTCCATCCAAACACCATGACGCACCAGATCGGATGTGGTGTGACAAAGACCACATCTTCGCATCAATACGCAAGATAATCACCGCGGACCTCTGAGATGGCTTTCGAAGGGGGAAGGGAGCTGATCTCCTTTGATTGACTGACTGATAGATTGACCAGGTAGCCAGCCAAGTAAGGACCTCCGTAGTAGTCTGGACCTGTTTCCACTGTGGAGCAATAAATGTCAGTTGCCTCTGCGACCTGACTAAGGGCACATTTCATCAAGGCCCCGGCACGTTCGAAGTTTGACACGATGTGCCAGTGACGAACCCGAGAAAGGGAAGACGACAAATGTCGTTGGGGTAGCCACAAGCATGTGTTTCTGTTTCAAGATCAAGGAGGACACAAGCCGCCGGCAGTTCTAGACTGGTATCATACTCGAAAGTTTGCAGCTGTTCACACCGTACCGTGTACCCGAGTACCTAATTAGGTCTGTCTCTAGAGAATGTTCTAGGGCGTCCAATTCCATGAGAGAATTGACAAAGGGAAGTTGAAGACTACACAGTAAACATGAACAACCCACGATGATTGTCTGTGCGATGCGATGAGCGCGGAAGATAAAACAATGGATTTACATGCATGCAGTGCAGTGCAGTGCAGTGCAGGTGAAGATAAACTCCGATGGCAACGGTGCTTAAACTTTGCCATCTTTATCCCGAGCGTGAGTTGGTTGGGTTTGTACGACGTGACTTGTGAGTGGACACTTCACTGTCTTCACTGTTCCTCTTTGTACGACCAATTGGACTAACTCCTTTTAGTTGATTTTGCTGCACTCAGCTAAGACCCTGGAATCGGCATTTCGTTTCTCCTTGGTCCGAAAAATCGTTGTTATCACCTACCAAAGCTTCCATTTGATGGCCCATCAAGGAGAACTCGTAATCACATCAAGGTCACCGGATGAAGACGACTCTCGTTAGAAGCTCCATACCTGACAATTCCACTATTCTGTCCCAATCACCAATTTGTCCCTTGCAACCTGTGGCTGCCCTTCAGGGACCATACCCCAGCCACCCAGCCACCACGCGCTAGTACTCACTTACTTTTTGAGCTTCATATCTTCGACACCCCTACGAAAATCGTGACGCGTTCCTTCGACTGCCCATACTTTACCAACCCTACCCCATCTACCAAATAGTCAACTTCATGATCGTCGTCGCGTCTGACCGTTAGATTCGGACTCGTTTCCCCCTGTCCATTCGCGTAGTATGCCTACAAAGTCCGGCACTTCGTCATCGAGCATGCATACGGCATCATCCTTCACCTCGAGCTGGATCGGCACTTCGCCCTCGAGACAATCCCCATCGAGATCTTCTCATACCCGAAATGGTTCTCGTACCACGCCACGGCGGGACGCCGCCCGTCGTTCGACACTCGATAGAGATCCGTTCGACAGCCCGGCCCGGCAGATGCTGCTTGACTTCAGTCAAATGCTCATAAGGTCCGACCAAGAATTCAATGACAGACTCGATCTCGACGCTGCACAACACGCAAAGTTACACAATGAACAAATCGCTAAAGCATCGCTCGAACACGCGAAGGTCCGCGAAGGGGCGGAGCGCGAATGGCAACGACTTCTTCTTGAGCAGGAACTGGCCCGCCGCAAGCGGGAGGAGGAGCAGCTAAAGGAAGTTCAACGTCTGGAACAAGAGAAGGCCAAGAAAGAAGCTGAAGCGCTTCAGCGCGAATTAGAAGCAAAGCAACGGGAAGAGGAGGCTGCCCGTAGAGTTGCCGAGCAACAAAGGAAGATACACGAGGCCGAGGCCCGCATCAAGGCACAGAAAGAGCAGGAAGAGGCTGCTCAGAAGCAAAAGCTCGCACAAGAAGCAGCGGCTAGGGAAGCTCAACAAGCTGCTGTCGCCGCCGAGAAAGCTCGAATCCAAGCGGTTGCTCAACAGAAAGTCACGGCTCAGCTCCAAACGCCAGCAGCACCGAGCGCACCAGCGCCTGTTGCACCCACAGTAGCAGCCAGCACGCAGGCCGCATCTCAGCCGGTTTCAGCTCAAGTCGAAGAGCTTCATGCCAAATACCTGGATCTACATAAACGAATGAAGGACTTCTGGAAGCCTTTCAAGAAGCAATGTGCTGTTCCTGGCAATCCACTCAAAGGACCAGTGGGCGATATGCGAAGAGACATTCGGAAAGCCATTGGTCAGGTAACCACCAAGAGAGACGATAGCAGAGCCGTTATCAAAAAGATTCGAGATGTTATTACTGCGGCGAGGAACGCCGGTGGGCCGACACTCGACATCCGACCTTTCTTAATTTCTCAGCAGCTCCCTCAATTGTCCAACGAAGCCGAAGCACAGTATCCACAGCTCATGCTCTATGCTTATATTTGCATCGAGAAGCAGGTTCTCAAGCAATTTGAGCAAGAAGCCGCAAATGAAGACGGCAGAATCATCTCGGAGCTCGGCGCCATTGTAGCCAGTCTGCTCATCGACAAGAACTATGTGTGGAGGGAGGTACCAATGACCGATCTTATCCTGGCAAAGATGCATCGTGTTTGCCCCATTCTGTTCGGCATTCGAGGCAACATGAGCACGGCAGCTGGTCAGGCGCGTCTGGGCTGGATCAACATCGCAGGGGCACCACCAGAAGTCAACAGTTACAACCAACGTATGCTAGGCTTGGGTGCTGGATTTGCAGCACTTTCTCTCCGGCACGTACCCCAACCTGCGGTCCCAATGTCCGAATATTGGCGCGCAGTCGCAGCTATCAGCAACACGCCGGCCGGAGACCTTTTCGGGGGCCACTTCATGGTTATGAAGGGTCTACTCAGGGACAATGCCAAGAAATTCGTGAACTTCTACGGTGTAGCAGCTGTGGCACTTCTACGCAAAGCTACGTTCACTCTCCCCGCCCGCGCACCACCAAACACAAAGGACGCCGCAAATCTGGTACAGGTGCTACCGGACGTTTGGAAAGTATCAATGGGATTATCGTTAGCTTAAGATCTGCCACCACAACAAACATTATTATTTGCATTGCATGGGGAGGAGTACGGGAAATTCTTGGGAATATCTATTCGTTTTTGAATGGTTTTGTAACGGCTAGAACAGATATGTAAAGTCAAAATGACCAACACATGAAAATGAAATAGTCAAGCCAGAACTCATCTATGCATCGTGTGCTTCGCAAACAATCATCTATGTCCAATGCTCAGGTTCAAGTGATCCGACAATGGCGCAACCATCCAATCCATAAATGCAAAACCATTAGACAAACAGTCCCCAATTCCAATTGATCTACTAATATCACACCTACACGGTCCATCACGAAAGCTCTCTCTCCGCAATAGGCTCCCACTCCCCAATCGGCCGATCAGTAGGAACCAGCACAACCCTCCCCCCAACCCATCCCCCAAGCTCTCCCTCACCCTTCAAATCCACCCCAGCACCCTCAACCAATCCCTTAATCTTATCAATCTCATCCTGTTGAACCTTCGGACAATCATGACTAGAACCTCCACATTAGCACTTCCTCATATGAACAAACGAATAAACACCCAATTAAACAATCAATTAAAACGGTAGAAAAACCACAACTCACTACAGCAAGCTCAAATGCGGTCCATACTTCTCCTTCGCCCACCTCTCAGCCTCGACTTCCCCCTCAAATCCTTTCACACGCTGCCTGGTCACTTTTCCTATTTGCTTCACGCCCGCTTTCTCAACGCCGATGTACAGTTTGCGCACGAAGACGTCCTCGCTGCGAAGTCGGCCGAACTTGACGGTCGCTGACGAAGCGGAGGGGAAGGGAAGGGAGTCGAGCCATTGTTGGGGATTGGGGGAGTAGGTTGATGGGTCGATTTCGGAGGTTAGGGTTACGTGGGGGATGAAGCGGTGGGGGGAGGAGAAGTGGGTTGATGTTTTGTCGATGAGGGTGGGGAGGATGGTGGAAAGGGGATGGGTTGAGGGGGGGAGGAGCCAGAGGGATGAGCCGGGCATGTTGAAAGTAAATTCGAACTAGGACTGTGTGAATTGTATTTGGGAATTGAAGATATTCGGATACACTTTGTTGAAAGCTATATCCGAAGCTGTCTGTATGATGTATACCTCTTATCGATAACGACCAGCGCAGCTAGCGTCCAGCGAATCCCCGTCGATGGGAACCCCTGCCAATCCGGGACGCAGCAATACATGCGGATGTCTCTCTCTCGTCCCTGACGTCTGACATGTGAAAGACACACACATCCGCAACGACGCCCGCCATCAGAGCCACCATAGAACGGGGGTTGGATTATCGACCTGCCTTAAATCACCCAACTCCAATTACCGAGCATGACCGGCAAATAACGATGCACCATTGCACATCTGGCGCGTGTCGCTGCGGCTGCTGATACGTTCTCGCTCTAGCTATTATGGCGAAAAAGGCACGCGGCCTGTCGGATCTCCTCAGGAGCGTGTTCAGCTTGCTGTTCGAGGTCGCCTTCTTCTGGCAACTGGTATGGGCTGATTCCTCTTCTTCATCTTCTTCAGCTTCTGATACCCTCCCCCGCGCTCGTTCCCCGCGCTCTTGTCATTACGCCAGCCTTTCGGCTTGTTGACTGCTTTTGTTCTTGCATCCAGCGATTGCGTGTCATGTCATCTTAAGCTAACGTGAGGCATGTTGAAGCGATTATTTGCATGGTGGACGAAGAAGAGTTCGAGAGATGTGCTGTTGGAAGCTATTGCCGAGGCCAATATATTCGAGGAGTGGGAAGGTGCTGCTTTCCAGCTTGACGAGGAGCTAGGTTACGATCTCTGGTACAAACGTCCATTACTCTCTACTCCATCTTGCTGTATCTAACAGAGCATCCAGGCGCCAAAATCCTACGTCGAAATACTACGATTACCGTCTCATCTACGAACGGCTGCAAGCCATCATCGAAGCCCGCGAGGAAGACGACATCCTCGGCCTAGTCAGCCTCCTTCGATCCGGCCTCGTACGAAATCTAGGGAACATCACCACACCGCGCTTGTTTAGTCGAGCATATGCTGGGACAAAGCTGTTGATCGAGGATTATGTGACACAGGTTGCATTGGCGGTTGACTATCTAACAAGCTATCCTACGACAACAAGTTCAGACAACGGGCTGACGAACCAAGCGAAATTGGATGTACTACACGATACGAGACAAGCATTCGGCCGATCTGTACTGGTGCTACAGGGAGGAGCTATATTTGGGCTTTGCCATTTGGGCGTTGTCAAGGCGCTGCACTTGAGGGGACTCTTGCCGCGTATCATATCAGGAACAGCTACGGGTGCGCTCATTGCGGCATTGGTGGGCATACACACCGAGGACGAGCTACTTGGTTTCCTTACAGGCAAGAACATTGACCTGACGGCCTTTGCAAAACATACTCGTGTTGGAATAGACGGACAAGTAAATCGACAGGAGGGGTGGTTTGCAACACTTACTAGGCGCGTCAAGCGATTCGTCAGAGAAGGATATTTTCTCGATGTTGGCGTTCTCGAACAGGTCGTACGTGCCAATGTCGAGGACATAACTTTCGAAGAGGCCTACCTAAAAACCAAGCGGGTCTTGAATATTACAGTCGCGACAACAAGCGGTGGTGTTCCTAATCTACTGAACTACCTTACAGCACCCAATGTGGTAGGTTTTATCACATATGCCAGATCTATGAGTGGCTGCTAACAACGTCTAGCTCATCTGGTCCGCAGCTCTTGCCTCCAATGCTTCATCATCCACACTATATTCTCCAGTGACCCTGATGTGCAAGGATGAATCAGGAAACATTGTTCCTTGGACGGCCGCCTCGGACGCAACGTTCCGACCCTGGACGCACGCTTCCTATTCAGACCGCGAATCACCTCTCCACCGCATCGCCGAACTCTTCAACGTGAACCACTTCATCGTCTCGCAAGCCCGACCCTACCTAGCTCCCTTCCTCCGATCCGACCTCCATCATCCGAACCCTCGACAGGACAGTCGCTGGAGCCTGAGCATGCCTGTCCTCCGCCTCATCGTTATGGAAATCCAGCATCGCCTACACCAGCTTGATGAAATCGGCTGGCTTCCACCCTCGATCCGCCGCTTCCTCCTCGACGAGAACGTCCCCGGCGCCTCGCTCACCCTCGTCCCTGAACTGACCCCAAGTGACTTCTTCAAGCTACTCGAGAACCCAACCAAAGACTCACTCGATTACTGGATTCTCAGGGGCGAACACAGCGTATGGCCAGCAGTAGGCGCACTGAAGGTTCGATGCGCCATTGAGGTCGAATTAGATCGAGGGTACCAATTAGTCCGAAGGAGAAAGCCGTTCGACCCCATCAACGGCGGACTGCGGAAGAGCGGGAGCAGTAGCGGCATGAAGAAGAGACCTCGAGCAGCGAGCTTCGGCAGCGCAGCGTACATATAAAATAGCATGTTTCCCTTTCATAATCTTCACGCCATCTCGTCGTACAAGCACAATGTCACAGCATTTGGAATTTAATCAATTGAACAACATGTGATTCTCTAGTGATGTCTCTTAGTGAATGAATGTCCGCATTTGGCAGTACGTCCATGGGATGGTAAGCTAGCGGGCCTAGGAGACTTGTATGATCCACCTCATCCAGACACCGTTGGATATTAATAGCGGCATCCATCTTACTAGCATGTCATTACCCCTCTCCTAAGCGGACGTTGACCCTTCGCTATGAATCGTTTGCTTCCCTTCCCTCTCCCTCTCCCACCGTAGGCCTGCTTGAGCAACGACTTCAGAAACAGGCACATACACGTAATGATGATGTTCAGATATCAATCAAGACTCTCCACGATGTTTGTTTATTTTGCTTTTAGAAAACGTCATCGTTAGCACGTTGAGCATTTTGTTAGCCATATTTTGACGTTCGAGGTTCTATTGTATTTGATAAGTTAATAAAATGCCATTCATTTCATACTCACTTTTTGTATACATTGAGATATTAAGATTTACAATCCAACTACATCATATCGAACAGAGAAATTACTAACACCAGCAAACATTTCACCGAATCCCAGCACCTTCAAGCAGAAACGCCTCTCCTCCCCTCAGCCGCCGCAGCATCAGTAGCACTCTTCCCCTTCACCCCATCCACAACCCCCATTCCAGTCCCTCCACCCGCCGCAGTAGTACCAGCACCAGTTGCACCAACAGCCGGCTTCCCAACCCCATGTCCAAAGCCCATGAAATCGCTATGATCGCCATGCGAAGCCCTCTTCTTCATCTCGGGGTCGACAACCCCATGCTCATGATGCTCGTGGTGGCTGTCGTCGCGGCGATGGCCCTTCAGGCCCGCAGCGACCGCGCCGCCAATGTTCCGCGGCTCACCCTCGAACCCGTCGTACCGCTCCTCGCGGCCGCCGAGGATGCCGCCCTTCTCTTTGAACTCGGCCATCGAGACGGGGGGCAGGTGGGACGTCTCGTGGTGCTTGGCGGCGTTGTGGTGGGTTTCGTGGATGGGCACCGTCGTGTGGACGACGTGGGGTTGGACGGTTTCTTTCTGGACTATTGGTTGGATTGTTTCGTGGATGTGCTGGAGGAGAGTTAGTAAGGGGTTTTCATTGGAAGATGTATGGTGAATGGATGGATAGCTCACGTGATGAATATGCTCGCCGGCCATGGTGGGAGCTGCACTCTGGCTATGTGTGGTCTTCTCAGTGATGGACTTGTTCCTAAATCCGCCCTGGTCTTTTGCGAGGAACCTCTTGGTGCCTTCGTGGTCGCGGTGGTCGAATTCCCGGTGTGTAACGGCTCCTAAGTTGTCCGTGTGCTTCTCGGGGAGGACCTCGCGATCCTGGACTGGTTGCACGGTGCGGTGGTAGTGGTCTTGGTGGATCTCCTTGTCAATGGCGGTGACGATTTCTTCATGTCGGTGCGGCTTGATCGTCTCATGCTGGACGCCAGGGGCCACGGTTTCATGGACGGTGGTGTCATGATGGCCGCTCTTGCTCATGAAGTCGCTGATGGCTTGCTTGGCTTTATCCATTGTTGCTTTGTTGATGTGATTTGTTTATAATTGGGTAGTATTGGGGTGTTGCAAGGGAATTGTAATGACTTTGCTATCGTGAGAGAAGTGAGAATAGATGATGATCCACACGGTCACTCATTTCTGGGACCGTACTTATACTTCAAAATCCGTCACTGTTGACAGACAATGGATGACAATTCGGCGACCTACGTAATGGTAAAATGATGCATACATGCGGGGTCCACTGGAGCTTACTATCTCCGTTCTTCATCGTGCTTGAGGCGTATAGTGACATGAGGTACTTAGCTAAATCAATTCGTCGAGAAGGACTTCATTGGTCAATTGCTAGAATAAGACCTATGCAAAAGCAGTGATTACTCGCTGGCACGTAGTTGACGGATCCACACGGGTCAGTTCCTCTCGATTAGGGCGCAAGAAATACGTCAGGGATCCAAATCTGAATGGTTCACCTCCAATTGAGCATCTGATACCCGTGCGAGTACGTTCTAACCATCCAGTTTGAGTCTCTGATGATCTCTGCATGGAAGTGGTCGTCCAGCGATCCCTGATCCATTGCCATATTCAGGGGAGTCGGACGATACATTGTACATTTTCGATCAAAAGGGGACATCTACGCTGCGAGCTATGCACATGCTGGCCGGCCTGAAAACCAAAACAAATACCACACCGCACCTCCGTGCTGGTTATTACCGGACATGGACATGATGTTTGAGCGAAGGGGTAAGAGATCGCCTCTGGGGTGTCGCAATAGATCGGAATGGTCCCTCAAAGTGAACCGTGCATCAAGCAACTAAAGCCAAGACATCGAGCCCGCCCACCCAAACTACGGAGCATTCCCCACGTATCATCTCCTAGATTGCTTAGGACACCATGCTGATCACGACGAATGAGATGGGATTCTGCACTGCCCGAGGGAATCGAACAGCTGGATCCCGCGGCCATGGTCGAACGGCAGATCGAGCACGCTACCGCTTAGACGAGAAGGTGCCCGCCAGCGCGGATGGTCTTCGTCATGATGGCTTTTAGGGCTCCACACTTCAATCGCCAGTGATGTCTGCTCGCTTCGACTTAGGTCCCGCGGATGTCTGATGGACATGTGTGTTGATATCACGTACCAGCACACATCGAGCACCGGCGTGGACTCCCCAAACGTCATCCTGTTGAGACGTCAATTCATCCTAGCATCGCCAAGGTCGAGAGCAGAACTACTGACACGGGTACTATCGATCAGGACGGAGTTTGAGCTGTCAGATTTGATGTCACGAAAGGGTGGATTGATTGATTATGGTGACCTCTGCCTCCCAATCTGGCATCTCAGCCACACGCCTCCCAATGCACGGTGATGATGAAATAGGAACATCAATGTCGCCTTAACACGTTCTACACGCGGCACAGTGACGAATGTAAACAGACGTCACCTCCCGAAGGTTATCGGACGGAAAAGAATTGAATGTCTTTGAATGCCGCTTTGAGATGATTCGAGGTGCTCACTATCCGGCCATTGCTCTCATCACACTTGTACTTTTCCATCCAATTGCGTTCAACGCTGTTTTTGTAGTCTACCATTTCCCCTATCAAACCCACGATCGCGTCCTTTGGAAGCCTTCGACGCATCATCAGGACTTCGATGTCATGGAGCACATTAGAAAGAGATCTGTGGTACATTCTCACTCATCGAAAAATGTCACATCCCACAGACCAAGTAATGGAGACCAGACTCGTCCTCGTGAGAACTACACTGCAAGTTACAAGTCACCAACACTGACCAACAGCAGTCGATAAATCCACATCACCAACCCATCAACCCATCCAACGACACCAAATGGAAGCACTATCATCAATTCCGCCAGTTCGAAACCCAAATCATTCCAATTCACCATCCGTCGTCTCGCAAAGCAATACCCAGCCATCCTCACACAACCTATCCCAAGATCTACAATCCCTAACCCTATCCCCCTCCTCATCCTCAACTTCCACAGACCCCTACAACGAATCCATAGCCGACCGCAACATCCGCCAATTCGGAAGCAGCAGCAACAGCACGACATCCCTCCACCCCACCACTTCCGCCACCAACAACGATGGCGAGGCAGCATCTTCACCACCCCGGACGTCGTCCTCGCGCTTATCCAACGGCGGAGATCTTCTCAGCGAAGCGGACAAGTTCGAACATGGCAATAAACACCGAAGAGACGACTCTGGCTTCTACGATGTCTCCACGAGCCAACATCCTCAGCACCCCACAACCTCCACCCCAACGCCACCCAATCTCAACGGCATCCTCGACCTAACAAACACAACCGACACAGATAAAACCACAACATGGGCACCAGGTACCTTCCCCCCTCATCCCCCATGAAAAACCCCCATCTCACACCCCAAACAGCAGTACACCACACAACCCACACAACGCACCTCACGCACGTCCGCCACGACCTCATCACCCGCGACATCCACACCCACGAAGTGCACCACCGCGTACAGCCCGTCATCGCTGTCCCTGAAATCCTCCCCGCGCGACATTTCGTTCCCTCCACCACTGCGAAAGGTGAGCTGGTGGAGGTGGATGCGCGCGACGTCCCCGAAGAGTGGGAGCAACGCTGGGGCGTTGATGCGCTTCGTTCGAAACTTCTGCCACCACCGGCGCGGGATGGGGATTGTGATCGGGGAGGCGAAAGCCGGGGAGAAGAGGAGGAGGAAAAGGGAGGATGGGGATGGGAGAATGACACGCCGGTGCCGTTGAGGAGGCGGTTTGAGGTGCCGAGGGTGGTGGGGGATGTTAGGTATGTGACTGAGGGGGGTTTCGAGAGGAGGGTGACGACGTATTTGCATCCGCCGACGCTTGAGGACGGGGGGAATGGGGACGGGGAGGTTTTGCCTGTGCATTTTGGCGAGGGGGGTGTTGTTGTGGTTGGGGAGGTTGGGAGGAGGAGGAGGTGTTGTGTTGGTGACGGTGAAGGTGATGGGGTGAGGGGTGGGACGGTGATACCGAGTGAGTTGGTGCCGGAGAGGCGGAGTTCGAAAAGATGTGGTGTGGGTGCGAGTGGGAGAGAGGGAGAGGATGGGAGACAGAGAGGGGTGGAAGTGGGGAGGAAGAAGCTGCCGTCTATGCTCGATGTGTAGAGGGACATACACTTGGTGCTTCGTGGTCCCTCTTCCAATTGCGTCTTTGCATACATAACAGCCATAGCGAGTTAGCATAGATACATTCAAAATGGTCAAGATGGGCCTTTGTCAGTCATTCGGGTGTGTGTGCGGCATACGTCTTTCGTTGCATCCCCTTTGTGTAATTGTAACCAAAAAAGGGAACCTTGGGATACCAATTATATTGAGCTTTAGTTGCCCCTAACGATGAGCCGGATATATCTACTGTATACCTTGATATTCCATGACCTTTACCGCAGTCAACATGAACGAAATAGGCCGTTTCGATCGCATCAAAAATCAAGATACTCCATAACGAATTTATACAATCGTTCCTGGGCGCAGAAAAAAAAAAAGGAAAGCACGAAACTGAATGTATCTTCCAACATTGCCTCCCGCTTTAAATGCAACAATGATCTCGTTCTCTCACGAAGACCGCCGAATGGGGGTATAGTATTCGTATCGCCTCAAGAGTTACCCGCCCGTCCACGCTGGTTGTCATGGATCCATGCGCCGCAGGAATGATCCCTGGTCAACACTCAAGCCGCCGATATTTTGTGTTCAGGTTTCGAATCGTATAAGGATATAAGAAAAGGTCTTCATGGCAATGAATTAGGACTCTGCGTCGCGTCTATGCGCCTCGCCAACCTTGGTTTTGGGGGTGTTGCTGCATCTGCCGCAGGTGCCGCAGCTGCTGCGGAGTGAGATTCAAAGGCACCTGTATCTGTTCTAACCAATTTGTATCCCTGGTCGGCACAGGTCCAGGCATGACGTTTCCGTGCTGGAATTGAATAACATCGACGGCGGCAAAGCCCAACTGGAATGCAGGATCCGTCGTTGCAAATTGCATGTGAGTCTGCGGCTGTAGCAAGTCGGAGTGCATGCCAGACTGAATATGTGAATTGATACCAATCGTTTCACGGTCGGCAGATATGCTCGGGTTTGGATACGCGTTGTATGTGTCGTGGACGCTTGGTGAATTCATCTCATGTGTGTTATATCGGTCGAACCGGGGATGATGAGGGTAAGGCCCCATCTTTGCATCTTGGAATCTGTCGCTTGCAGCCAGGGACGAAAGGCTGTGATGCTCAGCGACAGGCTCGGGCTTGTTGGTGCGATTAACTGCCGCCCATACAGGTGGCCCGTCTGGCTGCGGTGGTTTACTCTCCTGCCCCTCGCTGCCAACGTCGCTTTCTTTCTCGATGTCATGAATTGCAACCTCAATCAACACCTTATCTTCCTCGCCTGTGAGCTCTGAAAGGGAGTAGAACCCCTTAAGATACTTCTCCAGCTTCTTGTATTCGTCCAAACCAGCACCCTCGCTTGCGTTGGAATTCATGCTGCTGTCGGGGGAAGAAACGGCCTGTCTTCGTTTGAACTCCTTGGCCTTCTTTTTGCAGAAATCGCCCAGGTTCTGCAATGTGCGACACCAGCCTCGAGCCATCTTCAAACGAGACTGCATCTGGATGAGCAAATCAAAGGCCTTCCTCGTTGCAAGTTCGCCATCAGAAAGGTCCCCTTCTTCACCGGAAATTGCACGTCTCGCTCTTTCTGCTTGGGATCTACACATGTAGCCTTGGGGGTCCATTTGTGGGAAGAACATGCAGTAAATGCCTGCTACTGGTTAGTGACAGATGCCTAGCGATAGCAAAAAACAGTGAACGTACCACAGACACCAACTTGGAACATGGCGAATCCCGAGACAGGCGTTTCGACCAACGAATCCCATTCCTGATAAGTGCCCAGAAGATCGATGATGTTTCGTGCGGCTTTGAAGCATTTGCGCGCGACATCCTCCCAGTAATTTGGATATTCGGGAGGCGGAGCTTCCCGAACGAGGGGTTCATCCAGTGGTCCTTCTGGTTTGATACATGCGAATGGCAGGAATGGCACCCATTCGCGGTGTAGCATAATGTCGCAGAGTAGAAGGGCGAGATGCATGAGAATATAGTGTGACGATGACTTGTTGTCGCTGTGTGCGGTGGTGTTCGCGTCGCAAAGACGAAGATCCTGAGGTAGCCCATCTCTGAACTCGGTCAACCTGTTATTCAATTGGAAAAATTCCGACCTTTCGTTCCAGGGCGGGAGGAATTTCCCTCCTTGAGCCCGTCTAGCACATCAGTTAGCATGCCACCTTACCGATTCAACCAGATCTGGCAAACCTACCTTCTGCCCCCCGTGCAGGACCAGTGCATGACTTCGCCATACAGACTGATTGCTCGTGTGTAGCAGCTGAGCGCTCCCTCGGACTCGCCGACTTCCTGAATCTCCATCTTGTCGCCATCATCATGTCCATTATGCTGGTGGCCACGCGAGTCCTCGTGCCTGGATCCGTTGCGCACGCCACTGAAATGACTTGTCGCGGGGGAACTGCCGAAGTTGCTATAGCCATAGCTGCTGAAATTAGCTAGTGGGTTATTCGAATCGTCTTCATCTCCACCTAGCCTCGAGGTCGTAACACTGGTCCCGTGAGCGAAGGCCTTGTCGCTAGCGGGAAGCTGAATATGGATATCGCTGATCCGAATCTGGTTGGGCCGCATGTAGCCACCACTGAGATAGCGATCCATGATAAAACAACTCCAGAAGGTACGGCGCTTGATCTCTTGTTCCACAAAGCTATCCTCCACAGATGTGCCTGTATCGGGCTGTGACCCGTAATGACCCTGGGTGATTGCGATGAAGTCGGCATTCGGATTGATAGGATGCACAGGGGCGTGGATTTTGTCCGTATCCTCGTAGTAGAAACCGAGCAGTTGAGCATGGCCAACGGCATCGTGCATGCTTAGCCAAGCCTTGGTCCCCTCACACATTCCCCATTCGTGCAGACACAACATCAACGAGGCCTGGACGCGCTCAACCATCTTGTGCTGATCCCTGACCTGATGCAGCCGAGACCGCGCGGCTTCTGCGTATCGTTCTGCCACAAGCAGAGGATCACTATTATTTGGATATACCGGGGGATCATAGTGCTTGACAATGCCGTCGTGGAACCGCGAGGTCAAGGCAAGAAATGCAAGCAGGAACAGCTCCGAGTAATGGTTTGGGCAGGATGGGGTCGAACGTCTCAACAAGGATTCGTTGGAATTTGGCTGCTGGAGAAGCTTGCGAAAGGTGCCGAAATGGACGAAAGGTAAGTCCGACGCAAAGTGCCGTTGGTAAATCTCAAACTGTGGGGATTCGTCAGAAGATGTTCGGCAGAAGAGCACAAAGGAAAGCGTCACTCACCAGCTCTTTCCAGACTTTAGGCGTAAGTACATGGGGATCTAGATCAAGTAGATCGGGCGAAGACCCATTTGATGGAGTTGCCTGTGAAAGAGAAGCAATGGTTCGTTTCTGCCGCTTGCGGGGAGGTGCCTGTATTGGTCAGAGACGGTTTGCACATAGGACAGTGGCCATTGCATTCTGGGGGTCGGTAGCGTGGTGGGGTATCAGATTGACATTGAACCAACACGACCTACTACCTCTGAAGTCGAATTGACTTGGCAACAAGACTACATGTGTGCAATGGTTTAGAGATCTCGACATACCTCGACATGGCCATTCGATTTACTCGTCGAACTGGGGTGGCTCGGCAGGGTACTCTCCCTTCGGCCACTACCCGTGCCCGGTTCCGGATAGATGCACTCTCTCTTCGAAGAGGCGCAGGCCTGGCACTGAGTGCCGGCACCATTGTTGTTGCACTTCACCTTGCTGCGGCGACAGCGCTCGCAGGCGATTGAGGAACGCATGCGTGTGGCACCGCCCTGTTCGGGACGACGGCGGGGCTCTACTGGGCGATTGCTATCACTGGCAATGGGCACGACAGGGCGCGCTGAACTCGGAGGAGAGGCCTGTGTCGTGGAGGGAGAGTTCTGCAACGATTGCGGAGACTCCTGCCTCGGATGTTGAGGAGCATGAGAAGAACCCTGGGAGTGTAATGCAGGAATCCGCGGACCTGGAGTAGATGCAGATAGGGAGGGGAGAGGAGGCGTGGTGGATTTGTTGTTTGCGATGGTGGGAGAGGTAGCGACAGCAGAAGTAGTTGTGTCAACAGCTGTAGCGGTGGTAGCCGTAGTAGCATCTACCGGGGGAGACGCCGCGCCCGCGGCGCCTGGGATCTTAGAGGGAATTATGGTTGCGGTGTTGCTGATTGCTTGGTAATTCTCTCGAACGGCGCGGAAGAGCAATGGGAAGGAGATCCCAGAGCAATGCTAGGAGAGACCCTGGCGAGATCCTGGAGAGGAATCCTGGAGAGAGATCCTTGAGAGGAGGCACAGGCAGGCGGGCGCGCCCCGGAGCGGAGGGAGATTCGTGGAGCCTCGAAGGGGGGCGCGTGGATGCAGTGGATAGATGGAGGAGCTTGAGGCGAAGTGATCGAGTGCAGCAGATGCAGTAGATGCAAGTAGATGAGGTGGTTTGATAGAGGTGGGACCAATCAACGGTCGCGTGGTCCAGGAAGCAGATCGGTGAATGGGAACCGCGATGGGTAGCGCTTGGGCGCCAGATGCCTTACAGGAGTAGTAGCAGCAAAAAGCACAACAAGGCTGGGGGTGGGGTGGGGTGGTGATGATGGTGGATGGTGGATGATGATGGTGATGGAGGGTGGTATGGACGGTTGGATGGATGGATGGATGGGTGAATTGGGTCAAGGGAAGAGTAAGGTAGTTTGAGATCGGTGAGGCGTAAGCTGTAAGCCGCGAGGTTTGCGTTGTTGTGCTTGTGTCGTGTCGTGTGAGTGAGTAGCAGTAGGAGAAGTAGGATATGTAGGTGAGTACGGAGTAAGTATAGTAGGAAGTAGGCAAGATCGGTAGGGTGAGTAGGTTGGTAGGCAAGACGTGAGCTGTCACTTCTTGGTTTGGATACCTCGTATCTGGGATTATTGGGATTGGGATAATAGGGATAGGGATTGGGATTAAGGTTGGGGATTGTCTTTTCTTTGGCGAGGTGAGGCGAAGGCGAAGGCGAAGGCGAAGGTGAAAGGTGTGAAAGGTGAGGGCGAAGGCGGAGGGCGTGGCTGGCGGCAAAAGTAATTAATGGCAGACGCGGTAACAATATTACAGTACAGCTACTACGCAGGTACGGGGTACAGGTAACTAGTAAGTACCTGGGTACGGAGTAGCTGTAGTTGGAATGGGACTGTAATAAGAGTAATACCTGGGTACCTGGATACCTAGGTAGTAGGTACCTTGGGGGAGTAAGAGTAAGAGTAAGAGTAAGAGAGTATTGGCGGCAGGAGCTGTCGGCGATCGCGAGCGAGCGGGGAAAGAGTAATGTTTAGGTAGGTACAAGTGGTAGGTAATAGTGGTGGAGTATGGGTAACACCCCAGGTAGGGTATGGCGCAACCACCAGACGCGCGTGGAGGCTTAATCGGTCGAGGAGCAGAGTAATGGTAGTAACCTACTCCGTACTTGTAATGACAATTACCCCGTAGTGAAGGTTGTAGGTTGATGGGGATGGAGATGGAGAAGAAGATGGAGATAGTTGTTGGTTCATCAGGTTGAGGTTGAGCGGAGGGGGCGAATTGCTGATTCCGGGACAGGCCAATAGACCATGTGTTTGTTTGTCTATGGAGATGTGGGTGGATATGTGTGGTGTTCGCGATAGTAGTTATTGATTTGAGTCGGGAATATCCAATCCACACACGGGTAGGTAGACAAAGAATCCACAGATGCGCTCACAGTAATTAATCCCTAGAAACGGTGAGTGAGAGAGAGAGCGTGGGAGAGTGGGACAATAGAATAGAGAGGAGGGGGAGAGAGAGAGAATGGGGATGGGAGAAAGGGAAGAACTAATGGGATGGGTTACTACTGAGTTGCTGGGTATGGGATGTCATGGATGGATGGGGAATATCCGGTCGGGCTCAGCTGCGGGCAGCAGCGGCGGGTTTTCGGGACGACCAATGTTGTTTCCGTGGGAAGGGAAGGGAAGGGTACATGATACATACATAGCATTATCACTATGATTGTAGGTACCTTTTGTACACTGCAAACTACCGAATAGCAGCAGCACTGGTTACTTTGATCCTTACTACTACTACTACTACTACTACTACTCCTCACCTCGTACCTATTCCCTACTATTTGGTACCTACAGTCTACTACGGTAATAGCGGATGGCTGTCTGAATGTCACGTTTGATAGTAAAAAGAACGGCTATTCGTTAGTGGGAGTCGTAGCCATAGCAGAAGTGACAGTAATCACTGGATGTCGAAGCTACAAGGTGGAACAGTCTACCAGCTCGGTCATTAGGTACTTATATCAGTACTAGATAGGTATAAGATGTTTTACCAGCATCGTCGTTTGATACTGTTGGAAGCCGTGGGCCGTGTCCTGTGCCGACATTGGCGTGGATGAGTGTGAGAACGAGTATGAGAACATGGGATGGACGGGAACAAACACGGAAGAGTCGGCTACGGTACGGGCCCATCCAAACTTATTCGCCCCTCATCATCTTACCACTAATTACTCCGTACAAGTACCACTAATGGTCACTTATCAATTGTCACCAGTCCTAGGTGGGTATTTCAATTCCCTCTCTATTCCTGTCGTGTAGGTAGACGATTACAGATATGTTTCTGTGGTCAGCATTACGGAGTATTTGCCTCCATTATGGATATCATCATTGGGACACAGCAGGCAGCATCATGACACAGCACCTACATAGTACAGCTACACCTACAGCTACAGCTTGCAGCGCATACAGCACCACTGTCACCTGTTCGCCATCTGTCACCACCTCCTTGACATGCTATATACCATGCCATGTCATGCCTCGTTACTCCAAACAAACGCCTCCGATCGACGACCCAGTGCAGAGGCGTACCCTTGTGTTCCCTTGCCCAGACTTATCGATCAAACCCCTCTCCTCTCTTCTCCTCTTCTTACAATTCTCTTGATCCCAGTGGTTCATGGTCCAGCAAACTTCATCCGACAATCCTTGCATACACCACGCTTTTCCTATTCCTGTACCACCTACCGCACTCTATTCTACCCTACCCGACCTCATCCATACAGGCCAGGCCATCTCTACATATCCAGACACATAGACACGCACACATCCACAATGCACATAACGTCCACATCTCTCTACGCCCACCATACACGACATGTCTACTCCGTACAGGTACAGCCTACAGCCTACTGTATACAGGTCAAGTTACGCGCTGCATGCGCTCGCCATCCATCACTTTTTCCTCTTCCCCGCTGCACCTCAGTATCAACCCCCCCGGAATTCGCCAGACCCCTTCGTGTGGCGACATACATGATACATGCGTTCAAACAGACTGATAGGCACACAATGTATACACAGAGGTAATTACCGTACATAATACCATATATAATACCTAATCATCTTATGTTCGTAGTTGTGCATTCGTTGGTAACTGGACTGGCCTAAAACATCGTGCGCTCCGTTCCCGTCTAAGGTGGCTATACTTCTTCCGGACTAGCTCATCTACTTGTGCTTGTATACCGCCGTCGCTTCGGCATCATCACCCAACAGCCACCAGTGACCAGTGACCAACACCACCAATTCCACCTGCTGTTTCGCGGGCCGGCTATTCATCAATCTTTCGCCATTTCGTCCGGCGGTGCGGTTGGCGTCCTGCCACATCCTAACCTACTCCCCTCACCCTCCCCGTCCTTTCTCATGCTGCTCTGAAGTTTTGAGTAATTACGAAGTATGATAAAGGCGCAGGACTAGGCTGGTGTGACTCTCATCAAGCTCATCTTTGTGTTCCCATCAGACGTACGACCCATGCGCGCTCTGGTCAATGACTGGCAGCCTGCCACACCGATGAATTGCGCGTTTGTATTACCATGCCACTCATGCGTACAAACTCTCTTCAAACTCCAAGCGGCACACCAACAGCCGGCAGCCGCTCTTTTCTTTGTCTGCACCCATGCAACCCATCATCGGATCCGCTAGCCATGAATCATCGGCCCTTACAAGCCCAGCGTCCGCCCGTCTTGGGTCGAAATAGCACCATGGCCAACTCCGTTCTGTCTCTGCCGCCCTATCCGCCTCCATAACGACGGGCGAGGAGCCGTGCTACTTCGCATCGGTGCTATGCCATGTCATGCCCTGTCCATCATATCGACCCCCAATCCCGCCATGCTGACCACGCCTCCAAGATGCATACAGATTCCAACCTGGCCCTTGAGGAAGTGCGGCTCTGCCACAAGTATGTTCACATTAGGAAACCAGATCTCCGCTCAAGCTTTCTCATCTAGAATAATCTCCGGTCATCACCCATAGACCGCCCACGCGATATCTTTTATTGTATCGAATCCATAACTAGGCATTTATTCGGCGAATATAAGCAAAGGAACAGCCGACCAGGGACAACCCTTTCGCTTCGGGTGCCGAGGGCCAACGCCCTAACGTTTCTGTTCTTGCCGGCCAGCCGTGACCGTCTCGGTCGTCACGAACATTTCATTTCCTCGGTTCACTTCATCCTTCTGGTTTCCTAATTGATGCTGCCATGCCGCGACCAATCCAATGCGCCATTCTGTTTTGGGAATCGTATTCGTCTTCGACTTCGGCTGCTCCGAGTCGTGGAAATCCGCCAGTATACATAAATAATGCTGGTTTCATATTCGGCGCATTCACACGATACTGAACGCATTTTGGGGTGATATTCATGCTGGAAATAGATTGCTCGTCTCTGGCAATACGTAGTAATTGACGCCGTTTGTTTGACCATCTCATCGGGTTGAGGTAGACATGGAGTCATGGTCCATTGACATATTAATGTGCACAGTTAACTTCTGATTTCTGGTTCAGACTATGATTGAATATCTCTGCTGAGAGGTCGTGCCGATAGATCCATGTGGGACTCAGTTCTAGTCGAACTTGATACGCTCTTAAAATTTAGACAATCGATCAGACTAGCCGGCAGTTTGTAGCAGATCTGCTCCGTACACACTATGACCTGAGGTTCATCGTGAGATTCATACATTTACCTTGGCTCACGTGACCCCAATAAGATATTCAAAACGAACACGTGCCTGGGATTTGATGATAACATCTCTTGTCGATGAAGAATACTTGTATAATCTAGTTCCATGTGCGGAATTGGGCATCATGCAGTGGATTCGGACAGGAAACCGGCAAAGATATATAATCATACGTGATATCACGATCGATCTGCACGCGACATACCTGCCACGATATTATTTTCCAAGCACATTGCTAAAATGATTTCTCATCTTCAAGGCATCAACGTGCATACACACCAAATCACATATTTGTCAAAAGACGCTACAGAGTTGCCCCAACAATGCACAATCTTCTCGCGATCAGACGGATAGAAGCAACACGTCTAGTATTCACATGTCCAACGTCATCGACAACGCTAAGACACGTCCACATCTGACCAGCCACAGAGTGACTAAGGCATATATCGTAGGTTCGCTCCCCTTATGCTCGGATTCTTCGGATGCCCTTCAAAAACCCTCAGCGTGTGTCGCTGAAAGCCTCTCTGGAATGGAAAGGCTTATCATACGTGACACATGCGAATCCGATCAATGCTATCATATCATAGGCCGAAGGAGGAACTGATAATGGAGGATGGATTCCTCAAAGCAAAACAAGGGTCTCTCGCAACCCTATCAACTCGCAACGTGAATGTATTCAACATGTGACGCGGCAGGACAATCATAACAAAAAAGGATTGTATCAGGAAGACGATTGGCGAATGAAGATCATCGTCATAGCGGTTCACCCTATGACCCCTTTTTTGGTCCAAACGAAAGGCTATCGCCTTCGAATGGTGCCCGAGGTTGAGGTATGGAATCATAGATGATGTCCACAGAAACTCGTAGCTTGATAATTTAGTTGCCTGCGCCACTGTGGCTATGCTTGTTATTGGGTTTTGTGTTATTTCGTAGTGGGCTCGTATCCCGTGTGTGTTATGTGTGGTGACTGGTCACTGACTACGGTATTATTATTATGTGTCTGTGTGAACGAGCGAGCGTGTTCCTTGGCTTGCTGCTCCCCTCAACGCAACCCCCACCATCTTGCCCAGACATCACACGCTTCGTCATTTCAAGTTGTTGTCGCTGGCCCACAACTCGCCATCTCCATCTAAATCACTCTTCTTGCAAGACAACGTCCTCCTACCTCCCCCAGCTGCGCTCGCTGGTCGCCGCTGCACGGAAAAGGAGAGCGCTGGCTATCATTAAAGCGGGCCTGTGGCTGTGACGACGCCTGCCCAATACGATTGTCTCCTACCAATTGTTAACCCCAGCCCTCAACTACACTACACTACATCACATCAACACTCCAGAGGCTTCCCCCGCCGTCTGCCGTCATTTATACACCCTCCAACAGAGAGAGGCAAACAATTCTCACGGACCTCCCATTCTTATCCTCTCGCTCCTAGGCGAGCTCCCACGAGCTCTCCGTTGCACGAGTCGGGCCCGCGTTCGGCGCCGACCTCATCCACACGCAGCCTGCGCTCCCTCCAGGCACCACAACACGCCGCGTCTCGTCGGCAGAGTCACACGATCACGTCTCCCTTCTTTCTTTCCTCTCCCACCTCTCTAGATCAATACCGCCAACATGAATATCGACGAGACAGTCACCAACATCCAACGCAAGATCGACCGCGAGAAGGCGCTCATCAATGCGGCGAATACTATGCGCCAGTCGACTAACAATCCGGCTGTTCTCTCGCGTCTGGATGGACAGATCCGCGATGGCCGACGAAACATCGAATATTTCGAAGGAACGCTGCGGGATCTCGAAATGCGGCGGATGGGTTCTGACATGGACAACATGAGCCTGCAGCCCGGCCAGTCCAGAAAAACTGGAAACAATCCCATTACGCCACCGCCAAAAGACGGCTGGGGTGACTACGTGGGACGGGGTCAGGATCAGGGCGGTCATGGAGATGACCAGGCCGGCTACAGCAACCTCGGCGGTGGTAAAGGCCTCATGCCCCCTCGCGCTCCATATGCCGCTTCTGCGCCTGGCGCACAGCAGCCCAAACGCGCCAATTATAGCAAACTTGGTTCGTACAGATTTGCAGTCGTAATGCGACATATCACTGATGGCAACTCCCAGATTTGATCAAGTACGACACTCCTCATCTCGGTCCACGCATTCAGCTTATGTTGTCACAACTCGAGTTCAAGCTCAGTGTTGAGAAGCAGTACAAAGATGGTATCGAGAAGATGGTGAAGCTCTACCAAATGGAGGGCGACCGGAAGAGCAAAGCAGATGCTGAAGCTAGAAGAATTGAAAGTAACCAGAAGATTCAGCTTCTGAAGCAGTCGTTGAAGCGTTACGAGGATCTACACGTCGAAGTCGAAGGCGGTGATGGTGGCGATGGTGAGCAGGTTGGGTCTAATTAGTATATTATTTGGTACTAACCCCAGTGTAGATGACAGTCTCAGCGTACCCAGCCAGAGGAAACCACTAAGTGGTCACTTGTCCCTGCGGGTTCACGCCGTAGCCGACGTCGACCATGCTGCCACTGGCCGGTTCAGCAGGGGTCCCGAAACCTTCGTCATTATGAAGGTCGAAGACAGTTTCAAAGGACGCACCAAGGCAACAAGGACCGATCGCTGGCAGGACGAAGTCCACGAATTCGACATCGATAAGGCAAACGAAATAGAATTGACCGTTTATGACAAGGCAGGCGACCATCCTCTACCCATTGGAATGCTCTGGATCCGAATCTCCGACATTGCAGAGGAGATGCGTCGTAAGAAGATCGAATCCGAGCTGCAGAACTCCGGCTGGGTGGCAGCAGATAAGATGGCTGGCGGTGGTTCCGGCCCTCAACCCGATTTGCAGTTCCAACCTCCCCCAGGACAGAACTATGGTGGAGCCGGCGGCCCCTCTGGCGGCGGCATGCGACCTCCCGGCGCTGGAGGACCTCCTGGAGGCCCACAACCCCAAACGGGTCCGATTTACATCGATGCCTGGTTCTCCTTGGAACCTGTTGGGCGCATTCAGCTGACCATGGCCTTCGTCAAGCATACCAAGAACAAGCAACCATTCGACCTTGGTCTTGGCCGAAAAGGTGCCATTCGCCAGAGGAAGGAAGAAATTCACGAGCAGTATGGACACAAGTTCGTGCAGCAGCAGTTCTACAATATTATGCGCTGCGCCCTTTGCGGCGAGTTCCTCAAGTATGCAGCTGGCATGCAATGCTCGGACTGCAAGTACACTTGTCATAAGAAATGTTATTCGAAGGTGGTGACAAAATGTATAACGCAATCCAACGCAGAAACGGATCCAGACGAGGCGAAACTCAACCATCGCATTCCTCATCGTTTCGAGACCTTTTCCAACATGGGAGCCAACTGGTGCTGCCACTGCGGTTATGTACTGCCTTTGGGACGGAAACAAGCCAAGAAGTGCAACGGTATGTTCAAGATAACTATGTTTCGTTAGTATTCCATTGCTGACTTCTTCCTAGAATGTGGTCTTACTTGTCACGCGGGCTGCGTGCACTTTGTTCCCGATTTCTGCGGCATGTCGATGGAGGTCGCAAATCAGATTCTTATGGAGATCAAACGAACTAGAAGAGGCCAGTCGGGAACCGGGTCGACGAAGTTGAGTGACCGTAGATTGAGGCCTGACCAAGGCGGAAAGCCGACACCACCCACTCCTCCCCAGCAGCAGTATGCTCCTCCACCGGGTCAAGATCAAAGTGGACAGGCCGAGAGATATTCGTATGGCCAGGACCAATACCCACCACGCCAAACATCCTTCCAAGGATCGCCAACATCTATCGATGCCGCTCGTGCATCGTACTCAGCATCAGCACAGCCTCCAGCCCCGACTTCACCGACTTCACAACGAGTCTCGCCAACCCGGACACAATCGTCTCAGCCAACGCCCGTCGCTGCCGCTGCTGCTGCCATGCAGAAGACTTCCGCTCCCGGAGGACCTGGAGGATATCAACGCACACAGTCCGATTATTCGCCAACCGGTTCGAGGATGTCGGGCGGGTACCCGGATCAGCAGCCACCACAGCAACAGGCGTACCAGCAGAAGACTTACAATCCCGCAGATTTCGCGAACATTCCCAACTATAATGCGTCGCCTCTTCCACAAACTCCTATGCAGCAATACCCCCAGAAGCAGTCTGGCCCCCTCCCTCAGCCTCCCCCTCAAAGCCAGCCTCAGCAACATCATCACCAGCAGCCGCAATCGCCTCCTCACCAGCCTGATCCAAGACAGCAAGCACCTATCCAGCAAACCCAGCCTGCATCTGCTATGACCAAGGCACCCGAGCATAAGATCACGCCGCCTGCGAATACTCAGGGCACTGGAAGGAGGATCGGCTTGGATCATTTCAACTTCCTTGCTGTTCTCGGTAAAGGTAATTTCGGAAAGGTCATGTTGGCAGAGACGAAGAGCACCAAGCAGCTATATGCTATCAAGGTCCTGAAGAAGGAGTTCATCATCGAGAACGACGAAGTGGAGAGCACAAGATCAGAAAAGCGTGTGTTTTTGATTGCGAACAAGGAGCGACATCCATTCCTTCTTAACCTGCACGCCTGTTTCCAGACAGAAACCAGAGTCTACTTCGTCATGGAGTACATTAGTGGTGGCGATTTGATGTTGCACATTCAGCGTGGTCAATTCGGCACTAAGCGTGCTCAGTACGTTTAACTGAAAGAAATCAATTGGGACGCAATTAACTAACTCTTCCTAGATTTTATGCCGCAGAGGTCTGCCTTGCGCTTAAATATTTCCATGAGAACGGCGTCATCTACCGTGATTTGAAGCTAGACAACATTCTTCTGACTCTTGATGGACACATCAAGATCGCTGATTACGGTCTTTGTAAAGAAGAGATGTGGTATGGATCTACAACTAGTACTTTCTGTGGTACTCCTGAGTTCATGGCACCAGAGGTAATAAATGTCGATATCCCTTTGACTTGAGCAAGTCAGCTGACCTCCCTCAAGATTTTGCTGGATAAGAAATACGGTCGCGCTGTCGACTGGTGGGCTTTCGGTGTCCTGATCTACCAGATGTTGCTTCAACAATCGCCATTCCGTGGTGAGGACGAAGACGAGATCTACGATGCGATTCTCGCGGATGAGCCGTTGTATCCGATCCACATGCCCAGGGACTCAGTTTCGATTCTTCAGAAGCTTCTCACCCGCGAGCCTGAGCTTCGTCTGGGATCAGGACCAACCGACGCACAGGAAATCATGAGCCACGCATTCTTTAGGAACATTAACTGGGACGATGTGTATCATAAGAGGATCCCTGCGCCATTCGTTCCTCAGATCTCGAGTGCCACGGATACCAGCAACTTCGATACCGAGTTCACTAGCGTGACTCCTGTGTTGACACCTGTGCAGTCCGGTATGTACACCATGCATCACAAATCAATGTTGAAATATATACTAACTACATGTTACAGTTCTTTCGCAAGCGATGCAAGAAGAGTTTAGAGGCTTCTCCTACTCGGCCGATTTCAACTAGGGAGAGAGATGAAAAAACAATCACAGGAGATCTACACCCAAACCCTTCAGATACCCTTGGGCCTTTTATTAGCGTTCGTTTTGGGAGAGAAGAAAAAACACACACAATCATGTTCTTACGGACTGCGGTAATTTGCGGATGGATAGTAGGCAGCAAAAAACGAATGAATGCATGCGGCAGGTCGTCGTCATCAATCAGTCATATCACGAGACAAAAAACAAAGATGGATATTCACACACACGCACTCTCATTCTATCTATCTCTTTTCCCCTCTCTTTTTATTCTATTGGTCTTTTTACTTCGACTTTCTCACGTTCGCATAATGAATCGAACCCCCCACCGGTACCCCGTAGACGCATGCATGGTTTGCATTGTTGTCCTCTCCCTCACATCAACTGTTTGTAATGCAAATGGAAACGGCTTCTTTCTCTGCTTTTCACCTTCTTCTTGATCCTCCTGCCTTGGTGTGTTTGTGGTAGGGTAGACTGGCATGCGACATCCGCCTTCATGATGGGGTGGTGGTTTCGTTAGGGCGAGCGAGTGAGTGAATGAGTGAACGAGGAGATAGGTAGCGAATGGAAAGGAATGGAAAGATAATCGGAGAAATGTTTTTATGCATCGTTTTTGATTGGCGTGATGTTTGAGGCCGACTTCACGTTTCCATTTCCCCTGGTGCCTGATTTTCTTGATGACTGATGTTGTGTTTGACTGGAACGTATGGTTGGAGACAAGGGGGTGGGGAATGTCTCACGGGAGATTCGCATACGCTTCTTTTAGGACAGTGTGCCTGGCCTGGGGCGCGGGCGTAAGGGGCGAGAATGTGGATGTGGATGTGAATATCAATCTACCAACAACTAACTACCTCTCTTGTCTATATGGTGTTTGTACTTACGCTCGCGTGACGGCCTAGTCACCCCAGGCATATCTAACACCTACAATTCCTCAACACCTCGACTAGTATTGTCCCATTCACCACCGCACCCCGTTTGACACTTGTACATTCAACCACCCACTCCCTTTCCTGTTTGCTATGTCCACACATGACCTCCCAACGAACGCTTCAGAAACTCGAAATGAAGTACGAACACCCATACCCATACCCACGACCCCTCTGAATCAACCACGCAAGGCAAGGCATGTATAAATACCCCCTTCGTCTCCCTCCTGTCCTCTTCTTTCTTCTTTACTCTTTACTCTACACAACAGTAAACGAAAAACAAAGTCTTCCCATCGAAAGAACTTCGAAAAAGAAAAGATCGAAATTGGACTCGAAACCGTCCATGCGGACGAAACAATCAGATCTTCCTATCGAAAGAACTTCGAAAAAAGAAAGATCGAAAAAATCATGAAGTCGATACTGCGTATGGCAGCGAAACAGCCAAATCTTCCTATGGAAAGCGTACGATGAATGATCGAAATGAAAGGATCACGCATATTATGCGAGCAGAAGAACGAGCGGAACGTGGAAGAACATGGCTGTTCTGACCTGGAACAAACTGGTCAAACAAGCCGCATGTCGTTTCCGAGGTGGGAAAAAAACCAAGTTAATGAGAATGCATGTCCTTTCCGAGCTGGAAAAAATCAATGGAGTCGCGACTGCATGCGTTCGGTTGGCCGCCCTTGGGCTAAAACCTCTTTCGCTATGAGACTATGTCCTTTTTCAAGAGCCAATCAAGGCATATCATGTTCGTGGCTGGGTGGGAGGAAAGAAAATACAAAGACTTCGACGGTATGAGCAAGACGGCACACAGCGGGAGTGCTATGCGTGGTCGTTCGGTCGGACCTCGCCTGGATTTCCATTCAGCAGCAACATATAGCTTTATGGGGTTCCTGAGAACACATGAAGAAGCATGGTATGCGTTGGTGGGAAGAAAGAAAACGGTCACGAATTCGAATACATGAGCGCAAAGACGATGTCTGAGAGGCGTATGCGGTTTGCGTGTTCGCTCGGCGCTCGCCTCCATTCGCAACGCCACGAAATCGATAAATGGAGGACTCCTTTCTCGCCGTCCTCCAAACACACCTAAATCATCTCTATCATGGAGAAAAACGCCGATGCACGTTGTTATGTGTGCCCGTGCTGCCGCCTTCTCGATGGAAAGAAGAACGTAACAAGATCCTTCATGAAATGCGAAGAAAAGTTGGAAACATATGTTGGCATGTCCGTGCCGTGCCGTGCTGGGTTGGAGGCCGGGGAGTCAATCTGCAAGAATCTCCCGAATGACTTGTTGTCCTCTTTGCTGTCTCTCCGGCTTCCTGCGGTTCTTCTGGGAAAAAAACGTACACTTGCGAAGGCCATGTTGCTCTGTGCGTGCGGGAAGGGATATCGAAACCAGGGTGTAAGAAGGTGATGGACTGCGCGCTGTTCCGTCCCACAGGTTGTTATCCTAATGACCTTTTCCTCCGGCATGCTCGCGGAGCCAGAGGAAGCCGTGCTCTAACAGTACCTGATGAAGAATTCATGCACCATAAGTTTGTGGCCGCACATATGCGGCGCGAGATCCTGACTGCATGTGAATACATGGAGTTTATCGAATGGAGGAAACAATTGACATGCCTTCGGAAAAAGCTGAAACCAACGACGACGACGCAGTGACGATGGGGTCGGAAAAGTTCCTAGCATCGTCAGGTATGTGTTTTGCTGATGCAAACGTGGCAGAACTGTTTCATGTCTTTGAGAGACATCACAGTACGAATACCATTGCCAATAAGACGCGACTGGATCTTTACATGGTGTGTCGAACCAAGATTTCAAAACACATCGCGCGATGTGGAAAGAAATCGAAACAGAGCTATGATCTTGGATGAATGACCAAGACCTTTGTAGCGACCATGTTCATGATCGCTGGACTTTGTGCCCCTTTGTTGCTGTCTAAAAAATCGGGACCATCATGTCATGGGGCAAAACGGGGTAACAAAAGCCCTGTATGGGAAGAAGCGGGAGAAGCGACGTACAAAATGTACATGTTCGAAGTCAATGTACCATTTATGAGCGCGCTCCTTCGCGTCGTTGCAATTGAAAAGACATACCAAGTGGTGATGAATGGCGTCGAGATAGTGGATTGACCCCCTATAACATGTGGGTTCTGAGAGGGGGCGAGAAGACGAATTCCACCTAGAGAATGGCCTTCGGAAACAGATGTGCCAGAAAGATATGCGGTTGGGAGAAGTGTAAATAGTCTATACCAACAGGAGAAATGATCGCGAGAAATGGCACATCACAACCGATTTTATGGTGTGAGAGCGGCGAGAAAGACAGCGCGATTTCAAATGTTCAGTCAAACACAAGGTTAAACTTCTTTTCCAAAAAGTATGGTACATGTACTTGATGATTGGGAAGAGAAGAGGCGAAGCAAAACATCACTGTCCACTACCGTCTGCTAATGCGATTGAAGAGGAAGAGCGCACTCATGATGAGATCTAGGATCATGACTTTGATCAAAGTGGCAATACGATTTCCGGATGTGGTCCCGGACTTAAATATTTGCAACCAAATCAAATGTTCTCTGCTGTTGCGCTCTGAAACACTGGGGTCATTCGGGACATGGAGAGGACAGAAAAAGAAATCGTCAAATTCAATTGATGCGGAGAAAGCAGACAATCAATCTTGGTCTTCATACATGCTGGTGTGAAAAAACAGCAAGCGAAATATACGAAAGATTCTTCTCACGGTGCAATCAAGAAAGGATGCATCTGCCTTGTAGGAAGAAAAAGAAAAGATAACGCCAGACTTCATGTCGCCCTGCCCGTGGCCCCTCTGGAAAGAATCGTACGCGGCTTTTTTCCATGGAGAAGTTCTTTATCCTTTCAACAGACTGTTGATGAGAGAAGTGACCTCCATGGACCCCAATGCAACTCAGCCTTCCGGAACTGCATGGGAAATTTTCATGAACGGCGGGCCTATACAGAAAACGCGGATTTCAAAAGCAAATCGCATCAGTTCCATGGAAGAGAAAAAAACCTGGTAATGTCCCACCCATGCTTTCGAGAAAATAATATCGTCAAAACAAAAGACGGGACGCCAACCGAATGGAATTGTGTGCCTGAGCGAAAGCAGTCCAACAACATCAATCAAAGGGGTATGTCCGACCAGCTCTAGTCCGCGTGCTTGAAGGAGGGAAGTTTGCGCCCAGAGGAAATAGACGTTCTGGACCTTGCTTCCAATCTAACAGGCCACCTAAGCATGTTGTGTTGTGTTTCTCGATACTGAGGTATTCCAAACTTGCTGATGGGTCCCTCATGTTTTTGAGTCGTCGTTCTGGCCGAAGAAGCGAGTCGTTATATCGTATGACGGCCCTCCACAGGAATGAATCACACATGATTCGATAGTACCACCGATACCCAAACATGGGCAGCCTGCTTCATGTGCATTCATCCAAACGGTCTGTAAATGGTTGACGATCGGAATCATGGATTCGTCCGCCTGTCTCAAAAGCTACATTCTCATCCTTATGTGGTCAACTCAAATTCATTACGACAAGACTTCCAATACGTTTCATGTGAGCGGGGTTCAAATCTATCAATGTCAAAGGGAAAGATGGATTGGCCTATGGTGGATTTGGGCCTCGAAGACCTGTACACAAGAAGATTATGAGCTTACCCCTGGCGTTGTGGGGTTAGACATTCGATCACAATGTGCAAACAGTTTGATGTGCTGGCTTTCGTCTCTCAAACGTACACTATTCACACGATCGACCTCGATAACATGCTTAACATGTCCGAGCCCCTCCTCTCCTGAAACCTCAGACTCTTCGCGAACAAGACCGTCGGTGCTTCGCGGAACCTCATAGCAGCTACATTCCAAGGCTCTGAACGATGTCAAAAGTCCTAAAGAGAGTCAGCATGTGAAGCCGGGCCGGGACGAAAGTAGAAAAGGGAGTAGAAGGATGTTCGAGGCGTCGAAATTACCTAACGCTTGTGATGATTTTCAACATGACCCTCGCCTCAAAAACAGGGTGTCACGTTCGAAAGAAACCAAAGTCGAGACTTGGTATGTGGGCGGATATCAATTCATTGTCACACTTCTGGGTCACAGATACATGAGAGGAGAAAACACTTCGAAGAAGTACATAAGGGAGTCAGGATTCTCGAAGAAGACTGGAAACCTCAGAACATTGACCCAATGTGCCTGAATTGCCTCTTGGATGTCATTGATGATGGTATACGATATTTGGACAGGCCGACATGGGCCATGGGGCCAACACGCCTGGAAATAGGGGAGATGGTAGCCATTGGGCGGCAAAGAGATGATCAAACACGCAGACCCGCAGAAGGAGATTGACCCCTTCGCCGACATGACCAAGCCCACGTTGTATCTATGCCATACGATGGCTGCGTTTGATAAGTTCGTCTCTAGTATCCCTCTATTGTACAGTACAATGGGTTCTCGACTGGGTTTCATATGGTCACACGTAATGCTTCGTAGGGACCTCATGTCGTCCTGTGTGGTGCACCCGAACGGCCAGCTCTATCAAATGGGTGATACGATGCCACAAGCAGATGTGTATTTCCTCGAATGCAGGCGGATGACCAAGCCAACAGCATCTATGCATACGCGGCCAACCGGCATGCGAAGAAACTATTCACTATAGTCGGTAGCTCGGATCGGATGAGCATTAACTCAAGGAAGGGCAATGTTGAATCTGTGCTCGATTATACCCATGTTTGAGTTCATGACATGACGCCCGTTCACGGCGTCAAGATCAGAATCAAGCGGGTTGACAAGCGCGAGGATTCTAGCAACAATTGAGGATCAGTTTGAGCATGACATTCTGGTTATGAGCCAAGCTCCTCGTACGACCTCGAGTCTGCGGCATACACGGCGAAGGAGAGGCAAGCCATAAAAAAGCGAAATACTCGCCGATGGGATCGAGAGTGTGATTACACAAAGGCACAAAAGGCATGTTGTGGCAACAGCCAAATTTGAACCAACTCTATGAGAACGACGAACTATGCTGTTCCCTTCGTCCGCCTGGCCGCTGAAAAAATGTCGAACTTCAGGGTAATGGTCGATCGAGTTGCAACCAACAGTGGTAAATCTCACGAGAAATGTTCCAGTCCGCGAAAGAAAAGAAAAACCCGTTAGTATCGACAGGTAATGTTCTAACCTTGCGACTCTGACCCAAACACGTTCGCCGAGCAAGAAAATGCAGCTGTGCCACCGGCCTTTGGAGGCACTCCAAGTCAAAGCACATCGAGTACCATAAATGCCTATTACACATGCACTCCAATTCACGAGGAAAAATTGGACATAGTATATTTGAATGGCCTGCCCTTCTTGCCCTTCAACTTCTCGCCATGAGAAAAAATCTGCAGTGCGACCTGATGCCTTGTGCTGCCATCTATATCGAAATTCAGATTCCAGTAGAAGAACAGCATGAATGAACACCGACCAGCGACTTTTTTTTCCTCTCAGATGGGCGCTGCCGTTTGGCCCTCTATCGTATACCCCTTCTCTCTATCTCTCTTTCTTTTCTTCGAGCGTTCCTCTCGACAAAATGTCGAAGTCTACATGCCCGCGTTCGAGGACTCGAAAGGAGATAACACAAAGAACATGTGCGTGCTCTACGTTCGGTCACTCCCATCTCCTCTTTGGAGGGAAAAAGCAAAAGAGCAAGTGTCTCAACGCTTCTGATATACGCTTATGGCCGAATAAAAATAAAGGAGAGGAATAGAGCATGCTTTCCGCACGCTTGTTATGTCTTGGATGAGTGTCTTCTTCTCGTGACCGGATTTCTTATGCCAAACTTTCGCAAAACGAGTATGGCAGAGGTGAATTTCAAAGTGCGAGATAACCCTATATACAAGCGGACATGTGGTCTCCTTCTTCCTTCTCCCCCTCTCTACTCGTTCCGGGAAACAGTGACAACTCTACATCGAAATCTCATGATACACTGCCTTGTATTCCAGCTTCAAGAACCCGAGAATGTGTGCAATGGATCTGTACAGAAACGGCAGAAATTATAACGCGATATACGTTTGGACTATGGGAGGATCTTTCAGAGGCTCGCCACATGTTACATGTTGCCCTTTTCCAATCCCCGTTGCCAATCCCAGATATCGAATTATGCATGCAAAAAGTGGACACTCGAACCAGGAATGGTTCAAGGCTTTCGATGGTGGCTCCCACTGTCTCCTTGCGACCCAGATCTCCACTACGAACCCGATTTTGACAAACTAGGTGGAGGGATATGATGATGTCGGTGGGTCTCTTCCCCGTGGCTCTTATCCCAAATAAAGAAATCGGAGATACAATGCCGCAATGTCGCTGCTGGTCCCCTAGTCTCCCCTCGTCGCATCAGCGCATCGAAAAATGACGGCACTACAATGTATGAGAAAGCCGCCAAATAACCATTACCACAAAGAAAGGAAGAGTTGTCGTAGAGCTCCAAAACGCAACGCGTTATGGGATCATGCGGCAACATCCAACCTGACCCGGTTGATGTTCCCGTTCTCTCTTTCGAGAGAGAACCCTATCAGAAAATTCCATCAGAGCACTCCATGTGCGCGTCTGCTTGGTCTGGGTTCTAACAGGGATGATATATCGTCTTGCAACGATATTCATGTCTGTCTTTTTCGGCCCGCCTTTTGCACTTTCGAAAATACATCTGAGTTAGCAAATTATGGTGTTTGCATGCACTTCGCTGCTGAACATGTGGCGTACTCTCCGCCTCTCGAACAAAAGCTAAACACATTTGCAAAAAGATCTTGAAGTGGTCATTAACATGCTGCGCTCGTGGACGGACTTCCAAACGGTTTATATACCAGACATATGATTTGAGCGCCCAGAGAGATCGCACTAACATCAGTGTGACAATTTGTCATGATCTTTTGCTGTCTCTGGCTGCTGTCAAAACCGATTTGGATCCTTCTAATGTGATCCGTCTGCTTCCCAGCCCTCCAAAAAAAGTCTTCGCAAAAACTCTTGTAACCGCCAATATGATCCGGTGGTGGACGAACTCCCAATCATTCTCACAACTTCTATCGTTTCATGATCGCCCGGGCGCGATCATCACAACTGTCTCCAACTTATGGCTTTCTCGCTGTCTCCTGCCTCCCCCCCAAAAAATCTTTTTGGAAACCCGTACATGACCTTTCCGCCTCCCAGTCCTTCCCAAAAACAAATCGTCGCAAAAGTTGTTGCGAGTCTCACCTTATGACTGCGACCGTGTGGACGGACTTTCCAATCAGACTTTTATCTTTTTAATGTTGGAGAAACCGAACCAGTTTCAACAATTTGTTATGGTCTTTGGCGGTTCCTGCGGGATTGGGTATTTGAAAAAAAACAAAGTGCTACGTTTTTTATCTGATGGGTCCGCCTGTGTTTGGAGATCAACAGGCTCGGATAAAATGGAAAAACTGATGTGGGAGATGCTGAGAGTGTTGGGGAGGTGCTGGTCGATGTGGTGGTGATGATGATCACCGTCACCACCACCACGGGGCACATCTGATGAGGACAGTAGATCAAGTAGCCATAACATATCCCAATCACATACATGTTTGATTCATATTCAAGAGCCACGTCAAAAGCCGGTATCGAACATTCAGAACTGTATTAATCTTCTACGAGCGAAAGAAAGACAAAGGTTCCGCCCACCACGCCACCTAAGATATCTCCAATCCATAATCGATATCCGAATCGATCCAATATCCACTCGCCCGTGAATCCTGAATTCATGAGGCATATCAATCAAACCCAACCGTGCCCTGCCGCCTGTATCCGTGAAACGAAAGAGAGAGAGAAAAAGACAATGAAAGCGCATCTCTAGCTTGTATAATCTTGTTTACCTTACCATACCTTGCTGCTGCTATCCACATCCGATAGTTGTTCGTTCCTCCTTTCATTCACGCACTGTTCGCTTCGCGAAAGATCGTCAACGCTCACTCACTCCAGCCATGAAGATGAAGATGATGTGAACAATTCAGATTTTTTTTCGTCGTCTTTTCATCCATATACACGCGTGACCCAAGCCGCCCAAGACCATCTATGATGATATGCGAAATCGTTCCGTCATCCAAACGTAACCCAGCCCCAACCAATCGCTCTCGCGCGTAAATCTTCTTTTTCTCTTTTCGTGATATCGTTTAGTTCGCGCTCTCTTGGAGCCTGGACTTCTCGTCCTGTGTCAGTGCGTCCCATTCTTCTTGGAATCCCGGTGTGCCCGCCGCACGCTTGAAGAAGTCGACGAGGAAGCCTTGGGTCTCGTCGTCGCGCTGGCGGCCGGATCCTGGTCCATCTTCCGCGGCGAGGTTCATGAGTTGCTCTTTGCTGAGGCCGGTGCCCAGGTCTGTGAAGGGGTTCGGCTCGTCTTCCCAGTCGTCGTCGTTGCTGTCTTCTTCGGCGAGCTCGGCGGCGGCCGATGCATCGAGCTGTGTGCCGGATGCACCTTGAAGCTCGACGATGAGGACCTTGAGGATTTTCAAGGGCGCAGCAATAACGGTGTATTGGGTAGGGTCTGAAAGTCGGCCAGTTAATGGATATCTAAGGAGAAATGTAGGGCTTAACTCACTTGTTCTCGCTCTGCTACGAGTCATTATCTGGTTGCTCGAGTCTGGAATCTGATCACCCTTAACCTGGATTTGTGCGATGCGGGCATCCTTGAGATCGTAGAGCTTGGAGAGTGCGATGACACTACAAGATATTAGCTTCGAAATTTGTAGAGTCTGGGTCTGGATACTCACTTTTGTCTAATCTCGTCGTAACCAGCGAAGTTGATGGAGTTCTCCAACCACTTAGCGATCACGACCTGCAGACCACTCACGCCATCCAGATCGAGGCCAGCCAAGAAGTCTACAACCTCAGAGGCGTTGTTCAGGCTGAGACGGGCGAATACGAGAGTAAGACTTTGAATGAAAGGCGCGTGTGTGGCCGTTCCAAGCCTAATGGCAACGGCGCGAAGAAGCTGGGGAAGGTAAGGTCCTAGGCGCTCACTGCCCGCCTTTTCAACGACCTCTGCGGCCAGAGATCCAACCTCGCCGGCGGCGTGATCATTCACGGATTGAGAGAGCAGGCGATCAATGATGATCAGAACGACCTCCAGACCACCCTTGCCATCTTCCGCATGCCACTCAAACAGTTGCTGGTGGTCGTGCGCAAGGATATTCTTGACTGCCACCGTGCACGATTTGAGAAGTTCCTCATTATCCGAGCCTAGCAGAAGACGATGCATCTTGGGCATGGTGGCCTGGACGAAACCTTGAGGGAGAGGTTCGAGGCCATGTTCGGCGAGAGCAGACAAGAGGTCAGCAGCAAGCTATCAAAAGTTAGTCGATTTGATCATCCAAATCACAGTCAAAGGGGGCTTACGTTGGTCAAAGCATTCTCTTCAGTCAGGTTGCCAATATCAAAGGCTCCGGTCAATGATGGAAGAACCTTGGCGCAGAGCGTGACGTAGGCATCTGCGCCCATGCTAGCAATAGATTGTGTGACGTCCTCAAATGTCTCCTGCACGAGCATGACGAGCTGGAAATTGTTGGCGCCATGGCTAGCAATAGTAAAGAGGAGGTCGAGTCCATTGCCTGTAAGGCATGTCCGGGTATCGAGCAAGATTGCATCTCGGAGGGTTTCCACGAGCGTTACTATCAGATCGTCGCTCTCTGCCAACTCTTGCATATCCTGGCTCTGAGTGTAGGTAGAGATAGCTGAGATGATGGTGTCCTGTACCGGTTGGGTAACGGATCCTGGAAGAGCCTGGAGGTAGTACTGGAGCGCACGGATACATGAGACCTGGACAACATCCGAGGAGTCGTTGGTGATAGCGTTCAGGCAGTCCTGCAAAAATGAAGGCGCATATTGTTGCAAAGCATCGCCCGAGGTCCTTGTAAGGCTGCCAGCGACCAGATATCCTCGCGCCCTGAGGAATACATCGGGTTGCTGCATGGCATAGCGAATGAAGTCGATGAAAGCAGTAGCAGCCTCTGGTCCGATCTGCTTGTCCACGTCCTGGAAATCGCTCAAGAGCTGGTTCAGTACGTACAAGGCGGCTTCTTTCGCTTTCCAGCTTTCGGTGGTGGAATAGAGTGATCTCGTGTAAGACAACAGACCTTCTATGGTAGGTTGTGTAAGCCACTCGCCGAGCTTGATAACGAGATCACCACAGGCCGTTCGGGGAGTGTAGTTCGCCGTGACGCTGGTCTCCTCTGAGAGGAAGATGTTGACGTCCACGTCCCAAAGACCCTCCTCTTCCGTGGTGATTTGCGCATACGCGACCGCCAGTTTCATAACCTCGGCGACCCACGTATTCTCCGCACCTTGGGCGTTTTGTAGTTGTTGCTCCAGCTCAGATCGGACGGGCGGAGCACGAAGGCAAGCCTGCATGAAGTCGAGCTCTTCGAGAACAAGGAAATCCAGCGTATATGGGAGACCATCTCCGTCCTCGAGCCTGCTTTGTCGCTCTTCCAAAATGTACATCTGGTGGTATGCGTTTTGTAGCGACGAGAGCTCCTCCCAGGTAGCGGAGAAGAGGACGGGGCTCTGCGGCGATAGCATTGAGGGGAACACAGAGCGTACGCGCATAAGGACCTAGAAAACCTTGAGTATCGAGTTCATGCAATATAACTTGCGACCTCACCTTGACTACTTGGAGCTTCAACGACACAAGACCACGGTACAATTCCGCGTTTGTGGTCTCGTCGGTCTCCTCCTGCTCTGACGGTGGGTCTGGCAACTTAGTCTTCATGATGCTGATGAAGAACGGTGTCCACTGGTTCAAGACCTCCTCCACGAACGCCTTGACCTCCGCCTTGTGGTCCGCCATGATCATTTCCAGAATGTCAAAGCAACCGCGGAAGACACTGACCGCCAGAGCGCGTAGAGTCGGCTTCCTCTGCTCATTGACGGCCACGTCGTAGACGACCTTGAGAAGATCCCGCGCGACGGGGAAGAAGCGAGCATCGTCGAATGCCTCGTCGATAAGCTCTAAGAGCACCTTGAGCGCGCCATGAACCTGTCCGTCGCTACCAGTCGGGATGATGTGCATCAATTTGGGCAGCAGATCGGGCCATTCGTCGGGGAAATCTGCGCTCGCGATCTTGCTCACGACGTAGCTGGCTGCGGACTTGACTTTGCGGTCAAGTTGGTCCTGGGTGGAGAGGTCGAGCAGCGTGTCCCGTATCCGCGCCTTGTTCTCAGGCGCCACCAGTTCCTGGCCCTTGAACTCGTCCAAGGAGGAGCTCCAGCATTCTACCACAAATTTCTTGAGGACTAGAAGCGAGGCCTGTCGGATGTTCAGTGGGACACTTTCGTGGGACGCGATGGCGACGAGGCCGAGCTGGAAGTCGGCATGGGGGTATAGTGACTGCAGCTGCTGCTCTGCTTGTTTTCGGGCGCCCTCCTGGCCGGATTGGGTGGCGGACAGGAGCTGTATGAGCTGGTCTTCCATTGGGATGGTCGAGTTACTTTTGGTGTGGCTTGGGACGCGAGGGAGGGCGGTAAGCGTGTGATTGCGGAGGGACCAGGCCTAGCAGAGAGGGACCGTCTAGTGTGCAATTGTAGGTATGATTAAGTTATGGCCCGCGGGGGTGATTGAGAGGGAGTGAGTGAAGGGACAAGCGAGCGAGGAGCAGCTCGACGCGTCCTAGAATGATGGGATGCCAGATCTCGAGGGAGGTACTCTGGAGTTGAGTAAATATGGATAAGATGTGGGTGTGTGTGAACGAGTATGTATGGATGTAAGTATGATTGTGAATGTTATGTTATTTTTTAGGTGGGTTGTTGTTGGTAGAGGAATAAGCTGACCGGGGTTTGCGGGAGGGGCAGAAAACAGCTGGAGTGGCCTGGGCTGGGGGGCTGGGCACGCACAAAACACGTCAAGTACACGGTAGATAATCACAAGTATCTCTCTTCTATCTACCTATCTACCTACGGCCGAACAGTGGTGGGGTAATCGAGCGATTCTTACAATAACACAATTACAATTATACCCTCAGACATCGTCGATGCCCATGGTCCAGTGAAAACGTTGGGCACGATCAACCCGGCCAACAGGAAAAAAATTGACCCCTCACCACCAGAAGATTCGGACACGATCGGCGGTATTTTGACTGCAATACCAGCGATACCCATAGCCATAGCAAGAGCAATGTGGGCGGTGTATGGATGAGAAGTCTTGGCTTGGAGCTGTCGGGTGAATTGACGCGTTATCGACCTGGAGCTTCTTAACGACTTGCACCTCCAAACACTTCCAGCTGTAACCACCTCCTCTACAACCACCGTTCTTCAAAACAAGACATCACGATAATGCTACACGCGATCCGCACAGCAGAAGAGCAACTCTCTACCTGCTCAACCTCCTCACCACCCTCGTACCAACGGTGAACCTACACGGAACGTCACGTCTCATAACGTCCAACCTCAACACCAACGGTGAACACACCATAGCACAGCAGCCATGACATCACAAACCTACACGACAACCCTCACGCACTTCACCAACTTCCTAACCTGCTACATCCACACGCTCCTCTACCTCCGCGCCCTCTACCCACCCGCCACCTTCGCCCCCTCCCGCTTCCACAACACCTCCGTCCACCAGTCCCGACACCCCGCAGTCTGCACCTGGATCGCCGACGCCGTCTCCGCCGTCCACTCCGAACTCCTCGCCGGCACCGTCGCGAGAATCGCAATCGTCATCTACCACCTCTCTCCCCCTCCTCCTTCACCCCCAGGTGGCAGCAACAGTCCCCAAGGCAAGACGACTGCAGCTCCACAGGGAAGCCCCAAAATCCTCGAACGCTTCCTGCTCGACGTATCCCGCTTCCCCGTCATCTCTCCCCGCGAGCGAGACCGGGAAATCGACCTCGCGCGCGACCCGCTCAGCCCCTCCTCCCCGGGCGTCTCCCTCTCCAATCCTTCCTCCTCCAACGACGCCCCTCCGAAAGCGTCTGCGACGCCGCTAGACAAAGACGTCGAAGCCAACCTCTCAGAGCAATACCGCGCCGCGCTCATCAGCCTGCACACGCGGTGCGCGCGGCTTGGTCCGCTGCCGAAGGGGTGCGGGTTCAATGTTAGTATGGAGTTGAGGGATGATGCGGAGGTGGATCCGCCGATTGGGGGGAGGGCTGGCGCGGAGCAGGGGGTTTGGATTCCCGCGCAGGAGAGTCTGCAGAGGACGGGGAGGAAGGGGGCCGCGGGGAGTGGTACTGGTACTGGTACTGGTACTGGGGAGAGCGAGGTAGTGGGGGAGGGAGAGGGTGGGGATCTCGGGGGTGTGAGGGTCACGCCGATTAGGACGGTGCAGGCGGGGGTTTTCAAGTTTGAGACGTGGGTTGAGGAGGGGAGGGCGAAGTTTGAGGGCGGGGATAAGTGATGTAGAGATGGCCTTGGGAGCTTGGTCGCAAAGATGGGATGAATGAGGCTATACTGGTCACCGCGATGTTACGGTCCTGGTATCGTCGTCTAGGATACCCAATCGCCGCTCCTCCATAACCGTCGCGACATGATGCGGTGCAAAACCCATGCTCCATATTTATTATCATTCCATCCACTCTTACAATAGTAGTAAGATTCGATACTAATACTTCTTTAAGCTAGACAAAGGAATTAAGAACTCCAGGGTATCACTGCCACTGCTGCCATGCGTTTTTCCATCCATAACTCTAACCACATAGTCCCCATTCGAAAAACACCCAAAATTACTCCGTACACCATGAATATGTAGAAATGTTTGCACTAGAGCTGCTTCCTTGAAAGGACTTGGGTCTTGTCGTGTTGTCAAGCCCACGAGCACCAACGCTCCTCTAGTATGTCCTTTCGCCCTGGAGATGACGCTTCACTGTTATGGCCATCGAAATGGCTCTCCTCATCACCGTTGCCACCGTGGCTGCCACCGTGGCTGCTGCTGCTGCTGCTGGTGCATCTGCTGGTGCATCTGCTGTGGTTGCTGCGGAGGGTTATGATTCTGTTGTGGCACTTGTATGGGAGCCACGTTCTGTTGGTATCCAGGCTGATAAGCTCCATCCTGATATCCTTGCGGTACGACATCATCCAACCGAACCAATCCGTCGCCATACATGGCTGCATACGCTACAGCATAATTGTCGTCCATAGGGAACCCTGGTAGATATCTCGGTGGTGCATTGGGGTATAAAGGAGCGCCTGTGGGATGCAGGTGATGGGCCTGAGGTTGCGGGGGTTGTGGAATCGGGATTCCTTGTGGATCCATAGCGACAGGCTGGACCATGTGTGGTAGTGGCCAGGCCGGCCAAACTGGTACATAGTGCGGTATCTGCCCATTCTGTACTGCTGGGTATGGATGCGGCGGCGGCGGTGGTGGTGGTGGTGGTGGACGAGCAGCAGCAGGTCGGGCAGCTACTGGCGCCGGTGCTCCTGCTACAGGACCTCCCAAGAAGAGCGCCTCACGAGCTCTGAGCTGATTGCCATCCATGTGGAAGCGGAAATTGTCATGTCGTGCTTGGGCTTGCTGTTTCCGTTCTGCCTCCGCTTTCAAGACCCGATCTGAAGATAGGATCTTCAAATCCTCTTCAGTAATGTCAGGGTTCTCTGCACGAATCTTTCGCATGGCTTCGTCTTCAGCCTTGCGTATATCTTCTTCATGTCGCTCTTCGATGTTATCGTGTAAAGGACACCCTTCCCCCCCGAAATGATCGTAAGCCGCTACATTCTTTGAGCACACATAGCTAGTAGAAATCATCAGCTTCGAGCACAGCTTGTTCGGTCGAAAGAAACTTACCATTGCATATTGCCGCACTTGCCACACGTCATCTTGTTGCAGCCATACTCCTTGATGAACGGATTACTGCACTTATTGCACTTTCGGATCAATGCTTGCGACTTTGCCTCCTCGATAGTGTGTCTGAGGTTTAGTTTTTCTTCCTTTCTGGCTTCCTCGCATGTCATTGGCACATGAGTTTCCTTCTGACATGCGCGACAGCTGACTTTCCTGCATTTCGGGGCCTCGCACCGAAATTCTCTGTCAACTTCGATAGGAAGGCATTCCATCTTAAAGTCACAGAATGGGCATTCCTCAAGAAAATCTAGGTTTGCAGCAGCGAGGTCGGCCTGTTGTTGCAGATGCTCCAACCGTTCAAAGGTGGATTGGCTGAGGGAGTCCAACAGATATTGACGTCGAAATGTGCCCCCGCAGTTTGTGTCTGCGAAACAGACAATCGTACATCGCATACTGCCAATTTCCGACTCCACATAGCGTTTCGTGCAGTCCCGACAAAAGAAATGTATTGTGTCGCCATTGCAGCAAGTCATCCTGTTGAAAGGAAAGTCCGCAAAACAACATTGGCATTCTCCCACTTCGCCTCTTTGCCTGGCCATGCTCAAATTTCTCTCTTCCGCTTCCTCTAGCTGTCGTATTCTCAGCAGCTTCGATTCTTCTTTCCTCGCTCTCTTTCGGGCACTATCAAATTCGTCTATGACCTTTAGAGTCACCGGGCCACCTCTCTCGCGCAGTTTGCGTTCGTATCCACGAGATTGGCGGGCCTTTTTCAGCTTGCGGAAAGCACATGAGGGGCTATTAATGTCTCGCAGCTGGGCCGACAGAGTAGCGAATGTGGCCGACAGTGAACGCATCGCTTGCCAGGTCTTTTCAATATGCAGTGCTGGAACCGCGGGGAATTCGTCTTTCAACAGGTCCAACCTATTGTTACGTGTCAGTCGTATCAACTATGTAAGATGGCGATAGCCACAGTCATTGAAGTGACAAGTGGTTGTGTCCCAACACAAGATGCGTGTGACTTGGCAACCCGCACCGATGGCGGCGTCTAACAACAATTGAGGTGCGTAACCGTAACAATGGCTCAGCATGCCCGTTTGGTCAATTGCCGATGAATTGGCCGTACGCTCTTCGCCATGCCAAGACCCATATTAGATTTCACCACAGCCAGAGTGACGAAGTTGGTAGTGTAGAACTGATGCAGTCGAATTGACACGATGAGAAAGGAAGAACACTTACGCGTCGAAGTATTTATATGGTGATTTAATGGATTCGATAGAGCCCTCCGTATCAGAGTCGTTAGAACTAGCCCTCTTCCTCTTCTTATCGTTGGAATGGGATTCCTCCTCCTCTTTGGGATATTTTCCCCCTTCAATAATCCGAGACAGAAGGTTCTCCATGGCAACTTGGGACAGACTTCTGCCGACCCCATGTCTGTCGATGAGTTCAAGTGCATATTTCTTTGAGATGTCTGGAAAGATTTCGACGATTTTCTGAAGACACATGGACGGACGCATGTCCCCAATCTCGCTGACTGCTGCTTGCGAAGGCCGCTGTGAAGGTGGGGATCCGCGAAGGGGCGTGTCATTCTTAAAGGCGATATCCTCCAATTCTGATCCTGAATCGATTGTGATGGCACTATCCGGTCGGTACCTCTTTGGCTTCCGTCTCGGTGTGTTGATTCCTTCCTCTTCTGAAAGTAGCTCGACGACATCTCTGTACGCCGCAGACCACATTTGACCAGTAGATGCTATCTCGCCGTCCAATTACTACGCCGTCGCTGTTGATGGTTAATTTTAAGTGAGTTTGATATAGCAATGTCGGCCACAACGAGCGCGAAAGTAGTCGATTTGGATCGCCTCTTGTACTCTCCGCCGGCTGTGTTCGGAATCTGTAAGTTGTGGAAGTTGGAGGGTGGAGGGTGAGGGTTGCGGCACAGGTGGCACTTGCAGTAGATTGAAATGGGGTTGTAGAGAGTGAAGGTGAGAACGGCAGCAGCGTCCAAAGAGAGCAACCCACCTACGGTAGAAAGAGTGATTTACTCCAGAAAGAAGGACGATGGTCAGATGACCGATAAAAGAGCGACTCACGAAGTGAAGCGAAAGAAGTGAGAGGCAAGCAAGGTGCAGGAGAGTAAATCAATGAGCGTCAATCACTGCGAGTAAGGTTGGATTGCAGCCTCGTCGGTCGTTGTTGTGTCGGTCGGGCGTAAAGAGCGAGCAAGCGGCCGCCCTACTATTTCTAAAACACAGAGCAAGCGCGCAAGAGGCATACGGGATTTTATGTGTTTTTTTTTTCAGGCTGTGAGGAAACGATTGAGATCGAAACCCTGTGCTGTATTGTCTTGTACTAGTGTATGTACGGATGGAGAATGCGATGAGCGCCCGGAAGGATGCGGGCATTCGATCCTGGTGGAAGAGAAGCAGAGGACTGTCGCGAGGAAGGAATGATTATTGCAAACACCGCAAATAGGCAGGTTGCACGAACTGTCCTCTTAAGGAATCGTCGTGGGGAAAGGAACGCTCGCTGGGCGGGTGAAGCGCTGGGAACAACGAACGAAGTATAATGTACGGAGTACTGTCAGTGTGTATATCAGGCGACTTGGTCTGTGAAGAATCCTAGACACCTAGACACCTAGAGTCGGAGGAGGTCGTGCCTGAGCTCAGCTGCCGATCCAATGATACGCGATGTCATTCTGCAAGAACGGTGTGCAGTCAAAGACACAGACAGTATGAGCAAATGCGACACTGAGGGTCTGAGACACGGCGATACATAATTCCTAGGTAGATGAATGGAGCTGGGGACGAAAGGAGGAAGTGGGAGTTAATGGAGGGATGGACGAAGGAGAGGCAGTCGATCAATCAGGAATCGTCCTCGTCATAGCCACTAGTAACTACGGAGTTACTTGCGAACATACCTATGTAGGCACACAGTACTTGGTACCAGGTAGGTACTCATCCAGTACTGCATAACTATGCTCTAGAGTAATAATTGAATAATGAAAGGGACGCATCCAAGACGAAAGATCAGTGTTAGGTACTTACTTACAACCTCTTACACACTTACAAAACTCTCATACATCCCACACTCTACTCTGATACACTCTCTCGGTCTCTCGGTCTCATTCCTTTTTCCTCGTTATCTTTTACTTTTTGCTTCAGGCAGGGATTGGACGGATGTTAACGAGGGAATAAGGGTGCACAGACCACCCGTGAGCCTCAATACTCGAACAAATGATTACCCAAGAGGCAGCATTGAAAGAAACCAAATAAACCAGATCCCCGCGATCGTGTGTGGCAGCATCCATGTGACAGCCCTTATCTTCCATAATAGGTCGACCGATTGTTCCATGCCTTAGTCGCAGGCTCCTTCAGAAAGCGCGAGCGGAACGACTTGCACTACGTTTATTTATGTAATAGTTTAGACGTCCCCTCCGCCAGCCTTTAATCACCGCACATGACCGTCCCGAGTGAGGTCAGACCGGTTCGCTTTGCCACGGCCTTCATCGGAACGTGCAGATGGAATCCGCCGACGATGCCATCACAGATGCACCGTACGGAGCACAGGATTCGCTCGTCTGGCTAGGCAAAACCTGAATGGTGATACTGTGGGGAAGGGACTAGTGGGCTTCATGATAATGGGAACCTGTGGGGGATCCACTAATTGCCTAGGTTGATGCTTTCTAGGAAAGTCTGTAAGACGGTCGCTGAGGGTATTTGAAGTGCTCGTTATCTCTCTCCTTCGTTCGCTTCTTTAGTTCCCTTTGTTCATTTTGGACCGATCCTAATCATCACTGCTGTATTCGATCGAATTTCGATATATATACATGAAGGCTCCATAGATTGTCTCACCTTCCCAAGTTTCATAGACAATCCCAAACCACCGGGTCATCCAATCAATATTCCTCCACCGACATCTCAAGCGATAATGGGTTCCGTGGTTGATCCCCCCCACGGCACCTCGCCAACCCTCGCCCTCGTCCACCCAACAGAGGAAGAAAAACTCATCCAACTCAACCTCAACGGCTCCGAATGGAAGGGCGCCCTCTCGCTGCCTGTCTATCTCCGCCGCGAGGAGGTCCTGTCGTCGCAGGCGCTCACCCGCGACGGAGGCATCACCTACTGGATCCTAGTGGATCAGGACGCGAAGAGCAATCCTCTAGATCCCACGTCCTCCGCCAGGCTGCCGCTCGCCAGCTGTGAGACGCTGAGGAAGAAGGCGCTCGTGTGGCAGGATGGCAAGACGCAGGAGACGATCACGCATGGCATTGGGAGCGTCTTCTGTGCGCCGCATCTGAGGGGGAGGAAGTATGCCCAGAGGATGATGCAGGAGCTGGGGAAGGTGTTGCAGACGCATCAGACGAGCGAGAAGCACGAGTGTTTGTTTTCTATCTTGTTCTCTGATATCGGCAAGGTGAGTTTATACTAAATTTGTTTGATTTTACAACCAAGTGACTTTGTAAGAAATTCTATGCCGACTACGGTTGGGAGCCTTTCAGTTCTTCGCACATTTCTATTCCTGGGGTTCCATCGCCATCGGTGGATCCTACAGGATTGCCAAAGGCGAAGCCGCTACATGAGGGCGATTTGGAGGAGCTTTGCAAGTTGGATGAGGCTCTGCTCCGCAAGAGCTTCCAAGCGCGGCCAAAGGGCAGTCCTACGGCTGTTGCGTTGCTGCCGGATATCGACACCATCAGGTGGCATCACGCTCGAGAGAACTTCGTAGGCACTGAACTGCATGGAAAAGCACCACAGATTAAAGGTGCGATGGTGGGATCTGAGGTAGGCAAGCGCGTGTGGTGCTATTGGACGCGAATGTGGTACAACTCAAATGCGAGCGAGGCCAAGGGGAATACTCTGCACATCCTGCGGGTGGTGATTGAGGATCAAGAGAGTCAGGCGCCCACCGAGGAGACTGTTGCGGCGTTGGCGTCACTCCTTTCGATGGCACAGCATCAGGCAGAGGAATGGAAGGCAGAGGAGGTTGAGGCATGGAATCCTAGCCCTGCGCTGGTGCAAGCTGCTCAACGACTGGACTCAAGTGCGAAACTTATCCACAGGGACAGGGAGAGCATAGCCAGCTTGATGTGGTACCCAGAGCATGAGGGGCCAATTAGTGAGAAGATTGATTGGGTTGGGAACGAGAAGTATGGTTGGTGCTGATGAATGACCGAACCGCCGGTCGAAAAAGAAATTGGTAGAACAAGAACTTCTTCATGCTTTCCAGCCAAGTGATATCAACACCCAGTATTTCCCAATCGAGAACCATGATTACTATCTGAATGACAGCCGTTCAAACAGCTTCGCTGTTGACAAACGGAATGGGAGCAGTCCTTCCTCAAACATCCAGCACAGCCAGACATATTTGATGAAAAACAGTAAAAAGACAAGTCCGTCAGCCTCCACTCAAGCGCCCTGTCAACCAAGAGCCGGACGAATCCAAAGCTCTAGCTAACGAGAGATCATCGCCACAGGAGCCGAAGCCACCTGCATAAAAGGCCTCACTCTGGGGCGCCGAGGGTATAGCTCATCAGCCGGATTGGGATCATGCAGCTGAGTTGAGGTACTCAGTGATGAGAAGTCGACTGTAGAAATGATTCTATGAAGTAAAGTCGGACTACAGAAAAAAGCTAGGAGTGTGAGGGGACGGCGCGCTCTTATACTTGATGGGGAGGGCCCGTGCTGTGTCTGTCACGTGTCTACCTTGGCGTGCAAATTTGCGAGGGCACGGCTGAGGGACTGGATGGGGTTTAGCGTGGTGGAAGAATTCTTTCGCCGATGATGCTCCGATGGCTTGTGCTACGCTTGCAGGTGGATTCCCTCAACGCAGGGCTCACTTTGTACTCTTTGTATCAAGAAGTGACTCCATCAGACTCCATCACCACCAATAACCACCTCTCACGCTCATTTCATTGCCCGTATCGTTACTCACTAGAAAGGCACAGGGCAATTGGTTACCCATACACTGCATAACAGACACAATTGTGCAAAGCATAGCTACAAGACGTCAGAACCATTCATTGTGCCATTCCGTACCATACATTTACCGTTGGTCCCAAAGGTTGACCTAATTCATCAATTGTTACTGGCCACTGGTGGGGCATGATTTTCTGACCGCGGGGTCTGCATCCATCTCCAGCATCATCATCATTGCGCCGAGTCACTACCTCCACAATAATATATCCATATTGAGCATTCGACTCATCTTTTGATCCTTCTGCAATTGAGTCACAGAATTCATCGTAACGTGATTGAGCGCGCAGAGTCCATCAATTGTCAGCACTTGCGGCAGTGTACCTAGAACCAAGGTATGCGCAACCCTTAGCCGCATTTCGGAGCTTGCAGACTCATTAAATGTTTCCCCCACTCATCTAACATCCAAAACAGTCAACACCACCATCCCAACTATTCACTACACAGTATCATACCATCCTTTTGGACTCATTCGCTTGACGATCCAATGCCTTCCCACACCCCATCTCAGCGCTACCTCAGCACCCGAGGAGGATCCTACGACGTGAGTAGTATCGACTATTGCTTCAATTAACACAACCTGACATCAACCAGCTCTCCTTCGAAGACGTCGTTCTCAAGGGTCTTGCCTCCGATGGCGGTCTCTTCATCCCCGAGGAGATTCCCACATTGCCCACCGATTGGGCATCGAAATGGCAGCATCTCTCGTTCGCTGACCTCGCATACGAAATCTTCTCTCTCTACATCTCCCCATCAGAGATCCCCTCTGCGGACTTGAAGCAAATAATAGAAAAGAGCTATTCCACCTTCCGAACCAAGGACGTCACCCCCACCGTCACCCTCGATGCGAAGAAGAACATCCACCTGCTCGAGCTCTTCCACGGACCTACATTCGCTTTCAAGGACGTTGCGCTGCAATTCTTGGGTAACTTGTTCGAGTACTTCCTCGTTCGAAGGAATCAGGGCAAGTCTGGACGTGGAAGGGAACATTTGACCGTCGTTGGCGCGACAAGTGGTGATACTGGATCCGCAGCCATCTACGGTCTGCGCGGAAAGAAGGATGTCTCCGTCTTCATCATGCACCCACACGGCAAGGTCAGCGCTATCCAGGAGGCCCAAATGACCACGGTTTTGGACGCAAACGTGCACAACTTGGCTGTGGATGGCACATTCGACGATTGCCAGGTATGATTCGACTTTCTTCGTCGATCTGTTCTCAAGACTAACGATTTCGCAGGACTTTGTCAAGGCTCTCTTTGCCGACCCGGAGATCAACAAGACTCACCGTTTGGCCGCCGTGAACTCCATCAACTGGGCCCGTATCCTCGCGCAGATCACCTACTACTTCTACTCATATTTCCAACTCATCCGCCAATCTTCCTTCCTCCCCGCCTCCACCGTGCGATTCGTCGTCCCAACTGGAAACTTCGGCGACATCCTTGCTGGTTACTTCGCAAAGCGCATGGGTCTTCCCTCGCAGAAGCTCGTCATTGCCACAAATGAGAACGATATTCTCCACCGTTTCTGGCAGACTGGAAAGTACGAGAAGAAGCCTGTGTATGGACAGGAGGCTCTGGGCGGCGAACCGGCCGATGGCGTCAAGGCACACGAAGACGGTGTCAAGGAGACGCTCAGCCCTGCAATGGACATCCTCGTTTCCTCCAACTTCGAGCGCTTGCTCTGGTTCCTCGCCTACGAGGTCTACAGCACCAACGGCGACGCCGTCTCGCAACGACGCGCCCAGGCCGGCGACCACGTAAAATCCTGGTTGAATGCGCTCAAGAGCGAGGGCGGTTTCAGCGTCGACAACAAGATCCTCGAGGCCGCCAAGGTCAGCTTCACCTCGTACCGCGTGAGCGACAAGGAGACGCTCGACACCATCGCCAACGTCTTCACCACCATCTCGCCCAACTACGTCCTCGACCCCCATTCCGCCATCGGTGTCGCCGCAGCGCTTCGATCCGCAGAGGAGCCTGACGCTCAACCGCCAAGCACACACCACATCTCCCTCTCGACCGCACATCCCGCGAAATTCAGCAACGCCGTCCAGGACGCTCTTCAGGGCGAGAAGGGATATTCGTGGGAGAAGATCGAGCCGCAGGAGTTCAAGGGCCTCGAAGACAAGCCTAGGAGAGTCAGTCACGTTAAGAAGTCCGACGGCTGGGAGGGAGTCAGGCGCGTCGTCGTCGCCGAGGTGGAGGCCGAGCTTCAGGCTGCAGAGAGTGCACAGAAGTAAAATCTTGATTCCTGTTTGATGGAGGGGACAGACATGAACGAGGTAGACACAGACGAGGTGGACACAGATGAGATGCACATGGGCTAGATGCACATGGACGAAGTTGACGGGCTATGATCCTATACGCAATGGTTTCAATGACATTGTTACGTACAGGGGGTGGTCATTGGATTTAGAATAGATAGACTCGAATGAGCTTTCCTGGCTGGGAAATGAAAAAACGTCGCTTTTCTCTTTGACACATTACTGCTTTGAGTACTATTGTGGCATCATGGGCTTCCTTCTTGTGATTGATTTTTTTTTTTTGGAATTACTTTATAGCCTCCCTGTTATTTTTTTAACAGGGGATTTAATATAAAGTATTTCTATTTATCAATCCTGAGTGTATTTTCCAACCCCAGAACAATAAAAGACAAACATAAAAAAATCGACCAAAAACTCAAAAACCCTAAAAATCTTAGCACACTTCTCCCGAATATTCCTATCGTATACAAATTACTATCACAATATCTTTCCTTTTGAAAATCTAAATGTGAGAGTGGGAGACGCATTTCTTCGATTTCTTGATATGTCGGTTCTAAGCACGGGAAAACGGTCACACGAAAAGCCACTCGATGAATTGTAGGGATCTAGTCGAGGATACAAGAATGAGCGATTGCTTGATGTTGGGATGTACGGGTTTCAGTACGTATGCATTTGCAGTGGGTCATATAGTGTAAGTTGCGAGTTGATGGAGACTCCCTACCGACGAGATAGGATAGCAGATCGACCCCTACAACCCGTGAAAGTGTGATGGAAGAGATCGGTGGTATGTCATAACACACTTCATCCATCCCGTGTAGCGCGATACCGGGCAGACAAGAGCAAGGTATGTTGAGGGCAGAGCAAGTGCAAGTGTAAACACGGATAGGGGAATCAGGATGGAAAGTTCCTAACACGTACTTTTGTATGTATATGGCGGAAACATTGGCAATGTTGGTTTATGAAGCGCTCACATCGGGTGTACATTCTTTTCGATAGAGAGCACCCGGACGCTTAGGAGTGAAGAGACGAAGGGGTAAAGGTTGGATGAAGAGGGTGTGGGAATTATATGTGAATGGATATATCATCGCTCAGTATACCATCTTTCGATGGATACCCTTGCTTCTATGTGGTATATACGAAGTGTAAAGTCTATGAGATATCGTGCACTGATGGAATAATATAGCAACGGCAGCAGGAAGCGCTTTCTATCAACAACTTTGTCTTGTTGAACAAAGCGCTCCGAAACACAACACTGTAAGGCATCTCGGGGTCGAGAGGTGTCACGAAGAGAACATGGAACGATGCGTGAACAGTCATACCGTCGAATGTAATGTTACCTTATGATTGAGATCCTCGCCTTTATATCATAGCATGAATGTGAGTCTACGAGACGAAATATGGTTGATGGGTTGACACGGTTACGGAAATCGTGATCATGTGTGAAGATACGATATTTGGAGTACGGAACGTATAGCAGGAAGAAATGTGGAGGACGAATTGATTATGATTGAAGTCCTACATTAAGAGCCAGGGTATAATTCGAGAGATCATACCCTGGCGTTAGACCCCAGAGCCCCTCTTCAAGCCATTCTTCCCCATTACCGGTTCCCCTTTCACTCTTTTTCGAGAATGCGACTTCTGCCCTATCGAAGTCGGAAAAGACACTGTAACATTCACCACCAAGACCCGTGTCTTTTTTCCTTCCCTTTCCTCCTTTCCCTTCTCTTTTTCTCCATCACATGCCAATCCAAACCCCCCCATCCTCACCAATATAAGGCCTACCCCCAATCACACCCACGCCCACGCAGAAACCCATGGAGTAAGGGATAAGAACAGGCAACCGTATTTTAGACCGCCCATCACGTCGCGGAAGCCTAGAGGAACCGATTCATGCGGACAGTCTAATTCGATCCTATCGGTTACATGCCTATCTTGGGGGAAAGCTGAGGGGGTTAGCCTGTTAGACATGCTAGGCAGCAGCAGCAGTTGTGAGGTCTGGGAATAGGGGGGTTGGGGGGTTAGTGGTTACTGTGGCGTTCGTTGATCGCTGTGATGGATCGATCGGAGGACAGTCATCGTGACGGTGCCGATCGGGTTGAATGGGGTACATGATATATCCCATGGGAATAGGGGAGGGAGGGTGAGGATGTGGGATATGTGAGGCGATTGGGGGGGTTTGTGGTGCTTGAGATGGGGGAAGATGAGTCTGTGTGAGGGCGACGGACGGTGGCGAGGTGGATTGGAGGTTGTTATTGGATGGTGTTGGGAAGAGAAGGTCGGACGTGGATTGGAGAATGTGTGACTGTGATGAGTGATGAGTGATGAGGTTTGTTGGTTGGAGGATAGGGATTAAGGGGTTTTGATCATTTGATTGATTCGTTTAACTATTGCTTCGGATGAGCAAGAGATATGGAGTATATGATACGAAATATAATTATTTGATACACGGGCATCGCAATCGAAGGTAGGTTACGATTCTTGATATTCCGTCTCGGTGACTGCGATGATCGTTAGTTGATAGAAACGAATCTAGATTACTCGAATTCTCATTGGGCCGTGATGGCGGCGTTTGAGAGGCATCAACAGAGCCTCAATGCAGCTATCAGGAATGATCCCTGGAGGCTGCCACGCAAACGACGAGAGTGCCACAATACGTGTACGTCAAGATCGGAATACAGCGCAATGACGCAAATGATGAACCTGCGCCTGCGAACGCAATCATGGTTGCCCAATCAACTTACCCGATCAGGCGTGTTCAGACGTTACTGCGACAAGTATGATATCGCATACTGCGTTGGCCCCTGAGTTGATGACTCACAGCTTCAGATAGTTATATGTGATGGCATCGTGCAGCGACGGCGACGAACAACAAACAATATTGCCTCCAGATGGCCATGGATATTGGCAGTAGTTATCTAAAGCGCGTACAATCTTTCAGGTGACGGGATCACCTGGTTAAAGTTAGAAATGTTTGAACAGATTAATGAGTGACTATTGGGAGTCAGAGCTGGAGGGGCAATTTCAGAGCGGTCAAGTCCTTGCACTCGCTTCGCTCTCGCTTGTGCTCGCATCTGTTTCGTCCGCATCGGTCGAATTGTGAGTGACAATAGTGTTCGCATGATATGTTTCGTTTACAGGTAATGGCAATGCGAGAGGCGAAGATGTTGTATCGTGGCCTTTAGGTACGGTGTGGCCGAGAAATCGAAGGCGATTCGACCACAGGACATGACCCTACTCTTTCGAGCTGGCCACTCGCGCCTGTTTCATCGTGTATTCAGCTTGGATTTGTTCGAGAAATTGAGGCGGTGCATCGCCACAGGGTGAAATATTTACTAAAAGGAGTCAATTGTGAGGTGCCATGCCGCGAGTGTGGCTGAAGACCCTGCCGAGAGCTGTGGACGGCATCCGAGTAAACGCGCTAGATGGAGGCCAAAGTCCACTGGACGACAACAACCGAATGCTTGTCGTTGTATCGGTGTATCGGTGTAGGTGTTTAGCTGTATCATTGGGATCGTGAGACTCGCAGAAGCTTGCATGACGCAGCTAGATGGCAATCGCATGCGCTGTACCATACTCAGCCACGGCTGCATCCCATCAATCCATGGCCATTGTTCGAACGTGGGCGTGTCTTCCCGGTGATGCCGCAACGCTGCAATCGATGCCATCGCATCGCTTCCCTGCGACCGGGGTCTTGTTTTCCCATGTGCGCTTAGAAAACTGTAAAACTGAATTGGGCCGCGTCACTCCTATAGGGCTGGGGCTGCCCATTGCCTGTTAGAGGCGAGACCTACGTCTACGTCTCTGTCTGTCTAGTCCCTCCGATCGCATAGCGGGTCGATGCAATCCTGTGGAAGCAAACCCGTCATTGAGAGTGAAGAGTAAGAGTCATAGCAGGCGCAGAAAATATTTCTGGCACTCGAGATAAAAAAAAGTTGATGCAAGATGAGTTGTCGCTGGTAGCGCAGGGCATATTTTTGACACTCTTTGTGTATTGTGTGCCAGTGTGCGTCGGTAGGAAGCCAAACCGTGGAGCGCCACAGGGATGAGAACAGGATACAGACAGGATACAATGCGAGTCAGGCCAATAGGGGAAGCGGAAGACGGATCCAAATATTCCAAAAAATAAAAACCGATTGTGTGCCAAGATTTCGTACAAGATTACAAGGAGCAGAGTGACGGCAGAAACAAGAACACTCTGCGTGCACTCTACGCTATGGCGACGCTATATCGACGCACTGATGTTGCCTTCATGCAGAGGGCGGCTGGTGGCGTTCCGTTTTAGCCAGTGAACGTATGCGCTCCCTGGGAATTGCTGGGACTCGCTGGGCCTTACGGTTCAGTATTCCTGCTTCCGGGCAAGGTGAGCTGTGAGCGGGAAGATCGCTTTATACCACGGTGAGGACTTGTGTGTTGTTCGCAGTCCTCCCCAGCGAATCAGCGCCGTGTTGCTGCATGATGGATGGCTGTGGACCTCTCGCCGTCCATACATACGGCCGCGGTGCTCGTCAATTACAAGTGACAAGCCCACTCGAGCAGCGAGGATAGTTTCCTCTTCCTTCGAGTGCAGAGTTGCGGTAAGTGAAATTAGACCAGCATTGATCTAATAATCCAAGCAGCATGCCTCGAGATATTGTGAGACATTATGGTGAAAAATTTTCCTCGACGCGGAGATTGCTGGGCGGCCAAACCGTCGTCCCAAGCAAGCCATGCACAGCCAAAAGGAGACAGAATGAGCCGAACGGGAGGCACTCTCTCTCGTTCGTTCGCTGAGGGCGCACATGGAGCACCGAGCGGGCAACAAAACAGAGTGCGGCTCAGCGTAACGGTGGGCAGGGCATCCCAGCAGTCAACTCAGCCAGGCGAGACGGTTGGGCGGCCGTTGACTGGACAGCGGTGCTTGCTTCTTGTATTGTGTACTCTCCAAGTACTCCGTACAAGTACGCGTTTCGGTGGAGGAATTTCTCCACTCTAATTACTCCAGGAAATTTACTTTGGTACGGTACCGTAGACTGCCCGCTTGCCCGCTTGCCGCGACGACGGTCTCTGAGGCTAGAAGGGACGCGAGGAAGGTTGCGCCGAGCTGGGAAATTCATCAGCGCCCAAAATCCTGTATCGTATCGATGCATGGATGCTGGTAACCTTACCACCAGACGGTGCTTGCGCGGGTGCGGGACGCCGAGCAGTTGATTTATTTTGATCCCTCGGTTGCCGAGAAGGGTTGGTCGCCGTGAGCTTCCACCGAAGTTACCGGCGCCGCCCACACAGACGGAATTGGGCGAAGGGAAGAGTAACCTGCCTACACCGTACAGTGACACACGGTAGAGTTCATACGAGTTTTGTTATTGGTATTGTGCCATCGAACCTACATCCTGGGTAGGACGAGTGACCGATACGCTGGAGCCACAGCCTGTTCAGCGCGCACAGCAGGAAAGGTGTGGGCCGAGTGCTGCATGTACTGTGCAAGTACACAGGACGTACAGACGGAGCACTCTGTTCGTATGGGATGTTGTCGATGAGAACCTGCAGGTTGAGGTCGTTTGATATGGTGATGTTGCTCGTCCTCCGATCGTCATTGGATCAAAAAGACTGAAAAGTGCCCGCCATGACATATCTATTGAAGAGGGGCAACAGAGCAGTTGGGAAAAGTGGACCTACGCTGCCAGCAGGGAGAATCGCTGGACACGACACGCTGTCTGCATTGTTGACAGACCCGCCCAGGACAATCATGATCATGATCATGAGCATTATCAGAAGGAAGCAAACGAGCACCGAACGCCTGCAGCTGAGACGACCTGCGTCCGTTGCAATCATTGGCAGTCCTGCATGTATGAATGTTTTATGGTGTGGTTGGCGTGCTATTGTAGGTATACTTGTATGGCTGGTAATATAGGGCCGCGATGATATTGTGACATTGTAACCAGCAGATTTGCCCGAATGTGTGTGTGGCACGGTTTCCGTCGTATTACACAGATCCACATAATATTCCTACGGCGGAAAAGGAGAAGTTTGAGAGAATCGAGGGCGGAGGTGAGAGGACGGGCGGAATCAATAGTGGAATCGAGCGTCCGTTAATTGTGATACGCTGAGATGTTGTTTTGCCCTGCCACTGCCATGGCTCCCACTGACTTTCTTCTGTGACGCTCGAACCCTCCAGACGGGACGATTGGCACTTGCTTTGTTTTGCTTTGTGAGCGAGCGGATCAGGGCCCGGGATTAAGGGTAGAATGAAGAAAAGAACATGGTAATCAACATGTGTATTTTTTGTGTTCGATTCACCTTACCCACAATCAAGATAGATAGTGAGGGCCCACTTCTTAACATCTGCGTCTATCTCTGCGTATGCGTATGCGGTATGCGTACATTGACCTAGGCAGGCAGGGAGAGAAGCCGCAATTTTGACCGTTAGGCATCAATGGTTGGCTGTGCTCTGTGTCGAAGGGAAATACGGTGACAGAGTGAGATGATCAGTAATGACTCGATTGGGATAGACAACGAAGTCACCTTCGGGAATGTACTCTGTACACAGGATGTCTGGATGGGAGTATGAGTAACCCTGATAGGTGACGTATGTACTACTCCGTGGGACAGGATGATGAGGCTGAAGTCCGACGAGGCGAAGAGGCGAAAAGGCAATGGAGATGTTGTATGGAGTCATTGTTTGTAGGGATAGAGTCAGATGTATAATATTACTCTCTTGTGTTTGTGTGTGTTGAGCAGAGCATTCGTCGGTTACGCATGAGTATCCATCTTGAGGATGATAATTAGCATACCAGGGGTGTTTGATAGGGCCGATATAGTGGATGGGTTGATGGATTGATGGATTATTGATGGATGGATCATGGGTGAATGGATGTATGGAAGGAAGAGAAGGGAGTCAGCAAATTACAGTGACCAACTACACAGCAATAGCCTAACCGAGTACGGACTAATAAGAAGGACGCTAAGATGACTAGCTGACCCGTGGAGCAGGAATGCAATCGATGGACAGGGGTAGTAGGGGTGGGAGGGGCGCTGATGGGGCCGGCCGGGGGGGCGTAATACACACATAAAGTCATGGTAATAAGGTTGGGAGGCGTGAAGAGGGAAGAAAGGGAGGTTTAGAATGATCTTCCGTTACAGTACGATGAAGTAGGGAGCTATTGAAGAGGATAAATTAAATAGCTTTTACGCAGTTTGGTGTGATCGTGGATGAGATGAAATGTGATTTGGGTTTAGGGGTGGCTCATACTGTGTGTCAAGGTGTAAGAGTCAACAGCGTGAAGAGGTGAAGAGTCAAGGATTAATGTGTGTCTACCAAGGATTACGGTCATATGATATAATACGGATTACAATACAATTGTAAGGGAGTTATAGTTGGATCGTAATAGAGTAATTTGAGAGGAGAGGCACGGTTCAGAGGGCCAAACTTCGCTTTCTGCCGTGCGCGGACGGTGGGACTCACACACTTTAGGAGCCCACCTAGTAGTAACTGGCTTTTGCCCTGGGCCATCCTGGGCTATTACGGTTACTGGGGGGGGGTGGGTGTAGGGTGTACTGACTGTGTAGGGGTAACTCCTTAGGACTGGGAAGGGGGGTTAGGGAGGGGGGACCGCCCACTGAACCTGCTTGAGGCCCTGCCTGCAGCATTCAAAACCACGCCCGCCCGCTGTCCTCTCTTTCTCGCCTCTTGAGAGCGAGCGCACACCTCGACACACACACATATCAAACCCCATTACAAACCATATTCCACCCATCACCACCACACTCTTTCGCCTCATCCAAAGGAGTTACATACTCCAGCAGTTCACGATTACCATTTCTTGCCTATTCCCATCTAGGCATTTAGGATCCTCAATTCTGGATCCTTCTAGCATCACGTCGAACCCTATTCACAAGATACCCAATGTGTAGTAGACAGAACAGCGTTTCCCTTCCCCTCTTCGCTGCTGCTCCACCACCATCTCCTTTCCTCTCCACATCTCTCCATTACCAACGACCACAATCCCACGGTTTGAAGTCGCCACGGTGAACAGGCATCGGCCTGACTTCTTTTCGTCTCCCATCTCGTCCGACTATCTCGTTGTCGTCGCTCCCACGACAACCACCCATCAATCAATCAATCAACCATTATAGCAAAACAGAAACAACCTCATAAAAACGACCATCGACCGAGTATCGACGTCGAACACACGAACGCCATGAACTACGCAAGTCAATACCAGACTCCTCCGCCGAGGTGGACCCCAGGGGATTTCCATGGCCACTCCTCCAGCAACTACCCTCCGCCACCAAACTACTACTCTCCACGATATGGCACGGCTACTCCTTCGCCCCGTGAGTCGCCCAAGGTCAGCGCCCACCACCGACGAGCTTCGCACGCCGTTCCCAATGCTGTGCCACCGCAATACTCTTCGTATGCATCGCCTCGAGGGGCCCAGTACGATGGCTTCTCGCCGCGAAACTATGCATCGCAGCAGCGTGCGCCCGACTATGTAAGTGGTGGTTTCGATTACGTTCGGCCCAGCCGGCCCCGGCGCGATACGGATGTTCCCCCTCTCAAGCGCTTCAATCGTGAGAGGAGGCACCGTCCCTCGCAGTCGCAATCGCAAAGGCGATATGTGAACAAGGTCTATTACGATGACGAATACGTCTACGAAAGTCCGCCGCCGCCATACGAACAGTACGCTCGCTACGAGGCGTACGTGGATGCTAATGGGTATTATCATCGCCAGATGCCAATCTACACGGACACAAAGAAGACCACCACCAGCAGCAGCAACAGGCGTCGCGCATCCCACTCTGGTGGATCCAAGCCCTCCCCCGAGAAGCGACAGTCCGCCGCGCGACCAAAGCCCCAGGCCACCGAAGAAGATGCGCGCCGCGCCGGTATTCCCGCTGGTTACTCGTATAAGAATTGGGACCCTACAGAAGAACCCATCGTCCTCCTAGGAAGCGTGTTCGACGCCAACTCACTTGGAAAGTGGATTTACGACTGGGCCGTCCACCACTCCGAACCCGCCTCCCCCATCTCCGAAATGGCAGGAGAGCTTTGGCTCCTGCTCATCCAGCTCGCCGGCAAGGTCAAGAGGGCTGAAGAGACGATGAAGAAGATTCGCAAGCAGGAGAGTCGCGAACTAGTAGAAGACTTCCTCGAGAGCGGTGACCGTCTGTGGGACCGCTTCTGCAAGATGCTCAAGGCATGCGAGGAGTACATGTGGAAGCTCGCCCAAAAGGAGACGGGCGAGAAGAAGCCAGCATCGCTGGGCAAGAACAGTGGCCTCGACTTCGTCGACTCCCTGTTCGGACGCGACCAGCAACTCGAGAAGCTCGAGAAGTGGATGACCGGTGCCCGCCTCTGGGGCATGCGGTTCGACGCCAACTGCGAAGACATCCTTCGCTACCCCTCTGCTTAGGGAGTTGGCCGTCACGATCATCATTATTCCCTCCTACCATCACCAACCCAACCTCATCAAACGCCATTGTTACCACTATCAGGATTTATGCCTTGGAGAACTCATCTGGGAATCGGTTTGCGCTTCCTTATTTTTGCACTTGTTCCTTGCTCTTACTGCGAGATACCCGTGCGCTTCCTGTTTGATTTTTAATTGTAATCGCTGCATTCGCTCATGGACGGTCCCAAAAAATGTACTTATAGTTCCACGACACGGGACGGATACTGCATCGTTCGGGCGGGCTAAACAGGTTTTTCCATTTGCAAATACCCCAATACCTTTCCTTTCTCTCAGTCGGATTTTCTATTTCTTTTACGGTTCAAACGGGATTCATTTCTGGTTCTGGGACAGGCTTCTCAGCGATTTTTCTTTACAACAATGGTTTTGTCTATCGGCTTGTTTCTAGATATGGGCGTATACCCTTTACATCCCATGGGGACCTCGCGGTCAAAACTAGCTTTATACCAGTTCGCTTTCATTTTATTATTATTATCATCGCTATCGCTATCGTTACCTATCTACTCAGTCTATCTAGTCGCCTATCATCGCTCAATCAATCTATATATCTAAAGTATCGCGCTCTTTGCTACCTCCAAGTGATCCACCACATACCTACTAACCAACCCACGAACAACCACCCAGACCCCCCCCAACCGGCACACCTACCAAAATCCCAAACACTAAACTCACCATTCGCCACCAATTCTTCCCCCGTCCCTCGTTCGTCGATCAAAAGAAAAAGCATTCGACGCTCTCGCTCGCCCCCCCCCCCTGCATGCAACTCCCACATGGCGAAACGTGAAACACAACGCAACTCCTCGCCGATCCCCGTCCCGTACCTCACATAACCACCTGCACATTACCTTAGGTCAGGTAGGGACATATGGGGGATGCGTATACGTCCGGACCCGGACTGGGCTGGACTTGTCTCAAACACCTAACCTCCTGCTGCACAACGATAACCATTCCTTTTTCCACTCACCTAACTATTTATTTTTTCCCTGCCGGGGGGAGGGGGCGCGGCGTGACGGTGGCGTTTTTTTTCCGCACACCAGACGGGGTAACACAGGGTGGGAATTACAATATTTGGTGCGACCACACCTACTTTCGAGGGATAGAGAGAGAGGGGAGAGGGATTTTGTCCGGCCGTCGGATTTTGGGGGTTTTCTGATAAGAGAGAGAGGGATGTGTGTGTGTGTCCAACTCCGTGGGCATACATACATAGTAACACGCGTTAAGTGACTGGTCTACGGAAAACTACCGTATAATGGGAAATCCGGAATAAGAAAGGAAAGGCAGGGATTGTGGTATCTTCTCACACACAAGAAGAAGTAAAAAAAGAAAAAGGAACCTTATCAAAGTGGAAGAAGAAATTAATTCAAAGGCAAGTGTGTAAAAAAAGAAAAAGGGAAGATTGAACAGACGTGATAGAGCGCAAAATGCTCCTCGCTGCCCGACCATTCGTGCAAGTTGAGCGAGTGAGCGGCCGGTCAGCCATACCATGGGTGGTAGGTCGTTACACCGGCGCTTAACCGCACATCACTCGCTGCGAACCACCGCTCACTCATACCCTTCGTTCGCACGCTCGGGATGATTGGGCACGCGCAGGGCTTATGTGATGGTGATATGCTCATAATCGTCATCATTCGACGAGCGAGCGAACGAACGAGGATGCCCGAATGGACTACTGTGCATGATGTATGTGTGCGTGAACCACATGCACACCCATACACATGCGAGCTATCTGATGAAATCGACGGACATAACCAACCAAATCATCTAGGCCGCGAGAGGAGGGTGGGAGGGAGGACGTGAGATGCAGCGCAATGCAGCTCCGTATGTAGAGAGCATTTAGACTCAGCCTTACGGGGCGCGCTGGAATCGCGAGCGAACAAACGAACGAACGAACGTCCGTATAGAGGTAGGTATCGGAAGTCAGCACCACGCACACCACAAACCCATCTACGTAGTTGGTGGTGGTTCAGGTGGTCATCTTTCAAGGCGGGAAGCATTATCAGATTCTACGGGAAGACGGAGAGATTTCAGAGGTTGATGACCATTTGCGCGACGCAATGCGATGCGAGGCTGACGAGGCGAGGGCGAGAGGGCAAACGGGACGTTTACCATACATTTCGTCGCGGCTGTATTGAGATGATTTGTTTCCAGCGCATATCATGTCTTGCCTTGCCTACTCTGGTACCCTCGATATCTCACAGGAGTCACGGCGCGCACGCATCTTCGCCGCAAGTAGATACTAATCGTAGGCAACCAACCGTGTGAAACATCGTCTTTTCCCATTGATCAATCAATCGCGCCGAATTCAACGATCGCATGACTCTTTTCTATCTCTGCTATCCCTCCATGGCCAGTAGTCAATCACCGTCACAACATTCGGGTAACTAACTACCTAGAAAGTTACGCGCCGGCGAGGCTGGACATGGTCCTTCGTCCGAGGCCCGCGGGCACGCCCCCTTACATGGATATCAGATATTGTGGAAATAATAAATATCATATCGGGACGGTAGGGTACCTCCAGGCAGCAGCGTTTGCCTTCCCGTCCCGTCATCTCGTCTCTTCCCAACCACCTACCCGAAGAAAAGAAAGGGGTGTGGACCGTGTGGTCACTGGTAAGTAAGAAGTAATTGAACGGAGGAATATTGGCCCATGATGGGACGGAAGGGTTTCGCATGTGAAAGAGAGAAAGAAGAATTCATTTGGACTGTGCTTTGAATGTCGCACGACTTGGTCCTGGAGGATCAAGATACTGCGTTTTTCGCATTCCTGGGAGATGGGTGTGGAATGCTGGGGTGCATTGCAGTAGCAGCAGGTACAAGAGAAGACAGGTCTACGAGAGTGGTACGAGATGGATGTGATACTAGATTTCTGGCCAGGTCGGTTCGACTTGGGTAATTGTTGCTGGTTAATGATTATGTTTTTCCAGGGAGGGATATGCAATGCTTTTGGACAGAGGAGGCTGAAAGATCATGTCTTTCACACTTGATGAGGCAAGCAAGACTGTCCCATTCTTCTCCGTTCTACTGTCCCAAACATCTCTATAGAGTAAAGGGTCCTTGATATCGCATTCCAGAGGTCGTTCCGAGGATGCGCGATGTTGGGTCAATGTCAACACGCTGTGTTACTACGGTGCCATTCTGCGAGTGTCCTTTCCCATTGTCGCGGATTCCTTCGTTCTAGGGAGTTCCTTCTTCTTTCTTTTTTTACCCTGCATATTTGCTTCGGAACATGGCGCCGATCAGAATGGACACTTGTCCCCCGATCTTCGACGGTAGGGTAATTACAATGGAAGGTAATTAAATGATTCCATGGGGATAACTATCTCGTACGCGTAGTTAGTTGAAGAGTGTCCTCATTCAATGATGGCTAAGATAGGGTACTAACCTGTTTTGTACAACCTTAACAAGTAGCTCCCGCCCGTTCCATTCGGGCTTCCACGACGGAGTATGTATAACCGAAAGAGACTAGTGCCAAATGAGGTGTAGGCTGATCCTTGCCCTGACGCCGGTTCGCACTTCGCGTTGGAACCGTTCACGCAAGTCTCCTCGCTCCCTCCACCTCCCCCCTCGCCTGCGTTACGATACGATTTGTCCTCCACCTCCACCCTTCCATCCTTCGCTCGCTTGACCTGCAACTCGGTTTTGCCGTTCATTTACGACCAATCCACATCGTCTCCAGTCGCCGGTTGTTTCGAAACGCTCAGCCATTCCCTTCCTGATTCGTCGTATCCCGCTCTGCTCTGATCTCTTCTATTCCCAGCCACCACCGCCCGCTACCACTGGTGCAGTTGGAGGATGCCATGCCATGCGAAGCCATGCCCTGCAGTGCTATGTCATGCCCATCACTTGGAGCAGTGCAGCATCATTGCTTTACCAATCACACCCGATCCATCCGCTCCGGTTCTCGCGGCTCTACCAACGACTTCCTACCCCGCCCATGACATGACACAGTTTACCCCTCCACCAACCAACTTCTGATATCATAGCCTAGCATTAGAACCTCTGGCTCGCTATCACGGGCTGTAAAGGCAGGAGGCTGGGAACAATTGGTCCTAGCCAGAGGGTCATGGGAACGTCACTCGAACGGTGACATTGGGCTGGCGTGCACCTCGCGTTCCCATCTATACGGTGGATTGCACAACATAATCGTCGTTCACATTCTTCGGTGCCGGCCGAGGGACGAATTGCAATCGATACCACTGACACGACACGGCACGACGCAGCACAAACACGGCAAACACCAATCCAGAGCGGAATGCATCACAGCGACTGTGTAAGCCAGTGGCCAATCCGGGCCGTGGCCCTACGGGTCGCAGAAACGGCCATCTCGCCTTTGGGTCATCTGAGAGAGCCCAATACAGGTCAGCTGGCCAGCCACGCAGTCAATTCGACACGCATCTTGCATCAAATCTGTTTGCCGGTTCTCTTGTCCTCCGCTTCTCTTTGCTCAGTTACTTGCTTTTTCCCGAGTCCCAGTTTTGCAAACGCAAAGAAGGTGGGCTGGCTAAGCGCTCATGGGCACCCGTCCGTCGGGATCAATATCATTTATTGGATTGAGGGCCATGATCGATAGTGCCTATGCGTGATGGGCTTGGTATGAGCCTGTAGGATGTACAGTGCTGTATGGATGTATGGGTGGAGGGGTGCATGGAGGGGCAGCTTTGCGTAGGAGTGGCTGCATGTGGGGATCAAGTTCATGCATCTATGCTAACATACTCACCACACTCGCACACCCTCGCACTCGTTCGCAAAGCCAGTGTAGTACTCGTAGTATTTCTCTGTCTCTACTCGTAGCATTGCTGTTGCTTTTGACAGAGAAATGTCTCATCACAGGTTTGTCCGTTGGCATCAACTATGGTACTGGTACTACGTCCATGGTCTGACAATCTACAACTCACAGATTCTGCTACATTTGCTGCGCTGAATACAGCCAAACATCCATGTTGATCGCCTTCTGTACCCCTCTCCCCAATGCAGCAAGGCACGTATCTTATCCCGTCAGCCGTCTTTCCTTACCCCATCTAGCAGTGTTCTGTTGTATCCGTTCTACTCCAATCAGTTAGTTCCCTTCCCTCGCTCCCTCTCGTCCCTTTCCTTCGCTGCCGTCATCCACGTGCCGCCTAAGAAACGCAATTCGTAGATCCCCGCTGTCAGTCCCCTCTTCTGCCGTAAGATAGGCGCGCTGCTCCTCCTCATTCACTCCCTCTGTAGTCCAGGAATGTGATAGCCTCGTCCAGTAGCCCGCTTTACGCTTCCCGAATTCGAAGACAATCCCGAGACTTTTCGCTGCAACACTCATCCATGGTTCATAGATTACACATACACCCATCTCTACTCACTCATGCTGAATCAGGCGTCTTGGTTCTTCCTCCGCGTTGGTACGGGAATCTAATCCATGCGGCTGGTTGCCTCTTTCCTTGCATTTTATCTCAGGCCATGGGCGCCGGACCAAACGTGTTTTTTATGTCAACTATGTGATTATTCACCATGGTCCGGACAAACCACAATACATTGTACCCTCACATCACTCGGGCACAACCTAAATCCTAAAAGGGACAAGAGTTCTAAGTTTAAAAAACATTACAATCAATCCCGAAAGTCCCAAAGGCCCCTCTACTAATATTAGGCGCACGCAGTGTAACTCAGAAGAACTGCACCTACAATAGTCACTTACAAGTCAGCCTAACATTAGCAGTCCATCAATCTACTAACAGCAAGTGAGCCTAATTTGGCTCACCTAACCTCCTATAAATGCATCATAATCTTGCTCCGTACTGCAGTAATAGACACTAAAAACCCACCAAACAAAGTAAATGTAGAAACATGCAGCTTACGTACGCGCGCGCACGCCGCCGGAGAACGAACGAACAAACATATGCACGTAAGAAAACACCACCGACAACCTAAACCTACTCGTTACCTTACGAGGTAGACACATACCTACATACATTGCTCACCCACCGTTTCCCATCCCCTGTGCCCCCCCAACAGCCTCGGCGAGGTGCTAAATAAAGAAAGAAAAGAAAGAAAGAGAAGTGAGAATAACGGGCGTTACACGACCGTTTATCGTTATCGTTATCGTTGATCCTGCCTTGCCCCTGCGAGACTAACTACGGGACGTTACAACGGCCTTGAGAGCTTCGATTTCGTGGTTTCGATTTCGGTTTCGCGGAAATCTCACGTAAAACTGCTCACCCTTCTTTTTCCACCCCCAAACCTGAGTCTGTGGCGCAGGGCGGACGAAGAGCGGGCGGAGCGGAGAGGAGAGGAAGATGGTGAAGAGAGATCGAATAGATGGTGACTATGCGAAGAAAGAAGAGAAGGCTTTGTTTCGGGGCGTGTGTATGCCTCGTTCCGTTCACGACTTCCCATTCCGGGGGGCTGTGGTGACGGCGGTGGTTACGCCGGTAATTTATCCCAACCCTCCGCTCCGCTCGCGATGTATTTTTTTCCCCTTCCGTTTCTCCAAGTAATAATGGGAGGGGGAGGTATACATTCTCCCAAGCGAGCGAATCGATACTTCCAGCGCGGTTTATTGGGCGTGGGAGTGGACATGGACGTGCATGCATGCAAGACCGTTTTTCATTTACGTTTCAATCTCTCTTCTTGGTCGGCGATTGGAGACGTTTCGCGATGGGTTAATATAGCGACGTCGACGACGGACAGGCCCAGGATATTAATTGGGTGGGTAGGTGGGTGTGTGAGAGCAATCAAACCACCCATGGTGAATGGGAACTGTTTCCCAAGACGGTGGTAAGGTTGATATACTCTCTGCGCTCAACGGCATGGATGGATGGGCAGACGTCGCGTGGACGGTAAGGGATTTTCTTCCTTCCTTTCTCTATTTGGGAAACGTAGGGTTGGGATGAGTCTTTGTGCATGGGTATCTAGTTCATGGGGGGGAAATATAATACAGGGCAATACAGTGAGGTATAGTACATTCGATGGATGTACATTTCATGTCATATCCAGAGACGGCAGTGTCCCGTCGGGACAAGGCTGGTCAAGATCATCGACGTTCCAAGCCGGCGTTGAGGGCTGTTGATCTTTGTTTGCTACTATGTAGGAATCATGTGATGGGGGGTGCGGATTTATGCATAACCGGCGTAAAGCGTAAGAAGATTACAAGATTAACGTAGGTAGATCTTGTTAAGAGCGTTAGGTTATGGTGAGGGTACAAGTCTTGAGATACTCCGACTGCAATGCATTGCACGTACTTGTATAGTAGGCCGAGGCAAGTGTTTCCAAAGATGCATATCTTTTCTTCTTCGTGGTGAACGTGCAAATTCAGGTCCAAGTTGCTCGTAAGTATATTTGACATAGTCCCAGCCGATCTATTACTCAGTGGGATATTTAGGAAAGTTGGATCGATGTGTTCTGCAGCATAGGTAATTGCGAGAGCCCCGGTACTTGGAATGAATGTGATCGGCTCGGTCTTCAAAATGAAGGTATCAATGTGAGAACTAATACATGTCTGGCACAGAATTATGTAGTCGAGTATATAGTGTATCTAGGGCATTGCTTGAAGTGACGTTGAAAGTCCGGTACGCTATGCGTAGTGTAGCCGCGCCTTGGTGGCGATCCGAGCCTTTCGCGGTATCCTCGACACCACCTTCCCCGGGCCGATCCTCTAGGCTAGTGCTGGTATGGAGCTATACTGGCATTGTGACCTTTTTGTCTCATATTGTGGGTTTGGTGCGGTCGATAGTCTACAAGGTAATCATGGGTGTGGTGTGTTTGTCGACGGCTCACGGCATGGGGCATTTTCACACTGTGAAGACTTAGATCGCCCACGGTTCGCGATTGAAAGTTTGTACGATGAAGAGTCTTATTGCATTGCTTTCTCTGAATTGAACGGGATATAGCAAAGACGATGTATCTTGGAATTTTTTATTCTAATCCGTTACTGTACTTCCCCTTCCATGATCCAATCTTTGTGGTCAATGTTTTCCAATACCGCCCTAATGTTTTTCCAGGACGCCTATGTAAGACCGAATTGGTATTTATTTGTGGGCTATGCGTCTGTCAGTATGTTCCGATAGTCTAGAGTAGAAACATGACCTACGAATGCCCTCAACGGGGACAGGCTGAATGTCGACGACTTCAGCGGCGGTCTTCTTCTTGTCCTCAACTACGTCCTTCATGAAGGGGAAGGTGAGAACTTCCTTGATACTGTAGTGGTCGGTCAAGAACATGACCAATCGGTCAATTCCGAGACCCCATCCTCCTGTCGGGGGAAGACCGTACTCCTATAGAAATGTTAGTGTATGGACTTCGATAAGAAGAGGGCAATCTTACCAATGACTGGCAGAAAGTCTCGTCAATGAGCTGGACTTCCTCGTCACCCTGGTCCTTCTGTCTGGCTTGCTCTTCGAAACGCATGCGCTGGTCGAATGGATCCTACAAACAATGCGTTAGACATCATTCCACAGTACGTAAAATCGTTCAACTTACGTTCAACTCGGTGTATGCATTGCAAATCTCCTTCTTGCAGACGAAAGCCTCGAAACGCTCGCAGAGGCCTGGCCTGTCGCGAGAGTACTTGGCAAGCGGTGACATCATTTCGGGGTGACCAAAGATGAATGTTGGGTTAATGGAAGTCTCCTCGATATATTCACCAACCTTTCCAAAATCAGTAACAAAAATCGTCTTTTGATCTTCCATCACTTACCAAGGTGTCAATCATTCTAGCGTTGGTGAGCGGTGGTGGGCAATCCACATTCATCTTCTTCAAGACACGCTTGAGGAACTCGTTTGTCTCCTGAGTGTGAAGCTGGTCATGAGGAGGGAACTTCTCGCCAGTGGCCTTCTCCAGCTCTGGCATCATATCCTTTCTGGCCCAGGGTCTTTCCCAGTTCACCTATACAAGATGAATTAGTATCGCGCTAATGAGATCGAGTCATTCGATAATTGACGTACTTCATACTCTGTTCCGTTTTGCGTCTATAAGAAGTTAGCTTAGATCCAATACACCACCCATCTGTTGAATACGTACGTGGTACTTGGTCTTGTATGTGCCAAAGATCTCATATACGAGGCCTGAGACCATCTCCTCTGTCATGTCCATCAAGTCGTACACATCAGCAAATGCCTATATACAAGTCAATTATCGTTCCATACTCAACAGTACGTAAGCCTACCATATAGAATTCGCAAGTTGTGAACTCGGGGTTATGTGTTAGATCAATACCCTCGTTACGGAACTGACGACCAATCTCGTAAACACCTACAGGGAGTCAGCAAGGTTGTGTTACAGAAGTGGCATGTTAACAGGTTGAAGTGATAGACTTACGTTCGATACCACCAACAACAAGTTCCTTGAGGAAGAGCTCAGGAGCAATTCGGAGATAAAGCTCCATGTCAAGTTCGTTGTGATGAGTCTTGAAGGGCTTGGCTGTGGCACCACCAGCAATCTTGTTCATCATCGGTGTTTGCACCTCCAAGAAGTCGCGCTCATCCAAGTACTTGCGAATATACTTGACGATCCTCGTACGGGTGAAGAAAGTGCTTCGGACAGGGTCATTCATGATAAGATCGAGGAACCTCTGCCTGTGACGCTGCTCCTGGTCCTTGAAACCGAAGTACTCGGTTGGCAACTGGTGCAGGCAGGGTGTGAGCAAGATCACCTCCTGGGCAAAGATACTGAGCTCTCCCTCTCCGCCCTTCTTGGGGTTTGTCCTTCCGGGGTATCCAACAACACCAATCCAGTCTCCTCGTCGAAGGTGGTCATGCTGGCTAGCGAAAGGGACGTCACCCTTGGCCTCTTGCGATTGGCACATGATTTGGAGCGTAATGCCCTCGGCCTTGCAGTCGTAGAAACGGAGCGCACTGTGATGTTTAGTATATGACTGACCAAGAAGGGTGCCTATACTCACTTTCCAGACGCGCGCTTGGTGATGATCCGGACACCCACGCGGATCTCCTTCTCGGGAAGAGTTTCGCCCTTCTTGAGGTGAGCGTACTCCTCGACAAAGCTTCCCAATCTTGTGTTCACATGGAACTTGTGCCTAAAATCCGTCAGACGACCCATAGATAGCCAGCTCCCATCGCGGGAAGCATCCGGAAGTGTTCACATACGGGTATGGGTTGGGCTCCTTAGAACTACACAAGTCAGCATTTGGGCTTCTATCAAGGAAGTTGGCAAACCTACGTTCGGAGCTTATTGATGGCCCTCGACCTGATCTCGAAGTATTGCTGTGAAAGTTAACATAAATTATCGTAACGTCAATTTCACAAATCGGCCATACATTGGGGTTCAAGTCCTTCTCAGACTCTTCTGCGGACTTCTCCTTGGGTCGGCTGGGAACGGCAGCACCAGACTTCTCTGCCTTCTCTGCCTTCTTGCGCTCGGCCTCCCTCTTCTTCTCGCGCCTCTTCACTGTTGCGGCGATTAGAAAAAATGGTCGCGCGACACAATTGGGAGAAATAACTAACACTCGCTCTTGGAGATACGCTCTCCAGTAACGGGGTCATCGTAGAGCTTCTCGGGAGCCGCGGCGGGCTGTTGTTCGGAATCGGCCATGTTGACAATTGGGTTTTGATTGTTCACGTTTGACTCGTCAATGAGGGGCAGGCGAAAGTGGTTCCTAAATTTCGGCGGGGGCAATGGGGGGTGACTCAATTCGGCGATTTAGTTCTTCCGCTCCGTAACAAGTAGTAGAGTCACAATTCATCGTAATATGCGGAGGAATGCTTGTCAATCTCTTTTTCTGATTCATACAATTTCTTAGGATCCTACTACTCAGATCTGAATGGTCATGTTCCTCTGCTTCGCTAACACAGTCGGGTCTGGTTGACTCACCAAACACGTCACTGAAGATGCGCTTCATACACTCACGGCTGTGTACAGTACAACTTGCCCCAAAATACTTTAGTTTCTCCTGTATGGAAATAAATAGGGTAAAAAAACCATACATTTCCGAACACTGGTACCTTTTTCTGCATGGGGTGTCTTGGAAACATAACTTCATAAGAGACCAAGACCAGCTCTGAAGAACAAAACTTTTACCACTCAGGTACCCGACAAGAATGCCAGCTCAACCAACGCCGTGGTGCTTTTATTGGCCCGTACAAGCCAAGACCTTTTGACGAGCCGAAAAGATAGATAGTCATATAGGAGTATGAGAAGATATTGCTGACCAAGAGGCCTACAGCAGGTAAAGTCAGCAGGCTGGTGGAGATCATGTGTATTGGTAATGAGTCAAGCGACCGGTTTACTGGAACCGACCCGTCCTTTCTATCTCCTTCATGCATATATGTATCGTGAAATGGTTCGATTCCGCGCTTGTAATGCCTTCTTGAGGCAATTCTGGGATGATCTTCTCTTGTCCTCCTATAATTGTAGCCCCCATCACAACAAACCCAAGAAATCACAATGCATTGCGATAAACCTTATTCCCAGCCGTGTATGATCTGTCAAGAAGACTAAATAGAACTTCACGTTGATCTGTACAGAAGTGGGTTAAACAGTAACCGACCACTTTCGCCAAGTACAGTGTAGTATCAATGTATCAGAAATCTCCACCCGCGTGTCATTAGCAGATGTTCCTTTGAGCAGCGTCGTGTACTTTGCTGCAGTTTGCACTCATTCGAGATACTTGAAAATGGTTGCTGGAATGACCAAGGCAATGCATCATGAATAAAAAATCAAACAAACTTTTTATGACTGGAGAGGCCGTACTCCAAAGATACCACGTCCTGCGTGGCATTTCGATTTGGAAGGTTCTTCACTTGCTCATAATATACATGGCCCTCATCTACGAAACTGATCTTCCTCCTGCAAATAATGGAGACTGATAGCATCAGGATCCGGGTATCGAACTTTAGAATCAGTCGGATCCCGACTAGATGCCCCGCTCTGGCCGATGAGATCTTCCTCAGTATTTCGACGAAACGCCCCAGAAGATGGATCGTGGCGCACTGCTTTGATGCTTCCGGCCCGGATCGCCCTGAAGAATATCGGATGCACAGGCAGGCAGGATGATATGAACCCGCCAACGACTTCAAGAAGGCACCAGAGAAAAAGACGACCGGCCATGTATGATTGATCCGCCTTCTTGACCATTTGCCTGGCTTCGTATAGATGCAATATACTTCCTAGGCACGCTCTGAAGGCAGTAAAGACTTAGCAGGTTATTCGAGAAGTGTTTGCATGCAGTAGAACTTACACAATTCCACCAACGAAAAGTAAGCTTATTTGAATCCTCTTAGTGACAGCTATCTTCAGTTTCCATATCCAATAGGCCGGAAGGAGTAAGATCGCAAAATCCGTGGCCATGTTTACACTGGCCGTGTATGAGTGAACAACTGGCGAGGTGATGCATTTCCCTGGGATATCGAATTCCCATGCTTTCCGGATGGGGTGGCATTGAAAGACGTCTGTGAGTAGCGAGGATATAGCAAGCGCCGTACTGATAATGAGTAGCCAGGTAAGAACTTTATACGAGGCTAGATAAGAGTGAGGAGCGAAAAATCGGCGGAGCTGGAGGATGATTGTGATCTTGATCGGTAACAAAACAAAAAGATAAAGCACTTTCGCAACATATACGTACTAGATAATAGTCAGTGTTGTAATAGGTAGGAGACAGCGAATACGGTACTCACAATAAGCAAGTCTTTGAATTGTTCAATACTCATGTTCCACTGGTGAAGTCCAGCACCGTTGATCACGGTGAATTGACATAATACTGTTAGAGCAACAAGAAATACCCAAGAGAAGATGCAGGTATCTTAGCAGGATTAGCTTAACAACGATATGATTGGAAGCAGCTTTCATACAGTCATCTATCTCGAGTTTGCGCAGAATGATTATGCGTGTAAACAACCTTATGCTGATCAAAACTGAGCACAGGGCAGCAGAAAATGCAGCATAGGCTCGTATACCGTAGCCCAGTGATCGTGGAGGGTGAGAAAAATTGGGTACTAAGCCAGGTGGGGGCGGCAGAGCAGCTTCCATAATCGCGACCGTCGGCGGTACAGCAAAGAGACACGAGAAGCAGCAATTGTCTTTGGTGTGGGGGAAACCGGGAGCATGTCCCAGGGCTGGGAGGAATTGATACTTATAAGGGCACTCGACACTCACAGGAACGCGCTTCCGGCCGATGGAACGGGCTGTAGGTTTGTAAACACCTGCAGAGGTTTCAACAGGAATTATGGGAAGCTATCTAACTTCCCGTCTGTATGCATTTGTGCTAAGCTTTTAGTTTGACGATAGTATAATTATGGCTTTTAAGCATTGCCATATTCCTCGAAGTTCTCGGTAAAAGTGAATGTGTAAGCGCAGCTACCTCGTATTAGTACGCAACCTACAGTAGCTTATCTTAGAAGCGAGGCAAGCCGTCTGCCCTGTGTCGGCAATACTCAAGCCACGAGCTCTGTACAAGTTATTACCCTCGTTCTATACGACTCGTGCTTGTTGTATTCACCGCCAATACGTTCACCAGTCTACCATCCCGCGGGGTTCCATCGTGCACAGACAGAGTGCTGGCCGACGATCTTTCAGCCCATTCGTGTTCAGGGTCTTTTAGTTGATTGAGGGTGCTTAACTTATTCTCCGTATGCACACATCCCAGATACTCCTTTTAAGGTTCTCGTTCTGAGATTATCATATTTTCGAACCTACATGCAGGCCGACTGATAAAAGAATGACGTGCAGACAGTAGTTTCTCTCTTCAGGTATGGTGCTTTTGATATGTTTCTCGCCACTCTTTGTCTGGGAACAGTATTAGCAGAATATACGTTGAGATTGACTCCAGAAGCAGATTAGTAGCTTACACATGTCCCGTGTCTGAGCAACGTACCGAAGTGCTGTCATAAAATCGAGACGGGGCCAAGGAAGTAACTTTTGTATTATTGATGCACGCCAGTTGATCTTGCCAGTGTCACTTGACTGCTATATAAAAATCATACCTACGCCTTCTTGCGCCTCCAATATGAGAGATATATTTAGGAAATATCATCCAGGCTGACTTGCTTCATCAGCGCGAGGTTATGGGAGTAATCAATACTCACGTCCACAACACAAACACCTTCGTACTCCAACGCCTCTTTCATAACGCTCTCGAGTTCCGAGGCATCACTAACGCGGAAACCTTTTGCTCCGGATGCCTCCGCAAACTTCACAAAATCCATTCCACCCAACTCAATTCCGGCGCTCCGCCCATATTTGTTGACTTCCTGAAATTCGACCATGTTGTATTTGCCATCATTCCATATGAAGTGGGTCATATTACAGCCTTGCTGTACTGCCGTGACAAGCTCCTGAGAGCTGTACATGAAGCCACCGTCGCCACTGATGCTAATCACCTTGCTGGAGCACGGTGGTGACTGGCAAAGAGAAGCTGCAATTGCCCAGGGCATAGCGACACCTAATGTCTGTTGGACATTGGAAACCAAGAAGGTCTTTGGCTTGTAAGAGTAGAAGTATCGGCACATCCAAATGTACACACTGCCAATATCGCATGCTACTGTTGTAGACTCGATCATCATCTGCTGGAGCAGCCGGATAAAGTAGAGAGGGTGGACCAAACCAGGCTTAAGGCTGGCATGCGGACTCGACTTCCAGGTATGAAGTTCGGCTAGGATAGCTTTGGCTTCGTCTTTTTCTTGTAACTTTGCCACGCTAGAAAGTTTGCTCTGGAGACTATCCAGATTCTGCGCTGGTGAGCCGATGAGTTCCAGTTTCGGTGCGTAGTAGTGGCCCCAGTCTGCAGCAGTAAAGTCGAGATGGATGATGTCAAAGTGGTTGGTAGTATTCCAAACATCCGCGTCGTACTCTGCCTGATCGTAGCCGATGGTGATAATGAGGTCCGAATGACATAAAAGCTTATCTCCAGGTTGATTGCGGAATAGACCAACCCTGCCGTAGAAAAGGTGTACAAGCTCCTTGGAAATAGCTCCAGCAGCTTGGAATGTTTCGACAACTGGCATTGGATGCACCTCAAGGAAACGGCGAACCGCTTCAACTACATCTGGCTCAACTGAGCGCATTCCTAGGAATAGAAGCGGCGCCTTAGCTGCCTGGATTCTAGAAACTGCGTCCTGAAGAGTGCTCTCTGGTGATAGACCGTATGCCGGTGGCAGAAAGGCGTTCGATGGGAATGCAGGGATTGTAGTTTTGCTCACTCCAGTGAGCATGATATCGATAGGCAGAATTACTGCTGCTGCACCTTGGGGATATGCAGTAGCAACACGGAACGCATCGAGCATGATCTCAGCGACTTGGTTCTCCACGGTGACTCCCGCTGCCTTCTTGGTGACCGGAGTGAGGAGCTCAACGGCTCGTAAGCTTTGATGTGTTTTCTTTAACATGTGTGACCGTTTGACGCTACCCACAATGGCAACCATTGGGGCGCCTTCGTCAGTCGCAGTAACCAGGCCAGTAACCAAATTGCTAGTCCCTGGGCCGGATGTCGCAATACACACTCCTGGACGGCCGGTGATTTTTCCAACTGCTCCCGCAATGAAGGCCGCATTTTGCTCATGTCGACATACGACGAGGTGTATTTCCTTGTGATCGACAAGTGCGTTGAATACGGAGTCTATCTTTGCACCAGGAACGCCAAAGACATACTTCACTCCTGCCGCAAGGAGCGAATTTATCGCAACGTCTACGGTATCGGTCGCCATTGTATCTGGAAATTCGAGTTTTCAATGGGAATGAACAAAGCTGATATGCACCAAGATAAAGGATATCATGTTGGCGACGTTAGGCGGGGTGAAATAAGATACCTTGGCTAAATGCAGACTACAAGCTTACCTACGACCCAGTCACCTTTATGGACGTACATAATGTGCCTGATTCAGCGGCCACTTTCCCAAAATTACTATTAGGTTGTCTTAGTCACTGGGGCTCGTTACGTAGGGGAGCGACTGCAAGGCCAATACCACCGTCGGAATGCCCGGAAGACCCCACTATTGGCTTAAACACGCTTCGTCGTGAGTGCTTACTGTCCCAAAAGTATGGAATCTCCAATCAGCTATCCTTCATGAGATCCTTTAGGCTCCGTTAGTAAAGGCTGTCGATGAAGGACTTCTCTATTGTTGACAACTACGTCACCGATTGTTATTTGCTGTTCTTCAAGCAGCGGTGCCATCGTTCGGGAGCTCTACCTCATACAAACCCTCTCTTCTACCCATTTTTCGATACAGCTCAATTCTTATCGGCGATTGCAAGCAGCACAAGCATGGCGCCAAATCAACTCTTTCAATATTCCATTGTCTCGGCCCTGATTGATGGCGTGGCTAATAAAGGTCTTCCGCTGTCCGATCTCATTGTCAATGGAAATTTCGGGTTGGGGACTTTCCGGCACATGGTTGGTGAAATGATCATCCTCGATGGCCTCGTTTACCAAATGAAATCCGATGGTTCGGTGCACGATATACAAAGCACAGCATACGACCAAACGATCATACCCTTTGCGATGATTACGGACTTCCAACCTACCATTACGGCCAGCGTCCACATTCAAAGCAAACAAGAGCTCGCGTCACATCTTTCGCAAATCATGGCGGATACAAGGAATCATTACCTTTCCTTCAAAATACATGGTGTCTTCAAGGCCATTACCGTGCGAACCGTCGGCGGACAGCAGACACCGCACCAGGGTCTCGCTGAGATAGGAAAGCATCAAACATCGCATTCCTTCAACGATATAGAAGGCACACTCGTGGGATTCCGGTCTCCGTCTTTCATGCAAGGTATCAGTGTCGCTGGTGATCATCTACACTTCATATCAGCCGACAAGAAGCATGGGGGGCATGTATTAGAATGTGAGGCCATCGGCGAGATCGATATTGCTGTAGCTCAGTTGTCTGATGTGCATTTACGGCTACCAACCATGGATGAAGAATATAACCAGGCTCAATTAAAGCTCGACGCCCAGGGTATCTCAACTGTAGAAGGATAGGACATAGTATCTCTTACCGTGTCAGCAAATCCAATTCAATCTGTCGCATGCGATCGCCGTAGATTCCATTAGCCGTGTCTACAAGTCGCATTCATAAATAAAAAGAAAAACGAATGTCTCTTCTTGTTACTACTGGGGTGATGAAATCCCAATGCGTTATGCGTCATTGACTGCTTCCATTGGATTAAAACATTGCTTGGGATACATAAGAGGCGATTCAAGGGCAACAGATTTGAACGTTCAATTCCTCACCTCAACGTCCAACACATAGATCTGTCCAGGTCCTTTTCGAACAATTATGTCTCGTGATACTTTTGGGTCGGATTCCTGTATACGAACAAAAATTGTCGTAATTCGGAATCTCGAGGGGATCGAAAGCTTGTTTTGTAATGGCTTGGAGTTTGAATATCAAAAACGGTCATGTCAGTCGACCTCAATTCTGGTTGAGGTGAGTCTCCACAATGCTTAATGGCTTGCAAGTTCTTTGCGTTCGTACACAGTATTCGGAGTTCTCGGCCAGCGACTTATCCTCCTGCGATTGGTGACTGAACGCCACTTTGGGTGCTGTTAAGCTTGAAGAAGAGATGGCGCCAAAGTCAGCAACCAACCGCGTGCAATCTTTATTTTCTACCGTAATGATAGCGACTGGCACACGGGTACCCAACACCACCCCAAAGCGTAGTCGGTGGCATCGCGACGCGGCTCTCTAAGCAAAATCGTGCATGGAAACGAATTCGCTCAATGGGAGGGCATTTAGCTTGAAGGACACCCTCGAACACTCAGACTCGAGTGAGCCTTGACTACTGATGAAGAGATGGGGATCTGTGTAAATCAGCTTGACTCCTGCGCGGAGATGATCGAATTTTTGACAGCCGTACCGTTTCGTGTTCAGGTCAGTTTACTAGAAGAGTAGCGGCACGTTGGACTAGATTACCGCTACAGTACTAGTCTCCGATACTTTGGACTAGTACTTTATGCTTCCATTGTGCACGTGGAAATGGCAATAATAACAATTTTTAATATAACCTGACTGTATTCTCTTTTGGCACATAGGTTTAGCCCTACAGGGCTGGTTCCATCGAGAGCACAGTACTGGGTACCCAATAGGGTCTAATACCCTGCATGGGCTCGCGTATCTCTTAGCTGATTAATGTCTCTAGGCAAGTTGGCCAGCTCTATGGAAAACTCCAGTTGATCATTGTGTAGCGCAAGTCTCATGAGGAATACGAGCTCTTTTGTCTAAAAGGTGAGACTGCAGGGTCTCTAGCCGCATCACAACCGCCGGCATAGCTGTATTGTTATCACCATCGTATGATCTTTGTTATGGACTTCTCAGTTCAGTGGTTTGACCGTGGACCGCAGCGAACGCCTGAAGGATGTAGTAGAAGGAGTCGCCTGTGCGTGAATATGTATATAAGACTCGATGGCTCATTGTAGAGCTGCTTATTCACTGTGAATTCAATCTCAGATTCGATCTCCTACATTGTCTGGTCAATATGCTGTCGACTCAAATACACAATACTCGTATGAACGCCTCCAGAAATGCTGCCCGGATGGGTAAAGCTCCAGCATTTGGCTTCATTATTTCATCAACTCCCTCATCCTCACTTGCCCGGAACCAGGCTCGTCGCAGTCTGACCCGCGCGGGATACCAACAATACCAGACAAGAACCTTCTCTTCAACACCTGCAACGCAACTTCGTGATCTTTTCCCAGTCAAGGAGACTGAGCACATTCGCACCACGAAGCCAGCATGGCCACATCACGGCTATACCTACGAAGAGATGCTTTCTGTGGTCCCTGCCCACCGAGAGCCTCGAGATGCGGGTGACTGGGCGGCCTGGAAGATTGTGCGCTTTGCTAGGTACTGCATGGACAAGGTCACAGGCATGGACCAGGAACAACAAGTCGACAAGAAGAACCCGACTACTGCTGTGGTAGCCTCAAAGCCTTTGACAGAGGCACAATGGGTAGGGCCCTTTCCTTCCTTCATTTTCCATTGAAACAATATGCGCGTCGGCCGAAGTCCATAGTGCTGACATGTGTTACCCCAGTTGATTCGCTTCATCTTCCTTGAAAGCGTCGCCGGTGTCCCTGGAATGGTTGGCGGCATGCTACGCCATCTCAACAGCCTCCGCGGGATGAAGCGGGACAACGGTTGGATCGAGACCCTTCTCGAGGAGAGCTACAATGAGCGAATGCATCTCCTAACCTTTTTGAAGATGTCCGAGCCTGGCTGGTTCATGAAGCTTGCAATCATTGGCGCACAGGGTTTCTTCTTCAATTCGCTCTTCGTTGCCTACCTCATCTCCCCGAAGATCGTGCACAGATTCGTTGGATACCTCGAGGAAGAGGCTGTGCACACTTACACTCGATGCATCAAGGAGATCGAGGACGGCGAGCTCCCCCACTGGACCGACTCCAGGTTCAAGATTCCCGAGATCGCTATCCAGGTAGGCACTTCGCATCCCCCGACTGACTTTTGAGGTGTATATATGCTTACGAAGTTGTAGTACTTCCGACTGCCAGAGGAGCACCAGAACATGAGGGATCTCATCCTCTACATCCGTGCCGATGAGGCTGTCCACCGCGGTGTCAACCACACATTGGGCAACCTCGACCAGAAGGAAGACCCCAACCCATTCGTCTCCCAATATAAGGATCGCGAGCCGCCCAAGCCCGCCCTCGTCCCAGCAGGATACGAGCGTACTGATGTCATCTAATGGACAATTGTCAACTTTCATAGCTGTGTTGGATTACTAGACTATACAGTGTGCATACAATGCCTTGGAAATGGACCATGGCCGGCCCCTTGAGCGATACCCTAAAATCTTCTTACGTACATATTGAATCTATTTTCATTCATCCTCTAAGACAATGGCTGAATTGCACAATTGGACCCTGAAATCCTTCTGCTCGTTCACCCGCATCTGCAAAGACCCTGCCTCATCACTTAGGACGCTATTGCGTAACCCCATACTCTAGTACCCGCAGCAGCAACTGCCGTCACTTCAAGAGAGGTGTAGAAGAAAGGGTCTAGACTACCAGCCTTCCCGCTCGACGGCTTCACATGTGCGCCAATTCCCCTCCTTCCTATTCTCACGATCTGTTGCACAAAAAACGTACCATATTGTACAGACGCCGTTATCCATTTGCACAATTTGGCCCATAGATTGTACCCCCCAGCGGCAGGCCACCTAAAGTCATCCATAGATAGGTACTGTGCAAACGTTCCGCGGATAGAGATTGGTGAGTAGATACCGAAGGAGTTACTTCGTGCAAGGACAAAGGATGTAGTGATGCTCAGTCAGCCTCGCCAATGTGCAGGGCTGTCGTTGGATGGGCCAGTCGCCTGGTCACATCATATGAAATCTGTTACCTAGCGAGGGTCCAGCCAGCCAGGCGGGACGACCCCATGTCCACGTGCCGTGGTGCCTTATGCCAGATTTCGGTTGAACGAAAAGGGAATAGCGTCGTTGTGGTTGTTGTTGTCGCCCAATTGGAAGCAAGGGTCCCGTTAGTAGGACTCCGGTGGGTTGGTTGTCTATGTTGTGACGGGGACCCTTCGATATTGTCCGATGCCTGGAGTATGTACGGAGTACGTACGTACAAAGTTTGTTTGCAATCCTTCTCATGACGAGATGACATTGTAAAAAACAGTTCTTCCATTTTCAGCTGTCTGATCAATACAATACTTACTCCTTACATAGGAAGTAATGTAATGAAGCCAAGACGCTTACTTATGCTACTGTTCCTGGCTCCAACAACCATGGAGCTGAAGGCAATTTCACATGTAATAGCTGCGGTAGACGCAGCACTTGTAAAGCCCAATACCTCACTCCGACTTCCTCTCACAGTGACAAATATCATTCATTTTATCGAATTGTGGCGAAACGAAGCAGATTCAGTGTCTGGATTTGAGGCTCAACACGAACTATGCTGTGATTGGCTCCTGCCTGATGCTTTTTTTAGGCCAACCAACCAATTTTTACGAAAAGGGGGTAGGTATGCTCGTATAACGTTCGACTCATACTTTTCAACGGCGATTGAGGTCTTTTATAACGAACAAGATCTTCATCTTCATCACTATCATTCGTTTGAAACCTGCGAGTGTATGATACGGAGTGCTGATAGTCTGATTCACACTTCACAACGCGCCAAACCCTGAGCTAGAGAAGATACAGACCAGCAATTCGATAGCAATGGCATCCACCGAGATGGTCGTCGACAAGGAAAAGCTCGAGTTCCAGAAACCGAAAAAGGAGGACGAGGTCGAAGAGGCCGAAGACCCCGCGGAAGAGAAGAGGAATCTGAGACAGGCGGCCTTCCTCCTCTCAGTGTACTGGATCGCCTGGGCTGTCGGCGCGACCGCAGACGTCTTGCTCATGATTATTGAACAAACGAATTCGTTCCAAGCGTTAACTCCACTGTCAGCTTGGATTTACAAGAACCGTATCGATCTCGCCATCTATAAGCAAGTGAGTGATTTGTTTTCTACTTTCTCGCGGAGGGGATCTTTCCTCGATATTTGCAGCTATTGAGACTAATAACGATTACAGATCGACCCGTACGTGTACGTGAGCCCTAAGATTCTCGTAAGCACAGGCGGCACCGGTCTCGCAACCTGCGCGCTGATGCAATTCGCACTCATGGGCAAGGTGCGCGCCTCCGACCTCAGCCTCGCGCTCACGTACGTCTGGATGGGGCTGTTCATGCTTGGTGCCGACTGGCTGGGGGCGACTGGCCGGGAAGCCGTCGTCCTGGCCTTGCCGCTGAGCTGGCTCTCTATGACGACGATCTTGCTGGCCCTGCAGAGCGTCAAGTACGATCTGAGTTACTCGAGCATCGGATTGGATTTCGCTCCGTGGACAGTAGCTGTGATTAGGTACCTGTCTACAGCATTTTTTCTCCTGGCTAATTGGTATACTTTTGAGACTGGAGGCGGTTTCATTGTTTCGCTTGTGTTGTGGGAGAGTATTAGATTTGTGTATGCTAAGCTTTGAAAAAAGCTTCTGTTTGGACCGTTCGGCGCTGGCTGTGTTAGCACTGGCTGATTGCGCATAGAGGTTGATCTTTATTTAATTGCATCGATTACAGGAAGGGTATATAGATTACAAGACAAAGCAAATACACTGCACCCCGTTTAGCTCTACGAACAAAGAGCCAAAAGGTCCAGTCGGCCCCAATCATTGTACTTGGGTAACCAACCATTGCCACCTCGTGCCTTGCCTTCGACTGGCTCTTCATCGCCGCCAGGTTTGACACAACCCATAGCAGACACAGCAATGCTGCCAGTAGGATGCACCAACGTCCCTGCCACCGGCGCGTTGCCCACCGAAAGCACCTCATCTGGTTGTAATGCTCCATGGCCCAGATGCGGGTTCTTCCAGACCGCAACCGTGCCATTCATACTGCCAGCCCAGACTTCATGAGAACCGTCGCCGCTCGACCAGACATCCAGCCCAAGCTTCTGGTTCGTCATAGCGCCCCTGCCAACGCAATACCGCAGCCCAACTGCAAAGTTCCGGACGTCGTATACGAAGATCGAATCGCTCATCCGCTCGGCGATGTACAAGTACTTCCCGCAGGGACTCCACTTGAGTTCCGTGACGCCGGTGCCCATCCTCTTCCACGGCTCGGCGGTAGTGTCCAGGTTCCGCGGCAATGCAAAGTTGGTGATGCATTCTCCTAGCCCCTCCGCACCGTACAAGGCGACGTGTCTCGTTCGAGTGCCAGCGGCCAGCATGCCCGTGGCGGACGATATCGAAAGCGCGGTGACTTCGCCTTTGTAGCCGTGCCCTCCGGCTTTGAGTTTCCGGGTCGGGATGGTCTTTATCTCCGAGATCGGTTTATCTTGGTAGTTGACGTCGAAGATGGAGATCGCGTTCTTGTGGCCGGCGAGGAAGTGTGTCGCATCCCGCGTGAAAGTCAGACTGAGTGGTGCGATGACTGCTTCTGTAGAGTGGTAGATCAATTTGTAATTCGCGAGCTTGGTGGATGCGTCAATTGGCTTTGATGACGATGCATCATGTTTCGATTCTCCATTGTTCGAATAGTCCCATAGGACGTTGTGCAGGGTGATGTACTGGTCGCGGCGGCTCAGGAGCACTGTTGCCGACTGCATGTCGCTGAGACTGAAATACGGATTGACAGCAAATGCGCGAATCGGGTCTGCGGATGTGAACCTCGAATATGGCTTCAGCTGGCGGGTTCCCGGCTCCTCGAGGATGTCTTCGTCGATCACATATGTGCTAAATGCGCGGCTGTAATCTGTGGTGAAAATGCAGGTCCCGTCTGGTGAAAGTTGGGTTTCTTGGATACAGCTCACGTACGGAGATGAGCTTTCTATCGAGCTTGCATCTGATTCGCTTTCACTATCGTCTCCGTCGTCTCTATTGTCGCTATCGCTATCTGAAGTATTGCTGTCTTCCTCATCGCAGCTTTCAACGTAAGCATACCTTCGAGTAGTTGGAATGTCACGTTTCGAAGAATCGCCATCAGAAGCATTGCTGTCTTCCTCGTCGCAACTTTCAACGTAAGCATACCTTTGAGTCGCTGGAATTTCACGTTTCGAAGAATCGCCATCTTCCCCAGATCCTTTTTGGCTCCCGATCTCCTTCTCTTCCTCTTGATCCATCTCTTGATCTTCATCATTGGAGGACCCAAGCTCATTCGTGTTGCCTGGCACCACACACGTGCTCGCCAGCACTCGGAATTTCAATCCTGGAAAAGCCATAGTTAGCCAAAATTCAAGTATCCAACATTTCCAACCATAAACCAGCAAGACCTAAAACCACGCGGTGTCGTTACGGAGGGGAAGAAGTGATCGACAAACAGCAACGTTTCGCGCGTCTCTGAAAGCTTCGACCAGAACAAGCGCTGCGCCGTTTCTTTTCGTCGTCATAGGGCTGAAAACCCGCACAGACCCACTCATATCCGATAGCTTTCCCACCCACCCAAAAAGTTCCCCGACATCGCGGGCGTGAGTGCACATGCGACCTTCTCTCTCTACACCTGCTCTGTCTTCAACCTCGCCCCGCCAATTGCACGTCAAACGCCATGCAGCATGTCCTGGAGCCGCAGAGAGGACGCGCGTGGGTCGAGTCGCCGTACCTGCGGTCCTTAATCGTACGTCGAATTCCATCTTGCCTCAATTGAGCTCGCGGACTCATAGCTCTCCATCCAAACCACCAAGCTCCAAATCCCCCCAACAACCCTCTCTCCCTCATTCCAAAGCCCCAAGCTAACCTCCCCCCCTCAGGCCGGAGGCCTCGCCGGCACGACCGTCGACCTCTCCCTCTTCCCCCTCGACACTCTGAAAACGCGCCTCCAGTCCTCCGCAGGCTTCGCATCATCGGGCGGCTTCTCCGGCATATACCGCGGCGTCGGGTCCGCCGTGATCGGGTCCGCCCCCGGCGCCGCCCTCTTCTTCATCACGTACGACTCGATCAAGCGGCACTTCATCACGCCGGCGCCGCGGACGCTGCGCAACGCGGAGGGGCGGCCGTACGTGGGCGGCGCGGGGGTGGACAAGGGCCGCGAGGCGGGCGTGCACATGCTGGCGGCGAGTATGGGGGAGGTGGCGGCGTGTGCGGTGCGTGTGCCGACGGAGGTGGTGAAGCAGCGTGCGCAGGCGAGACAGCATAATTCGTCGGCCGAGGCGCTGTGGCATATTTTGGATCAGAGGCGGGGGAAGGGGTATGTGCATGTTTGGAGGGAGCTGTATAGAGGGTGGAGTATTACGATTATGAGGGAGGTGCCGTTTACGGTTATTCAGTTTCCGCTGTGGGAGGCGTTGAAGAGGTGGAGGGTTGATGGGACGGGGAGGGAGAATGTGTCGGGGTTGGAGGGGGGGTTGTTGGGGAGCGTTGCTGGGGCGGTCGCGGCGGGGATTACGACGCCGTTGGATGTGTTGAAGACGCGGATGATGCTTGCGAAGGAGCGCCAGCCGATGTTCACGATGTTGAGTGCGATTTTGAAGGAGAGCGGGCCGAGGGCGTTCTTCGCTGGTATAGGTCCGCGAGTTGGGTGGATCAGTGTGGGCGGTGCAATCTTTTTGGGGAGCTATCAATGGGCGAGTAATGCATTGGGAGGACTACGAGAGGTATGATGATCTGCCGGAAGGACGGCCGTACGTGAAAGAAGAAGAGGACGATGATATTGTGTGGCCATTTTACACTATCATCGATGTACTATAACGCAACACCTTTCCACCACCCAACTGATTGTATAATAGCAGTGGGAATAGAAGAGACGACATGGGTATGTGCAAGGCATCTATGTACAGGACATAAACAAATGCAGCGATTCAACAATAAGGAACTAAATGCTGCCTTCTGCAAAGAGACTCGCGAATCCTTTGAACTTCCGCTGCCTGCCTAGACCGCGGGCTTTCCTTCCGCTGCGCCTCTGGAGCTCTGCTGGCTACTTCGTCCAGCTTCGGATGACGTCTTGCTTTCGGATCCTGCTGTACTGCCAGGGGCAGGAGGGGCGATGACAGAGGCTGGCCGTTGTTTGATTTCCTTGCGGCCATTCGCCTTGTAATAAAGCAGGACATCATTGCCTCCTCGCCAGATATGAGCTCGAATACTAGCCAAGGTCATGGTAGGGGTGAGTAGCTATATTGGTGTCAGCGAAAATGTCTCTCGGGCGACATCATACCAGGATACTCACTTGATTGTTACAGTAGAGCTCCAAGTACTCCTCAGGTTTAAGCACTTCTTCATCTTGGGCAGGCGGGGGTTCGATACGTTCTGCAACGTAGGAAAGAATCTTGCGAGCACGCAACATGCGATTCGCATTGAGGCGATTATTGCTGTGAGCCGTAGCGTTAGCGCGCACGACTTTGTCGTTGGGGATTATTAGGGGGATGTACCCGTCGGATGCTATACTCGGGAGCTCGTTCTGCCATGGCTCGAGAACAAAACTGACTTTGACGATGTCCTTGAGAGGTATTTGATTCTGCAAGCAATGGTTAGCACCAATTCTCAAGGGGTGTAGTGGGCCTGCGTACTCGGAGCAAAACGTCTGCCAGCCAGACTGGAGCGGCTTTCTCAATTAGGTCAGCTTGCTGACCCAAGGAACCAACTTTGCCCTCGAAGAGATCTGCAACACCACCAGAATCGGGTCGATCCTCCTGGATGAGAATGGTTGTCGACGCCGGCGGTTTGATAACTGGGGTTTCGTTTGGCAGACTAGGCGCGATAGCAGTGCCGACCGTTGTAGCTCCCAGGCTGAGCTGTTCCTCGTAACCTTGGCGAATCTTTTGAAGAGCACCCCAAAAGTTGTCCTCGAAGGCTTTCTCGTCTGTCTTGCTGGATCTCGAATCACTGTCTTCGGCTTTCTCGTCGACAGCAGCCGGTTTAGCAACCTCAGGGGCGGCAGTGGTGGCACCAAACTTCTTCATGTTGAGAGACATGTTGAATTTCTTCGAAAACAACCCTTTGCTCTTCTTGGTCGTGGGCGTTTCCTCTGAAGGAGATGGCGCTGCTGCCTCTGCCGCGGATTCTGATGACGTTTCCGTGGAAGCGGCTGTCTTACCATTGCCATTGACGTTGGGTGCTGCGGAAAAGTAATCTCCACTAGTTCTGGCATTTTGACTCTGTTGTGTCTTGGACTTCTCTAGGTTCGAGCCTTCCTCACTCGTTGGTGTAAGAAGGGCATTCAGAGGTTGAGTGCCATGGCCAGCACTTGTAGGTAGTCCGGGGGTTGCGAGTCCGATAGCCATTCCCGGAGTAGTAGGCATTTGGAAGCCGTTGTTCGCACGAATTGTGGAGCCAGAAGTTGGGCCAGAAGTAACGTCACCCCAGCCATTGATTCGGGTCTCCGGGATTTGAATACTAGATGGGGGTTCTGCACGTGTATTATTTGCTTTCTCTTCTATTATCTTGTTGCGGAAGTCTTCGTCTCTCTTGATCTCTTCGTCTATGAGATTCGAAAACAAGTACCGCAAGATCCATTTTCCGAGATTTACTAGTCAATGTCAGCATCTTTCGAGATCTAGGAACCTCGATACACAATACGATGTGATCACGAGGATTTCGAGGCCACGTACTTCGTTGATCTTCCCGGAACTCAATTTGCTCCTCGAGCTCGAGCTCGTCGGCGTACATTTCGGCATCGAAGCAGTAGTTCTCCTCCAGTACGCATGTCAAACTTCCCGTTCTTGTGTCCACGCCGCACCAATGTGAAACAGTCTCGCGAGTGTTTACTTCGGGGACAACATCTTCAAGGTGTCGCTTGCCAAATGATTTAACGGGAACGCACTGGAATTTATTAGTCATGATTGCACGCGACATGCAAGAAACAACTTACCTGGACAAGGTCCCAGAGCATGACCTCACCAGCGGTATCTAGAGTTAAAACTCTTCTCCGGTCATTGAGAAGAACGTGTTTGATCAATCCATTCTGGCCCTCGATCGAGAAATCAGGAAGGTCCCGGCAGGGAACTACGACGCCTGCATCTGCTTCTGTGAGCACCTCAGACGGCTTCCGTGCGCTTGCGACAGAGTACACAGTCGAGGCCTCTGGATCCTTGGCGAAAAGTTGGGGGAATGGTGCCGTGTTTGACATTCGCAATAACGCTTTGAATGGAATTTTCGGCGTTGTTCCAGTGGTAGGAGGGCTTGCTGCTGGAGGGGAAGGATAGCGAGACCTGTTGGCGGACACACTGGACCTGTGCCATCTGTAGGACTCTGGTAGATCGACTTCTGCGGCAGTTTCGACGTCGCTCCATCGATTGATACTGGAACTCGAAGTTGCCGTCCATACATAATCGCCAGCCTGGATTACATTGTTCACGCCCTCGTGCTCTTGACATACTGCAACGGACACTCCCTCGTCCATCTCAACACAATTGCGCACGTCGCTTTTTGCGACGATACCGGAGCGGTCCGAGGAGTAGAAAACGGATAGTTGGGGGTGGTCCGAATGTAGAGACCAGACACTGTCGTTGTGCATCGTCAGGGTGTGCATGCATCTTCCCGCTGTCATGGACCACACCTTGACGGTCTGGTCGGAAGAAGCGGTCATGATGGTATCTCCATCCTGGGTGATCAGTACGTCCCGCACGTTGTCTGTATGTCCGACGAATTTGGTGATGCGCTTGCCTGTTCGCGAGTCCCACACACGCACGATGCTCTCCGGTCCACCACTTGCAATGATGGAAGGTGTAGCTGCAAGAGCGTAAACGGATCCCTTGGCGGTGGTCTCGTCCTCTCCTACAGCTATTTGGAGCTTCTGCCCAGCTCCATTAAGATCCCATAGGCAAATCTTATGATCCAATCCTCCAGAAGCCACCCAGTTCTCGTGTAGACCAGGAGATGCTACGCGCTTGACATAGTCTGTGTGCAGGCCTATAGTCTGGGGGGGCAGGACGTCTTCGGCTGCGGGTCGCCATATTTTTACGGTGATATCTGAGGATGCCGAGACAAGAGCTTGATTGCTCTGCGCAAGGACGATGTCATTGATCCAATGAGTATGGGCTTGAACTTGCTGGCGAAATTGCGTCGGAGGTGGCTTGTAGTCGGGTGCGCTGCTGTCGGCGAATGGGTCTCGTTCGTCGGTTTTGGAGCTTAGGTCTAGATGCAAGTCCCATGTACACACCACGCCATCTCGACCTCCCGAATAGCTATCACCCAGTCAGCGATCGTGTTAGTCAACACCATTGACGACCCTTCCTTACAGTATGGAGTTGATAGGGTCTACGGCCAACCCATTGACGCCCAGTCGATGTCCGCCGGCAGAATTCGCGAGTGGGAGGACTATACGGCGAGCACCATGGTCAGTCTTTCGGAGCCGGAAGAATAGTAGCAACAAGAACACATCAATGCGAAAGCAATGAAGGAATAAGGATAGAGAGGTACGAACCGTATGAGATACGCTTTCGCGCGTTGCGCCCCATGGCACTTCAATCAGCAGCAGCTGTACATGCGGCGCGCGGAGATATTGGGGGCGGGGAATGGAGCAGGACGCGGGGGAGGGATCGAGGTCGATGCGCAAGGGAGGAAGGGAGGTGAGCGGGTGTCGGGGAAGGTGGACGGAAAATTGAGAGATGAATAGCTTCTTGATTTGAGGTTGAGTCGAGTACACGGAGCAGTGGTTGGTATGTCAATGGAAGTTGAAGGGAAAGGGAAGAGGAGAGGAAGGGGAGGGAAGTTGTCGGTTCTGAGCCGAAGTCCCCTGCACTGCGTAACTAGACGGTACGGAGTAATTAGTAGAAGTACAAGTACAAATAGAAGTACCAGTAGGAATAGGCGTAGGCCATCCACAGTTCACACAGTCCACATACGAAGAGTCCACGCCATACTATCTACGACTACCAAAGGTACAGGTACGAGTAGTCGTCCTCCAGTCGTCCACCATTCGTCCCCCAACCGAGTGAATCAGTCCAGAATCACCCGCAGTCGATAGTCTATTGAACGGCCCACGGCCCACAGACGCGGACTCGGTCGCTTAAACAGCTAACAACTACACGGGACTCCCTTGTATTCGTACTCGACATGACGCACTCCTCGCCGGCCAGCCAGGCTGCCAGAATGATCACCAATTCGTGGTCGCTACTCCGTGCTCTATCCATATGTCAATATTGTATTTACCTGAAGGGAAGCAGAAATACCGCCATTCTGGACGATAACCTTTTCTCCTCCTTGGAGCAATATCATCCTTGACGACACACCAACATAAGCAAACTACGTCACAACCAACCACCGCTGCATCCTGGCCTCAGGCATCCACCCGTCCATCTTTACTCCTCGTAACTATTGTACTTGTAAACCTGTCTTGCAGAAATAAGCAAGCATGACCCCATCGTGCCCATCTCTCCTCTCCACCCTATTGCATCCCGTGAACGTCCTATCCGCTGTGTGCACGCCATAAGACAAGCTAAACGCCCAAACGCCAAAAAACTGCTGTGCAGCAGTTCTCCCGACTTCTTGGAATAACGTGGGCCCCACGTTTTCTTCGCTGCTCGCCCTGCTTGCCCTGCCTGCTCCCTCGTGGGGATGGGGGGGAGGGGGCCAGAGATGGGGCCAGCCTCGAGAGTGGTGGTCTCCTGGTATGGGGCCTGCCCTACCCTACCCTACCCTACATACTCCGTACATACTCTGTACAAAAACCCAAGATACCCCTCTCCGAAAGAAGCAGGGTTTCGGTAGTTACCTACTTTCTACGGTTGACAGCTGGCAAGGGGACGGAGCAAACCTTCGTTGTGCTCTCTGTGCAACCCAATCCGTGTCGTGATCCTTGCCTTGTCCCCCCGCTTTCTCAGGCAGCTTGTCTCGTCCCATCATAGTGGACGGAGGGACGTGTGACCAACATTCTTCCAGTACGTACGGAGTAACTACGGAGCATGTATGTACAGTACACTGCCTAAGCGCCTGTATTTCCAATAAGGGCAGCTCGAAAGTCAAGATCACGCGTGTAGGTGCGGGTTCAGCTCCGACAGAGGGAATCTCGTACATAGGTAGTTAGCACACATAAATCTCTCATTTGGTTAAAGAGTATTATCCTAGAATGGTTTCGATACACATTGTCCCTCTGCCTCCAGCCGGGCTCCAACTCAAGGAGACGCAATTTTTAATATCATCATACAGAGTACACCTAGTTGCGCCGTGTCCCATGCAAAAATGGTGCAGTTGCAGATGTTGAGGGAAAAAAAGGAAAATAGAGCCTGCTAATCCTGCGGCTCATGCAATGTGGTCTTTATACAATATCTGAAAAAACAAAGGAACCTAAACGTAGATAGTCGACGGATTTTGACTATGAAACCCCGTTGATGGGATCCTGAAGGTTGTCCAGCTCTTCCTTTCGCGCCCGATACAGTTCCTGGGCTTCTCGCTCCCTTCGGCTCACGAAGGCGACCTCGTCGCGTAGACCTTCCAGGCGCCTGCTGATTGCCGTCTGCTGTGCGTACTGCATCGTCCTGCCCGAGTCCACCTCTATTCGTGCCTTTTCGAGCGCAGCAGATGCGTCGAGGATTTTCTGCTTGAGGAGGGTGGATCGTTTTTGGTATCCGCCGAAGTGCAAAGTAAGCCTTTTAGCGATCTTGTTGGCTTGCTCGGCAGTCTCGGTCATCCTGTCTTCGGCGTTGTCGAATGCCTCCAACATAAGTTGATGTTCGTCGATTTCATCTTCCTCGTATCCGCCCAGGCCAGGAAGTATCGAGTTCCCATGTAGATTCGTCCAGGCACGGTCCACCTCAGATTCCCAAGTAGTCTTCTGTTGTTTGCTAATGACCGAGACCTCGAGGGCAAGTTCCATCCGAGCGTTTCTTAACGCCTCGTCGCTATATTTTACGATCGGTTGCACCTGCCCGTGGACCTTTCCGCCTCCGAATTTATGAAGATCGTTGGTGATGAGGAGTGCCATCTCGGTTTCAACCGCTCGTTCAACCGGGTCTTCAATGGCCAGTGCCCTCTTCATCAAGGCATCAATGTCCACCATGGATGGTCTGGGGAGGAATCGTTGTATGACCTGTGTTTGCCTGCCGAATTCCGCCCGCTCTGCTGCTTGTTGCAGCTCTCGATTTCGTCGGTCTCGCTCTCCAGCATCTTCCTCAATCACCTCAACAGCCTTTCCTTCCTCTTGCTCCTCGGGAAGCTCGAATTCCCAGTCGGTCTCCTTGGGTTTAGGTAGCGATGCGAGCTTGCCACGGAGATTCTGACGCGAAGCATTCTCCCTCAATTTGATGTCGCGTGGAGTCTGTCCGACAAGCTGCATTTCACCAGCATCGTTTAGACGTAGATTGTCCCGAGGAGTTCGCATGGGGGTGGCGCCAGGCCCTTGATGCTGGGGAGTTGCGCCCACACCATTAGCTTGTCGGTACGGGGTGGCCATAGGGTTCGGTGTCACGATTTGATGCCTCAAGCCAGAACCAGGCAACGCAGGGGGCCCGTCGTCCTCTTGGAGATCTGGGTTATCACCCCCAAGTAATGCTGATTGGGTCTCCGTCCTCAATCGTGCGTTCCGCACCTCATTCGCGATTGTGTCCTCCTCCTTTGGTGCCATCGGTGTGCGGATCGGGGTATTCTGGACAATGCCTGAGTAGCTACCCACTAGTCCTTGCGTAGCCATGTTGTCACTGCCAATGCCACCAATGGCACGTTCGCCTGCCATGCCCATCTTAACAATGTCCTCTAACTCCGCCTCTCCAACTTGTGGGCTGGGCAAAACTAGAGCCCGCCGTTTGCTGCTCTGTTCAGCTTCACGTATCCGTTGAGCTTGCGCAGCCTTCGCATATGATGCTGCCAGACCCCCAGATTTGTCGTTGTCCTTCTTTCGCTTCGAGTCCCCTCCTTCTTCTTGCTGGTCGGCCTTCCTTTTGTTGGCAAGCTGCTGCTTTCGTGGGTCGAAAGCTGCCCGTTGGCGTTCGTTTTGTTCAAGTTCATCCAATGTATCAAAGAAACCTGCAGGAACTTCTTTCTCGAGCGGTACGTCGGCGTTGTAATCAATGTGGTTGCCTTTCTTCGGTGCGATTTTGGTGTTGATGCCTGCTGCTTTCAGCTCACGACGCTTCTGGAGTTGCGCAAGTCGTCGAGATTCTTCCAATTGCCTTTCACGAGCCTTTCTTTTTGCCTGCGTTCGTGTTAGTTAAATTTCGCGCTTAAAGATTTAGAATTTAATGCCAACATACCTTCTTGCCGCTGACGTTCGCCAATCTTGCTCGGGCTTCTGAAAGCATCTCCTTATCTTCCTCATCCATATCGATTGCATCGGGTCTGGCTGGCCTGCTTTCCGCGTATGCATCAACTTCTCCTGAGCGCAGGCGACGAACATCTTCCGCTGTAGGCGCTGCAGCTTCTCCACCATCAGGTCCTGCCAGTCCAAGATCCCCGCTCTCCCGCGCCTCCTGCTCGTCCAACAGCTTTTGGTATCGTTCGAGACATTGTGTTGCGGTTCGTCCAACGATCGGCGCAATCGTTCTCCATTGCGTGGGTAAGAGTTTTGCCATCGTCAGGAGCTTCTCATCGTCCTCCCTCGACCACTCCGTCTTCTTGATCGATGGATCTAACCATTCGCTCCATCGCGCTTTGCATTGTTTCGCAGTTTTCTTCGCGATGAGCGATGCGCAACGCGCCCATTGATTTAACCCATACTTCGAGATGGCGGCCTTGAGAACCTCGTCCTCGACGTTCGACCACTGTCCAGCCTTGGTTACGACCATGGTGATTCGGATCGCGGGAAGGCTATTGGGTTGAGCGGAATACTAGAGAATCGAGCTCTCTAGAAAGTTGGAGGGCGAACCGAATGAAGGGCGCGTTGTTGTCGACGTTGGAACAAGGAGATGGCGAAGTTCGACAATTCTCGTGAAAGTCTTAGCGCGTGATTAGATAAGCTGCACCACGACGCGTGCAGGTCACCTTGACGTAGCTACCATTGACAAGCTCTACTTAAACCGCACAACTTGATCCACAATTGCAGGATGGTAATGATATTTGAAGAATACAGTCATCTGCACTATGTTTAAACCAAGGTGCTATCTGCGTCAAATTCACTTCCAGGAAAGAAGTCGTAATCCTGGTAAGAGATGTCTACACCCTATCAACCACCTGCGATACTCGTCAAACACGACTGAAGGCGTTATGAAATCTTCTTCGAGACATGTAAAAGTATGCATGGTTTCTTTCCACGAGTTATCACTCGGTAGCTGTAGTTTACTCACGTTTGTAGCCTACGGATACCAAAATAAATGCCACAGAGAAAACACCAACCAAAAAGAAGACACAATCGGAATTAGATAAAGAGCTAGAGCTGAAGATGAAGGGTCTCGCAGGTGATGGTGGCGAGGCTGGCGTCGAACTGGAGGATGGCCAGCCAGTCTCCATGAAACGTAGCGTGCGCAACAATATGTTCAGATACATTTGAACTATGTAAGCCATCCGGAAAGCCGACACGTCTGTCCGCCACGTGTTATTCACGACGCTCCTGTTCAAAAGGAAGAGCCTAGCCTCAATTGTAATTATTCAATGACGGACGCTCATCGAGTCGACCAAGCGCAAGTATCAGTGTATATGAGCGTAGAAGAGTTTGATCAAAGAACTGAGAGCTAGTATTGGGGTATCAATAAGAGAAGATATTTAAAACGGGCCGCAAATCACGATCAATATCACAACTCCAACACCTCCTCCTCGGAGAGACCTTGCTGCTCTCGCGTTGATGGACCATCAAAGTCAGCCGCTCTTGCAATTTCTGCGTTCTCCATCCGGAACGCCAGTTCCGCTGCGCCATTCGCAGCCAAAAGAGCACTGTCAATTCCGTCATTTGCCTCCAAAAGCGACGACGCATCGAAGTGGAGTGAGCGCCACAATGCTCTCTTTATCAATCCGTGGTATTCACATCTATGGGCGTGGTCACCCAATAAGATAATCTTGCTTGGTATGATTCTGAGTGGAGTGACCACATCGTTGATAACAGACTCGATTTGGGCCAATTGCTCGGTTCTCACGCTCTGGTCGATGGCGAGGCTCCACCATCCGAGATTTGGTTCCGTGATATACACATTGGGTCGCATGCGGTTCAAGGCCTGCATTGGATGTAGCACGGCGCTGAATGAAGAGTTGTCGAAGTTGAGGAATAACACATGCTCCAACTGCATTGTCGATTCTTCTTTCTTACATTCCGAAATGTTATGGAATGACGCGCAGAGCCCATGGCCCATGCCGGCATATGCTCCGGTTGTCTCGTAGTATGGTGAGATTCCATTTGGTGATGACCAGACGAGTCCCGCGTATCTGAGCGCATCGCGCAGGTCGTCTTCCTCCATGACTGCCAATACCGGCATAACAGGATAAACGTATTTAACCTCTTGCCTGAGCTTGGCTTCAACCACATTCTTGACGTCGCTGAGGAGTGTAGCAAATCGCTTCACGGCTACTGTCGCTGCTCGCCCTTGGGCTTTATTCGCAAATCTTTGCGCGTCCTCCATCGTGCAAAGGATCGCCTGAGACTCAGACTCACTTCTCCTAGTTAGCGCACTGAATGGGTGTTCGGGGTGGAGATGCCTACCAATTCCGCCTAAGGGAAAAGTCTGACCAGAAGGCCATTTGATCGACATATTGTGCGTTTCCTTTGACCTAAGCAAATGTCAGTGTTGTTGGATCTGCGAAGAGGAAGGACGATCGTACCCTTGCCAAGGTCTCAATCGTGCCATTTTTGTGCCGAAGAGTGGCGATGGCATATGATGAAGTCAAGTGAAGTCCTATCGCGGGAGCGATTCCAGTCTTTCCTGGTTTCAAGACATCTTGATGATCGGATAGCACAGGAACGAAAGCACTGGTGAAAGGTAATACTGCAGTTGCTGCGAAAAGTCTCATGATTGGTGTTGTTGTAGAAAAAGAGTGAAAGAGCAATGCAGATTACGACAAGACGAGTAGTTATAAAGGAAAGAAAGAAAACGTTGTCTCGTAACTCCAGGATCAATCCCTTCTTCCTTATAACTACGATGAGGCACGAAAGTCCGACGTGCTGTGCCCCTCCAGTACCGCCCTCGAGTTTATATACGACAGGGGCTCTGCGTTTCCAGGCGCCTAATGCCAGTATGTTGGCGGCGCAAGGGGTGAAACCGACCAATGCCATCTCTGCCAAGACAAGACACGGATGTTTCGGTGTACATATATTGTCCGCAATACCTACATCCATGGGAACCTCTTTGATCGATTTCAACTGGTACCTTTGCAATTGGCTCTTTTCGCAAATCAGACGCATCTCTTTGAACTATTCAGTTTGGAACATATGAACGTCAAAGACTACGCCGCATGCAACAATGCAAAATGAGATAGGTCTACAGCTGATGCTGCCCCAGCGTGTCTGAGTCTTACGCTACTAGATACGAGTAAAAATAAACACTTGGCAGGATGAGAACTCAGTGCGGACACCGATCAGATCCTGATATGGGAATTTGTCGCTAAAGAGTGGTCTTACGAGTAGGCGGCGTTCGTTGCGCGACCTCTGACACTACCTCCAAATTCAACCTGCCTGCCTGCCCCTTGAGGCTCATCGATGGCCAATCTGCACGTCTACAGTCATGATCAATAATGGTCGCGTCTTTGTCCAGAAAAGAAAGACAGCAAGTAATACTGCGTGGCTAGCAGATCATTTCCCACAGCGATTTGAGTGTAGCGGAATTAAATACTTTTAACAGATGCTGACATTTCTTACTCATGGCCCTGAAATTATGCCGATTACTTATGCTACATTGGTGAACAGCATTTCTATCTCTTCTCCACATCTCTACGTTTCACCGTGTCGTTCTCGAATTCAAGCCCAGCATTCAGCCTTACAGCGCCATAAACACTGCTGCTGTCAAGCTTTCGGCCTCGTTCCACGCCATACTCCCGGGCTTTCTCCATCGCTCGCATACTCAATTCGCCAACCTCCAAAGTCATGTCGTTATCCCGAGCAATACCCAAGCCGTGCCCGACATCTTTTATCCCGAGATCTAGATCTGAATAAGGGCCTTCGCCCTGCGCGGGAAAGTATACGCCTTGGGTCATTCGTTTACTCACTCCACCAGCATACGCACCAAAGTTCTGCTCGATCAACGACTCCAGCACCGAAGTAGAAAGCCCCGATTTCTCTGCTAATGTGTGCGCCTCTGAAACTAGATACATCATCCCAGCTGTCAAAAAGTTCGATGTGGTTTTCAAGAGAAGTGCCTTTGATGGATCGGTCCCAACACGGATGACTGAGCGTGCCAGCACACCTTGGAGATAGGGAGTGATGGCCTCAACGGCTGAGTCTTGTCCAGCAACAGCCACAAGGAGTTGACCAGCCTCGGCCACAGGTTTCGCGCCGAATACAGGTGCTGCGACGTAGGAATGATCTGCTGAAAGAACCTGTTCTGATAGTGAGGCCGATGTATCGGGATGTACTGTGGTGGTGTCGACAATGATTTTGGGCGATGTTAAGTCGCTAGCAAGAATGTCATTGATAACGCTCTTCGCGACTTCGTCATTGCTGACCTACAGAGCATTGTTAGACTCGAACGGTAACGGGATTGATGACCAGGTAATACCGAAATGAAGATAATATCGCATTCATTTGTCAATTTCGCAATTGAATCCCCTGGTACACCGCCGATTTCCTTCAGTGCCTCACCTCGTGATATAGTTCGATTGAAGTATCTTAGAGGAGCGGCTTCATTCTCATTCAAGTGTTTTTGAATGTTCGTGGCCATTGCGAGGCCCATCGATCCGAGACCTATCCATCCGAGACGTGAAGCATTCTGTGCCGACATATTTACGATATTGAATGAAATACAATTGGCGTAATTTGATCTTTAAAATGTATATGAACAGTTGACAACGAAATGAATCATCTCTTCACTACATGCAGGCTCACCCATCAGCGCTAAATCAAGCGGGACTAGGCTGAGTGAGGAAATAGCGGATAGTAACGGAATCAATCAATAAATAAATTCGCTTCCTACGCCAAGTATTGTTGTATAAGTTTAGAATGCGTCTCTTCTTTTATATGAATTGAAAGACTACGTCTGAGATATGCTACTTGAGAACGAAGGTGCGAAGATTACCATCAATGCGTATTGTCCCACAAACTCCGAACTGTTACTCCAGATATCCACTCTCCTTGCGTCGAATCACTCTTTATAGTGTATCCAACCTTCTTAACTTCCCCAGCCAGAAGCCAGAAAGCATTTGCTTCGAAGTTCAATGTAACACCTGCCGGATGGTCAAGCCAAACCCACGCAGCAACACCTTTTGAAGCCTGGATAATAAATTGGGAGGTGCCGGAGTCGTGGCTTAACTCAAGACCTGGATCGACCATGTATGCACTGCGAAGTCGCGCTGGATGGAACCAATTCGTGTGCTTGAAGGTCTGAGGCTCGTTGTGGTTTGGTAAAGTACCTTGTGCGGTGACATCCATTCTGAGAATGGCCTTCGACGGCGAATGCCCTCCTAGCATGCGAGAGACATTTCCATTGAAGACCATGGTACCATTGATTGCATTTACCTCGACAGTGCTGGGATAGGATAGTTGGATATACAGTGGTGTGCCGGACCAGTCGTACCAATTCAGTGCAACCGATGCGGAGATGGTAGACCATAAGTCAGAAATCACCCAGACCTCCAGTTCTTTATCGTCCGGCCAATAGAAAGGAGCAATTATCACAGGCTGATAGGCTTCTTTTGCAACGTAGTGTAAGGCTTTCCATCTACCATCGTATTCGATGCCTGCCCATGTCGGTGCTTGCCATTGATCCTCGAGTTGCCAGTATAGGGAGCCCAGATTCCTTTCTTCGAGGGCACTCCCTCGTCTGTAGTATTGTATTTGCGATCTATAGTAATCGGCCTGGAAGATCTGAGAGGTATGGCACCATGCAGAAAAGTTTGCAAGTTGATCTTGCTTATCAGGAATTGGATACCAGTTCTTTATGGCTTGAGCCATCTCTTGGATGCCTTTTCGTCCATTAGTAGGGTCCTTTTTGGGCCCGCCCACAGGATAGTGATGGTTTCTTAGGGCTATCGTTTCGGATTCGAAGAAGATATCAGTCGAATCAACCGCTTGTTGCCAGGTCTGTACCGAAGGCATCGAGTGATACCCAAATTCGTTGGCGAATCGTCCTACCGGATATGTATCATAATTAAAAGCATCGGCCGAGTTGTAATGGTAGTGGTCTATTGTGTTAGCGCGGGTAATAGCTCATCTTTTGCATATGCTCACCAGTATCGCCATAAATTTCATCCTTTGTCATGTTGTAGTATCTCTCAGTGATCGGCTGTGGACGAGAGAAGTCAAGTTTAAGCCATCCGTTCGTCGTGCTTGAAGGGGAGTATGATATACTTCGTGAGTTGCCGAAAAGAACTGGTACTATAGTGTCCAGGAAGAGCGTTTCATACTCGGCGAGGTACCGTTCATACTTTTCTGGAGCCGCCATCTTGACAGCTCGTAGCTCAAGGTTCTCGAGTTCATTCCCTCCAGCCCAAAACGCTAAGGATGGGTGATGGTTGACTCGTCGTACCTGATATCTAACCTCTTCTCGCACGTTGTCTAGAAATTCCTTGTCCACTGGGTACAGGGCATCTCCAAACTCGAACTCAGACCAAAGTAGGATGCCCATCTCGTCAGCCAGGTCGAACATGAAATCTGGTGAGTAGGCGCCGGACGACCACACACGAAGCATGTTTTGGTTCCCATCTACGACGCTTTCGAACAGCTGGCGAATTCGCTTTTCGGTTACAGTTGGCCAGAATGGATCTGGAGGGATGAAATCTGGGAACGGTCAGTCCTTACAATTATCTAGCAGTATATGCTCTTCGCGATGTACAATATAAATGAGGTATTAAGCTCCCGTGGTCCCGACTTACTAGAGCCCTTAGCATAGAATTCGTGGCCGTTCACCTCAAAGTGCCAATTGTTTCCAGGTGCGATACCTAGACTAAGTTGCTCTCTACTGATCGGCAGCTCGTTGAGGACGATTGTTCGAAATCCTACTCTTTTGATGACTGTTGCTAACTGCGACTCTTGCGAATCTATAATGTTGATCGTCATGTTATAGAGCTTTTGAGGACCAAGGCCGACTGGCCACCATAATTCTACAGCATCTTTAGAAACCGAAGCACTGCCGTTGATTGTTGTACTATCCACAGTGACATTGAACAAAGGCCCGCTCACCACCTTTATCCCATTTGCATCCGTAATGTCGAATCTTAGAGCTGTGTCGCTAGATAGCCCTACATCGGTCCCTAGGTAGTCTATACTAACCTTGACGACCCAATCGTTTGATTGATTCGGCGGGATCAGGTTCCATTGATCCACACGATGAACGTCAATGAGAGTGTTTCGAACATAAAGGTCCTTGTCATTTAGTTGAACAATGTACGCTGGTTGCCACGGTCCAGCTGGGGCGAAGGCCGGACCCCAATCCCATCCAAAATCGTTCTGCTCTTTACGAATGAAATGGCGATTTGGCAGTTCAAACAACCCTTGAACGCCCCCGGGCCATGCTACGGACGTTATGAGTGAAGCCCAAGACGAATTTGATTAACTTACTTTCTTGACCCGGTAGGCTGGCAATGGCATTAGCGATATTGGGGGCACTTCCAAAATTCAAACTCAATACTGGTTCTTTACAGGTGGCTAGTATCGTGCTGACATCAAAGTTGTACTGCCGGAATTGATTGTTCGTTGACGCGACGTGCTTTCCACAGAACTCAACGCTCGTAAATGTATCAAGGCCGTTGAATACAAGCCATGTCGCATCGGCGCTTGGATCTCTATGGCTCATCAGCAGAAGCTTTGGAGTCTAAGGTATCAGCTTACAAATTCGGGATACCGGTTGAAGTGTAAGTCCAGTTGGCTTCTGCAACCCAACGCAGGTTGAAGTCATTCAAACCGTAGAGAGGATCCTCAATTATCTGTTCACTGATTAGCAGACTTTGTTATCACAATCATTTCAGCATACCCACCCCTGCTGCACGTAAATCGAGATGAGCCTGGGATGGAAAGCCTGCTGGCACAGAGATATTGCTATAGTTAGGACTGGTCAATGTCCAGGAGATCGAGCCCAGGTCAAGGACTCCGAGGGACATTGCGCTAGGCACTGCTGATGCTGCCAACACAGCTTGCCAGCTCCTTCGAGCCATGAGAACGATTGGAGCTGGGGCCTCAAGACCAACGAAAAACTGGCTGCAAGTCCATATTATGGACACCGCAATGGTTGTTCCAAAGCACAGCTTTTGAGACATTTGCGCACAAGGTCTGTACTACGTACTTCCCTCGAGAATTCCGATGCAGGAATAGAGCATTCCTTGCGCGGTAAAAGGGGGCTTGAGCGGCGCTATCCCTAGGAGCCCTTCCTCATGAAGGAAGTAATGTCTATAAGTTGAGTGATTATTGCATACATATCATTCCGTAGAAGGCTGCGTTTGATGATAGAAGTGTGGAGTAGTGGGGTAATGCGGGCGAGTGATCTACATCATGATCCGGCTAGTCTGTCTGGGACGTCGATATATTCTGCCACATTACACAAGCAAACGTCTTGAACGCAATGGTGTATAAGTCATTAAGCAAGAATAAGGAGTCCTTCATAGTTTTGTGGGCTAAAACTATGTCTTAGCAGTCTGTTCACTTTGACCATCCCATTGACCATCAGTAACACAATTCGGTTCGTCGTATGCTTCCAGTGACCAGCGCATGGGCATTGTTCAGTTTGGTATGCCTCTCTCAGGTAGGATCAGTCCCTCCAGGTTTTGATCCTTCTTCATTAGAATTCGGCCACCTCTTAGTAACCACTTTTGCCTTTCACAATACCGAAACATGGGCCACCCTTTTCAAACATTTTCCGAAGGTCTGTTGCTATCGCATCGGGGCGCTCCCATGCAGCGAAATGGCCGCCTCTCTCATTGACACTTTCATAAACGACCGGACCTTCAGAGTTATTAGCCCAACTTCGAATCATAATCAGAAAACCTATAACCATCACACTCACCCAAAGTGTGTCCCCAAAGTCGAGGCACAACGCTTAACTCCTTGGGAAAATGCGCCAACCCCAATTTCACTCTGCCCACCCACTCCGTAGCTCTATTGCGATCTGGTATCTTTTCTGTCGGATTGTGCATTGCCTCGTAGTAGATTCGAACGTGTGCATTGGGACCCGCGGTACTAAACCAGTAGATACTTATCCAAGTCAAGATCTCCTCGTCAGTCCAGGGATAATCATCTGTCCAATCGTGTAATTTCTCATATATCCACGCGAGTAAAGCTACAGGAGAGTCCGCGAAGGCATATGCCAGTGTCTGTGGTTTTGTAGTCTGGAGCTGGCGGTACGCCTGCCCTTCTTCCAGAAACCACTGGCTACGCTCGATCCCCTGCTTTTCGCGTTCGGTGTACGGCGTCACAGAGTGTTGAAGCGCGAGGGCGGGGTGTGAAGTAAACGATGGCGGACTCGCGCGGATCATGTTGATATGCGATGCTAAACATGACTCTGGATACAAGATTCCTATAGCTCGAGTGATCCAGAAGCCCCAGTCGCCGCCCTGTGTGACGTAGTTGTCATAGCCCAAGGAGTGCATCAAGTTGTTGCATGTTTCCGCATACTGACTTAAGGCAAATCCAGGTTTCGTAACACGTTCACTGAATCCAAAGTTTGGAAGTGATGGAGCTACAACGTGAAAAGCTGGTCCTCCATCCTTGCCCTCTAGAAGAGGTAGTATCTTTGTGACCTCGATGAAAGAGCCAGGCCCTGTAACCGTCAGTCTTTTTGTATCTCATATTCCATGTCTAGGCAACATATGCAAGAGTACAACAAACTACTTACACCCATGAACAAACAGCAACGGCACCGCGCCATCAACCTCACTCCTCCGATGCACAAAATGCAGATCGATCTCCCCAAACCCACTCACATCCACCTTCGTCCTAAAGTTCGGCAATTCGTTCAACTTGGTCTCTGCTTTCCGCCAGTCAAAGCTGTCCTTCCAGTACGTTGCCAGGCGTTTGATATCTGATAAAGGCGCCCCGTAAGCCCATTGGTCGGCAGCATCTAGTTCGTCGGGGAAGTCTGCGGCTGCGAGTTTCTGGTGGAGGTGCTTTATTTGGGATTTTGGAACGTTGATTTTGTATGGTGTTGGATCAGACATTTTTTGATGCTAGGAGAAAGGTCCAGGTATGTTGGACAGGTGAAATTTGTAATTGTAACTTTTATTTATTGCATGTCATGAAGAGATGTTCGTGGAAATTGATCTAATGTTGCTTTTTAGGGTAGGATTATGAATCTTTGGAGTGGTAGTTTACCCCTCACGTAGACTAATCATAAGCACATGGACACGCCCTTCGACGACATGAAGATATAAGTTGACGTCATTCCCATCACGCAATGTTCGATGCGCGGCAATACGCGGAATACTGTCGCCAAATTATCTCAGCGTTGAAGAAGTTGATATCAAATGTCAAGGAAAGACTATCTTGTTAGGGCGTAATGATGTTCTGTTGCCTTTCGCGACTTTGATGTGGTTTGGCATGGCGGTTGACTGCACAAATGTATGTCTTTCACACTTCTAAGGTCTAATCATCAAATAATAGTCTGATACTTCCAGACTTTTCAGGATGGTCATTGAATACAGATTATCCACTATTTCCCGCAATCAATACAAGGGGAAAAGATTCCAGTTACACCAAATCTAAAGCACGGCAGCTATGCCCTCCAAGCTTGCCAACCAGCAGATATCGCGGATCCAGAAACATTCCCGCAACGCCAATTAGTTTCCATGATAGCACCCAATACTTATATAAATACAAAATTGTCGAATCCAAGTATGTCCCAACCTGTGGATACAAAATCAACTGTTTTCTGCTCATTTTATTGATCGTCAATGGTCCAGAAACGGTCCTCTACTGTGTACCATTCCCACTGACAGGCGTGAACCGAAATCTGTCTGGCGTAGGCGATTGCTTTTTAGTTGGAGGGCTCAAATTCTGTGGCTTCGCGCTTGGAGAAAGTGCCTTTATTGGAGGTAGGACTGGCGTTACGGACATGTTGTGGCTGGAGATTGGACGAGCACCGTCATGCTTTTCCGGAGCAGGAATAGGGGCAGGGAGCATTTGTGCAGGCTGCTGTGATGGCGATGGTGCAATATGTAGGGGCGCAGGAGCCGGCGAAGACATGTGAGCGGGCGGTGGCGGTGAACTATTCTTTGTGGGCGAGAAGGAAGGACGTTGGGCGGAGCTCGGTGGGAAAGAGGAATGGGGACTGTTCATGAAGTTGTAAGTGTTCGGGATGCCGTTTGTTGGCCGTGGCGAAGGTGCGGGAGAATTTTTGATAGGCGATTGATATGTGGTTGCCGGCCCTGCTGAAGAAGCTGGCCGGTTGAAACTGTTTCCAAGAGGAGTGTGGTGCAATGACTGTGCCGTACTCCATGGATTACCGTTTGGCAAGGGGAAAGACCTATTCGCAAACGGACTCGAAGGTTTGTGCGGTGGTGGAGACGACGCGATCGCACCATTGCTTACAGCGTATCCGTTGCTAGGTTGATGGGCGGAGACAGGTCGAAATGCTGCTGGGGATGGACTGTCTAATGGACGTTTAGAAGGCGACCCATATGCGGCCTCTGATCTCTCGATGCCAGGAGGGCCGAGTGCTTGACCACGAGGGGAAAGGCTAGGGCCACTGAATAAGGGCTGCGCGATCTGTGTCGGAATCGGCGAGGTCTGTGTCGGTGGAATTCTAACAGGCTCTGAGTTTTGACCAAGATTTTTCGAAGGGGTGCCATTGAACACGGCCGTACGATTGGCGCTGGGTGAGTTAGAGTTTAAGCGTAACTTCAGCGGTGGTAATTTGGGCTGTTTGGCCTCTTCTTCCTTTCGTTTGCAGTTTTTACAAACGAAGTGGAAGTCATCGCTGGCTGCCCTCTTCTCAGATATCCCATGGCACTTGCTGTGTTGCCAGACATTGCACCTCTCGCACTCGATACTATGAGTACCATCATCCTACCATATGTCAGTAGCTGAACAGGGCCCTGCATTCGTCGTACGTACATATTTATCTCCACCTGCACCGCAGACTTCGCAGTCGAAGAACCACTCCTCGTCCTTAAGTCTCTGAAGCTCCTCAAGCTCTTTCTGACGGCGCCTCATCTCTTTCACAAGATGTCTCTCGGACATGCGTCCTTCACTAGCTTCATCGCCTAGTTTCTCGCTATCTTCTTTCATTTTGCGTAGCTCTTCTTCATGCAGTATGCGCTTCGCTTCGCGTTCACGTATGCGCTGTTCCCTTGTGAGCCTTCGGGAAATACTCTCCTATAAGATGTTAGCTAGTCCCTCATGGCATGGAGGTGTCAACGCGTACTTCTTCTCGCAATCTCTCTTTCTCCTGTTCTGCCTTTGCCATTGCCAAGTCGGCCAACCGCTTTCGCTCCGCTTCTTCCTCTTCCTCTTGTTGCTTCATTTTCTCCTGCTTGCCTGCCAGTCTACTTGAGCGCTTCGCGGTTGCTAATTTGAGTTCCACTTCACGCTCTTTAGCCCTCCGAGCCTCCTGTCGTGCGCGTTCTTCTTCCAATTCTTCTAGCACAGGTATGACATCATTTTGTAAGCTCTGGTACAGGTCTTTCTCGTCTGGATCTTTGCTCTTGCGTATCCCGTTCATGTAGTTGCGATAGTCCTCCAGCGTGATGCACAGACATTCCCATTTAGCACCTCCGAGACCATCGTCTTCTGCCGGTGTTTCCTCCTTTTTCTCTTCTTCTTCCTCCACCTCTTCCTCTTCCTCCTCATCTGTGATCAACCCATCCGACTCATTGTTTGCTGCCTTCAGCCGTTTGCTGACTCGCGTAGATCTTGTGGGTCGCGGTCTGGGTTTCGCTTTCTTAGGCTTCGCTTTTGTTTTAGTCGGAGGTGGTGGTGGTGGTGGTGGTGGGGCATCAGTGCATCTATAGAGGCGATTGTCGTCAAGCACATACAACGTGCGACCTTGCGCATCCCATCCTTGGGGCTCAATGCGCTAGTGAATGTGTTAGCTGTAAATCACGGTGCTGAGTTTGGCGACTCGTACCCATCCTGTTTGCTCTCTTTCATCAATGAAAAGCCTCTCTCGTATCGTATTCGGGTTGTTGAGTGTCCAGACTGATAGTTGTTGAAGCACGCGGATCCTTGTGAAAACATCCAAGTCGTTGAATTTCTTGGGCTCTTCCTCATCACCGAAGGGATTTAGGTGAGGCGCTTTGGCAAGATATTGGCGTCGCGTATAATCATTGAATATCTCTGGTCTGTGCTAAATGTCAGTGTCCACTTCTGCTAACCAAGGATATATGCCATACGTGAGCCCTTTGAATGACGACACATGTTTCAGTAGCGCAAGTCCGATCGCGGGCAGCCTTTCCGATGGTTCGGGCCTGAGGCATTCGTGTTCGAGGACCTAAAGGATGTTCAGTACTTCTTCTATTGTGCGTACGGGTAGCGCATGACCAGGTCGCATTGGCGCAAAACGGAGCCTTACTTCGATGTCAAAGTCTTTGTCGATTTTGAGCACATCGCCGAATAGGTGTATGTATTGTGCTAGGTTCGCGAACTGCCACATGTTCCGAAGCCTCTCCAGTAATGTAGATGTAGGTTCTGCGGATGGCTCCTCCGCTTCCATCTCCGCCCGTCCTCGCTTTCTTGAGACCATAGCGCGCGAGCGTGCCGGCGACGGCAACAGTGACGGCGACGCGTTTGGAACTTAGAGGAGTGATTGGTATATAGTGAATAAGGTTGAGAAGAATAATGGAAGTGTACGGGATCAAAGAGGCCCGTAACCTCCGAGTGGATTCTGGCTGTGAGGTACGTTTGGTGATGGGGAGACTTATGGACGTATGCGATGACCGCAGTGAAGTCAAGTCGCGTAGAGGAATGAATTTGGTCTGGGTCGCGCTAGAAGCGGCTATACCGTTTACGGATGTAATCTTGTAAGTATTCCTAACCCGATTTAAGACATACCACTCCTATCTCTCCCGCGGCTACGACATGTTGACGATGATACCTGAATGATAATACATTCTGGAATTGGCTGCAAGGAAAACTTGCATTTGCAATTGCCTGGCATATCCCTATCTTTGCTCAAACGACCACTTGTGTCCTTTGTCAACTTGTTTAGACGCAAACGTTCTTCTTCTCAAGGAGAACAGTTATTTCTTGCAAACATCGTAGCAATCGCCATTCTTTCATCGATCTACTGTGGGGTTCATGGCCCTGAGATAATTACTAGCGTCCATAGATTCTGCTCCACGTGAGTAATGTGGTGATGAAGTGATCGGTTCGCAGTCGGACATCTCAATAGGCCGTCTCGCTGAAGCAAAAGGGAAGTTACTTTGATGAGACAGGTATTAGCATGATATACATGCCCAACCTGTCCAATAGAAATGGCGCGTATCAACGTTGTAAAGGGAACAGCGGCAGTGGAAGTTTCAGCGACTCCTGATGTAAGTCATTTGCGCAAGCGCGTATAAAGGGACCAAGTTCCAGTATGACTCGTCACATGTGTCGAGTTACTATAGATAATAGGAGCCTTCTGAGTTTCATACTCCGAGCCGAAACCATGATGCTAACGGCTTCTGGCTTACCTACAAATGTACATAGATTGCACAGGCTTCGACAGATCAGACTCATCAAAATACCGGAATGCGGCAGTGGACAGATAATGATCTGCTATGGGAAAAGATGTTTCCTAACTATCTATCGACGCATTCCTCCTAGCTGCAGATGTCGGGAAGAACGGTATGGGCGAACGAATGAGATCATCGTAGATTTCTCGTTCTTGTCTGAAGAGGTCAACGTACTTCCGCACACTAAACAAGGATAGATTCTTGATGTAGATTAGCAGTGTACGAAAAGGGTCTGTTCCACGACAGACGGGTAAATAGCGGAGGCGCAGTTGAATGGCAGTTGAGTGTGGCTGAATGAGTATTGAGCGATTAGCAGCTAAAAATAATAAGCCTCTATTACTGTCTACGGGCTCGAGCTGTCGTCCCTGGCAGCTTGGCAGCTTGCCCGGGGACGCGCATTACGGAGACCTCAATCGCTCATAATCATACCTACACTTTCTCTCTGACCGTTGCCGATATTCCTACTCTTGAATCTTGAGTCCACCGACCAAAGACATCGCTACTCGCCTTCGTACCATACAAGTCACCACATTCCATCGCATCTCCCATATCCTTACTCTTCCAGCATTTGCGACCCCGGATGCCGTTGCGCTGATACACCAAGAGCTGAAGACGCCGGCTCCAGATGAAGAGCCTACACCAGGGTGCCCTCGATACTAATGTCCTCATCCGATCCTAACCATGGCCGAGGAAGCAACTTCCAATCCATACCCCTTCGGAATCTCAACCGACCGCCAGATGGCCACGTTGACGGACATGATATACCTGGGGAGGCGCAGCGCTCGCACAGGCGGACACTCAGCGACAGAGGGAGGAACTTGCTGAGACAAACCGAGTCGATCGCGACAGGAAATCACTGGAATCCCGAATATGCGCCCATCGCAGAGGTATCACCAAGCCCGACGAGGGGGAGGGGGGAACATCGTCCAAATATCGACACCTCATACTCGACGTCGCGCGGAGGCGCAGCGCCCCACGAAGATGGAGGATATAGTCCACTGGAGGATGCTGGGGCATTTCAAGCCGCAATAGGTTTCTCTGGAATGGGTTTTCAAGGCGAAACATCCCCGCCAATGCCAAGCTCATACCCTCGTGAACCATCATACGGACAGTACAGCGATCCCTACACCTCGCGCGATACCGATGACCATGGATACTACGCTGGAGGCCCCTCGTATGACGACACGGCGAGATTGACAGATGTGCGGAATTTGCAACCGATGGGTGGAGCTGGGGGGGCGACCCCTCATCAAGACCGTTCGAGCTTCCAGAGCGTGCATTTTCTCAGCCCAAACGCAGTCGGTTCTGGAGATGCTGGTCATCTAGAAGCTGCTGCTGGCAGTCGTGGAAGTTCGGCGAGTCGTAAACGGTCGCTCTCGCCTGGGGATGTGTCTCCGCTACATCGGGCAGGAACCATTGTTCGGAACATGTCGCAGAGAGTCGTCAATATCAGCCATGACCCCGAGGTCGCTGAAACCACCATGCGCCGAAAATCTTCATTACATCATGCTCGTCTTCAGGGACCGCCCTCGTTTCCCGTCCTACCAGAAACCGTCGACGATGGTCCATCTGCTCCGCTGTCTCCTTTAGAGAAGCCTCCATCACCAACGTTCCCGAAACAGCAACCCCCCGCGCCTCGACGGTATTCGCCGCAAAATCCCCTCCGAGGCAATACGCTGGGCATCTTCCCTCCTGACAGCAAAATCCGACTCAAGCTCTGTGATCTGCTCGTCCATCCCGCCACCGAGCCCATACTCCTAATATTAATTATCATCCAGACCGTTCTGTTAGCTGTCGATGGCAGCCACAGCGTCTTCGATGAGAAACATAAGCGCTCAGCAAAATGGGGCGATTCCAAGATTGACTGGGCTCTCCTCGGACTTTTCGTAATTTATTCAATCGAAATTGTAATTCGCGTCATAGTATCTGGATTCATTGTGAATCCAGTCGAATACAGTACCATCAATCGACAAGTCGGCTTGAGAGAAGCCGTCTTGAGCAAAGGTCGTAAATTCTTCACGCCCCACCGACAACCATCACAAAAACATGCAAACACAACCTTCAATCCACAGCAACCGTCCATAATTCGATCGTTTACTACGGCCCAAATCAACCCCGACGTCGGTCCTGGAGATTCTCAACAGCAGCAAAGGTTTCGACTTGCACACAGGGCCTATCTGCGTCACTCATTCAACAGAACAGATTTCCTTGCTGTCATAGCCTTCTGGATTTCATTTTTAATGGGAATTTTTGGTGAGGCAGGCAATAAGCATGTTTACATTTTCCGAATGTTGAGCTGTTTGCGCATCATACGTCTACTAAACCTTACGAGCGGTACATCGGTAAGCTAATGCGTATGCCCTTCACACGCACATGAGAAGCTGACTAGGTTCAGGTGATATTGCGTAGTTTGAAAAAGGCTGCTCCGCTGCTAGTCAATGTCGCCTTCCTAATATCCTTTTTCTGGCTATTGTTCGCCATCGTTGGTATTCAAAGCTTCAAGTCAAGTCTAAGACGCACTTGCGTGTGGCAAGCCCCCCCAAACAGTGGAGATGAGGATTTTGATACTGGCCAATTCTGCGGCGGACATCTCGATCCCGTGACTGGTGCTCCTCAACCCTACATTGCAACACTGGGACCGAAACAGAGTGTCCGCAAGGGGTTTCTATGTCCCAGAGGTTCGCTTTGTATTGAGAGCGAAAACCCTTTCAATGACACACAAAGCTTCGATAACATTTTCAACTCCTTGGAGCTCGTGTTTGTTATCATGTCTTCGAATACTTGGTCAGACCTGCTTTACTACATTGCGGACAGCGACTATCTAATAGGTGCACTCTATTTCGCGGTTGGCATACTTATTTTAAGTTTATGGCTGATATCGCTCCTGATCGCCGTTATCACCTCCTCTTTTCAAATCATCCGTGAGGAGAGCAAAAAGAGTGCATTCACGGGCGAAGAGATCGTTGAAGAAGAGACCGAAGGACTCCCAGAGCACCGTGTGAGCAAACTCAAACGGTTCTACGATAAGACTTCCTGGCTGTGGGTATTAGTCATTGCCTATGGACTAATATGTCAATGCCTTCGCAGTGCCACGATGAGCGATTGGCGACGCGACTTCATCAATGTATCCGAGACTGGTGTCACCTTGATACTCTTCGGGGAGATCATCATCCGCTTTATAGTCGACTGGAGACATTTCTTCCAAAGCAAGCGAAATATTACAGATCTCATAATCGCAATTGTTACAGCGGTCATCCAGCTTCCTGCTGTTAAGAACGCGCGTGGTGGAGAACCATACGCTTGGTTGACCGTTTTCCAAATCATTCGAATTTATCGAGTTGTCTTGGCTGTGCCGATGACACGCGACCTTATTGTAAGTCAAAGCCCCCTTCCGTCATCGCTACTGGACTAATTGTCTACAGATGATAGTTTTGGGTAACGTTAGCGGTCTCCTGAACCTCATTCTTTTCGTGTTTTTGATGACCTTCCTTGCATCCATATTCGCCTCTCAACTTTTCCGAGGGATTCTCCCACAAGAGTCTGACGGCGAGACCTTGCCAACCTCGTTCTTCACGATCTACAACTCATTCCTCGGCATGTACCAGATTCTGTCCAGTGAGGGGTGGACTAGTATCATGTACGAAATCACTAGTCACCAGAGAGAGTTGAACACCGCTTGGATTGGAGCAATGTTCTGCATACTTTGGTTTATTCTCGCCAACTTCATTGTCCTCAACATGTTTATCGCCGTCATCCAAGAAAATTTTGACGTTTCGGAGGACGAAAAGCGGCTACAGCAGGTCAAGGCCTTCCTACAGAAGAAAGAGCAAGCCATGAGCTCATCCTATGGCAACCTCTCCCTCTCCTCAATCTTTAAGCTTGGGCAGGCTAATCGAAAAGACCCTTTGGACTATGGCTCGGCTGCAGCGGAGATGTTACTCAAGGATGCAGTAGTTCGGGATTTCCTGGACGAAAATGATGGAAGCGCAAGTCCACACGAAGACGAACCGCAGCCGGGTATTCGACCAGCTCCTACGATTGTTGGTTCAGGAGCCCTTTCAACCTTTTGGCAGCGCCTAGTGCGAAGAATCAGCAATCGTGAACCGAATCCCTTCTATGCGCCTCTGGACTTCGGCCGCGCGTACGAAGATCTTGACCCAAGACGGATGGCGAAAGAGGTGGTCAATGCAACGGAGAAGCGAAAGAAGGCTCAAAGAGAATACTTACGGAAACACCCCAAGTACAACGTGTCACTGTTTATATTTGGCCCCCATAATCCCATTCGAAGGGTTTGCCAGAGAATCGTTGGTCCTGGACGAGGAAATGATCGAATTGAAGGCGTTGCGCCTTCAGTACCGGTTTGGTACGCCTTCTCAGCATTCATATACGCTTCGATCATAGCCATGGTTCTACTGGCCTGTGTGACAACTCCACTTTACCAGAGGACCTACTTCATGGAGCATGAGTTCAGTGTCAAGAACTGGTTCGTGTTCACAGACATGGGCTTCGCCGTCTTGTTCACCATCGAGGCACTCATCAAAGTCGTTGCCGATGGGTTCTTCTGGACTCCCAACGCTTACTTCCGCGGGTCTTGGGGGTTTATCGACGGTGTCGTGCTCATTACACTTTGGGTCAATGTCGCTACGTCTCTGGTTAATGAAGGGCAGATCACGCGTACAGTCGGCGCGTTCAAGGCACTCAGAGCTCTCCGACTTCTCAATGTTAGCGACAGTGCCCGCGATCACTTCCATTCCGTTGTCGTTCGTGGAGGCTGGAAAGTCATATCGGCTGCCTTCGTCTCCATTAGTTTGTTGATTCCATTCGCCATATACGGGTTGAATCTATTCGTCGGGCGATTTCAAACCTGCAACGACGGCGATTCTAGTATCGTCAATTTGCACGACTGCGTGAACGAGTATGAGAGCTCGCCATTCAATTGGGATGTCCTGGCTCCCCGTCAGGCTGCCAATCCGAACTACGACTTCGACAACTTCGGCGACTCGCTTTTCATTCTCTTCCAAATTGTATCCCAAGAGGGATGGACAGGTGTCATGTGGGACTCCCAGCGCATAACTGGTGTCTTTACCCAGCCAGAAGACTTTGCTTCCCAGGGAAATGCCGTGTTCTTCATCATATTCAACTTGCTTGGTGCTGTGTTCGTCTTGACACTTTTTGTCTCGGTTTTTATGCGCAATTACACTGAGCTTACTGGTGTTGCCTTCCTTACTACTGATCAACGCTCATGGCTCGAGCTCCGAAAGTTACTTAGGCAAGTATCACCGTCGAAGCGGCCTTCATCAACAAAACAGAGAGAAACTTGGGAGGAGTGGTGCTATCGGCGTGCAGTTCGCAAGTCTGGTCGCTGGCAGAGATTCATCACCGGCCTACTGATTCTCCATCTACTTTTACTTTGTCTTGAGTGGTACCCTGGCAGCGAAATCTGGGATCAGATCAGGGGTGAGTAAAGTTTCCATCTTGATATACGCAAATATACTAAACCCCAGTATAGACTATATCTTTATCGTGTTTACCGTCATCTTCATCGCCAACATAATAATCCGCATTATCGGTCTGTCATGGCACCGATTCCGCAAGAGCTCCTGGGACATGTTTTCGATCTTCGCAGTCTCGGGAACATTGGTCACCTCAATCCTTCTACTTGCTGAACTTCGACAGCGTGTTTTTATTACACTCAATAAGCTGTTCCTCGTATCTATCGCCTTGCTCTTGATTCCAAGGAACAACTCACTTGACCAACTTTTCAAGACCGCGGCAGCTAGTCTAGCAGCGATCTCGAATCTACTCGCGACATGGTTTGTGCTATTCCTTGTCTATGCGATAGCCCTTACGCAAACGTTCGGCTTGACACGCTTTGGCCCCAATGAGTCTGGCAACGTCAACTTCCGAACCGTTCCCAAAGCCCTCATTCTCTTATTCCGATGTAGTGTCGGCGAAGGCTGGAATGATATCATGGAAGACTTTGCAACTGTCGATAAGCCGTTCTGTACAGAAGGCAGCAAGTACTTCGAAAGCGATTGTGGCAGCCCAGAGTGGGCACGAGCGCTTTTCATATCTTGGAACATATTGAGCATGTACATCTTCGTCAACTTGTTCGTCTCCTTGATTTACGAGAGTTTCAGTTACGTTTACCAGCGAAGCAGCGGCTTGTCCGTAATCAGCCGCGAGGAAATCCGCCGATTTAAGCAAGCTTGGGCGGAGTTCGATCCTAATGGAACCGGCTATATCACGAGGGAAGCATTCCCAAGGTTGCTTGGAGTAAGTCAAGGAGTCAAAGAGTATCTATGTATCACGATGGGACTGACTGAAATAGGAACTCTCTGGCATATTTGAGATGCGTATTTATGACGGTGATTTCACGGTTGGCAGACTACTCGAGGACTGCAGTGTCATGCCAAAGCGAACTTCGGCGCTGCCGGTCCAAGGTCGCGAAGAGATGCCCGAGATAGACCTCCAGAAGTTGAACCAGCGGCTAGCAGAGCTTCCCGTACACGAGATCCGACGACGACGACTACGCATGAACACATTCTACGAAGAGGTGCTAGTCTCCAGCGATCCAGACAGAGGAATAGCATTTACCTCTCTCCTAATGATCTTAGCTCACCACAAAGTTATCAATGATAACAAGAGTCTCAGGTATGCAGACAAATACTTGAGCATGGTTTTTCGAAGACTTTATTAACGCATTGCACAGACTCGAAGAATTCTTGCGCCGACGAGCGCGTCTACAGCGCGTGGAAGAAGCAGTCCGACGAAACGTTGTTGTAGGGTTCTTCGATACTCTCTACTGGTCACGTAAATTCCGGCGTGCGGTGGAGCATAAGAAGTCTGGACGCATGACGGCCGTCCCACAATTCACGGTCCCAGAGATTTTCGTGGATGACGAGGACATCACAGACGCGCAACGTGGACAGCACTCTGCAAGCGGGAGTCCGCTCTTCTCGCCAGTGGACCTCCAGCCAATGGATAATGCGCCATGGCGTGCCTCAGGCAGTGAGGTACGGGCGCCATCACCACCAGCAGACATGACGCTACGAAGCCGTGCCAATTCAATACAAACCACACCACAGCACTCGCCAACACGACCATCGCCTTTGACAGGGCCGCTTTCTGCAAACAGAGGGTCCCCGCAAGGATCTCCCTTCTCTCCACCTGCGGACGGCGAATGGCAATTCGCATCTGCTTTAAGTCGACCTCCCAGTCCACTTGAAGTTGATCCGGGTCCAGCAAATCGCAGCAGGCAAAACAGTGCTGTCAGTGCAGCAGATGTTTTGGAAGTGCTAGACAATTCTGCCTGGGGTGAGAGTATCCGTAGGAGTTTCACACACCGGCGTTCTGGTGGACGATGAGCATGAGAGAAGGAGTCCTTGTTTGAATGGGTTGCTCTCTGGGGCGGAGCAGTCTAGTCCCAATCTGGCGATGCTGATGTTTCAAACGCGTGAAAAGAGCATGGCAATACGACGGAACGAAGAAGGAAAAGTGCAGGGCCGCTGAAAGGGTCCAAAGAAGCGATGCAGGGGAAAGATACAAGCGACACACAGTCGCATTGATGTCTGAAATTGGGCAGGAGACACGACGGAGGCGCGATCAAACAGACATCGAGTGCGGTAGGGATGATCCAGGGCATCACACTCTCACACACACAGCTGGACAGGAGCGCATCCGGGCAAGTCTTGCCCATTATTGTCCGATTTTTATGTACAAAGTTCATTCACACGTACTTTACGTGTATCACGATTAACGGCACTTGCATGGAGGGGAGGGGAACATGGAGGGGCGGGTGGTTATAAATGGAAATGGTGGGAGGGATGTATATAGTCTTCTTTTGTTGAGGGTTTTGGGTAAACCACACCTCGTTCACACGTGCATAGCGACGGCGCTCGGGGACGTTGGCCTCGATGAAGGAATTTCGAATTTTTGGCATTTATGTGATAGAGATTAGAAAAACAAAAGATACAATATTTGTCGATGATGATGACGATGATGATGAGGGTGATGATTCCTGCATACGTGGGCTTGCGTGCGTGTACCGACACGTTGAATCAATCGGACGTGTACGGAGCACATAGTAGCTGTACAGTAGTGGCTGGCTAAGGTACAACCACAGCGCGCAAGGCGTAACTATTTAGTTCATTTACTACGTTGCACGCCGTTGACTAGATAGTTACTGAGTACGGAGTACATTGGACATTTTTAGTAACTACCTACACTAGCCCTTCGGAGAGCAGACAGAAACGCGTCTAATGGTCGTTCTCCTCCGACTTGCGATCGCGTGCGCTGCGCTGCGCGAAGGCGTTTGTTGAGGCCATGGCGTCTGTTGAATCCTTGGGTGTGCTGTCACAGAAGGGAGAGAGGGAGGAGGAGAGGCAAGGCATGGAGTGGCTGCAATGGCATGACATGACAAAGGTAGCATAGCAACGCTTCATAGCTCGCCTGCCTTTGATCTAATCACTGAACAGGACGTACACGGTACACCTATTAGATAATACATAGCAACTCACTGGAAGAGTAGGATATTGGGCGTGGATATGGACATGGACATGGACATGGACAAGGGTGCGGACACAGTTAAGGAGTCGATGGTGAAACTCGGCTGCGCATCAGGTCCATTCTGACACTTTTACTCCGGCCGTGACGGCATCTCCTGGTCTGGGTCTGGGAGTCTGGGAGTCTGGACGAGACGAGCGACCACACCAAAAGTCATGAACCGTTTTTTGCCTCTGCAGTAGTCCGATCTTTCTTGTTGCAAGTCTTGCAGCGATTGAGACAGTTGAGACACTCAAGACCTCTCTCCGTGTATGATGATGATGCCGATGATACTTTTTGTTTCCCCCTCTTTTTGTCTCTCCAGACTCCTGTGAGTACGCCTGCCTGCCTGCACACGTCGTCTGTTGCACGCACGCCTCCTCTCCGAAAGGGCATCTGTTTCGCTTCCTGTAGGCGTCCGTTGGTCACTAGGTTGTGATGCTGTTGAGAAGTACTGGTATCCATGATACACACGTAGGCTATAGACCATTCACTCTATGAGTCCATTTGTCGCCTTTGCTCCTATTCCTATTCCTGTTCCTGTTCCCATTCCTACGATTAAATGCAAAATGCCTACCTTTTACTCAATGCCTATTCCTTTTCCTTCTTCCTGTTCCTTTGTGCATTATTGATTTGCAAGGGTTTGGAACACTGGCACATTGGCGACCCTCGTATCCAACCGCAATAATGTGATGTTCCCATACAGTGTGGGAGACGGGGAGTCAGGCTCTTTGCTTGTTTCCGCTCGTCGATCATACATCCAGCAAGCCCCTCTCTGCCCTAACTGGTTTCGTTACTCTCAATGTGCCAACGGCCTCTTTTCCGACCAGGATCCTGGTGGGTCATGGCTTCAGATGGTTCAGCCCACGGACTCCCTCAATCCCTCAAGGCACATCCCTCATCCCAGGTCCTATCTATCCCATCCCATATTACATTACACTTTCGTTCCGCCCTTAAACACTCGTCATTCTTCTCTCCCGCACTTGCTTTTATTAAACTACCTCCTTGCCTTCGTTTCTCCCTCTTTATTCCTGTCTCTCGATTTTTACCACTCCACGACATCCATTCTTACTTTCTAAGTCAATTCGTCTTCTTACCAACACCAAGGTTCGAAGACTTAAACAGACTCTCTCTTCCGTGTTGAAATATACAAGGAAGCTGGTACCATTTCCTCAACCACTGGCTGGATTGCTCTATTGCTTCTGCGAAGCTTACTGTTTGCGTCACCTGTCGTGTCACTGCGCCCGCCCTCGCTCACTCCAGGGTCCACTTGCATAAACCGTGCTACTTACCACCTACTCCGTACTGCTGTTTATCTTCGACGTCGTCTTTCCAATTGACGATCTCTAACTCACTCCAACGGACTCCATTCACTCCTACCTAAACAAGTAAATACCGCGGTGCGGACGTCTTGACGACCAACTTTACCCAAAGCCACCAACCTCGCTCGTCGATATCAACCTCAACCCTTCCATTAATCTTCAACATTCACTTCGATCCACCCTACTCAATCGAAAAGATGTCTTCTCCCGTCCGCCAGAACCGCTTCCAATCATTCACTCCCCTCCGCACTGGAACCCACTCTCTCCGCCGCCTCAAGACTGCCTTCTCGCCCACCCGCTCGGCGCGTTCCATCTCCCCAAGCTCATCCACCGGCACCACTTCCCCGTTGACCAGGACGGCATCTCCCCACTCCCACCGCTCCGTCTCCAGCAACGGCAGCATCCGTGAGCTTCTGATGCTCCGAAGGAAGCCCAGCGTCCTCGACGCCGAGATGGAGGAGGAGAAGCACCTCTTCAGCAACGAGCTCGAGATGCTCGAACCCCGTCCCATCGTCACAGGTCACGTCGAAGTCGGCATCTTCGAGGTGCTCGGAGGAAACCGCTAAAGCAACCCTCCTGTTCTTGTTGCTAGACCATCAGAATGATTTCAATGAAGCTACTTGAAGGCGTTTTGTTTGTTTATTCACGAGGGTGATTTTTGAAGGGATGATATGTGAGACACTAATTAGACCTTGCCTCTGTCGTGTGGAATCTCACTGGCGCATATTGGATATTTCCTTTTTACTTGTCGTCGTCGTCGTTGGTGGTGACAGCTTTTCAAAGTGTACATTCTATTCTTTTTTGAGAGGGATTGGTTGCTCGCCGGGCCAACAAGTCTGTTGAGCAACCTTTCTCTTCTCACCCTTTTTATTTGGAAGGACATCGGGTTGTAGTTGACAATTTGGATGGAAATTTGGACAACATATACCCGGAACGGTTTGATGGATGGAAACGTTGGATATGGATTTTTCTGTCTTTTTTTTTCCTTCCAAACTCTACACACACATTATGAGGAGGGAGCCTACTCAAAGGGCTCTCGAACGACTTTCCTTAATACCACGCTTTTTCCATCTCCTCTATGATCATAGAATTCAAACAATTTCGTACTCTCTCCGAACTGCTTTGCAACATTGACATGCGACTTGTGCATACATGATTCTAGATTTCCTCTCCTTCGCATTAGGATAATCACCAAGTAAGAAGAACCACTCCCCTCCCCTTAGCAGAGATGAGACAGGGGCCGCATACCACCTGGCCCACGCACACACACGCACACATGCATGTGCATACATACCCGTCCGATGCTTCCGATCCCGCCTCCAAGCTGTCGCATATGCCACGCCCGCCGCCCATCATCACGTCCACCCAAGGCCACCCCAACACGCATTGCATGCATCCCCCCAGCTCATCAATATGTCGAAAAGAGAGGGGGCACAGGAACGCGCTTCCAAAATGCTTCCATGATTCTATCAATTCTCAAACACACCTACACACAGACAGAAGATTTTCATCTGCCATTGTAAAAATAGAAAAAGAGAAGAGGGAGAAGATGGATCTACGGCGCCCCCCGTCCCCATGTCCACGTACTTGGAAGTTGCATTCTTGTAATACATACAGCCTTACGATCAGTTGGTATGTATTTCTTGTGTATCGTGCGCCTCGAGATCTGAAGGTACCTGGCTGTCTATCTGTTTGAGGGCGATGCATGTCCGCCATGTTGCGATGTACATGCGGCTTGGCGGGTGTTGGTGATTCGTCGGGATGTCCGATGGTCGAGCAAGTCATCCGGGCGTAGGACTCCAACTTTCAGCGTGTGAGAGGGAGATGAAGGTATGGGGATGGGGATTGTTGGTGGTGGCTCTGCGATTTTGCTGCGGAGATTTCGATGGTGAGGAGTGGGGAGTGGGATTCTTTTGTCGCAGGGTTGAGAAAATGGTCAAGTTGTGATGCTATTTGTTGATATGTAGATAATTACCGACACCATCTGATGGGCGAGGGTGTAGATTACGCATGAATATTTTATGGTCCTAACTATCGATCATTTATTTAATTACCTTTTTTGAATGCAGAAATCTTTTATTTTCCTATCTTCCTTTGCCACTCCCTTTTTCGACGCTGTTCGCTTCACCATCATCTGATGACCCAAGTAGGTAATTAAGGATTACCATTATAAGTAATACCTACTGGCTTATTCCCCAACTTCGTCAGGTCCCGTCAGATAAGCTCGTATCATCCCTTCAATATCAAACACTGACATTCCCCTCATCTTGAAATGCTTCTCTAACATCAACTCATTGCCCTATTCTCCTTTCCTCGAACCTATTCGCCTCGTGCAACAATCGTGAGGATAATCGAAGAAAAAAAGTCCGAACAACAAATTGAGCCTCTGCACAGTTATTTGGCTTACCCACGAACCTTTCATATCGTTCCGCAGTCAGGTTTCCTTATTCTTGGTAGTTAATCACCAATTTGCCGGAGAGCCCGATGCTTGGACATGTCCGTCCGTCCACACCACGGAGTTTTTAACACACAGGTAATTGCCTTCCTACTATGTCTTGTGGGGCCTACCCATACGGTCGGACTTTTACCAGAAATGTCTTGGGTACTGTATGCCCTCTAGAGCCTAGCATCTCTCTACCGTGTACCTCCAGCAAACGGGCTGAGCAAAATTACCACCATCTCCACCCGTGAAGCGCAATTTCACACCTCTCTCTGCCAGGCGATGACCGCACGCAATCGAGATCCCAAGGAAACCAACAATCGCAATCGAAATGACGATAGGATTGTACGGCTGGGGTGCGATAAGATGGCAGGACCCTACCGACAGGCAACGGCGCGCGCGGTTGTTTGAGATTGAATAGGCGGATAATTACCGAGTTGATTGGAGGGGGGTGTTGGTATTGGTATTGGAGTTGGCTTTGGTGGGTGGTGCCGTGTTTAATTTGGGACACTACTGGGGATGAAGGAAGGAAGAGTTGGTGTTGGACTTTGGTGATGTATACCTTTGTATGTGGTATACAGTGGTATACTGCAATCGGTAATTGAAGACTATTGGATATACACACCGTGGTGGTTTGCAGAGCCCATTGGTGGAGATCGTGGGACTTGTCTCGTGTTCGCTAACCACACTACCGGCCGCACTGGCGATGGATGTCTTAGGCTGTGCACTAAAAAACATAGACGAAGTTGCCGATACACACAGACAGATGAAAACGAAGCCTATCTGATATCAGGAATATGCTTCTTCATGACCTCAATGCAGTGAAATTCAATTGAACTGGGTATATATATCATATAATTTGTCGTCTGTTTATGTAAGCTCGCTTGGCTCAGTGGTAGAGCGTATCACTAGTAGTCGCCCAAGACATGATAAGGTCATCAGTTCGATTCTGATAGTGAGCAAGCTTCACTCCTTTTTTTGGCTGTTTTTTTGCCCCCTTGAATGGGGATGTTGAAATCGAGACGCGCTGCATGTAGTCACCCACGCTCACGGTGAGTAGGTGCTTGTGCAAAAGACCGGTTCCGGCCCATTCACCTTTGACTGGATGATTTGATAGAGTAGCAATTCGCACTGCGGTGTTTATATTTTTCAATCGAGTGTGTGAACTGCGATACAAAGGCGAAAGAAGAAACACACACACTGAGAAAGTAGAGAAAAACATCTAAGGGGATGTAGATGATGTATATAAATGATGATTTATGCCTTCTAATCCAGTTCTTCTTGAACTAGTCTTCATTTAATCGTAACTGTAAAGGGCGTACCGCTTCTGACAACTCTTCTGACATTTTCGTCCGGATAATTTGTTTCGGTTTTACAATGTTAATTCAATCATTCTCCTCGAGCGAGGTTAGCACGTGCGGACTGGCAGTGGCACGATTTCCGACTCCGGTGTCGTCGGTATCGATCCTGGCGTCGAAGACAATGATGATGAAGGACTCGTCACTCTTTCGCTAAAGTAGTCCAGCGACGAGTTCGTACTGGGGGTTGGGCTTAAGGAATACAACGTCTCGTAGTCAGGAGCCAGCTCCATAGAATGTTCCCTTGCTCGGTATAGGGGTAGTGGTTCGACGTCCAATTCGTTCTCATCCACCGGACGCATAGTCAACGCTAGATCTTCCGGTGACATTCTGGGTAAAATTTCCAGCCCATGCGTCGATCGAATGGTGAATCTCTGCTCTTCTCCCTCTAATTTGAGCCCAACCGTCAAAATCATGCTGTACCGTCGACTGATCGTGTAAGTCTTGAACGTGGGGACACACTCTGCGTCGTCCACGAGTTTGAAATTCGACGTCATAGCTGTCGGTGTGTCGAAAGGTATTGGCTTGTTGATATTGTGCCTTGAGATGCAGGTCACAGTTCGTGAGATTGTGTCTTCCGGCTGTGTCCACGGATTACCACAGATGGCGACCGTGTGTGTTGCAATGGACACATTCAGCGAGTCCAGTATAACCTGCGGTCGCTCCAGATTGCTCGCGTTGTAGAGAGCGATACTGAGCGGAATGTGCTGACCAGGTGCCACCTTCTCTGGGAAATAGAGTGTGGGAACGATTCGTGGGTGCCGTCCATTGCTTTTATACTTTCGGCCGACCTTCGAGAATACCTTTTCCACGCCCTTTGCCGAATCTTTCTCGGGTTTCCAGATCTGGTTGTACAAAACCCTTGACATCACTCTAGCCTCCCGAACCAGGCCCGGTGTGGGGGCAGGCTGATAATAGATATGCTGCGTGACTTTGTAGGGACCGTGAATGCCGGAGTCGACAAGCCGTGCCTGGACGTAGTAGGAAACCGTTGCTTTACCACCAGGTGAATTGGTACGCACGCTGATGGAAGGGGGGAGGCAATGTGGCTCCTTTTGGAATTTGGATCCGCGACTCCATTTCGAGACCCTGCGCTCAGTGATCTCCGGAAATGCGAAGTCGAATGTCCATGAGTGTTTGCGAGCGGGAAGTTCAGTCGATTCTACCAGAGTCTTCTCGATGCTGAAAAGTCGAACCTGTTCCTCAAAGTTGCGGTTCGATAGCGACGAGTCCCGGTTTGAGCTGTCGTAATGAGGCCGCGTTGTCTTCGTAATGCAAGCACCAGCGAAGTGAACCTTCAATTCCTTGATGTATTCCTTCTTCTCCAAAACCAAAAAGGCTCTGCCTGTTACCCGATCGCCCTGGCGATAGATCTTGGAACCATCGCCATCTACAAGAATTCGAAGATTTGGAGACTGCGCCATAGTGAACCCAGCTGGAGATCAGAAATGCAGGGTCTCACCCAAGACTATAACATGTTTCCATTTGAACCCTAGCCCCCGATGCAGCGGCATTTTTAGGTACACTTCTATCGCCGCACCTGGAACGGCTGGAGGAGGAGAATGTTTGCCGGGGTACAATCAGCGCCAAGCAACGTGGGATTTGGTGGCATGCTTTGAGGAAGGTGAGAGGCTATACGAGGTCTTGGTAGCGGCCTAGAAGTTAGGAGAATTGCTTACATCCAATATATAGGAAGTGTCCAGGACGCCCGCATTATGTTCGCGGCGTTGCTACCACATGTGATAAGGATAAAGCCTGAGGAAGCTTGATCAAGCTCAGGTCCTCGTCACATTAGATTACGAGATATTTTCTAGCGGGCACCCAGAGGTTGACGGCTCATGGTGCTATTAGAAGTAGTGCCGTGAGTTGCCAGCCGTGTTGTCCTCATCCAGTAGTGTCTTTCGCATGCTCGGCAACAGCATCGCCATTGTTGTCAATACTGTCGAGTAGACTATTATTTCCTCTTTGAAACACGTCCAGAGTGCCACCGGGACGGGATTTGACTATCAGGGTCAATATCTGAACAAGCTGAGATGGTGGTGGAGCCAAGATTTTGCCCTTGGCTAGGGGAGTCTGGACTTCAGTCCGCTCAAGGTTCGACTGCATGTAGGCGGCGTTGTTCACTTTGTATTCTGCAGCTGTATTGTGGATTGAAGGTTATTTCTTTCTTTTTCGAGAATGCAGCTGTGCTGAGTAAATTCCCATGGATTGCACTTCGTGCAGTACGAAGAAACCCTACCTTATCCTTGGGACGTATGCCAAAGGTTTAAGCGGGGGGTTATCGAGTAGATAGTGGGATGGGACCCAGCCCAAGGTGAGGGGAGACATAACTGGATCCCCCAGCCGGGGTAATATCTCAGGTACCCACATTGCAACCCGGGCTCTTGGACTCTGGAGAAGATCCCGTCTCCAAATGGGCATATGTCCAATTGGCCATAAAACGCTTCATTCGGGCGCATTTCCGTGCACCATCAGGAAGACGGCGTTTGCCAGTGCCTGTATAGGAGCATCGTAGCGACATGTCACTCCTGAATCCTGATATTTGCTTTATGTCGAACCACCCTGTAGCCGAATAGGTAGCTGAGAGTTTGCGAGCAACACGTTTGGATAGCTGGCGGCTTGTTCACCAACTCAGGCCGCACAGATCTTCCTTCAATCCCTACGTCGGGCCGACGTTCCTCTGTTGTTAAGTGTGAAAGCTTGAAGATACCACTGAGCGCTAAAGACCTGAGGTACCAAACAACGCAACGTATGGACAGCGTTTATAATAGTCTGAGAGATGTTTCCGGGCTTTGAGCCGTATCGCCGGGTGCCGATAACGGTAATTCACCATGGGTTGTAGACTTCAAATGTAGTCATTTGGCGAGTCGACTTTATAACGATTGCATTACATTCAAGGCTTAGCAGTGCTTAGGAATGCAACTCTGCTTGACCAGCAACGACGTTCGAAGGGATAAATCTGTTCGTGTGAGGAGATAATTGCTGAACACAGGCTGAAAACTATAGGTGTAATTATCGTGTGAAGTCGGCTTGAACATTTTCGTGAGCATGCACTTAGCCACGCGGCCAGACAATTACTCGTAACTACCATCAAGACTTGGAACTGACGCCTCGTTTTTATACTTTATGGGGTGGGGGTACTGTGTGAGAGAGGAGGCAGCTTTGCCGTAGTTGCAGCACACATGGAGGGCTGCAAGCCCATACGGAATACAAAGCGACAACCGAACGTATGCAGGCCAATGCGGAAGCCACGAGCAGCTCAGAGCAATTGTACGATGAATGTTGTTTTGTACCACCTAATCATGACCGCAACGAAAGAAATGCATCATCGAACATCAACATGGAGAATGTCTTCAGTGTATGGTGTCCGGCGAAGAGTTATTGCGGGGTGAGTGACAATGAATAGGTGCGCGACATGTCTTGGCGACTAATCGCGTCGCGTACTTGGTTTTGCGACAATTATCTATGTTCCGCAATTCTTCCACCGCTTGCATTGGCTTCTGACCAGCACTGTCACTCTACCAGTAAATACGCCCTATTTGCCTTCTATTTGTTCTGCAGGTCTCGAAACCTCACAATGCCTCCTAAAAAATCCAATGCGTCCGCATCAGCTCCTGAAGAGCCAACAAAACCTGCTGTAGCGGCATCGAAGGAGGATGGCATAAGCGTAGAGGTATGTACGAAGATGCGGTCTTGCTAGCAATTTAACATACTTACCAATACAGGATCTCAACCTCCCCAAATCTGCCATTCAACGTCTTGCAAAAGGTGTTCTCCCCCCAAGCACACAGATTCAGAAGGATGCATTATTGGCAATGTCCAAGAGCGCTACAGTATTCGTCAATTACCTTACCTCACAGTACGTAACTCTGATTGCGATTCATCCGCATATCTGTATCGGAACTTCTCAATCTCACATCAGATAAAGCGCAGCCGAGAATGCCACACGAAATGGTAAAAAGACCGTAATGCCGAAGGATATATTTGAAGCAATGCAAGAACTAGAACTCGAAGCTTTCCTCCCCCGACTCGAGGCTGAGGTGAACAAGTTCACCGCCATTCAAGCCGATAAGCGCAATTCATACCGGAAGAAAGTCCGCGATGACAAGAAGGACCCGAAGGACGGGGAGGAAGCACAGCCTCGAGCAACAGGGAACAAGGACAATGAAGATTCACCCCCGACGAAGCGCGTGCGACGGTCGAGTATGGACAACGGAGAGCATGCTATGGGCTCGGACGAAGAAGGCGATGCTGGTGAGACTGTGGACGAAGCGGAGCAGGATGATGACGAGGTGGAAGATGACGAAGTTGATGAAGAGCCTGCAGAGGAAGGGTTGACGGAAGATCTTTTAGAAGAGCGGGCGGTTGAACCCTCAGATGATGATATGGCTGATGGAGACGAAAGTGATTGAGATCACACCCAAATGAGGTCGGACTTGACATTTCAAAGTTCATCATAGCATTGATTGGCGTTTAGGAGAAGCATGGAACAGGTCACTATATCCCAGGGGGCTCCCATCATTCATTTCATCATAGAGAACAAATACGTCGCCACCAAAGCTTAAGGCGAAACACATTGCCCATTCAGATGCACACATAGTTTAGGCATTCCTACTTTCTTCCTCCAGTCTTGAGTGGAATGTCCTACCGTTATGCTCTTTCCTGACTTGGACATTTCGGGGACCCGTTACAGTTCAGCAGTCTCCACATTTGCTCATGTAGCATGTTCCATAAGTATAGCCGGGCAACCACTTTACCCTAGGCTTGCTCATCGTCGTCTCGCTGGTATGGATGCGTCCAGTGGGTCTCCGTACCGAGCTATGATATGTTTAAGGATGCTATCCACCTGATAACCATTATCTTGACTCACTTTTTATCATTCCACCTTTGTCAAGGATGGTATCTAGCGCTCTCAGCTCCTCCTCCCTCGCTCTGGAATTCTTCCAATCCCAGCCTGGTTGGTCTTCCTGCTTCACCCACTGATATCCTGTGTCTGGATCGATGTGTACTTGGTCTCCTGTCGCCGAAGGAGCAGCGCTCGAGTGGACCCGTTTCCCATTTGCATTCAGATTCGAAGGTGTGGCTGAGAAAGCCGCAGGAAGATTTCCTTCGAGGGGTAAATTGGCGGGGCCTTGTGAATCTGGGGGTGAGAGCTCGGAGTCGCGGCCAGCCAGTGCGCTGGCAGTATTTCGCGGAGTACTCGGTCCATCCTGTTCGTCGGGGAACATATTGTCATCATCCTCGATAGCTTCAAGCTCCGGGGAGGAGTGCATGGTGGAATCACCGTCGATGTCTGATCATATCAGCTTGTCGTCAACCGTGCCCAGGACGTAGGATACGATGTCGCGGACCGGCGCTTGTATTGAGGCAGGAGGGAGATATACCTGACATTTTCCTTTCCCGTCTCAATATATCTATTGCGACCTATAGAAGGTGAATTGGTAGATAGTCGTCTACGGGTGATCCACGCCAATGTCCAGGTCGCAACATTGATATCTACCTGGTGAGTGACGCCAGCGCTTTGACCTCCGGCGGCGGCCTCCAGCATAGCGCCCGCACCCGCATCAAGTTTAGGCGAGCTGCCGACCCTGGCACCGGGTCCGCCTCCCCTCAATTTATGAATCTACTACCTTCACACACATCTCACTCTTCTCTCCTCCATTTAAGAAGCGCACCTCTACCACTACACATATTCTAAGCCGAGCTCAACACTGTAAAACTTTTCAATGCCTAACCCTAGTGCTGTCCCTGACGCGTGGGACGAAGATTGGGAGACGCTTGCAGACGTAATACCGCCCATTTCCACTATATCATCGCCTCTGGGAAACTAACTTGTAGCAGAAGCCAGAGACAGAGAACACAAAACCGAGCGGTGTTTTGCTTCTTACCAAAGCAGAGCGGAAAGCTAAGCATGCCGAGCAGAATAGGGCAGTGTGGGAGTCGGCGTAATGATCTGCCTTTGCTGTGACGATTGCGATCAAGTGAATTAACTTGTAACCAGCGAAAACCCGGAGCCCATGCTGTTCCTACAGGCTCGCGATAATGGGCCGGTACAATCTTCATTCAAGCCAAATGTTACTGTTCTCAGCCGTAAACCACCCCCGAGGGTTCTCGTACGAAACGACGGAAGTGCTGCCATGGCGGGGTTGACGCTTGACGATGACGACGACAGTGAGGAGGAGCGAAGGAAACATGCTGAACAATCATATGCGGAAAGGAAAGCACGTGCTGAGAAGGAGAGGGAAGAGAAGATACGGAAATATGCAGAGGCTCGTGAGAAAATCTTTGGGTCGCCAGCGCCCAGCTCGGGCGAATCGCGGGGCGCGTCTCCCAGTAAATCATCGCGGGGGAGGACGCGAGGAAGAGGAGGAAGGGACGGCTCATTGAGATCAAGTGCTGAGCAATCTCCTGTGCGACCTGCGCCTTCGGGCAAACAACTTTACGAGCCGTCCTATTCACCAAAGCCAACTTCGACCTTCGTTCAAAAGCGGGAATCCAATACCAGCCGGTCAAGCCCCTCAAACGGAGTGCAACAGCCAATCCGAGAGCCACGAGGGCCTTCAGGCAGAGGGTTTGCGCCCAGAGGGAGGTCTACTAAGTCGACACCTTGAAACCTTCCAATATGCGATGCTCGAGCATCGTGATACCCTACGCATTCCACCACCTCTAACATCCATTGGAATACCAAGCCATGGTAAAGCCAAAATTCGGGATCAGGCGAGGCCAACGGCGTTCAGACGCGTATTCGGGCGCGCCATTGTTCCGGTATGAGCTCATTCCAACCCCCTGAAAGTTATGCATCAAAGGCCGAACGCTCCAATGCTCATTAAGGAATGATTCCCGGGCCGATTCAGCAACCGGGCCAGCCTTGAACCGCCATTTTGTTCTTCCGGGCTGTATCATTCGTCAAAAGGCACCTTTTCATGGGACGAAGTGTTGTAAAATTGAGGCAATACAACATGACAACCCCAGGAGCAAGCGACCACACCCTCTAAGTCTCTCCAGCATCCTTCAACCAGATATCCATGATCTTCACACGAAGGCTCGTGTAGCAACACTTGTCGTGCAGGGCATGTCCACACAGTATACTAATGACGCATCGGCCTCAAAGCTTAGCCACTCTGGACGCATCTATCCCATTCATATTGTGATTAAGCTTGCCGAAGCCGGCAGATTGTATATCAAAGTCATGTTAGTTATGAAGTGGGCGGTAATAGTACTGGTACAGTGCGGCCTTGACCTAGGTAATAGACAGACATAGCTTCTGACTGATAATTTCTCGAATGCTTCCAAATCTTGCTTGAACACATAGCCAACAAACCGAGTCTGCGGGTTACAATGATGGAATTGACTGTATCCATAAGGGACCACCGCCATTTCAGAATACCGGGTTCCTGGTATCAACAAGACGCTTGGCACAAAGGAGTTGCAATGCGCGCCTTACACTTCAGAAAACGCGTACTTTCGAGGATCTGATCTGCATGCCTATGTTTTCGTCAATTGAATCCGAATGTCGTAACTTCTAGACCTAAAAGTCGAAGTTTGTCCTGCAATTACCATTTCTTACCTATCTAGACCATCCCCATGCCCCTCTGGCAATCGGAATGCGGGATGACCAGAAACTTCCGGTTCTGTTCCTTACTTTGGATATCCCTCGGACCAATTCTACGTGAACAGTCCGCACCTTGCAAGTTCTGGTGACGATTGAAGTTTGGTTTGATGTTACATGGGAGGACATCTCAATCATTCATATAGTCTCCTGCCCTCGCGAGAAAAATCAAATCTTCAACCGCCTCTTCAGTCACTCATTAAAACACGTTCTTTACGCAATCTTTCGGTCTTTACTTGCCTTCTTGTTCTCAAGTTATTCCATCATGATGGACTCAACCAAAGCACTCGCCATACTGGCCTTTGGTGCCAGTGCTGCGGCGCTTCCACAGAGTCGACCATCTCTGCCTATTGCTGTACCTGCTCCACCTGCTCCCCCGCCTGGATTTGATGCTGGTACCACCATTGCCGTTGGTGGGTTTCTCAAATGGTTCAAACATTGTAAGATTGCTAAGACCCTGCAGGCGTGCCTCTTATATCAGTCTCTGTTGGTGGAGAGCTTGCCGTTGCGACTCCAACCTTACCACCAGTAGATCTTTCTTTGCCTCCGGTCGGCTTGCCTCCAATCCCGGTTCCGATTCCTTCGATCCCCCGTCCAGATCTTCCAGTGATTGATTTGCCTGGGTTGCCCGTCATTTCTCCTCCAGACGTCGGCATTCCTGCTATCGGGCTTCCAGATGTAAAGACTGATCATTCGCATTCGTATCATCATCAGCTAAAACGTTCTTGCAGATTTCGATCCCCGCAATCGGATTACCACCTCTCCCCGGACGACCAACTCTGACTCCTCCATCTCCCCCAAGTCTGCCGGGCTGGCCTCCTCTGTCTCCACCAAGTCTCCCTGGCTTGCCTCCTCTGTCTCCTCCAAGTCTCCCAGGTTTGCCTCCCGTTTCTCCCCCGAGCTTGCCTGGCTTACCTCCTGTTTCTCCCCCGAGCGTACCTGGCTTGCCTCCTGTTTCTCCGCCAAGCCTACCTGAATTGCCTCCTATCTCCACCCCGAGTTTGCCTGGCTGGCCTACTATCTCTCTTCCCACGGGACTGCCCAGTATTCCTTTGCCGGATCTACCGGGTGTGCCTGATCTGCCTGACCTTCCCGGTCTGCCTGTTCTTCCTGGCTTCCCTGATCTTCCTGGTCCTCCTGATCTGCCAGACCTGCCAGATCTGCCATCTTGGCCATTGTCTCCCCCAAGTCCCCCAAGTCCCCCATCACTTCCTCCTATCGGTATTCCGGACATCGACGTTGATGTTGAGCTGCCTGTTGGCCCTCCAAAGGTCCCATCTACACCTGGTCTCCCATCTCTGCCACCTGCTCCTGGTCTCCCATCTCTCCCACCTGCTCCAGGTGTCCCAAGTGTCCCAAGTATCCCTCTTCCAGCTACGCCTGAACTCCCTGGTGCGGACGCTGCTTGCAAGTTGGGCAACGCCGTTCTATCAGCTTTCGTCGCTATCTTCGTCAAGGGCCTCAGCTCCTTTGGCATCGGAAATGTCCCTAGCGTTTCGACCCCAGCATTCCCTCCTATTCCTATCATCCCAGTAGCTCCAGCCTTGCCTGCACCTCCAGCCGTCCCCGCGGCTCCTGCCATACCCCGCGTTGCCATCCCTCTATAGGTCGTTGGTACAAGGATATGACACAATGATAGAGTGATCTAGCATCTACACGGAACTGTTTTCAAGAATCTTGGTTCAGAAGGCGCATTTACAGTTCTGTCCCGGAAGTTACAGGGGTTTCGGTTATTACTTGCATACTTATGGTTTTTTGACTTGGTGTCAACAGGGAAAATTGAATTATTTCAAATGGACTTCAATTACATGTGAAGTGCGTGATTGTATACTTGGAGTGACAGCGATGATGGTTGAAATACAGCAGTATATGGCGAAGTCCATACAATATGTGGTAGATTTCCTGCCTTTAGCAGAGAATATGGAACCGGCACGCCAGTTCTCCTTCAGGTGCTGTCTGCAGCTCATCAACACTGCAAGTGGAACGAAATGCATCAAATTAATCGAAGATGATTGATTCATACAATTGATGCCCTTTGATGTCACCATTCGAGCAAGCTCTCTATTTATTATCTCCATTTCCGATTTCTGGCTGTCTCCATTCTTAGTCACGCTTTATTTTGAACCGAAATCGTGCATTTCCCTTTGCTCTTCACAAATGCTAACATTTCGGCTACTATAGTTATAGATAGGGAAGGCAGACTGGATGGCTAACCTTCCGAGAAGGTATATGTTCAGCCGATCTGGTTTGATTGTGACTGCCAAACGCTCCTCGTGTAGTCTAATACGATGCGGTATTAAGCATAAAGAAATGCCATCAACAAACCAATTAGGCAGTCGGACGTCAAGGAAGGACCTCACCGGCGAGCGAGGTCTCGAAAAGCCACCTCCCATGCATTGCACACACTGATTATGTCGTCCGACGTGTTCAAGACAGAGTATGGACTACACCGCGGTCCTAAAAGCGATACGGTAGGCTACGATTCCACTCGGACTTCTCACGAAGCCACTTGACACCAATGTCGCTTACCCAAGAGACACCATAACGGGCAGTTTCTTTTCGTTCAGAACAAACATCCATAAGATTCGTCACCCATTGCCACGGCCTGGTGTCACCGTAGCCGAGTATCTAACACCTTGACAAACTCTCAAAAGCAAGTAAGTAGTGATATGTTAGGGCAAAAGAAGAGGCTTTCAATTGTTATACCTCTCTAGTGTCTGAGTAAGGGGGGAAGATCTATACACTGACGATTGATATAATACAACCCATTCTTTGATGGTCGACAACAAGTTGCACGAGTTTGTATGTACCTTTACGTTACGTCAGATGAATTATCCAATCACGAGAGGTGTTCCAGCAGTGCAAAGGTCTCAAGTACACGACTATAAAGTATATGTATAATGACAAAAGCATTCATCTCGCTCTCTGGTGGAATCAAAAGTCAAACCCCGTCAACAAGACAAAGTACATATCTAAAATCTTGAATATAATAGCATCTCTTTATGCTAGCCAATACAAAATAGGCAGTACGTATTCCAGTCGTTACACAACCGATCTCTGGTCCCACCGTTTAGGCGACGTGCCGAACCGTACCTACCTTCGTCGACCGACATATATGGTCGAATAGAATGACTTTCATTGCACGCATGAGTGTACATGCAATGTATACGCTTCCTTTCATCATCTCTATTGCAATCCACATACAAGTCACAAGCGTTCCGGTACATCTACCAAGGCTTATGATGTTATACGAGCTTCTTCCAAGGAGAAACAACAAGAAAAACCCGGACACCAGGTCCACAAGTAGTCAAAGGACTAATCTCGAAATTGCCCTCTTTCGCGAACGTGCAGAAGCAAAGTTTGTATTCTCCTTTCTGGATGCCGCGGAATAGGGAATACCGATTTCGTGCGAGGAATGTAGGAACCTTGCTGCTCAATTGCGAGATGCTTTGAATGGGTCGACCGCATGATCGATTTGTCAAGCGATTGCTGTACGAGATCGAACTTGGGTATTTGTGCTGTAGCCAAAGTATGTTAGTCCATACTAGCATGTACAGTCGAGCGTGCCACGCTTTTGACGACGGCGCCGACTGGTGATTCACAGGTACCTATCAAGTCCTTGGGATCGGATTACGGCCGTGTTGATCGAAGAGAAGACATCTACAACAGCCTGGCTCCCCGATGAAATGGCAAAGCTCAATCCATGCTACAGGACATCCCCAAGTACTCCGAACCCAGTTCATCCAGATTCTTACAAATCAGACGTCCAATGTCCCTGAATCCATCTCTCGCACTTCGTGGCCGCATACAGGTGTCGCCATTGGAGCCTGATCGTTCGCTTTTTACTCTGAAATTACGCCATTCAAAGTATCCTACAGGATTAGCCATGCATTCCGCTCCTATAAACTCTAGACCCGAGCTTTGATTGAAAGAATGCGGGGAATTGATCCGCCCCATCTCCTTGCGGTGAGTACACAGCAAGGGGTCCTACAGAATTCCAATACTGATGTTACCTTGGTACGAAGTACAATATTCTTTTCGCGCATTTCATTCCATCTTGTGAGGAGGTTTGAATGGAGTCAGATCATGATGCCTTTGGTAGATAAAAGTATCTCAGTCTGCGCTTTCATTTCCAGTGTCTGTTCAGTGTCCTTCCGGATTATCTGCCTTCGACGACTTATTGAACTTTACTTTGTCTCGACGACTTGACGAGGTGAAAAGCCTAGTCAATACTTTCCTTAATATTTCCGTACGAGACTCACGCTCATTCTAATTTCGATACCATGGCCCCGGTTAACTTTGGATATGTTCTCCTTTGGAGTGTCTCTCTTTCATCCGTAGTGGCCCGTCCAAACGGCAACAGCAACCAGGCAAAGCGACAGCTTTTGGGCTCTGCTGTACCTTCAGGTGTGCCTTCACCCTCCCCATTACCATCCATCTCTATCTCGGCATCTATCCCAGCTAGCGCCGCGATTCCATCCGCTTCTGGTGAGCTTGATCCTACTCCTTGTGTGGATTGTTCGCTGATCCGTGTCTAGCTGCCGCCGGAGGCCTTCTTGGAGGCCTTCCACTCCTAGGTGGCGTCACTGGCTCTCTTCCTGTTGTTGGGAGTGCGATTGGAGGCTCTTCTAGTCCTCTCGGCGCTGTAACTGGCGCCACAGGAAGTCTTCCCGTCGTCGGAGGTGTTCTTGGAGGCGCTTCCAATCCCCTCGGTGCTGTAACTGGCGTCACAAACAGTCTGCCTATCGTCGGCGCTGGGTCCAGCCCGCTCGGTGCCGTTACTGGTGCCACGAGCAGTCTTCCCGTCGTTGGAGGTGTACTTGGAGGAGTCTCCAACCCTCTCGGTGCAGTGACTGGCGTTGCAGGTAGTCTCCCCGTCGTTGGAGGCGTAGTCGGAGGGGCCTCCAACCCTCTCGGCGCAGTGACTGGCGTTACAGGTAGTCTTCCCGTCGTTGGAGGTGTGCTCGGGGGCGCCACCAGCGGAAACCCGTTGGGAGCCGTCACCGGCGCAGCATCTGGCGTCGTCAACACGGCAACGGGGGCGCTCGGCTCCGTTCCTGTTGTCGGTGGTGTTGCCAACACTGCTTTGAACACCGTCACTGGTGCAACTGGCAGCTTGCCCGTAGTTGGAGGCATCCTAGGTGGTGCTGCCCCTGCTGCTCCTGCTGTTGCTGCTCCCTCAGCTGTGCCCAACCTCAGCCCTGCTCCTCTCACCGGTGTTAGTATCCTGATCAACATGATGAATCGATGCTGATGTGTTTAGATCCCCGGAACCGACCCCGTCGGAGCTTTCTCTATCAGCGTGATCGCTACCTTGCTTTCCTTGTTGAAGAAGGACCCCCTTTCTCTCTTTGCTCCTGCTCGTCCTATCCCTGCTCTCGTCAGGCGTGATGCTCCCGAGCTTGCAGAGCGTGACATGGAGGACCGTATGCTTGCTAAGCGTCAGCTTCCCGGTCTTTCTCTTCCCGGCCTTCCCTCTCTCTCCAGCGGTCTTCCAGGCGTCGGCGTTGGTGGACTTCCTTCTAGCGGCATCCCAGGTACGTGCTCTGATGATTGATGACTAGACACGATGACTGACCATTCTGAAGGAGTCAGCCCTGATCTGGCCTACCTTGTTGGCTCCATCGCCAAGAACATTGCCATCCCAGGAGGCAACGGTCTCGGTAGCGTCACCGGCTCCATCCTCTCCGTCCTCAACGGCATTGTCCCCAACTTCCTCTTCCAGCTCCCCGTTGTCCAAGACTCCGTCGCTACCTTCGGTGTTCTCCAGCTTCTTTCTTCTATCAACCCGGCCAAATTCTCTACATTGGTCGGCCTAAACAGCCTCACTGCTCTCAGCCAGGCTGCTAGCACCATCCCCGCTGGTGACCTTGCCTTCATTAAGGGCCTCCCCGTCGTCAACGACCCGAGCAACCTCATCAGCACCATCACGGGTTTCACCGACAACATCTTGAGCCTTCCCGGTAACGTCGCCAACTTGAAGGCCAGTGTTGCCGTCCTCTCCCTCAAGCACTTGGGATTGTCCGTCGCTGGGCTCGGCTAGATCATTGCATCAAGCAATTGACACTCATAAGACGTGAAACCCAATGACGGACCCCAGGGATTTTGCCCATGGAACTCCTCACATGTTTCATGCACCAGGTGGTGAATAGCAACAATGACGGGAGAGATTCGAATTTTCGTGCTTCTTAGCTTGTGCTTCTAGTAACTGTGTTGATGTAGTCACAGGCACAAAGCAATATGTTCCGTAGTTGAGTTAGTTTCATTCGGCTTTTCGAAGATGTAAACAAATGAAAATATGTGTGCATTGGTGGAATACCTAATCCCGTTCTTTCAGGAAAACCATGTGATACCGTGACCTCTGTCCGCTGGTGTAGTTGGAGTGGATCCTATGATGGCTGGAAATGTTACGATTAGCATTTCAAAACAGTCATCACCTGCTGTATTCTGACTGATGTATCACAGCCACTGCAAATAGTCAGGGATTAGCTCAGCATATATCGTTCCCAGACGCAGTTCCGAGAAAAATGTGGTTATTCAGACTGGAAAAAAATGTAGCGCCCTACCATGGGCAAATTAGACGCCTTTAAAATTTCCCAAAAACACGACCCGTAACTTATGAAGCACTATCTCCAAAGGTAGTGGCAAATTGGGAAACAACTATGTACAAAGCAGTTTTTTTTAATGGACCGACCAAAAAGGCCACGGGATCTCAATGATCCGGTGCAGCATAAATGTCGATCCGCAGACTCAACGAGAGGAAATCTAGCACTTGAGGGCGAACTTGGGCTTGCGGTCGGCGGTCATGGCGCCCCAGGTGGTCTCGTCGGCGACCTTTCCGTTGTCGCCGATGGAGGAGGGCTTCCAGGGCTCGTCGAAGGCCTCGAAGTAGAAGGCGTTGAAGCCCCAGTCGAGGAGGGAGCAGAAGCCGTTCTTCCAGAACTGCTCGGCGTTCTTGGTTCCGCCCTTGGCGTCGTCGTAGTCGGTGCCAACTAGGATGAAGTTAGTGATTTGGTGGTTCGTGTAGCATTTAGGATAGTGAGGTGAGATACGTACCAGCAGTGGGCCATCCGGTCTCGCCGTTCCAGATCTCGGGGGCCTTGTCGTGGCCGCCGGCAATCTTCTCAATGTGGGTGACGGCCTGGAACATGTCGTCGAGGTAGACGTGAGTGGCATTGCTGATGTCGTCACCCTGCCAGAAAGCGAAAGCGTTGATGAGGATGATGTCGGCGGTGCCGATGATGGGGTCGGCGGTTCCGTCGGCGTACTTGTTCCAGCTGTCGGCGGTGCCGACCTTGATGTTGCCGCCCAACTCCTTCTTGACCTGCGAGATCTTGTCCTTGAGCTCGCTGCCGGTGAAGTTGCCTCGGTAGAGGGTCTCGGAGCCGACGGTGACGGCGTAGATGGAGTCGGAGTAGGACTTGACTACGCCCTTGATGGCATTGAGGTCGTTGTTGAAGGATTCTTCGACATCGGGCCTGTTAATTGAGATCGAATTAGTCTATGCAATACAAATGCGTCATTTGTTCGGGTTTTGCCCTGACGTACCAGATTCCGAGCATGACCTTGAAACCCTTCTTCTTTGCAGCAGGAAGAACAGTCTTAGCGAAGTCGCAGTCGTTGGCGGCATATCCTCGAACGATCTTAGCAACGGAGGCCTGGGAGATGGCATCGAAATCGGCCTCGTAATCGGACTGCTTCTTGCAGTCATCGTTGGGCATTTTCGTGCCCAGGGCGAAGCCCATGGTACCGGCGGCAGATACGATGGCGGGTGCAGCAGCGAGTGCCGTCGCGGCAATAGTCGAGAAACGCATGTTGAGTTGTTGAATGTGATTTATACGGAAAGTTGGATTAAGGAGTATGGCCTATGGTGGCTGTCGGTGTTTGCGGTAGGACGCGTGAAGTTGGGTGTTCTTATAAGAACAAATGAGTGACTGGTAGAAGAAACCAATGGATAGAGAATGACACAGCGAAGGAATGACTGTACACACAGAAGTGCAATGAAGAGGGAGAGTGTGGAGTGAGGTTCAACTACTTTGACGACTGATGTTCGAAGGAGAACGACAAGGGTTCTCCATCCACTAAACCGGTTGTGGTATGTTTGACCCGGCCAAGCGGACAAGCCAATCAACGGCCGCTTGTGCCTGGTCCAGTCCGCGGGAAAGGGGCACGATGTTTGGAACCAAGCTCCTCAAGGAGGTTTGGTAAATGCTTATTATCGATGTCGCTTTCCAGCACGTGGAAGCCACAAAATGCTTTTACGTCGACATGGTACCAACTACCAAGTATCAATCAGAAGCTGAATTGCACACATTTAGCGCAGCGTGTTTCCATGCCGGATACCTTGGATGAAGGTATCGATCACTATGTAGGACAATGTGTGATATCAAGCGTTAGAAATATCAGTTACTTTTTATTTCTAGTAATGTCTTGAGGAAACAGACGCTCTAATTCCTGGATCATCTCGAATGCACAGAAGGTGGTCCATTCGCACTCAGCCTCAGCGGGTGCGCCTCAGTATTCAGCACAAACTCATCCAAGCTAATCAAATCCGGATCCGCAAAGCACAAATAAAAATACTTCAACGTCTCCGCCATCCAAAAGCTCTCCATATAATCCGTCTTCTTGCTATTCAAAACCGTAACATCATCGATCGCCGCATTCGCAAGCGGCGTATCCGTCGCCTTAGCCACCGCCTCAAACATCTCCCACGCTATCTCGCGGAATGCCTCATCGCCCGTGATGCGCCACAGCACGAAGATGGACTCGATGGCTTCGGGGCGGAGGATGTAGCGCGGGTCTTTAGCTGTCGTGAAGCCCTTCGGGAGGTGCGGTTTATTTTCGGGGCGCTTCTTGCGTCCAGCTTCCCAGACCTCTTCGTCCCAGGTGCAAGCGGACTGGTCGGGGCAGATGATCATGTTGTAGCGCTCCGGCATGATGCCCGTGGGCATCGACTTGTATGCGTATGCACAGCCGCGGGCTAACTTTGCGCCCGTCTCGACGTACGATTCGTTTTGGAAAAGGCGGCCGCCGAGAGCGAAGAGTCCGCCGATGAAACAGGACAGGTGCTCGCTCTCTGGATCGAGACGAGGACCGCTGTCCAGGACGTCGCAGTTTCCTGATATAAGGATGTCTTCGTTGTTCGGGACCATGGGTCGGAAGAATAGATGCTTTGAGGCAGTGTCCATGAACGTTTTCGACATCGTCTCGTATTTCGCAGATGAGGGATCCTCTGATCCCAGCAGTGCGTGCGCTTTAGGTAGATATTCGTACAAAGAATCTGCGTTGCCGGCGATGGTGAATTGATAGCCAGACACGACATTTTTGTCTCGCATTGACACCATCATTGGCCACATTCCCGGCAGCAAAGTCTCGTTCTGGTGTTTATGGAAGACATCCATGACTTGTGATACTGCAGCATAGTACTTCGAATCACCGGTGATCTGGCTCAGCCTGCTGAACTCAAGGGTGATGGTACCAGGACTTGCGGAGACGACTGACGATTCGACTTGAAGTCCACCACCCAGCTTCGCTTCTTCGAAAGAAATGAAGTCCACCGGCATGCCATTCGGCGTATTAAACCCAGCATAAAGCAAATCTCCAACCTCAATTGCCTTCCTCTTCAAAACCTCGCTCCCACTCAAATCATACGCCGCAAGCAGCCCTCCAAGGTACCGAATACAAGTCTCGAACGTATTCACCCGTGCGGACGTACTCTCCCCGAAATCAATCGTCGCCACCGCAGCCACCGCCTTATGAAACTCCTCCCTCATCCCCATCATCCACAGCGTATCCAAACTATCCACGAGCGTCGCCGCCCAGCCCGAGAACTGATCCACATACTCCCCGGAGATAGGCTTCAACGCATCCTTCATCCACGCATGCTTCTTATAGCTCCCCCAGCTCTTCTCAAACACCTTCTTCACCGCTAACCGCCTCTGCTCCTGCACCGCCGCCTTCGCCTTCGAGTCCTTCCAGAACCGGTGCTGGATGCGTGGCCGCTTCGCGACGGGCGGGGGGATCTTCGGCGTGAGAGGCGGAGGGTACGTGAACTCGACTGTGTTCCATGCGAATGAGCTTTTCGTGGCGGTTATGGGCGCCCCCGGAGCGTTCATGTATCGCGCCAGTGCCGCGGTGTTCTGCTCGCCGTCGCGCGGCTCATGGTGGATGTATGTCGTCGGCTCGTCGGGGAGGACGTAGTAGAGGAATACGATTAGGACGGCGCATACGGCGACGTGGCGGACGCGGAGCCGAGGCATGAGTGCGTGCTCATTAAAGCTTGGGTTTTATGAGGTGGACATGTGGTTATCGCGGGGACGAGGGAAGAGGGACTGGTGATATGCGCTCGTGAATGAGCTCGGTTCTGTGGCCTGAGGAATGGGGTGTAATGTCGATGTTGGCGCTCGGGCTCGTTTGTCTGCAATTGCTCTGCGGTGCTGCGTCGGAACACGATGTGTGAATTGAAGAAGAATATCTCTTTGTGGGACTGTTAGGTGTACAATGCTAATAGAGATATATATGTCAAGGTCGAGGTACGGGGTTTGCGATAGTTAACTCCCCGCGTCGGGAACGCAGCCCTGGCAACGGCGCGTTTCATGAACGAACACGATGTGGCGATTAGTCACCGAATGATACTAGTCAGAAAATCAATTACACAGTAAGTTAGTGACTTCAGCATGTTGTGAAACATAAGAAAGTATATTCTTTACAAATATCCAGAAAACATCGCCGAAGTTGTGCAATTCAAGAGGCGCCAGGGTCATTGCCGTGAACCATGGATGCTATGCTGCTCTGCCGCCGCGGCCGCTAAAAACGCCTCCAAAGCGGCACAGGGACCCGCGATGCCGACCAGATTCGTTCGGTCTTGTACATTTTATATATCCGCAATCGGATCCTCCTTAGCAATTTTCATCACAGAAGAGAGCATTGGGAAGTGGTTATAAGTAGACATTAAGTAAATTCTTTTTGTTAGTGGGTATGCGAAACCGATGCTAAGTCTAATGCAAATATGCTTGCAGGTATCTCAAGAAAAAACCAGGAAAGTTCCCACCCTGTGGACCAGTTCAAACGCTAATACTCATATGAAAGATGTGATGCAATGTGATGATCGGCCGTTTTTGTGCGAAGGCCTAACCTTTGATGCCAGGTATTCGGAGCTGGTAATGCTCTCTTCTAATTCCTAAAGCTCTCCCTCGTGTTCACACGATCAATCGCGTAAGGGTTATCAGGGAACTCTGCGCCCCTCGCCGATCGGGATGATCTTGTTGTCCGCACACTCCTTGCACTTCGGCCGGTGCGGACTTTGGTGAGATCGTTGCTGGCTTCGTTGCCGGTCTTGATCTCCTCGAAGCGAGGTTTCTCGACCTCCTCGCCTACGCTGCTCGTGGTCTCCTCGGCATGAGCGGCCTGGTCCACGGAGGCGGTGCGGGAGCTATCCTCAGATGCTGCTGCGGCGGCGGCTTGTCGTGCGGCCATTTGTCCGCGGATACGCTCCATGAAGGCGTCGGCTTGGGCCGCGTACTTGCACTTCTGGCGGATGGCACCGCCGTACTTGTAGAAGAGGAAGGGGAAGGGTAAGCAGGCGAGGGCGAGGAAGGCGGGGATGGTGGATGCCCAGTGGATTCCAAGGTTCTGGTACATTTGGATGGTGAACAAGGGGAAAGCTGCACCGAAAAGCGAACGGATGATACCGTTAGCGGCCAAGACGGAGGCGGCGAAGATCGTGTAGGCGTCGATCAGGTAGTTCATGATACTCAAGAAGATCAAGACCATGCCGAATCCGAATGGGATGGCAGCCGCCACGCTAGCTTGCCATGGGAAATCGGGGTAGTTGGTCCAGGCGAACCAGAAGAGACCAACGGGCAGAACAATGCCTCCGAGAATGGCCTGGGGCAAGCGGTCCTCTGGAGTTGCGAATCCCCTGGGAGAGTTCTCGACGCACTTGGCGTAACGCCTGTTGTCGTAGAGAATCGTGTAGGCAAGGGCGCCAACCATTCCAATAGCAACGCCAATGAAAGGCAAGCCACCGACACCCTCGTTCCAGCCGCGACCTACACGATAGACAATGGGGAAAGCGCCGAAAAGCATGTAAAGGGTTCCGTAGATGATAGCCTAAATGATTGGTCAGTGATATTGTACGTGAGGCACTCAATTAATCCCAAACTTACCATGTAGATGCTGAGCAAGAAAACGATAGGCTCGCGGAAGAGAAGAATCCAAGGCCTCTTCAAGCCAGTGGAGAATGCCTCTCCCAAAGTGACCTTGCCCTGGTCGATATCGGTCTGCGATCGGTAGACCTTGCCGGTCAATTTGGAGAGAGCCTGTGCTCGCTTCCTGAGAAGAACGGGTGGGTAGGTCTCGGGGACCATAAGAACTGCAGCGAAGAAGACAACGCCGGAGAAGATTGCCATGAGGCCTTCAACCCATCGCCATCCCTCGGTCATGCCCAAGAAACCACCAACGATTGGTCCGAGAACAGGACCCATGAACGGTGCAACACTGAAGAAGCTCATAGCCTTGCCACGCTCCTTTGCCGAGAAAAGATCCGCAACGACGCCACCAGCGTTGGTGAGAGGGCTTGATCCAAAGGAGCCGCCGAGGAATCGCATGATGAGGAGGGTCCAGATGTTCTGAGAGCCAGCGGCTCCAGCGTTGAATGCCATGAAAGCGCCGAATGTGCCGAAGAAGACGACCTGGCGGCCGTACAACTCACTGAATGGTGCCCACAATAATGGCTGGTTCGAGTCAGTACAAGCGGCAAAAAACAATTTCTCTTGGGAATTGACTACTTACACCTAGAGCGAAACCGACGACGAATAGGGAAATTCCTCCAGTGCACAGCAATTGAGATGCATTGAACTCAACCATTATTTGTTGGATTCCTGGTTTTGAAGTCAGTACAGATAGCTATGTAACAGTTCTCGGCGAGTCATACCTCCAGCAAATGCAGACGAACAGAACGAAACGCAGAGAGTAGCCACGGCCATGTTAATGCACATGACCCACTTCTTCGAGCTCTTCCATGTCATGGGATTCCGGGGATCATTGTCCATCCATTCGACAACGTATGGGTCCTCATCTGTGCCAGAGCCTTGGTAATCCCAGTTCACGATCTCGTGTGTGAGAACGCCCTGGTCAGTGAGCAGAGTCCAGTATCTGATTTTGTCGTGAACCGATCCGGACTCGAGGTCCTTGATTTCTTTCTCCACCATCTTTGCGGGTTGTGGCTGTCGGCCGGGAATAACGAGAGTTGTGGCGTCCAAACGGTGATAATGCCGATCGAGTGATGTAATGATAGCGCGAACCAGATCTCAGGGAACTGACTCGGAACTTCGACCTGTGTGAAGTAGCAAGGACGCTGGGAGTGTATCTGCCCTTGGCTTTTTGGTGGAACGTAAACACAAAGATCGTCAACGGTGAAGGGGGGACGTCACATCAAATATGAGAGGGCACGCAATGACACCATCATGCTGGGTTGGCAACCGACCAATTTCTTCTCATCGAGGAGCCACAAATGTTCGGCCGAGCCTTTGGCACATATTCCACCCAAGCGCCCTATCGAAAGCAGTAAGGGATTGTGTTAGGGCCAAGAATGTCGCCCAACAGCCAATCTCCTTGCCCGCGCAAGGCATAGCACTCCCGTTAAACTGGAGCCTGACTGGGATGGCAAGGGTGGAATCGCACGAGGCGTTCCGGCGTGGCTTTCCAACTTGAAGTCTTGAAGGATCTGAGAGATATCGAAGTCTGACACCTTACCCCTTCCGGAAACTGCCTCGGTACATCTCTTACAGAAAAAATGGTTCAAAGGCGAAAGGGCGGACGGTCGGACATTTGGTAAGATGGACTTTTGCACTTTTTTCTCTTCAATTGCAGGCGAATGAAGAAAAAAGTGTTCTTCCTTTCCAAACTAATCCCCCGATGCTTATGTATCGGACTTGAATGTGCAAATCAGTCATCAACAACTAAGGAACATATACGTACCACTACGGCCTTGACGCAGACATTTCTCTCCTAGCCTTATGCTAATTCCTTTCGCTATACTTACCTCCACTGTAGAAAATCACCATACATATAGATACAATACGATATGTACCTCCATACACACGCATGATGCCCAGATGTGCATGTTTCTTTTCTTATCTTTACACGCACGACAAACGGTGCTATTAAAATAAGGGGGGCACCGAGTCGTCGGGACTCGGACGCACTTGGAAATGCTTCGCCATGGGCCAAAGACCCGTTGCAGCATAGGAGCTGATCACCCGATATCGCGGGTCTACCCATTTACAGATGTAGCGCCTCCGAACGACTAAGGCGCGTTGTGGGTCAGGGAATTTTTCTAGACGCTGCCACCGAGTCGCGACTCATGTAAGTTGCTGAGGGCAAGCTACCTTAGGTAGAGGTAACTATCCCACGAACAGTGCTTGTGGCGACGGGAGATTGGATCTGTGGCAAGGGTGCGGTTGCTCGTTCGACTGTTTGGCTAGATGCTTGATGGCCTTCGTCGGTGCTCATTTGACTCCGTTCTACCGTGTGGAATGACTGCAACGGTGGATCGGAGCCTCCGAACTGGTTGTTAATGTTACGTCTTCGTCAGTCGACTGACTAGTTGACGTGGACGGTGGTACCATTTGCACATGCAAATGTTATCTGATCTGAAGCACCTTGCTGGATATCCATCTCCTCTTGAATAAGAGACGATTCAGCGCCAGCAATTACTATACATGCCGTGGTCATTTTCTATATTCTCGGTCAACTTCATCTCTGGCTAATTGATATCATTGACGATGTATAACGATAGTGCAAACCTAGTGTCCTACGGTCAACATTTAATCTCCCATGCCCCCACATCTATATTAACAACAACATGCCAACTTAAGTCCAACCTACACTCTAGCCCCCTTCCCCCTCTTCTCCAGATATACAACAACCCAATCGTCTATCCACCGAATAACATACCTATAATGCCAGTATCCGTGGTAGGGGTAGTAGACAATCATCGATAGCTCACATCAGGGGTTTTGTGATGGGTGTGAATCATTTCGAATACATTTTCACAAATTTGATCTGATAATTTTCAACTTTATTTTGGTTTGTTTATCTCTTTACTTATTTCTTCCCATTCTGGGTATATGTCATGTTGTAGCAAACATGACGGGTTCTCTGACTTGATATGCATCCTAATATCGAGAGCTTTTTCTCCTCCTTAAAATCTATCCAAAACATCATCATCGTTAAGATCGTGAGATTAATTCAATTTCAACTTTTCCTTCTCTCCACTTCGTTTTCTGCTTTACTCGTTGCTGGGGTAGATGACCTTCTCAGTAGGCAAGTACTCCTCCTTGATAGACCTCAAGTTGACGAATCGGGAGAGCAAGTTCGCGCTGCCAGCCTTGTCGTTGGTTCCGCTAGCACGCGATCCGCCGAAGGGCTGCTGTCCGACGACGGCGCCAGTGCACTTGCAGTTGATGTAGAAGTTGCCAGCCGCATCCCTGAGCTTGTCCTCCGCGAAGCGGATGGTCTCGCGGTCGAGCGCGAAGACGGCACCGGTGAGCGCGTACTCAGAAGTGGAGTCGATCTGCTCGCACATCTTCTCGAAGGCGTCAGCGGGGGCGTCGTCGTAGACATAGGTGACGAGGATGGGGCCGAAGAGCTCGCGGGAGAGGAGCGGGTGGTTGGGGTTGGTGGTCTGGTAGATGGTGGGGTGGATGTAGTAGCCCTTGCTGCTGTCGTAGGTTCCGCCGACGAGCAGCTTGAGTTCGCTGTCGTTCTTGGCCTCGTCGATGACGCCGGAGAGCTTCTTGAAGCTGGCCTCGTGGATTACGGGGCCGATGAAGTTGGTGAAGTCGGAGGGGTCGCCAATCTTGAGGGCCTGCGTCTCCGACACGATCTTCTCCTTGAACTCGGGCCAGATGGACTTGGGCACGTAGAGGCGCGAGCAGGCGCTGCACTTCTGGCCTTGGAACTCGAAGGCTCCGCGGACGGTCTGGATGGCGGCGTTGTTGACGTCGGCGCTCTTGTGGATGAGATGGAAATTCTTGCCACCGGTCTCTCCCACGATGCGTGGGTAGCTCTGGTAGGTTCCCTCGGTGATGCCATTGGCGATTTGGCCGTAGAGCGATCGGAAAACTGCGGTGCTGCCGGTGTAGTGCAGGGCAGCGAATTGACGGTGAGACAGAACCTCCCGTGTGACCTCGACTGCGTCACCCGGAGTGAACTGTATCACGTTGGGGGGAAGACCAGTCTCGACGAGGATCTTGTAGATCAGCCAGTTCGAGGCGATGGCGGCAGGCGATGGCTTCCACACTACAACGTTACCCATCAGGGCTGGTGCCACGGGCAGGTTTCCGCCGATAGCTGTGAAGTTGAAAGGGCTGATAGCGTACACGAAACCTTCTAGAGGCCTATACTCAACGCGGCTATTGATAGTCAGTACTCTTGATCCTTCAACTCTCGGAGAACTCCAATGCTTACTTCCAGACGCCAGGCGAATTGTGAACTGGCTGGTGACCATAAGTCTCCTCGGCGTACTTGACGTTGAATCTCAAGAAATCACACAGCTCAGCCGCGGCGTCGATCTCTGCCTGCCAGGCGTTCTTTCCTTGTCCCACCATGGTCGTAGCCATGATCTCGTAGCGGTACTTTGTGGAAATGAGGTCGGCGGCCTTCAAGAAGACGGCTGCGCGGTCGGCGAATGGAAGCTTCTCCCATGATTTCTTAGCTTCGAGAGCAGAGGCGATGGCGTCCTTGACATCTTTGGCATTGGCGTTGGAGTACTTTGCGACTACGTCTGCGTGTGATGAGGGGTCGTGCTGGGTGAGGATGGAGCTGTTTGTGACCTGTACAGATTAGAACGAGATTCTAACGATGTTGAATGTGGATGTCGTACGTGTTGACCTCCGATTGCCAGAGGCACTTCGACGGGGATTTGCTTCTTCAAGGTGGCGATGGCGCTCTGGAGTTTCTGGCGATCGACTGATCCCTTTGTGTAGTGTTGCTATTCAAGTCAGTTGAAGGCCTCCAGACATCATCATAAGGATTGTACACACGTTAGGCTCATTGTTGATTGTGGGAACCTTGAAGTTCGCAATCGTTGCTGCATTCCTCTTGCAGGTAGCTCGAGAGCGAGGAACAGCGGAAGAGAGGGAGCTCAAAGGCCTGGAGGATCGGGACAACGGTGTGAGAGTCTTTGAGGACGCCATTGTGACTATGTGACACTCTGTGGAATGGAATTTCTAGAGATATCTGGACGATTTATCTGCCTGTGTACGCTGCAGTTATGTAGTCGTGTAGCATGATGATGAAATAACGAAGCTGTGGTTCAAAGCCGACGCAAGCCGCAGGTCTGGCTCGTACAAGTGCGTCTCGAAAGCGGGGTGACCGCTATCGGACATGGCCATACGATGCCATCAGCGTCTAAATGGACCTGGGGAACTTTTCTTTTTTCCAATCCACTTCGATGCCAGAGCATTTCGGGCTAGAGGTTTGCCTGGAATAGAAAGGCTTCGTATTTGGTTCTATGCTGGAGCTCCTCTCTCATCCGCGACAATGCGAAATCACAAGATTTGGCGACACACTTGCACAAAAAAATCATGCGGCTCTTACTCTCTAACCATTCTTTGGCTGCGAGAGTACTCCGTAGTATGGTGCACGTATTCCAAAATTTCAAATTCATTTCCAATGAGTGGTATTGGGGATCTTAGCCCACTGTATCAACTATCAAATTCTCCATAAACACCTAAACCATGCAGTTTTGAAGGGTACTCATAGCGACTTGTCATGTGTTCGTCCTCACGTCTCCATAGCGTCTACAGCACCGGCATCGTCGTCTCCCCAGAGACCGTCCAGCTTGAACTCAGCAGCCCATTCCCGGACAATCTCCTTCTGGTCACCTACGAGGCCACTGGATGTCGTGGAGCTACGTGGAGCAGGTTGGGCAGGTTGGGCAACATGCTTTGGTGGATCGGTCCATCCCTGTATCCTGCCGTCTCGCCAATCGGTAATGACAGTCTGTGCCGCACTGTGGATGTTGGGGACGCCACCCTTCCCCAGACGGCCTCGCTTCCTTGCAACCTGAACCAAAAAGTCGGTAGTAGTGTCTCCTTGAATGGTATGTAGAGGGGGAAGGTCGTAGACAGTGACGAGCTTGGCGAATAGCTCGGGAGAGGTTGATAGCCTCTTGATCAGCAGAGTGACGGCTGGGACAGGGTCGTCAATCTCCTTGGGTGGGATGGCATTGAGGAGAATCAGCCTGGCCTTCTCTTCGATCTTGGAAGCCTTTGTGTCCTCTGCCGAGCTGGGGAAGACGATACCGGGGGAATCGAGGAGCTTGAGCTTGTTGTCAAGCTTGACCTCGCGCAAGCCGGTCGTCACACCTGCCTCTGCACCCGTAGGGCATGCTGCACCTCGCCTTCCCATTCGAGAAGTAAGGGCATTGATGACAGAGGATTTACCAACATTGGGATAACCAATGATTCCGACCTTGATAGAACGCTTCAGCTGCTTTGCTTCTGCGTACGTCTTCAAGGCTTTGAAAAGCGCTTCCGAGGTTCCCTTGATAGAAAGCTCCTTGTGGTCGAAAGTCTTCGCATTCGGTGCAGGCTTGGAGGCACGGAGCGGTAATGTAGGGAACGATCGTCGCAAGTGGGTGAGCCATGCCTTCAAGACTGTAGGCGGAACAAGATCGATCTTGTTCAGGACGAAGATCATCCTCTTGTTTCCTCCATCGCTCGCCATGACCATCTGTTCAACCTCCTTGGATCTTGTGCCCTCGGGGTCGCGGGCATCCAAGACATAGAGAACAACATCCGATGCATCGACAACCTCCTTGTAAACCTTATCGAAGGCCCGTCTTGACGAGTCCTTGCGGACCGCGGCAGCAGTTGTGTAGTCGTCCTCCTCGTCAAACACCTCGAAATCGTCCTCCTCTTCATCGTCGTCATCCATACCATGATCCTTCTTCTCGTACTCCGCCGCGCGCGCCTGGGCCGAAGCAACAAGCGCAGCCATCGGATTCGAGTCGTCCTACACCGCATCAATTAGCCCACAAACCCCACCCAGTCGGCTCTCAAGAAAACTAACCACCTGCATATCATCATCCTCATCCCCATCCATATCCCCCAACTCCACATCCTCATCCTCATCCAACGCACCCCCATCCTCCCTGGCCGCTAACCTCTGCGCCCTCTGCGCCTCCCGCCTCTTCGCCTGCTCCTCCTCCTTCACCCTCCGCGACTCCTCGATCTCCGCGAGAATCCTGTCCTTGTACGGGAAGAGGTTGGGGATGCCCGGGTCCTTCTTCACCTTGGACCGCCATTCCGGGTTCTTCTTCGCCTCCTTCTTCGCCTTGCGCTGCTTCGCGGCGGAGGCCTTTTCGATCTTGTGGCGTAGGCGCACGGGTACGCGCTTGGATTTGGGCTCTGTTGCGAGGTGTGTTGGTCAGTTTTCTGGATATCTTCCTGTATACAAAAAAAACCAAATCCCACAGGCACGCAGGAGGAACTGTGGGGAGAAATTCGAATTAGTGACTTACTTCCGATCTTCATAGCGACGACAACTCAATTACTCTTTCGTCGCAAAAAGAAAACAAAGAAATTCCCTACGAAATGTATCGTTGGGTTGTTGATACTTTCCGCAACGGCTCGCATAACACTAAGGAAAAAAATTCCCCCAAAACCCTCTGCGCCAAGATTTCGAGAAAAGGCGGCAGGGGCACAGGGCGGTGGGAGGCGGCAGAACGTTCACCATCTCATCTCACCGCCGTCTGGTCCGATTATGCTTGTCCACGTGTTTTAGCTTGCTTTGCTTGCTTTGGTGAGGTGAGGTGAGCGTAACTACCTCGGACGGTGTACTGTGTAGATAGAGAGTTGCAATATAAAATCGAACTTTTGTTACGACGTTGGTGTCACCGTGACTTCCTCCCCTCGCTATCTATAAAAAAACATCTACAAAAGCTACGATTCAAGAATAATGAAAGTAAATTCCTTACATCTTAAACCCCCCCCTTCTTCCTTGTAAAAATCAACATAAGCATATCTACCCAGTATTTTACTCTTATTCAAAGCCACCCCGCACACACAACACACATCTCACGACCCGTTTTCCATATCGGGTAACTCCGCCAACAACGCAGAGCGGATATGCCCATTTAGGAAATACGCCTCGGGTCAAACTTAACTTCAACGTTTTTCCTTTCGCGTTTCGTGAATCTTTTGCTTTCTCTCCTGTAAATCACCGGGCCTTTCGACATCGGAATTTTGAGAAGATAAGAGAAAAGTAAGGAAGAGAAAGAGAAGGAAAGGTTCTAACGACGCATCTATCGATATCCACGGCATCAAACGACGAACAATTGACGACACCAAACGAACGACGACAACCCCTCCAAACCAGGAATCCAGAACCGGGAACCAGAACCAGGAACCAGAACCACAACCGATACCAGGAACCACCAACAAAACCACCAAGGATTTTATCACCAAGATTTAAAGCCCAAACAGCAAAGCAGAACGCAAAATGACAGTCCCAGAGCACAGCTTCGCCGCGCCCGCGCAGACGGTGACTTGCAATGGCTTGGTGAGTTTCTCCCGGCGTCACTACCACTGTGCGCTACGACTACATCATCTTGGGGGCCTTACGACTTTCCTGTCTGATCTTCCTTGTGAGGTGTGAAGGGGAGCAAGAGAAATTTTGAGGGGTATCAGGGTATGCAGATGTGCTAACGCAGTGGGCTATGCGTAGCTTTTCGACATGGACGGAACGATTATCGATTCCACCGAGGCGGTGGTTAAGAATTGGCAGAAGTGAGTTTTCTGTTTCTTTATTTTTGGGTTTTGAATTTTGTGTTTTGAGAGGGGAGGTCGATACTTTTGGATTTGGAGAGGATGGGAAATATGGCTTTTCTTGCGGGGTCTTTGTTGTGGGGGAGAAGAAGATGTATGAATGATTCTATGAGGAGAGAAGAGGGGCGTTGGAGGGGATGTTATTTCATGTCACCGATTTTGATATCTCGCTTTTTCTTTGTTACCTTGGACAAATCTTCACGATGCCCACAGCAAAACTCGACCACAAACTAACATCATTCACCCGAGCACAGGATAGGCCGAGAAATCGGCGTCGACGCAGACGTGATCCTCGCAACCTCCCACGGCCGCCGCTCCATCGACGTGCTCGCCATGTACGAGCCGAAGCTGGCCAACTGGGACTACATCAGCCGGGTGGAAGCCCTCATCCCGACCGAATACGGGGCCGACGCCGTCGAGATCCCCGGGTCGCGCGCCTTCCTGGACGACATCGATCGGAGGTCGTTGCCATGGTGCATCGTGACGTCCGGGACGAGGCCTTTGGTTAGCGGATGGTGAGTTTGGACTTGTATTGTTTTTGTTTCACGATGTCCCCCTTCCCCCCCGTCGTTTGTTTTAAAGCCGGTTAGGCGAAGTGCTCTTTATTGACGGAGGCGGGGACGCGAACTAGGCTGGATGTTTTGAAACTCGCACATCCTAAAAATCTTGTGACGGCCGAGGAGTAAGTGATATCGCCCCATCCCATTCCCATCCCATCCCGATTCGATCCCCATGCGCATGGCCATCGACCACCCGCGAGATGCACCAAACGTCTCAAACCACCTCCGTTTCGAAGCTAACGCAGCCAACCCAAGCGTCGAACACGGCAAGCCAGATCCGGCATGCTACCTCCTAGGGCGAACCAAGCTCGAGCTGGCGCAGGAGAACCCCTCGGTCGTCGTCTTTGAGGATGCTCCCGCGGGCGTGCGCTCTGGCAAGGCCGCTGGGTTCAGAGTCGTAGCGCTGGCGACGACGCACAAGATCGAGCAGTTGGTCGACGCCGGCGCAGACTGGATCGTCCGCGACATGAGGAGCGTGAGGCTGAAGTCTTGGAACAAAGGGACCGGAGAAGCTGAGTTGGAAATCGTGGACGCTTTGCTATTATGTGATACGACTTGATTCAGATTTGTGATTTGATCTGCATTGGTTTTTTGCGTTTGTATTCCCCCATTCAAGTAGCATGATTAGAGAGGTAGATGATCAGGTCATTTTCGAGCTAGATGAATCGGAATACGCATTGTCGTGATAGAGTGCTCTGTGAAACTCGGCTGCATCTGCGACTCAAAGCGTGGTGACAACTGCGTGTATGCAAGACGCCGTGCATGCGAAGTGCCCAGGCACGAACCGAACCGGAAACTCGCCCTTTTTTCTCTCTGGAGGCGGTTTATTCTGAGATTGGTCCATCGACATGTCGTCATACAAATCAATCTTAGCTTGCAGATGGGCGCATGTCGATTCAATGTCAACATGCTGTTAAACAAAGACAACCGGCGGCCGCTTGACAATCATTGGCAGGTTCAAAGACATTTTTTCTTTTAACAGAATGGGTGCGTTGCATCGCATGAGTCCGCCCGCCTGCCTACCCCCTATGCAGACAAGGCGACACCGAGAATGATTCCATTTTCTAGAACCGTTGCACGTTGCCGCGGCGTGGACTAACGTTTTTCTTGGAATGAGGAAACAGTATGCCGGGAGGCAGGTATGAACCTCCTTACATTGCAGCGCACTCGCATCGCCTGGCTGGTGTGACAAGGCGGAACGACTCAGGTTCACTCGGGTAAGAACAGAAAACAAAAAGTAAATGCGCGCGGAGCCAGTGTCTGAAGCGATGGTTGCTTGAGGTGGTGGAGGACGCTTGTTAGTGTTGTCTGGATAGTATGTAGAAGGGGAGTGCGCATGACAAGAGGCTGTGCTCCCTTGCTGGTGCTACCAGTTCCCTTCCCACTGGGTGATTCGTGAACCACTGAATTTCTTGCCTTCGGCCAAAAAAGCTGGCGGCGCAGCCAATGGAAGGCGACGGGGGAGGGGGAAACGGTGATGTAGGCCAGAGCCAGCTAGACCCAAGGGGCCAGCGTCTCGCCCGATGTGTTCAGGTGCGAACTTTGTGGAGCCAGACCAAGACTGCTTTTGAGTTGCTCCAGTTGCACCAAAGCCGAACGGGATGGGCTGCTGCAAGGTACGGTGTTCCAATCGATAGAATACGGCCTACCCGCCTTCCGAAGAGACGAACGAGGAGCGCATCGTTCCCCTTGGCCGTGCAGTTGGATATGTGGGCGCTGTGGAGAGCATCTCCGTCACACGAAAATGCCCATCAGGTCCCAAAGAGGTCACTATGGTGCCATGAGGTTTTCGCTCCATCGGCGACCAGACGAGAGGCTATGCCAAAGGCAGTCAGCAGCAGTGCCCGTCTACGTGCATTGGCGGCAGCATATCATCAATGAGGGCGAGAGAATGGGAATGGCGGCTGGGTAGATTCGACATGGGTGAGTGAGTACAGATGGAATGTGAACAATGAGAGGGCAGGAAGCGTGTGCTGAACAGACAAGGGGGATGAGTGCTGGCGCGCGCACTCTCCACAAGATAGACTACAACGCAGACGCTGGCAGTACAATGTGTATCATAGACTCCACCTTTGGTAGTACTATGTGATGGCCCACGCTTTGTTGCAAACGCACATGCTCGCTCGCAACTGTGAGAGGTGGAATGGGGAGACATACAGCCCCGAAGGGAAAAGGAGGCCTGTACGGAGCATCTTGTGCGAGTTCAAAGCGGTCAGGTCTGCAGAGGGGCGAGAGTGATGTATGCTAGTGGGTAGGTTGGTATGTACGTACAGCACACAGGCGTACGTCGTGGGCGATTGGGTGTATATCCAGCGTGTAGTGCAGCATACATGCTCCGTACAGCAACGAGAGCTATGCGGAGCATTTGCTGTAGTCTGCAGATACGTAACTGTACAGCCAGCGTACAGTGGACGTCTTCCATGCGCGCATCTCCCGGCAAGTCATGACGAATAGGCATGACGGATGAACCTGCAAAAGGTCCGCGCATTTGTTCTGCATTGCAGGTGCACAGTGCAGCGGCAGCAAGACAGTATGGCGTTAGGCGGCGAGGAATACTTGTAGAAAGGGACAGTGCTGGGGAGAGTGCCGCTCAAAGATGCTTTCTCCTCCTCCACAGTAGTGGAGTCGATCAGCCGCGACGTCCGAAGGTGAGCCAATTGGAGGACGATATGAGAGACCGGAGGGCCTCTACATGGCCGCCCACCCCCCGCCGCAGATGCCAGCCTCGGGCCCCTTCAGCAGCGGGACCGCCAGCGCCGCCCTCCCAGCGAGCGTGGCGTGACGGCGCTGCAGCCAGCTCTGTCGGGGAGAAAAAGAGAAAAAGGGAAAGGGAAGGGAAGAGCAAAGGAAAGAAAACGGAAGGGTATGGGTTTGGGATCAATCATCAGGGTATGGATCAGGGTAAGGCCCGTAAGGGTACGGGGACTAAGGATGAGTTGGGTTGGGTGACACGCTCAGGTCTGTGTGTTGCTGCATAGCCGAACGTCTTCCTTCCTTCTCGTTACAATCAGGGTTCAGGATATGAGTTTGATCCCACTTCAACCATGTCTGCGATTGTAGTCAAGCCATGTCGAGACAAACACCAGTTCCAATTCAAGTTCAATTCAAGCCTGGGGTCCGAACAACATTTTGCTGCATCGTCGGCGTAGGAGAGTGGCAGTGACGAGCATGGCCATGGTTCTGGGTCCTGGTCATAGGCATGGTACTCTGCGAATCCCCTGTATTTGATGGGGGTTATTTTGGGGAGCGGCAACTGGGATTCAGGGCCCTCTATCCCGCATAGGCCCGAGTTGATGCCGGAGTTAAGTGGATGGCGAGAGTTGTTGTAACCATGTGAGCGATGAGTGTCAGCGTGAGCAGAGGGATTCTGGTAATTAATTGGTGAGCAGGCAGTGAATGACATCGAATGTACGAAGGTACGGATGCATGTATGTGTGTAGGTGATGATTAGCAGGTGTGTGCCTGGTGTGGTTGTGTATGTATGTCTAAGAAGTGCCTAGGGGCTGTTCCTTCAGGGCGGGATCGTTAGTGAGCGGCGTACTGCCTAGGCTCCGTGGACTCCGTATGATGCTCGCCGGTCTGTTGGTGTCTGGATGTCTGGACGTCTGGATGTCGTGAGAGAGTGTGTGAGTCCGCGGGGCGCAAGTAGGTTAGGTGTAAGTGAAGGTTTAGAAAGAAAGAAAAAAAGGTGTGGGTGTTTGTGGTGAGAGTTGTGTGGGAGGTTGTAAATGGTTGTGTGTGTGAAAGTGGCTTAGAGTCTGAGATGCAGCCCAGCCGACCCACGATCCCCGTCACCTTACAGACCTTACAGCAGCATCATACGGCGTATACAGTGTCTTTTCCGCACGCACTTTAGTTACGGAGGGGAATACCCATGACTAAATGCAACTACGGATATGTACAGCTCCAACTCCAACTTCTTCAAGGGTTATTACTACGTATCTAGTAATTGTTTATACCTAGGTACTTGTTGGTATGGAGTACTCCATGTACCAATGCTAGGCAGGTACGAACCGTGTTACTTCCTATATAGGTCCGTTCAATTATAGTCGGTGCTGCAACAACAACAATCAAGTGGAGAGTTACTCCGTACGTTCCTAGGTACAGTACGTATGAATGTACACGGTATGTGTCGGAGAAAGGGGATTCTTTTCTGTTCGACCGACCTCAAAACTCAAACCTTGACGTGACCTGATCTGAATCAAATGGGTGAGAGTGCCTGGGTCCGTTCTTTGGGGATCTCTTGGGGCTCTTCAGGGTCGTCCATTCAGATGGGAGACTTTGGTAGACTTGCAGCCTTTCGGAATTGCGGACACCCAAGACAAGACAGGACAAGACAAGACAAGTCGCTCGCCGCGGGCCGTCACCCTCCTCGTCATGTCTCCCTCCACTGGGTAAGTGATGTTGTATTGTAGACTTAGTTGAGTGGTTGGTGAGTTGCAACCTCGTCCCAAGACTCTGCTAAACCTCCTGAACCAGCTGTTACTGTTACCATTACCAGGTAACTACACGGTACTGGTACTTGAGTCTTGTACATACACAGTTACAACAACTGCAGTTAGTTACAAGTAAACTGACTAACCTACACAGTGCCAGTAGAGGGACTAGACTTAAAATAGACTAAAGTACAGACTTACAGTACCCACCCTAACCCTAATCCTCCAACCATTCGCCCAATCACTCGCCCAGTCAGTCACCCACATCCACCACACCCACACCCACACACCCAATCGCTCCTTCCCCTCCCACCCACCACCCACCATCCATCACACAGTTTCCCCCGAACCCCCCTCTCGTCTCTCTCGTCTCTCTCTCTCTGTCCCAACCCGTCCTCTGCTTTTTCTTTTCTTTCTTTCCCTCTCTGCTGGGCTCTCTGGTTTTGTTATAATTCTCGTGCCTCTCTTTCGGTGTCTGACGGGTGTGATTCTGCTCTGTGCGTGAACTTAACTGTTGAGTGACTGACTGGTCTGGAGTGAGTTGCTCTACACAGTACCTTAATTATCAACATACCCTATCCATATCTATGGTTGTCGGCTATTCCATCCATCCCAACTACTCTGAGAGCCATCGATTCTGTACCCAGTACTCAGTACTTCCACTTCCCCCAAAAAGAACTCCAGATCCAGAGTCCACGATACCCCCAAATATTTTGCATATAGATCGACTCGCTCCTTCCATCCTCCTTTCTCTCCTCCTCGTACAAGACAATTCTGCCTCCGTACAGCGCCAAAAATCTCCAACTATTCCCCCACTTATCTTTCATCTTTACTCCCTCCTCTATTGAGTACTGCGTACTCCTTATTCTTCCAAGGTTCCAATCACAAAGTTCTAATCACAACCACCACCTCCTGTGGTTGTAGTGTAGTTCTAGTACGGAGTACCTACGACTACTCTGTACCAACGAGGTACGAAGAATACTAGACTACAGACTACCACCTCCCTCCCGCGCCGCCTCTCGCCTCGTCTCTCCAGTCACCAGTGGTGGCTTTGTCCGTCCGTCCCCATCCACTCCAGTTGAACCTCTTCCTTTCGTTACTGACCTACCTACGCAGGCCGCCTCTTACACAACCCTAACCCTACCCTGCCCTACCCTTCCCTACCCTTCCCTTCACTACCCTTACCCTACTTGTACCCTACCCTTCCCCTACACCCGCCTACAGAACCAGGCCCTGCAACTGCCCTACCCTGCAGTGCCTGCGCTCTTAGTCGTGCCTTCCGCTCTCTGTCTCTCTACTCCGTACCTGCCATCTAAACTACTTACTCTGGCTTATCCACCCACCCTTCCTTCCACTCCTCTCTCTCGTCTCTTCTCTCCCTCTCCATCTCAACCACCTTCTTGCTTCAACCTCCTTCCTCCGCCTCAAAAAATTACACCTCTTATCCTCCACCACACTCGCTTTTTCGTTTCGTCCTTTTCCAGTATTCTTTTCCACTCTTCGCTACCTTTTATCACTCTCGCTTCCTTATTCTCTCGCTTTTGCCATTACTACCACCACCAACACACCTTCCATCGCTTTGCACGCCCCTTGATGGGCTGACCTGTCACTCGTTAATCTCCCGCAAATCCCCCTCCGACCCATATCGCAATCTCCCAATCTCGTCACCACGACTCCGCTTCCCGCTGTCTTCGAATATTCATTTCCCCTCTATCGCCTGCCGTCCCGCTTCTTATTATTCTTCACACGGCCCTCGATTATCTGGACCCTGGTCGCGTCGTCGCTTGTCAACGTCCTTCTGTCAACCTCCCTCCAGGTTCAATCTCCCCCGTGCGCCGCCGCTCCTACCCATCATCCTCTGAATCCCAACACCGATCGACAATCTCCAGACGGATTGAGGTCAACCATTCCCCCGTCGCGCTGCCAGCTCGTGGCACGTCTATAATGGACCCTTTTGGATCGAGAAAGATGCACGTCTTCCCAAACAATGGAGATTCCCTCTCCCAACTACCTCAATCGCAGCAGACAGGCGCACCTAAACTCGGAGCTGGCGTTCCACCAAAACAACATCCCAATGGCGGAGACGTCAAGCCTCGCCTCACAAAGGAGCAGCATGATATCCTCGAAGCTCACTTCCAGCAGCAACACAAGCCTAGTACCAACACCAAAAAAGGGTTCGCCGAAACTCTGGGTGTTCCTCTAGACAAGATCAACGTAAGTATCCTATTCCCACTCCCTGACCGGGTCTGACATGTTGTGATGTGTACTCCTATATCTACATGCATACTGACTGCTGCAATAGAACTGGTTTCAGAATCGCAGAGCAAAGGTCAAACAGGATATTAAGAAACAGATGAATTCGTACAACATGACTATGGGAATTTATGGCCCACCACAGGACCTCATGGTCGGATCCCAATTCGTCTCTACTACAGATCAACAACAATCCCAGCCATCCCATCATCATTCGCAGTCCCTAAGCCAGGACTTCTTCCCCACCGTTCCCACCAATGCAGACGTCAGCCCAACATGCCACCCGGTTCAGAATACGGAAGGCCCGTCAGCCAACCTGGATCTGGGATCTCAAATGGCCTTGCACCCACCCTTCGATATGAATACCCTCCGATCCATCAACGAGGCCGGTCGAACCGAGTTTGACCCGGGAACAGTGATGCAGTCGTTCATGGCCGCGACAGCGGGTGCATCCTTCATGCAAAATCAGGCAGTTTCCCACCCACAACAGGAACCCGAATTCACCTTCGACCCAAGTAGCCTTAATTCAGGTCTTACATTTTCCACGTCAAACGGCCTCGATAATGGGGCGGCGCCAACTCAGGACTCGTTCAGTGGATTTCCCGATTTCAGTACATATCAGTTCTCGACCCTCACTGCGCCTCAGGCTTCGAATCCAATGGAGCATCAACTCAGTGCTGGTGAGGTTTCCTCGGAGCACTCTCCATTCTCCGGTTCGCAAGCCGCTCAGCCGACGAGTGAACCGATTGACTCGTCGATAAGTTCGATAGCGTCAATGTATTCTGGTTGGATAGGAGACAAGGCCTCCAAATTCTCTACCACAAATGATGATGATGACGGCTTGGATACCCCTTACAACCTACCGCAAGCGTCTGTCTCCGACCATGGGTTGAACTTCTGGGGTCATGGATTCCCGCGCACAGGCATGTATCAACATGGCAATGCTTCCGCCCAAGCCGTTCTGTCCTCTCCGCAGCAACACGACCGACAATCCAGCGCTGGTGCTGTTGACTTCGAAAACCCGTTGTTTTTCAGCGACGATGCATTCTCGAGGCGGAATTCCTCCGCATCGAACCTTGCTACTAACATCGAGGCTATCAACATCCAGAACTCCCACACTCCTGATGGCTTCAAGCACCCCAATCCACCCTCGACCATAGCCGCCCGCAGGCAGAAGCGACCAACGGCGCTGAACTCCAGCACATTGCGCAGCTCTTCCTACAGTGGCAGCATGCCATCACCCAGTGCCAACGCTGAGCATACGCTTCGCAGGATCCGATCTTCTGGCATCGGGAACGCGTCTGGTCGCGTGCAGAAGTCTACTCCCGGCTCGGCGCAGCGCTCACCCATGACTTCGACTTTTGCAGAGGCCGCCGCGTCGCCCAAGTTCGCACGTGCCTTCTCAGCGTCCAGTGCGGCCACCCAATCGCAAGGTGGAAGTCTGGCTCCTCCGACCCCTTTGACACCAAATGGGTTCCCACATTGGCAGTCGAACGCCGTGATAAGGAACTCATCTTCTGTCCCCGAGCATAGCAGCCCCGAGAGCCTCGGCGTCAATCGGTCCACAGGGCCCCTGTCAGCTGGCCTGTTTTCCAGCGGAGCTTCGCCGCCTTGCACCCCGCTGGAAGTCGGACTGGTAAACCAGGCCACCCTTGCCAGCGAAGAACTTTACCGAGATACGCCTCCGCAATCTGCACCAGCCACCCAGCAGACGTTCCAACGAAATCCATACATGTATCCGCCGCAGATGAGGAGTGGGTTCCACTCGACTACGGATCTCACCATCGCTCAGCCCAAGCCATCGCACTTCAGACGGCCATCGCTGCCGGGTGGTGGTCACCCCCAACTGGATGCGTCGCAAATGCAATATTCGATGCAGTTCAATGACATGTACGACCAGAAGTACATGGACATGTCTATGAATGGCATTCACCACAATGTTCCTTTTGCGCCCCCGGCGGTCATGCCCGAGTTTCTTGTGCATGAGTATCTCCCTCCCACGGGAATGGGCCCTGGTCAGATGATGCGACGCACGACCGAGCCCCAACCAAAAAGCTACATCTTCGCAAATCAAGGGCCTGGTGACTTCAGGTCATGATGACTGGCCGTTGGCGAGGATAGAAAAAAATGTTTGGTACCGCTGCTCCTGCTTGTCTCCTCTCTCTACGTAACGATCTATCTGGTTTTGGGTATACCCGGTCTCGTTTCCCCGAGAATTATTGTTTGGTCCCCTTTGGTTTTTCAGTCATTTTCATATCTCGACATTGCATCCACAACATTAGCACGGATTCGAGACAAAACTGAGCGATCGATCCGTCTACCTGCTTTCGGTGCCGGCGTTTTTGATAGCGATGGAGTTTTTTACTTGATTTTCACGACAAATGCGCGACGCATTTCCACCCTCTTAATTCTAATTCATCTCGCCTGTTCTTCAGGTTGAGCTCATGGCATGGGCGCGGCAAAATGTAGGAAGTCCACATGGTTTTTGTTTTTTTTTGGATGGTTCATAGGAGACGATGCTTCCTCCTATTCCCATTTCGTATCTGTCCTTTCCTTAATCCCAGCGATGCACCTGTCACGTTTGTACGTTTTCACCTGAACTGCGCCTTTTATCTGAGGTTGGCTGCGACAGGATTCCTTGTACGTTTTCGCCTGAACTGCGCCTTCCATCTGAGGTTGGCTGCGACAGGCTTCCTTGTAACGTTCTTTTATTTCCCCCCCTTCAGCGGATACATGTTGTTCAAGGCGAATAAGGAATTGCTTTCAGGTTTCTCCTATTTTTTGGAACAAGAAACCTCCTAGAGCTGTTCCCATCCGAGAACGAATGGCAATCTGGAAAGATTGTTGTATGTAGGATCAAAGAGGGAGTCGAATCAATAGGCACATGTTTGCTTAACTCTCCATCTGTCTGTCCGTCTGTCCGTCTGTCCGTCTGTCCGTCTGTCTACGTGAACCATGGCATCGATCCCACCCCCTGCATGCGTGAACAATCACACACTTAAATTGTAAAGTATAGGAATTCCTCGAGAACCCCAAAGGAAAACGTCATCTTTGAAAGCAATCCATATCACTCACACAAAAAGAAACCCACACGGCGAGAAAAGTCCACAACCCCTACGACCTGCACCTCTCCTCCACACCTCTCGAACAGCCAAACCATCACTGCACCCCAAAGCCCCCCCCCCCCCCCCCCCCCCCCCCCCCCATCCCAACAAACACATCTCACACCCAATCACCACCCCTCCGTCCGCCGTCCCGCCATCACCACATAACCATGCTCACCAACTGCAACATTTTCCATCCGCACCTCCGGTGTCTGTTTTGGTTGAGCTCGGAGGTCGGAGGTCGGAGGTGTGGTTCGTAGAACTTGGTTTTGGGAAGATGTGTCTAAGGGGGATGGGGGGGGTGTGTGAGGAGAAGGGCATCGGGGGGACGGGTTATCCGCGTGCTTGGGATGGTAATGTTGCAAAGGGTTCCATGTGTGTGGTAGTGGGCGTTGTAGAGGGAAGTGAAGACGTCACGGACACATTCACATTGGACATACTAGATACCAGTTCATTTCATTTCATTCTCATTTCATTCCAGGCGTGAAGATATGGTTCTGGAAGGTTACTCACGATCCCAGCATCTAGTACTCCAACCCCCTCCCATCCTCGCCCCCCAACCTCAACAGCCCCTTCTCCCCAAGAACCTCCGTGATCCTCCTTACTGCCTCCTCGACGCTCACCTCCGCGCTCTTGATCACGACCTCCGGGTTCTCAGGCTCCTCGTACGGCGCGCTGATGCCCGTGAACTCGGGGATCTTGCCCTCGCGCGCCTTCTTGTAGAGACCCTTCGGGTCGCGCTTCTCGGCTTCGGCGAGCGGGATGTCGACGAAGACTTCGATGAAGGGGAGGGGCTCGTCTTCGGTGGTAGAGGAGGAGGTGTGGAGGTCGCGGGCGATGGCGCGGTCCGCCCGGTAGGGGGATATGAAGGATGTTATGGCGATTGTGGAGGAGTCGGCGAAGAGCTTTGCGACCTGTTGTTGTTGTTGTTTTTGTTAGAGGTTTGTTTGATGTGCTGAGGGGTTTGGGGTGGGTGTGGGTGGTGATGTTGTTTCCAAATGACGTGCTATGGTGACAGTTGTGGGGATGGGGGTAGAGGGGGGGTGATGCCATTTGCGCGTGCATTGGGTGGATGGATGTCTGCGAGATTCCGCCGCGATTGCGTCTCATCGTAGATAGAATGGTCGAAGGAATTGTGCACTGCGAAATGCAACTCTTTCAAACCCCCCACCCCATGGAAAAAGCAATTCACCCACCAACAAGCCAAACGTGCAAAAGAAAAGAGAAAAGCAAAACCATGCAAAAAGGGGAAAAGGAATCAATCATCCGTACCTCAGCGATTCGCCTGATGTTCTCATTCCTGTCCTTCTCGGAGAACCCCAGGTCCTTGTTGAGCCCGAAGCGGACGTTGTCGCCGTCGAGGCGGTAGGCCGCGAGGCCAAGATGCAGCAGGTGCTGCTCGAGCGCCGTCGCGATGGTCGACTTGCCCGACGCGGAGAGGCCTGTGAACCAGATGGTGAAGCCCCGCTGCTTGCGCAGGGTGTTGCGCTCGCTGCGGGAGAGGGACGGGTGCCAGGTGATGTTGCTTTTTTGGGCGTTAGTATGGGATGATTATGGTGGGGAGGGGAGTCGTTGAGGGGCGTACGTTGACATTGTGTGTGGATTTGTTTGTTGGGACGTGATGAGGGAATGAATGACTTGAAGAAGTTGGAAGGTCAAATTGAGTATTCCAATTGACAGAGAATGGAAAGGTTTGTATAGTTATTTGGTACTTGGGTTTATGTAAACAGATGGGGGGATCAAGTGGTTTGTATGTGTATATGAAATTCTGTTAGCTTGAATGACGTGCTCATCTCCACTGGCTATCCTACTCTTCCTTCCGGTTCGTCTCGTCTAGTTCCCCCCCCGCTAGCAGATCCCGCATAACTTAGCTTAGGTACACTTGTACTCGTAACTGTATGGATGATCCCCCCACCACCGTATACGAGTGACATCCGCTCCTGAAGGATTAATCTTGTTCCGTCTCCGATGCCACTACAACTACTTGTGACCATCTCGTACCTGGTGCCTGAACATCGTCTTTGCAAAATGTGACCGCAGCCACGTATGATGTCGTGTATCCCGTTGAGACAGCTTCCCATAGGCCAGTGATCAATTGACCCAACGGTAGAGTGGTGCGTTGGAGCAGCCCAATGTATCATCGGGAATTAAGTCTATCGCATCGAGTTGCCTTTCTGCGTCTTCCTTTGCAACATTTCTAGTGCATAGACCAACACATTACGAGCTTTGATTTGTTCACGCTCATGTTGAGACCTACGTAACTGCAAAGGAACACGGTTAAGTCTGGTTCTTTCGACCGACAATTGTAGGAAAACCTTGGCAGAAAAGTTGACATTGGAGGTGTCTCATTCACATTTCCACTCGAGCAAGCATCGTCACTTTCAAACCCTTAGGACCAGTACCACGGAACAGAAAAAGATATGTCAAGTCCCGACGTCCACATCGTAGCACCGACAGCACCGCACAGCCATACCATCATTCTCCTCCACGGCCGCGGCAGCAACGCCCGCGAATTCGCCTCCGAGTTCTTCGAAAGCCAGGATCGTGAAGGGCGCTTTCTGACCGACATCTTCCCCAGCTTCAAATGGGTGTTCCCCTGCGCCGGGATACGGCCCGCCGCCACGGAACAGGAAGACATGCACCAGTGGTTCGACATGGCATCTGTGCGGGACCCGCACCACCGGCCTGAGATCCAGCTGCAGGGTCTGCGCGAGAGTGTGCCGTCCATCTGGGACGTTGCGAGCAAAGAGGCGGAGGAGGTCGGTGGGTACGAGAAGGTGTTTCTTGGGGGGATTAGTCAGGGCTGCGCGGTTGCTGTCGTTGCGTTGCTCGCCGAGGGGAAGCGGTTCGCCGGGTTCGTTGGCATTTCAAGCTGGCTTCCATTTCCTCGGGCCGCATCGAATGCAGACTTTGGGCGTTGGGTGCAGCAGGAGCTGTGTCTTACTTTGACGGGTGATCCTCGAGACTCCCAATTTGGGGCCGCGGTTCAAGTGCCAATGTTGCTTGAGCATGCAGAGGATGATGAGGTCGTGCCAGTGGGGAATGGGAGGGAACTCCGTGATGAACTGAGCAGGTTGGGCATCAAGGTGGAGTGGCAAGAATATGCAGACGGGGGACACTGGGTCAATGAGCCGAAGGGTATCGACGACATGGTGGGTTTCATACAGAAGCATAGCAGCTGATACGTACGTTCGATGAGTCTCGGCTACCTACCCATGGTCGGGACGATGCAGTCCACTGAATCTCCACAGCCGAACATGATCCTGACGACGTCATTTTGAAGGTTCCATAGTCTACCAACTCCATCCTGCTTGGTTGCCAGCGCACTGTCCATTCGTCTGCCGGCCAAGATTTGCCACCAAGGGTACCATTTCTTTACGACTTCGTCACTTGCCGTGTAAAATCGGGCATCCCGCAGCCTGTCTCAGATCCACTGTTCTAAGACACTCCTACAATTCATAACAGCTATACTGTCCTAAAGAAAACCGTAGCAATGAGTTAACATAGCTCTGAGTTAACATCGAGCACACCCCGCCCTTCCTACCCTTCTGCCTAACAAACCGACAATCCGTCTAAATCAACGAACCCGTCATGCTCATCATACATTACATCAACCACAATCCCCCCAGCCCAACCATACCTTTCACGAACTCCCCATCAAACCAAATCAGTCAACACTACCCGCCTCCCCAAATCCACCCACACAGAAACCCCAAGCAATCCCCCCTGCATCCTTGCTAGCCTTCCGTTCCATCCCCCAAATCCGAATCCGAACTAAACTACACCAGGCCAAAACGCCAAGGCGGATTTGCAGGCTGGTTTAAGGCTGCCCGGATAAGGTTGTGCCTCGTATTCGTTCCGTTCGCTGTGCCGTGCGTGACCCTAAAGCGCGGTTACAGCATACTTTCGCTTGGTGGAGGGATGGACGGTGGGATGGTGTGATTCTGCTTTTGGGGGATTGGGAGGAAGGGGAGTTGTGATGGGCTGGAATGCGAAGTTGAGGTTGTCAGGTTCTGTGTTGCAGTATGTGATACTGTTTTCCGCAGGTGGTTCGTGTGTGAGGTAGTTTATCGTGATGTAGTTCCTCAGGCTGCCAGCTCTCTTTGATGGACTGGTATGCCTTAGTACTGGTTGCTGTAATTTCTTGATACTTGTGTATTTACGTTACTTAGGGATGAGGGAACAGCTTTGACAGTACGAGTAGGCTATAAGCGTTCATACATAAATTTTGTTTAGGCATCTTATTCTCCTAAAGTTCGGAATGCGGAACAAGATCAATCCAACTTTCAAGCCGTTCTGATCGCCCGAAAAGCATCCAAATCCGATTGCCACATGCTTGCTTACAAGTTTCCATTCACCAGAGGACCAGCATTGGAGTCGCCTTGTTTACTGCCTGATTTCTACTGTCCAGCCCTGCTGGTTTGGATCCAAGAAGGCTTCTGTTGGGCTAATCCCTTGCTTGTTTGCATCACACCTTATACTTGAGCAATAAACCTCCCACGTTTTTTTGCCGGTGCTGTGAATTGTAGCTTCCACAAGAAGTATATCATGAAGATCGTTGGCGTCTTTCGAAACACTGAAGTGAGACAACGCGAAGTTTGTACAAGACAACCCGTAACCAAGTAGACATGCTGGTTCATATACCGTCATACTCGATAACGTCAGATGAGAGAAGAGGAACCAGCAATATTAGACTGAGGGCGCAATATATGCAGTGTGCGGTACCACCGTAAAGGATCACCAGGAAGACCTTATGTCAAACTTCTGTCAAGATTGAACAAAAAACAAGGGGTGTGTTCAAATCAGGCTTACTGCTGTAGGATCGCTCGCTCTCAAAGCGGGTGTGCTTGTTTCTTAGGTGTTTTGTTAGACAAGCTGGCCGCCATGATGGGTTGGAATAAGGACGACGTGTTGACGATCACTGATAAGAATCAATATCGGTGAGTGGAAAGAAGAGTTCCTGAGGATGAGCTTGGAAGGGGACCTTTAAGAAATGAGTTTGCTCGTAAAGGTGGTCAAGACGACCACGTGCTACCCCAGACGTACGTTGCAGACTAGTGCCCATTCCCCGGATTCTGGGGTACAGGAAGGCATTCACGTCCCACCGTTGCTAACATCAAGAGGAGAAAATAGCGAAAAGTGATGACGCCATAATCTTTGCATTTTATGGAGCCATTATTCGTGGAGATTTTCGTGGCCATCATCCTACGATGATCATGCTCTGGATTGTCGCCAGAACCGAGTCGTTACCGTAGCCGCAGCCACAGTTACAGCCGTAGCCACAATTTTAGCCGTAGCCACAGCTACAACCGCAATCATAATTGCTGATATACGATGACTCCTAGAATTATGGAAAGCCTATTATTGAGTATTGTCGTTTATAACTATCCTCGTGTTTAAATTGCATCAAACGTCCGTACTTTATATAGTTGATCAAATATTTCTATGTTTTCAAAGGAATTCACTGAACCCTATCTCCATAGCAGCTTCCTGCCCGTTAGATTCTCTTCAAACACCTTCCATTCTCGGAGCAGGTGCGATCGCATTGCAAGTACAGACTTTTGATATTGATACTATTCTCAATCTCCCGGTGTGAATACAACCAATGGACATAGTGCAGTATGCAACGTCACTGTCTCTTACGCACGTCCCGGCCTAGATGACGCCGTCAATGTGGAGACGAGCCTCATCAGTCGAAATACAAAGATTACGTGTATTAATTGGGCGAGAGGATTAAGTAGATCGTCGAACTTCCCTACCATCAATAAAAAGAACAAAGTGAATGTACTTTATGTATTCAGCTACACTCCGTATGATTCTTGGGTATAATTGAAGTGGTTTCTTAAGCACTGTACTCATAAGCCCAAAAAATGGCACAAGTAAGAGCTTATTTGTACCTGTTAGATATTCGGGTATATGATGAGATATAGACACATATATATACAGTAGAGTGCCTCGTAAATCCATCGACTTCCCTGTTGGCCTACTTTTCGAGATTGTCAATTGTAAAAGTAGCTAATTCCCCAGACGCCGCTAGACCCACCCCCGCTCCTCCCCTTTCCCGGCCCCCGCCCTCTAGCCTGACACTGACATTGTTCCTTAACATCCAATCTCGTCCCTCTTGTAAGTAAGATACGGAGTAAATACCCCAACCACTTTTTGTTTGAATTTGATATTGTACCACGTACACATGGACATAATTACAGAGGCACCAGACCACCCTTCTCATACATCGGCACCCAAAGACCGACAAAATGGAACCCGAAAACGAGCTAGCTTCGCATGTGTTCCTTGTCGATCTCGTAAGGTGCGGTGCGATGTAATGCAGATGGGGGCCCCTTGCACAAATTGCAGGTTAGACAAACTTGACTGCACCGTTCGGCGCAGAAATCGAAAAAGGTGGACTTACTCCCTTGGTACCTTCAAGTTCGGGGTTTTGATGGCTAATCTGTGAATGTAGGCATGGCATTTCTGTGATGAACCCATCATCATTGCGCATAATCATTCCTGGCGTGGATGATGCCCCAAGCTGCAATCAAAGCAACAGTGTGCAGGAAGAGGGAGTGCTTGCCAGCAGTTGCGATGAGCATACTGCTCAGCAAAGGGCGCGTTCGCCTGCCGTCTTACAGCTTGATGGATCCAGCCCTAGTACTAGCCAAAACACTGCTCTCCTGGATGACTGCGAAGCTGCCAACATTGAAGAGTCCTGTGAGGAACGGCCGGCCCCCTTTGCCAGGTTTCCCATCGGTATTTCGAACAATGCCTTCACTATCTACTCTTATTATCCATTCATTCATTGCGGCAGCATTCACAAATTGCACCCGGATGATGTCTGCTACCTGGATCAACGAGGATGTTTTCGTGTTCCGTCCCAGGCCATCTTGGACGAGTTCGTCCAGGAATATTTCCTACACGTTCACCCAGTACTTCCAATCTTAGACGAGGGTGAATTTTGGAAATCATACAATCAGACATCTGAATCCTCCTCCAATGAAAGCAATAATAGAATTCCTCTGTTCCTTTTCCAGGCGATTCTTTTTGCAGGCTGCAGTGTAGGTCAAAGGGTGTAGTCTTACAGTTGGAGGGCGAGCTGACAAGCAAATGAAACTCATAGTTCTTGCCTCTGCCCATGGTACAAAGCATGGGCTTTGAGAGCATCCAAGCTGCACGGGCAGCCTTCTACAGCCGCGCTAAGGTCAGCTTCTATTCCAGTGTTTCGATGCTACAACTGACATATCTCCTCCACCTAGGCCCTTTTCGATCTCGATACTTGCCGCGATGCGATCTCCTCGTCACACTGCGCTCTGCTCTTAACCTATTATACTAGTGCCGCCGATGCAACAGTAAATTCGTACTGGGTTAATGTTGCCGTTCACTACGCAAGGCAAGCAGGCGCGCACTCCGACATTCATGAGTCGGACGTATCCCCAGCGCGTCGCAACATCCTCAAACGTCTTTGGTGGGGCTGCATATGCCGGGATCGTACTATATCCCTTGGACTTCGCCGGCCCCTCCAGATTATCATCGATTCTTCCAAGACACAATACCCAATGTTAACAGAGGATGACTTTGAAAGTGATATTCGAAGATCAAAAGTATATGACTCGAATACTAAACAAATATTAGTAAGGGTCTTCATCGCTCAGTGTGAGCTCTTATTGCTCCTATCGGATATCTTGGATATCTCATCTGCACGAAAGACCACTGTGCCACCACTGGACGCCAACCATAAAATACAGAAATTGAGGGAATCGATGTCAAATCTTGATTCGTGGTACAAGCAGATGCATAACACCTTTCTCTACGCCTACATGATCCCCGATAGACGCAAATCCTTGACGTTATACATCAGTATCATTCACATTTATTATTAGTAAGTCCAACGACGCACACTATCTCCAACACAACTGAATCATGTAGTTCTGCCAAGATCGCAGCTTGTAATTGCGCATTGTCCTTGTCAATGGCATCGTCATCGCAGGAGGAAACTGGGTACGATGTTGGGGGAGATTCTACTGAGTCAGAGCTCGAGTCTGCGCTGCATGGCAACACTGAAGCCCTAGAAAGTGTTTTGCAAATGGGATTAGCGAAGTACCTCCCAGTAACGATGTAAGTCGGTGTCGGACTAAAAAGAGTGAAGCTAATTGATTGACAGTACTGCGTTAATTGCACTGCCACTTGCATGGTCCTATCGCAGATTGTTTGCCGTACCAAGGCCTTTCCGGGATGAAAGAAGGAAACAAGATTTGAAATTATACATTGCTGTCATGAATGAGCTGAGGGTTCGTTACCAAGGTGCAGAGGAGCTGTTGGAATACATTCGAACGGCGATCAATTACGAGAATGATCCTAGACGACTACACGGATCCGGAGACTTCATGGCTCACATGGATGAAGAAATTACCACGCAGCAAGCTGCCGAGATAGCAGGTTCGAAAGCGATCGAAATTGCAAGGCATCATTCACGAAAAGACGTAAGGCTTGCTGTCATCGTAAATATTTGCTTAGCAAAGGGAACATTTCCACAGGAAGCAGATATGCCAGGGTCGCTCCAACTAATCCATTCCTCTGTGCACATGAATCTCAACAAGAGCCAGGGTACCAACCAGAAACTCAACAAGATGGGAGAGACTCAGAGGCGGATTACCCAAAAATCCGAGGCTAGTGCCGAAATGGAGGCGAATGATTCACATAGAAACGAAGAGGATCCGCTACTACCTCGTTTTCGCAAATATGGCTCGACCTTCGAAGAGACTCCTTCAGCTGGTACCTGGGACTTGCGACCATTTCCATTCCCTGTGTCTTCCGCTTCGTTCTCTTCTCACGAGGAAATCGACTCGGGTTTCGATTTCAACTCTTCCGCCGCAGACTTCCTACCATACATGGATCTCTTGCAGGAATTTGTTGCTCCTTAAAAAATCGATCGAGAGTATACAGCAAGTTCCTTGATAAATATATTTTGTTGAAAGCACCATGCTATATTGAACCTCACTATCTAGTTCACCTGCCACGGTTGCTCGGGGTTGACGTTTAATCATAACATATCAGAACAAATCGGTAACTGCGCCTTCAGAGGCGTCACTAACAAGACGCACCTATTTCCCGGATATTCCTCTCTTTACCGGATGGCATTGCGGCTTCCACGTCGGTGACTTTAGTCATGTCAACCTTTCTTGCCCACTGTTACTATCTTTTGGCATGGCTCCCGCATCCAAGGCCCTGCATAATGCCGATTCTTTATCGAGCACCACTGCTGTTCCCTTGAAATACGCATCGGAGCTGATCTTTGCAGTTGCACCCCCGGGGGCAAGATTGCTGTATAATACCTAAATGTTACCCTGACGTTCAGTGGTGAATCTGCTGGACAAATGATCAATTGGTCTTGCGAAAGCGACGGCCATTCTCCAACAATCTCCGCCATAGTCTTTCCCGTCACAGTCGGGACAGTGCCATCAATCACACCGGTCGCAATGAGCAACTTCAAGACAGAACGGATTCCTCTAATGTCGAAAAGATCTCCCATGGTGTGCTTCCCGCTGGGAAGCATGTCGGTTTTCACGGGTGTTTTCCGCGATGCTCTGTGGAAATCTTCGAGGTTAGGTTGTACATTGGCACTGTGTTTCGGAAATACGTGAATGAACCGGATCTTTGGGCTGTGCATGGATGGTCGTAAACGATGCTCGTGACTTGGGGCAGATGTGCCATCGAGGCGTTGGGGTTTACGGGTTGGGGTTCTAGGTGTTCGATGCTACGAACGATACGATTACGAATTATAGTCCAAACAGGTAATAACTGAGACGGTAGTATCCTGATGTACTGTTTACAATGGATATGGGCGAATTTGAAGCACCTTTGTCAAATAGGAATATCCGTAAGCTTTTTGATTTCATCGAGGAGCATTCTTGGAAACAATATTTTCAGGGTTAAGAGATGGAATACTAGTTGATATTGTAAATGTCTTATTAAATCAAGGACTAATCATCTTTCACCCTTGATATATTAGAACCACTTGTTCTCTTCTCCTCCTATCACCACTACGCTTCTGAAAACGAATTCGCCCGGCGTCCTACTACACCATCAAATACATATGTCACGTAATCGATCTCTAGAGCGTCTAAACCCAATCTCATCAGCATCCGTTCTCTAGCAACGTTGTGTAGAAACGCAGATGACTACCTATATAACAGGATACTATCAAAGCATCCCCTCTCTAACGTCCCAACATTCTGTCTTGATATTGTAAGATATTCACAAACACACAACATGATCACAAACCAGCCCTCCCTCCAAATCTCCATCCACCCAATCATCCTCTCCTCACCCTCTCGGGCATGCTTTCAACCACACACTCCGCCACTAAAGATCAAAATTTGGCCCATGTACATTGATATTCTTTTACCGGTATAAACATTACCATATAGTCCCACCAAGCCGAGCCTGAGCAATTTTTCTATTGTAATGTACTTACACGTTACACGACCATTGAATAGAAGGTAAGAGGGGAGGTGATACTTGGGGGTGAAGGGGAAGCTGTGTCTTTGTCTGGCATAGATGATGGCATGGTTGGACACGGGGAACGTGTCCTTGAGAGAAGGGAAGTCAAGGGGAAAGGGAGGAGTAGGAAATCACCAGTTCAACTGTCCATTACTTCACAATTATCTGTACTATTTGTACAAAACCTTCGCAGTATGTAGGAAACGATGCAATAAACGCACAGATAGCGGCATATCTTAAGGAGAAATGGTAGGATTGGGTGGTGTGGCGGGCATTACAAAGATATGGTTTTTTGTTCGAAGTTCGAATGCGGTGGGTGTGATCGAAGAGGGGGGTCTGCTGGTTAGGAGGTAGGGTTTGTGTGATTCTATGTATATCTGTATATCTGGGTGTGTGTACTTACGTATGTAAGCATGCTATAACATTGTTATCAGGAATACTGTAGCACACACTAGGTCTAAAATGTTCACAAAGCTTCTAGCAGTAATCTATGAAAATCGAATAGTACATCTATTATCAAACCATCAAGTGACAGCAATGACAACGCCGATGACGATGGTGCTAAGCAGGGATAAAGAAGGGCATGCCATGCATGGATTTTATGCATTCGTATTGGTATCGATATAGGTTGAGCATTGGTACATGCTGGAGGGAGACTGTGGTTTCAGGGTCCTCGTTTATAAACCACGACGAGGAGAACATAGGATAAGAGAGATGGCATTCATTGGCAATCAAACGTCCGACTGTAGTTACGATATACCAGTCTTGATCGATGACCGGGAATCGCGAAGGGTAGATGCAAAGATAGGCACAGGGACCGTGACGATTTGAAACCATTGATTGGTAGTAAGTTCCAATCAAGATCACTATGGAATGAATCTTCACATATACCTATGTACGCCTACGACTCACAAACCATAGTTATCTCATATCTAACTCGTTCCAGCGTACATGGACGGTTGATTGGTCTACCCACCACACCCTCACCGTCCAATGAACACCCATCGACGACCCTGTGCCGCTCCTTATCTAGCATGACAGCTCCCTCCCTCGTACATACGAGTACATACACCCTGCGTTTCAAACACCCTACAGAAAGCAGGGCGATAGGCAACACATCACATCACCAGCAGATACGGACAGTTCGGCACGCGAACCCTACATTCCTTCCCTTTTACCAAGATCTCATCCCACGCCGCCTTGCCTGCTTCTGTCCACGCGCCCCTCCCCCATCGAGATTCAGAAGCGTGCCGTGGCGATTGGGCAGGCAGGCAGCACCGATAGACGAGCGCGAGGAGATCGTAGATTTCGTGCTTCTCACGAGGGGAGAGAGGGTCCTGTGGGATCGAGGTAGGGTCCTACATGGGGAAAGAGATGGGCAATTTTTTACGCATGTGCACAGCGCATCCCCCCCCCATTTGGCTTTTTCTACAATACATACCTTGTCTCGCCCTGCCGCGGTTGTAGTTCCACATGCATATGTGAAGATTAGGATACGATACAACGCAACGTGCATATCCTAGAGGTCGGATCACTCGACGGGTGGAGAGTGAAGCTGGGGGGGACTGTCGCCCACGACCGTCTGCCCGCCCACGATGTCTTCGTGACGTATGACGTATGTTGTTGTAATAATGGCGCTCGTCCCTCCACTCTCGGCTACATGTACCTTTTCGTTTCCCGAAGTGGGAGAGAAGGGACCTCGGAGCGAACGGCGAAAGTGGAAAAAAAAAAACTCATACTTTCTGGATCTAGATTCCCAGATGTCCCTGTTATTGTGGGGATGTAATAACGCATGGGAAGCAACAAGGCAATGCCGGGACAAAACGCCGAAAATAAAGGGTTTCCCTTAAACTCTCTTTACAGCTGAGTATGCGTGGCAGCATGAGACGAGGGTTCAAGGAAAATGGTCCCCGGAGTGGGATGATTCGAAGGCGCGAGGGGCGTAAAAGCTATCGACACGGCACGTTAGATAGTGGCACTTAGTGGCAGAAAGTGGGATACCACACAAGCGCGTAGGTCCGATGTTCGTCGGAAGTGAAGTGCTGGACAGCGATTGGTGTGCTGAGCGATCAAATTTAGTGTCAGTGAGCAATCGTCGATGGCCGGGGAGATCTACAAAAGTAGAGTCGCGTGGCTGGCGAGGCGTGCGGCATCATGTCGTCACTTTCTTCACTCCCAGTCAGCTGGACGGGAAGCCAGCGCTAGACGTTGCCAAGACGGATTTCGCAGTCGGTATCCAATCATGCCAATAATGTCCTGTGGCTGATGAAGATATGAACTTGTTCCTGTGCTGCTGGATTGGTTGAAAGGCCGTGGTTACAAGGACAACTGTCGAAACACTGGCACAGAAACCCCACCGACGTGGTGTCCAATGAAGGGACAATCGCATGAGGCTTACTTCCATGTTGTGTTTGTGTGTCAAGTTGGAGGCAAACGTGGACTCGAGCATAGAGGACGTGGACTTGACAGCGTAGATTCGTTTGAAGTTACACTGGCTCGTTCCTTCAACGGTCAAAGTCAACAGCAAGAGCCAACGTATGCTCGAAGTTTGCGTGTCACCACTGCGATGATCATCAAATGTTCAGCTGACAATGCAGTCAGTGCATCAATCTTACAATAGACAAGTTCCATGTCTGTTTGTTTATGCGTGGTGCGGTGCATAGCTGAGATGAGGCTATTGTAGCTCATCTTCGCATCTACTGATGAAACCGAATCCGATTAGGGCCAACCAAATGATACTTGAACAGGTACGGTGAACAGCGAACAGCGAACACTACCCACCGTACCGAACACATCAACACAATCAAGTGCTTGTGAACAAAGATCTTCAGGGTCTGTATGCGGATGAAGAATACCTGTGTACACTGAAGTTGCTATTTTTTGGCCTCTGGTAACCCAATGGGTAGAGGTGATGTGCCCACCATACCATGATCGCGGGTCGGACGATATTAACACCAGTAAGCCGCCAGGGCTCAGGTCACCGCAAGTGAGGTACACCGCATTGCTGAGGAGCAGGCAAATTAGGGGTCAGGGACTCAGGGTAGCAGCGATCGCGATGATTGCGCCCAGGGCGTCAGAAGGTTCTAGACAAGGCATGGCCGCAGAGGCTCTGCTTCCAAGCCGCCGCCAGTCAGAAACAAGGCGGTAGCTATGATGTCATAGCTAAGACGGGAGCACGCGAGCTGCAAGACGGAAGAATTGACCACGACCGTTCCAAGTCATCAGGTTGGTGCTGAGTCGTCTGTGAAACTGATAAGGCCCACGTGGTGGGTCTTGAGTATCAATCGCCGGCTGGGATATTGTATACGACCAACAACACGAAGTTTCATTTGATGCGAACTAGGGGGGCGAGAGTTGCAACAGTGTTGAAAACATCCCAATTGGTATATGACGATGTTGGAAGCACCGAAACGGCAGTATGGAGAACTAGGTGGTGAGAGTATGAAAGCCGAAGGAGGGTGCATGTGCAGTAGGTAGGCGGTCCATGGGCTCGCGGAACTCGGTCCCCTGCATTGAGGCGAGGGAGATGCGATCAAAAAAAGCACCACGATCGAAGTTTTGTATGAATCGGTCGTCTGTTAGTGGAATAGATGGCGAATGCACGGGGCATGTGCGGTGTAGGAAGCGAAAAAAACTAGAAGAGTACGGAGTAGCTGGATGCATGATCAGGGGAGTGGCGGAGGATTAGGAAGGGTGCAGGGAAGGGAGGCGTATTTCCCTGCATGAAACCGGTAGCGGTGGAGCCCATTTTGATAGGGACTGGCGCCGTGATGGGGATGGGTTAGGTGAATCTGGTGTGTTGATATCAAGGCATTGTGGTTTGGCTATGCGCGTGTGTCAGATTCGGGGTTGTGGCAGAAATAGGACATAGGAAAGTGATTGGAGGTGGGTTCCCTGAGTTGAGACAATGCGATGTGGGTGGGGTTGTGAAGGTGCCAGGTGGTCCCCGTGTCGTGTAGTAGGAGGCGGTGGAGAGAGGTTGACGGTGATGGTGGTGAGGGTGGTGATGGTGGAAGGTTGGAAGAGAGTTGGAAGGTGTGATGTTGAAGTATGCGATCGAGATTGACAGGGACCCTGAATGCTTGGCGTCTGTGGGGATCAGAAAGATCGCATGCAGAAGTTCGATCTCCATGACCTTTTTGTAAGGGGGGACGCGTGGAGGAGGGTGGGACTCTCGGCTATTTGGGGATTAAGTTACTTAGTGACTCCGTATTTGTTAACTTGTCCATACAAGCCCATACAACCGTTGATGACAAAGTGATGTCATCCCGTGAGGCCCGAGATCACCCTGGTCTGATCTGTTGTTTTCACTTTCTGTTTTGGTTTAGTCAGGTTCAGCTCGCGATAGTCAGGTCAGGGTCAAGGCGTTCAGGGTGTTGGTCTGTGTCTCGGGTCGGGTCAGGCCTCATTATTTTTTTTTATTGAAGAGGGAGAAAGAGTAAAGTGAGAAAGGCAAAGATGATAACGCAGGAAGAAGAGAAAAATAAAAAAGAAGAGTCTAGCCAAAGCCATAGGCAAAGACATAGGCAGTCATGCTCGTAGTTTCATAGTCTTACAGTAGCCACAGCCATACATATCCCTCCATAGGGTACCTCGTGGGGTTGGAGTATGTAGGTAGTCGTTGGCAGGCAGTCATACAATGATAATGGTCTTGAATTAATTGCCCATACCCAATCCATTCCTACCATTTACCAGAACCATAACCATGACCCTTACAAAAGTGACCCGTACACAGTAAGCGTGGCATCCCGCATTCTACAGGCTACAGGCTACAGGCTACAAGCTACAGGCTACAGACACACAACAGGCTACATACAGCCACAGTTACGAGTTGCTGTACGAGATATGTACCTAAGACTAAGAAACCCGTACTCTGTATGAATATGCAACTGCTGAATAGGCGAATGAGCAAGCAACGTGCAGCTTACTTTATCATACAGGGAGGATAGATACAGGGAATACAGGGATGTACCTGGGATGGTGGCTACATGGAATGTTCAATCTAGATCCCCCGCCATATTCTCGATCCCCATCCAAAGTCAACTGGATAACGTGTACGCTAATCCTATCTCGGGAAAGTACCCTTCTCGCCTTTACCCCTCTCACCACACACATTCGTTCCATTCCTCCTCCATCCTCATTCTGTCCCATCCCACTCTGGGCCTACGACCAACTTTCCTCATCTGCTAATCAATGTCTCGCTCGCTCTCCCGTTTCGACTAACTGAGACCCTACATGCCCTACCCAACCGCTAAACCATTTAGTTACGCCCATTCCGAGTCTTGCTGGACCCCTCAGCCCTGCCGAACTGGCCATGGCTTCGGTCTCGGGGTGACCCTCGTTCGAGTGAGCCGCCGACTAACCCGCTTGGCCGACTGGGCACTCTCAGCGCTCTTAGCACCCTGGGGCCCTGGTGGTCTGGCCAGACAAGTCCATATCAAACTTATCGTACCATCGCGATCAGACAATAAAGGCTCACCAACATGGAAAAATACGACCGTCTCGTGTCTTTATCTTGTCCCGTTGGCAATGACGTAGTTCGTTGTACCCTTCCCTAGTAGAAGCCCCTGACTCCCTGTGCGGGCAGGCACGCGGGGTCGGGAAGGAAGGCCAGGGGATTTACGAGCATAACCAACGTCAACGGCATCAACAACAACAATAACAACAAAAAAGAAAAGGTGCAGATTGATACTCGTGCTCCAACACTGTTCCCGTGCATCAGGCCCGCAGTCTCTGGGCCAACAACAATGATCACAACATCTTCCATTATTAATCTTAAAAAAAGAATGGCCACGGGGGGAAGCAACCTTACAAACCGTTGCATGTGCAGCGCAAATCGTGTTATCAAGCAAGCTAGCCTTGCCGAACTGTCCTGTTTTAGGAATCGATGAACACTTTCCCATCACGATGCGATGGCAGCAATGTGACCACGTTTTCGATCTCCCGATCGCATCTACAATAACTACCGTTCACAGATGATGAAAATCAGGTTCTTCTTTTCAGATATTCCCTTGTCCGGAACAGCTTCGGAGAGAGTATCGCCGCAAGGCTAGGTAGGTCGGCTGGGTAGGGAAACTACCCGCCAGGAGCACGCGGACGGGGAACATGCAAATCAAAAATAAACGGACTGAATTTTGCCTCACTGCCAGTGCGGAATGACTACGGACATACTACTGTGTGAGGGAGAATGATCGATGATGGCGATCATCATAATAATGGGGTTTATGGATCGCGATAAACAGGATTTTTCTATGGATTTTCCGATGGCCCTAATTTTCTGATGGCAAAGTCAAGTGAGAAGCACGACGACTAAGTCCCTAGTGAAGAGAAGAAGCTCATTGAAGAAGAATTCATGTCCGGTCGGAGTGGCACAAACTCAGTTATAGCCCTAATAATCGAGTCTACGAGAGTATCTACTCCGTAATTGCACAAGTACTGACTGAGTCGCCACGAAAGTAGCAGTAAAAGATGAAATATTAGTCCGTACAGTGGACTCATACAATAGTGTTAAGAGCAACAGTTGATTCTGATCGATCGATCGATGCACTTGCTTAGCGGACCTGACATTGGACTGGTCTGGTTTGGCTTGGGCCCGAAGCGCTTCGCTGGTGAGTGATGACCCACTTTTCCCTTTCTGTTCTTGGCTTGGCTTATTGTTCCTCTCCTCACTCTTGCGGCTTGCGGCTTGCGGCTTGCCCCCTCCCTCTCTCTCTAGACTCGCTCCATCTCCTCCACTATTCGTACAACCACCAGACTCCTGCTATTCCGTAAATTGCCCCAACTACACCTACCACGCCTTCTACCCGTCTACTGCTGTATCGCGGAGGTCCTCCGCCCTACTCGCAGAGGACAGGCTGCCACAACCGCACCCTCACTTGCTCTCATCGTGTTGGAATTGTGGCCCAAGGCAAAAAGCGTTGGGGTTATCCCATCCTACACACACCTCTTCAAAACCTGGCTGTGCTGTACTACATCTGTCCTGTTCGCATGTACGGAGTAGACGGGGGCTTACCTACAGATGATGATTCCGGGCGAGCATCCCGCATCCGCGTTGCCGTGATCAATGAGTGCCATTTGCCTTACCACTCGCCTTGAATTTCACGCATTAATACTCCCGAATTTCATTCATGATTGATTTCATTTGCCTAGCGGTTCCGTTGACTATCCCGTCCAAAAAGGGTGCCGCGGCCTTTTCCCCCCTCTACGGAGTACTGCCCGCGGAGGGAGAGGAGGGACTCGAGGCAGGGAAGGGGATTCGAGCGAGGGCAGCAAACCCATCAGGGTCAGGTAATGGCTGGATGGTATTACCGACGAGCGATCGAGCGATGTGCGCCAGGCCCGTTGTGGGCGTGTAAGCCAGCGGAGGCCGACGATCATGAACCTCACGGGCAACCGACGACGGGAACGACGGTGGCTTGACCATTACTGTGCATACAGCTTTGGGGGGCACTGAGAGGGGGGTCCGTGGGTATGGGTAGGGATGTGAAGAAAGGGTAAGGGTAGGGGTATCGTAAAGAGAAGCAAAGACGAGAGGGTTACGAAGTGTAGGCAGAAAGTGGGACTTTACCAGAGGGCTTGCAGGAAAATCCTCTATGGATGACGGGGCCCTTACACAACTTTTGCGCCCACAGAAAACCGCACACGTTAGTGTGTACTACTGTTATCACTAGGGGACTTCGGCAGACAGAGCTAATGTACGAGAGAGAGGAGTTGACGATTGGAAGAGAATGCGAGAGAGAAAGAAACAGAGAGATGGGCGAGGTTGATACTGTGAGGACTACTTTTACCAAGTTACCACAGATGCCAGGACGATGGAGGCAATTGAAAGACTACCGACTTCGTATTGTAGAGATACATGCACACACTATGCCGAGTACCGCATTCTTGCTAGTATCTCCACGAGAACCTCGTAACTCTACGAGTAGTTGAGTTGGAAAGTTGGGTCTCTTCACAGCTGTTTCGCTTTCCAGGCCCACCCTGGTCTCATCCCAAGGTCATCATCATCCAAGGTCATACATCCTGGGTCATTCACCCCGGGCCTGGATGATCCTTGTCTGTCGGTGGACGACCCCTACCCTTGTCAAGCGTTGCGCGCCGTGCGTGTTTGCATGTGTCTGTGTCGTTTTGTGTCTAGCCTGCGTCTGCTGCGTATGCGTAACTAACTAACTATGACTACTGCGTGGTGGGTGGTGGTGGTGTGGGTGGGTAAGGGTAAGGGTATGAAGGGAAAGCCGACCTTTGACCTGCATACTCTGTATCGAGTTGCTGAAATGCATCCTGTGGATTTTGGATTTGCCATGGAATTGATCCCTGCCCTGTCCGACTAAACACTCACACACTCTCCTCTCTGTGGTCTGGCACACACACACACACACACACACACACACACACACACACTCGCACTCCCTTGGAAAGAGAAGAAGTAGGAAATGCCAGTCCAATCCTAATCCTAATCCTAATCCCAATCCACTTTAAACTCAACTCGACTCGTTCAAGTAAATCGGACCTGCTCCTGCTTGTCCCTGCCGCCGCACTCCTAGTCTGGTCTTCGAGTAACTATCATACTATATTACTCTTTACTCCCGGTTTCCAATTCTCACCTCCATCGTTGTCCCACTTCCGCGCAGCCTTCCACAAAAGTATACATTTACTCCTCCCGCTACTCATCCCCAATTCCTGTCCTTCACCCTCCACCTCCCTCCTCCACACATACACACCCATTCATCTATCCTCAGAATAGAGAATCCTGCTCGAGTACACTCCCCTTCGACACGACAACAGTCATTCACACAACCACAACGCTATCCATTCCATTCAACTACCACTGTCCAGGGACTATCACTGTCACTGTCACCAAGCACCATTGCTGTCGATACTCGAACATCACTGCTATTCAGATTCAATCGCCAATAGAGCGCATACAATACTCCCCAGTTTGGTCTCTCTCTCTCAGCTACGGTACCACAGGCCCACTGTTTGGATCCAAATTCTCGCCTACCTCCTCTTCGACTCCAATCTTTGTAATACGATTCGTGACGTCGGTCATCATTTTGGAACGGAACGAGCCAAGACCCACCACGGCACCATCACTTTTTTCTCCAGATTCTTACACTACGTCGTTCCCGTCGTCCCAGATTTTCACGTGCTTGCGCGTGTTCACTCTCAAGCTGACTTCTCGGGCTCCCCTCCTCCCTCCCTTCAAATAAACCAATAACTCAACTTCTCCTCCATTCCAACCCACACTTGCGCCGCATTCCAGCTACGGCGCGTGTTTGGCCAAAGAAATCATGGACGGCAAGAACGCATCGGGCCGCCGCATCTCTCTCCTCAACGACAGCGCGGAGCCTCGTCCCTTGCCCATCCGCCTGCCCTCCATCTCCCCGTCTTTGCGCTCTAGAACCTCAAGCTACACTTCCTCTCCCATCGGCTCTCCGCCCACTCCCCAACTAGTCCGTAGTGATTCTTCTGATTCTACAGCCATGCGAACCCCCTCCCCCATCACCCCGGAGTTCACCTTCGAGGGTCTCCCATCCGCCAACATGCCTTCCCCAGTCTTTGCTCAGGCCAGCTTCTTCCCCAGCCAAAAGGACCTGAATGCTGGCTACTCAGCAGCCATCACACACTCGACTGGTCCTCTGCCCTACCATTCCGCTGCCCCGCAGTATGCGCCTCAACAATCAGTGGAGAACCTCCCTGCTGCGCCATCCGCGAACCCCCGATCGAAGAAGAACAGCTACCCGTGCCCAATGGCAAAGCAATTCCACTGCAACGACTACTTCACCACCTCTGGCCATGCTGCGCGTCACGCTAAGAAGCACACGGGCAAGAAGGACGCATTCTGCCCAGAGTGCAACAAGGCCTTTACGCGGAAGGACAACATGGAGCAGCACCGTCGGACGCACCAGAGCGGTCGCAATGCCTCCAAGACCACCGACAGCGCCGTGAAGAAGGCGAAACAGCAGGCCAAGAGGCCGAAGCCGACTCCTCTTCCAGCAGCCATGCCTTCCATGCCTTCCATCGCGACGCTGTCCATGGTCGACCCCGCGCTCTCCTCTGCCAACATCAATGTCATCACACCTACCCTCGACATGGCTGGCCCATCTCTGTCGCTTACGGATTCTTTCAGCTCAGCATATCCCGATCCCACTGCTTTCTCAATGGCCCACAACTACCCCACTGGCTCTTCGTACGGGCTTGATGCTCTTGCGATAGCAGCCAGTGGCGAGAAGCGCAAGTATGAGATCTGAAGAAGCCTTTGCCGTCTACAATTGCCAATTTCAATGCTGGCGTCTTTTTAAGCGTCGGTCGAAAAATCCACCGAGGTCGAATAAAGTTCATATTTTTTTCTGCGCGCGGTCCGGCCAGGTCCGCGACGCCAAAGAAGTACTTGGCTTCGTGCATGACAGCACGGCGATGAAACGCCGGTTGGGATCTTTTCACATTTGGTCACAAAAAGGGAGGTCTTTTCTATTTCTTAAAAAAACAAACAATAGACGCACGCCGTCATGGCTACGAATTGTACGAGGCGTTAAAACAGCAGTTTTAATGCGTACTGTTTCACGACTGGGAGGCTTTTTCTGCATTGTACTCTAGCTCTTTGCGTTTCTGTCGTTCGGTTTCGCCTTGATGCGACCGATGGGTGTTGTGTGTGTGGGGGAGGTGGTGAAGGGATCGGGCCTTTCCACCACCTCCGCCGATCAACACTTTTCCTTTTCTTTTCCATTTTCAAAATTTCCCTCGTCTTACATCGGGATCGTGGCGTCGCCATCATCACACGATGTTGCGATGGTGTAATATCTTATCGCTTTTTTTCGGGAAATCAGGATCACAGGGCAAACATGGATACCCGCCCTTATATAAAGAAGGAGCACAACAATTTCCTTCTCAACTTTTATTATCTTCTTCTCCTGTACATAGTTGGCATCGGAACATGTAGCAGTTCCGCGCCGATCAGAAGTCGCTGATACAAACAGCGACTCGATTGATCAATGCAAATAAACAATCAACAACAACATCAAACAAATCATTAGAAACATACACCTCGAACCCTCTTCTTCTCGTGACTTCGGAAACAATCCTCCCCACCTATGACAACCACTCATGCGGAGTAACAATGATGACCAACTCCTCCCTTTCCTTCCCCTCCCCTCCCCTCTCACCTCCGCAAAACCAGAAAAACCCTTTCCTTGGCACCATTACTCTTACATTCGTCTTTGTCTCAACAAAGACCAGCCATTACATACACTAGTCCTTAGTCCATTGAACCGCAACAGCAACCAGCGGGGAAGCATCCAACCTCGCCAGTCACATCCCCTCTTCCCTGCAATTGTAAATGTCAACGTACATCCCGGGAACACCTCCCCTCCGTCCGTCTAATTTCGTCGTTGCCCGTCTCCGTCTCCCGTTCAACGTCTATGGTTCGGTTCATCATGTATATGCGAGGCGATATGCGGACGCCCGCACGCCGCTACGTACAAGGGAGGTACGCTACGAGATATCGAATGCAGTGGATTGAACAGGATCTACGGGAGGGGGGTTATGGTTCGCCAATCTCCCGCCCCCATCTTCATCTTATTCACATCGTAAACCGCATCTCAACGCTACGAAACGAAACGAAACTATCGCACCGCGCGGCACCGAGAAAGTGTGGACTAACATATCCCCCTCTCTCGCCCCCTCTCCTCCCCGCTTCCACTAGATTGAATTGAACTGAACTGAACTGAACGGTAAACGAGCGTAAGGGGAGTAGAGGAGAATCGATTGGATTGGATTGGATTGGACTGAAAGGGATGCTAAGGACTTGGGAGGATGCGGCTTAGGTGGTTTGCTTGCGGCTGGGCTGGGCTTTTCCCCGCAATTTGTGCTTTTGGAGCTCGGGAGGAATACCCGCGCGTTGAGGAGAGGAGTCTACCTGCCTGCGTATTGTCATTGTAAATGTTTGTGCGGAGTGAGTACGCCGTGTTGAGGGCTTTTGTACGACTTGAGATTGTAATCTCAAGATACCGAGTAGTCACACGATTTCCAACAACGTTCATCGTCGATGGATATATGTAATTACGAGTAGGAGAAGTAGTAAGTAAGATGAGATCTACGAGGTACCGTTGGGGGCTACGGAAGATTACTTGCGTGTACAACGTGTGCGTGTGCGTGCATTGCGTGTCCCCCGCCGTGTGTACTCGTCCGTTAGATACGTTGTTCAACGGTGAAAGAAAGGGAGAGGAAGGATAGGATGGGACAACAAGCCGTGGCGAATCAATGTTCCTTCCTCCATTCCCTGTAACTATTACAAACTCGCGACGTTCTTAATTGGCTCACTTATCCTCTTCTTTTGCGTTAAGGGAAAGGCAAAAGCCTCAACACAATAAGTCCTTCGTTCAGTGATCTGCCTTACCAATCAGTTCAATCAATCGATCCATCATGAATCAAGACCATCGGTCAATTAAGCAAGCAAGCAATCATCACGCATGATCCTAGATCCCAGATCCTATACCCAACGATCCAGTCCGGTCGTTCGTTCAAGAAAAGCCCAATCCTACTAGAGTATCCGCGGAGACTTAGATCCAACCGCCCTAAGCAATCAAGCGTACGACCACAACTCCTAGCCACTCCGTACATACATAAACAAAGAGACCCTGCATTTCCCCCCTCGCGCACGCACCCTTTTTCCGGATCGTCCGGGGGCTGGACTGGCTGGACTGGCTAGGTCGGGCTGGAAAAAAGGTGGGGATGGGGAGGCTCCGCCGGTAGCCTCGATTGGAACGTCATGGTTTTTTGTTGATAGGGTCTAGAGGGGCAATGTCGTACGATGTTTATTTTTCATGGGGTGAGTTGTGGCAAGGCACGCGATCGATGATTTTCTTTGAATGGTTTTTTTTGGGCGTTTGGCTGAGAGGGGTGGGTGACTTTGAGGAATGTTTGAAACTACTCGTATGGAGGGGATGTTGCTCGTGATTGTGTTGATGCTGTTTCGATGTTGGTTAGTAGCTTGACGTTGGCGTATCATGGGTTAACGGTGGACCATCCGAACCCTTTTCTCTTATTTCTTTTTAAGCTGGAGCGGTGTTGGTGAGGTTTGTTACGAGGGAACGAACGGATGCTTGATCAATTGATTGTTTGGTACGAATCCCGTCGTTCCCGCGCTCGCGTTACTCGTATTCTTTTTGCTTCATCTTGCTCTGCAAGACAAAGAATCATTGATGTGTTGTGGAATATCGGAGCATGGCGGAATTTCAGCAGGGATGGATGAAGCGGAAGACCATTTTCCACATAGGTTGTTAGTTCCTTTGTTCACAGTAACTCGCCATGGTCCCTATCGATTACATACATGCGAGCGAAGATGTGGGGAAACGATAGTCGATTATCTCATCATTGGAAGTGGAGATGAGAGCCAGCCGAGAACGGACTGTCGTGATCACGAGATATTCTTCCTCTTACTACTTCTCGTTTGGACCGTCTTAACGACATGTAAACATACGACGTAACTACGAATTATCATATTATTATTGCCCCAAAATGTTCATGATTCATCATCAACCAGTAGCCCCTCCACCAACTCACCGCACACCTTATCGTTATCAACAATAGTCGTACCATACAGGAACGCCACGGTTGAGCCCTCCTCGCTTCCCTTCAACCTTATTCCTACGAAGGTACTTTCGAAACCGATACGGAGACCGTTCGGAAGCAATTGGCATCCGCACAGCTCGCTAGACGAGCAATTGCATCCGTTTGATTTACCCAAGTAGTTATACGAGTTCTGTGGGGAGGGGTCCAGCTCTCCCCACCCCTTTTCTGCTTACATACATTGCCGTCTGCACTACTTACCTCGTACCTGCAGGGGCTGCTTAAAGTCTTGCCGTAAGTGGGCATATATCCATGCATCTTCCGCAAATACGATTCAGATTTTTATATGTCGGTATGAAGGTGGATGGATCGAGGACGCGTGCGCATACGCACGCACCTATCTTCCCGACCGGGCCTTTTTGAACGGCCCGATCGGGAGGGTCTGGACGCTTTGCCGTCCCGGGTTCGTGTTGACAATAGTGAACTTGAGCCCACGTGGGCTTTGCAATAACAATTTATCTGCAAACAAGGTGACGATTGATGCCTCCAGTGTCTATTCACCCACAATTGATGTGCGTTTAGATCGCAATAATCAAATAAACGCATCCGTCCCTCTCCCATCTCAGCCAATTTGAAGTTGAGATTGTCAACAAGGTACGGAGTACGGAGTGTACTCCGTAGATACACATGGTTTCAAGATTGAATAAAGCAACTAAATGCCTCAATTGATCTCGGTGAAATTATTCTCCAAGGTACGATAGGGTAGTCCGTCTTCACCACGAACACGTATACACCACAATCACTAAACATATGTAATACGTACCCTACGAGTAATTAGTAGTAGGCCCGCAACCTCGTACGACAATCCAATCCAAACAAAAGAAACCTAGAAACCCACTAGACAGGATATATACGAAAAGATCAGCCAGCCCCTGCATGATGCTGCTCGATATCGGAGCGATGTGTACCCTTACTTCGTTCCCGCGCTCCCTGCATGGATGGGTGCATGGGGTACATGGATGGTACCGTGCGTGTAGTCTAACGTTGGTCGAAGAAATAAGGGACCCTGGGTTTTGCGTCCTCGTGTGTTTTGACCCAAGGGAAGGAAAGGTTACGGGGAAGCGGGAGGGATTGTGTACCAAACAATGACCGAGGGTTTGACGCTCAATTGCGCCGTGAGGGTGGGTACGAGGATCTAGATGTGGTTATGGATTGTTGGTGTGGCGGAATTTGACTGTTGTGTCTTTCGTTTTATTTCGGTCCTCAAAGTTTGATATTGTTTCGCATGGAGGACGTACTCTGGAGGATCGGCGCGTGGGTTATTGATTATAGACAGATGAATTTGTTGAGCTTGGATTGGTAAGTTTCTGCTAAGATACTCTCGTCTTTCAAGATGCTTTCACGAAGATCTAACATATCACATCGCCTCGCTGAAAATCCCGGCCGTGACTCGGTAGATTGCATGTTACATATTCACGCCTCATTGTTTCAAATGGTAACGTCTTTTTTTCTTTTCCCACCCATGATTTCTTCTCCCTCCTCTTCTTTTCGACCCTGGCACGACAGTTGTGACACACAATTCGATTGCTTTATCTGCCTGCATGAAAACATATGCGTCACTGCATACCTGACCCATGCTCTGTTCTGTGCGAACGACCATGGATGGGACATGCGGGATGCCAGAAGGAGCGACAGCTGGGTGACGACTCGTTTCGTTTGCGGTCGTGTACACACAGTATGGCGCAGCGCGATACAGGTCTATTGTTTGACATGTGCTGCTGTGGAGAGATGGGAGTTCGCTTCGGGCGTGAGACACATATGGTGGAGAGACAGGATCTACTAGATGCGTTTGTATGGGATGCGGATCTCGAGTTCATGAGGTCTGTTCACTATGTCGTGACCGGGGAGTGCCATGTTGTAGATCGAATATGGAGTAAGAACCCACTTCGCCCTATGGACTCGAGTCTGATTCACTGCAACTTTCGATATCATGCATATGATAACGATAAAGCGTAGACAACCATGTCGTCCGACGAAAAGAAGCGAGAGTTCCTACGTTCGAACCGCTCCTTGGAAATGAAGTGTCACGTCTCAGCCTAGAAGAAAATCTCCACTTCCGCATCGTCGCACAGCATGCGCCGCACTTCATGGGACCATATTTCCTCAACGCCACATGACCCCCTTGGATCCACCTCAAATGCACCCATATATCTCCGTGACAATGTCTCACACATCCACGAGAACGGGATGGGAAGAAAGGCAAGACACGACATGTCGCCATCCATGCGTTCATTCATGCTAATCCGACCGAACGATATGCAGCCACTCTCAATGCGGAGAGCGCTGGACAGGTACTGTACGACATTGGCTTTCTCGTTGCCGTGTTTCAGATTCAGGTCGTGGCGTCTTCCTGGCTTGCAGTGTTTTTGACGGAGCCGGAGACCTGGTTCGTTCATTCGCCTGCGTTTCCGCTCTATCGTTTGTGAATGGGGAGGCGAGTCTAGATGTTCGAGAATCCATGCTGATCTGTGTGACAGAAATGGAAAATTGACGGTAGGCATCTGCTTTGACATCTCCAAGGCCAGTGTTGCGGAGTCCGTGTGCCTGGCGATTGTGTCTCTCAATCATTGTTGAAATCTCGGTGAGCTGCGAGAATATTCGGAGCATATGATACAATTCTTCCATAGTTCATTGAGATGCATCTCTCCGTGATGGGGGGTGAACTCATTTCGCTTTACGGAATTACACATTCGATCAACGGAATCTTGCAGCTGCATTTGCGATCACGGGAAGATATCTGTACGGAAAGCAACATATGGTCCTTCAATCGTTGCACTCGAAGCTAAGAATAGATATTCACCTGTGATCGCTGCCCATGCGAGGGAAGTTTCCAAGTATGATTATTGAAATACTCTATGCATAAAGATCACATGTAACACATAGGTAGATCACAGCATGCGCAGTGGTTTCTAATCTTTAGCGAGGATTCCCTTACTGACAGTCCCTGTTGCGCGTCGCCTGAAAATGTCCTTGATTCTCGGCATCTGCGCATGTAGGCATGGGCAGCCGACTCAGCGCCACCGCGAACACGGTCTTTGTGTTCCTTTTCAGTCCCCTTGAAGATTCGAGCAGAAACAGTAGGGATGCCCCTTGTCAATGGGCGTGGTGTCTGCACTAGAAACTCTGCCAGGGAAGGAACGAGTCCTTGCTGCTTGTTTGGACCCAAACTGGTGATAACCAGCAGATGACATTGCGCATTTTGGTAGTACTCATCCGATGTTGGACTTGTGCATGTACCTTGCAAAGCTGAAGTCGTCACCTGAAGGACCTTGCTCGCCTCCCCGACTCTCGTTGAGGGCGTTCTGGTAACGAGACTCGAGGCTGTCATCCGCATCTTCAACCTCCTCATCGGAGTCATCGCCCACCATTGGAACGCCATCTCCTTCTTCCATATCTTCTGCATCGCTGACTGTCTCGGGTTGCTCTTTCGGAGGGCGCTTCTGTGAGCCGCCGGGACCGCCGACCTTCATATCCTTCATCAACCTATCCAACTCCCGTTGACGTGTGGCCACCTTTTCCTTTTCGCGTTCCGCTCTTCGTCGCTCTAACTCAGGCTTGTAGTCGCGCTCAAACTCCTCCTTCTTCGTTTGGACACCCTTGAAGAATTCGTCCATGCCGTCTCCGGTCATGGCGCTGACTCCCACTACACTAAGATGGTTGTAGAATTCCTCGAGGACTAGCGACATGCTGTTGAGGAGACTGCCCATGTACCCGCTACCTCCACCCATGCCTTCGCCACCAAACGCTCCTCCCTCCTCTTCCTTTCGCAGTGCTTCTTGGAAGGATTCAAAGTCGGTCATCCACTCCTTTGCAAAATCTGCGCTTTGTGCGTCCGTCTTGTTGAACACCAAAATCATGGGAAGCTTCGTCTTGTAAAGGATCGAACATGCGTAGAGCATGTTCGACATGAACGTTGAGGTGCTCGTTGTTCGTGGTGTGTCGATGATGTATGCAATGACAGTTGGGAATGTGCTTGCCAAACTTGAGAGTAGGATCTCGCCACTTGCTGACCATACGAACACCTCTATCTGGCCGGGTGTATCTACCAGAATGTGCTTCACCTGCTGCTGTTGCGTTGCGGGTGCTGGCGCCTTGCCCTGGCCTGTCATAAACTCCACCGTGCTCTGCTCGGGCACTGGGGCCGGGGTAGGTGGTGCCGTTCGTTTCTCCAATAGACCAATAACCTGATCAATCTTTGTGCTGAATAGGTTCAGACTCGTAAGGATTCCACCGTTTGGACCAAGGTTGAATTGTTTCATGACCTCTTTGTAGTTGACGGAGTCGCGGATGTCGATGTTGGGAGTGAATGGCACATGGCGGACCGCAGGATCGAGGTTCAGGATATAGGGAGGTGTTGTAGAAGCTTGCGAGACAGCTGGTGTAGCGACAGTTGGATCTGGATGTGTATACAGGTGCGATACCAGGCGTTGCATGAATGTAGTTTTCCCAGAGCCAGCCATGCCTACACAGACGATAGAGACGGGAGAGTCGGAAGATGTAGGCGCGGAGCCTTCCGGATTCTGTGAGGTCGCCATGCTTTCTATGGCCTGAGGGAAAGCTTCAAGTTGTCAGTAAATCTCCAAGATCCAGGTCTAGAGAAGAAGACGGAGCGTTGACGTTGTTTCTCGATAAAAGCTCGAGAAATTCTTAGCTAGGACCCCGCCGGCGTCATGCCTACCAAAACGCCGATCGCCAAGCTCGGCTGCGCTTGCTTGCGGTTACGCGCTTCGAACCGTGCTTGACATCACAGCAGCAGCTCTAGGCTAGACATCTTCCATTCTTCGTCAAGCTTTCCTAAGTTTATCCCAACCAGATCTATCTCAAACCCGGGACTCAACACGTCTAAACCCGCAATTTTCGCGCGTCTAGCACGAGAAGCTTCTCTCAAAAACTCTCAATGGGTCTAGAAGATTTCGAAAAGGAACTTGCAGCTAGCAAGGCAAGCAAGAGCTCACACAAGAAACGCGACCGAAGTCGAAGCCGAGACAGAAGTCACAGGCATCGTCGTGATCGCTCGAAGGATCGCGAACACAGACGAGACCACCGCTCTTCGCGCCATCACCACCGAGATGAGGACGACGAACGCAGCGGCCACCGAGACGACCGACACCGACACAAGCGGTCGCGACACCATCGCGATCGCTCTCAAGAAGATTCGCATCGCAGAAGAAGCCATCGAGACGGGGATCGCGATGAAGATGATAGACGAGATAAACCACGGAGGCGTCACGCAGATAGCTCAGACGACGAACAGGAGCGAATTGGGCGCAAAGGCAAGGGCGCTCTAGATGACGAAGACATGGATACGGATAGTGAAGATGAAGCTCCCCCAGGTCGGGATTTCGTGCCGCCTGATGACGATATCTTGGATCGACAACTTGAGGAAGCTGCAAATGCAAATATCGAGCGTGACTCGTGGATGCAAGCGCCGTCTTCGCTCGACGTAGACTACGTGCAGCGTAAGAAGAAAGAGGAAAAGACTACTTATGTAAAGTCTTCAGAGGAACACTTCAAACCCACAAATGTAGACGAGCCAGACGAGCAGAATGTAGAAGAATCGGGGCCCAGAGAAGTGTCATACACCTTTGGAGATGCAGGGTCGCAATGGCGCATGATGAAGCTCAAAGGCATATATCGTGCAGCGGAGGAGACAAATCGCTCGGTTGAGGAAGTAGCGCTTGAGAAGTACGGTGACTTGCAGGATTTCGACGATGCCAGAGAAGAAGAGATCGAGATGGACAGGAAAAAGATGTATGGCAAAGCGTACGTGGGCAAGGAGAAACCTTCTGGCGAGCTTTACGAAGAGCGCAAACGGAAGGAAAGTGCTCAACGACAACACGAACAGCAGGAATCTGGCATGAGTGCCTTCAATCAGACTACGGCGGAAGCCTCGACAACTGCAGCACCACCACCACAGGTCAGATTGAGTAGCACCGAGCTAAACAAACTGAAGGCACAAATGATGAAAGCCAAAATGAAGGGAGCACCTAACGCGAAGCAACTCGAAGACGAGTACAACGCCTACCTTGCGGCTGATAAAGTTGACCCTGGGGACGTCGTACTGAGCGCCATGGACAACCGCATGCTGGCCGGCGGTCGAAAGGGTGAAGTCGTTGCCCTCACGAACAAACGAGGACAAGAGAGGGGACTCGTCAAGGAGAACGAAGACATGAGCATCGAGGACATGGTCCGTCAAGAACGCCGCACGAAAGGCCAGGCGGGCGGCGAAGGCATGCTGCTGGCCGAAAAGATCGCCAAAGACGCCAAATTCGACGTAAGTCCTAAACTACCCTCAAACCATTAAGCACATTCTAACCCATTCCCCTAGAACGACCTGGACTACCTCGACGAAAATGCCAGCCGCCTCGCGACGCGGGCCCCGAAATCCACCATCAATCTCCGCAACACGGCCATCCAAGACTACCAGCGCACGAACCGCATCCTCGACAGCTGCCAACTCTGCCACCACGAAGACCGCTCCCCACCGCAGCCCCCCATCGCACCAATCCTCTCCCTCGCCACCCGCGTCTACCTGACCCTCCCAACCGAGCCCGAGCTCTCCGCAGGCGGCGCCGTCATCGTCCCCACACAGCACCGCACCAACCTCCTCGAATGCGACGACGACGAGTGGGAAGAAATCCGCAACTTCATGAAGTGTCTCACCCGCATGTACCACGACCAAGGGCGCGACGTCATCTTCTACGAGAACGCCGCAGCCCCGCACCGCAAACTCCACGCCGCCATGTCCGCCGTGCCCATCCCCTTCGAACTCGGCGAGACCGCCCCGGCCTTCTTCCGCGAGGCCATTCTCGCCTCGGACGACGAGTGGACGCAGCACAAACCCCTCATCGACACGCTGAAAGCCTCGCGGAACGGCATGGGCAGGTCTGCGTTCAGGAAGTCGCTCGCGAAGGAGATGCCGTATTTTCATGTTTGGTTCGAGCTTGATGGCGGGTTGGGTCACGTCGTGGAGGACGAGAGGAGGTGGCCTCGTGGTGACTTGTTTGCGAGGGAGACGCTGGGCGGTATGCTTGATGCGGATATCGAGGTTGTGAAGAGGCAGGGTCGCTGGCATAAGGAGGACCGGAGGGTCGAGAAGTGGAAGAAGGGGTGGAGGAAATTTGACTGGACGAGGGTGTTGAGCGAGGGGTGAGGCTCGATCGATCGAAGGAAAAAAATCCCTATATGACATTAAAAATATAATAATTTCTCATCCTGGACGGTTTCGGACATGTCACTTCAGTATTGAAAAGGTTCGGCAACACATCACCGTCATAAGTAGTCAATAGTAGCATGTAATGAGTGCCAAAATCAGCACCTCTCATCATCCATCCATCGATTTATCTTTTCACTAGCTTTGGTGGAAAGGGCCCGTGTTGAAGGGGCCTGAAAAACAAAGACATTGGTATGCTTCCGTTGAGCACTTCAACCCTGTGACTGTTCCGAAAACAAAAATGCCGATGGATGTGTCGAATCCATCCATCCATCTTATGCTATTTACACTGAGTGGTGACGCACTCATCCATGATAATGAAAGATTTGAGATTTCGCAATTGCATCCACAAAATAGAGGCGGTCACTTACGCAACCACAAGCTCCTCTTCATTTACTGACCACCAGCAGCAACGGCGCTGGCGGCAGGCGCCTCCAAAGAGAGACCATTAGCCGCGGCCGCCAGATCATCCGCCAACTCAGCCTTCGCCTTCTCGCCCGAGCTCGTGAGACCTTTTCTGATCTTGAGCACGCTGTCTGCGATGACTGCGTCGATACCTTGGGCTCGTTGAATCTATACCGCTTGTATTAGGACGATGCTGTGCAAACAGTGATACACAGAGAGGGAAAGGGGAGTTAAACTTACATTAACATTCGACTCCTCATTATTCAGCGTACCGTAGCTGACGCACACCAACCCGCTCTCCTTAACCACCTTGACGAGGCGCGGGCAATGCACGAGCGGCTCGGCGGCACTGACGACGCCGAGGAGATTCCAGCGGCTCGCGAAGCGGATGGCTTCCTGGAGGCTGGAGGCGCGGACGTCGCCGACGGGCGAGGTGCCGGCGTCGGTGAGGAAGAGGATGGGGATCGCGGGCTGCTTGAAGGAGAGCATGAGGCAGATGTCTGGGTTGAAGGAGGAGAGGATGATGTTGCGGTTGCCGGCGAGGTCGTAAACGGTTTTGAGGACCGTGTCGACGAAGGAGTTGAGCTCGACGGCGTATTGGTCCATGTCGTGCTCGACGGATTCGTGGAGCATGGGGTACTCTGTGGGGTGGTTAGTAAGAGGGGTGTTCGTTTGAATGATAGGTAATTGACTTACTCATTTCAATGTTGAAGCCGGTCGATTCCGGAAGCCGCTTGAACATCTCTTCCAAGGTCGTGAAGCGCTCTTGGATCGAGTTACCGCGAACATTGCCTTTGAAGCCTTTCAGCTTGTAGTCACGAGTGTGCTTCATACGCTCTGAGATCTGGAGTTGGTGTTCGTTGTGAATGTTTTTGTGCTCCGAATTGTCCACGGAATACGCTCGCGGCCTGCGTTGACCCTGGGAATCCCCATCACCCCCATTGCCGTTTGCATTTGGTGATGTGGACCTGTTCCGTCGTGGGGTCTGGCCGTCACTAACGTGCAGGAATTGCTCGAGTGTGAGAGTATGCACGGGTGCGTCTATGCCTGTCTCGCTGACTAGGAAGTCGTGGTAGATGACGGGCACCAGGTCCTTCGTCAGTTGAACATCGAATTCCACGTACTCGGCTCCTAGATTTGCTGCAGCGATGAAAGAACTTATGGTGTTCTCTCCGAGCTGCAATGATTTTCTCGATCCAGTATTCTTGCCCAATCCACGATGTCCAATTAGCTTTGTGGATGTAATCTTCTTCCAGTACATATGTTGCTGTGTTATAGACATATTTGGATGAGAGAAGGGTGTTATGATTAGGAAATTGAAGTTGACCGAGCCGATGACATCCAGAGTAGATGCTGCCACGATGGGGACCTTGACGTCACCTTGTAACGAGATGCGCTGCGAGCCGATGCTCGTTTTGATTGTGGACAACAGAGCCACGCCTCGCCCGACAATGCGGTCATGTGATCCTGCATACGTGGGAACTATATCAAAAAGAAGCTTCACCTTTGTCGCATCAAGGGTCTTAAACGTGATGGGCTCGGTGCAGATGTTCTCCTCCACAGGAAGATCGATGACAGTCGGCTCTCCAGTAGCGCCAGATGCCGAAACAACAACGGATAGCGCAGTGTCCAATTGAGTAGCATGAGCATCTGCCAGCGGGATATCATCAAGTTTAACGGCTGGTATATTCTTCCTCGTGTCCATGGAACCAAGACTGACCAACACCATGGTCTCGTTTACGAGGAAACGGTGACCAAATGACTTAAGCGGTTCAGGCTGCCTTTGGGTAGTCGAAGAATTCTCTCTTGTCAGATTCTTGGATCGGCGTTCTTCCAACGACGAGGTTTGTGGTGGAGATCCGGAAAGCAATGTTGGCGTTCCGACAGCTGGAGACTTAGCCTTGGGGACGATCTCAGCCAGGCGCTGTACAATATCCAGGTGTCCTCGAAGTGCAGCATGTTCTTTCGCGGTCCAGCCTGAGAGATCGAAGCGCTCTGTGTCTGCTCCCGCATTGACAAGAAGCTCCACGATGGGAAGATGACCGTCAACGCATGCTATGAACAACGGCGTCCAGCCAAATGTCTTCTCCGGAGTGTCAATCACCGTGGGATTGAAGGGGGAGCCCTCTAGAAGAATCTTGGCGCACTGGTCATGACCAAATCGGGCAGCGACATGCAATGCCGTCTCACCCTGCTCATCTTGGTAGTTGACATCAACGCCTGCGTCGACCAAAAGCTGAACAATGGAGACAAAATTTGACTGAGTTGCCAAGGAAAGTACGGCACCGGATTGGGGGTTCTTCTGTCGAAGATTGGCCTGTCCATCGGCGTCGCTGGGTTGTTTTCCAGCCTGGAGCAGAGTTTTAGTTGTGAGAGGATGACCTCCGATGACGCTGAGGTGGAGCGGCGCATAACCCTCCAAGTCCTGCCACAACGGAGAGTCGATCCCTTCAGTAATATCAAACTGTCCCCATTCCTGCATATGCTTGATGACAAGCTCACAGATGATGACGAAACCGTACTGGGCCGCGTAGTGTAGTGGTAGTCGGCCGTAAGAATCACGTGATATGAGTGATGAACGCTGCTGCGGGCGAAGATTATCCAAAAGATAGGCGAGCAATTGGACAGATTCGTCATCCCGAGATAGTAGCTGGGTAAGCTCGAGCTCATTCACGGTACTTGGAGGTCCCTTGGCCGGTTGCGCTGCTGGGACGATGAATTGTGGCTTTTCGGGGAGCATCTGCATCGGGTTCCCATCGACTCCGAGAAACTCTCCACTCTTAGATCTGCCAATATTGATGACAAGGCGATGAATGCAGTTGCGCTTATTGATGTCGTCATCCTCTTCCAAGGATGTGATGTCCTGCAGTAACCGGTCAATGCACGATTTTGACCGGCAAGATATCGCTCTTTGCAGGAAGTTGAGTAAGAGCTGCTGGTATGGAGCGGCGCCTGCCTCGTGAGTACGAGTAACATCTTCAAGAATGGTAGCAAGGGCTTGGGACTCGTCATTGCGGAGAGCAACGTCAGCAGCGTCGAGCGTGCTAGGAGATAGATTCAATGCCCTGCCTGGTATTCGGCTCAAGGAAGATGTAGAATGCGTGGATCCGGAATCGTCGAACGTCTTTGCCTCACTCAATTTTGAAAGCCACTCATTGAGTGCCCGCATGTCTTGAGTCAGAGGCAAATTATGGGCAAACGCTTTCGGGTCGACTTTCGAAGCTAGATAGCGTTGCTGCATACAAACGACGGGGACTTTCTTGTCCAATTTCTTGGTGATTTTGATGAACCCGCGACGATTGACCTCTCCATACCATTGGAGCTTCCTCAGGTGGCCGCGAAGCTCGAGGAGTGCAGCCATGAGGTCCTGGACTTCATCTTTGTCCAGGCCGTCAGGACCGTTGGCAGCGCGTCCATAGCGGCCATGGAGTAGCTTTAGACGACGCGCCGACTCGGCGTACTTTTTGTTGTAGAAGCTGTCTACATCTTCAAGATTGCGATCGAGCGCAAAGAAGAATGCTGTGTTTCAAAATTAGCACGAGTGTTTTCGGACAAAGGAATAAAGAGTATGGCGTAATGCAACTCACCCGTCAAATCGGGGTCAAGGCCATCCCGAACAGGTTGAGAGGCAAGCTTGATCAGCTTCTTGAGGCCTTTGTAGTCGATGTAAGATGACGCCCACTCCGGGACCTGGTTTCGGGGAAGATTGTGGCCAAACTTCATGACTTCCAGGAATTAAGGAATGGTGGAAAGGGATATCTGGGTTGGCACTATGCTCAAAGAAAGCTACTAGCCAAGGCAGGGAGCTGTAGCTATAGCTATCTGCTTTGAGGTAGGTGGTGCGGGGCCAGAGGAGGAATTGCCAGGCGCAACAACGGCGGGCGTGAGGAAAATAAATGAGCGGCAGTAGATCGGAACAAAGAGGAAGTGTCAAATATGTATGCTATGTGCCATGGGACGCACACGGTGGTTGATGGCGGGAGTTTGCGTTGATGAAGCTATATGGAGGGTGTGGGCGAGAGGTCGGATGTCATTGGAGGATTGCGCACGCGGCGGGTGGAACAGAACGACTTGCTGCACGCCTGCATGATGGTTATGGAATGATTAGCGGCTGCGAGTGCAAGGGAGTAGTGAGTGGGAATAAACGACCAGGACGAGTAGTAGGTATAGGTAGGTGGGTGATAGGGCAACGGGGTGGGATGTGAAGGTGAAGATGAGGATGAAGGAGGGATGGGGCAGCACACTGGGGGCTTAAGGCGTGGGCGCGGGCGTTTCTGGCGATGTTTCCAGCAGACAGCGCGCGTCTGGTGGGTACTTGGTAACAGTAGAAGAGGTGAAAAGAGTGGGAAGGGTGGATAGAGAACGATGTCTTCTGACGATTGAGGCAGAACAGATGGTGGGAATAAGGAATGTATACGAAGGTAGGGGCACTACCACGATGTTTTCCTTTCTAACTCTTGCTCTTAGAAGGTTTGGTGCAAAAGCTAGAAGTGTCTCTTTTGAGTTTCTTCTGCCTTTCTTCCTTTATTTTTCGCGACCGATGACGCAAGCCGATACGGACACGGATTGGGACCTTTATATAGTACAGATATAAAATTGGGTGGATTATATGGGGCAATGGGTAACGGCACAAAAGAAGAAGAAAAAAAGCTGGATCCCGCTTGTGAATCTTCTCCAGACTTGCATGCGATCTATTTATCTATTAATTCCAACGTCCATGATTTTCTGCGCCGGGCTCGCTTATGAATGATGGATGGGGCGCCGCCCCGTTCGTTTCCCCTTCCCCCCCTTCCAGAAAGCAAGCATTCATCATCAAGCATATGATTAACTTATGGGTCTTGTCTTGCCCTGTCTAGTCTCCTCTGGTTCTAGTATTCCATTCACAGCATCAAAACGGTCGGGTTTCGTGGGATCAACTAATCATTGGCGGTCCGCATCGGCAATCACACCCCTGGAGCTCTATCATGTCCAGTTACATCAGTCTGTGGCCGCCTTGCAGACTTGCAGGAGACTACTACCTATGCATTGTCAAAGTCGCTGCAACTGGCCGTTCCTGGATGCTCAGAGTAACACCTACGGTGTATATAGTTGGAAGGTGAAATAACTAATAGTAGGTAGTCATCAGTAAACCCAGTCATCACATGTATGTATGTACCTTATGTTCTCCGTAACTACTTGTAGAAAGTACCTAATGCACGAACTGGACCCTGCGTAACGTCACAAGCAGAAACGTAGGGCATGAGTAGTGCAATGTACTCGCCATTCGGTCAGAGACGGCGTGTGTTGTATGCCCACAAGAAGACCCTTCTTTTTCCCCCATCCTTTTACTTTCCTTTTTCCAAACAAGCGGATGTCCCATGCGTTCAGTCACATGGTCGTGACGTCCAATAAAGGCCAGATGTAGGCGAAAACTCTGTTCCGTCGTTCGCGAGGTCAGGAGGGTAGGTCTGGCGGTGTTGCGGTGTCACGGCGGCCATAATTAGGTACCTAGGTAACTAACCCACGACCAACTCACCGCAGTATTACCAAGTAACAAATGAATCGGTACTTGTGACGTGTATTGCTGAGTAGGCGTGGGCTCTAGATGCAGGCGCTCTTTGGAGGTACCATATTCACTAACTGTGAATGACATTGACAGGATGCACCTATCCATCCGTACACAATATGTACATCACTCCGTCCTACAGCTTATTCGTTTGTTGCTATTATCGCCGCTTGCTTTTTTGTGGCAACTGCTCACACGACCAACTGCCACTTTTGCCCGGTCCATCATTCGTCAATAATGTTCTCCACCATGCTCGGACGGAACAAGGTACAAGAAAGATAGTCAGGGTCTACTTTGTGAATGGCTTGAACTTCCTTGGCTCTCCCTCTGCCATGCAATCTTTCCTTGGAGCCCTACTGTAAGACGTTGTTCGGTAAATCAGACAAGCAATTGTCCCTACTGCTCTGCAACTGTCAGGTGGATACCTGTTCCTCATTCCAGATGTTAGCACGGCCATTTCACAACACAAAACTACTAGTTACGGAAAGCAAACATTCTACAATCATGGATCGATTATTCACGAATCCCTCGCTAAGCTTTTTTTGGTCTACCCTTGTAACTCTACGTCTGCTCGCACACCGATTCCAGCTCCACACTCGTGCTCAAGCTTTGTCCCTTCATGGTTAGGTGTAGAGGTACCTGGCTTGCAGCACAAGTTGGCACGAATGCAGAAGCCATCTGCATTCTCCACTGGGCGTGGGAATGGTGCGGGGTATATGCGACCCTTTAGCTTTCATCCATCCACCACTGATAGTCCAGGAGTGTCAATCTTCCCGAAACCACCTGGGCCAGTATCACATCCGTGACATCTCTGAGCTTTGAGAAAAGATCCCATCCCTCACGAGAAGAAGAATGCATTTCCTTCAGTGTCTTTACGCTGCGTCTTGGACAGGTCTTGTTCGGGGTTGTACTCCGTCCAAACGCTTGCCGGATAAATATGTTTGTTTCTCTCGTACCACCTTCGATCGACCACTTTGGTCACCGTCGGATCGTCGTCGTGGCCTTCGAGATCGACATCCGGAATTTGAGCCGCCTTGTCCCTGGTCTTATCCCGCCGATCAAGCGGATTAAAGTCGGGCGCTTCCGAGGCTTCCAATTCAGCTGCATCTGGAGAGGCTTTTGTTGGCTCTGCCGAGTAACTGAAGATCGGGCCATTGAACCCCACGACCTTGTTGAACAAGAAATGATAAAACTCATAATGCTAAACAATGTGTGAGCTGATTGTTCCAGGCGGCTTGGGAATTGACACACTTACATGAGGTAAAATGACTTGATCTCTTACAAGCATCAAATCATCAACACTGACCCTTGCCCAATCCCGTCTGCTCTTGTCACCACCAACGCCTAGCTCAGCACCGACTTTCCTCGCCTTATCAAGGAAAAGCCAGATGTGATCGCCTTTCTTGACCCGGCAACGACCGCCAGGGACATTGGTACCGTCGTAAAACACAAAGGGTATGACTATCTCAGTCGCCTTCACGACCTTCCGCATCGCTATGAATTCCTTCCGTGCAGTCTCTGCTTGCTCCGCTTCACGGGCGAGTGCAGCCTTGGTCATTACGCGCGGTTTCATTCCCACGTTCGCATTGGCGTTCAGCTTCTTTCTCGGGATCCTGACCTCGCTCTCAGAGTTCACCGCGGACGAGTCTGCAGGTGTCGTTCCGCGGGAACTGGCATTGGCTGTCGATACAGCAGCAGAGTCCCCTCCTCCATCGACGTCGTCTTCGTCGTCTCCGAACGAGAGCTTTCCTTTCGCGGCGATTTTTCGCTTCTTCTTTTTCTTGATCAGAGGCTGGGGAGTAGAGGCACTGTACTTTTCAAATTAGCATTCAGAGTCGAGGATTCACATTCCAAAGGTGATAGATACCCGTCGCGAGGCGTTCCGGCGCCCGAATCTCCTGTGCTGCCCTCTCTCTCCTTGAGCTCGAGAGCTTCGGCTCGCCTTTTGCGGAAATCGCTGAGATTTACGAGTCCGACTGTCTGCTCCTTGAGTAAATCCTCGGCCGTCGCAGCCTGTGAGGTAAAACGGGCGTTCGAGCCCTCCGGATTGCTCATAATTGGTTTGTTGTACGAATGCAAAGACTAGGGCAAATGTCAATGCGACCTGTTCTGCCTAGGTAACTATCGATGCCAAGATCTGGCGGTCATATGGTCACATGACACCGCGTCATACTTTCCGGGTCCATCACCATCACCATCCGCTCACTCTCTGCCTACTCACAAAGAACAAGACAACATCGATGATTGACGAAGTTTTCGGAGAAAGCTAGAATTGATGAGCTCACTCCCATTATTCGCATATGATAACATCATATTGGGTACAGGTGCAATGACCCTGATCTAAGGTCGCGTCTTAAGACGTCAACAGACCTTTTAACGGCTGCTAGCTTCACAGACCAATTACGCTGTTGTTGTCAAGAAACTTATGAATTTTGAGACACTCAGAGATATACGAACTGACACGTCCAAATTAACTCATTGATATCGAATTTTATGCTTAACTGCAATGTGGGGCAATTACCGCATTGGCCTTATTCTGAATGGACTACACATGTCACTGCATTGGCAAGTCGCAATTTTATGAGCAAAATGCTCAGTCATGATGTATTTACATGCACTGCATGTGCGGATTTTATGTCTCCATGACAGAATAATAGATATGTACAAGAACAATAAAACTCGTCACAAACTTCTCACTAACTCAAATAGTCCCCTGAAGGCCCTTCGACCTTTCTCCCTCTGACGGCGTACGATCACTTTCATAAGTCGTACGCGGAGAGATATCCATCTAGCAAGTCTTGATCTGGGAGGCGGTGTACTTGCAGTTGTTAGAGGGCCCCTTGGAGACAGACTTGGGCTCGGAGCCGGGCTTGGTACCCTTGAACTCCTCGCAGATGGTCTTGACGCTGGAGGCGCAGGTTCCGCTGATGGTAGCCTTGTCGCCGAAGTTGGGGTTGATGCCAGCAAGGACCTTGCCGTTGAAGGCCTTGACGTTCTTGATGACGACCTGGCGGGCAACGCTGTTCTTGCAGTTACCGCAGGCGCGGTAGAGCTTGCCGAAGTCCATGACGGTGAAGCCGTCAATGGTGACCGTTCCCTTTCCGTTGTGCTGGATGACCTTGTCCTCGGCGGACTGGGCGCCACCACCGATGACGCTGGCGTTACCGTCACCCTTAAGAGAGAGAGCATCTATAAAGAGCGTGTGTTAGTAATGGTTTGGCTTCGTGGTTTGTAATGGTGATCAGTCACTTACCTTCGCAGACATCAACCCACCAGACGTTCTGGATGGTGCAGCTGCCCTTGCAGTGGACACCCTCGATCTGGTCCTTTCCAATGATGGCGTTCTTGAGAGTGGCACCGTCCTCGAGGAGGAAGACAGCGTCAGCGTCGCCACCCTCCTTCTGGCCAGTGCACTTGACACCACGGCCGTAGGTCTTCATGCCACCATCGAAGACACCCTTGACAGGCTGGACCTTCTTATAGGTGACGCTTCCCTTGGAAGCAGGAACGGGGAAAGAAGCACGCTTCTGGAAGTGCTCGAAGAAGCTGGCAGAGCTGACCTCAGCTGGGGAGGCAGCGATGGGGGCAACGAGGGCCAAGACTGCGGCGGCGATGGTGAACTTCATTTTGATAATGTTTGGTGGTGAGCACCGGTGGTGAGTTGAAGAAGTGAGAGTTGAATTGAATTGATTGATTGAAAAGTTTCAAAAAAGAATGTGATTGCGTCGAGCAAGTCAAACGAATGAATGTGAGCGAATGTGTTGAGAAAGTAAACGTTGTTGGATGGTTTGAAAACTGCTGATATCCTGCTCTCTTTATGTATTTCCTCTTCGTCGAACCACTCCACGACACCCTGGACATCGAGAAGCACCATCATGATATCGGAGAAATGCCCTTTCCAGCCAATTCTTCCGACGCTTGGACTTTTAATTACACAGTGTAAGGCATCGGTGGGTCCAAACAACTGACATTTTAAGATGAGCCTTGGCAAAAGGGCTGAAAGGAGAATCATACATGCAAAACTAGAACTACACGAAGGACGCCCATTGTCATTTCTTCTACCTTACCAGGATTCTCATATGTGCATGGATCATAAAAGTCATTTTATGTCTTCGACTTTTCTGTACGCCCCCCTAAATTCGGTAGAAACCGATAGGCGAAAGCTAAAGCGGGACCACTAAATCCATACCCAAAACATTCCCCTGCCCTATTGTATCTTTCTTTCTCCCACCGCGTTGTTTCATATTGTTAAAGAAACTGTTCTTCCTCCAATGAAACGTCCGTGCGATCTCACGAGGGCGCTGGTTTGTCACACTTTGCTAACCTTTGGAAGTGGAGTGGAACGAATCGCATTGATGAGGATATTGTTTACTTCGCCCATTTCGCTGGGTCCCGCTACTGCAACACGACATGGACATGTTATCCCATCCCTATGGAAATGAAGGGCGATGCATCTCAATCACATTCATGAGATCACATACCAGACCAGATAGATGTCCCTCTCTATTGTCCTCCCCCTCAAGCACCAACGTTCAATATCTCGCCCATAGAGAACAATTGAGCACAATCCCAACCCATCATAGAATTTCTACCCATCATCACCAGACCTCAGCTTACCGACACCCAGGTACACACGACACGGCTTAACAGATTACTGATTGAGCGCACCGTTTAGGGCGCCCCGTCGTCGTCCCATGCCGTTTCTCGGCAACGCACTAAGCATCTCAGACCGCCACCACGGCCCACCACCCACCCGCACGACCAACTGACATTGCATGCGTGAAGAAGGGAGGGAGCCTCATCCGGACCGAAGAATCTATTGTTTCATCGGGAAAAAGTCTTGGCTGCAGAAGAGCCGCCCGCTCCCATCGAAGCTGTGGGCATCGTGCAGCTGTCACTCAAACGATCGCGCCCGTTCGGGTTCGGTTTCCACGCCTTCCGGGGGCAAGAAAATGCTTGTATCGATTGAGCGGCGAGTCAATTGTCGGATTTAAGACGGGTTTGTAGCGGAATGTGACTCGTGATAGGGATGAAGGGATGGTTGGATGGAATCATTGAGATCTCAATGCGATCTCTTGGCCGTTGTATACTTCGAACGAGACGGTTGTTATGGCTTGCGGGTCGTGATGTCAGTCACACCCACGATGCAGCTCATCTCTAGAAGGATGCATGCTCCCTATTTGGTCGAAATCGAGAGAGGTCCGAGGCGTGCGCTTCGCTGTGGAACCCTTTTCACCCTGAGATCTGTGGTCGATGACAGAGCTTGGGGCTATCCTGACTCCTGAGTAGTCACTCGATCCACGTATGTCCAATATCGTCCGAAACATTGAATGGGTACAATTCGGACGAGTGCAAGCGTCTTTCTGCATACGAAACGTAAGGACGGCTAAACAGCGATCGGACTGAACGATACATCAATCTCGTCATATCACAAACGCATGCTCACTTACCAGAAGCTATCGAGTAGAGACTGTTCACCACGATTTTTACGAGGAAGGACATATTCCAAATCTCAGGGGACAGTCCCTATCGGGTATGATTACTGATTACATAGACGGCTTAGGTACTCAAGCTCAATCCGAGACGTCTTGGCAGAATTGCTTGAACTATCTATGTGGGTACTATGTATGTTCACCTAGTCTACGGAGAAGTCGCCTAACTAATATGAATACGTTGGAAATAATGAATATCTATCTTAGTGCTGTGCAGAGAAGTGATTAAGTGCAGAATCAGAATATGGACGTGGGAGGTACTAAAAATACGTATTTGGTACTGCGATAATTGCATACTACTCATGAAATGATATAGGTACTTGCAAATACATGTGCCTACTAAGAAAGTAGATCTTGTACCTGAGAGTGCCTGAAAGCACGTAGGTAGCATCATCCAACATCCACTCCTCCCTGTAAATACACACATATTGTATCAACCAACACCTAACAAGCACACAAACAAACCGAACTCTACTGAATAAAACGAGTCACGTATGCCTCGATCAGCACACTAACCCTCCAAACCTTCCGCAAGCAAATCTCTCGCAAGCTGAGCATCACCAACATCATTCTGCGCTGCTGCCGGGCCGCACAGCAGTTCATTCACAGTTGTATCCCCATCCTTCGCAGGCACACCATTGCCAAAAAAGCGAACGTTACCACCCAAAGATCGATCGTATAGGCGCCAGCCCTGACCGCGTAGACCGTTAACGCCGTCCTTTGCGAACGCCAGCCAGGCGTCCTGCATCGCGTAGCTGGTGCGCCATTCCAGCTCAGTGGAGTTGCCACGGAACAATGGGTGTGTGCCGAAGAGGAGGGGGAGCTCCATCAAGTGCTGTGCGCCGAATGGCGAGATGTTTTTGAAGTCGCCGTGATATTCATAGCGGAAGGTGGGGATTTTGGCAGCTAGGCGGTTGCTGTTGATATTGTTAGCATTGTGGACGAAGAGTGGTCCAAGGGGGGCAAGAAGCATTGTGGGAATGGGCACCGTATACTTACTTTGCTGTTCGCCAGGAGGGGCAGAGGAAAAGAGAGGAGAGTAGGGGTAGTCGTTCCCCTGAGTTTGTACCGATGATGGCGGGCTGATATGATGCGGCTGTGTCAGCGGAAGTCTCACGAACGACATCGAACCTGTTTGTAACAAAGTAGCAAAAACACTCACAATCTTCGCAACGCGACCCTTTTTCGTCAAATCGGCGTAATCGGCAAAGATGATTTTGTCGTCGACCGTGGGTCGAGGGTACGTCAATTGGCTCGAGTCGGCCAGTGTGACGTCCAGCCACTTACTAACTTTGTCCTCGGGCACGTTGCGAACGCACTCCAATCGCGCGGTTGGGGTGAGACTATCAGCGCACCCGAAGTACTTGGCCGCGGTCTTGAAGTCCTTGTCTTCTTCGCCTGCTTTCGGTTTGGGCTTGATGGGGAGACTCCCCTCTGTTCCCGAGTCGGTAATCAGGGCGCTGACGATGGGATCATCTGGGTATGAGTATGGGTAGTAAGCCACGGATATGGCTCCTGCGCTCTGTCCCCACAGCACAATGTGGGAAGGGTCACCACCGAACTCGGCGATGTTGTCGCGGACCCATTCGATGGCCAGCCGTTGATCCAGAAGTCCGACGTTGATTTCGTCAAGAGCCGAGGACACGGCGAAACCTAGAAGGGTGAGACGGTAGTTGATGGTGACAACCACATGCCCCTTTGTTCGCTCAACCCATTGCGCGGGAATCTGATAGGGAGTGTTCTGGCCACCGCTGTTGAAGCCACCGCCGTGGACAAAGATAAACACGGGCAGCTTGTCAGGCTTAGATTTGCCGAACGGGGTCCAGATGCTGAGCGAGAGGCAGTCCTCAGCGAAACGTCCCTTGATATTGAACTCGTCTACTGGGTAGCTTGAGTTGGTTGTCTGTAGGCAAGCAGGCCCAAAGGCCTTTGCGTCCAAGCTTCCGAAAGGTTTGGCTTTGAGGGGCGGAGCGAATCGTAGATTGCCGAGGGGAGGCTGGGCATATGGGATGCTGAGAAATTGCCTGACTGATGGAGTCACCTTGTCACTCGTGCCATGGACGACGCCATTGGCGATCTGGACATCCAGGTCACCACCTGCTCGAATAGAGACACATTTGATGATCGGAAACAGAGAGGCAGAGAGCAGGATGCTCAGAAAGGACCGCATTTTGAAAGAATGTAGAGTGGTGGAATGGTCTCAAAACAAAGCGTGGTGATTTTCTTCCATTGTTGATCTGATCCAGGCCTTGATATACTCCTGTCTTGAACCCTGTCCCTAAAATCAACTTCATATTCTGTTACTACCTAGAAAGTCATTGGAAGGTTCTCCATTTGATGTTCCGGCCCGGCCCATACAGGAGTAAACAGTCTGGAATCGGATCAGTGATTGGAGCGGAGAAATTTGTATCGTAGGATGACACACATAGTTCGTGGGGAAGGGGGCAGCAGCAGACACATTGGCTTAGTCCCTTCCTACAATGTAGGAAGACGACTTGCCCGATGGTCTGTCCGGGGAAACAGGATCGGAATCGATGGACCGGTCCGGTCAGGTTCGCTAGCCTCCCGGAAGATCATCAATCTAGGACGAAGATTAACTGTATCAATGAAATAGAGAGGCCGGCTGGGCGTGTGTATGAGTGCAGGCCGGAGCGTTGGTGGGCTTTGTTAGTTGGCTTAAATTGTACAGGACACACGAATGTATGGGGATGATCTTCGTTCTCTCTTTCTAAGAATTGATCAACTTCCCCGCTAGTTTCCCGGGCCAGATTTTCAAAGGATGTCTTAAAATAATTATCGTTTTTACATATCACTTGTTTCTTGAGTCAAATGACCACGGGATCGATTTGTCGGAGTAAGGAGTAGATAGGTGATTTGGTCGAACGTCTTTATCAATACACAGTATAGCTGTAAGGAGGAAAAATTGATTTTCGGTGGTCGGTTGAAACAAGTCTCTCAACCTAAGGGGGAAGCCGGATATAGTCCTGGGAAGGCTTGTGAGGTTATGTAACTGACTACAGAGACATTACAAAGGGCAGAAGAACAAAAATTAAAGATATTTCTTAAGTCTTCGCAATATTTCTACGATTATTAAATATTAAACAATATAATATTGTTTACAGGATGCAAAGGTGTTTAGGTGGTGATTGTAAAACCAGTGGGTGGCCAGGACTATCTCCGGCTTCCTCATTAGGCTAGAGCAAGTGTCAGGGGTCGATCACAAAAGCCGATATCCTCCTAACAGGAATCACTTCCCTTATCCTCTTCATGAACGCTTAGCATGCTTCGAGGCGACAAAAAATTCACTGTTGAGATCAACATAGATAGGGATGAGTAACGCAAAACAACTGGTGATGCTGCTGAAGCTAGACGAGAACTTCCCAAGTAAGGCATTAAGTATGAAGATATCTTTCCTCACTATGAGTGAGAAAGGTACGCTCCACTGTGCGTGCGTATGTGACCTCGATACTAAATCTCCAATGTACCATGGAGTGGCAGTCGTCGACTACTTGCACCAATCCAAACCTGGTACGAGCCAGATCGCAGACGCCAACGCTGTGTCTCGGCATCCCAGACACTCAAATCTCTCCTCAGCAGATCGAACCACACCCGTGATTTCTCTCCGGCTTTGAGAAATGGCTTTTCGAATCCACGCAACTGTTTCACGGGCACATCGTCACCGGGTATGCCAATGTAAAGCTGCGCGACTTCTGCGCCGTCTACATCGCCGATGTTTGAAACCACTGCTGAGGCCCTAGCAATGGTTTCCCACAGATCAATCTGCCCTCCTTCGCCGATAGATCCAGAGGGTAACTCGGGCGTGGTGTTGCCCATTTTTTGGATGGCGAGGTCGCTGTAGTTGAACAAGGTGTAACTCAGGCCAAACCCAAACTCGAAACGCGGGTTGATGTTGCTGCGGTCAAAGTGACGATAGTCAACATAGACACCCTCTGTGAAGTTGCTTTGGGGAAACTTCTCGAAGAAACCTTGCTGTACTGTAGTTTCTGGCCAAAGGAGGTTTCCGTAGTCTGTGTCCTGCTTTGCGATGGTGTAAGGTAGTTTCCCAGAAAAATTGATATCGCCATAGAGAAGAGACACGATAGCCCGGCCCGGTTCCTGCCCGGGCAGATGCGCGTAGATGACTGCTGTGACGTTAGGGTGCTCTATCCAGGGATCTGCTAGGCGTGTGCCTGCATTGTGCAGGATGACGATGGTGCTGGAGCACTTTTTAGCGACGTTTAAGATTAATGTATCTGTGTAGTTGTCTTTCAATCCAGGCCTGTCGAACGATTCTGTGGCAAATGCGTTGCCGAAAACGAGACATGCATCACTGTTGCCTACAATTCTGGGGTCGGGGCTCGAAAAGTCCCAAAATAGCTGTGTTTGGTCCTTCTCGGCTCGCAGCTTGAGCGCGTCGAACGGCGCGAGGTAATTTGTCTGCGATGTTGTGCCGGATCCAGAGCCGGAGAGCAGGGTGCCATTTTTGGCTATAGCTGGCACAGAATTACGTTGTTGGGTGGAATCCTTGTTGATCTCTAGGATTGCTTGAACAATTTGTTCACCGGAGACAACCTGCAATCCGAAACCCCAGGTAGAAAGTCCAGTATCGTCTACCATGTTCACCATGGGTGCCGTTGCAGAATAACCCAGGATGGAAAGCAGCTTGGGCTTTCTGAGTGGGAGCGTTTTGTTGACATTTTTCACAAGAACATGTCCTTCCACCGAACTTTGGAGAATAACAGGTTGATCATCTGGGTCCCGGGCGTCGACGATCTTGTGCGGAAGGGTGAGGTTCAGTGCTAAACCGTGACCTGGCTCTGAGATTTGTTGATTCTGCTTCATGCGATACCAGGTGGAGAGGATTCTAATCAATCTTGATCAACAAGACTATTCGACATTCGAATGGCAAAACGTATTCTACCTACCTCACAGCCATATCATCGAGTCTCCGCTCTGGAAGGGATCCATTCCGAACAGAATCGACAAGGTTCGGGCCCCAATATTTGATCGAATAAGGCATGGCCATGTCGAGACCAGCAGCTGCCGCATCATGACCTGCATGCAATGCGCCCCAATCCGTGACGACAAATCCCTGTTGGAGAGCATGAGTACTGGGTCATATAGGAGATGGGGTTTTCCCCACACTAGGGCCTTTCCCTTACCTGAAAACCAAGTTCGTCTTTCAGAAGACCATTAAGGGCTTTGCTATTCTGACAGGCGTACGAGTTGTTTAATCTCTGATAAGAACACATGACACTGCCGGCGCCTGCCCGAATGGCGTTGTAAAAAGGCCTTCAGAGGTATTAGCTGTAATCAACCTCAAGAGCCTTGCCATCGAAAAATCAGAGACGTACCATAGGTACAGCTCATGCATTGTAACATCATCGATATTGGAGGACAAAGAAGCCTGTTGTTCGGATGGATTCCGATACATTTCTTGCTCGTTTCCAATAAAATGCTACAGCCAGGTCAGTGGGTTACCAATAGTTACAGATAGATGAGAGAACACACTTTAACACAAGTAGTCACCCCATTGCTTTGAATTCCCAGAACAGTCTGGGAAACAAGTTCGCCACTCAGGTACGGGTCGATAGAAAACCCTGTTACCAAAGTCAACCGGTGCCTGGTCCTTGTCGTGTAGGATTAATTTTGATCGCCACTTACCTTCCCAGTTTCTCCCTCCTGTCACGATGCGGCCCAACGGACCAATTGACGGTCCCAGCATGACATTGATTCCTTTCCGTTGGAATTCTCCACCCAACCTTTCGGCTCTCTGCCGCGCGAGATCTTTGTTCCACCTGGAAATTTCTTGCTCAGCGTTGCGAGAGATATCAATGCTTGGGTAATGAAAGAACAGTCTTACGAAGCTCCCACGTGGATGTTGCTCGACCACGAGTTCACAAAGTCAGTACGGGTAACCCCGTGGCCTGCATCGTGTAGACACAGACCTGGGAAGCCGAGTCGCGTTACGCTGTGGATCATGCCAGAACACCCAGTCTCATGTTGCACTCCAGTAGTGAGATTTACCTTACACGACCATTAGCAGAGTACTCGGCGTGTTTGTGATACCAAGATGAAAGTCTCGACAAGACAAATGAATTTTTTTTGGGGTGGTGAGAGCTTCTACCTACCTTCTCTTCCAACGTCATCTGTCCGACGAGCTCTTTGGCCCTTGAGAACGCTTCTGCCCATCTCTCAGGTCCGGCCGCAGGGGCTGTCAATGAAACGATATTGTCAGGATCAAGGATTCCCCACCCGGTACATGTGAAGAGGAAGAGAGATCAGGGTCCTTACGTGAGGAATATACTGGGGGTGATTGGCCGTAAAAATATTGATCATCAGGGATACTTTGAGCTACCACCCAGTACCATATACCGGGTACCAAAACCAGGTACAAGCCTAACGATTGAGGTCCCATCATGGTGGATTGTCAAACTTGATCGTGCGTTTTGAGTAAGGTAATCACTCCAGCTAGGGTGGCAGTATTGAGTGGTATTTGATTCGATTTTATGTCACTATGCTCTACCATCTTGTCGGCTTCTTTTCTAGGATCGATGATGATACTTTTGTCCAAATCTTGGTACATCCGGACCCGGTCCGGGTCCTGCAAACTAACGGGATGTTCTGCGCCTAGAAGTTTACACCAACGACGGGGTACATCTGGGAGGCTCAGAAAAGATCGCATCAATGTCAATTCGTATAGAGAAGAGTAGTAAACCATATTACTTGTGAAGACTTGCGATCCTGATTTCTCAATGATCTTTATGTACAACAAATGGTGGAATGGTGAAAATTATCAATTATTTACTAAAGTATGTGTAGTCTACTCGATAGATGAATTCCACTCCTACCCTTTCAAATCTTGTCAGAAAATGCGTTTTCCAGACTCGTACCACCAAACATAAACATGTTTGGATTGAAACCCCAGAACTCGGCAAAATTGTGTAACGTGTCCGGGGGAGCGTCGTGAATGGGTAGATACTCGTAATTTGGATCTGTGCCCGTGCCCGCATCAACATCAGTGAGTATCGGTGACTCGGTACCGAAGTAGGGCATAATCTGTGATTCATCAAATGTGGCTGAGTTATAAGTCGAGGCGGAGTTGATTTCTTTTGCAGAGATCTGATTTAAGATTGTCGGCTCGGGCCTTTGGATGGATAATGTTGCTGATCCCGACATTCTGATTCCACCCTCTGCACAGAGCTTCTGCAATGTGTAGCCGTATATAGCAGGACGAATAGTATTATTTGTGCCGAAAGATTGTAGCAGAGACGCTGCAGCTTCTACATCTTTTATCAACTCAGGCCTTCTGTCATAGAAGGCGTCTGCGTTGGCTGCCTTTAGGATGAAAAGGCAAGCATAAGCCACCATGACGAAACCGAAGTCGCACATGTATCGAAGTCTGTCCTTTGAGATGGGCGAAGCTTGAGTAACGGTTTGGACGAAAGTTTGCGCTGCATGGACCTGGAACGATGCAGCAGCATGTTGATCCGAATCTTCGCTGGGGGATGTCAATAACATATGCAATCGAAACCGCGCGAATCGCATATGAAAAAGAAGGTGACGGCCTTCAGCTGTAACAAAATGTAATGTCAGTGGCGTTGGCAATGGCCATAGAAGAGAACAAGCTTACCTTTGCATAAGAGATGGTCCCAGTCATCGGACCACGAGCGAAACATGTCTTCCAATTTCTTAGAAACTTTACCACCTTGCGAGTGTACTTTCCCCCAAATCATGCAGAGCTCCACTTCTCCAAGCATCCCTTTGATGCAAGATTCGGTGGCAGTCCTGTCCAAATAAGATTTGGCTTTGACGATTTCTGGTGTGGTCACCATAGTCTTTGCGCAACCATACAACATGTAAGTGCTGCGGCAATTGTGTTAGCAACATGACAGAACGGAGGAAGAAAGATGCACTCACTAATGACCCATGTTGTACAGCCACAACCACCACACACAGAAGCGAGCATCCGGCGGTGCACCATCACTCCATCTACCCAGTCCCATCTTGAGCGCATAACCCTCAGCAATGGATCGCGCAGTAAGAATGTCGGGGCCGAAAGTTTCTCCTAGATGCACACCCGGACCGGCCGCTTCGCAGCACGCATACAATACGATCAGGCCTTGCATGGTTTCGATAGATCGTAGAGATGTCCGATCTGGCATCTCAAAAATGAGATCCTGTAGGCGTCTGCGCAGCTGGGACCAGAGCATGGAGCGCAGTCTCGCCGAGTCGGGCAGATATCGAGCTACTGCTTGCAGGGTGGCCAGCCCGAATATGGGGCTGGAGGGAAGCCTCGAGAAGTCAGCATCGTAGAGCGCCGGAATGAAGGGAGCAATGCGCAGTTTGAAGTGTCGAAACATCTGTTCAGCTTCATGGACTGGTATGCCGGCCTCGCATAGCCAGGTCAGCAGACAGCTGCTGCTCGCCCGACTCTCAGTCGGGGAGACATTGGGTGTTGAAACTGATGCCTCTTCTTCAGAGTTTTCGTGAAGTTCAAGATGCTGGACGGCCGAGTAGGGGGTGCCAGAGCTGAGATGATGGGATAGAGGCGTGGTTGAGGCTTCGTGGCTATTGAGACGCCTCCTTTTAGCCAACGACCGCTGCAAAGGGGCAATTGTTTGTGGGATGCGAGTCTCCGCCTCGATTGATGGAGCAGGACGAGCCAAGGGAAAGTGTGATTGCGATTGTGGATCTGATACTCGAATAGCTGAGGCGGGCTCAAAGACGCACTGGCAGCCAGCTTTAGCGCACCTGTTGCATGCCTCCGGTCCTCCGCTGCATTTCATCTAACCAGAACTTGTCAATTTACATAGAAATATTGGATATTCTTGTTTGCTTGCTTCGTTGTCGCTATTTTTCTTTTTTGGTTCATCTTGTTTGCTGGCGATGGGATGGTGTGGAGGCAAACCTTTTGCTGGCGACAGCGCCTGCACGCTTGTGCAGACCGTCTGATTGCCTTTGACCCCGACATATCATACCACAAGGGAGATCGATGGCCAAGAATTCAGGCACGGATGATAGTAATGTGAGCGATGATGATAGCTCATTACATTGGTTACGTGCTTCCTGTAGGAGTCTGTTCAACGACACTTGTAGGCGTCGGTCTATGGACAAGACACGACACGGAGAAGAGGAGACATGTGCCCGCCGAGCACAATGCCAGGTTCTGGCCGACTAAAGTCCGTGACTAGGTTGTTCCATGCATACATTCATTCGTTTCGCGGGGTGCATTTGCGGAGTGCTGCTTGCTCACCTGGGGACCTAGTTAGGGGAGCATGTACAGAGGGTTGGCACGTCGGGCTGGCCCCCTGCTGGTATTTTATGTCCAAGCAGTGCCTTCGCGAGGTTTGTCGCGAGCATTAAGATAGTTTACTGGCTACAGTACACTCTTAAATAGACACTTTCGGTATAGAACATACATGAAGTTAGTAGGTGGCCAGCCCGACGTGCCAACCCTCTGTACATACGGGTTGGAAAGGGGCCAGAGGGGTACGGAGTACATGCCCTGTAAATTGGAAGTTTCAGTGAGGACGACACAAAAAGCATGTTCAGCCACTGAGGTTCGGAATAACGTCACCACTACATTAGTAGTCTATGTATTGTGCCAGGATATTTCGATCTGTCAACCTTGGACGCCTAGCCAGACAATCGTCTCCGAATATGATGTGAACCTGACATGGAAACCAAATCAATGGATCGACGACGCTTGGGTTATTTCCATAGTATTTACAGATCTGTGCACGTGATACTGTCCTTCATGCAAATCTGAATGCTTGTGGGGAGAAAGGGCGCTTTCTTGTATTTGCTTCTTTCACATGTGTATGTACATGGTTGGCACATCCATAATCCAGGTTACGAGGTATTTCACCTCACCAATGTCAACTATCCTCGGCACAAGGAGGCACTGCCCTGACCTGGTCCCTGAACGAACAGACACATGCTACAAAGTAAAGTTTAAACCATTCCTCCATACAGTAGTGACATTGTAAGGATTCCTTAACCTGGACGTCGCATCTGCCGCGCATGGAGCCGACGTTGATCATCAATCTGCCCCTCCCGCCTTTTGTTGCTACTAACTCGGCGTGCTCGGGTACTCGGGTCCACCAGGCATGAACCCATGGTGCACACTAGCCTATTCAAGTGAGGATGTGGTCAAGAAGAGGCCGAAGCTCATATGTACAACAAACGTGCTGCCCAAAACAAACAATTCACAATTGTCATATTGTGCATCAGCATGGCCTTGTCAATTGATGCATCGGCATCGAATCTAGGTAGATGGTTCTCCCTCCTGAGCGAATCATGGCTGTGGTCTTTTACACACGGGATATGTCACACCGTAGCGGCCAGAGCGAACAATACGTCTCTGCTGCGGTCCTGCGTCTACCGCATCACAACAATCTCATTACCCCAGAAATCAAAATCTGAAACGGTCAAGTGATTATTGATTGCTGCCCTGTAAGTCTGGAAACGATATCATATCATCTTGGACGGTTGCACGTGCTGCAGCAATTGGTGGACAGAGTCCCCCCCCCAGTTTGATATTCGTCGCAGCATCAAGTTACTGTGTAGGGAGGAGGGAGAAGATTTGCAAGAGCATGATTCTATCTAACTTTGTATCAGATCAGTCGATCAGCAATATGTCAGCCTTTCCGCTCGGATTCTGCTCTACTACGAGTAGATACAAGCAGCCTACTTTCAAAGAGTGTGAAAGACTGACAAATTGAGTGTATACACGCCTTGAAAAGATTTATGGCGGTAGGCGGAAAGAAAGATATGTAACGACCATCCCACAACCCTTCCTTAATGAATCAGTAGATAGTATCAACCTTAAGCATCCCACCTGCGAAAGAATGGGTTTTCCGCGTCCAGAATCTAGACGGCACAATAAAGATGATCAGCCCAACTTTGACTTGATATGCGTAACTCCAAGTCTCCCATGTATTTGCCTTGTTTTGCTGAGATAAGTACATGTCGTGGTCGCGCCAGCTAGTCAATCTCCTGTGACACGCCTCAAATCCTTGAGATATCGGACCGCAAAAACCAGAAGTCACAAACATCATTTGCGTCTGGGTCCGCCTTCAACTTGATGGAACCGTCGTCGATATGCAGTACGCTTGCCTGCGTGTATCGCGACCAGTCCGGGCGTTTGCTCTGTTGCGGCGATTTTTTCCAAACATTTGGATCCAACTCCAAGACGAAAGAGACAATGTAGTCTTTTATCGTATTCGCCAGCGTCGGGTTCATCGACGCAGAGGAGTCCCCTACAGAGTAGAATGATGAAGCGCCGTGGACGTAGGGCGAAGCCTGGAAGTAAAGTTTCCATGAAGGCACCCCGGCCGCGGCTGCGGCCTTGTTGAAAAAATAGGTCGGACAAGTGAACAGGATATCGCTTACCATGGTCTGCGCCTGCCAGAAGGATGTGTTCAGTTTGCTCCACTTGAGAACTATGCTGAGGAGTGTGTACACTTGGCTGTTGAAGAAAGGTTTATCGAAGTAAGATCCTATGAACTTGATCCAGGGATATTTCCTGATGGCGTCATTAATGAAGGCATTGCTTTTGTCGATCTGAAGAACGAGTGAAAGCATATTACGAACACCATCTTCAGAGGATACGGCGCTGTCTGTGAAAATAGTCCCTATTTGTACAATTTTAGCCCGAGCGTTAACGTACGTAAGAGCACATTGGGATAGACTGACCTTCAAAGGCACCATGTGTAGTGATGAGAGGAACCTTGCTCCAGGCACCTTTTGCAAATTCCTTGGAGGGTATACCGAGAATGGCCGTTCCATCGACATAGGGCCCAAAGTAAGGTTGCTGGGTGCCATAGTGTCCATTGGCCAAACCGAGTTTGTACACTTGCTTGGTGCTGTTGGAAAGAGCCTCGAAGCTGAGACTGCGCAGACAAGCAATGTCTTCGCATGTACTCGTGCTTAGAAGCTCTTGGAATTGACCTTCGAGCGACTTATCCGATTTGTACGGAATGATTCCAGGGTACTCTTTATCTGGAAGTCAGCCAGAAAGAGACGGTGTAGATTTGAACACTTTACTCGCCTGCAATGGCAGCCCGGAATGGAGGGTTGGCTATGCCCCCATATAGCATGAGCTGGTTTGCAACCGAGCCAGCTCCCGCACTCTCGCCCCAGATGGTTACTCGTTTAGGATCTGCGATCAGTTCATCAGCAGCAGGAATGATGACGTAGGCCTGTTTTTGATGAGCTTACCTCCACCAAATGCAGCAATGTTCCTTTGCACCCATTCTAACGCCGAACGTTGGTCCAAAATGCCCGCATTCGGAGCACCGTCTTTCTTGATAGCAGACCCGCCCAAGAAGCCATAGGCGCCCAAACGATACTGAATCGAGACAAAAACCACAGAGCCTTCTGTGTACTGCGTAAAAGATTGCCCGGGGAAACCACCGGAGCTTCCTCCAGAGTATCCTGAAGCACGATTAGGAGGAACCACCTCATGAAGGCATACGTGATTAGAAGTACTGACCTCCGCCATGGATAGCAACAACTACCGGCAAGCTTCTTGACTTTGGTTTCTGGGGAACAGTGATATCAAGCCTGAGGCAGTCTTCGCCCTCAACTGGTTTCTCAGCAGGGGCGGTTATGTTCAGAGCAGCAGCAGTTTGAGGATCAATACTAGCGCTTTGTTCGAAAAGAGCGCCACCCTGGACGCATATATTACCGGCCTTGGTAGCATCTGTGAGCTCTGTTGTCGGTGGGGCTTTTTCGATAGGGACAGGCGCGCGCCATCGCAAGTCGCCCGTGGGAGGTAGTGCAAACGGAAGGCTGAAGTATGATACCGTCCTATATTGGTCAGTTCGTCGAGACTCAATGGCAGAGCGATGTTTTTTAGGTTACCCATGCTTGTCATCGGAAATTCCTTGATACTTTGCATACTTCAAGTCGACCACGTTGGCAGCTCTCGCAATGGCAAGGCCATTGGTCAATGGCACAGCACCAAGAGCAATTGCTTGGATGGAAAGCACCGAGATTTTCATCTTGGACGTCAATCAAATACAGAAGATAATGATAGAGTAAGGCTGATATTGATAGTATTGCTCGAATACTTGTTCAAAGGCGTCGAGGTAGACGAGTTATATCTCCATTTTCTTTACATATTTCACACTGCCTCTTTCCCCAGATTTTCTTTAATCTTGTCTTGTTTCGTTTCGATAGTCTATGACGCCCGGTTTGCACATTAGGATCCGGTTACTGGAGTTCATATGACCGTCCGGTCCGACACCGGGCTAGCAACGTGTTTAGCAGGGTCGGGTCATCGGCTACCAGGCTTATGATAAATCTCATGTTCACCATACAAGATTCATCCGTACGTGTACTTGCATGTATGCGTACATGCATATCTACTCTTAAGTGGGGCACCCCGGGATTTCTGGGTTATTGATATGCACTACCGGTCCGGCGCATTGCATACTGGTTAGACAGAACAAATCATATCCCCGCCCAGATCTATAGTACTAGAGCCATGTAAATACAAAATAAAACTATGACTTTACAAGAGATATATTAAAGACAATCCTAAGCTCTCTGATGCATCTTTACCTGACACATTATGTTGGCTTCACAACCACAAACTGCTGCTATTGCCGCTCTATGCCTGTATTTCGCGGTAGCGTATTCGCATAGTGTTGCAAGTAGCTTCTCCAACCCACCTTCATCCTCCCGCCCATCGTTCAGATACTGGCTCCCCGATGCCTCTGTCGATGGGAAAATCGTCAAGGAGGACATTGGGAGTGTAGCTCAAATTGGCGGTGGTGGCGTTGAATTTGTCCCATTCTACGAGTACGGAGGCATTTTCAACCAACCGGCACCGGGAATCAGTTGGTCCAAGTATGCATTCGGCACCAAGTATTACAACGAGTTGTTACGATTAGCGCTGGAAGCGCACCATGAGTACGGGCTTTTGATGGACTTTGCCCTAGGACCGAATCAGGGTCAAGGTGTTCCTTCATCACCGGACGCGGAGGGTTTGCAATGGGATCTGGTGAGGCTCATGTAGCTTTATATTTGCTTTGTGATGACATAAAACTGAATTTCTCAAGTATCCATTCTTCACAAATCTGGCCAATGGCTCCATGAATAACACCATACCCGGTTGGGGGATGGGGGAGTTGGTTGCGCTGGTCTCTACTTCTGCCATATCTAGTACCAATGTCTCCATACCCGCCAGTGGTATGGACCTGACGGGGCCCGATTATACGTCCTACACCAAACTATCAATCGATCAAAGCAGTCTGCAAGACCTCACTTCAAAGGTGTCTACCACTGGAAAGCTTTCCCCAGAAGTGTCTTTGCCGTCTTCGCCTCGGACTTGGATTTTTGCTTTTTATCAGCGTCGGACCTCGTACCTCAATGTAAGGTTCCCACACAAGGCTACATCTTCTATCTTCGACAATGGATCATACACCGTGGATCATTTCAGTGCCAAAGGTGCTCAACACACTATATCATTCTGGGAGAAGTACATCATGGATGATACCACCGCAGATTTGCTGAAGAAATCTGGACAATATGGTACGCACTAGCCTTAATCATTTTACAGATCCCGTTCAATTAGCTATTAGGAATACCTGAGCTGACTCTTTGAGTATCAAGCATGGGAGGATAGCTTCGAGCTCATCTCTAATACTAATTGGACGCCGGATCTCCCTAAGAAATTCAAGAAACAACACGGCTACGACATTCGCCCTTATCTTCCCCTAATCATGTGGCAGAACAATAATCTTGCTATACAGTCCAATGCACCCGGTCGACTAAGGGTCGTAATGAACACAAATGATGAAGGCGCGGGTTACGTCAATGATTACCGAGCCACTTTGCAATCAGGGTATGAAGAGTACCTCCAGACACTTACTAATTGGGTCCACAAGCGACTTGGGCTAGGTTTGAGGACCCAAGTGTCTTACAATATACCTCTGGAAATGGCCGCCAGCGTTCCACTGGTCGACGTTCCCGAGTGCGAGAGCCTCGGATTCATGAATCTCGACGCATATCGGCAATACACTGGTGCAGCTGCTCTAGCAGGGAGGCAAATCGTCTCAAACGAGCTTGGTGCGGTGTTTGGTAGCGCCTACAGCCAGACGATACCTTCGTTGCTTGATTTGGCCAACACCGCCTTCTCTGGGGGGGTAAATAAATTCGTCCTTCACGGGCTTAGCTACGGTGGCAACTACAGCGCAACAACATGGCCGGGTCACACGCCTTTCAACTATGTCTTCTCCGACCTATCTTCTAAGAAGCAACCGTCCTGGTCGGTCGGAATGCGTGAAGCAATGGATTACCTATCGCGAACTCAGTACATTCAGCAATCTGGTGTGGCCCGTGTGGATGTCGCCATCTATCACCATGAATCGGCAACCAACATTACGTTCCCGAGATTATACCAACCAAAAGATCTGGAAAATGCTGGTAAGCTCACTTCTGGGGAGGAGAATAACAGCCGAGTCTTCAAGCTGATCTTTTGACGTCAAAATGTAGGCTACTCGTATCGTTACATTGCACCCGCCAACCTAGAATTGCCCAGTGCACAGGTCAAGAACAATGCCTTAGGCCCTAATGGACCAGCTTTCAAAGCCCTCGTACTCAAGAATGGAAGCCAAGTGACCAAAGAGTCCATCGCACGCCTGGGTACACTTGCACAACAAGGTTTGCCAATAGTGATTGAGGGCGAGCCTGACTTCTACCCCTCTGGAAACGGCTCAGACAAGCATGAGACTCTTACCTCGTTCAAGGCTCTAAGGAACGTCCGGAATGTATGCAGTGTAAAGAACAACGAAGTGGCTCAGGCACTTTCGCGTGTCGGTATCGAGCCTTTCGCAAGGCTGAAATCCGGAACGACCTGGATTGTCAATCATCGACACGACTCAGAGCTTCTGATTGATTACGCATTTGTACATAATCCTTCTAACAAGGCCTCTAAAGGACAATTGACAGTCTCCCATACTGGATTTCCCTATTTCTTAGATCCTTGGACTGGACATGTCGAACCTCTTTTGGTCTACGAACGGAATGCAAAAAAAGGGACGATTACCTTCTCTGCCCGTCTCGGAGCCAAGCAAGCGAAGACGTTTGGATTCAGTTCCTTGCCGCTTGAAGGCGTTTCGACTCCGGCAAGACACCTCACCAAAATTCCAAATTTCGTGGCTGCAGTCACATACAACCAGAGCAACAAGACTGTCACTCTGAAGCTCACAAACGGTGCCCAGAACGAGAAACGCGACGAGCCACTTCTTGTCGGTCTTGACAATGGCACAAGTCAAACATTGAAGTCTTCTACCCTTAATGTGGCTACTCCCACAAGCTTACTTGAATGGGACCTCACTGTCGAACACTGGGAAGCGCCGGAGAATATATATGACGCAGCCACAATAGGCCGCAAACGCAACACCACCCATCGCACTACATCGCCGCTCAAGTCCTGGACCGAACTTGATACAACAATCCACAACGCTTCCGGCATCGGCTATTACTCGTCATCTTTCACCTGGCCACCCGCCGGCGGCAGGTCAGCGCATGGTGCCTACCTCAGGTTTGGGACCGTCCTTCACGCAGTATCGCTGTCAGTAAATGGTCAGAAAACAGTAGCTGTCGATCCTTTCGACCCTATCATCGATATCGGACCTTATTTGCGTCGTGGTAGGAACACTATAATCGCTACTGTTCCGTCCACCATGTGGAACTACCTCTCCAGCATCATCGACGACATCAAAACGGCAAATGCGTCGCCCTTGACTGCTCCCAGCTTTCCTAATGCCAACATCCCGCGCCCAGGGGTATCGCTCAATGGTATATTAGGGCAAGTCACCATAGAGCCTTTCGTAGAGATTCAGATCAAGTTGGATTAGATGCCAACGCCATAGAGAACGCGGGTTTTGCATGGAGATATGCCAGGCAATCTGGTGCGCGGAGTTTCGGATTAAGTTAGAGTAGATTATAGCCCACTAGTAAACACACTGCTTCCTAGAATTATGCTAGTGAATCTCAAAGAATTCCAAGGAGGATAAGATATCAATTTTCAGAGGGCGGGCTCGTCGAGTGCAGTTACAAACGCCATGCGGGTTCTTACGATCGATCCGAGACATCTTGAGAGAATTGCTTGAACCATCTACCTACAATCTATGATGAAGCTTCTGCCCGCTAGCTCATGATATCTCGAGATTCCTAAATTCCACCTTGACCGCGTGTCCCTGGTCAACTGCGAAAGCACCAATGACGGGTCCCACAAAATCGGGATCAGTCATTTCTAGCGTGTCGATTACTGCAAGAGTTGTCTTGCTGCCTTCACCTGCACTGTAGGAGAGTCGAAATTCCTTCTCAGTGTGATCGATTGTCAGGTGGTACTCGGTAACCTTCTCGACGGACTGGGTGTTTGACTTGGACAGTTTCTGATATCCGTTGACGAGCTCGAAGCCGATGCGGGACTCTGAGGTATCGAGGAAGATTCGTAGATACCGGTGCTCATCTTTGTACACTACGAGTCCGGCTGTGACTCTACTTCCCTCGGGAGGAGAAACAATCGTCACTGAGCTGGTACCGTCGAGATACCTCATACGTTTCCCAATGAAAGAAGGAGACTCGTTAGGATGCGACAAGTCGCTCGACACAGAAGTGATAGTCACTGCCCTGTCCGTCCCCAAAGAACTGTAATTAGACAACTCAGGGTTGCGAATATGCAAGAAATCCACGCCAGGTCTGGCCGAGAGTCTTGGTTTCCCATCCCCTTGCGCGGCGACGACGCCCTTGGGATCCATTTTTACGGTGTCGAAGGCAGGCCACTCGCCCTCTTCCCACTCTCCACTCGTCAGAAACGTCTCCCTCCCCATGATGTATCGTCCCCCTTTTTCCATCCGCACGCCGAGGCAGACGCCCCAGCTGTTTCCCTCCGGATCCGTAAACGCCTCGCAGTGACCGACGTACTGTATGTATTCTCGAGTTCCGGCCGCCGTCAATATTGGATTACTGGGACATGGCTCGTATGGGCCCCAGATATCCTTCGATCTCGCCGTGGTTATCATGTGGCCTTCGTGTGTGCCGCCTTCGGCGATCAAGACATAGTACCACCCGTCTCTCTTGTAGATATGCGGACCTTCCGGGAACTTGCCCCCCGTGCCACCCCAAATGTTTTTCTCCTCCGAGAGACGCTTCCCAGTCGTGAGGTCGATTTCGAATAAGTTTATTTCTGTAACCCGAGGTCTCACAGTATGCGAGCCTTGGAGGTACACTTTCCCATCATCGTCGAAGAAGAGGCTGGGGTCGATGCCGTCGTGGTCGAAGTAGACGGGGTCGCTCCATTCGCCTGCCCATATGTCTTTTGTGGAGATGACGAAATTCTCAGCGCGGCCTGGGATGTCGGGTTTGTGTATGATGTTCGTGCAGACAATATAGAAAGTTTCGTTGTGGTAACGAATCGTCGGTGCAAATAAACCACCAGTTGCCAATAGGTCTGGGTTAATCTTTGTGCTGGAGTGCTCGAGACTCATTTGCGATTGCCTGTGGAGAGCATTTCCTTTCCAAGCATGTCAGAGATGTCTTGTCTAGGCTGAATGGGGGAATTCACCAATGTGTTCCCAATGGACTAGATCTTTAGATGTATAGATCGGGAGACCAGGGAATAGGTGGAAGGTCGAATTGACGAGGAAATAATCGCTCTCGACCCTGACGAGCGAAGGGTCTGGCGCGAAGCCTGGGATTATTGGATTGATTGGGATGGTAGGCATTGTTTGCTTCTTTGAATTACTATGGAATCATACATTGCGAGAGCTATAGACACTTCGCGAAGGGGCATTTTATGACGATGACCTCAACCGCGGGACTCCAGAAGCTTCAACTTGAGCCACCGGGTGGCGCCATTGGGTTCGGTGCATGATACCCCGCTATATCCGTAAAGGAAGAGACGATCCCTCAAATCGGGAGGGAATAACTGTCCAGGTCACCAGCAAGTTAGACATCTCCACACTAATCCGTAGGTCATCGTCGGGTTCGATTGAACAACCCGGAGTTACAACAAGTTGATTGGATACAGCAGCTACCCCACTACGGACTACGGTTGTTATCCGTACACGTCTATCGTATTGCAATACGGCAAACGCTAGCGGAAGGACGGGCAGCTACCCCAGGAATTGGAACCACATTCTTCCATATCCTTCTGCTTAAAGTTCAAAAGGTTCCTGTGCAATTCAGAAGCATAATGTCCTCGAAATTCTCATTGAGTTTCTGGTGGCCACAATGTTCGTAAGCCTCCACAATGTTCATCAAAGCAGCTTATCCGGGTAAGCTGCCTCTACCGATCAGGCACATACTGACCCATCTCGCGTCTCAATATTCATACATACATGCGGAAGACAATCTTATCTGAAATCGCATAGCAACATTTCACGTGATGTGGGGCCTCCATCCGTCTCACTGTATGTATGTGCATAACTTTGACGTACCAATGCCTCTGCCAGAGGGATACGGCTGGTGATTTTATGCTCGATTGTAAGATGTCTACCTCATCAAGTTCCCCACAACTCGATATCGCCATTGTCGGCGGAGGCATCGCTGGATGTGTTTTGTCCATAGCCCTCAGCGAGTACAAGATCAAACATACCTTATATGAATCGGCCTCACGATTCGGCGAGATCGGAGCAGGCGTGGGCTTCGAAAACAACTTCGTCCGAGTCATGGAACTGATCTCTCCGTCCATCAAGGAAGCGTTTCTGCGTTGCATCGAACCAGTCAGCGACGTGAACCCGACTTGGATATCGGTAGCAGTTGGCGATACCAAAAGAGCAGACGAGAACGGTGTAATCCTGGACACTAGTGGCGGGGAATCCAAAGTAGGCGACATCTTCTTTACATATCCTAGTCGGCCTGGACCCAGGGGAGGCATACATCGAGCTCATTTTCTCGACGAACTCGTCAAGTTGATACCAGATGATGTCCCTTCGTTCGGCAAGAGATTGGTCAACATCACGAGTGCAGAGGACGGTTCCGATCGCCCTGTGTTGCAATTTGCTGATGGATCGACGGCTATACACTCTGCAGTCATTGGTTGCGATGGGATCAAGTCGCGAACGAGAGAGATATTACTTGGTATTGAGGAAGCTGCCCGGCCAGTGTTTTCCGGCAAGTACGCCTACAGAGGCTTGATACCTATGGGACGGGCAATCGAGATAATGGGCGAAGAGAAAGCAAGAAAAGCTACTATGTATCTGGGCTATCATCGCCATGTTCTCACTTTTCCGATTGCGAAAGGGTCCATTCTGAATGGTAGGTTACCACTATCAAAAGAGAGGTGAAAGATGGACTGACCAATAGATATAGTCGTTGCATTCAGCTCCAAGCAAAATTGGACAGACGAAGAATGGGTGGTCCCTACATCCCGAGAAGCTATGGTCGCTGACTATGAGACTTGGATCCCTGAAATCAAAGGCGTCCTGGCAGAGTTGCAAAGACAAGACATTTGGGCACTTTTTCAACATCTCCCAGCGAGCACATATTTCGGAAAGCAACCTCGAATATGCCTTGTCGGAGACGCGGCACACGCTTCCACTCCATTCAATGGCGCGGGTGCTGGTATGTGTGTTGAGGACTGTTATATTCTGTCTTCACTGCTATCTGAAGTGCAACATGAACCAGACCTGTGCAAGGTGTTCAGTTCCTACGATGAGGTGAGACGGTCCAGGTCGCAAAGATTGGTTCAGAAGAGCATAGAAGCTGGGATGCTCTATGAATTCGAAGGTCCTCAGGGTGATGATATCGACGCACTTATATCAAACATGACCACGAGAATGAATTGGATCTGGGATTTTGATTTGAGACTCGACCTAGAACGAGCTCAGGAATTGGTGCGAGGGAGCATCTGAATTTATCGGTCGTTCCGGCATAGAAGAGCCTCTAATTTCAGATGAATAAGATCATGTCTAATCCAACCTGCCCATCCTTTATTGAGCCAATGCTATGGTAATGAAATTAGAGACACGATGAATCAATAACACAAGTGCGGCCGCGCCACGATGGTCTCCTGAACCATGTTCTAAGCCCGTAATTTTCCATACCTCGTCCATCTCTCATTTTCACTTCTATCAAGATTATTCTAACACTTTGTAGCCAAGCATTGGCATTGAGGCACCGGAATTGCTTTAGCATCTTGACGATTCAACGTAAACTTTACATTATGTCTAAAATCTTGATAGAAGTGAAAATGAGAGATGGACGAGGTATGGAAAATTACGGGCTTAGAACATGGTTCAGGAGACCATCGTGGCGCGGCCGCACTTGTGTTATTGATTCATCGTGTCTCTAATTTCATTACCATAGCATTGGCTCAATTCTCAAGCCAAGAGGTAACAAGTCCGAATTATATTTTTCCGTGTGCGGGATGTCGTTTGGACATCCTTGCCTCAAGCTCGTTCCCCTGCATACAATCAATGAATTGGGTGCTATTGGTGCAGATCCCACCGGGTATGTTCATGAGTATGACTTCATCCATTGTAACTTCCCCTCTCGAGTACGAAAGTCACTAGACTGATGCTGGAGTAATTCATTGCCGAGCACCATGAAGTACTGTTAATACCGGGTCAATGGACTCGGAATAGTATACATAGTGGTCCGATGTCAGTAGTATTTTATTGCACATAAGGCATGCAAGGTACGATGCCTCTGTCTTCTGAGAGGGATTTGGTTCACCATGTTGTTCAAAAGTGCCTCCTTGGTGGTGCAGGCTCTGCTCTGCGTACCTACTCTTGCTCTTCTTGAGGAACCATTTGTGACTTTTGGTTCCCAACCGGGAGCAATTGCAATTCACAATGCTCCCATTCTGTATTCACTAGACGACTATGCTGGCGTGCGGATTGCAGCAGAAAGTCTCGTAAATGACCTGCTTCAAATTACAGGCGCAAAGCCGTCTCTAATAGCTGTCAAAGATGGCACTAGTCCGGCTGGCAATTCCACAGATACTGCTATTATTGTTGGTTCGGTCAATTCGACACTGATCCAGCACTTGGGAGGCAACACTACCAATTCCACATCGAATTTCGCACACCTACAGGGAAAATGGGAGTCTTTCAGCACGAAGATTCTTAATAGTCCCCTTCCCGGAATTCAAAATGCCCTGGTTATCGCAGGAAGCGATAAGAGAGGCACTGTCTTTGGTATCCATACTCTCGCAGAACAGTGCGGGCAGTCACCGTGAGTACGATCTCTATCATTATCCTATACTTACCCGCAACATCTCTTCCAAGCAGAAGCTTGGGTTAAATTGCTAGTGAAATATATTCTTAGAGCAATATGCAGATTTCACTGGTTCGCGGACGTCCCCGCGAAGAAGCATTCCGAGATCTATGCACTTGACATCGCGACGACGCACGGCGAACCGTCTGTGAAATACCGCGGACTCTTCATCAACGATGAAGAGCCAGCTACGACACTCTGGTGGGCGCGCCGACACAATGCATCACACTACCCATTAGATACGGAGTATTATCGACATGTTTTCGACATGATGCTGCGACTGAAGGCGAACTACATTTGGCCGGCAATGTGGCGGTCATACACACCACCGCCAGGCCAGATATTCTTCACTGATGATCCCGGAAATATTCAACTCGCCAATGACTATGGCATCGTGGTCTCCACGAGTCATCACGAGCCGATGCAAAGAGCGACGAACGAGTGGAACGCGACAGAGACGGGGCCTTGGGACTGGCGCAACAACAAAGCCAACGTGACTAAATTCATGGAAGAAGGCGTGCGGCGAGCTGGAAATAATGAGAGTTATTTCACAATGGGAATGAGAGGTCCCAACGACGGACCAATCGTTGGTGACGATGCTCTCGACATCCTCAATGACGTCTTCGAGACCGAACGCAGCATCTTCAAGGAGGTTTATGGTTCAGAGACCGCCGTAAACCAGGTATGGACTCTCTACAAAGAGGTCCAGACGTACTACGCAGCCGGTCTGGTGCCTCCAGACGACGTGACTCTCATGTTCTCTGACGACAACGCCGGAAACATGCAACGCCTTCCGACCGGCAACGAGACCTCACGATCTGGTGGACTTGGTGCTTACTTCCACTTTGAGTACGTTGGCTCGCCCACTTCTTACAAATGGCAGAATCACAACAACTTGGCGAAAGTCTACAAGGAACTGTCGCAGGCGAAGATGCGGGGTGCGGATCGCATTTGGATCATGAATGTGGGCGACATCAAACCAATGGAACTTCCGTTTTCCTTTTCGATGGATCTTGCCTGGAACGCTTCGAGCGTGGACTTCGATACCATCCCATTGTATCTCGATAAATGGGTAGGTCGAGAGTTTGGCGCAGAGTACAGTGAAGTGTTGACACCACTCTTACTGGAATGGATGCATCTGATAGGTGCACGAAGATACGAAGCTGTCTCGCCAGCCACGTTCTCGAGACTCTACTATGGAGAAGCCGATAGAGTATTGACGAGATGGGAAGTTCTCCACGAGGGTGTGAGCGCATTGCAAGAAAAGATACCCGAGGAGCTCAAGCCAGCATACTACCAGCTGATCTACTATCCCATCGTTTCAGGGGCAACATACTACTACGTACAACTTGGGGTCGGAAGAAACAGACAGTATGCCCTGGAGAAGCGGAACTCAGCAAACGGCATCGCAGATCAGGTTCGAGCAGCCTTCGAATCGGACTACGATTTAACTGAAGGGTTTGACAACCTCCTAGGCGGCAAGTGGCGCGGCATCATGTCGCAATCTAAATATGACGACCTCGACGGCACCGAGCCGTACGGAACCTTCAGAGACTGGGCCCAAACATCTCGAGATATGCTTGCAAACCTCTCGTACGTCCAGCTGCGACAAGACATGCAATACACCCTTGGAAACATGGGCATATACGCCGAGCAATCAGTCAACGCAGCGATACAAGGTCGATGGACCGAGTCCATCGATGCATCGCTTCCCAGCAAGCAATATGGAAACCCAGAAAGAGAGTGGACACCAACACTGCCAGTTATGGATCCGTACGGACCACCTTCAAGGAAGGTCGAATTGTTCATGAGAGGCGATTACCGCGTTCCTATCAACTGGACGCTCGGAGAGATACCCTTCAACTGGATCCGCATCACTCCAAGGTCTGGCGTGCTCAACCACCAGCAGTACGACCAAACCCTCAACATCTCAATCGACTGGAACCAGGTTCCCAACGGCTACAACTCGACCGTCGCGATACCAATCACAGCATCGCCATCTCACTACCCCTACCTCGACCACATCTACATCCCCATCCAAAACCAACGCGTTCCCGCAGGCTTCACCGGTTTCCCAGAGACAGAAGGCTCCATGATCTCCATTGAAGCGCCGCACTATCAAGGCACACAGCCCGCCGCAGGATCCGATTCGAACTCCACAGCCCAGACCGTGAACTTCGTCAAGATACCTCATCTCGGAAGTCGAACGGAGTCCGGATCTCTGGCCTTACGTCCCTTCGATCTAGCCCGCACTACAGACTCCACCACGGCTGCTGCAACATACAACATCTACCTCTTCAACGCGTCGACTGCCTTGAACGCAACGGTGTACATCAACTCCTGCCTCGATACGGACCCGAACCTCCCGCTCAAGTTCTCGCTCACTCTCGATGACCAGCCCGCGAACTTTACGCGCGTCCTGGGGTCGCCGAAGAATGCAGGCGACCTGCCGCCCGAATGGATGGGCAGCGTGATGGACAATGTGTGGACGAGGAAGGTGGCTTTAGGCGCGGCGGCGGAGGGTGCACATAAGCTTGTTTGGAGGACGAATAATCCGGAAGTGTACTTGGAGAAGATAGTACTTTGGACACGAGGGCGAGAGGGGGCGAGACTGACGTATCTTGGTCCCCCGGAGACGAGATTGGTGCAAGGTCGAGGCGAGGAATCGTGATCGTGATTATGCTTATTGTATTGGTATTCTATGAGTGAGTCTTACTCTCGAAGCTACACTGCTACGACGCAGTCTGGCAGATTTCGTAAATAATCCAGTAATCCTCCTAGCTCGTCTAGAATCCTACAATACGTGTGCTGGGTATCACCACCCGTGTGCAACAATGCTGCCCTCGAATATTGAAATACAAACGCCACAAGCGTGAATCATCGTGAGCGGAGAGCAGACAGTCGCACTTTTTCAGTAGGCTTCATGAAAGTGTAAAATCCTCCCAAGGTATCACCCTTCGCTTAATACTCAAAGTCGTCATCAACACTCGGGCCCTTAGTCTTGCCGACACTCTCCTGGTTCCGATACATATCCGCAATCATCCTCGACGTGCTCGCCTGGTCCGGCTTCTTATCATCTCTCTCCTTTATGAATCGTGGGAATCTTAGACTGACACCCTTGCCCCCGCTACCAACCTCATCCGCCGCGGCTTTGTATCTCGGGCTGAGAGTCAAGTCCGCCGTCTTGACTTCCCACACGTACTTGGGCTCGAACCAGACGTCTGGCTGGTCTTTGTTGCCTGAGGAATGCGTGTAGAATGGCTTGGGGCGATCGATCGTGATCTTGGAGAGCTCTGTATGTAAAGTGTCGAGAATGGCTTCGCTGAACCCGGTGCCAATATTGCAGACCGTCTCGTAGTTCTGCGTGTTCGGGTTGTAGCAGGCGAGGAGGAAGGCGCCGTACCAATTTGTACGTTTGCCCCTGCCGTGATATGCGCCTAGCACTACGAGATCGAGGGAATCACCTACGCCGGACAGGTAATCCTTCTTGACTTTCAGCCAGTTTTGCGAGCGTTTGCTGGGTTCGTAGGAGCTTTCGGGACCGTCAAGCATCTTGACCATGAGACCTTCGCATGAGGCCTTCACGGAGTCTTCAAGCAAGACCTGGATTTCGTCTAGCTCGTTTGTGTCTTTGAACTTGGCGAAGGCGAATTCGCCTTCTATAGGCACGAATGCCTTGTGGAGGAGTTCACGTCGCTCACGGAATGTCTTGTTGACAAGTGCCTTGGGATTGTTAGCAGGAGAATAATGTGGTTGGTAATATGTACTGACCTCGCCGTTAAGATAGAGCATGTCGAACGCGAACACACAAACCTTGACCTTGACGTCTTCGACCTTGACATCCTTCCGTTTCCTGGTCATCAGCTGCTGGAATGGCAAGACTTTCTTCTCTTCCATGTCCCAGGCAACTGTTTCGCAATCGAGCACAAAGCTTGTGGTACCATCTTGCACCCACGTCGCAAGCTTGGCCAATATGTCGGGATACTTCTTCGAAAGATCTTCCGAATTTCGGGAGAAGATGTTCGAAACACCCTTTTCACTCTTGCCGGCTGTTGGCGCTGCGGTAGCGAGCTCTACGTCGGCGCCGTGTGCAACGAAATGAATCTGAGCACGCTCGCCATCGTACTTGTACTCGCAAGTGAATTCCTTCTCTTCGAAGCGGTCCAGAACCTCGGTGATGGATTTTGTTGGTTTGGCAAGCATAGGCTTGAGGGGGACACCGGGTTGCAAGCGGCAGTTATCCTTTAAGTTGAAAATACCGTGTTCGAGCATTGCTGGAATAATGACCTCGTAACTTGGAAGTTCGCTAGAGAATGTTAGATGCATCATTCAAGAGGAAGGCCATTGGTGCTTACCTGTAGACCGATTTCAGTGTTGATTCAGCCTTCGCCAAGTCTGCAGTCGAAGGAGTCTTGTTGCCTTTTTGCGAGACCTCATGGGTTATCATGGCATGTGCCAAAGCGACCACAACAGTTTTCTCAGCCAAACCAAGCCGCAACTTGCCTTCCAACGTTCGAACAATGAATTTTGCTTCGCTAGGACCACCCTTATCCTTCTCGATGTCAACGGACTTTCCTGCACTGTGTGCATCTGCAGCAGAGAGAAGCTTCTTGATGCCATCGACCTTGCGGCCCTGTGCACCTTGACCTTCAGTAGTCGTGGCGATAGCCATTAAGCTCTTGTGCACGCCTGGCACGGTCAAAGCCTTTGGCTTGAACATGGTTGGCTGTCGTGATCGACTTTTAGCTGCAACAAGACCGAGATCACCGATGTGCTTCTGGTCGTCCTTGATATGACTTAATGTGCGACCTGTACTTTCGGAAATCGCTTTCATGATCAGAGATTCACCAATTCCAAGTTCGATTCCAGAGTAGTCGGCGGCGAGCTTGTTGATCATTAGGAGAATTGTGGGAAGTAGATCATTAGGCGATAGACGAAGGACTTGTCGAAGGAATAGAGAGCAATGCGCCGAAATCTCTAATCTCGCCCGCGTCATCTCGATCTTGGAGAAAGTTGTACAGAGTGCGGCATAGGGCACTGGCTCACCAGGCTTCCAATCGGGATATGGGTCCTTCGTGTTGGACGTCAGTGTAGTTTGGACCTTCTTTCGCGCCTTTTGCTTGGCTGCTGGTGGTTCTTCGTCGGATTCGACTTCTTCATCATCCTCTTCCTCCACATCGGACTTCTCAGCTGCAGGTGATGACACTGACTTCTCCTCCGGCTTCTTCGACGCTGCTGCTTTGGCAGGGGGGCTTTTCACCACCTCATCTGCTGAGCCATCTTCGGATGCATCCTCCTTCTTCAGCTCCACCTTTTTAGCCTTGGGAGATGCCGCCTTCCCCTTCGCTTTACTTTCACCCTTCTGCTTCACAGGCGTCCTCCTCCGCTGTCTCTTCGACGGCGGCTCATCCTCCGAATCCGTCTCCTCCTTAACCTGTCTCTTCTTCCCCGCCGTACTCGAAGCATCACTATCCACATCCATCTTATCACCATTCTGCGCATCCTCCACCTTCGCACTGGCACCAGCCACCGTATCTTCCTCTTCCGCCTTCACGGCCGGCTCGCCAGACGATGCGGGTTCGTCTGCTGCATCTTCGACCTTCTCCTCCTCCTTCTTCGGCTTTGTCGAGAACGCTAGCTTCGATTGTTGTGGCTTCGACGCCGTGCCATTGGGCTTGCCGAAGAACTTGCTGTGCAGCGGGATGTCAGCGCGAGGAACGTGTGATGTGGGGTGCGGTGTGCGTCGAACCCCAGTGTAAGTTGCGAGGATCTCACATACCCAAGAGTGGCCTGCTTAGGCGGCATTGCTGCGGAGTGATACTTGCGACCGTCGAGTGTCAATTGATTGAGGCGGAGAGTGGTAGTGGTTGTGATGCGGCGTAGATCTGTGGGGTTGAGTGACGGGGGAGAAGATGAACGAAGAGATGGGACGCAAGAAGGGGTCGCAATTCGAGTATATATCACAGACGGAGTGTAGGCAGAAGCTCCTTGGAGGCGTCGTAGCATGCTCGAGCAACGAATATGTCAATCCATGGGAATCGGCAGGCAGCTGAGGCAACAGAGGTGCAATGGTTGACGAGTTGGGTAGTTAGACGAGAACGCGTTCGATCGCGCCCGCCCGGCCATTCAACGCGTCAGGCAGTCAGAACGCCGCACTGACCATGGTCGCTGCCAATTACAAGTACAAATGGGTACTAGCAAGGCAGCCGTCCAATCAGCGGGAACAGAGCCATCAGCCGTTGTCCTGACCTCATCAATCGTAGTTAACGGAAGGCTGCCATCATTCGATCATTCAGGCGAAAGTTCTCCCCAGAAGTAATCTCTAAACTACGCAAAAAGATAGAGATTCTGGCATAAGCTTCGGTTACACACTTCTAGTGCTTGCCCAAAACATCGATCTGGCAGGCTTCTTCTGGCATCGAGCTCCGTCGAGCTCTCCCCCATCCTCCCCGCCCGACTCTTCTCACGCAGAGGCACCACCACAACCATCCAACATGTCACAGGGAGCACCACAGGTAACCCTAACGCCGCAGTTCTGCTTCAACCAGACCGCACTGCGTGGTACGTCTTGCTCACATCTCTCTCGCCAATGGGACTAAAAAGTTCATATTAAAGCCCAGACTTCCTCCGCCTCTCCCGCAGCACGATAGACGACTCCATCACGCAGAACCTCAACGCACTTTTAACCCCCGGCGCAACGCCTTGGAACCCATCCTCGGTGTCCACACGACAGACGTCACATCCCGCGACATTGCGGACGATACCTGGAGAGTCATGCAATAAGTTCAAGGAACAGGTGTTGTTTCCGAATTGGAAGATCAGGTCAGATGTGCTCGACTACTGCTCGGGCGTCGCGACGTCCCCGGATCCAGACGACCCGGACTCGGTGCTGAGACTGGTGGAAGACCACAAGGCGAGAGAGCGCGTCGTTGACGAGCGGTTGGATCCTTACTCTGGACGATACTTCCCGCGAGAGGCGAGGACGGAGAGTTTGGCGATGCTGATGCGGAATGAGAGGGCCGTCGAGAAGATCATCCGGAGTAGGACCTGGAGTCTCATCGGCGAGCGGTGCGGGTTGAGCAGCGATTCGGCGGAGGGAGCATTTGATAAATGGACGAAGGAACAAGAGCGGCCGTGAAAAACGACGCGGGTGTTTTGATAGACGGCCACGACGATGTGATGATATGCATCTTTTGTCATAATGAATGCCGCATGAGCACGGAAAAGCTCTGCAATGTACAATATCGCAACTCTTGATCCATACTATAATGATACTGCAAACATACAGCAACATAACATAAGACCTTGCAATTGGACATGCCGCAGTTGGCCGCAGAGCCTTCATAAAAAAGCCTGTAGACAAACATCGCATTTCACCAAAACGCAAAACGCGACGTCTGAATGCCTCCGCACTCCAACAATTATCACAGCAAGAAGACACCATCTTCGATCACTCTCTTCAAAGATGCCACCTCCTGCACACTTTAAAAACTATAACAATAGTATGTCCCAAAACATCCCACAACTACGATCCATCTTTTCACGGACTGCGCGCAATTGTTTAGGAAAGACGTTTGGTGTTGATCTACGGGGCCGGGAACGGAAGACTATTCACGGAGAAATGAGAATAACCCTCAGCAAGCCGCTATGCGGAGCCACGATGAAGGTATGATATACCAACTAATGATGATGTAGATAGGGAAGGGACCATGGGCGCGACTGCCTTTTAACTTGAATGTTTGGGGTCTGTGCGAGTGATGACTAAGGTGGTGTGGGCTCGGAGTGGGTCTTAGCGAGGAGTTTTTTTTTCGCGGCAGAATGGCGGCGGCTGGGAAGGGCAACGGGTGGCTGGTGGTTTCACGGGCACGACTTGAAGAGGGAACAGACTCTCAGGAAGCCGGAAATAGTCCTGGGAAGGCTCGTGAGGTTATTTAACTGACTACAGAGACATTACAGAGGGCAGAATAACAAATTAGTAAAAGAAATTTGATTAAGTCTTCGCAATATTCTACTCCGTACTCCGTACTATATTGGAATATTAAAGAGCATAATATCATCTACTAGATACATAGGCGTTCAGATGTGATCGTAACAACAGTGGGTGACCAGGACTATGTCCGACTCCCCCTTAGACTGAGAGAGAGGCACAGAGGGTAGGCTTGCATTGGGAAAGCTCGTAAAATGGCACGGTGCAGTTTGCTGTCAAAGTTTGATGTCGTAGCACAGACATCACAGAATTTTGCAAAGAAAAGTGGGAGAGAAAGATTTGGGCTTCATGGTTTGGATTCATGTGAGTATCTAGCTACATTACTGCCCAAAAAACCTGTCAACCTCGCAAGTGGGTCCAATTAAGGGTGACCACTTTCAAAGTCCAAGACAGATGAATTGTCTAGTAGAGGCGCTTGGGAGGGCTCATGGTAGCCTTGATGGTAAGGCTACCAACGTTCTGCCAGCCCTTCTTCAAGAGGGAGACGAGGTAGTTGATGGCCAACATGATGTTAGAGATCAACTCGTCCTCGGTCATACCGACGTTGCCGACGGCGACACCCATGCAGAGAACCTTCTTGAGCTGGAACTTGATGGTGGACTGTGCGTTACTTCGTTAGCAGTGATCCCCAGGAAGAATATTCGATTTGGGGATCTAAAACTTACCTTGACCTCAGTGAGCTTGTTGGCAAGGTCCTCAGCGTGAGAGACGGGAGAAGGGAACTTTCCGGCCTTGGAGAGACCAGGACCGAGGAGACGGGGAATCTGCTTGATCAAGGCATCGGAGGCGACGAAAGCATCGTACTTCCTGGCGAGCTTCTTGATGAGCTTCTTGTTCTTGTTCAACTTCTTCAAGTCGCTGCATGATACGTCAGCATTGGAACCAGTCGTGAGATTCTTTCAGGGTTACGCACTCAGAGCTCATGGCGTCAACGCCGTGGTGCTTGGCACGATCGATATCGTGCTGGTCACCGAGAACGCAGATGCTCATGCCTAAAATTCCAGTCAGCCCATATCCCTCTTCAAATAACCCATCGCCGGTGAAAATGTTCGCGCGATGTGATCCATTGTCGGGTATCACTTACGAGGACGGGGGACGGTGGGAAGCTTGACGGTTCCGGAGAAACGCTTGTCACGCTGGGGGTCGTAGTTCTTGAGGCCGATCTGGAGCTCGACGGTCTCGAGGAAGTTCCTCTTCTTGGTCTCATTGCTGTACTCGAGGAGTTCTAGATATTGTCAGTACGAAATTCATCTACAATTTCGACAAGGTCAGTGCCTGGGGTAAGCACCGCAAACCTTGTCAGTATTGATACATACCCTTAACGTTCTGACGAACGCCTGCGACAGAGATTTTCGACATGGCTGCTGTGTCTCCCAAAGTATTACTTGTTCTTTGGTGGCTCTGGCTGTAGCGTTGTTGTTGGAGTTCTGAAAGTCCGCTATGTGGTGGGGATTTTGTAGGGCTAAATAGTAAGCGAAGAAATTTGACGCTAACCGCTTATAGCCTACCACCAACTTACGATCAGAGTCACAACTCTCAATATCCCCGAACCATGGAAAGTATGTATTATGACTGTACCGGATCTCCAATGGGGATCCGAAATGGGGATATCTTACTCGAATTCGATACAGTCACAGTCATGGGAGCCCAGAAGTAGATGAGTGAACCATAGATTTCAAGTTCGCTAGAGAAATTTAGAGTCATAGCTGCTATGATCATGCTTCCACCCCCGCTGCCCCAATGGAATGTAGCTTTTGTACAATTAACCTTTTGATAAGGAACACCTCCAGTGTCGGCACCCGATATTCATGCTTTATGTGAACCACGCCCAGAACCGTAAACTCCTGTCCATATGCTTCCAATGATGCACAATCGCCGACGCCCACTTAGAGAAGAGCAGCCCATGATTGCATCAAAGAACTGACGTTGATAACATACGCCGGACCGTGCAAACCTGCCTATTGTGATACGAAAATCGAAGCAAAGCAAAGGGGTATGTAACCGCACCAAATGTGCTGCGCCAGGGAAAATTAATATCGTACACTGAATATAGAGAAATTTTGGAAGATGGTCAACCAGAGAAGACCTGTCCGCAAAATGAACAAGGGTTCAAATGTTGACCCAAAGCTCATGTCTGATCCGGGATCAGTGAAGTTGTAACTGGTTGCTCTGAGGCTCGACCACGTTGTCCGAGAGGTTGATGAGGAGCTGAGCGAGGCATCGCTTTGTGGCGGCATCATCGCGAAGAACGGAGGAGAAAGTGGCGTCTCGGAGAGGTTCTGGAAGACACTGGCGGAGTGCTTCGCGGGCGCGAGCGTTGTCACTGAGTCTACTGATGGTTAGAGGAATGCATGAATCATTCTTAGTCGAGCAAACTCACCGAAGGAAGCAGCGAACAACGTGCTTAAGCAAACGAACAGTCTGCTGCTCAACAAGCTGGTTGACCATATTGCTGAGCACCGTTCCGACAGCATAGAAGCGCTCATAAGTCTGGCAAATGTACGCGAGGCCAATGTCGTCTAGCAAGATCTTCTGAACAATGAAGATAGCTACGGTCTTGCTGAGCTCAGAACCAGTCTCCATAATACGCAGGCACAACGGGATGATCTCTGTGGTCAGAAGAAAGTTGATGACTTCGGATGAATCATTCTTCACAAGGGCACCAATAACTCCGAGTGAAGTGAGACGGAGATATTCGAATGGGCGCGACTTCGAAGTTGTGTTGAGGAACGGATATAGGAACAGTGGAATGTGGGCTAAACAGTCAGTCACGTATTGGGAGGGAGTGCGGAAAACGGGCACAAAGTAACGAGCTACCTACCACTGAGAAAGAGACCTCGAGTTTCCGTGTGGGAGGCAACACATTGAAGTAAAGCGAGAGCATTGCAGACGCGGTTCGATGCGGCGGCTGTCAACTGCGAAGGGTTGAGGAGCGGGTAGACAGAGATGATCTCCTGGAGAAGCGAAGCCATAACACCTGTAGCAAGTTAGTGAGGATCTCATGCGTAGGCTCAAGTAAACAAACCGAAAGAATGCCAGAGAATCAGCGCAAGCTCCGGAACCTGCTCGCGCTTCTTGCTTAGTTCCAGCAGCGCCGTCTCGCGTGTATTCGTCTTCATAAGCTGAGCAATCCATTCGAGCACACGGCGGCTGTCCTCCGAGATCCCAGGCTCCGTTGTGAGCTGGCCGATATCGTTGGCTGGGCCGCGCGGGATCGAGCTCGATCCTGGAATATTGATTCCGTTGTTGCCCGCGATGCGGTTATAGTGTTGTTGCTGGGCGACCGCAGCGGCGGCGGCAGCAGCCTGTGCCTGGGCGTGGACTTGGGCTTGTTGTTGCGCATGCTGTGCAGCGTGGTGCTGCTGGTGACCCTGCGGCCACTCGGTGTGGAACTGCTGTTGATGGAGGTAAGGTTGCATCATGGAACTGGGCTCTCATTAGCAAGACGCATTCAACAGGGTGGCGGCAATAATACCTTGCTGAGATGGCGGGGTTGACAATGGAGAAAGAGAAGGGGAGAAGGAGGAGGGCGACTCGTGGTGGGGGAATATATAGCCGTTGCGCTGGCCTTCACTTCAGTTATGTACTGTGTAGTGAAGTCGAAACAGTAGATCGCCGAGTTGAGCCCCACGCGTCCGTGCGTCTGCCAAGACACTTTGCCTATTGTATAAGTGCAGCGGGAGCCTACTCTACTCACTCAGGTACACAACATCAAACGAACAAGGACCTAGGTACTAATAGGTATTAATAGAACGGCCTTTTCACTTTGGCAAACGTAACATTCACGCAATCATCACTTGAAATGAAATTTTCTTTCCGGAATTTTAAAATTTGTTTATCGTAAGTGAAGGTAGTTCAGAATTGTATCTTTCCGCTTGAAGATGAGAGCAAGGAAACCCCACGATGCAATTATCCGCACGAGCTACTGTCCTGCGGGGAGGCCTCCACGAACGAACTATCCTGTGTACTACATGTAAAAGAACCGAGAACGCCACGCTCTACAATCGCAAATCCGCAAGGATCCTCTGTGCCATGTTCTTGTACTGCCAAGTTCCTCCATCCACCTTCTTGAATTGAATACCATGCAGTTGCAAAAGAGGCACTTTTACAATCAGGATTTCAAAAACTAGTACCATGCTTGTCCCAAGATCTGTCTGTACTTGGGTCGAAGTTTCTCCGGCTGCAACTTGCCTTGCGGTGCGCGGCCGTCTTTCGTCTCTACTTTCGCTCTCATCAGAATCGTCAGTGTTTGTGTAGCTACGATCAGCAGGAGAAGGGCGTTGCTTTCCAGACTTTGGTGTCTGAGGCGTGCGATGCTGTTCCCTAAAGTCGTCTCTGTCGCGATTGAAGCCTCCAAAACTGATACGCCGTTTGTGGCTGCTATGCGGCGGTTGGGAAGATGATGGCGAATCGATGCCTGCATCAGAACCGATACTTGGCGCATGTCGACATTTAAATCCACCCTTGATCTCGGTGAAAGTGACACCAAATTGGTCCAGAACGCGTATGATATCGGATTGAATGAATGAGAGAGGCTTGTTGCTTGTAGTCGAAACACTGAACAGCCCTTTAAGGAAGACTGGTTTGACTTGGTCAGGGCTACGGCTCGCCTCCGCATGACTTTCAGCAAGCTCCGCATCGGTTTCTTCTGGAACATTTGACTCTTTAGCCTGCTCTCTTCGCGCTCTTCGTGCCTGTATGCTTTCCCTTCTGGCATGTCCTAGGGATTTTGCGCGAGACGCAGGAACCCGCCGTGGGCTCGCTTGCAAATCTTCGGAAGGACCGTCAGGGATGGCTTTTTCTGTGCTTAACGCAGATCTGTCTGATCCGCTTGTTGGTGGAGGGTGTCCAGGATCTTCAGACGACCTTCCACGCCGACTGAGACGCCGTCGAAGGTCGGCGCTGTTGACGCTAGTCGAACGGCCGAGTGCCTTCAACTTTCGAGTAGCACTGTTCTCAGCAGGGGGAGGGGACAGCAATTCGGGTTGGTGAGATTCGCTCGGTTGCAAGTGGGAGGATGACTGGGTGCCCTTCTCACGCGTTCTTCTGACACTGAAACTCTTGCGTGGCACATTCGTTGATTCAGTCGGGCCAGAAACATTGAGCGACGGCGTTGGGGGAGCCTCGCGATGTTCACGTTCTGGGTTCCGGTGCTTTCTCGTGCTGAATCGTCGAAGGAGACCAGCAGCAGCACTTTCCTTCTTGGGCACAGGCTGCTCAGTGGGTGGAGTTATTATCGATGGTGACGCGGCTCCTGGGGCGACGTTCAAGTTGAGTCTTTGCAATCCTTCCGTTACCTCGTCTTCGCCATGGGTCCTCGCCCTTGGCCGAGATCGTCCGCCAGTTGGCTTCTCTCCGGCCATCTCGTAGGTTGACGTATTGGTGTAAGCAGCTTCTGGAGCCGGCAGATCGGGCATTTTGAGCGGTTTCTCGCCAGGGCTTTGGGGCATTGCGGTAGCGCCTGGATTAGCCTCTAGCAGCTCTCTGTCCCTCTTCTCGCGCACTAGGAAGTATACAGATATGAGAGGGCTGAACGCGTTAAGCGGATCAAGCCCTCGTTGGATGTCCTCGGATGAGCTTGCCGATAACTGTTCCCTGCTGGATATTGAGTTCCGTCGTTTGTAAAAATCGAACATCCCCCTCTTCTTCTCTGCTTCGGGCGTCTGCACTGTCGTTCTTCTGGCAGCAATACGTACAGCGCGCTGATATTCGTCGGATTGGAGGACATTCGTAAGTTGAGTGGTGATATATTCCGAGGTACCGAAGTCAAAGCCTGTCATCTTATCGATGATTTCTTGATCGAGCGGTAACTGTAGAGGTTCACGGTGGGGTAGGTAGTTCTCCGGTGGACTATTAAATCCTTTGATTAACCAAGGGTGATTCATGATCTCGCCCAGGGTAATACGTTGAGAGGGGTCGGTCTGCAACATGCGATGGATCAAGCCACGGCATTCTATACGCGAATTAGTGAAAAGAGCAGAGAAACAAGAGCCTCGTTGAGTAACATACCTGCAGACAGCCAAGGAGGGTAATCTACATGACCCTTCTTAATTTTCGCATGCAGTTGGGGCATGCTCTGGTCGTCGAATGGCACTTTTCCGCAAACGAGTACGTATAGAACGATGCCAAAACTCCATACATCAACCTCTGGACCAGTATATTGTTTTGCTTGGAGCAACTCAGGCGCGGCGAAATACAGACTGCCGCAGAAGGTTTTCAATTGATTTCGGGGGGAGAACAGGTTGCTCAGGCCAAAATCAATGATCTTGATATCTCCAGTTTTGCTGATTAAAATGTTCTCGATCTTTAGATCACGATGGACGATACTGTTGCGGTGACAGTAGTCAAGAGCGCTAGCTATTTGGCGTGCAAACTTGCGTGCTTGCTTCTCCTTGAGCCGGCCATGAGAGATGATGTAGTCGAGCATCTGTCCGCCATTGACGTACTCGCAAAGCATGTACCAGTGGTAGTTGGTCCTGACCACGTCTCGCATGCCACAAATGTACGGATGATTCAGGAGGCAGACGATAGCAGCCTCTCTTGCGGTTCGTATCTCTTTGGAGTGATCAGCTCGTTCCCGATCAGCTTGGCTGTGGTGCTGGTCGGTAGAATGGCGGGGAACAATTTTGACGGCAACCTACAGGGGAACAGTTAGCATCATAGTACAATAAGGAATGGGCGGCAGCAGTCGCCGTGTCGGGTTCTCTAGAATAGAGGATGCTTGAGGGGAGAGCAAGATATTCGTACCTGTTCTCCCGTTGCAACATTCTTCGCCAGCTTCACCTTTCCCATGCTTCCGGCGCCAATCGTTTTTCCGAGCGACCATTGTCCTGTGGAGGGGGCGGTGATGGTTGTTCTTCGTTTGGTGGTGGCACCGGCAGCCATGCCTGGCCTCGCGTTATCGTTAGCTACGCCGTTGATGGGCATGGCTGATGCTGTTGACGCGTCGGAAGCATAACGGGTGTGGCCCCTCTTGGTGGATGATTCGGTGCGCGAGGGAGGGGGTGCTGTTCTGTCCCTCGAAGAGCTGCGTCGGTTGGAAGGGGAGCTGGCGACGTTAGATTGCTCAAAGTCGCGGCGAGCTACGCCGGCGAGGTTTGCAGGCGGCTGTTGGCGGCCGTGGGAGGAGGACGAGTGGTGTGCACTGGGGCGGGTAGTAGTCGATTGGGAGCGATGCGGACGATCAGAAGAAGGCGGTGGAGGTTGATGCGGTTGCTGTTGCTGTTGTGACGGCTGTTGCTGCTGCAGTTGTTGTTGCTTGCGCACGACGGCTGCCGGCGATTGGGGGGCAGTGGTGGACATTATGGGGTGGGGCCGCCGTCAAAGCGCAGTTTGCAGCGGCAAGCTCTGCTGTCGCGACAATGGCTATGGTGGAGCGCGGCCACGGCGTGCGAGGTGGATGTAGGATGAAGATATATCGGGACAAAGTGATGAACGATGATGTGGTTGCTGCTGACGCGGGAAGAGAGCCAGGCCTAAGCTAAAGGGGGGCGGTCGCAATCGTCGTGAACCCGAACTTGGCAGACTGGCGAGGTTGGGGAAGTGAGTTGGGGTGTACGATGAAATGATCAACGATGAATGACGGTGGCCCTGGACATCCAAGGCCAGTGAGTAGTAGGGTGACTACTCCGTACTTTGGAGTAATATTTTTCAATCAGTAAGCAATTATCTGTTCACACGAGGGGCAGGCAGTAACGAAATGTGACTCGAGAACAGAATCGTCAGATATTTTGGTGATGGAGTGGCAAGGTAAGTAAGGCAACGCAAGGCAGGGCAGGACAGGGCAGAGCAGGGTATGGGATGGGATGGGATGGGATGGGCAAGGGCAGGAACCAGGCGAGGCAATTATGTAGGTAGGGAGTGCGACGGGCTGAGATGATTATCGTTTTGCTACGAGGACTGTTCGTTACTGGTACCGTAATTATTTGTTACTGGTACGAGGACTGCCAGCTGCATATGCGCCAGACGCCATTGCCAGCATGTGTGTAGCTTCAATTCGTACACAAGCGGGCAAGGCTGCTACCAAAGTTACATCTTACGGGCAGTTATGCCGTGTGTTGGCAATTCCCGATGACGCAGCGGAGGGGATCTCTAACCTGGCTGGCGCTGGGCGAACACAACTGAATTTGCCTAGAATAACACTCATACCTCGTACATATGTCAGGCACACAGCAGGTCCCCAGAATTCATCCTGCTAGTGACGGAGTAGTTCTCGTAGTCGGCTACCTCGCAGTCAACTCATCTAAATCATCTAACCGTCCCTCTAACTACAAAAAGCATAAGAAGATGGCCTGGTGGGTATCCGTATCTATGCACTACCGAGTACTATCATGTGAATAACCTCATAATGGATTACCATAGGAATATCTGGTCGAAGGATGTCTCTCATCCTCTGCCAACTATGCCTACGTCAGTTTGATAGACTTGCGGTACTGATTATAATTTGTATACCATGCAGTGACCCGTTCTTCTCTATGGATCAACAATCAACTTGTACTCACCCCGTTGTGCCTTACCAGTACATACGATGCGTTTGAAGATATCTATTTACGCCGTCAGCCAAACAACATCGCTCCGGACTAATAGCGCCCCCATCTAGAGCTCAGTAAGCGGTCGAGGTCAACGTACCTGTAACACCTAAATGCTCACCCGTTTGTTTTCATTGTCCGTCGTACTGTCCGGCGGCGTGTCCGTCGACGGTTGTGCCCGTTTAGTTCATTCAGGGTCTTCCAAGATTCGCCCGCCTGTCCAATGCCTACTCGTAGGTAGATGGACGAGCAGAATGCCATCCATGCCTTGCAATACCATTACATTATCGTGTCATACCATGTCATACCGTGTCCAACCCAGATGCTAATAAATGCTGAACGCTGCCCTGCACGCACTGCCCGGGTTGCCGGTGTTGGTACACTGCACTCGTAGGCTAATTCGGACACCCAATCAACTATCGCCATCCATTTCTCTGCTACTCTATCTGCGATCTTGCCACGATATCATCACCAGCCGGGATATTCCCTATATTCCAATTTGCTCTCTTCATTGCGATATCGTCCCTTCGACCTCTGCGAAGATCATCCAGTCCACCACCTATTCATTGAGAGTACTGCGTAGGGACTACCGTACCTTATCAGGTATCTTCAACCCGGAGAGATTTCGAAGACTTCTGATTGGCCAATGGCGGCCCCCAAAACTTAGTCAGCATCCTTCCGAGGACTCTCCCATGCAACTTGCATTCAACACGATCACTACTCAAGATCAACGCGCATCTCCATTTCGGGATCGTCGCACGCCTAAGAATTCCTCCCAGGAACAAATGGATAGTTGGATAAGTAGACCTTTTCATTGATCGTGTCTATGCCAGCGTAAAGTTGCGTGGAGCAGGAAGGCAAATATTGCTCTTGCTCGATGGCGTACAAACGCCCTCGTGCAGTCTCCCCTGCCGGGTCGCAAAAGCGAACCCGCGGCATCGATGTAGCATCCAAGACCATCAAACTAGGAACTGAACTACCTTCTCTGGATGATGGAGACGACGGAGCATTCGTCCCCGTCTGGAAGCAAACCGTGACCGATGAACGGGGCCGCAGGAGACTGCACGGTGCCTTCACAGGAGGCTTCAGTGCAGGGTAAGTCTGACAAACCAACCATGGGATCGATCATTTTTCTTGACTTGTCCAGCTATTTCAATACCGTCGGCTCCAAGGAAGGATGGACTCCAAAGGCCTTTGTGTCGTCGCGATCAAATCGCAACAAGGATCAGCCCAAACCTGCCGGACAACGCCCGGAAGACTTCATGGATGAAGAGGATTTGGCCCAGGCTGCAGAATCCCGTCAACTTTCAACTACACAAGGGTTCTCCAGCATAGGTGACTCTGGTAAGCAATCTGGTCCTCAGGACCAGTTCTCCGCGCTGTTCAACGTCGGCGAGGAGACTATAGGAGTGAAGATAATTCAAAAGATGGGATGGCGGCAACGACAAGGCATAGGGCGTAAGATCAGACGAGAAGCACGTCTGGGTGATGGTCATGATCCAAAGGACAGCTCCGAACGCCACCTGTTCGCGCCAGCAGATGTCAAGACCGTGACCATAACATCTGAGAATTCTCGCAAAGGACTTGGATTTGAGTCTGAAGCACGCCTTTCGACGAAGACCGCTGAGGATGAGGATGAGGATGAGAGACCGGGTCTGGCTCTACCTTTCTTGGACAGCACCAAAAGGGCCCTTGGACCGAAGAAGCCTTCCGTGAAGAAGAGCTCATTCGGTGTGGGTGTACTGAATGACACAGGCTCTGACGATGAGGACCCATATGAGCTTGGGCCAAAGATATCGCTCAAGCGAACTATAGGGAAAGACAAGAAAGCAAAGAAGCCAAGCAAGTTCAGCAAACCCGGTGGCGAGAGACATGTCTTCGTTTCGAAGAAGGAGGCTCCCCGCACAACAACCTCGTTAAGCTTTAGACCACCAAATGACGGAAAGCCTCCATTGAGAGGTTTTGTGTTCGCGATACAAGTTGTCATACCAAGCAAGCCCCACTACCCACCACCGAAGATCCCCGCGGACTGGAAATCATCGAAGAAGGTTGGCAATGAAACAGATGCTACCGCCTTTCAATCTGTTGCGGATGCGGCCAAAGCGTCTACTCTCGATTCGAAAGCTCGAGCGGATCTGCTAGGAGAAACTCCTTTACCAGGAAAATCCGTCTTTGATTTTATATCGAAAGAGAATCGCGATCGCATCGCCGCTCTGACCGGCAAAACAAATCTACCCCAAGGCTTAGGTGAATCCGCGCCCGCAGGATCAGAGAACGAAGGTCGAAAAGATTTATGGAGTTTTGTTCCCGTCCTCGACAAGTCCACCGCTGCTGGTGCTCTGGCCAAGGGAGCGACAGGATGGATGCCATACGCAGAAGACCCCAGTAAACGGACGCGGTACATCAACTTCCTCGAGCTCAAATCCGGCCTAAAACAAGACCTTCCCGAGAAAGCACCTGGAGCGTCGGTATCAGACTGGGTCAAGGAAATGCAGGAATTCGCACACGCAGCCCAAGTCTTCAAACCGACGAGTGGAATCATGGCGTCGCGATTCACTTCTTCAAGCACCTCTACGACAGCAACGGGAGACACCACCGGAACAAACCTCCTGCACAAGCCAACACCAAAGGCCGAAGACCCGGCAGAGAGCGCGGCGAAGCTCGGAATGTACGGTGCGATGACCCGGACCGTGATACCTTTCCTTCCATCCCGACTGCTATGCAAACGGTTCAACGTCAAGCCACCGCCAGACGTGCCGTTCAGTGCGGAGTTTACCGCCGAGAACACGTCGAAAACTCAGCAGGCGGTTTCGAAAGCCGCTCTCGACAGCATGATGCGAGAGCTATCGACCCAAGGTTCAGCATTGCAACGTCCTGACTGGATGACGCAGCCAAAACCTGAGGCGGCGGCGGCTGTCAAAGAGCATGCTACGGTGGATGTCGAGAGCAATGAGGCGCTCACACAGGAGCGCGCACCAGAAGATGTCTTCAAGTCTATATTCGGCGATGATGACGATGACGACGAGTGAAACCTATATAGCTCCACCATATTAGATAAAAGAGAGATTAATCCCAAACCAGTACTCCGTATATTCCATACTCAAATAACAAATCCTTTCCAAAGTGAACCCAGACCTCAGTACTCCCTAAACCCCAACAACCATCCTTACAGTCCCATCCCCTTCCCCTTCCCCACCCTCTTCCACCTCCTCCCTACGAAACCCCAACCCCTCATAAACCCCAATCGCCCTCTCATTCCCCCCCGCAGCCGCAATCCTCACGAACCCCTCCACCCCCCTCTCCCTCGCAACGCCCTTCGCGCACTCCACCGCCGCAGCCACAAGACCCCTCCCTACGCCCTTGCCCCTAGCCTCCGGAACCACGAAGAGCGCGAAGATCTCGAATGTCACTGGCGTGGATGCTGCAACCTCTGTTGATGTGGTGCTGGCGTCGAGGGGGCCGTAAAGCACTGTCGTGCCAATCCAGTTTTCTCCGCTTGCGACTGGGTCCTCATCCTCAACGACATCCTCGCGGCCATCCAGTGGCGATGGCGATGGAGAGACAGCGACGAAAGTAACAGCGAGCGGATTACGCAGCCTGGCGTCCCATTCCGCGTGTGTGAACGCTGCTTCGCGGGCGTGGGTGGAGGAGAAGGCGGAGGGGGAGAGCAGGAGAGATGTTAGGCGGAGGTGCTTGTGGGAGGCGAGGATGCGGGTCCAGGTTGAGGGGTTGGGGTGGGATTTGGGGAGGGGGTGGATTGTGTAGGGGGGCATTGTTGTGGTTCTGGTTGTGGTGTTGGTGGTGGTAGTACGCTTACGGTGTAGTTTACATGACCGTGTACGGAAGGTGGGTATGATAGCTAGCAATACGAAATAAATGTTTTTGGGAGACTATGGAATGGTTGTCAAGAGTAGTGATACAAAAATTTGTCCTTCAGAGTGAAGGCTGAAGAGTGGAATTGTTAAAGATAAATAGCGATGTCATTATGCCAAGCATCGTGAGTCAATCGAGTCATCCCAGCCGTTACATGCCCGGTATACGAGAGTCTCCCGTGGAACTTAAGTCTCTTTTTCTTCAACGGAGCAATGCACAGATATTGAAGAATCTATTGCAACTTGTGGTGTATATTTTGTCGCAGGTCGATAGAGGATAAGACTATGCGTCGTTAGTGTAGTACCAATTCCAGGACACGGCTCACTTATAAAAAGAAACGGCCGCCCCAAGGACGACCTAAAGAGTACCAAGTATGCCCACCATCACATGCTCCCACCTTCAAGCAAGCATAACATGCAGGTTGCCATACCTCCCAAACAGACCTCCGGACACTTCCCCCCATCCATGCTGATGAGCGAGCCAAAACAAGAGAAGTCTACTTGTCACTAACCATCCACTTATGAAGAACAGTCCATACTTGATAAAACTGGGCGCATGCACAGCAGATCGCCTTGATGGACAGGTCGAAACCTTGACGCTCACTCTTGAGAGGTCCCATCGCAACGTCGAGCCATGCACACACAACGCCAGCCCCCGTCAGGTACAGATGTCCCCTTCGTAGTGATCGGTTGGCAAAGACTCTTCGCTCTTGTATGACGCCTCAAATCTTCCGCACGAATGTAGACAAAGCGCCATTGGCAGCCAGGATGGTAGATCTACAATCGTGCTGCTCTTCGGTACAAGCCGCCCGCCGTTACTCATATCTTCTCCGTCCAGACCTTTATGTTCGCACACCTGCAATATCAGCTCCAAGAAGATCCTAATCGATTATGCACAACAACCGCACTCATCTCTACCCCATACACCTGTAATCTCGTCTCTCTCCGGTTGTGGCTGCATTGCTCTCTGAGACTAGTCTTTGTTTCCGCTCCGTGTTTGGAGGGCATGCTATACGGACAAAGGACATCCTCAAAAACCGCGTGATCTAGGCAAATAGATGGCCAGAGACAAGAACAAAGTATTGTTCTGGTAAAATAGAAATGACGCTCGTCTCTTCACCTGCACGCTGAACATGCTGGCTGACGATTAACACGACTGGCCGGACATTGCCGAAGCAACAGTGTCTGATGGTGAGATACCTTGACACAGGTTTCCAAACATATGAGGAGAAACGCCAGGGTTGGAATATTGGTTAGGATTTGCATCCTTGTTGGGATCCGTGGCAAGCAGGTTCAAAGACACTGTGCCAGGAGAGAGACGCACGGAATAACTTACTGTAGAGCTTGAAGTAACTCCAAAATTCTGAAAGGCTTTAAAGCGCTGCGTACCCGGTTCAAAGATGCGTAGTCTACCATGCCACATCGAGAGAGTGACCCTTCAGATTCAGAATCCGGAGCGTGACGTCCTGCCGAGATTACGCTGAAAGCATAATCGCAATACCAACATCGTGACGTTGAGACTTCGCTAGGTTCAATAAGCACCTTTCCGACGAGTGAATCTCAACGACCAAGAATCTTGAAGACGATGTGATATGTTCGAGTGTTTGGCTTGGCAATAGATACCGAGGGCGTGCTCTTCTTACTCTTCCGGGTATCTTCTAGGTGGTATGGTGACCATTGCATTTTTCTCTTCGATACCAGGTGTTGCAGCTTGCCAGACAGCTTCGGGAGTTGCTCCAATACTTTAACAGCAGCGCATAAATCCAAAGACAGTCCTCATTCGAGGTGCCCGACGTCTTCCACCAATTTTCTCCACAGCGGGACCGCTCGAATGTTTGTATACTGTCCATAATGACCAGAGTCTGGTGTCCAGATGAGTGAATCGACGTGGTCCTCTTATGAGGACTTTAACGCCCCGACAGGCACATGAGACACCCATTAAAGCATAGCTTCCCGGACCACGGAACATCCTTTTGCACGATTTGCAGCAAGTCCAGCGCTCGAAAGCGCGGCGAGCCACGGTTAGGCTAATCAGATGCCCGGCGACTTGACCGCGATGCTGCCCCTTGCGATTGGCGAGGAGATTCCAGAAGATGATTAGGGTTAAGATCCGAACCATTCCCACTCATGTAGTCAACCCGACGTTACCATCAGGGCAGATTGGTTAGCATACGAACTCCGAATTGACCATGCTAAGAGGCCAGGGAGTGTGCCATTGACCAAATCTTAAGAAATACAAGAGCTGCTGTAAGGCATTTCAATTTGGAATTGAAAGGAAGGCTCGGCTACTGTGAAGAAAGCGACATGCATGAGAAGATGCTTATAATAGCGAGAGAGGAGAGGCGAGAGGTAGAGGTATGCGATTGTCCCGCCATCATCGACAGTACTCAGAAAGTCTCGGAGGATGTTTGGTGATTCGAGGCCGGTGACTGGAGGATAGAATTGAATTGTTAAACAGCAAGCGTTGAAAGTGATTTTGATTAGACTTGGTTGTGCTATAAGTTGGGGAGGAAGCCAACGTTGTAAAGTGTAGTGGCAGTTGGAGACGCGCCGAAACGCGCTAGTTCTCTAGTGTCACCACGCTTTCACGTTCTGACGTTCTCCAACTCGTTCTTGAATGTATTAGTAAGCGAGCTTTGTGCAAACATTAATTCACTACCACCAAGATATCTTGCCATCCCATCAGATCCAATGATTGAACTTTGCATTTAGGCCAAATTCTATCATGGCAACTGTAGAAAAGGCCGTAGACGCGGCCGCTGAATTTATAGAGCCCTATCTAGAGAGAACATCAAGCAAATCATCTTCGAGCAGCACAACGAACGTATCGGATCCACAATCCCTCGTTAACCAGGCACTGTTCCACCTACAAGTCATCAATACCGCTGAGCAAGCACAGGAACCTGATGCCCCTTACGATGGATCCTTATTCGGGGTTGCATATGGACTTCTGGACATCATTACAACACTCGGATTACTGCCCTTCCTCTCTCCAGATGTGGCGTTTGGTCAGCGTCCTCGTTCTGTTTTAAAGGATGCCATTTCAACATCACCCTCCCATGACGACGAATTCCTTGATCAAGTGATCACAAAACTTTTACCCATCCTCAATCAAGATGGATCTGGCGTCCAACCTCTACTTTCTCAACGTATACTTCCAGATGTCCTATCCGCTCTTGCCGAGCTAGCATTGTCTCCACGGACCAAAAGTTCATTCCATGCTACATATGAACCATCGTTCCGGTCACTTTTGGCCTCAACCTCAACATCAAGGCTTTTGCCTATTCTTACATCATTTCTTGGGCAGGAGATCCCACCATGGCTACGACAACCGCTCGCGAAAGAGCTAGCCTTGATCCCTTTAAGAGCCCACGGAGTGCGCCATACTGTTGAATTCCTGTCTTTATCCTACCTCTCCAAGAATGCGAAACTTCCTGAAGGTGCATCCTCCGAACCCTCACAGATTCCTATTCCTCTCGAGGCAATCACACATGTTTCAAGACTGTTATCAGCCGCACCAAGTGGTATGAACGTTGACGATTGGTTCACTCAACTAGCCCCTCAGCTCTGGGCGCTTATCGATGGCAAAGAAGGCACAGAACTCAGCAGAGCTGCAGGTCAGATTGTTTCCGGGGGAATTTTGAATCGAAAATCAACCGGTGCTCCTGGCACCATTGGATGGACGTTATTTGTGCGACCGCTACTGGAGACTATCAGCCCACCTATTGCCACGAAAGGCACCTTGAGAAAGAGCACATCTGATCGTATTTTCGTAGATGATGTATCCCTGAATCTTGCATTGCGGCGACTTTCTGTCATTATAACTTCTTCTAATCACTCGGGTCTTATCAAACGCTTAGTCAGTCCCTTAATCCTTCCACTCTGGGGTCTAATGGCGTATGCCAAATCCCGAGTGTCCCTCAATACCGAATGGAGTACTCTATCTCGCAAAGTACTCTTACATTACCTTTCCGCCGCCTGCGATCCCAAAAGAGTAGACCAAGTTGCCCAGAATTTGTTCTGGGACGGGAGTGCAGCGTGGTCGTATGGGCCAGGCGCTGAAGGTGGTGTAGAGATCCGTCAACGACGACAGGATGATGATACTCTGGGATCCATGAACACAATATTGGCCCAGATTGGAGCTTTGGACGAGCGTATAAAGCTCTTCATTGACTTACTAGTGGAAGCAAAAACCGAAGACGAGGCTATCGCTTTTATTTTCCTACAAACCACCCAACGCTGGTTATCAACAGGGAAAAACACGGATAATAGCAAACTTATCACTGATGATCTATCAAATCCACTCGCAGCACTTGCAGAAGCAAAGCTATCGGAAGCGCTTGCGACCAAGTTCCAAGATCAGCTTGCTCGACAGCCACAGCACATCCTCGAATTCATGAGCCAGTTGATCAGCGGCTATGTAGAAGAACACAAAACGAGAACAAGAGAAATAAAGAATGCAGGAAAGCTGAGTAGAGCGAGTTTGAGGGGTATCGTTTCAGGAGGTGTCAAAAACAATGACACGATTACGAACAGCGACACAGAGGATTTGACGTCATTCGCGCTCAGTATTCTGAACAACCTCATAGGCGAAGTGGACTTGACTTCAGAAGCTGTGATACAGACTTTGACTAGTATCGTTCCCTTACTACAGTACCTTTCTCATTCTCATCCCGATTTACCCATCCAGCCATTGATCACCAATGCATCAGCCAACATTCTACATGTACTTCAAAAGGCGCAGGTCCCAGTGGTAGGCGAAAAAGACGAGGAAGATCTGCTCCACGAACAAAGAGATACTCTGAAAACAGTCCTAACAGATTTAACATCCCCCGAGCCACCCAATCGAACTTGGGCTATAACTACGCTTCGCAAGTTGATACTTGATCCGAATTCATTCAAATTGATAGACATACCTGCAACGACACATGCTCTCCTTTCGGCCTCAATCGCGGACCCGGAGTCATACGTGCATTCTGCAGCTATTCCAGTGGTTGTAGACCTTGCAGTGGTTGCACCAACCCCTACTCTGCGGATTCTGGTCGACGCGTTTGTTGATGTTAGTGAGCAATCATTGCGGCTGAAAGATACCAAAGAGATCGAACAAGCACTCGACTACCGCCTTCGTGTCGGGGAGATACTGCATCGATTTGTCGGAGAAGATGCATACTGGGTCACAAGTGCGAATGTACAAACTCGATACTCAAGCCTCAAAATGCTCGTCGAGGCCTCATTATCTCTTGCGAGTAGGCGTGGGCAACGACATCAGACACTCTCCAAACGCAATGAACTTGCAGAGGCAGAAAAACGGATGCAAGAAGAGGGAGAGGAAGCCTGGGGCGGCCCAATCCCCAACCTCCTAGACCCCGATGGCGAGAACGCTGATCAGCCTGAGCGTGACGCGCTACTGAAAATTATCGAAGGGTGGGAGGACACAGGCATCGAGGAAGACGTTCGTATTCGTAGTTCCGCTTTGTCCCTCTTCGCCAGACTTGCAGAACAAAGGCTAGACATGATGAGCAAAGCTATGCTTGCTGCAGGCCTACAGATGGTGCTTCAGATCCTAGTCGTTGAAAAAGGAGATGCCAAGGCAATCCTGCGACGAGCAGCACTGTTTGTCATCGTTGGCACACTAAAGGGAATGGATGTCTCAAGTGACAATGGAGAACTTTCCTCGGCATCACTAGATATGCGAGAGATTGATCAAATAGTGAACGTCACTGCGTGGGTCAAAGATGAAGACGCAGATCCGCTTGCTAGGTCCCATGCCCAAAGCATTCTCGAGGATATAGAGACTTGGAGGATGAAACAGATCTACAAGATCAGAGATGAGGGACTGAGAATGACGGACAATCTTGGGCTTGATGGAACACTGAGGGGATTGGATATAGAGCCCTTGTCTACCACAGAACATGGCAAGAAGGGCAAGCTGGTTCAGGAAATTGAGTAGTTACAATCATTATGCTTTATAGGGCGCGGGTATTTTCCCTGGCAGACTCAAAGGGCGTCCACCCAAGCTCCTCTCATATCCGAGAGCAGGCTGCCGGTTTGATTGCGATGCCCGTCACAATCTCTTAAACTCTATCCTCCATCTTTAGAAACCGTTTATTCTGCCGGGAATGCATATTCGTCGACTCGGTGGATAGTTCGATTCCGGCTTTTTGGCCCCTTGTTTTCAAGCTCAAGCTTGTTCCAAATTGAATTTCTCAACCCGTCATACTGGTATCGCGCGTGGCTTTTGGTTCGACTTTGTCTGCTGCGCCAATCCACAAGACGTTATTGCATCTATCCATCTCATAAGTATTTTTGTGATCGCAAGAAACAGCCGTGGCAAGCGGGTTCCGCAAAGTACTCCTTGCTTACCTTATGAGGACTTGTCCCAACGTTCCCGAGCTCACTCCGTTGACAAACTCTTCTGTGTTGGATAGCTGAATGTTCATGTACAGATCCACGGAAACGAGGCGGCCTTTGTATTCAGTCTCGCCCCACTTCAAGCGCACGATTATATCCTTATCGACCCTGTCTGCGTCAATTGGTAGTCCAGAGAAAACGGGAAGCGGTTCACTAACAAGCCCTGGAGCATTGGTCGTGGGTTAAATGGCGATACTCCCTATTGCAAGTTAGCAAATATTTACACCGAAATGAACGTCACAAACTAACCGACATATTGATGCAATCCGCAAGTGGGTAGGTTGGCGGAGTAAGTTAGACAAAGAGAGCAAGTAAAAGCTGGAGCTTCGTCAAGCTTGATGGAGTCGATAGCAATCGCCGTAGGGCTTGTGATGTCGCATAGCAGAAAGTCGAGCGGTGTATTGTTTTTCCGAGACTTAGCGCGCTCCAGAGCCGCCCCGCAGACACGCTAAATCAACATTCACTGGAGAGCAGCGTCGAGACGCATTCTTCAGCACGACATAATTCATCGTAGTTATATTTCAGTCCGTCCTGTTCTCAGTATTTTGAATCTTTTGATAAAAGATGCCTACAATCTGAAGCTCAACACATCTAAAACGCCTCGATGAAGCGCCTCTACATGCTCCTATACTGAAGTCCGTTAGTGTACAAGTACGTGATGCATACTCGATTCTCGAAGAATCCTCTCGGAGATAAGAGCTATTCTTCAGAAATGAATGGAAGTCATCGTAGTCCGATGAGAGGCGTACGACACTTGGACCACCAACAGCAATTTAGCTACGGTAACGGCAGTCCTTCCAACGGCTCCAGTTTGCACATTCAGCAAGCCACCGATGTCAGTTTCTTGAACAGCAGGACTTCTCATGTCCTATCTGGATACGAAACTCTACACATGACCTCAACAGTGTGAGTCTGGTGATCATCAGCTATCCTTTCAGCTTACCGCCACCATGCAATGATTCCACATTGTATCGCTCTAACGGCTTGCACACTGAGAGCTGAGAGGAGGAAGCTTGCATGCAATGACGTTGGGAATCCAAAAATCCTAGTTTCGACCTTGTAGATTGGCTGCAGGCCCACCGCCACGCTTATGACAACACCATTGTTCACTCTAGTGTTTGGGACGAAACATCGGAGACGTCACTGGAAACTTGGTCGACCGTAGACTAGGTGCAAGCGAAGTGTTCAGATCTTCTTGGAAAGACCTCTGAATAGCGACCAAGGCATATCCATGTGATGGCTCTTGCGGGACCAAGCTGCAGACCCCCACGACGTGATAGTATCTCCGAGAAGGCAAATCGATCAAGCATGTCTGGCTACCCTCGGTGATATGATCGCTCACGGTAAGGTAGGATGGCTGCCGGTAGTATGATGCGTTTGTTATCAGATACTCACCAGCATCACCAAACATCACAAAGAAGGCACTGAAGTGTGTAGGGCCATCCTAGCAAGCATTAGACGGATGTGGCCCATGGAATGATCTTCATTCATCTATAGAACCCCTCAAATGGGTATCGACCAACACTTGAAGAAATTGTCTTGTTGAGGACCACCACAAAGGCGTGACAACAAGCAGACGGGTCAATCACGTGCATTTGGGAACCTTCCTTGTTAATACCACCAGATGCCTTTTGCCCGGGGAAATTTGCGATAAGAAGACCCTTGATATTATTATCTCATTTGGTGTTCGAATTTGGCACGCTTTGGGTGACCAATCCCACCGCCAAGATCACGCCGCCATTTATATATATTAGCCGCATGCATCCCAATTTATGAACATTACTTCTTCAATCGAAAGAACCAAACCAACCCGCTCTCTCTTCCCCGGGGTGCTTGACTATCGACCCGCAAGCTGAGGTGCGATGTACTTGCAATGAAGTTGGGCAGGTTCACTCTCAAATTCATGTCTGCTCAGTTGGGCTGCCACACTGCGTCACAACCTCGTTCTTTGCAATGGGCTCTTCGATTAGGTGCGTGCTCCAAACTTGTATTTTTCTGACTTATGGATAGGTCGGCTGCCGGTTCCCTAAAATTAGCCTTTGGTCATTCACAAATATTTTGCACTACCGTCGGCTCAATGCTCCACGTTCTAGTACATGGACAATGCTCTGTGCTCGATATGCATGGGTAAATATTTCACTCGTACGCGAACTATTTTGGAGGAGACTTTGATGCCGAAAATAACACAGAAAGCCTGAGTAGATCCTACCTTCCGCTTGATTGGTATTCGCGCTCAGAATTGATTATATGGGCATTTATTCATTGGCCAGAGTATACAATCGCTATCGTGTTCTTCTAGCATGCAGTCTGTATTTTCAACACGCAAGAAAGACTGCCGTCCTTCACTACTAGTCTAGGCCTTGCAAACACTCAGATACCATTTCTGACCCTTGTTTCCACCGAGAGTGATGAGCTCGGCTCTCGTATCGCACAAAGTTTTACACGAACAGCTGCTAACCGTCAACGGTGCTGCATGTGTTCTATCGACACATTATGCGGCGTCCATCATGCGCTCCCCACAAACGATTCACATTGAACCTTGCTTCGACTAGCCAGATATAATTACGTCCCAACAACGTTCGGTAACGCAATGATTATGATCTACGGCCCTGGTAACATTCTGGACCAAATATCCGGCAGTCGCCTATCAGAGAGTAGCTGGGCGAGCTACTCTCTTGCATGTTCCATGCATACGTCCATCTTGGTCTTGCAGTCGAGTCCAATTGAAGCACTCCAGCATCCATCACTCTTCCTCTCCGAGCCGAAAGGTGTATGCGAAGCGGATCACCCAGGGTCGGTGCCGCCGTATCGCTAACTTGTGTGGCACACCACTCGATATGAAGTCTCGCGGAAAGTGGCCAGCCAGTGTCGCAAAGTGGCAGCGCTATGACGGAGACTGCAATATGCTTTATCCAGATTGGCAATACGGGGGTCTGGATACCTCAGCACCACACCAGATAGCACAGGTCAGCATATCTTTGGTCATTTTAGTACGTGGCGACCGTGGCATTTAGCATAACCAAGTATATGAAGGCAGCAGCCGTCTCTTAGCAGGAAGTCTGATATCCTGATCTGACACTTGTTTAACTTCTATAATACAAGACCTCGCCTCGCTCTCCGCATTCCGTAAACAACAAACGTACCCACTTCTTCTATTAAGAAATAAATCAAAGTCACTATGCAATACCGACTGGTATCGGCGCTAGCCGCCAGTGCTCTGCTCGCTAGTGTGAATGCACGCCCGATTGCTGGCACACAGGTACGTACTGTCAACTATGCGTCGTGCATCCCGGGACCACAGATGATCGATGTATGCTGACGACGCGTAGGACTTACCAAACATCATTGGTATCGGAAAGCCGTCTTCAGAGACTACCTGGAGCAAGAGGGAGGAAGCCGCCACTGGCGACGACATTTCCATCACTCCCCCATCCACAGAGATCATCTGGGGCCGTGACAACAAAGATAAGATCGAGCTCGGCAAGCCTTCAACTGAGATCACCTGGGGCAAGCGAGACCAACCCGGAGACAAAATTGAACTCGGCAAGCCTTCTACTGAAATTACCTGGGGCAAGCGAGATCAGCCAGCAGACAAGATTGAACTTGGAAAGCCATCAACCGAGATCACCTGGGGAAAGCGAGACCAAACCGGAGACAAGATCGAACTCGGCAAGCCATCCACCGAGATCACCTGGGGAAAGCGTGAAGAGGTCTCGGGCGACGACGACATCTCCATCACCCCTCCGTCCACTGAGATCATCTGGGGTCGCGACCAGAAGCCCAAGGATACCTTCTACCTCGGTAAGCCAAAGACTGTCGTCACCTGGGGAAAACGCGATCAACCCAAGGACAAGATCGAGCTAGGCAAGCCATCAACAGAGATCACCTGGGGAAAGAGGGATCAGCCCAAGGATAAGATCGAACTCGGCAAGCCGTCGACTGAGATTACCTGGGGGAAGAGGGACCAGCCAAAGGACAAGATTGAGCTCGGCAAGCCATCGACCGAGATCACTTGGGGCAAGCAGTAGTCTAGAGATTGTTTCAAATTCCTTCTTTTGTCTCGTAGTTCAAAAGCGGTAGGCAGGTTGTATGCATAGGCATGGTTTAGTTGCACAGTGTTGTTTGATATCCGCTAGGTTGCGATTACCCTTCTGAATATAATTGTTCCTTATATCAAAATCTTTCGTGCGTGCTCCTAACAATTTTACCCTCAGTCATCCATCTGATAAGAAGTACATAAGAAAGTTATCGTACACATGATAGATGAGACAGTGAACCTATTCGTTGTCGATCATGCAATAGGTGGTGGTAACTGCTTCAAAAACCACCGTGGCCGTTTCGAGTTGATGAGGAATGCATCTCCCGAGCAATCTTGTAGATGCAACTATGGAAAAACTGCAAAGAGATTATGCAGCGCCGGGTAGGCACAGTATATTAGTGAGGCCTGGTTGAGAGCAACCATCGTATTTTGTACGCTAGAAATGAAGATAGTTTTTTTATACGAAGCGGTCTCGAACCTCAACCTTGTACTCATACAGGACCCTGCATCGCTTAAAAAGCTCACGACCATTTGAACCCATCGACTGGGACATAGAAGTTCGTATCTTCGAATGTTATCACCCTGTCCAGATCCAAAAATTGCGAGTCCATCAATGCGTCTGAAAGACTCAACAGGCTATCATCTTGCCCTGTACCTTTCCCATTGGTGGTCTGATTCATTGTAGGTGTCGATACATTGCCGGGGACTGATGGTGTAGTGGGCATATTCTGGAAATGGCTGGGGTAGACTGCCTGATTTACTGGCATGAATTCAGTCGGTGGTCTAGAGCCAATGTAGGGAGCTGTTAGATTGGGTGACGATTGTTGTTGTGGCTGTTGGAAATTTGTAGAAGTTTGGGAATGGGTATTATGGGGTGCATTGTAGACAATGGCGTTTATGCTAGGGGCACGCCGGTTGTTTACCGACGTTGCGCCACCATTTGCATTGCCAATTTCGTTGTAAAGGTGGCTGTTGGTAATGGATGGTTGGCGCTGCGGCGTCCATTCAGCTACTGGCGAAGAATAGGGGTGGTCAACCTTTCGACATGAATGGTCGTATAAGTCGAATCGGAACGGGGGGTTGTTGTGGCCACGATCGTAAAGATAATCGAGATGCATGGCAAATTCTCCAGCTTGGTCCACATTCTCATCGATATTTTCTTTGTTATGCACGTCTCTACCTCTCCATCGTGCTGACATTTCTCGAAGCCCACGAAGAAGAACTTCGAATTCGGGTCGGAGAGGCGCACTACTAGCTTGGTGCTGATATAGAAGGGCCTTTGCAGCCACGAAAGTACAAAAGGCAAAGTGGACATTCACAAATATCGGTTGATATGTGAGAAACTTATCGACAATGTTCGCGGTCTCTATAGCCGCATGCTCGCAAGTTTGTGCTGAACAGTCTTTCGGTAGAGCAACAATATCGTTCCAACCTGAAGTTGGGTATGCGATTGGATGGTGCAGGAATATCATCGATGTGTTGTGTGTTATGTGAGCAATCGTGAGGTTCGGGTCCATGTTGGGTGTTTGCACATCTGGTGAAATATCGGAATCTTTCCAACGAGGAGGTAGGAATAGCTTCCACCTATGTGAACGTTAACGGTGCCAATAACAGAAAAGAATAGTAAGTCGTACTGTACTAGACGAAGATCCAACTCTTTGAAACGCGTTAGCCAATTGATCGCATGATCCTTGTCTCTCCAATTGATTGGCTGTTGAAGGAAGAATGTAGTCACTTGGCTCAAGGATTCTGTAGCTTCGATACAATATGCAAAGGCGCCGAGTTTCGAAGAATCAATCAAACTGTTCACGGAGCCCGGGCTACACCCTTGCACTTGATCATTTGCTGGATCATCGTCGTTGTATTGTGCGGGCACATGGGCGAGGGATCGACCGATGCGTGCGGCAGCCTTATTCCAGATCCCAAAATAGGGAGTTGTGACGGGCTCTTCGCGAGTGAAATAACCTCCATCGGCAGGCAGTCTTCGATGCACGTCTTCTGAGGTGAGGCTAGTATTCCAACCTGTGGAAACCGAACAGCATCTAAACTAGCCATGAGCACTGAGCATCTACACTTCGATATTGAACCTACCGGTCAAGCAAGAAAATGACCCAGAATAGCCTACGCCGCTCTTCAAGCTCGGTCCAATCTGTTGTCGATTGAATCAACCGCAACGGGCTCATCAAAGCCCTAGACTGGGAAGCTGAAGGCTCCAGTGTAAGTTGCAGGTAGACGACCGTTCTTGTAAGTGACCCGATAAGAGGCCATGCTTTAGTCTGCTGGCCCGAGTTGAGCTATGTCTAGTAAGCAGAGGTAGCTATCGTATTTGACATCCAGACTCACATAATCAAACACAATTAAAATCAGAGCTTGCAAGCTACCTAATGATACTTCCTTGATCGCAAAAGTTTCGACTATGAATTTCGAGATCTTAGTCTGGTACAGTACCTGATCATCATCTAAGAAAGTATCCTTGTGGTCTAGATGGCGCAATGTTGCTGCAACCAAAGCATGCAGGACGAGGTCAAATTCAGGATTTCGTGTGTTCTCGATGACAGCTTTGCGTAGGCGTGCTTTATGCAAGTACGGAATCCAGTGATGGAAGGAGATGCAAAAGTAATCGACTATCCTTAAGATGAGTGGTTGCGCGGGCAGATAATCAGCAATATCTATCAAGCGCAAGTCGAACAAATCAACCGCTTGAATAGGTCGATCCAGCTTACGTTTGCGCGGGTTGGCGGCAGTGTCTGCAGAACGATTTTGTGGGGGCCCATCTTGAGGGGTTTGGGGGTATATTGGGGAAGTAATCGACTCAGAAGTTATCGTCGGACCAGAAGTATTTATTCCTTCGTATTGCACCTCAGGGCCTTGCGACTGTGTTTCGACCTCTTTTGCATCATCGTACTGAGGCTTGATATTTCCATCCTCGTCTAATAATATTTGCTCTAGCAAAGCTGCATCACGATCAACGACAAGCCAAGTTGCTTGAGATAAGGATACAAACCAACGCGACGGGACAGGGCCTCCACAGCGCCGAGTTTCAGCCCAGGCTTTTGTTTTGCCTCGTAAACACAACTTATCGCTATCGAGTGTGGTTAGTTAGAAAGGCAGGCCGAGGAGGCTAACGGCCGTGATAGCGACATACCAAGTCTCTCACAATGAGAGCACATGGGGGTCTCTCTGCTGCAGCGGAGCTTCCTTCTCCGACAGGATGCGCACGCAGGAACATCTTCGCTGATGATCTGAGGCCCGTCATCATGAGGGCGCACGGAGAAGTTCGTCCAAGAGGACGACATGAGCTAGGAGTGCAATGGCAAAGTCGTGCCACTGAAGAATGTGGAGGAGGATTCTGAGGGGATTTTCAATGTCCCGATGCCCGGTCCATGCTCCACCCAACCCCGCAACTTTCTCCCTCAGCTGCGCTCGTCATGTTCATCAATATTAGAGGAAGCTAGTAATAGTCGGTCATCTCGATCTAGAAGGACCTTGGGGAGATCGGCTTCGCTTCCAGATGAGGTTCGCTCGCCGGAAGGATCCCTGGACTGACCACTTTCCCTTTGAGCGGGCCGATGGGGATGGATCCGAGGTGCTCATCTCCCAAAGAACACCACAACGTGGAACTTTAGATCGAAGACAATAATGACTTCTATGCTAAATTGTAGCTAAATTAAGACAAGAGACGGTAATTAGGTGGAATTCGTACTTCCAAGAATGTGGTTTGGCCTCATTCTCAAGATTGCTATCTAAGCCGGTTGCTACTTTTGCACCACGTTAGAAGAAGAACATAGATATTTTCTCATCTACAACTACGATATGCCGCCTCTAAAGGACTTCTCGGACAATCAATTCCTCGACCATTCGGATTTCAAAAAAGGTTGCATTGCCTTGCTTCAAAAATTGCGACCGTACCAGTCCAAGGGTGGTGCCCGCATACGACTACCACTCGCAACGGGCACGCATTTTGATGATATAGCAGCTCAACTAGAAGGTTTCGCCCGGCCACTATGGGCAGTTGGAGCACTCTTGCATGGAGAGGGCATTTGTGACGAAGAAGTAAAAGCTCTCACCGATCCATATGTTCGTGGCCTTGCCAATGGTACAGATCCGAATCATCCAGAATACTGGGGACCAGTTGTTGTACGGGACCAGCGCATGGTAGAAATGGAGATAATATCCTTTGCTCTCCTTGCTGCACCGGAGACTATGTTCCATAACCAAATGCCTGATGCGCAGCAGAATATCACCCAATGGCTCTACACTCTCAACGGCAAAGACTTTCCCACGACGAATTGGTTATGGTTCCGTGTCATGACCAATCTGGCACTTGTGAAGGTGTGCGGTATACCGCATGCTGATCTCGAACAGGCCATGAAGTCTGACCTCGACGCAATGGAGCAATTCTATCTCGGGGAGGGGTGGGCGGCAGACGGCATATGGAATGACAACTGTCGGCAAGCGGACTACTATTCTGGGAGTTTCGCCATTCAATTCTCGCAGCTGTTGTATGTTAAATTTGCGCAAGATCTGGATCCAGATCGTTGTGATGTATTTCGACAACGGGCGGCAAATTTCTCCACCTCATTTTGGAGGTACTTCCATTCCGATGGAGCGGCAATCCCTTTCGGCCGTAGCCTTACTTACCGATTCGCCTTCGCTGGCTTCTGGTCTGCTGCAGCTTTTGCGGAAGTTGAGTTGCCTGCGCCTCTTCATGATCTGGGTGTAATCAAAGGGTTACTACTTCGCCATCTCAGGTGGTGGAGCAACAAGGATGATATCTTCAACGTCGACGGAACACTGACTATAGGATTCGTATACCCTAATATGTATATGTGCGAAGATTACAACTCCCCACAGTCGCCTTATTGGGCAATGTAAGCACCTAATCTCTTGTAATCTCGAGGAAGGTTTTTCGGGGCCGGATACGATTGCCCTCGACACGGAGGTAACTAGGCTAATCTCACACAGGAAATCTTTCGTTGCAGTAGCTCTCCCCACCGTTCATCCATTCTGGCAGGCAGAGGAGAAGGCTCTACCCGATGAAGACGCAGCCCAATTATCTGTTGTGTCAGTTAAACCAGCTTCACAAATTATTTGCGGAAGTTCAAGGCACCACTATCTCCTTTCCACTGGCCAATTTTGTCCATGGCCTCTGAAGGCTACAGAAGCGAAGTATGGCAAATTTGCCTGTCAGTACTCTCAAAATGCCCAGAGGGATAATCACCCTGATCACTAACATTCGTAGACTCCTCTCATTTCGGCTTCAGTGTTCCTACAGGATCATCAGTGATGGCTCAAATAGCGCCAGATAGTACCATTGCTCTCAGCAAAGATGACGGCGATACTTGGCGCGTCCCATGGAAGTTTCAAGATCATAAATATGGCACTGCTTCCCTGGTGAATAAGGAAACGGGGTCTGTCGAAAAACTTCCCACCTTGACTGGAGTCTGGAAACCTTGGAAAGATGCTGATATCGAAGTCGCGACAACTCTTATCCCCCCTTGCTCTCGATGGCCTGATTGGTATGTAAGAATCTACAAGGTCACAGCGAAAGACGGCCAGCCACGCAACCTTCGAGCCGTTGAAGGTGGCTTCTCTTTGTATGGCCGAGGCGCAAAAGCCGGCGAAGTGTTGCCTTCAGTCCAAAGTAGTACAGCGTTGTTTGACACAAGCACTTCTAGTACAATCGAAGGCACCTTAGAAACGCCAAAATCTTCACTTATTGGCTCTGGTGTTGGGATCAGTGGCATTAAGCATCTATCAGATTTACAATCAGGTCTTGAGTCTGCGGGAAAGATCTTGAAGCCAGACGCCAATACCAACTTAATTTGGCAGAGAACGTTGATTCCAACATTGGAACATACTCTGGGCCTCCCAGGAAATGGCGACTCAATTGTCTTTGCGACAGGCGTCTTCGCTATTGGATTACATCCTGAATCAAGGATAACAGCTAGAGACTATAATACCGGTCATTCTTGGGAGGATTCTCCCATCTTGGAGACTTCGAAGAGAAATATTGCCGATACACTGTATTATATCCAAGCGGATTAGTTTGTAATGGAAATTTGATCTTGCTTTTCGCAAGCCAAATATCAAGAACTTGGTAGATCAAGTGCACGCATTATCATTTTCTCTGCACAAGTAGTTGATACTTCAATTTCAATTTGCATAAATCTATTCTAGTAGAGCTAACTACCTTCACATCACCGTCTCCAGCCTTCGACCACGTGATAGTCTAAAGACTCGCATAAATGCGGAACATTGTTGTGGCCAATTGGCAGCTAGACTAAGCCAGCTCTTAAAAGCTTGTTCCCGAATTCTAGAAGAAAGTAATCCGCATAAACCAGACCATGATCCCAGTATTTCTTATGGGCATGCTCGTTGTGGTTCGCTGTAGAATGCCTCAATATCGCATCAAACCTGCTTTCATTGACATTGATCGCCGGTCCAGCACCAGTTCCATTGACTGTAGCGTTTTGGGGTTTGAAAGAAGCGAAGTCCTTGTCTAAGGCCATGTCGAGAGTTTCCTCTATTATGTCCAACGCAATTTGGAGATAATTTGCCTCAGACTTTGCCAGTCCAGCAACCTCACTTTCTGGGAGACTTTGTAGTGACTGATGAATGATGAATAATCCATTTGCTGTAATCACGCCTGCCGAAACATCTCTGAGCGGTTCCTCTGGATTTTCCTGTACGGCATCGAAGTCCCATGCTGGCACGAGAGGGTGGTGGTGCTTTCCCTTACACTCATTGAGTCGTCCAAGGAAATAATCGGCGCATTGAATGGCGGTTTGGAGATACTTGACATCTTTCGTCCAGGTGTATGTCTGAGCAAAGCCCATGACTGACCATGCTTGCCCACGACTCCACGTGGATTCATCGAGGAAGCCTTGGTTGGTCATCTTTGCTTTTGGTTTACCGGTCCGTGGATCGAAGTTTACCAAGTGGTAACTCGAATAATTTGGACGGAGTATGGCTTCCATGATGGTGTCCGCGTGAGTCGTCGCGATTTGCACCAAAGCTGGATCGTTCTGCTGATGACCAACATAATACAAGAGATCCAGATCTGTACAAATTTTAGTAACCTAGAACAATTCTGTTGCTTCACATGACTTACTGCACATGCTATCGATAATGACTAGAAAGTTGGTCGACATATCAGTCAGTGAGTATCGATCGTTAATGGCGACATCCCAACTTCTGATCGCCTTGACTCGATTGTCATATCTTGACGCTAAAGCATAGGCAGCATTGACTACTGATTGAAGACTTTCGGGGTTCCCAGTCAATTCCCAATCCTTTTGCAGAGCAGGCTGGACAATGAAGCCCATGTCATGGGTATCCGTTCTGCTAGACATCCGGTTTATAGCAACGGACCAGTGTCGACCAAGCTTCAGCAAATGGTCTGAAATTGCTGGGCGACATTCTGCTGGGACTTCTAAGGCCTGTGGAAATTTGATGGCACGCTCAAGAAGTGCGTATATGCTACCTGGGAAGAATCCACAAGTCCAGAAATCCGCATGTCGATGTTCATATTGTCCTTGATGATCTCCTGTCTGTGGCACACTTTCAGGATAAGTCGGTAATGGTGCCTGTTTGCCAATTAGATACGAGGAGAAGACATTTTCCATGATCTATTACCGACCTGCAGTTTCAATCCTCTATGGGCCACTTGGCATATTTTGGCAGCCACATTCTCAGCATAAATTCCCTTTAGGTCTACGCCTTTAACGCTCATATTTGGTTGCATGATTGAAATAGGTATCAGACCATAAACATAGAACGAGTAAAAACTGTAACGTCTAGGAAAGGGACCACATTCAATTGGGTGGTCTTGCGTCTTCTAGGTTCAGTTGAAAGGGCTAGGACTTGATGTTCAGTCAGCACTTCTAATGTTGGTGGAAGAAATTTCCCCACGAGTATGAGCCAACTTTCATTCACGAAGGATTGTCCTATCATCACTTCATCTACAAGTGTTTGTCAGGTCGACATGGCCATGGGCATCGGAGGAGACCCCACAAGTTGGCAATTCACAGGACCAGTTGTGGTTAGCGTTGGGGTATCTGGCTAAAGAGCGGGATCTCCATTACTGCGCTGCCCGCTGTCGGCGCGTTGCCATATTCACGCAACGTATCCGCGGCCTAGTCAACTTTACTTTCGGGCTTATGGGTGCGATCAATAACAATGAAGTCACATTGTCAGGATATGTCTATCAGACTAACACTGCGTCGGAAGAGGTTCCGTACGGAGAAGCACCAATCGCACTTCACATACCCCGATGATATACCCCCGCTTCCTACGAGGTAGTGTCCTTACGGCAAACCCTATACACGTGGTTGATCGGAGCAGTTCTGAGCTTGTGATATCACTATCTGGGCTGGGGTATCGTGGACTGCTTGGTGGACAAAAGAGCATGGGATATATCCTGGTTCGTGGAACTTTGACCGATCTGTGAAGGCCTTGGAAACCGGGGAATGCACTTGAACGGTAAACCCAATAACTCTCCACAACCGGCATTGGGTGGCTCAGAAAAGCCCATATCCTGATAATAAACATATGCATTCCTGGCCAAGGTAATAGTAAGTTTTAAACTTACTTAGGAAATAGTATCGTAAGTACTGTAATAGGTTGAATTCTAGCAGTTTCCAGAGGGACGACACCCACTCGGGAAAGTAGATGCTTTGATCCATCATCATCTTGGTAGCGATCCATTGGAATTGATTTCCATTCATCCCATTCCAGTCCTGAATCGATGTTCACTGCATCTCTTAACCCTTTGAAAAGTCCAAGGAAACCTTTGCAATCAGTCAAATCATATCCACAACAGAACGCAAAACGATGCTGTAATCGCCCGTTTCGCACAGCCTTCGCAAGGCTCAATTCGCCTTTTCTTTCAAAAGCTTCAACCAAAACCTCCTCTTCCTTTTCCAATGTATTGATACCGTTATAAAATTCGCCCACAGGTAGGAATACTACGGGCGAGTTGAAAGCGATTGCCTCCGGCGCTGTATGGGCCCATTCCCAGCCAATGATGGCAGTGATGTTGTAGTCGTTGTCAACGAGAATATGGTCGCCCTTGTCGTTGGCATGTTTCAAAAAGAATGCTTTGTCAGGATTTCGTTGGGAGGGAAGAATTGAAGGAATGATGTCGAGGAGAAACCGGTGAATGACATACGCGTCGACAGGGTTCTGGGAGTACATCTCTTCTCGTATGATCAGGTCTAGCACGAGCTTGATTGACGATGAGTGATATTCCTGGAGTGAAGAACATGGGCCTATAGGTAACATCTGGGAGCCGTAAAAGTCGGTCAGAGACTCTCAAGCAAATGCGCCGATACGTTGAGAGCTAGAAGTACCGAGGCATCCCATTTTTTCGAAAGGATATTTCCGGAGTTCAATGAAGATATCTGAAAGTTGTTCTGCGACTTTTCTTCTTTGCTTGGGGGAAGCAAGTGACCATCGAAGCGACCTGCCCTCCATCTTCTCAACAAGCATATACCCAACGCCGATAGCATTTTCGGGGCTTTCCAGAGCTAATTCGAACACTTTTGGTGTAGTTACAGTAGTTCTCTCAAGAAACTTCATCGTTGCGAATTCACTCTTGAAAATGTGGTCGCGCAAACAAGCTGGCGGAGACGTAGCATTGAATCGGCGAATGCGTGCTAACCAAACGACGCCATCTTCAAAGACAATGTCGATGTGATAGTTCATACCACCCATGACAGAGCTTCGGCTCGCTCTATCATACCGAAAATCAGGGACGGAACAGCGAATCCCATTTCGTAGCTCACTCGCGCGTGCAGCAAGAGCATCCGTATTGATTCTACTGATCAAATACTCGATTTCCCTCATCTTTGCTTGCCGCGCAGCAGGGTCGTAAAGGTCCGCATCCTACCAAAGTATCAGGCAAACTGAGCTTGTTTTATGAGGAATTGACTACAGACTTCCCATGGAGGGCATTCGTGGAAAGGCATTTGAGCATGTAAGAAGCAAGAATGATGTTTGCATAGAATGCAGCCACTTGTGCGGTCTGCAGGTTTCGAGCAACCTTCAAAATCACAAACCCACATTGGCATCTTGAGACATTGTTTGAAGGGTGTTGTGATTGCACTATTTAGATAATCTGATAACGATTGAAGACTGATGAGTGTGAGTGCAATCGTGCGTGAGGCACAGCGCTACATAACTCTGCAGTTGATGGCTGCCTTGACCAATGATTCTTGAGCATCTGTAGTCGCTCCAATCAAGGTGTCCCAACGGGTATCAGTTTTTGAGAAGCAGATTGTTCGCATGAGTCTCAGTGTATCCCTTCGTCTGTTTACAACCAGGTAACTATACAGTGAAAAATCCACAAGAGTACGTATGTAATAAATGTTCAGATCTACGGTATTGCAATACATGTGCGCTGCGAACAACATGACATTTGCGCTGTTGATCACAAATGGTTTTCTCGGCCCCGCCAGGCCCAATTGAACGCCGCTGGTGGAGAAATAGGTATTTTAAGGTCGAAGCAGCGGGACGATCATTGATCCCGCAAACAATTGTGTAGAACTCTAATTGAACTGTTACGGGTGAATGCGCAGCCGATGTTCACTTGGCGCCAGTTTAGACGCGAGCAGGGGAAAGACGCTTCACTATCCTAGAATTGATTAGATAGTTCCGGGAAAGTGGGAGGTTTAATATAAAAGTAGAAACGCCCCCTAGTTGCGGGGAACTAGTAAACTACTCTTCGATAGTTACTGAAAATGTTGTATAGAAACATTCTTTCTGGCCTGTGGTTCGGCCTTAGTGTTTCGGCAGCACCGACTACTTCGGCTCGCTCTGTCGATTCACTTCTCCCACTGTCTACGAAAGGGAGAGACATCCTCGATAGCAATGGGGATGTTTTCCACTTCAAAGCAACGAATTGGCCGGGGCACCAAGAGGCAATGATACCGGAAGGACTTCAACATGCTTCAATTGAGCAGATTGTGTCCTGGTTCCCAAAGTTCGGGCTGTAAGTCGGCAACCATCGTTTGCATTTGATAGTGAATGAGAGCAACTGCTAAGTAATGATTGCAGAAATTCTGTTCGATTGTGTTTCGCAATCGAGATGGTAGACGACATCCTTAGTAACAATACAAATCAAACATTGGAGAAAAGCATTCTGAATGCCCTTGGAGAAGCCAACGGAACAATAGTCCTAGACCAAATCCTTGAAAAGAATCCACAATTCACCAAATCGACTACGAGGTTGGAAATCTGGGATGCAGTCGCTCAAGAGTTGACGAAACAGAATGTGATTATCCATCTTGACAATCATGTTTCGAAAGCATTCTGGTGCTGCGGCGAGAATGATGGCAATGGCTGGTTTGGGGAGAAGTACTTCGATGTTGAGAAATGGAAGAGAGGGTTAGCATGGATGGCGGAACATGTATGACTCCTACTTATTACTGAATTGTCAGGTGCTAATTGAAGTAGGCCAAGCAGAATTGGCCAACGTTCTCTTCAATCGGTCTGCGCAATGAGCTGCGCAACGCTCAGAACGCAGAGCCCGTCGATTGGTACACTTGGTACGTTCATATGACCGCAGCAGCGGAAGCAGTCCATGAGGCCAACCAAGACGCCTTGGTATTCTTCTCGGGACTCTCTTACGACACCTACATTGACCCCATTCCATTGGGCAAAACCTTGAATGGAACCAGTGGCACTGCAACCGAGGGCAAGACTGCAGTCTTTAATCCGGATGACTTTGCTTGGAAAGACAAAATTGTCCTCGAGATTCACAAGTACGATTTTGAAGCAACTCAAGACAATTGTGATACGTTCAAATCCAAATGGTACTCGAAGGGATTCCAAGCACTTGACGCGTCAAACCCGCAGACCAAGCACCTCTTTCCGCTCGTTTTGTCGGAATGGGGCTTCATTCAGAACGGAACGTATTGGAAACAGACAACATACAACAACTGCACAATTGAGATGGTTGAGGATTGGCAAGTCAGTTGGATGCATTGGGAGCTTTCAGGCAGCTTCTACCTCCAGACCAGGCCCAACAGGACGCCTAATACTATCCAAGGCTTGGAGGAATTCTGGGGTTTGGTGAATTATGACTGGTCTGCCGTGCGGTCTCCCATTACGGTCGAGAACAGTCTGAACAAGATGATTGCAGCTCTAGATGCTTGATTTGGATGATAGCATAGATTCGCTCATGTACATACAATGACAATGAATTCATCGCGACATACTTAGCATCTATTGAAATTCCCGTTCGTTGTTCCTGACTGTGCTGGACGATGGATCTATGAATAGCAATAGTCAAATAAAAACCAGGAGCAATCCTTCACGCAAAAAGTGATCCGAATAAGGATCAATTGTGTCAATTGTTGGAGGACGATGCCAACATAGCCCTTCGATCCTAGATGCAAGACTAGTGTACAAACAACCTGTTTTTTCGTGCTTACCATGCTTAATCCTACTCGTTTGTGAAAACAATAACACCATGACTCGAAGACATCACAAGCCCGTGAAACTGAAAATCTTCCGACTTGCGGAGTTCTTGGCCTCCGGGACAATAGCCTCTTTCCACCCCCGCACTCCACACTCCGCATCGAACCACCGCTAGGCTTTCTCAAAGGGGAAATGCACCGATGCCCGGCCACCGCTTCGCGATGCTAATGGCTCGAGCCTAGAAACATAGATTGGTTGCTGGGCAGATATGCCTGCAATACATATTGCGAGACAGGGTGGACCGATGCTGTTCGAACACACGGCCAGGTCGTGGACAGATTTTCTGGGATTTTGAAATCCAACGTCTGCATTTATTGCGATTTGTCCAGTACGCACCCTCTGATATGGCTTCACAAGGCAATGAGAATGCTGCCGCAGCAGCAACTGGCGGTGCGAACACCATTGCTCCAGCAGAGGCGCCCAAACGTTCACCATGGAAGGCGTGGATGTATCTTTGGGAATGGTACCCGAAGCATTATCCAGAGGAAGAACGAAAGCTTCTGCGCAAGATGGACGCATGCTTGTTGACGTTCTGTTCTTTCATGTGTAGGTTTTGCTTCCTTGAGAAGACGATTCTGCTTGTTAACAATTACACCTAGTCTTCCTCAAATGGCTGGATTCGTCAAATATCAACAATGCATACGTCTCCGGCATGAAAGAAGAACTCCATTTGAACGGCAACCAGTACTCCCTTTTTGGAACATTCTACAACCTGGGATATTTGGTATTCCAGATCCCATCATTGTTGCTCCTCTCTCGGCCTAAAATTGCCAAATACTACCTCCCGACCATGGAGGTCCTGTGGTCAATCGTCACGTTCTGTCAATCGCAAATGCGCAACGAGCGCGACATTTACGGTACTCGATTCCTCCTCGGTCTTCTGGAAACCCCGGTTGCGTCTGGCACCACATACGTACTTGGATCCTGGTATAAACCTGAAGAAGTTTTCAAACGGACTGGCGTTTGGTTCGTATCGAACAACATCGCCGTTATGTTCGGTGGCTACTTGCAGGCGGCCGCGTACAAGAACCTCAATGGAGTAGGAGGAATGGCTGGATGGAGGTGGTTGTTCATTATCGACGGTGTCATATCACTTCCAATTGCATTCGCAGGCTACTTGATATTCCCGGGGCTACCATCAAGTAAGAAGCCATGGTGGTTGACTGAGGACCAGCACATGCTGGCAAGAAGGAGAGTTGCCGAAATCGGTACTGAGCCAAGTCGGAAATTGGACTGGAGCGTGATTCGGCGGACCTTGAGGCGATGGGAGTTTTACGTTGGCGTTACGGCATACACATTGTGAGTAAATCGGAGTGACTGGGTTGACAATACGCAAGTGTTCTCGGAGATCTAACATTGATAACAGCTTCCTATCGTCCTCATATCCTCATGGCCAGATGGCCCTATGGCTCAAGGACCAAACAGCAAAATTCGGCACATACTCCATCCCACAAATCAACACCATCCCGACCGGTGCTCAAGGTGTTTCTGTCATCACCGCTCTTCTAGCAACATCACTGTGCATGATATACCCTCTGTGGGCCATATTTTCTATTGTTCAGACGATCTATATGATAGCCAATATCCTTTTGTTGGTATGGGTTATTCCTAAAGGCTTGCACTGTGAGTAATGCCCCCAGCACGAAGTCCGCACGATACTAACTAGGCAAAGTTGCTTGTTATTATCTTCTAGGGACCTCAGCTGCGGTTACGCCAATATTGATGCCATTCATCAATATGGCGCTCCGAGATGATTCTGAAGCACGTGCAGTGACTGTTGGCGCAATGTTGACTGCTGGATGGGCAGTGTTCTCATTTTATCCTATCACTGTATTCCCAGTTCTTGAAGGTAAGTTTGCCCTGAATTGCCAGTTACCAGCAGATCTAACTAGTCTATAGCTCCACGATGGACAAAGGGTTACTCTGTGAATATCGCATTCGTCTTCTTCACGTGGTTCTTCTTCCTGGTAGGCCAGTATCTTTATCGAAGGGATGAGAAGAAGAGAGAGCGAATGGCACTTGCACAGAGAGCAGATGAAGAAGACGTTCTCAATCTTAAAGATAAGGCTGTTGGTGAGGTCGTTGAGCATGTCGAAGAGAGGAAGTAGTTTCATCGTTTCCGTTCGATGAATATAGTCGTATTGTTGTTGAACCTAAGGACGGACCCCAAGCTAGTGGCATGAACAATCTAATGATCACGCTGGAGATCTACCCTTGAAACGATCCTCATTGCACTGTGAATTACTCATCGTGCTCGTTTCCAGTAGGATGGTGTAACGAGAGCTCATGCTCTTCGCACCTCCCACTTCACATTCGTGATGCTGACCTCCTCCCCTGCCTTTTCGTCATAATCGAACCATTCCCCTTCATTGAGATCGATACCGGAGAACTTCGTATTCGATTCGAGTCCAGTAGCGAGCCATTCACCCTAAATTGTTCTCAGCACGCATTAACATATTGCTCCTTCGTCAACGTACATCAGCTCTGAACTCTACAAATTCAAGACCTCTGCAGTCGAACTCTAATATGTTCTGGGTCTTTGGGGGATCTGATTGTGGATATGAAGCTGGCGCAGCCTTGACATTTGCGGAATGTTCCCTCTAAACCTTTCAATCAGTGATCCGCTGGTGCTACACAGGGAAGGGTAGCAATAACCTTACAATTCTTGCATTTCCAGACAAAATTCGCCTCGCCTCTACTGCCGCTAACTTCGTGGGTCTCAAAGCGACTCATAGTGACGAAGTTGGGATGTGTCTCGCGACAGGAAGTGCATTGGACCTTGAAGGTATAAAAGAAGGGGGATTCTTCGGTATCATTTGGTCGGAGGTCTGTCACTCTAGGAATATATTAGTACAAATTGGTGGAAATATCACTGTCAGCCTTAATATTCTACGTACCCATTGAGCTCAGCTATCACAGCAAGTGCGAGTACCATGTTGGCAATGGATATCAAGGAGAAAGTGATCAGTGCGGAGGTTGTGGGTTCAGTTCGTTCGAAGCTTCGATTCTGCGCGGGGAAGCTACGGAGGTGGGAGGGGTCCGTTATGCTGGAAATGTGCGTAGTCAGCAATCTTGGCACCATCGAATGATAGTTCCTGTGAATTTCACGCCATCAGGAAACTTTCTATCTCCCCAATTGTGCGACCGATTCGACGAAACATTCGATATAGCAAGTAGTGGGACTATGTCTCGATAGAAATGCAAGCGCTTTGGTCCCAGGCAACGCGCAACCTGGGAACCTGTCGAGGCACCTCATGCGTCCCCCGAGCGACGGCAATCGCGCAGCGCGCAACAGCAAATTCCCTCCAACGACCGCGGCTAATCGAGATACCTACCTCTACGTTCATATACACAGCGATATTTGCTGCAGGAATTGCAATTGATGGCCGCGCAAAACAGGCAAGGAATCGGCAATGGGACAATGCATTCGCCAATTTACAATCGGAGACGGAAGAATCTTCCTTACCTGGATTGGGGCCTGAAGAGAACGAGATCGAGATCAACTTGAATCCAACTGGACACATGCGGTTGGAAGAAATCCTTCGAGATGGTGTAGATCTTTCAATGGTTACACAGACAATTGGTGTCAACATCACACAGGATTCATCTGCTCATGAGCATTCGAAAGATGCGGAACCCTCACAAGCTCCTATCGACCTATGGGAAATCTTACGCTTCGACTCCAGGTGGCCAGGCGCGCCATTACTAGAATGGCCGGTCAATACTGGCCTTAAAGCCGTCCGCCACCATCTCCCTCCCCAATCTTTGTGGGCATACGACCACATGCGCCGGACCGCATTACGAAGAAGACAAACCAGCAAAAAGTTGGCAATTCAAGAAGTTTCCGTTGGCCTATTGATTCGCTCCCTCATTTCGAAAACGCGAGCCCACGAAGTTGACGATAATATCATCATGGACAACGCACCTTCGTTAATGGAGGTACTGAGGACTGGACAGGATACCCACCAAGATTACATGCATACAATAGAGGGATTGGAGAAGGCACTTGCTGAATTGCAAGTCACCTCGGCTGAAAGAATTGCAACGAGTGAAGAGATGCGCACCAAGCACCACCTGGCCTTTTCCGGACTTCCTCAATACCAAGAAGATAGTGACGGCGATTTTCACTCCATCCGTAAAAACATGAACGCATCATTAAAGCAAATATTCCAACAAAAGGATCAGGTACAAGACCCAAAGGCTCTTGCCGTGGCTACACTCAAGATATCGCACAATCTGCTTATATCTTCAGCAGCACCTGATGTGCAAACATTCAACCTACTAGTATCTGGTTTTTCACGATGGAAAGCACCAAAACTGGTTGATAGGGTGCTCGAGGCTTTGGAGACCTGCAAGATTCGCCATAATGAAGTTACTTGCGCCAATGTTCTCCATCATTATGCCAAATACGGCGAGGCTGACAAGTTTTCATATTTTGTGTCAAAAATGCGCGGGTTTGGGGATGCCTTAACTCTTGCCAGACCAGATATTAATATCAATGAGGCCGGTCAGCAACGCTTAGTGCGCCAAGGGTCCAAGGTGTTCCAAAAGATTCACCCGTCGCCTTTGGTCTTCCATTCTCTGATGTTTGGTGCCCTCAGATTTGCAGGGTTTGAGCGCTCCATGGATATCTACTATGAAATGAAGGAAGACGGTTGGGGCCTCGATGTTTTGGGACTCACACACTTCCTCGTCGATTGTATTAAGAGGAAAGACTTCAATGGCGGCCTATACATCTGGAACGAGATCAGTTATATCAAAGATGGTGCTAAGAAATCTCACGTGGCGAAGGCATACGCAAACATGCTGAGTTTATGCTCTGTAGCAGGCCAAACCGCTGCGTTCAACTCACTTCTCAAAGAACTCGTTCACTATGGCTTTGACCGGAAACAAATCGTCTCGAATGCTTTAGACATGGCCAAAAGGGTTTCCGGTACCAATGAAGTGCACGTACCAGCATTCACAGCCGATAATATTCTTATTGCTATGACGGATTTCATGTTGGACCGCCCGCCTCCGCTGGACACACCTGATGCGTCACCGGATAAGCCTGAAGCGTCTTCCAAGTCTGGTGACGCAGAACTGGAAAGCGCGCTTGAGCTGGAGGCGAGTTTGGAGACGAGTGAACCTTTGCCTGAAAGCAGCGAGGAGACGCAAGACCCCGAAGAACTATGGCAAGCCTGGCTTAAGCATGAGCTTGGTATGAGACGGAGGGTTAGCGATGCGGAAAGCAAAGAGCCAGAATAAGACCAGAAGCCCTCGTACTTTCGGAATCGTTAGATGACAAGATCTATATAAGGGATCTTTCCACATTATTATCACCAACCCATACGAGGTTCTGACCCTCGACGACCGAAATGGCGTTTTCAATCGGAAGGTTGGCAATTTTGCGATGAAGAAACGAGCTTCAGCCAGAATTTTGCAACATAGTAGGGGGATCCAGCATCATAGGATTCCAATATCACAGGGTCCTACATCAAAGGGACCCAACAGCCTTTTACATACAAACTACTGTATTCCACCTGTATACAAACACCGGCATGGCATCGGCATCCATTGGGCGTAACGGTATTTTTTCCTTGGGTAGATTCTGATGAAACATGAGCAGTAGTTAGACGGCGTAGTACTGTATGGTATGCCTGCAATATCATTGTAAGATCATAGACAGGAAATGAGTAGTTGGTGATCGACCAACCGCCAGTCACGATTCGCTGGAGAAGCATTTTGATCAAGCCATCCAACTATGTACCAACACAATAGTAACAATGCAAATCATTACCTTTTCACCACGTTCAAAAAATTGACCTGATCAGATCCAGCTGTAAACTCCTGTCTCTTTAGATCGAACTTCCTCAATTTCTATAGAAAGTAGCTGCTAAATCATCATCCCCACCACACAACCACAACCCTCCGCTTAAACATTTACGCTCCCCCACCATCCCCTCACCCCAACGTCATCGACAACCCAGCACCTCCAAACAATAACATCCCCCGGGATTCATATCCCGTCGCACCTCAACAGCAGAAGTCTCCCTTCTTTCCTTCCCATTTCTCTCCTGTAGCGGTTGCGAGATGACAAACGAAGACCCACCAAAAACACATTACAAATCCAACGTACAAAAGAAAAAAACCCCGTGTCGATCAGATGCGCCGCAAGGGGACGTGAAACAGAATACGAGTAGCTACGGACTATGTGTTGTATTGTTTTGACGTAATTCAGGGTTTTCTCGTAGTTTAAATGCCTTTGTTGAGATCATTGATTATAAATTATAAATGTCAATTGCAACGGAGCATATAAGAATAGGGTTCTCTTGCTGTTGGGGCTAACTATCGAGTACCTGTAACTACCAACCTACCAATCAAGTTCACCAATCGTTTGCATTCACCACCATACAAACACATATAATTAATCCCCGACTTGAAAATAATTCAAAATAACAATACTTCCAACATGTCGCCCAAAATATTCATGTACGTCCCCATTCCCCCTCCCCTCCCCCAACATACAATCCACTAACGAGCCACAGAACAGGAGCGACAGGTTACATCGGCGGCGACGCACTGTACGCACTCTACAACAAGCATCCTGAATACACCTACTCCGCGCTCGTGCGCTCAGAAGAGAAGGGCAAGGCAGTGCAGGCAGCGTTTCCGAACGTGCGAATTGTCGTCGGGACGCTCGACGATGCGGAGATATTGGAGAGAGAGGCGGCGGACGCTGATGTCGTGATTCGTATGTCTTTCCTCTTTCCCACATACTCCATCCTTCCGTTTCCCTTTCTCTGAAATTCTTTCCCGATTAACGCAAAACGACAGACACAGCCGACGCCTCCGACCACGAAGGCGCCGCCCGTGCGATTGCCAAAGGCCTCTCATCCGGACACACGGCCTCCCGCCCCGGGTACTGGCTGCACACCGGCGGCACGGGTATCCTCTGCTGGTACGACGAGCGGTCTGACGACCGCCTGGGAACCTGGAACGACTCCCCGCCGTACAACGACTGGAGCGGCGTGTCGGACCTCACCAGTCTGCCTGACGACGCTTTCCACCGCAACGTCGACAAGATCGTGCTGGAAGCCGGTACGCGCGAGGCGGAGAAGGTTAGGACGGCGATTCTGTGTCCGCCCACTATTTACGGGAAGGGGAGGGGTCCTTCGAACGCGAGGAGTAGGCAGGCGTATGAGTTGGCGAAGTACATTCTCGAGACGGGGGTGGTGCCGATTATCGGGCCTGGAAAGTCAAGGTGGGATCACGTGCATGTGGCGGATTTGTCGGAGGTGTTTGTGAAGTTGACAGAGGAGGCGGTTAAGGGGAGCAAGGACGAGGAGTTGTGGGGGGAGAAGGGCTATTTCCTTGTGGAGAGTGGGGATCATGTTTGGTCCGAGTTGGCGAGGAAGATGGGGAGGAAGGCAGTGGAGTTGGGGTATTTGAAAGAGGTTAAGGAGCAGAGTCTCGGGAAGGAGGAGGCGTTCAAGCAGGCTGGGTTCCAGGCGGTTAGTTGGGGATTGAACAGTCGAGGGAGGGCAGAGAGGGCAAAGAAGACTTTGGGGTGGAAACCAGCGGGATCGAGCCTTGATGAGGAGATTGAGACAATTGTGAAAGAGGAGAAAGAGAGGCTGGGATAGTGTGTTGTATAGGTATTCTGAATTCTTTTCACGAAATTTTCAGAGTCATCAGATTAATTACCGTACGATATACTGAAACTAACCTGAGAACCACGAAGCACGGTTTAGGCATTGTTAGATGTATTGGATCCAGAGGACTGTGGTGCTATGCAAGTGCCTTACTGGACAGTTTGAATGCAAAAGAAAACAAATGATTTTGCGCAACGCCATGCAAAGAACTAGGTAATTGATATTTCCTTTGAAAGATATTGTCATGAATCCCCGTCCTGGTGAACCTCTTGATGAACCTTATCATTAATCAAATCGCCCTCATCGAAGCCGCCAGCTGATCCAATCCAAACCTACTCTCAACATCCACCCCCAAAACCTGCGCGGGCCACTCTATCAAATGCAAGTTCTCTCTCCCCAGCGCCATCGCAATCCCCCTCAGCATGCCCGCCCCTAGCCCATCCATCCACCACACATTCCTCACCCTCCCCAGCAGCACCGCATAGTGCGCTGTAACAACCAACGCCTCCGGCCGCTTCGTCTCGACCATCTGGATAAACATCTTCGACAGCCTCGTCGCCCACACCAATATCGCCGCGCGATCCCTCAACATTCCCACCGTCGTGTCGTCCACTGAATATGGCACAGGTGAATTCATCGTCGGATACTCCATCTCAGGATCCGTCAGCATGGAAACCAGCGCATATGTGTTCCGCAGGTGTCCCAGCGCTGCGCTCAGACTATCATGCTCCATCTCGTTCCCCCTCCCCAGATTCGTCCAGAGCTTCTCCAGCTGTGCGAGCCGTCTGTCTTCCTCGACAGCGCGCGCGGACGCGGGAAGTCGATGCTCAGGCCACCATGTGCGATGGCATACCGGCGACATCTTGCTGTCGACGACCCATTCCCAGCCGGGAGCGAGGACGCTGAGCGCGCCGCGGAGAGCCCAGAAGGTGCGGATAATCGAGTCGATGGACTTGTCGATTGCGCTCACCGGCGGGTCGGGTATGTCAGGCGGGATGGCGGCTTGGACCTCTTCGAGGTCGACGACGGAGGTGCGGAAGAAGTAGACGGCGGTGAGGGTCGAGCAGGCGAAGAGGGCGGGCGCGTTGGATTTGTTGATGTTTTCGAGTTCGAGGCGGAATTGCGCGATGGCGCGGTTCATTTGGTCGGCCGCGATGTTGCGGAGTTTTTCGCGCTCTGGGGCGCTTTCGTGGAGCTGGGAGAGGTGGAGTGAGGTCACGGAGAAGATGCCGTGGATTAGGAAGCTGTGCTCGTTCGCCATCTGTGGGACGTAGACTTGCCAGGCGGACTTTCCTGGGTCGTCGGTCGCCAGTGTGAGACAGGTTGTCTCTTTGTATTGGCCGAGGAGGAGCTCATGGTAGTTGGCTAGTTGGCCGCGGAATTCGGTGAAGACGTCTTTGAGTTGGATGCCTGGTAAGAGTTTGGGTGCGGGTATCATAGAGAGCCCATCATTTTGTGAGTCTGACGTCGAGGGACTCGATCCTGTCGATGATCTAGAGGGCGAAGGACTGATATGTGCTAGTTGTTTTGACGTGGGAGAAGTTGATGATATTGGGGTTGTGATCGGGCGAGATGTGATGGAGGTGGTGAGTCGTGTGGAGGGTGCTAGGAGCAGAAAACTGCAATCAAACCCTTTCTTCACACAGTTATTACATGTTGGGTGTGTCTCGTCACACTGTTAGATGATTAGTAGATGTACATACAATACGACCATTCTAGGCAATTCGAGGACCTCCCAATCCCCAGAACCCTGTTATACAATGTCATGTGGAAAGAAGATGCACACAAGAATACGTGCTCAAGGGTACATGTTCATTGAAGGCTCAAGAAGGACTTGCGAGTGGTGCCTTTCTATATGATGGAAATCTCAAGAGGCACTGGTGCGTTGCTATGCAATTTCTGAGATACGCATGTGCTACAAACATGGAAAAGACAAGAGCAAGTGGGATGGCAGTACCTTTATTCGCCTCTTCTTACATTGGCCGCATCCTAGCCTTGTCTTGTTATGGGTTCTTCTTGTCGACATTCTGGGTACCGTACCAATGAGGCCTCGAACCTCGAAACGGATATGCCACAAAATCCTGTAAAATGCCGGGAGAATTGAGGCGTCGCAGAGAGTAGAGGGACGATGTAATTCTTGTATGGGAGAGGAACGGACGAATCGTGAAGGAATGTATACGACAAAGACCATTAAGGGACGTTGGTTATTACATGTAGGGGCGTGGCGGAGTGCCACGAATTATCCATGTGCCATCAAGAGCACATGGACTGACGTTACGCGACCCGAAAACCATCCATGTCGTTAATCGTTCACCTAACCTAATCAGGGAATCCTCGTTCCTAGCGATCTCTGATTGGCTGTGAATACGCTACCGTAAGTTTAGCACCGGAAACCCCACCTCACGCTACCCACAATTCCCGTTCTTAGAAGTTTCCGATTCATCAATCTCATTAGGAATAAAGGCCTGCCCTGTTGCTCTGCCTCATACTCTCTGCCAGGCGTTGGCTCATTCAGACTCACATCAATTGTCGTCCGGTGTTGTCCGCCCTTCGTCCTGATTCTGCCTTGAACAAATTCCATTTAATAGTACATTTGTGGAACTTACCTATCTATTCAGATGCCAATCATAGACCATCTTGTACGTCTCACTCTGCTGCGGTTACGCCGCGTACGTTCGTCTCGTACACTAAACCCTCCAATGCGCGGAAGCTGAACATCGTCGTATACAAGTCGTCGTCCAATGAGTGACTGTGAAGAACGAGACTTTGTTACTATATAGCATTTGCGCCATGACCGACTTCTTGAGGTAGGACAATCCACAACACCATCATCCCTCTTTTCTCTCATTATTTCCTGCACATAATTCCTTTGCATATATCCAAATCGCATCCTGTGATACAGAGATTCTTGACTTCACATTCCATTCTTTGTTCTTTCTCTTTCCACGCTGTGGTAGCAAAGCGTTCCTTCAACTCCACCGATCCAATTCACAACCATGGTCTCAAAAGATCACCATCCAGCACTTGACGACCCCAATGCCTTTGTATACTATCGCTATGCGCCCTCGCTGGCAGCAGCCGCCATATTTGTCGCTCTATTCGGCATAAGCTCACTGCTTCACATCTGGCAAACATGGAGAAAGAAGTCCTGGTTCATGACGCCCTTCATAATCGGCGCACTTTGTAAGCCCATCCCCTTCCTCCTTCATCACCCTATCTAACCAATCCAAATAGTCGAATTCGTTGGCTACATCGGCCGAATCCTCTCCTCGCAAGACCAATGGGACCGCAACGCCTACATCATCCAAACCCTCCTCCTGCTCCTCGGCCCCGCCCTCTTCGCCGCAACAATCTACATGATCCTTGGCCGCATCATCCTCCTCACTGACGGCGAGAAGTTCTCCCTCATCCGCCGCACCTGGCTCACTAAGATCTTCGTCGGCGGCGACGTCCTCAGCTTCGTGATCCAGGGCGCTGGCGGAGGCGTCATGTCGTCCGCGGACAAGAACCCCGGGAACATGAAGAAGGGCGAGAACATGATCATCGGCGGATTGTTCGTGCAGTTGTTCTTTTTCGGGTTCTTCGTCGTGACGTCCGCGGTTTTCCAGTACCGGGGGCGCGCGCATTTGAATAAGTTGCCGAAGCATATCGTGTGGAAGAAGCATATCTACGTGCTTTATCTCACGTCGACGTTCATATTGATCAGGAGTGTGTTTAGGGTTGTTGAGTATCTTCAGGGGAATAATGGAGAGCTCCTAAGGAAGGAAGTGTTTTTGTATGTTTTTGATGCTGTGTTGATGTTGGCGGTGGCCGTCAGCATGAATGTGGTTCACCCGGGCGATTTGGCTATCTTGATCAAGCAGAAGTTGGAGTCGGCGTACTCTACTGATTCATCGGCTATCGCTTTAGATGACGGTCGACGGGGCGTGTCTCAGGGGAAGGATCGAGCGAATGCAGATGAGGGGAGGTACTCGGGTCATGTATAGTTTTCTTCAAGGGTAGACTATCGTCCTTTCTTGGCTCGATACATCATACATGGCGCTTCTTTATTTAGACAATATTTACAAGAATAGAAGAATATAGGGGTTTTATCAATTTGGGTAGAAATGGAGCAGAAATGTATAACTATCGATCGCGGGTATTAAAGTGCTCGCTCATATGTATTGATTCTGCCTCCCTCTCTTACGTTCTCGGTCTCCTCTATTTGATCTTTAGTTGCATACTTTGACCATACCACGATACGATAGCAGGTAACTCAGGATCTCTCCTAATTCACGATACTGTGTGATGCATTGCGAGGGACAATGCATACATCTGCATGCCTATATCGGAACAACAAATAACCTACCGACGTTCGGACAACACCATCCATGAACAGGACATTAAGGACTGATCCCAGAGCTCGGGATATGATCAAACTGTAACAAAAGAACACAATCAGATCAAACGACTACAATGATTTTACAGCTCTATACTTATATATTCATTATAGCTTGTTGTAGCTAACTTGGTCTTCCAAAAGTCGCATGCCCTCGACAGTTAAGGAATTGGTCCGACGCCCTACCTAGATCTCGCAATTAAAAATATAAAAAGATATACTTACTTTATTCTTAAAATCTTAATAAATCTATACAACTACAGAGTTGAATATTTAGTATAGAGTATTGTTGTAGCCTTTATTTAAACAGTTGTGTGCCTTAAGTAGAATGAATATATACGCATAGGTATGGCGCCCCCTAATAACCATCATACAAACCAAAGTCCTTTTCTATGCGATTCAAATAGATTCCGCCCTACTCCTAACCCCTAACCCTTCTAGCCCTTTCCTAAATCCTAAAATGCCCCTGACCCTGTGTGTTTTGCAAGATTTATTCTTATAGTCGGCCACTGAGGAAAAGTGGTGGCTCCCTGCCCAAAAAACCAGCCACCGACCCACATAGTCCCTCCCGTCTTCCACGCCCACCCACACAACAAGCAAACTCTATCAAAAAAGAGATTCCGGTGCAAAAAAGAACGGATATTCCAATTGGACGGGTAGGGGATCGAACCCTAGACCTCCCGCATATGAGATGATATAAACTCCCATCCACTCCCACAGTTGTAGAAGAAGAAGTAGAAGTTAATCTTGCAAAGCGGGCGCTCTACCACTGAGCTACACGCCCTGGCGCATTTTACTGCTTGAATTGACTCTCGTCGGATCAATTTGAGGGTTTTTATGTGCGGAAAGATGGAGGTTGGCCGGGGGGGTTTGTGGTGGAGGATTTTGGGCGTGGGTATCCACACGCATGCTCAGAAGGCTTCAGGGAACGGGGGATCTAGTCTTTAATACGGTATAGAGTGTCTGCTAGCTTTATATATCTTTGCTATTTGAATTGGCTGCTCAGGAGTATGTTATAGCCAGTTGACAATCCTCAGCCCACTGCCTGATATATGCCCACAAACGCACAATTGTAGGCAGGGAATTCAAGCAAATAGGGGACCAGTTCGACATCCTACACTCTGTTCGAGTACTGGCACAATTTGTCCAATTGATTTTGAGTGTGGGGGTGGAAAAAGGCGAAAAAGGCTGGACTTGGTTTTTCGCCTAAGTCCGCCCCACTAAGGTTAGACGCTATGTATATCTACACAGTATGTGTTTCCTGCGATTGAGGGCATGCGAGCAATTGGGGTATTTAGCTGGCTACAATAATATGTGCGAAAATGTGTGATTATGCAGTTTGAGAATGTTGTAGTCATTTTGCGTTGGTTGGGTTCTTTTCTTTGGGTTTTTGTCTGTCCACCGTTTACACCATCGAAGGCGTGCAGGCATTTAGAAGACTTAGTTGACTACAATACTCTATGAAAATTATATAATTATGCAATTGTATAATTATGGTAGCCGTTTTATACAGATTTATATTTTTGTAGGATTAACTATATTTTTCCAAGATTTTGGTGGCCACCGATCAATTACCGGCTGTGATATATCTATATCTTTTCTATGTGCGTTGAAGGCTGATAGCTGGCCTGCAGCTTGGATATGGTTCTATTATTTTTTGCAACGAGGTCTCAATACTTCATTCTTCTGCCCCTATGCTCGATCTTTTTAAATAGAAATGCTAATTATTCATTCATGACCGGCCTTTCCTCTGCTTCGTGCTCCCATTCGCACCACTGTCCTTACTCGCCGCTGCACTCTCTTTCTTCTCCAATTTCTCCTCCGCCTTCTTCTCACTGGCCCTACGCATGGCGCCCTCCTTTTCTAAAGCCTGGATCGTCGTATCAGACACCTCCCAAAGCTTCTTCTGTATCACCTCGTCCTCGATTTCCGGCCTCATGAACTTAAATTCACTACACTCCTTGAGGAACACCCCGCCGTCGCCTCTACCAAACCGAGCTTCCATCGCCGCATATAGGAACGTCTGAGCACCAGAGTCACTGCTCTTGAGAACGAGCCACCACACGGGCCACATAAACAGGTAAACCGCAAGGCCCCACAGGCTCCCGAAAGTAAGATACCTCCGCATCCCCGGCGTGCGAGTCCACCCCGGATCAACGATGATAACCCGCGCATTCATCGGCTTCTTGTCCGGTCTAGCATACGACGACAGGTGTTTCTGGAACGCGACCGCGAACGTCATAAGCGCAAGCTTCGAGGTCGCATAAACACCAGCTGGCGTGAAAGCAATGGACTGCGCCCCGGACTTTCCCCCGTCTTTCTTAGCCTGCGACTTCGACTTCCCACCCGAAGCGTCGATGCCGAAGTCCGGGAGCTGGCCGCCCATGTACGAACTGCACGCCCCTATAATGATGCGGACGTCCCGGTCCGGGGGCTGGACTCTTAGCGCGGGACTCAGGATGCTGAGGAGGTGAAAGTTCGCCATGTAGTTGAGTCCCCAGGTGGTCTCGAGGCCGTCGACCGTCGTGGATGCTTTCCCGCCCGCAGGCGTCCGCGTGTTCGCGCACAGGATTATCATGTCGAGGCGGCGGGGCGGGGCGTTGTCGACCCATTTCGTGGCGAAGGTTCGGATGCTGTGGAGGGAGGTGAGATCGACGTGCTCGGCGGTGATGAGTTCGTTGTTGGACTGTGTTCGGAGGTCCATGATGTAGTCAACGAGGAAGGGGTCGGAGAGCGGTTGCTGGGTGAGGAGGACGAGTTGGGCTCCTCGCGATGCGAGGCCCTTTGCGACTTCAGCGCCTATGCCTGATGTTCCTCCCTGGTCGTATGTTAGATACGACATTCGATTGGAAAATATCGGACTCTTGTGGACTTACTGTGATCATGATGACCTTCGAGTGCATATTGCGCTCGGAAGTGTTGACAGCGCCATTGAAGTACCATTTCAGCAGGTACAGCAACACAAGCAGCGGCACAACCTTCACCAGCGTATGTCCAAATGGTATGGAAGACAGTCCATCCGCCGATATCTGGGCGAGGATGTTGAGGGGCATTGTGGTGCCGGTTCGTAACGGGGGAGGGGAGGGGATTCGTCCGGCCAAAATAGGTAATCAATCACAACACATTCGAGACACGAACTCGGAATGATTTCCTTAGGGTCCGCCAAGCCAGGCAACTAGCGCCCGCGCGCAACGTCACTCGCATGTGATTTCGCGACAACTACTTTTTCGGTGCCTGGGGGAACTAAAACTCACCCTACCCTCGCACTCACACAACACAACACACACACCCAAAACTCCAACCACGTTCTTCCGGCCGCATTTGAAGGAAGATACTGACGGTGTTCGTAGCCCCTCGAAAAAAACACCCAAGAGGTGTTAATCGTCACTCCATACACACAACCCTCTCTCACCATGGCACCCCCGCGGTTGCCCTCCCTCCCCCGCGTCTACAACGACGACGACCTCCACGAGGTCCCTTTCACTTCGCTGCCCGCATACGGCTCAGGCCTGTACAAGCGGCCCATCACGTTCGTGCCCGCGACCCCTGAACCCTCCGCGGACGCCCCCACCACCACCATCGAAGCGCAAGCCTCCGACGAGCCCCCGGAGCTGACATTCGCAGAGCGCTACCTCGCCATCGTCTTAAAAAACACCCCCAAGCCGACGGCCGAAGAGGAGAAGAAATTCCCAATCTGCGACGTCTGCAAGTCGCCAATTACGGAGGCGACTCCGAGCGCGCACCACATTTCGTTCGCGCACCAGTACAGCCTACCGGTGCGACACACGCCGTCCGCTATGGACCGCAATAGAATGGGGTTGAAATACCTCGAGAAGTATGGTTTCGATATCGATGAGCGGAAGGGATTGGGCGCTGCGAGAGACGGTATTTTGTTTCCCATAATCCCGAAGGCTAAACTCAACCAGCATGGCATCGGCGTGAAGGACGTTGAGGAAAAGGTCGAGGAGAAGAAACCGAACAAGCTCGACGCGGGCAAAGCAAAGAAGCAGTACGAGAAGGAAAAGAAGAAGGACGAGCAACTGCGAAAGCTATTCTATGGGGACGACAAGGTCGAGAAGTACCTGAACGAGTTGGGTGGTTGAAGAGTCTATACCTCAGGTCGCTCAGCAGCTCGTCGATGAGCATTTCTGTCTCTGGTTTTATTTTTGGCGTAAGTGGCTCGTGTGCGGGATTTCCCCGCGAGCATGTTCTGGATTTTGTACGACGATACCCCAAAGCCCATGCTTAGCATGAGGCTAGTTTAACGACGACATGGCCTGTTTAAGGATAATCCTCTTTTTCGTATAGCCGCGGAAGGAAAGCGGGTGCAAGTACACCGTAGGCAATAGTGGCATATTAGCATTGCCTCACAACAAGAAAACCCAATGGAATTGTAATAATTCATAACCAAAACTTTGTTGCAGGGCGGCGCTGGGAGGGGAGTTTACAACGCATTCACCACATGGAAGAACTCTCCCAATCTTCTAACAAGACTCCTGGTGACCTCCCGTGTGGGATAGAGCGCATACATCATTTCAGATCGAGTACCTAAGGAAAACCTGCCAGGCCGGATCGGGCTATACCAATCGAGAGAAGTACATGCGCCGTTCAATTCACACCCCTATAACACAAGGAAATAGTCGAAGAAAGTGTTTGATGATCTAGGGCGCAAGGAAGCTATGCCGATGCTGACTTGCTCTTGATACCATAGACTTGCTCGTATTCGCGTGCATATCTTGCTGAGGCTTCGGCAGATTGGTCTTCATATGGCTGCAGCGGTATTAGCACAATTTTGGATGTAAGCCTTGAGATGTGGATGAATACCTTCTTCTCACTTGCGCTCAAGGCTGCCCACTCCTTGGATATCAGAGTCGAGGCATCTGTGAATTTGATGTCCTTGAAGTCTCCACTAGCCTGGCGCTCCTGCATAAAGCGCAAGAATGGGTGCGCGGAGCGTTTAGGAGCCCGATCATCCTCTATCTTCGCAAACGGGCTGAGGCTTTTCACTTTACCGGCTAGCTTTTTCTGCAATGCCAGTCGGGCGTTGTTGGCGAGGCGGATATCGTTGGGCGAATGAGAGTGTACCCATTTGCGGTACTCTGCCCTGTTGGTTTCCGTTTGCTGGTTGGCGAGGTGGTTATAATGCTGGGGCAGTGTGTTAGTGCCAATACAGCCTCCGTGATAGATTTCACACTGCTCGTCACTTACTTCCTTCTCCGCCGGTGTAATGTTGTTGTATTGTTCTGCGGCTTCCTTTAGGGAAACCTTTCCTCCCTTCGCTACCTCTGCTGTATATACTAGTCTGCCGCTGACCTTTCTCGTACTGAAAGGCACACGCAATGCCTGCTTCTTCAGCTCACGGATGTGCTGCTTCTCCTTCTCTTCCGGCGTGAGAACCTTCTTGGCCCTCTTCTTTGCGGCAGGCTTCTTCTTCGCAGCAGTTTTCTTGGCCTTCTTCTTCTTGGGAGCTGCCTTCTTGCTTGCGGTCTTCTTCTTCGCAGGAGTCTTCTTCGCGGTAGTCTTCTTTGCTGTAGTCTTCTTCGCGGCGGGCTTCTTAGCAGCAGCAGCCTTCTTGACCGCCTTCTTCACGGTGGGGGTTGGCGTGGTCGCCTCAGCTGTGGTGGCATAGGTGCGGCGATATGCGCGGGAGATGGCATGTATGACGGGAACCGAGAGGGCATTGCGACGGGCGAAGCTGTTCTGAAAGGCGCGAGCGAGGTGGGACAGGTCGTGTGTGGATGTTTTGGGAAGGTCGCCTGCCAAGCGGCACAGCGCACCGCGAACGAGCATTGTGTGAGAGTCGCAGGTCGCTCTCAATGCCGCGATGCGATGGCGGGCGGGTTAGTGTCGTATGGAAGTGAGACCTGACTGTTGGAGCTTCGCGGGTCGCGTAATTGATTGCGATGGAGGTTGAGTGGTCGGGACGGTGTCGGTGGGTTGGTGGGTTTGGGTGGGATGTGACAGGAACAGGCAAAGGGCAAGCAAGAGTGGAAGTTGGATGGCTGGGCCCGGGGGAAGCTCCCACTTGATGCCAAGCAAGCAAACATAAACAGGCAAGCGTGACTCTTTAGCTGCTTGAGAGCCACTAGAGGCTAGAGCTATCCTTAGAGCAACGCAAGGCGCGTTCCCGTGAGCGCCCTTGCCGCATCCAGACGTCGACGTCACATAATACTATGTCTATCTGTACGGAAGAGGGTGGACACATCATACGAGTGCAGTAACACGAATAATCCTAGATGAAAAATATTATCTGTCCCCATCGGTTGAATCGGGTAGAAATTTCGATGAATTTTGCTGTCTTTTGTTTCTTGTGTCAATTGCAAATTGAAAAGGGAAAATCATCCCAAGGTGGCAGAGGACATTATAGTCCTGGGCTGAAATTAACCCCAACGCCCCTCTTCCAGCTCATCGCTATGTACAAATAGATAGATGTATAGAAGATATGCGAGCAAACTCTTTTGCGTACTCTTTGAAGAAGTCGATTTAGAATCATATATCGAGATAGGGAAACCTCCCTTGCGCTCTAGTGATTTAGGCGAGCTTGTAACTGTTGCCCAATAAGTTAGCAAAAGTGATCGAAAAATTAACCAATGGGCTGTTTCTTCTTGAGAACTTACCTCCATGGATGATCCTCATCACCATACTGGATGGCCTCCATCCATTCCTTCATCTGCAGAGCAATTGGCCCAGCCTCGACATTATCCTCCAATCCGCACTCCACCAACCGTCCCTTCCAGCTAATCTTTCGGACAGGGCTGACGATGGCGGCGGTGCCGGCTCCAAAGACCTCCAACATACGGCCCTCATCAGCCGCATCCGCAAGCTCCTTCATTGTGAACTTCCTCTCGGTCACCTTCCAGCCCTGAGGCTCGAGTCGCTCCTTGGCAAGGCCGATGACGGAATCGCGAGTGACACCCTCGAGGATGGTACCGTCGAGAGGGGCGGTCAACAGCTCCTTCTGGCCAGTCTCCTTGTTCTTGATGGCTGCGAAGAGGTTCATGGTGCCAACTTCAGTGACGTACTCCTCCTCGCCGAATAGCCACAGGTTCTGGTGGAATCCACGGCTGGCAGCTTGCATCTGGGGCAGGATGCAAGGTGCGTAGTTGGCACCCAACTTCTTGTCTCCGACACCGCCGGGCCATGCTCGCACGGCGTAGTCCGTAGCCTCCAATGAGACGGCCTTGAAGCCGGTAGGGTAGTAGGGGCCGACAGGCGAGGCGATCACGTAGAGGAGTGCTGAAGCGGGAGGACCAACTCCCAATGTGCGCTGGGTGCCAATCATTGTGGGGCGTAGGTAGAGAGAGTATCCGCGGGCATCAGGAATGAACCTCGAATCCAACTTCACGAATTGGCCGATGAGATCGATCATTGCGTCTGGGTCGAAGGTAGGGAGAGCGATACGTGCGGACGACTTGTTCAAACGCGCCATGTTCTTGTCAGGTCGGAACAGTCTGATGTTTCCATTCTTGTCCTTGTACGCCTTCATACCCTCGAAGCATTCGAAAGCATAGTGGAAGACGCAGGTAGCTGGGTCGAGGGAGAGGTTCTGGTAGGGTGTTATGCGCGCTGGTAGCCATCCTTGGGAAGCAGTCCATTCAAGCGATAACATATGATCTGGGAGAAAAAGTCAATTCATGTCCTCCTGCATGCGAGCCTTCCCCCAATCTCGCACGCACCTGTGAAATTGCGTCCGAATACTAATTCCTCAGGAGGCAGTAAGTCCTTCGGTGTTGTCGTCTTGGTGATGGAGAGCTTTGATGGGTCAATGTCCTGGATTTTGGTGCCCACAGAGGCATCAGCGTGGATGCTGTATGCCCGCCGACATCGCAAATAAGCAGGTGTGAAGACGCGGGATGGAGCAGAAGAGAATTGCGACAGAAGTCGCGCTGACCGTTGTTGAAGCATAGCGAATGTGTGTGGTGGAGGTATCCCGAAATTGAGGGAAGAAACGTGATTGAAGTAGCACTTGTGAGAGATGTGTGGTAGGTAATTATGGCAGACCAAATATTTACGACCCCGAAGCTGACCGAGATATCGGCGCTTTGTGCTCCCGGGCTTTTGTGACTCCCCCACGGGATAGTATCGGCTCACAATAGCAACAAGCGGATAGGCCGGGCTGAATTGCTTCTGTACGATGAGTCTGACGATCCCCAATTGCCCGCTGCGTATAATTAGGAGCTCAAGACCCTGGCTAAACCCCATGAATGCATGCTGTGACGTTTCTTGTAGCGACTGCTCGGTCCGCTAATCGGAGGTCTGCAGAAGATCCCCGGATAACTCACAATGGACATGCCTCTCCAAACGGATAAAGAGGCTAAGGCCGATGCAGGGCTAAAGTAACTATGAAACGTGTGCACAAATGTTCAATTGACACTTGCGGTGTAGCTATAATTATTGAAACTCATATTCTCTTCAGCCCTACGAGCAAGTTCGAAGTAGTGCACCCGCGCAGTAATACCTAACTTCTACTTCTAATTCGATGTATGCAACAAACACGCCTCAAGCTAGATGAGATACATTGAATCTTGGTCGCTTGTAACCGTTCGACATGGCTATATCAGTGCCTTTTTTATATAGTCAGAATTTGAATTGTGGTTGATAATCTATTGCTCATGCGGGAATAGCTCTCACATGGAAGCCAACACGAGTGACGAACGTAATGTACCCTGCCAAGCGTCCCTCTCCTACAACAACCCCATCCTACATTTCTATTGGAGCGCCGTTCCAACGAATCTTCAAACGAGCGTTGCGACACCCTTATCAAAGGGCGACTTATTGTAACAATAACAACAACAACGTTAAACCTACGTCCCACCTACCTCTAGGTCTCAGACATTCGCCATCCCTTTTCCGACTTGGAATAAAGAAAGATAGCAAAAGGAAGAGGAGGTGTCTCACACGCGCTCTCTCTCCCTTCCGTCAGATTCCCCTACCTCGAGAAACCGCCAGTCCATGCCACCTAACAACAAAATATCCGCCGATCGATAGAATCGCCGCGCGGGCGGTCGTCTTCCACCTTTACCTCCATCTCCTCCCCTTTCTCGACGACGCCATGTTTTCCAATGCGCTGAAGTCGTTCACCTCGAACATCTCGTCCAACTACTCGCTGAGCCCACAACCCACATCCTTCTCCGGGCCCTGGAAGATCTACGATGCAAAGAAGAAGTCCACAGGCAAGGCGGCGTCCGTCTTCGTGTTCGAGAAGAAGTCGCTGGAGCCTCCTGGGGGCGGGAGTCTGGGCGGAAGGTCTGGCGCTTCGGCGCTGAAGAGGGCACACGAGGAGGTTGTGGAGAGGCTGAAGAAGGAGGCCAGTTCGCTTGCGAGGCTGCGGCACCCGAGCGTGCTGGAGCTCGCGGAGCCCGTGGAAGAGACGCGTGGCGGGGGGCTGATGTTCGCTACGGAACCTGTCACTGCGTCGCTGGCTGGCCTGCTGCAGGAGAAGGATGAGCAGGAGAGGGCTGGCGGCGTGGGAGGGCGCCGAAGCCGCTACGTGGTTGAGGAGTCGGATGGGCAGAAGAGGCGGCGGGAGTTAGAGATTGACGAGCTAGAGATACAGAAGGGGCTGCTGCAGATTGCGAAGGGGTTGGAATTCCTCCACGAGAGTGCGGGACTCGTCCATGCGAATCTGACGCCCGAGGCCATCTTTATCAATGCTAAAGTAGGCAATACACCACACAACTCGTCTTTCTTCTCTGAAATGAATGGCACTGATCCAATGTGAATAGTCCGACTGGAAGATCTCTGGTCTCGCATTCTGCACCCCGCCCGAGAATTCCACCAAACCGACATCAGTAACGCCCATATCGCTGTCCGAGGTGTTGAATTATGATGCCCGACTTCCTCGACACGTCCAGCTCAATGTCGACTACACATCCCCAGACTTTGTCCTCGATGGCAATGTCACGTCCGCCGCTGACATGTTCTCACTGGGCATGTTGATCATCGCATTATACAACTCACCCCACCGAAGTCCTCTCGAATTCAACGGAAGCCAATCGGCATACAAACGCGCCTTCTCATCGTCGTCGTCGGTCCCCAACAAGAGCAACAACTTCATGTCTTCACAACCACTACCGAGAGATGTGGTCAACGGTGTTCTCGATCGTTTGATCACAAGGCGGCCAGCACAGCGCTTAGACGCACGGGAATTCCAGCAGGCGCAATACTTTGATAACATACTGGTTTCTACCATCCGCTTCCTCGACTCCCTTCCCGCGAAGACACCCCACGAGAAGTCACAGTTCATGAGGGGGCTTCCAAGGATATTGAATCAATTCCCCAAGTCTGTCCTAGAGAAGAAGGTTCTCCCTGCGCTCCTAGAGGAGACGAAAGATCGGGAACTACTGGCTCTCGTCCTACAAAACATATTCAAGATCGTCACTACATTACCTGCATCGAAGCGGGCTTTCACAGAGAGAGTGATACCCAAGCTCCGAGAAGTGTTCTTGAGCAGTCCACCGCCCGCAAAAGGCGCCCCGGCCGAGCGAGACAGCTTAAAGGAAGCCGGACTGATGGTCGTGCTGGAGAACATTAACGTCGCGGCCGAAAGCAGCGGCGGGAAGGAGTTCAAGGACGACATATTACCGATCATCAACTACGCACTGGAATCTCCCACCCACTCTATGGTGGACGCGGCGCTCCGAACGCTGCCTGTCGTGGTTCCCATTCTGGACTTCTCGACGATCAAGAACGAGCTGTTCCCCATCATTGCGAACGTCTTCGCTAAGACGAGCAGCATGGGTATCAAGATCCGCGGACTGGAGGCTTTCAAGACGCTTTGCGGTGGGGGAAGTGAAGAATCGGATGGATTCGAAGGAGACGGATTGACTGGCGTGGTCGAAGTCCAGAAGCCCAAAACCTCCAATGTATCAATCCTAGACAAATACACCATCCAGGACAAGGTCGTCCCGCTCCTCAGGGGCATCAAGACCAAGGAGCCAGCAGTCATGGTACGTTTCCCCACATCTAAACACCATACCCTTCTCTAGCTAACCAACATCACCCAGATGGCCGCCCTCGAGGTCTTCAAAACCATCGGCCCCCAAGTCGACTCCGACTTCCTCGCCATGGATGTCCTCCCCATTCTCTGGCAATTCAGCCTAGGCCCGCTCCTCAACCTCCCCCAATTCCAAGCCTACATGACGACCATCAAATCCATGTCGACGCGCGTCGAAAACGAACAGACCCGCAAGCTGCAAGAACTCGGCGCCAGCAACGGCACCAGCACCGCAACCACGCGCAACGAATTCATGAGCTTCGGCGGCGCCCCCGCAACCACCAGCAACGGCTTCGACACGACGAACGGCTCAGGAGACGGCGACTTCGAGGCTCTCGTGCGCGGCGGGAGCGCTGCTGGCGCGAGCGGAGCAGCAGGCGGAGGAAACGACATGCTCGGCGGCGATGCGTGGGCCAACGCGCCCTCGTCCGCCTCCTCATCCACCATCCTCCCCTCGCGATCAGTCGCGAACAATCGCGGGCGAGCATCCAACAATGCTTCTCCGGCAGCTACGTTTTCCTGGTCCACGCCGCCGCCGCCCATGTCGCCGCCCGCACAGCAGCACAACCTCTCCGCGCCGCAGCACCAAGGCGTAGGCAGGACGATCACACCGGACAACACGCTCAACAGCCTCAACACGTCCTTCCCCGCGCTCGCGCCCAGCAACCCGGGAATCGGCAGCCCGACCTTCTCTCAACAGCAGCAGCAGAGCAGGCCCGGCGCAAGCATGAACACCATGATGTCTCCCCCGCCCATCTCAACCCAGAGCTCCGGGTTGGACTGGAGCAAAGCATCAAGCACGACGTCGAATCAATGGGGTGGTGGTGGAATCGCATCTGCAACCTCGACGACGCCCGGGCTCTCCAACTTCTCAATGGCACCACAGCAGCAGCAGAGCCAGACGAACCCTTACTCATCGTTCAGAATCGCGCCGCCGCCTAGCAAACCGGCTGGCTCGTTTGGCATACCGCCGCCTCCGAGCGGAGGGGGTACGTTCAGCATCGCGCCACCGCCAGGTCAAGCGTCGAGGTTCGGCGGTGCACCTGCCCCGGGAGGTGGGATGAGCATGAATAGCATGGCGTCCCGGATGGCAACGAGCCAGAAGCAGACTCAGAATCAGAATCAAAACCAGACGGGTTGGGGTGCTAACGATGGGGGTAGTCTGATATAACGTGGACTATCGGGTTGAGTTGAGTTGAGTTGAGACGAGGCAAGTTGGCAAGCAGGCAATGTGTGTGTAGTTGCACTATCCCAACCGTACGGAACATAGAAAACGACGACAGTCTTTTGACGTTGTCCAAAAACCTTTGGACACCCCCCTGCACGTTCCAGCGACATTTTGTGTTTTCTTTCCATACATAGCATGCGAATTCAATAGTCAGTTACCTAGGTAGCTGAGTGGTACGAGCATGATATGATACCAGCCAGAATTGCAGTTCACATCAATCACATCAATCATCATTTACAATCCATTACATATTTAACACTTTTTCGCTTTTTCATTTTAAGCCTCCTTCCTTCGCTCTGTCCCATCTAGTCTACTTTACTACGACGTTACCACCGTGCTACCCTGATCGTCGAGAGAATCCACTTTTCAGGCACGAACATCGACCCTTCGAGCCCGGGCCGCCGATTGCGACATCCCAGGGCTCGATGTCGTTTTGCGAGTCGGACAATTTTCATTATGTAGCTAATGTAGCTAAGGCATTTTATGGGAATTCCAGAAGGAAAAATTGAGAAATTAATCGGATGCGCCGCAAGGATGGTGAACTGTAGCGATGGATGGATGGGTCCACTGGAGATGTCACTGCTTGGCGGCGATGGGAGGGCGAGGATATCTCCGCGCGATATTGGGTGATGTTTGGAGATGGTGTTTATTATGTGTGGATGTTATGTGGTCTACGGATGCTCTTGTGTGGACTTGATACGAGTAGCTACCTTGAGAGGGTACCTAGGTTGTTTGTCGTTCTGGCTCAGTTCAGCTCAGCTCAGGTCACTATGGTTAGATGTTGAATAATGGACGCAAAATGATTGATCATATCCCTCAATGCACTTCCATCCCATCCCATTCCATCCGTTCGGACGGTGACAACAGGTTAGACTGCCGCAGAACCCGCCGTGGCAGAGAGCTCTTTGGAACCGTTTTCGTTCGACATCTGGGCCTTCCCAAGTTCCCTCCCCTCCCCCCCCACTAACTCGAATCGATCGGTTAGGTAATGGATGATTAAATGCGTACAAACCCTTCTTTGTTACGTGGGAGTTGCGGAATGTGAAGGATTTGAATTTAATTTGAGTTTTGTTTGTACAGACGGTTACGCGTGGACAAGGTTAGTAGGATTAAGGTTGTCTTGAGTGGAAAGGCAGGAAAGGCTTGAATGATTGCATCATGGGAGAGAGCAATTGCGCGATTGGGTGGCTGATGGTGGCGCCAAGAGGTTGTGGCGGCCGGGGACTTTACTCCTTGCGGTAATTGGGTGTCTTCACTACGGGGAGGTACAAGGACGAGGTATCTATCTCTCGTGTGTAGGCAATCGTAGCAGGGATATGTTTGCTGTGTAGTCTTAATTTCTTCATCTATGAGATACCCTACATACAAAATAATAGTACTCAAAGTGTGTTCTAACAAATGTGCGACTTGGATGGTTGTGGTACATTACTTTGCTAGGTACTTGCTAGAGGTTGTAGGTACCTCATAGTCAAGTAAGCAATAACTCAACACAAGCTTGGCCGTCTTAGACGTTCTTAGATTCTTCTTAGCTTCCTCTAGGCGATTGCTTCGTTGCCGCTTCTCTTCTTTTTTCAACTCCAACGCAACGCAATCATCATCATCATCATCATCAATCATGTCCATTGTTTCGGCACCCCTCTCCCTCCATCTCTATAGATCTCTTTCCCACATGGCGCAATCGTGTCTCCCATCGACTCGGTCAATCTTCCAGCTATTCGCTTCTCCCTCTCCCATCTGACTGCATCATCACCAACAGCATACATAGCATAACTCACGGCCGGCCTGATAAATGGGTGGCGATCTTGATCTTATTCCCAGTCCTATCCCATCCACCCCCCTTGCCTTAACACCTTCTGCCCTGTACGGGATTGCCCCCCACACACCCTCTCCTCTCTCTCTCTCTCTCTCTCCTCTACCTAAACTTCCCGTCCATGCAACTCTGCGCCCTCCACGCTGCGTGTAACCATACGAACACTCAGCCAACCATCCCCCGTCCATCACGTCACACATACACCCTCTAGAGAATCTCGCCCCCTTCCTCTTCGTGCGGAACCGCCATGAGGGAACCGAGGACGAGCAAGACTGGCTCACCCTCGTTCTCGTATCCCGCATCCCGTGCTTCGTCTTTCCTCGTCTCCAAACCTCCCCCAGTCCCACTCTTCCGCTATCTGAGTGCCGTACGAGGTCACTAACGTTCACATGCCTCATCACATCGTACTTTTGAATCTTCCTTGATGCCATGCAGCCATGAAATGATGCACCGTCCGATCCGGCGGCCTTGCAGAAATGGTAGATTCTATTACTACTTCTTGGCACATAATCCTCCGCGTATTATTCTTCATCCTCTGTATGCGTTATGCAAGCCGTAACGTAACCTCACACGCTCATGACCATTCACAATTGGTGGCATGTCAGACCGGCTGCACACTCCGCATCAGATCGGTCCTTGGAGATCTCCCTCGGGGTGTCCGATCAACATCGACATGGACAAACATCAGACAGCCTCCAAAACAACCCTAGGAGTTTAGAGGGAAGCAAGCAGACTCTGCAATTACTTTTCATTCTGTTTTTCGCCTCTCTGACATGTCCATTCTATGTACTAACTTGTTTGTTTGTATCTTCCGTCGGTCGGCGCACTCCTAGTAAGAGAACTTGGGCTCGTTGCGGACAAGGTTCTTTGCCCGGACCAGGCCGTGATGGTTCTGTTTCCTTTGTAACTAGTGGGTGGTCAATCATGGTCATGGATGGTAAAATCCCAAGTCGTAACAAGCCGTTTGCAAGCTTCAATAATACAACCAAGGATCCTAGATAGCCTTTTCCCGCCCAATTTCCAATTCCTCTCGGCCTCTCACCGTTCTGTCCTTCCCACTTTTATCGTACATAGGCATACACCTCGTCCCACCTTTTCCGCCTCCACCGTTCCACAAGCACACACCAGTTACCATCCCACCCCCATTCCCATCTTCCTGTTTCGCTGTTTCGCTGCATCACCATCAATCCCATCCACTCATCAGGGTCTGTGCTTTGGGTCCGTCCCCCCGTCACATTGCACGAGTATTACTCTGCCTTGCCCTAACTCGTAAACCCACGAGTACCGCTATTCACTAATAGGTTCTTGTACGAGTATTCCCTACTTTTCTCGTACTCCCTCTACTCCGTACTACTGCTATCTATACTACGAGTACTAGATACTGCTTGGCTACCATCTATTCACCTTGCTACTTACTCGTGCGTTCCCTTCCCTGTCCATTTGCCTCTTCCTTCACCCTCTACTGGGCCGTTTAAGTACTACCCGTGCCCACGTTTTCTGGTTCCTCAACCCTTCCTTTTGATCACATCCTTCCACTATTCCTTTCGAGTTTCTTACCTCTTGCCTACCTGCGCAAAGGGTAATACTCTCAGCCTGCTTCTGTAATAGTCGATATTGCGTAGCAGAGGATATCATTTTTCAACAATCCTGTTCCAGGTATCACGGTAGTCAACTACGGTGGTTAATGGTGCCAGAAGTAACAACACGACGTCAATCCCAATACACTCCCTTTAAAAGAAGCATCCGCTCCTTAAAATGGCGATAGGCAACGAATCAAAGGTCGACAAGGCCGGCTCGACAAGTTCCGCAGACAAGAAGCACCCCGAGCTCTATGACCCGGAGAACACTGCCAATGTCATCTACGGCCCTGGCGGCCGTCCCATGCGACGCATTGATGGCCCCAACCGTCGTGACATGAACATTGTCCAGGACGACAGCAGCGATGAATTCACCGTTGGAAGGCAGATCGCCATGGAGGCCGACAATGCCATCCAATACCGCACTTGCAGCTGGCCCAAGACTGCCGCCCTTCTCTTCTCCGAGTATATCTGCCTGGCCATCATGTCGTTCCCTTGGTCTTACTCCGTCCTCGGTCTCGTCCCTGGTTTGATTTTGACTGTGGTGGTCGCTGGTATGGTCCTGTACACGTCCCTGATCCTCTGGGAGTTCTGTCTCCGCCACCCGGAAATTCGAGACGTCTGCGATCTGGGCCAGATGATCTTCTGGAACAACAAGGCGGCTTTCTGGTTCACGGCCGTCATGTTCATCCTAAACAACACCTTCATCATGGGACTTCACTGCCTCGTCGGCGCAAAGTACCTCAACACCATGACCGGCCACTCCATGTGCACCATCGGCTTCTCCATCATCGTGGCCGTGATCTCGTTTGTTGCTTCTTTGCCGAGAACCTTCTCGACATTGTCCAAGGCTGCCACCGCTTCGGCTCTATTCACCTTCATTTCCGTCTTGTTGGCGACCATCTTCTCCGCCATCGAGCCGCATCCCAAGGGTTACCCCGAGCTCGGCGAGCCTACGGTGTTGGCCATCCCTCTCGCAGGCACGAAGTTCTACGCCGGCGTGAACGCCTTCATGAACATCTCCTACACCTTCATCGGCCAGATCACGCTCCCCAGTTTCATCGCGGAGATGAAGGAGCCCCGCGACTTCCCCAAGGCGCTCTGGGCCGTCACCATCTGCGAGATCGTCGTCTTCAGCTTAGTCGGCGCCATCGTGTACGCCTACACCGGCAACGAATACATGACCGCGCCAGCCTTCGGCTCCATCGGCAACGAAGTCTACCGAAAAGTCGCCTTCTCCTTCATGATCCCGACCATCATCTTCCTCGGCGTGCTCTACGCCTCCGTGTCCGCGCGCTTCATCTTCTTCCGCCTGTTCACGGGAACCCGCCACATGGGCAGCCACACCGTCGTCGGCTGGGCCGCGTGGGCCGGAATCCTGGCCGCCCTCTGGGTCCTCGCGTTCATCATCGCCGAGGTGATCCCCTTCTTCTCCGACCTGCTCTCCCTGATGAGCGGCCTCTTCGACTCCTTCTTCGGCTTCATCTTCTGGGGCGTGAGCTACCTCCGCATGCGGCAGGCCGACTACGGCCCGCGCTTCTGGAAGGTCCGCGGGTGGAGGGGCTGGGTCGGCTTCATCGTCAACATTGCGCTCATCATCGTCGGTCTCTTCTTCCTTGGCCCTGGAACATACGTAAGTATCCCGCTTGATCCCGGAAAGTCTTGTTCGTGAATGCTAATATATGATTACAGGCTGCTGTGCAATCAATCGTCGACGGCTACGCGGCGGCCAACTTCGGAGGTCCCTTCTCGTGCGACGACAATGGCTTGTAAACGACAGTCGTTGCATACGCGTCTATCATTCTCGTGCTCGCGTTCTAGCGTTCAGATTGAATCCCCAAGATGGCAAGCAGTGCGTGCATGCACTCTTAGATTGATCAGTCAATAGGCGTGGTAGACAAGCGGCAGACGATAGATAAGACAGGAAAACGTACATAAGGAGTGGAAAAACCTAACATCCACCCTAGTTTAATTATTTTTGTAATATAGAGGAAACGAAACACCCTTCAGAAGCTCGGTCTTCATGATCATGAAATTTCAAACTAGTTCCTTTCTCTTTCTGTACGTCGTGATTGAAAGATCTCATCTCGTGCAACAACCGAAAAAAATATTATAAGGTATTGATTAATCGAGTGACAACTAAAAAGCAACAAAAAGCGCATGCATGACAAGACGTTCCCCTCACGTTCACAACCTAACCTCCCTTCTTCCAATCAAGGGCGGCACCCTCGTCATGTGAAAGGAATGACGTTTACCCTTATTGACACATGAGTTCCCCACCACAGTAACCCCTGTCGGCGGCACAACTCCCGAGCAAAACCAACCACAAAGGAAACACCTCACCTACCTTTCCCCACGTCACGTCTTACAAACCTACCTCGAGCTCTCTCTTCACCAGCCCTTTCTCGGTCTGCCTTGCACTTCGAGCTATTAGAAACGCATAGCTTGCCAGCTTTTGTAAATTCGACTATTTCAGCACATCATGACTTCCTTTGTTGATTTCAGCCAGCCGAGCTTCTGGAGTATGTTTACCCTTGTCGGTCCCAAGCTCCCTCCCACGCAGCAGCATGTGGGGAGGCAGCAGAGCGCAGGTCATTGATTGTTAACGACGACGTATAGTTGCGGCCGGCTCGATTGCGTTTAATCCCACGTTCTGGAAGTAAGTTGCCTCTCACGATGTAGACAGCATTCGAAAGCTAACGAGCTATTATAGCATCGCTGCACGTCAAGGTACGAATTTCTGATACGAAACGAGCGGAGAGACTTTGTGGTGATAGAAGAGAAGAAAGAGAGATGCTAATGAAGGGGCGTGGTGACAGAATACCATAACAAAGTGATCACGAAGCTATTCGGGGGCAACTCGAAGCTCGGATGCTATGGCCTCGCCGTCACCATCTTCTCGCTGGGCATCATCAGAGACTACATGTACGCTCACCACTCCCCCATTCCCATATCACATCCCCAAGCTAACACCCTCTTCCCCCTCACCAGCTACCACAAAGCCCTGGACGCGCAACCCACGCACCCAGCTCTAACCCAACCCCTCGTCCACCTCTCAGCCATCCCACTCTTCGCGACCGGAAACATCCTCGTCCTAACCTCCATGTACGCCCTCGGCGTCACGGGCACCTACCTCGGCGACTACTTCGGCATCCTGATGGACGCGCCCGTCACCTCGTTCCCCTTCTCCGTCTCCGACGCCCCCATGTACCACGGCTCGACCCTCAGCTTCCTCGCCACGGCCATCTGGAGGGGGAAGCCCGCGGGGCTGGTGCTCACGGTTCTCGTGGCGGTCGCGTATGCGGTCGCGAGGACGTACGAGGATCCGTTCACGGGCATGATTTATAAGAAGAGGGATGAGGAGAGGAGGGGGGGAAAGAAGGGGTTGTAGATGGGCGAGTGAGCGGGGCTGCGTGTGCCTGCGTAGAGTCCTTGCTTGGTTTCCCATTTCATACTTGTGTTCTCTCACAGGCATTGGCATTGTCATTGACGTTTAACGAGGACACGTATTTCCTTTCTTGATTTCAAAGGAATTAGGCTCCCTGTGCAGTGGAGATAGCCAAACGTGCACATATCAAACAAGAAGAAATCCTAAGCAACACCAAGAGGCCGACCGCGACAAACATTGAAATCGAGCACGAGTATCATTAAACCCATACGCACCACACATACGCAACTTTCACCAACCAATCCACCCTACGCAACAACTTCCCATACGCAACCACCGCATATTACCATCTCCACCTCACCGACAAAAGAAGATCCCAGAAGCGACACATACACACATACACAAACCAAATCAATACAACTCCATTCAACTCACGTTCTCAACAACAACAAGCAACAACAACACCCAAACCCCTCAAAACTCTCCGAAATAATCCCAAACGCAACAACAAAACCACACCTCGAACCATAACCCTTCCCCCTAAGAAAAAGTAGTAGTAGAAACCCCATATCCCCCATTTGCCATTCAATGTATATCTCAACATATATAGTCCCATTTATTTATCCACACAAAATAACACACAAATTCAAGTCGAATAAAATATCTACACTTCAAATCAACACCTTTCCCTCCTCTTGACTGTAGCGTCTTGCGTGTGCGTGTGCGTGTTGTACGTGAAATTTGTATGTGAAAGTTGTGTGGCCATACAGTTTGTCTGTAGCGAAGCTTTTTCCATCGTGCGTTTCTTCCTTGTCTGTTCTAGTCAGTAAGATCGAGAAAATATAGCTACCGTGTGCACGGAGGCACGGTGGTCAGTTTGCATGACATTAGTTGGATCACCTCACGTTACGTTACGATGCTTGGACAGTCGGAAATTTGGTGGTGAGTATCCATATAGATGTATACTACTTTCATGATGGTGACGAAGGAACAGCTTCAAGGAATAGTGGCTCGAGAGACCGACTCACGGGAAACGAAATCTGCACGGCACGACGACGATGACCATATGCAACATGATGAAAGAATTAGAAGGTCTTATTATTATCAAAGGTTCGAATCTACACTCCAGACAAGACTTGACGTATCCCATCGCAGAATGTGTTCAGGTCGAGCGCACAGTGGGGACACGCACCCGTCACACGTACTCATTCCTCAATTCTGATACAACCAAGATAGCCTAAAGCGAAGTTGATTTTCTTAATAACCACAAGCACCTGTCGCTAATTTTCTGCCGCGCCAAAAGACAACTTGGGTATGGTATCATGCGATCAGGTAATGATCTACTGCTCATCCTCAAGAGGAGCCTCCTCATCGTACTCCTCCTCACCCTCGGAGACGGAAGCCTCCTGGTACTGCTGGTACTCGGAGACCAAATCGTTCATGTTGCTCTCAGCCTCAGTGAACTCCATCTCGTCCATACCCTCACCAGTGTACCAATGCAAGAAAGCCTTGCGCCTGAACATAGCAGAGAACTGGTCACCGACACGCTTGAAGAGCTCCTGGATGGAGGTAGAGTTTCCGACGAAGGTGGAGGACATCTTGAGACCGCGAGGGGGGATGGAGCAGAGGGCGGTCTGGACGTTGTTGGGGATCCACTCAACGAAGTAGGAGGAGTTCTTGTTCTGGACGTTGCGCATCTGGTCCTCGACCTCCTTCATGGAGACCTTACCACGGAAGATGGCAGAGCAGGTGAGGTAACGTCCGTTACGGAAGTCAGAAGCAGCCATCATGTTCTTGGGGTCGAACATCTGCTGGGTCAACTCGGGGACGCTGACGGCGCGGAAGGAGTGGGCACCACGGCTGGTCAGAGGAGCGAAACCGACCATGAAGAAATGGAGACGAGGGAAGGGCACCATGTTGACAGCGAGCTTGCGAAGATCAGAGTTGAGCTGACCAGGGAAACGGAGAGAGGTGGAGACGCCAGACATGACGGCGGAGACGAGGTGGTTCAAGTCGCCATAGGAGGGGTTGCTGAGCTTGAGAGTCCTCATGCAGATGTCGTAGAGAGCCTGGACAGGGTTAGCGTCATTCGGGACTATTTTCCACGCTCGGACGTACCTCGTTGTCAATGCAGAAGGTCTCATCAGAGTTCTCAACGAGCTGATGGACGGAGAGAGTGGCGTTGTAGGGCTCAACGACGGTGTCCGAGACCTTGGGGGAAGGAACAACGGAGAAAGTGGCCATCATGCGGTCGGGGAACTCCTCACGGATCTTGGAGATCAAGAGCGTACCCATACCGGCACCAGTTCCACCACCGAGGGAGTGGGTGATCTGGAAACCCTGGAGGCAGTCGCAGCCCTCGGCCTCACGACGGACAACGTCGAGGACCTGATCGACGAGCTCGGCACCCTCAGTGTAATGTCCCTTAGCCCAGTTGTTACCAGCACCAGACTGGCCAAAGACGAAGTTGTCAGGGCGGAAGAGCTGTCCGAAAGGTCCAGCACGGACGGCGTCCATGGTTCCGGGCTCCAAATCGACGAGGACGGCACGGGGAACGTACTTGTTGCCAGAGGCCTATTGATGTTAGCCATTTTCGTAGGTAGGGGGTGGCGGATTGACATACCTCGTTGAAGTAGACGTTCATACGCTCGAGCTGGAGGTCGGAGGTACCATTGTAGCTGATTTCTGTCAGTCGGGCTCTTCAACGCATGTCATCGTGTATCTACTTACACACCAGAGCCGTCCAAGCCGTGCTCTCCAGAGATGGTTTGCCTAGTGGCACGTTAGAGGAAACCCCTTTGTCAATAAAGCTGGCGAAAAGTAACGCACCAGAAGGCAGCACCGATTTGGTTACCCTGTTAATCGTTAGAATTGATCTTCAGAAGCTCTTTGGAAGATGAACTTACGCATTGTCCGGTCTGGAGGTGAACCTGTTACGCGGATAGTTTGTTAGCTGATGTTCTCCTCAAAGTGTTGTTGTCCCTGGGTCCCTGAAACTAAACGCGGGGCACAGGGGACGCGCCCTGAGAAAATTGCTGAGGAGAGGCAATACGTACAATCTCACGCATGATGACTGAAGTAACAAGAACGTAGAGAGGCTACGAAAGTTGAGGATATGTAGGACTGAAAGAACAGTCTGTTGGAGTGGTTGATATAGAGTGGAGTGGAAGGGCGAAGGAGCGGTCTGCGGGTGGAGAGCAACTGTTTGTGTCTGTTGGCGGCGGGCACGGGCCCAAGCGCTAGGCCCATCCTGATACGCGACTTGCGGCGACAGGCACCAGTGAAAAGTGTTTGTACACAGAACATAACTAGTACACCATTTGTACACAATGCACTGTACACAGTAAACATTCACTAACTACAGTTCCCCCATCAACAACAAATCGTAAAAATGATTCAACATCCTACGACAATGGAAACATACTATTCCACCGCCACCAAAGCTAACAACAAATTCTCTCTTCAGGTTTGCAGCACATCAACCAATATGTTTTTCTCTTAAGAGGGGTGTTCGATTTTGTCTATGCTACTGATACAAAGAATGTCAGGCATTCATATTGCAAAGAACGGCAATAAGCACTACATGACCCTTGAGCCAAACTTCCATTTCGGATGCTCGGGCGCTAAAAGTAACGGGCAATATCCCTCAGGAAGTTTTCTTTGCTTTCATCTTGTCATTGGAACGACCCCCATTTGCCTGCGTTTTCGCTTTCTTGACCACCAAAGGCATCACGGTGATGCGTGGCCAGACCAATTCATAGTCATCCTGCTTGTAGTTCAGACAGTGTCGGAGCCAAATACCCCACACTATGTAAAAGTAGGCTCCAATCCCCGTCATGAGATGCCTGTTGATTGCGTGAGTATGAGATCCGGCAACAGACGGGATCCACCTACCACCAGCCATGTCCCTCCAACAAGAATCCCCATGGCATTCCCAATTGCCTCCTCCAACTCCTGAGTGTGAAGCAGAATGCGTTGTCCAATTGCCAGAATGCAAACCCTCCCAGAAAGATGCTTAGGCCCCATGCGATCAAGACCCACATTTGCCGTAGTATCTCACGGTCCCTCGCATCCTCTCGATTCTGCGCAGCTTCTCCTAGCACACCAGAACGCGGGTTGGCATCTTCACGCTCCTTTGTCCGAAAGGCAGGTCGGATATTGACCTCCATTACATATATTGCGCGGAACAACACAATAGCAGTGAGGACAGCGTAGGCGGTTTGATGGAAGGTTGGGTCTTGGAGGTAGTGATAGTAAAGCGTAATAGACAGAGCCATCACGACAAGCGCAACCCCGAGGGTTATTGAGTAAAGCTTCGACTTCCCGTAGGAGAAAGTGGCGTAGAACATAAGACAGGTCGTGTATATCATAGATAGTTCGTCAACAAGCTGCATGGGGTCTGGATGGATCTGTTAGCGAGCTCCTACGATTTCACATCTGGACTCTATAATGGTCTTGCACCTACATTTGAGGGTTGCATGAAAAAGGAAGCTGCCTGTTCCAACGATAAGATAGCCAATGAAAGCAACCGTGAAGACCGTGTCTTAGAGTTGGCGGTTGTATTAGTCTATTACTCTGAGGATTTGGATCACGTTGCGTACCATGGCCGTTCGTCAAGCAGTTGTGTATACCTTTCCCAGCAAGGTACATGAAGAGAAGGTTCGTCAGTGTATTGACAATTTCTGCCGAGTACACAGTCATGTAATAGTCCTCCTCGCACCAGTTGAGGGTCGACGTGACTGGTGACCAGCGTCCATCTTGTGAAGGTGGGTACGGAATGGAGGGAATCCATGAAGCGACAGCGGTAGCCATCTTTTGAATTTCGACGATAGCTTTGGAAAGACTGTTCAAAATAACGATGAAGAATTCGAAGTAGTGAAAACCTGTAAGACCGGGTTGATCGGACGGGTGACAGCGGATATAGCTTGTTAACGAAAGACGTTTGTCATATTATTCATGGTACAAGAACAGTTAGAAGGAGATCTGCCTCGGTGGAAGGCAGCTGTGTGAATTGGGGAAGAGTGGATACTGAGAAATCAACAGTCAACATGGAGACTACTGGCGTTCCTAGATGCCAAAAAAATAAGCACCTCCGTCATTGCTTCCCTGAACCGACAGATCTCCAATCATTGGACTGGCGTGACTGGTTTGGTTTCCTCTACGGTCCCTCACCTACCCGTCCACGCCGTCGTTCCCGTTTCTGCTTATCTTATCGGTTTGTAGACCTAAACAGGATTAGACTGATTTGCTCCCTGCCAAGCCTCGCTCTAGTTGTTGTTTCCCCCTCAGTAATTAACTAGGTGCCTGCGAGGATTAACTATCAAAGTTTCCATACCCAACACCACAACCTCATTCACCATGTCTATCCCTAATGAGGCACTGCAGAAGGTATGATTGAGGACTAGTATTCGTTGCCTCATGCATGGCCCATGTCTAACGATTTTGCATCCTTAGCTTCTGCAAGAAATTGGACAAAAAAAGGCTTTCGCAGAGCAGCAGCTCCTCATTGTGAAGCAACAAAAGGCAGTCAAGACTCGCGAAAGCAGAGTGCTACAATTGACTTCAAATGAACTGGAATCCCTGCCATCAGAGACGAAGGTCTATGAAGGCGTAGGCAAAATGTAAGAACGGATCTAATATGCATGAAGATTCTAGAAGACATCACTGACATCACGGTCAGGTTTGTCTGCACACCAATTCCAGACGTGCAGAAGAGGCTTACGGCTGAAGGCGAGGCGCTCAAAGCTGAAATGACAAATCTCGACAAGAAGGAAGATTATCTAGAGAAGACCTTTGAGAATAGCAAAAACAGTCTAGAGCAAGTCCTCCGATCAGGAGGACGATGATCGCAAAGAGCACAACAGCAACAGCAGCTCAACCATGCGCCGATTCGACAATAGTGGCTGCATGGACAGTTGAAGAAATCCAGCGAACTTCTTGAAATGCATTGATTAGTCCGCCTGGCGCCTCTACGAGTGGACTTACGACCATTACGAACATCATGACACCGAATGAATGCTCGGGTTACTATGCAATACCACAAGATTAAATACATAGATGCAAGGGTTGTGTATCTCAAATAGTGAGATGCTTCACGTCCGTTCTTTCTACTCCAAGGGGTTTCCTTCGTTAAAATTGAACGGATATGGCAACATTCTCAATGATCAAGAAGCATAAATAGTCGCTGAACGCCCTACATTGCAATTACATCTACTCATCTACACACAACGCTCTCTCATATTCGCCACAAAGGAAGTGCGTGCGGCTGACGCGCTAGAGTCCTTTACGGTGACCAAAGCCTCGCCGATCGACAACAAGGAGAGATGGCCAAGTACATTACCGGCCGCCCGCCGAAGTCGCTTATGCAGCAGCCTTAGTCTGAAGTTGAAGGTCACGGATACTTGGAGAAAAGTAGAGAAGGGAAGGAAACTCTCCATGGTCATTGATGTATCTGCTACATGTGCACACGGTTTCAACAGGCGCTGGTAGCCTGAAATAGAGTCGAAACCACCTTGGGCGCGAGCAAAAACACAACCGAGCGACTAATTCAAAGTAAACAATGGCCAACCTTCAACAGGTTCCCCACTCAAGCTACCAGCGACATGTTCCATTAGCAACCACAATCCATCGCAATATGCGTGCACCTAAGAGGTTTGTGTTTGGTCTTGCGCGCCTTAACCAGCTCAAGCTGATCTGGCCCAGCGTCTATACCGAGAATGGCAGATAAATACCCCTCTAGTTGGAAGGGGTTGGGTTTGGTCAGCCGCTCCGTGACTCCTGTACTCTGAGAAACATCGTCCATATGCTCCCGCGATACAGCGACACAGCATAGTCCCAGCCTGTGAAGCCACTTAGAGCTTGTTATTACGACGCAGAGGAGGGGTAGTGTTGCGTCCATGTGTACCACCCAAACGCCGCTCATCTTATTATGTGCACTTAGGCGTATCGTCATGCAATGTGTGCGCCCGTCCACCAGACCAGCACCTAAGTCCCGGCTTCAGCCCCGGCCGCTGCCTGATGACCCGCCTAGATATCGAGAGTTTCGGCCCCCAATGTACAGGTCGCCGCACGAGTCCTTTCAAAAGCTGTAGTCGCCCTTGTTCTCAGGTTTCGTTTCTGATTCCCATTTCCCTACCGTTTCTCCTGCTGTTTTGCGCTCTCCTACCACAGTTTGTGCAGGCGCTCTACGGACTCACCACCGACATCCCGCATTCCCACCAACACAGAGATTAGGTTCCGCTTCTGAGTCTTTGAATACTCAAAATCTATCTTACTATATCTGTTCTGGACTTCTCTGTCTTATCTGTCACAAGAAATCCTGATTTCCTCGTGATCCTTTACATCTTACGCTCACGCCTCCCCACCTAACCCCGCCAACATGCCTCCCGCCGACTTCTGGGACGAAGATGAGGAGTTCTACTCCCACACAGATCGCATCAGCAGTGCAGCTCGCCATGTTCGCCCTCCCCGCCGTGCCCGTGACGATAATTACGGGCGTCGCAGTGATTTCTTGACGCCTGAGCATGTAACCTACACCACTGGTCTGCACCGCACCCGCTCTCAGGGTCACTCTCCCGCCCCCAATATCAACATCTATGCGACCAGTCGCTTGGAAAATGAAAGCAGCCCCAAGGTCCACACTGAACAGAAGAGCCGTGACCCAAGCCCGAACCCCCGCGGGCGTCCTATGAGAATGCAAGAGGAGTGGGCTCTCGAGGACCAGCTTGCAGAGATCAGAATGGAGCTCGCAAAGACCAGGCGCTCTCGGTCGCGCTCTGCACACTACCACCGCGACGAATCGCCTGCTCGTCAACCGGCCCACAATGCTGAGTACGACCGTTGGCAGTTACAACAGGCCAACGAGCGACTCAAGGAGGCCGACGAGAGGGCTGCACTGGAACGACGCGAGGATTCTCTGAGGAAGAAGCTCGAGCTTAAGTATCTGAAGGAGAAACTGGAGCGCGAGGAGGAAGACCATCAAGCCAAGTCGGAGCACGACCGTATCGTGAAGGAAATGGAATTGAAATACGAGAGAGAGGAGCGAGAGCGCTCTCGACGTGCTAAGGAAGCAGAAGAAGAGCGCAAGCGTATCATTGCGGAGAACACTGCAAAGATCGAGAGGGCGAAGCGTGAGGAGGAGGATGAGCGCGAGCGCATAATCGCGGAGAACACCTTGAAGACGGAAAGAGAAGCACGCGAGCGCAAGGCAGCCCAACAGGCCGCTGTCGATGCTTTCAACAAGAAGAGGGCAGAGGAAGAGGCCGAGGCCAAGGCAGCCCAGCTAGCCGCCGTCGATGCTTTCAACAAGAAAAAGGCAGAAGACGAAAAGAATGCCAAAGAAGAACGCGAACGGATTGTTGCGGAGTACGAGCGCAAGAAGTTCCTCGATGAGGAGCAAGCCAAGCGTGAGCGCGAAAGGGTCATAATGGAGCTTCGAATCGAGGAGGAGAAGCAGAAGGCTAAGGAAAAGGAAGAATATGAACGTTTCTTGCACAAACAGAAAATGATAGAAGAAGAGGAAAAGGCCAAGAAGAAGAAGCACGAAGACGAGTTGGCTGATGCGATGCACAAGAAGCTCTCCCAGTTCGGGTTCCAGGACAACCAGATTCAAGCCATGATCAGGTCTGACGACGTTGCCAGAATCCAGCAACAACAACAACCAATACAGCAGCAACTACAGCCAGGATCATTGCCGGTGGCCCCACTCAGACTGACCCATCAGCCTACCTACGTCAAAGTACACAAAGAGCACTTGGCTGTTGATACGCTACACTACTACGAAATACCTTATGAAGTCGACAAGGTAAGCTTTCCGAGCCACTTATTGTGTTCTTTCCCATTCTAACAATTCTCAAGGTCGATCCTAACTACCTCATCATTCTACGCGAGATGGACACAAGAGAGACCGAGGTCCTCTTTGAGCACACACGCCGCCTTCGAAGCCGGGGCACCAGCCGTCTTCTCATCGAGGAACAGCGCCGCGACCACCATGACAGACCAGAGTACGCCTGGGTACGACGAAGAGCCCCATCTCGGTCGCCTTCACGACGACGAAGCTCACCAAAGCGAGTGGTGGGTATCAGCGACATGTTCCTACGCTAGATGGATCGCATGCATGTTTGATCTGGACGATAAAATGATGGAAGGATACATGAGGATATTTATAAACGAATCACGGGCAAAGAATACTGCACCACCACCTGCGCCGCATCCGGGCACGTGATGCTTGCACTTGCACATCACATTGGCAGACGAGTAGAACGGTCGAGAGGGTACATCGCACAAGGTCTCTACAAAACAACCCAGTGCCACCCCTCCCGTCCCGAGTGACTCGGGCAGCTGCCAATGGGTTGATAGGGGGACAACTTCTCTCCCCTCACTGTCTCAGGACTATTAAATTGGTATTGAATGGTTTAGGACGTCACGACTTTTGCTTAATAGACTCAATACAATACGAGGTATTTACCATGAACCTGAATGTTATCATGACCGAGTGAGGATGCTAAGTGTGAGGTATGAATGTTGCACAACAGTAACAAGAATGACTAATTGGTGCTCGGAGCTGAACCGGTTGTGCACAACATACTTTGCTCCACTGAGCTAGGTTTTATTCCCTGCTCGATAAGCACGATCTGTCACTCCTGCTCGTATCTTCAGGACCGTGTAGCCATTCTCGTGGTGAAAACCACCTAGGTATACATACTGAGTGATCGTGTAGATAGCCTGGGGGTGGCATAGGGCGTGCACGCGGGGGTGAGATTGGGCTGGCATGGGGTCTTTTTGTTAGTTTTGGTGGGTGAATCCGGTCTGTCGTCGAAAGGCAGTAAGCACGTGCCCCTCCACATGCCCACGGACCCAACGATCTGCACACATGAACGTTCCTCATGCCCGTTAACTGCTTCGGGTCTAGCTCAGAGTCAATCTAGCCGAGGACCGTCAGCGTCCTGGCGGCGTCGGCGGCGAACCATTCATCTATTCCATCCCATCTGCCTACACATGGCGACAGTATGAAGCGGGATGCCGACCTTTAGTACCACCACATGCCACTTCCACGTCCACTTCCACGCTGACCGACACACTCTACACTCTACTTCTGCTTCTCGTTTCGTACTGTTTGCCCATTCTAGCATGTCATTATAGAGATACCCTTTTCTTTCTCAGATCTATTCAAACATGGCAGACGCACTCTGTGGGCCCTCGAATGCCCTCCAGAACTTCCAAAAGCACACTTCCGTGGACCGCACCCTCCAACAGGATCGCCTGGCTAACCGTCAATCTCCAAACCAGGTTTGTACCTCAGGACTGATCTCCTGTACCGTGCCATGTCTGATCGTATATAGGGTTTCAGATCTTCCCCAGGTCCCAACGCTGGAGTCCTCGATCCCGAATTCAATGCCTTCCAAGCCGGTCACTCAGGACTGCACCAACCAGACTTCTACCTACACGCCCATCCACAACCGCTACCGCAATTCCAACCTCAGCCTGCCCAAGCAGCTCCAGACTGGGCTTCCGACTTCCAGCGGCTGAACATCGCCGCTCCCCAAGCTCCACGGTTCCAGCAGCATGTGCCTCAAGTCTCCAATGCGCCTGCATCATGGCACCAGGACTTCATGAGCCAGCAACAGCAGCAGCAGCCATCGCATGCCCAGAATACCTTCCCGCAGTGGAATGCGCCGAGCATGTCGCCCGGCATGGCGTGGGGAGGATCGAGTTTCCAGCAACGAGCGGGTTTCGGAATGGCGAACCAAGCTCCCATGTCAGAAGTTGCCATGGGGAAACAGCGCGCGGACGAGCAAGTCCCGGCTTTTGATAACGCAGCGTTCGATAAAGCCTTCCAAGATGTGCAGAATGAGTTGATGCAGCAAGCTCAGGATCAGGGAGCGACGCAAGCGCCTACACAGCAGCAGAGGCAGGAAGATACACAGATGTTGTCTGAGACTCTACGAGGAGAACAGGAAGGACCTTCTGCTCTGAATCGCGCTCAGGACTATCGGGAAGAGTCTCGCCCGCAAGAGCAGCAGGGACCTTCTGCTTTAAACCTCGCCCAAGATTACCGGGAAGAAACTCGTCTGGCCGAGGAGAATGATCCCGTGTTGCTCTCTATACGGGATAAACGTCTTCGTAAGTGATGTGCTTTGGTACACTATGATAGCAGTATAACTGACAGACTCGCTAGCTGTATACACCGCAATCAAATTACGCAGTGCGGCCGATTTGGGCCAGCACGACGAAACTCTACAATGGCTACAGAGCCTTGAATCTCAAGAGCAAAGCGGCAGGTTGACCGAGGACGTGAGCGAGGCCCGTTGGGCAGTGGAAGCGCTGCAGAAACTATCCACTCGTGATACTACATCTGAGATCCAGCTACGGGCCGAAAAGCTCATCACTGCCGTCAACCAACGACTCATGTCACAGTATCCCCTACTATCGACAAGAGTGCCCATTAATCACGAGAACATAATGGAGGAGCTAGAAGCAGCCGGCTACAACACAGGGCAACTCCAAGACGAGCCCCAGCACCAGCACCAACAACCCGAGCAGCAAAAGAAGGAGCAGCAGCAACCGACACGCCACGACGATGACGAAATGGCCGACACAGCGGGCAAGCTCCTCGAGCGCGTCGCAGACAACACCTCCGAGAAATTCCAAAACAGCCAATTCCTCGAACTCATGCGGCGCCTCCGCGACCGCGAAGTCAAAGTCGAAGGCGACAAGATGGTAGAAGTCAGTAACACCACCCCTCCCTCGACCGCACCACCCGCACCCGCCCCCTCGACATCGATCCCCGACATCGACGCCGGCATCCTCAACCACTCCGCCCAGGACTTTGGCATGCCGATGGACTCGGAGATGAGCCTCGACGAACGGTCAGATATGGCACCCCCATTCAGCGACCCCAGGACTGACGAGATCACAGAGCAGTTTAATTGGTACGGCGGCGCCAACGGGAATCAATACTACCCTAGGTGAAGGCGAAACACCGCTTCGTGACGACCGCATACCTGTATTCGAGCAGGACTTGGACCTCGGTAGGAACGGGCCGTCCTGGTTGGATGAGCTTCATGCGTCTGGAAGGGGGCGTGCGGGCAGCTTCACGGCGGAGATGCTGTCGGGCAGGAACGCTGTCTACGATACTTGAGGGTTTTAGGACACAGGCATGACAGCAAGCAAGCCTTAAACCGTACTTGCCACAGGTTTACAGAGACGAGGCACTATCAGCTGTCAGCCTACCTCTGATCAGCAGCAGGCCCCCACAGTAGCCGAGTCGTGATGCGAGGTATTAGCGTGTACCATGATCATATACGATAGAGAGTCCATGATTTGGCAAATGATATCTATCCACTTGGATTTCTCTTCCTTGTTCTCATCAGATCAGAGGGGCTTTCTCGGTTATTTGGAAGGTCTCATTGTGTGTATGTAGCGTGTGTGTAAAGTGCTCTGGGGGAATCTACTCTCGTCAGATATCTCGAAGATGAAATATATGTCTCACATTGATGTCAAATAACCCTTACGTCCCACCTCCTACCGTCACAGGGAAATCATGAGTTATTTTACATCATATACGCTTTGATTCATGTCACTATACCACAGGTTATGCATTACCCCCCTTCCCTCCCTTCCCTCCAACCCACACACCGTCCACACTCCGAACTGAACAAATAACCCATAAAACACCAGCGCCAATGCCAACGCCCAAACGTACAGACCAAGAAACCAGAAGAACGACAATGATACAAGAACATAATCAGCCGATAACCAACCAGACAAAGACCACTCCAATCTATCATGTATGCACGCATGTATGCTTTCGACGTTTTTTCCACACTAATGCATCGGATCGTGGGGAACATTGCTATTGAAGGCGAGGGATGCTGCGATGGAGCCCCGTGAATCGAGTCATGCTGAAGGTGAAGCTCAGGATCCAGCCTGAGCCTCTACACGATTGCAACTTCGGAACGGCAGAGAGTATTTTAAGCTTTGAGACGACGCTCCTCGCAGCGAACGCAGACGGGGTCTTCAGACTCGCCGCGGAGGAAGTATCGACCATCTTCGAAGGGGCCTGAGCATTCCTAATGGCGATTGTTAGTATCATATCACAGATGGTAGAGATAAGAAAGATGTGATGGGAAACTTACAACGCAACAAAAGCATCCAACATGCCACTCCGATCCCAGCGCCTTAACGACAGTATCCACAACCGGCTTCCTACACTTCCTACACTTCGTCGAGTAGCGATTCGTATGGCAGCCCACACACCACGCATACCCATCCTTCTCGACGAACGGCGTAGTCGAGTCGAAGGGGTCGCCGCACTGCGCGCAAAAGAAGTGTCCGACGTGCCACTCTGCGCCGCACGCGACGACGACCTCGCCCTCGATGGGCGTCTTGCACGACTTGCAGCGCGGGGAGAACAGCTCGTGGAAGTCGAGGTGGCAGAAGAAGCGGAAGCCCTCGTCGCCGTCTTCGCGCTCCAGGTGCATCATGTCTTCGAGGGTCGGGTGCGAGGGGAGGAACTCGATGTCTTCGCCGCGGAGGCGCGCGTGGATGCGCGCGATGCGCTCCGCCCGCTTGTTGTCGGGTTCGGGGTAGAAGGCGACGCATTCGAGGTGCTCGCCGCAGTGGTGGCAGAGGAAGCACTCCGGGTGGAAGCGCACGCCGCCCGCGGAGACGATGCGCCCGGAGATGGGGAGCGCGCATTGGTTGCAGAGGGCTCCTGTGCGGACGTTGGTGGGTGTCCAGTGGGAGCGGTTGTTCGTGCCATTGTTGCGAGGGAACGGCTTTGCAGAGTAGTTGCGTGGGTTGGGCAATGGGCGGGTCGAGTTGTTCCCTCCGTCCACGTTGATGGTCGGAACGGGAGGCGAGGGTGAATCGCTAACGGAGATAGAGGGAATGGGGGTAACAGATATTGAGGGAGCTTTCACGCTGGCGCCTCGACCGGAAGGAGTGACAGAGATTTGGGGCGTCTCTTGGACAGAGATCGTCGGAATGGGAGGTGCTGGAGATGGCTTAGAGCGCGCTGGAGGGGCCTGGGAAACGTTTATTGTTGGTACAGGAGGCGCGACTGATGGTGGAGTGTTGACTTTCCTTGAGGCTGCGGGAGTAGGGAGGGGTCTCGAAGGAGGATCCTCGTAAACGCTGATGGTGGGAACATTCGCCCTGTTCACACGCGTAGATGGCGCAGCAGGTTGTGGAGTGACATTGATCTGAGGAATTCCAGCAGCGGGTGGGCCATTAGTTTTCCTAAGTGAGTCCCGCGTACTCTGGATCGTGGGGATCACAGGGTCGGTAGCAGCTTTGGCCAAACGTCGAGGACCAGACACGGCTTCAGCGACCGGTTTAGGGGTCGATTGTGGTAGAATGGACTTCTCCTCTTTCAACTCCACCTCCTTTGGTTTCCAATTCTCCTGGAAGGATACAATTGGGCGGCCCGGGCTATCAGAGACCATGGTGGGAGTGGGTAATTTGGCACTTCTGTCCTTCAAACGGAAACCAGTTGCTGCACGGATATCATCACTTCGGATTTCCTTGCCATCCTTCATTTTCACCTCCTCGTTGTTCTCTGAATCTGGCTTGACCTCTTCAACAGCTTTAGGTGGGAGGATAGGATTAGCCGTGTACCCTGCGTTACGAGATTGCGTTGGGGGATTGTTCTGGATCTCGAAACGATCGAACCTCTTCATTCCGACGGTAGGATCCGTGTTGGCTCGCATGAGACTGTTCTCTCTAGCGATCCTCACTCGACTGAATGGGTTGCGCCTAGCTTGGAAAGGTGTCTTCGATGGGACCTGGGGTTGCGGCACTGCCTGAACGGGCGGTTGAGTCTCCTCTTCCGGCTCCTCGTATATCTGATCGTCCGGGTTCTTGAAAACGCTCCCACTGGCCTTCCTCCTGCCAATGCTGCTCTGCCGGGGCCGGGAAGCTTGTATCGCCTGATCAATGTCCATAGTCTCTTTGGTTGGTGAGTCCCCAAACACCACATCCGCAGTGACAGAAGTGTTGCTCACAGCTCTATGGCTATGTAAACTACTACTCCTACTCCCACCCGCCGAACTGCCCACCGAGTGCCGTTTCCTCAATTTCGAATTCGTCCTCTGTAAATCCTGCTCCCGCTCGCTTCGACCCTGACTCCGACTCCTGTTATGGCTCCCCTTTCCCCCAGGTCCAGGGTAATGATACGGAGCATCTGGATTCGCGGCACGTGCATCCGGATTCTGGTGATCGTAGACAAGCTCCGCGGCCTCGTCGCGAGCCGCATCGTACAGCCCCTGCTCTTTCTTGAGGTCGAACTCCTCCAGGGCTAATCGCAGTTGCCGTGCCTCTTCCCGCTCGACCTGGCGGCGCCCACTTTCGCGGTACTGGACGCTCGGCGTTCGTTCCCGCTCGGCGTCGGGCGTGGCTGTTGACTGTGGGCGTCCTCGCGGGGGCTGGACTAGTGCTCGGCCTGCGGTGCCTGCTAGTATTTCGTCGATGCTCATGTTGGATGTGGTTCGTTTGTGAAGTTTTGGCTGCTCGGGGACGCTCTCTGGTAGCGCTTCAGGCTCCTCGGTCGTGGGCTGGGTGGTGATTGGAGAGACCGGTGACGTAACTCTGGAATCGGCAGTGGCTCTCGAATTGGTTCTGCTGGACCAGGTGTTGAAGTGGGCAGGTGGAGGTCGGGAGCCGCTGGGACGTGTTGGGCGGTTGGTTCGTAGGTCTTGGAAGTAGCTGGCTGTTGCGGGATAGAGTCAGAATAAAGTTGTTATTCTCAGGAATGAGATTGTTTTTTTGAAGATTGCAGACGTACACATTTGCTGCGGAGACATGAAGGTAGGTCCCGGTGACGCAGCCCGGTCTCTTTCCTTGGATTTGTGCATATCGATCATCGGAATGCGGGTGTTTACTTGTGGTGTTTGTATCGATCGTTATGTTCGGGAGTCACCGGCGGGTGGATGTGGTACTGGAACGCAAGGGCAGCAATGACCTGAATAGCGAATAGTGAAAAGAAGTGAACGAGAATGAAGCAATGAAGAATGTAAGTTATTGGTCTCACGTTTGGGTGAATATGGCGGTGTTGTCGTGTCTTGGGCGGTTGGTCTGGCGGCGCAACATTGGTGGGTTACCATAGCGACTTATTCGAGAGCTTCCAGACCAGCATCCCTGCAAGGTACGTGTTCCAGCTCCACACCCAATATCAGTTGTCTGATATCATCGCTGACCTCTTCTCCGCACTAACTCGAGTCGTATGAATAAGCTTGTTTGAGACGAAACAGAGCGGAATAATAAACAATGGAATACGGAGTACGCAACTCGATGGTAGCTGGTTGTGGGGTGTCCATGCTTCGCATCACAGCAACATCGATCTACATCTTGTAAGGGCGGCACGCAATCCGATGCATGTTGTCCGTGGTGCAAATGTTGTACATCTTGAATCATACTCGTACATACAGGAGCGGTGTGACAACCGAAAAGAGTTGCGCGTGTGTGCATACATACATTCAAGCCACAAGCAGTAGTTTCCTCTATCCTGGGCAGTTAAGAAATACTGCAGATACCGTAACAGTCTCAATTCCCCGAAAAGAAGCGAAAGTTAATGCGCCGCATCATCTACTGTGTACCAAATAATATAGTTAAAAAATGGGGTATCCTGTCCTTTTTCGCACCAAAGCCATAATCCATTGCCAGTAATAGCACTGCTACCCTGATCTATTATTCCCGTGAGGCGGCCCTAATGAATCCCATCCGAGATTGATGGTCTCAAGCATCTGGTTCCAGCTGCCTTCCGACATGGGAGTCATCCCCGTGGCCATGGTCGAGAACTCCCAGTCGCTCTGGCCCACGAATCCGTTATTGAGCGAACCTGGATTCATCATAGTATTCGTGTTATCATAAACAGGCTGCGAAAACATCGTGTTTGTCGTCGTAAAGTACTGCGTGTTACTGCTCGAAGCAGTACTATGCGCCAATGGAATTTGGCTGGTCAGGGGTTTGGGTGACGGCCGGTATTGGAGGTTTTGCATCTCATCCTGCGGTTGAGAGGGAGAGTACGAGCTTTGTGAGGTAGACCCGCCTCTTGATTGCGAATTCAGTGTTGCCGGACTAGGGTGCTCTACGCTACCGTCTGCAGAAAGGTCCATCTCATTGCCATCGCCCATGATGTAGGGGTCGTTCGTAGATACCCCGACACCATTTGTCGTATAATGTTCATGACTCCCTGATCCATTTCGTGTGGGGATATTCGCCTGTCCTTCGCCTTGCGATGTCGCAAAGCCACCTGTGGGATGTATGTCCATGTTACCGATCGGGTTCGCGACGTGGAACGGCGGGCCTGGCGAGTTGCCTTTGAACTGCGATGGTCGATTCTGCGTTGCCGTATTGCTATTTCCGAACTGATTCACGGGGGCTTGCTCACCCTCTGCATCTCGGATGTTGACAACTGGGATACATTGAACTGGATCACCATTTGAAAGGATAGGGTTCTGCGGGACAAAGAAATCAGCATCTAGACAGCAACGTAGTGGTAATGACCGAGAATGTACTTACTGCGCCACGAGCCGGTAAGTTATAAACTTTAGAGTGCATGCCCAGAACGCCCGCTGTCTCCAAATCGAGGTCAAGCTGAACCAGGAAAGACTCCGTTAAGGGGTTCTTGCGTCGCAATGCTTGCATGGCTTGCAAGAGAAATTGGAGAGAAGAGTTCATCTGGTGGTCCTTTGGTCGCGTCTTGAGGTACTGAACGAATACACGAGCTGCAACGTACACACAGAACGATATGAAAGGGTTCATCTATTCCTGTCAGCGTGGAATTGTGGGTTCGTCTTGATATCAACTTACTGCAGACAAATCCATATGGCTGATCATTCTCATCACCGACGCAATTTCAGCAGCTGCGGTAACACATCTGATTTTGCTCTCATTGCTGACGTTGGCTGGGAGTCGATGTTTATCTGCTTTGAAGATTGCGGCTTGATGCAGGCAAATGGCGGAGGTGTGAATGCACATATTGAGGAATACCACGTTCGGATCAGAGAGTCCGGTGGGCAGACGAAGATGATCCGGCAAGCTCAATGCGGTGTTTAGAAGGAAACCTTCAATATTGCGATGCCGTGTCCAGAACCCGCCGTTAAGATCATCGTCACGGTCATCGGCCTCGGGTCGATGAAGATGTAGTAGGTTGCGACCGAAGAGTGCGGCGGTGAGTACAACTCCGCCGAATGCTTGCATCGAGTTTGCGCCTCCAGGTTTCAAGCAGTCCTCTAATGTGCTCGTAGGCATTGGCTTGCTTCTGTCGAATGCATCCTCTGTCGCTGGGAGATTGGTCAAGATCTGTCAAACATTAGCACCGGTTTACGTATCAATATTCCTATACAACTTACGTCTCGCTCGTCAATCGACACTGGCCAGCCTGTGCCAATGCTAGCATATCGATCAATACAAAACGTCATCCAAAACGTCCGCCTCCTCTCCTCTCTCTCCGTCCAGTCCTTGGGGGGCGGCAAACATTGTTTCACGTCTAGACCAGCGCCATCCAATCGATGTAGCTGCATCATTTGCGCGAGACGCACCGCTCTTCCGGCGGAGAGCCAAGCTCGAGGGAAATACATCTGTTTGAATTCGTAGGTGCTCATCAAAACCCATGTCTGGCAATGAGCTAAAGTGATGGTCGATTCGCCGTGGCCTTTCATCTCGTCCATCTGGGCGTATTTCCGTGCTCGCTGGTAGAAATGTTCTTGTAGTGCGTCATATTTATCTGTCACGGATGCGGCCAATGTCCACATTGTGTAGCGCAGACACACTGGAGGTCGCATGTGCGGCGCGAGATTCATGGCTGCCATGAACCTCCGCCGGTGCATAATCGGCAACGATGGATAGATTTTTTGAAAGAAGATGTTGTACCTGGTTCGAGCTGTTAGAGGAGTCAAAATAATTACTCATGCGCAGAAGACTTACAAGTCGTCCATGACATCCTGAGGTGGTAGAGGCTCGTCCAAGCCTAGACCTATCATTTCCCATGGAAAGTCGCCTTCAGCTGCTCCAGCGGGCGCATTCATGCCAAACGCATCGGGAGCCGGCGATCCTGACCTTGCGAAATTCCCCGTTCCATTGTCTGTGTTCAAAAAATCCGGTACATTGGGTAGACCCTGTTGGATTGTGCTTGCAACGTACGCGGAGGCCGGATCTTGGGAGGCATCTTTATTCTGATCGGACGATTCCTGGTTCTTCAGCAGCGTTTCTACCTGTTCTGTACGCAGGAGATGTTAGCCTGGCATTCTTATAGATTGTGGAATCATAGATAAGACGTACGAAGTCTAGCTTCCAGCAGCTTCACGTATCCCCGCTTCGGCCCGCTCTTCTTTCGTACCTCGTCGTACGCGCAATCGTGGGAGAGTCGCTTGCAGGTACCGCAGGTAGGTCTTGTACCGTCACATCGCAACTTCCTCTTCCGACACAGTATGCAAGCTATTCTCTTTGGTTTCGCCGCATCGTCTCTTTGCTTGTCCTGGCCAGCTGGCCCCGTCGGCGATTCGTTATGTTCGGTCGGCTCGGGAGCCTGCTGGGATAGGTCGTTGAAGAAGGTGTCGTCCGGGGAATCTGAGTCCACCGAAGGCATGGTGGGAATGTGTAGTCGTCAATGGGAACTTCGAATGAGGTCGTTGAGGGTGCAGCCGGCGCACCCCGCGTAAGCTGCTGCGGGACAATTTGGATGGCTTGTCTAACGATGATTTCAAATGTCGCGACAGTACGAATTTCGGAGGCGAGGGGAAGTATTACAGCGTAGGAGGAGGACGATTATTGTCTTGGATAACAGCAGTACTAGTAGTGATAAGTTATGGGGATCAGATTAGGAGCTTTGCGGTGGACAATCAGGCATCCTTCGCAACTAAGACAAGATGCATTAGAGGATAGGGCGGCATGGAAAGACGTCGAGTAGGAGGTATGGGGCGGTACCGGCAGAAACGGTAGGATAAGGAGATTTGGAAAGGTAGCTAGGGTTCTAGAGAAAGCTGAACTATTTTATCATCTACGCCTGTGATCAAAAATGGGTGGGATGAGACGGGGGGCTTGACGACGTGGACTTATTTCGCATCGCGCATCCTACACATGTTCTGTAAAGGACGAATCCTAGCGGATATCCCGATTCAGACTCATGGTTGGCTGTACCGCACAAAAGTCTCATAACCGCACTCTGCAAACACGACGACTTCGGACTCGCCCTTAACCGCCAGTTCTCGGTATTTCCGGGCTGCCGAGTCTCTCATTCATCATACATTATTTCATGGAAGACTGCAAGTTCGCCTCGGCAGACAGGCAACCAGACCGTTTTGAAGCAATGGTAGTCGAATGAGCCATAGCCGCAGCCGCAGCCATTGCATCTCCAGCCCCTGCCCCTGCTGACGTTCTACAGTCAGAGAGGCTGATGACTGCTGGGAGTTCAGCATTCATCCTTTTATTGATTTTCTATCCCCTGGAGGAGCTATTTTATGTAGAAATCAGTGCGAAACGGTTGCATATATGACGAGTTGAAGATGGACTTTCGGTGATACTCGACGTTGAATGTACCGTATGGATCTAACCAAAGATGGAGAACGATGCGGTGCGAGACCATCCCTGTACATCTTGGGGAGGGATCGGCCGCAATCCGTGGCGCTAAAACGAGTGTAAGAAACGAGGGAAGCAGCAGTGTTGCGTTGAGAGATCTAGTACGTAGTAAATCCGTAGGATTTATCATGATTCATCAATTAGAACATATAGCGAGCGCTACTGCACGGGTGAGCTGCATAGCCTGCGAACCCCGTGCAACATAAATCCTTCTGTCTTCCATTATACGGAGTACTCGCATTTAGAAGAGGACGTCGATAGCATCTGGTCCAAGGGTGGTGTGGTGTACAGGTATAAGGCAATGCGGACCCATGGCCCATGGCTTTCTCGTTGAATACATGAATTTATAACATGCCAACAGCGATGTTAGCGCTACCGTAAATGCGGAGGTATTGTACATCGTCCAGATATGAAGGATTCTATAGATACAAGATGCCCCCAACTCAACCTTTGCCGAACCCATGGACTATTTAGGTTTCCGCTTGCCTTGGTTCCTTGGGCGGTCCTGTACGAGGAAAGTGTGTTTGTTCCTCTTATGTCTCGTTTTGTAACCTCCTTTGGCCTGTTCTCACATTAGCTTTGGTAGTAGATTCAATAAGAAGATGAACTTACCGGTGTGCCCCAAGGACTGACAGGATGCACGTTACCCTTTGATTTACCTCGTCCACCACCGTGAGGATGATCGGCTATGAACTTGTTAGCATACAAGCTTGATAGTAAAACCCTACAGGGTTCAAAACTTACCGGCGTTCATTGCAAGACCACGAACCTCCGGTCGCCTTCCGAGCCATCGTGAACGTCCAGCCTTTCCAAGAGATGCAAAATGGGCCTGAGGATTGCTCGCAACTCCGATGGTGCAACACGCATCTGGGCTAACCCTTCGGACTTCTCCACTCTGTAGTCGTACGACCACGCTCTTGACCACCGTCTTGTTTGGTTGCTCCACCTCCTCTCTGCTAACAACAAGAGCATATGTTCCTGCACTTCGGCAGAACACGCCACCACCCTGTGTCTTAGAGCCAACATTGTACACCTGTGTGCCTAAAGGTACCATGTGGATGGGAAGGCAGTTGCCACGGTTGGCAGTCTTCGCGGCAAGCATACCGGGATCAAGCACACCACCCATACTGTCAACCATCTCTTTTGGAATGCCGGTCCTGTAGCTCTGAATCTCGTCACCAGCCCTCATACCATCCGCAGCAATGATGTATGATCTTTCGCCAGTTTCGACTCGGGTGAGGAGCGCCAGATGGGCACTTCGGTTGGGGTCATATTCGATTCTTTCGACAATGTGCTTGCCAGGCAGGTAACGCTTGTAATCGACTATCCTGACCCTCCTCTTGTGGCCTCCTCCACGATGTCTAACTGTGACCTGGCCACTACTGTTTCGTCCACCCAGATGCTGTCCCTTCTTCGCAATTGTCAATGGTCGATAGGGACCGCCTTTCCACAAATGATCGTTAACGGGGCGTTTCAAATGACGTAGACCAGGAGTGCGTGGCTTGTACGTCCTTAGCGGAATGAATTGATCTCTTCTTGAGCCTTGAGAAGAGAGCAATTGGGCATTTTCGACAGCGACGGCGACAGCGGGTTCAAATGCTGGTGGAGGGACATGGTCGACTGCTGTGGCATATGTTCGGAAGGCGAGGAGGGCGTTCCCAAGGCGGGAAGGCCGAAAATGGCACGCCCGCGGTTGTAGCATAATTTTGCGATGATATTATGAGTGTTTCGGACCCATGGGGCGTGGACGACGTCGCAATGGCAATGGACTCTCTGGAGGTGAGGGTTGGTGGTTCTATGTTCAAAAATCTCAAGCTTCACGAAAGGGGACTAGCGCGATAAGCCTCGACGAATCGCACCCAGCCATTCATAGTGGCATAACCCCTGTCACAAGCAGTTGACGCGGTGACGCTCTCTTAACAGGCTCAGAGTCTCTATTGTGCTACCAAACTCGTTTGTACCTGCGTACTCTGTGTACTGCTGGTTGTAGCGTGTGTACCGCGTACTGCCTTGTACTTGTACTTGTGTACCCGTCGTCTGCCTCCTACTGACGTGCCAACGTGCCTTCCCATCTCCTCTCTTCCACTCTTCTCTCTCTACTCTAAACCTACAACAACAACAACCCTTACCTCCACCACCGCAGCTTCAATCACCAAATATCGACCCTCTGCACGCGTCTACATTATCGCTGCAATTCGCTGCTGCAATTCCTATTCAGAAAAATTACTCTCTTCGCGTCCGAAAAGTTGGCGTTCTCGAGGTAAGTAGAATACGCGCTTTTCATTGGCTCCGTGCACTCGCCAGCCTTCTTTCACGTTGCCCGCGCGTTGTTGGCGCAAAGGGTGGATGACTAAGGGAGTGCAAGCCTGCACCAAAACAAACCACACTGCCGCATCTCTTCCAACAACACACCCACCTTGGTCGAGCATCTCCTCCTCCCTCGCACTCTCAACGCTCAGTGTCCACCCGGGTTGTGTTTATACCTCCTCCCTCGCATATATCATAGGCCTCTCTTCTTCCAAAGGCCCTTCAATTCGCACGACACCTCACCGTCCCGCCTTTCCACCTCCATCATCGACGTGTACGCGAGCTTGTTATTCGCGATTCATCCTCACAAGCTTGTCGAACAGGCTTTCATTTCTTTCTTAAAGTCAACAGTGCACCCTTACTGTCAGCATTCACCTTTGTTTGTTTTGTGGTTTGGATGGATCTGGGAGCTTTACTGACCCGTCTTATAGTGCATCATAACAATACCTCAAAACAACAACTTCCATCACATAACTACGATACGCCCCACTTAGCTTCTCGACTAGACCCAGTCTTGCCGTACAGCATAATTAACAATTATCACAATGCGTCCAGCTGTACGTTGCCATCGCCCTCCATAGCACTTGTTTGGTGCTGTACGCCTTTGGGACCGCAATGGTCCTATGCATGTTGTGAATGCATCAGTAGCTGACCACCGTGACTAGGCTCGCTCATTGCGCCAACGGGCCATTACCAATGAGAATGATGAGAATGCAGCTACTACACGCGTGACACGCGCCAAAAGTGCAGCATTGAGCTCTACCGATGCCGCTGATGTCCCCAAGAAGGCCGCTCTCCAGACTAAGAAGTCTACCGCAACTCTAGGAGCCAACGGTGCAGCCCAGACGCGAAAGCGTGCTGCTCTCGGCGATGTCAGCAATGTTACGAAGAACGAGCCCATCGGCGCGGGTGCGAAGGATGGAAAGGATGGCAAGAAGCCCGTGGTCAGCAAAGCTGGACCTTTGACCAAGGCAGCCCATCCTACCAAGATCCAAAAGCCATCTCGTGCCAATTCGACCCGTTCGGTACTTCCACCCAAGGAGAAGCCTGCCGGACCTGGTGGGAAGCGCCCTGCTTCCGGTTCGGGCATTGCTGGCCACGCGACGAAGAAGCGAATCACATCCAATGCCAGCACCAAGACGTTGCAAGAGGAGGACCCAGAAGAGGCTGAGAACGTTGCTCCTCAGCGCTCTGTCAAGCGTGAGGTTGAGGTTCCTACTGCGACCGATGTAAAGGTTGAGACCGAGTCCGAGGTTGAGGTCTTCGCGGAAACCAAGGACCGTGGACCCATCGTCGAGGACTGGACCGATCTTGACAAGGAAGATTATGACGACCCGCTCATGGTCTCCGAGTATGTGGTTGAGATCTTCGACTACCTTAAGGAACTTGAGATCGCCACCATGGCCAACCCCAATTACATGGATGATCAGAGCGAGCTTGAGTGGAAGATGCGTGGTATTCTCGTTGACTGGTTGCTCGAGGTCCACACCCGATTCCGTTTACTCCCAGAGACCCTCTTCCTTGCTGTCAACATCATTGATCGTTTCCTCTCCACGAAGATCGTCCAGCTTGATCGCCTCCAGCTCGTCGGTGTCACCGCCATGTTCATTGCCTCCAAGTACGAGGAGGTCCTCTCTCCTCACGTCCAGAACTTCCGACACGTTGCAGATGATGGCTTCACGGAGGAGGAGATCTTGAGTGCCGAACGATTCGTGCTTGCTGCTCTCAACTACGATCTGAGCTACCCCAACCCAATGAACTTCCTCCGTAGGATATCCAAGGCCGATAACTACGACATCCAGACGCGTACTCTTGGCAAATACCTTTTGGAGATCGGCTGCCTTGATCACCGTTTCCTTGCACACCCCCCTAGCGAGGTTGCTGCTGCTGCCATGTACTTGGCCCGATTGGTACTTGAACGCGGTGAATGGGTATGTTTTGTTTGACTATCACAGCTCGCAATTACTAATTCATTTTAGGATTCCACTCTTGTACATTACTCCGGCTACACGGAGGAGGAGATCCAGCCAGTCCTCTCTCTCATGATCGACTACCTCGCAAGCCCCGTTGTTCACGAGGCATTCTTCAAGAAATATGCAAGCAAGAAGTTTTTGAAGGGTAATTGTACGCGTTCCATTTGACATTGCACTATACTAACATCTTGTTAGCATCTATCGTTCTCCGTCGCTGGGCCAAAGAATACGTTAGCAATTTTGGTAACGATCTCAAGGAAGAGTCCAGCATTAGGAAATGATCTAACGCTAAATCATGTTTTGCGTTAGGCGTTTCCGATGCTATTCGTGATCAGCGTATTCTTTTCTCTGCGCGCTCCAGTGCCAGTCGTATCGACTTGACACGCACCTCGTGGTATTTGATGGCGTCGGCATCTATGTGACGCGCCGATTGCATCCACCAAGCTATTCCCCCATTGTTTGCATATCGGCGACATTCTACGGCGTTAATAAAAGGGTTGCAGTTGGGCTAGGAATGGAAACTTTTTTTTGGCTTCCCTGTGGATTTTCTTCAGTGGAGTATTGGCGTCATGAAGGCGCGTGAATGCTCTTTTTTCCTTTATTTTACTTTCACCACGGCCCCGGATACGAGAATCATAGCACTTTTAAGAGTACACCGCGTCGGTGTCTACGTCGGCTATTAATTGCGGATACATATTGTCGTTTGTGCCAGATAGTTAGTGCTGGCGACATGGAATTGCAGTCGAGCTTGTTGTGCTCTTTGGTATAACAAGACCTCTCCAATTGCCATGTCCTTTAACACACAATACACAAACATATTTCAGATAATAACCACGTACCCATGCCTGTCCTACTCTGCAATACGCGTGATATGTCCAGAAACACGCTTGTAACGAGAACATGTCCCAAACAGGGAAGCAAGGCCCCCGCATCGTGATATGTTTGTGGTCTGGCGTGTTTGGTTTCTCTGGTAACGGCATGTATGTTTGGGACTTCTGGCGCTAAAGACGCGGTTGGTTCTGCGCACGTTCCCTTTTTTCCTTGTTGCTTTCTTCCTTGCTCGTAACCAGATCCATCCATTTGAGATGGACTAATTATGTCACCATCCATAGTCAGTCGCGACGCAGTACGCAGTCCGAACAACACGTCCACGAGTCCACGACCATGACCACCCCAACTACCCCAACCGAGGTTCACTACCTCCCCCATTCGACGCTATACCCAATCCAGCCCCATAGCTTCCAGACTCCAACATCACGCCCATTCAAAGCTCTCAACCATCAATAAATCAGTGAAACAAACACCCTTCCATCGAATTCACCTTACCATGTACATACAATGAATGAACTCGACCTCCACTACCCACCCGACACATGTCCCTTCTGTAACATCGCCGTCGCATTTGAAACCCTATCCCCATCCCCATCCCCAACGTCTCCTTCCCCATCTTCTTCACCCCCAGCAGTAGAGGAGGACTTGCCATCATGCATACCATCAGATGACGCATCCGACCCTGCGAAAACGACACCAAGCTCGTTCGTAGTGCTGGCGAGCAGGAACGTCGTTGCGTTTCTGGATATCCTGCCCATGACGAGGGGGCATCTGCTGGTTGCGACGAGGGGGCATAGGGTGAAGGTGGAGGATATGGAGGGCGGGGAGGCGAGGGACGTTGGTATGTTTTCACCTTCTTTTCTAACTAAGTTTTCTTGGGATCGAGGGGGATTGAATTAGAGTTGTGTTTAATTTTCTAATGGGGAAATGTAATGCGGATGCTAATGGGGTATGATAGGGTTCTGGTTACCGCTTCTGGCGAGGACGGTCAAGAAGGTCACGGGGGTGTCGGATTACAACATTGTTCAGAATAATGGTATGTCATGTTTTATCAACTGTCTAGCTGTTTTGAAATTTATCCTCGTGCTTCAATCTGGTATTTGTCGTAAGGTATTCGAAGTAGTCGAATATTGTTACTTTGTCTGCATGATGATACATTCATTCACCACACAAAACACACCCCTAACCTAGATACAATGCACGCAACCACCCAACTTCCGCCAAACCCCCAATCAAACCTCATACCAATACTCACAATTCAACAGGCGCAAGAGCAGCACAAGTCGTCCCGCACGTGCACTTCCACATCATCCCGCGGCCCGCCAGCATGCCGCAGATCAAGAGCAAGAGCTGGACCATGTTCGGCCGGGGGAACCGCGACGACCTAGATGACGAGGAGGGCGCTGCGCTCGCGGGCGAGATGAGGAGGATTTTGAGGGAGGAGGTTGAGCGGTTGGGGGCGAGGGGGAAGCTTTGATTGTGATGTCACCTATGGGAGAAGAAGGGGAGAGTATGAATTAATCGCATCCATGCTTTCTTCATCCTCCGAGAGCATACATGGTGTGGGGGTTTGTGTTTGTATATATCCGGGGTTGGATTGGAGAGGACCTGGAGTGTAAGACTTGTATAGAAGTTTCTTCGAGTTTGTGTGAATATAAGGTGTTTGTTTGTGTGTACATCTTCATTTGCAAAGATCATGGACGTCGATGTGAATGTGGTAGCGTGATTGGTGGCGGTACATTTTGTATGTGTGTACGTATATCTAGATTTACATAACTGGCGGGGGAAATGGTTGTGTTGGTACATGTACATGCAATTGCCTCTCTCTCGAAGCCCCATCTACTCCTTCTTATCGCCCTTCTCCGTCTCCTCCATGTCCAGTCTCCGCGACTCCATCGTGAAGTACAAGCTCCTGCTTGCGCCCTCCAGCGTGCTGGCGAGACTAGCACCCGCGCCTTGCAGCGCCGCGACGAGCTGAGCACGAAGGCCGTCGATGCCACCTGCGATGCCGCCGACCCACTTTACGCCGTCCTGGTCGAACACCTTGCCTTCCACCCTCGCGCCGAGCAGCATGAGCTTCTGAAGGCCACCCTGCACAGCTGGTTCGTACAAGTCGGGGTTGGTCTTCCTCTTCGGGGCGGGGAAATCTGAAGAGGGGGCGAGGATCGAAAGAGCGCTCTTAAGGTGCTCAGGCGAGACGGAGGGAAACGAAAGGACGGCCAATGGGCCGGAGAGCAGGGGCTCAAGCTCGTGCTTCAGTTTCTTGTTCGAGGCGACCTCCCATGCCTCCCTGGACAGACCGTGCTTGAACCTCGTGTCCTCCGGCTTGTTCGACGTCTGTGGGATTTGCGCGCTGGTGGCTGTGCGGGGGTCTGTCGGGTGTTGTGCGTGGTCGAGCAGGGTCTCCTCTGGGTTGTAGAACTCTACGACACGCAGCGCACTGCCAAAAATTCCGGTCTGGATCACTTGCAATTTGATGTCGTTGGCGAACAATTCCTGGCCGTTCTTCTCGCGCTCAGCGTCAACTTTGTTGAGTGCTATGGCCAGCTCTCGCCTTATGCTCATCCATTCTACGGCCTTGAGGTTGTTGTGCTGGAAAAGAAGGATTAAGGGCGAGGACCGGAGGAGGGATTGGTATTGTCGGTGCAGCTGTGTCTTGCGGACCTCCGGCGGTTTGTGTGAGGGCGGCTGGTTAGCCGGGTATCGCAGGACTGGAGCCGCAGACCGGATCGTCTGATCAATTGGAGGTGCGGGTGTCGTTGCTGTTGCGAGTGATGCGTAGGTGTGGTTGATGGGCGAGAAGGAGTGTGAAGTGCGGAGGCGCAGAGCGCGCGGCCGTATCCGTATCCGTGGCGGCATTGTCGAAGTATGTGTGAGGTTTCCAGGAGGAATTGGGTGCAGGCACACGGGTGTTGTTGCACTTTGAACGCAGGCTTTTGAAGATCCGCCCGCTGGGGTGAGGTTCGTCTAGAAATCTTTCTTTGCGGAGGTGGAGCGCGGAGAAACTTCGGCGGTTGCTTCTTTAGGGCAACAGCTCCCCTCAAGTGACCGCCGTTCTGAGACCAAATCCGCATCTTCATATCTATTTCTTGTGCAATTGTTTATTTTTCTTATCTAATTGAAGAACTGAATTCCCGTTTAAATACTGGACAAGTGTCAAGAGCTAATGGCGGTGCGTGGATGGAATAACGTGCGATGTATCCAAACATCAACTAGAGGATTTTACAACACACGAACATTAACTGTATGACCAATCTTGGAACTCTGAAAATGTATAGCTATTGACAATACATGGTAGACTGATTCGAGGAACCGTCTATCCAAGTTTTGGGCACCAACCGGAGGCATCTCAACACAAGATGGCGAAGGTGACAACGCCCACTAACAACAAATTGATCTATATACTTATGTTCAACTTTGGTAGATGACTCCCAGGCCCTCTTGATAAAAGGAGGTTTTATACGCCAGGTAAGCCCCACGAAGATCTCAACTTAATAAGCTTGAGATACTTGAATTAATCACGTGGACAGGCACATTCTGGAGTCTATCACATCCTGCCACTCGGTCTACGCGTTCAGAACAAGCTGGAGAGTCTGATCGATAAGCACATGACATCAATTGGTGCCTCCAAGCTTCTCCTATCATTCATCAGCACAGAAGAGCTATGGCGCAAATCAGGTCGCTATTCCGCCAATTCGGAGCTACTACGGGTTCAAGACAGAAGGGATTCCGGTTTTCTGTTGTCTCCAACACATGAGGAGGAGATCACTTCTCTGGTGGCTAATGTAGTACATTCGTATAAAGATCTACCTCTGCGGCTGTACCAGATCGGACGAAAGTATCGAGACGAAAGGAGGCCGAGAGGCGGTCTATTACGTTCGAAAGAGTTTCTGATGAAAGATTTGTATACGTTCGACTACTCAGCTGAGCATGGGCTGAAAACGTACGAAGCTGTACGTATGGCGTACGCAAACCTCTTCAATGAGCTAAAGGTTCCATACCTCGTTGCTGAGGCCGACTCTGGTAACATGGGCGGTAAACTAAGCCACGAGTACCATTTCATATCCCCCAGAGGCGAGGACAATGTTTGGTCCTGCAACTCATGTTCGTATGTTGCCAACGAGGAACTGGCCGAGAAGAAGATTGAAGAGGCTGGTAGCTCGAAGAGCGAACCTCTGGTTTTCACGGGTATCAGCTCCGATCGGACGACTAAAGTCACTATCAAAATCCCCCGTCCAGATGACCTTTCTTCTGCCTCGCAACCAACTTGGAGCGAGATATCATCTTTCGTGAACCTCCACACAATCAAGAACGCAGGCATCGACATCGACACCGGTATCGAAACAGCAGCCCTCGACGCTCTCCTCCCAAAAACCACAGAAACAGTCTCCATCCAAGACTACCGCCTCCCCCAAGATCCCACCGAAAGCCCTTCTACCCCTTCCACCCCCCTCGACCTCACCATCATTCGACCGGGAGATTCCTGCCCACGCTGCGATTCAGGCGCGTTATCAGTCCAGAAAGCCATCGAAGTCGGCCACACATTCCACCTAGGGACTCGGTACTCCGCACCGCTCAACGCCATGGTGACCGTCCATCCGAACCCGCAACCCGTCCCCATCGAGATGGGCTGTCATGGCATTGGCGTCTCCCGACTCATAGGCGCCATGGCGTCGCTCATGTCGGACTCGAAGGGCCTCAATTGGCCGCGCGCTGTTGCGCCGTTTGAGGTTGCGATTGTGTATACTTCGCGTTCGAATGTTGTGGAGGAGGAGTTGACGGAGGTGTATGATGTGCTTAGCAGGAATGAGGGAGAGGGGAATAGTGGTGTCGATGTGGTACTGGATGATCGGAGTATCAAGAGTCTGTCGTGGAAGCTGAATGATGCGGATTTGATTGGGTATCCGATTATCGTTGTGTTCGGGAAGGCGTGGGCAGAGACGAAGCAAGTGGAATTGCAATGTCGCCGGCTGGGCGTGAAGAAGAATGTGGATGTTGCTGAGCTGAGGAAGAGCGTCACAGAGTTGTTGGAGCAGTTGTGATGATAGTGGAAAGGTGGATATTTGAAGTGTACGATAGGAATGTATATCTATTGTATTTGATCATGATGTCATTGGGCCATTGCCAGAAATTTGTACCTGCGACCGTCTCTGTGTAACGAAATTCATCATCGATCCTCCTTGTCAGGCTTGCGACGTTGCCTGGTGGATTTCTTGCCAGCGACCGCCGTGTCATCTTCCTCCTCATCCCGCCCTTTAAGCAGGCTTTGTTCTAGTTCCCATTCGTCCTGATCGTACCAATCTTCGCCGTCGCTCATTTCTCCGACGTGAGCTTCAGCCTTTGCAGATTTGTAGACCTCCTGCCTCATCCGCTCTCCCTGCAGCATTCCCATGTATAAATCTGTCGCGGTTCGCGAGAGCTCTTCTTGTTTCTGTACGAACGCGAGCAGAAGGAATCGTGTGTCTTCTGCTTCGTTGGCTGGGAGACCGAGATCGCGATCGGGTATTGACTCTGTCGAGAACGAGAAGAGCGGGTGAATGTGGGTAGATCCAGAGGGAGAGCTTGGAGTTGACTGATCTGAAGGTCCTTGGACAGCCGCTCGAGTTGTTATTCCGTTTTGTTGCGAGGCAGTATCAGAGACGTCTTCGTCATTGGGAGTGGCTGCGCGGTCTACACCATTTTGTCTTGTCACTCCGCTTGCGCCTCGTCGATCTCCATTCGTTGAAGGCTCGCCGTTCTGATTTTCGTTCTGAACACTCGGTCCGCCCGCATCTTCAGGGTTGCGACTTTCTGAAGGGTGGGACGCGTCGCCGTTGATTTCGCCTGCATCCTTCATGTGCACGTCCTCGCCATTTGTTTGTCCTTGTTTCTCTGCAGCAGCTTGTTGGATCGCCTGTGACTTATCTTGAGTCTCACCGTTTGTCAGTTCAGGCCTCGATCCCAATGCGTTCTCTGAAATTGAGTCCTTCAAAGGTTCGCCAGCGTCAAGATCTGTCAATCCCGTGGGCACGTAGGAGATGTCGCCTAAGAATTGAGTAAAGAGGTTCTTCGCACGCCACACGGCCACTCGTTCTTTACGAGAGATCGCGGCAGCCTCATTTGTTAGGTTTGTAAGGTGTTTCGAGGTATAGGGAATGCTCATTGCAGGATGCGTAGCGAGGTCGGCAGCTGATGTTAAGGGCATGAGTATTTCTGTGAGTTGTATGTTAGCTATCGCGTCCAATGCCCCACTGATGTGCTTCACGTACCTTCAAGCTTGATATCCGCATATGGGTTTTCTTCAACGGTCGACAGGTCATCCTCATCGTCGTACTCGTCGTTGTGCTCCACGATGTCGCCGTCAGGATCGAATCGAGGTGGGTTGCGCTGGAGGATATATCTGTGATATCCGGCATGCTCAATGCGCTTTTTGTAGGGAGGGGGGTCGGACGACGTTTCTGGTCTGCCAGGGCGAGCATATTGTGCCTTGCGCTTCAGGTTCTGCATTCGGTTGTTGTAAGGTGAATCGGGCTCCTCAGAGTCGGAGGCTGACAGGTTAGTGCGCGCGCCCAGGCATATGACGGGAGTGAAACCTACAGTCATCATTCCTGAGAAGCCTTCTCTTCATGTTGAAGATAGTCTCAATGATCTGTTGCTGTTGACCTGCCATGTTGACGGCGGCTGTTGAGCTAGGAACGCGAAAGCTGAGCTCGTTGACGGAGAATGCGCATGGATAGAGTAGAAAATCCGAATCCTGAGATCCCAGATCGTTATCACGTTCGCGGTCAAGAGAGCGCAAGTCGAAGGATTTTGAGGGGTCGTGGTTCGGGTGCGAGAGAGGAAGATGGGACAAGAGTGTGTAGCAGGGCAACAGGGTCGGAGAGGCGGGCTCCAGTCAAAGCAATGAGCTTGGCATCGGAGGTCCTGGGCCGCAAACACCGACATCATCGCGAATCTGCTGCCCAGCTGGCGCTTGTTCCCGCACCGCATCGCATCACATGCATGCATAGCGTTGTAATGAAATAGCATTTTGTTTCTACTCCAGTGCGTTGTAATATAGTCGATTGGGACTAGACCTTTACCCCGGAGATATTATCAGGAACGAGGAGTGGTATACTTCTCTACCCTTTCATCCACCAAACCATCGCCGTTGCCCTGGAAAGGCCCCATTCGAGCATCCCACATCCCACCTTAGCTTGAAGATACAGCGTGTCGCAGCAGCACGCACGAATACTGTTGTAGGTGGAGGCTGTTATGCTCATGGAGAGGTAGCATCAATTCGCAGATATGGATGCATATCCACTTGACTACGCAGACCATAACCTCCCCTTCCTCCTCCTATCTGGCCTAGGTGCGACAGAGGAAGAGCTTCGACCGCCTCCTCCCGTACATGATGCGTTGCCTGGCCGAGCGACCACATCTATTACTTCCGAGATATCTTCCGTGACAGATGAACGAGCAAAACAATTATTGCAGGAGTTCCTGAAAGCAGACAGCAGCAATGCGCCATGGAACAACAGGCGCGGTCAGCGGGCGGACGGCTTGTTGGGGTATAAAATACGGACAGTCGGGAGGGTAGGTCAGGGTATCCTGAATTGTAACAATTTGGAGTTCTGGGACTGACATGGCCAAAAGGATTTCAAGTTGCCTCCCAAGAAGGCTGACTCGCCTTCATCGTCTGGCTCATCTCCCCCACTGAGCCCTTCAATCCCCAATGCCAACTCATGGATCCTACATTCTCCAATTTCGCCATTATCTCCCGCTTCGACCATATATCCCGATGGCGTTATGACTCCTGCTTGGATTGTAAAGCATCAACACTATGTACCGGCAGTCTTCCTCTCCTTCTTCCCATTTACCTCAGACCCGAATCGCTCGAGTATCAATGATAACCAATTGAAAACGGAGATCAATAAGATCAAAGCTCAAATACACAAATCGGAACACCGAACCAGACTTGCTGTCGTGCTCTTGAGCGATAAAACAGTTCTCGAGGCCCCTGATATCGATGAGAGACTTGCCACTATCCGACGTGCTACAGGGCTAGATCCTAAGAATTCGTTCTTCTTTTTGCCTCCTAACACGTCCCAAGTAGAAGTTCGGACTTTCGTCAACTCAATATTGTCGGCACTGCAGCCCATTTGTATTGAATATTACAGAGACCTCACAAAGCATGCAAGAAGAAAGAAGGGCCGTGGCACAGTACCTCCACCGACAGCACCTCCTACGAGAGGAACCTCTCAGACTTTGTCTCACCCTGGATGGAATGTCCGCTACGAATTCAAGCTTGGTGTTTTTGCCGAGTTCAGACAGGAAATGGATGCAGCTCAGCGACATTACAATATTGCCCTCGACCTCTTATTTGGCTCGGAAGGAATATTTGAAACCACCGCAAGCTGGTCGCCCCGGTGGGACGAGATTCGTTTGTTAGCCGATAACATTGCTCTTCGACACATACGGTGTCAGCTGTGGAACGGTTATCCGACATCTGCTGCTCAGACTTGGGTAAGGTACAAGAACAAAATGCAGGATCTGCTCGACCGGCGAGGAAAGGGGACCTCTAACTATGGCTGGGAGGCATGGGAATCACGATGGGCTGAAATCATGGCTCAATTAATCCGCCGGGCCGAACTACCAATCTTCAAACCGCTGCAAATCGGGTCTGATGCAGGCAATCCGGTGGACGCTATGGACATACCTTACTCGCCGCCCGAGAAACAAATCCCAGTGGGCGAAAAGCTGCCTCCATGGGAGTTGCTACACCACCCAGGATACTGGTACAGGCTCTCAGCGGAACATGCAAAGAGGCGGTCTTTCTTCGCTCGGGCCATTCCCGAAGAGGACAGAACACCTCCAGGCATGTCTCCGGCAGCGAAGGTGTCCAATCGGAATCAGATGTATGACCATTACCTTGTCCCGGAGCCACATCTTGAGGTTCCTCTTCCTGGAAACCCCGGCGGGTTTGAGCATTGGAAAGATATAATTTTGAAATTGCACCAAGCCATTGTGGAATTCGAGGATAGAGGGCAATTACGAATGGTTGAACAGATGCAATTGGAAGTATCTAGGGGCGCTCTTCATGTCAAGAAGTACGAAGAAGCCTTCAAAGTTCTTCGCCCGCTCTGGGAAAACATGTCCTGGAGAGGAGAGGGATGGTGGGGCTTGGCCTCCGAAGTACTATGGGGCCTTCATGAGTGTGCATTGCGCGTTGGTGATCCCGAAACATATATCGCAACTGAGTGGGAGCTTAATTCCGCTGGTGAGTCTCCCGTGCACTCTAGAAATAAACTTTCTCGATTCCTTCCCCTTCTGACCTGTAACAGTTTTTGCGGCCAAGCCAAAGTACAAGCATGACTTGATGTCGTGTCTGTCAGTATTTCCACAAGATGATGCTGCAGAAGGTAAACATAGTGTTAGCTTGAGCACGAAGGAGTTTGTATCTTGCTGTGAGTTCTCCAAACCTTGTCTTCGGGGATTAGTCTGATGTATACAGTGTCAACTTCGTTCACATTTTCAGAAGGAGAAGGCAACGTCGGCGAGCCTTTGCCCACCCAAATTTCTATTACCTCCAACGCTAGGCCAGGCTCCGCTCCCATCACGTTGTCCACTTTAACGTTCCAGTTCAAAGGATGCCTCAGCGAAGTTCAACTGTCCCACGAAGCAAATGACGTAGAAGAAAAGGCTTCGAGAATATACAATTGCGCCTTTGAAGAAGCGACTAATCACCCACATAAACCTCGATGGTCAGGCTTATCGGACTTGACTATTCATGCAGGACAGACCAAAGTTTTCAATTTTCCAATCATCTTCCGCGAAGCCGGTGACGTTGATGCAGTCACGAGCAGTTTCGAAATCGCAACGACTCGGTTTGACCTCGTCTGCTCGGACACGGCATTGACTCATGAACGACCGACCTGGTGGCTGGAATCAGGATCACAGATCAAAGCACGCATGCTGAACAGAGACTCCGGTATAGCTATCAAAGTATTGCCTAAACCACCTAAGATGGAGATCCGCTTTCCAGATATTCGCGAGCAGTACTATACGGACGAACCTGTCAGCTTAGATATCGAAATTACTAACAAGGAAGAGGAAGAAACTGAGGCTGTTCTGGAGGTCAGATTGCTCGGTCGATCCAAGGATACACTAGGATATTCTTGGGTTGGCCACGATGCCTCCTCACCAATGAAGGAAGCACCTCCACCACTTGATGGCTCTGACAATGTTGACCTTCCTGGCCACTTGGTCGGCCGCCTAGCCCAGAATGCGAAAACCACCGAGAGGATTGTCTTCACTGCTCCATCTGACCCTTCAGATTACGCGTTAGAAGTCAAGGTCATCTACCATGTGCTGAGCGATCGCGATATCCCAATTTCGAAGACTATGATTTCTGATCTCATCTTCAATGCACCATTCGAAGCCAATTATGAGTTCCTTCCCCGTGTCCATCCTGACCCATGGCCTAGCTACTTCAAATACCAAGAAGCCCAAGAAACAAGCAGCGACGCAGACAGCAACGCCTTCGGCCTCGCCCAAAAATGGAACCTGAAAGCCAAAGTAGCCTCCTTCGCCGAAGAAACCCTCATCATCAAAGACATGGCCCTCGAGACCCGCGCCGTCCACGGCGGCACAACCAGCACGACGACCAAAGAGTTCGCCGCCACCGACTCCCCCATCAACCCGGAAGAAATCACCGAACGCAGCTTCTCAATCGACTGCCGCAAACTCGACCTCGAAGAACGTCGCCCAACATCCCTAGACCTGATCCTAAACATCACCTGGCAACGTCCCAGCCCCACCACCGACACCAGCACGCAAGATCCCCCACCCATCGTGACCAGCACGCTCGCGATCCCCCGCCTCCCCATCCAATCCAGCGAACCCCGCGTCCTCGCCACCGCCATCCCCTCCCCGGATGTCCACTCCGTCCTACACATCTACTACACGCTCGAGAACCCCACCATGCACTTCCTAACCTTCGAGTTGTCCATGGAAGCCTCCGAGGAGTTTGGTTTCAGCGGGCCCAAACTCAAGATCCTGCACCTGCTGCCCATGAGCAGACAAACGGTCGAGTATAACCTCCTGCCGCTGGTGAAGGGTGCGTGGATAGAGCCGCAGCTCAGGGTCGTGGATAGGTATTTTAATAAGACGCTCAAGGTGCTGCCGACGGAGGGGTTCATGCTTGGTGCGGATAAGAAGAGCGTTGGGCTGTGGGTTGCGGAGGATTGATTGATTCATTGACGATGAAGAGAGCATTGGCAGGAAAGAAAAGACAATGAGACGAACTATGCTGGAATTGTCATGTTAGGTCTAGAAATGGTAGTAATGAACGTAGTCCAATATCATTTTTTGAGCGAGCTTTTCGAGATTTCTTGGTGTCTTCCTTTGTGAAATGATGATGTACTGTGTTTCTGTATGCCCTCTACTTGTAGTGATGGCTCAGGACTTTTTGAGATATATTCATGATTTTTTACACACATACAATAAATAAAGACTATGACGATATCTACATACCGTACCGCTTCCATATCACTTTTCATTCACTTCCTACATCCGACCCCCTCACTCACTCCTGCCCCAGCAAAATCTTCAGCGTCTCCACGCCCAGCGCAAGCACCTCCTGCCTCCTCGACTCCTTCAGCAGTCCCTTCAACACATCCACACCCCCCCTCTCCCTAACCTCCCTCATCGCCTTGTCCCCGACCTCCCCCTCCGCCCCGATAATACTCCGCACACACACCACACCCCTATGCTTAACATCCTCATTCTCATCCCTGCACAAATTAAGCAAGTAATCCACCCCCTTCGCCTGATTCAGCACCTGCTCGACCGCCTCGTCGAACGAAAGCAGCATGGCGAGTGCGCCGCCGGCGGCAGAGCGCGTCGGCTCGTCGTCGACGTCCGTGATGGCGAGGAGGACCTGGAGGCGCTGGTTGGCGCGGGGGGACCCGTCGGCGAACTTCTCGATGCCGAGAGGGGACGCCATGAGGTTGCAGATTAGCTCTGCGGCTGCGCGGCGCACGAGGGAGTTGGAGGAGAGGAGCAGGTCGTCGTTGACGGTGTCGAAGGCGGTGCGGATTATGGTGTCTTGGGTGGGTGTGTCGAGGGAGGCGAGGTTGGTGAGGGCGAGGAGGGACTCGAAGGCGTGGAGTTGCCAGGAGGAGGCTTCGGTCGGGGTGAGGAGGGAGAAGAGGGGGCGGATGGCGGAGGTGGAGGGCAGGGCGGAGTTGAAGAGGTGGGAGGGGTTGATGGAGATGAGGATGCGGGCGAGGGCTTGGGCGGCGGTGGTTTTGGTGGTGGGTGGGAAGGAGGGAGTGGAGGATGGTTGCGGGGAGGATTCGGTAGTGGTTATGTGGTCGTAGACTTGGACGAGGAGTTTGACGGCGCCTTGTTGGGCGAGGGTACCGCGGTGGAGTTTTCCTGAGGAGAGGGATAGCACGATCTGGAGGGCGTGGGATATCACGGCCGGGCTGCCCTTCTTGCTTATGGAGACGAGGACGGGGACTGTCCCAGCGTCGAGGACATGTTTGCAGCGTGCAGTGACATGGGCCTCGTCCAGTAGCGGGTCTGGCTCGGTGGGTTTGCGCGTTGCGGCGTAAGCTTTCAACTCTGCCATGCGCTTCTCTTCTTCAGATTGAAGTGGCAGATAGGCAGTCAGGTTCGTGAGGATGGTGAGCCCACCGAAAAGCACTTCGGCAGATACCTGGGGTTCCTTCAAGGTCTCGATGAGGCGGCGGAGGAATTTGGGATCGTTTGCAAGTGTCTCGCGGACCTTGGGCTTGAGCGAAGCAAAAGCAAGGCCTTCTACGGGGTCTTTCTTGGACCCTGTCTCTGAAGATGATATAACCATGGATTTGAAACGTAAAAGAAGGTCGTCTTGATCCACCTTGGCTGCCCCGGGGACTATGATCTGAGGTCCATCAGATGCCGGCTCCTCACCTAATTTCACCAGTACCAGCGCCGCGAGGTTGGAACGATTCCTGTCCTGCTCGGTGGCAGCTATCTCCTCGAGCCACTCACGACAATGTCTGTTCACAGCTTCGCGGCATGTCTTGTCCATGCAGGCTTGACTGACGAGCTCGAGAGAAGCATGGACAAGGCGAGAACTTTTCTTACTCCGCACGAGCTGAGGAAGCGAACTGACAAACCCTTCTGTGAGGAACAGAGCAGCTGCTGATGCGGTGGTGATGGGGAAAATAGCTGCGGCAGCAGAGAAAGCAACAACCAGGCCGTCAGCTGTCGACCGCGTGACCCTGTCTGTGACGAATTTGTTGATGAGGCCCTGCGCTGTCTCGGGAGCAAGTTCGAACAATTTGATAGTGGCGAGCGTGGCCTGACTCCGTAGACTGTTGGGAAGACGGATATCTAGAGATGACAATATGACATCGAAGCTGTCAGCATCGATGATGCCTTTGAGGTGCTCAGCGTGGGCGGCTAATAACGTCGCCACACCTTTCATTGCTCGTTCGGGATGCTCGAGAGCCTCTTCCATCATCATGGCCAGAGATAACATGAAGCAATCTCTATGTCCCTGAATGAATGCCTCATCCGATGGCCATGCCGGGCGTTGCAGAAGAACCTTGAGGAGACTATCGATACTATCGTCTCCGCGTTCGAACAATTCGTAGTACGTCTGCGTCGGATGCTCCATAACACCTTTAACCAGCAAAGCCTGAGCCCCCGGATTAACCAACAGAATCCCAGTAACATGGTCCAGCACGTCGTCCTCTCCCTTGAAGTCCGTCAAGATGGCGAACGCACCCTCGGCGTCCTTGATGCTTAGCGTCTTCCCTCTGATCAAGTCCAGCACCGCTTCCCCGTCCTCCTCTTCCCGGCTGTGCAGCCATTTACTGCAAAGCGACAACAATGGCGAGCTGTCCTCCTCTTGCTTCAACGCTTCGAATCCGGCCTTGACTTCTGCCTGTTCGGGTGCAATGGAAGCTGCCTCGCGGAGGGCTCTAGCGGCATCCGACAGCTTCCCGGCCTTGATGCTATCCCCGGCGCTGCGGGCAAGCTCGATGGCTCGTTCTTCCTCGACGGTGGCGGCCATGTTACTTTTTTAATATGTCGGATTCTCAAGTATGGTAGTCGAGCAGCATTCTGGGACTTTCCGGCAGAATGGGAGAGGAGAAGAGCGGTTGTTTTAGTAAGTGTGACCTTTGCTTTTCTTTTGGGTAGATTTGGGATGGAGATTGGGGTCACGGGGTAGCAGGCAGGAAGCGATCTCATTCGACGGCGAGTCCATATGAGTTAATGCTTAGCGAGGGGGAGCGGAGGTTGATGGGTGATGATTGAGCAAGCACGTCCTTTCCCCACTACTGCAGTGAGTTATCATTGGACCATTCTAGACTACACACAACAAACAGTGGCAGCAGAATACTGGAGACACATACGCGTCGTGGCGTCTTACCACTCGTTTCAACACATATCATCTCAAAACCTTATCTGAACTCTGAAATATCTTGTGAAGGTGGTTTCGTTTCATACCATTATAGTCATTATTGATACATTTCATCAGACATCGCTCCCTGCCGGGGGTTCCCGCAACCAGTGTGCCACCATCATCTAAAAGCCATTAATAAACCCCCAATACAAAATGCATGATGTCTCCTACAACCCACACCACCTCCCTCTTCACCGATAAAAGATATATGTGTAACTCCGTTGCCCTTCCTTCCCAAAGAGCCACCAGGGCTATGCAAGCGACCAAAAATCATCATAACGCCGTTTCCCTGAGAAATCCGAAGGTCCCGCAATTCTCCCATGATAGATAGGATAGTAACATGTCTCCCTCTCCATTTTGTGAATCAACTTCCTGCGTTCTCCGACTTCTTCACCACCCCGAGATAGAGTAGACGCTCCCAGATGTCATCCTTGACCAGAATCCGTTCTCGGTCGAATGGCAATCCATCGAGATCCTCGAGGTTCTTACAATTTGTACAGAGGAGAATCTCCTGCACTCGCCGCCTAAGTCGAGTCTCGAAATCGAGCCTCTCCAGATACTGCTTGTCGGCCTCCGCATCGCCGTCCGGCAGAACGAAACGCTCTGTGTCGTCGTCGACGGGGATGGGCTTGTGTCTGAGCGACAAGACTCGGTTCTCTGATGTTGGGGCGTAGAATCGTAGCGTGAGGGGGTTCTCCCTTAGATCGATCTTTTTCAAGGTAGTCAGTTTACCCAGGACTGCAAGGTTCGTGCGCAGACGTGCGATCTTATTGCCAGCGATGAGCAGCTCGTTGAGTCGCTTGATGTTCAGAAGCGGCCTGAGGTCCTTGATGGAGTTGAAATTGAGGTTGATGGATCGAATGTTTGGCATCAGCTGTCCGAGATCGTCTGGTAACTCGTCTAGTCCCATCGAAGAAAGTTCAAGCCGCTGCAAGTTCAGCAGATGTTGCGAGACTTCCAGAGTACGCATCTGGTTCATCGAAAGGTAAAGACTCCGGATGTCTGCGTTTCCGAAGGGCCCGCTTGCGCTGTTCTTCGCATCGGTATCGATTGCTACACTTTGTTCTCTCCATGACAGTGTGCGGAGGTGTTTCAGACGAGCTAGCCCGGGAATGTGCGAAAGCGCATTGCCATCGACATACAAGGATTCCAGGTTGGGGAAATGGCTCTCGACCGTCAAGGAAGACATATCATTCCTACACAGTCGTACGCTCCGTAGCATATTGCATCGTCCGTCAAGCTCGTCGCATACAGGGAAAGCTTCGATGTCATTGTCGTCTACGTTGGGTTAATTTTTGGCAAGAGTCCAGGCCGTCATGGTAACCTACCAAGGTTCAAGTGCCGAATCTGCTTGAGATGATGCAAGTTCCTCACTTCGACAATATTGTTTCCGCGAAGATTGAGATCCGTGAGAGATTGCCTAAGCCTTCGTTTAGTGGGTTGATCATGATCTGCCCGTGAGCATACTTACAAATTTGATCTCGCGAAGTCAACAAACTCAATGCAGTTGCCGCTTGCACTCAATTCCATCAGTCCGTCGAGATGGAATATGCCTTCTAGCGATTCGACGCGGTTGTTGTCAATCTTCAGCGTCCGCAGATGGATGAGATCGCCCAGACCATCCAAGCTGTCGATATCGTTACCAGACACGTCTAGATGCTGTAGATTCAGAAGGCTGCCCCAAGACGTAAGTCCGGTCAAGCAATTGTTCTCTGCTCGAAGTCGCCTAACCGAGTCGGGAATCCCCTTGACTTGACTGATGGAATTGTCAGAAACATCAAGAGTCTCAAGACGATAGCAGAACTCGTCGAGACGGTGCAGATTTGCCAGACTTCTGTCGTGCAGATCGATTTCGCGAATGTCCTCCCAGTAGGGCTCGTCGGGCTTAACATCCTGCAATGCCTTGACAAGATCTGCAGTACCTTGTGCGTAACGATCCTCAAGAGCCTTTGAGAAACCAATACCATCATGTTTCACCACTACTCGATCCGGTAGCTCGCATTCGTCCACTTGATGCAACGTGAACTCTGGAAGATCACTGAGCATGAATGTGACATCCCCCTTTGCGGGCGATGATGGTGGAAACAGCATGTCCTGCTTCTGAAGGACTGGTGCGGAAACATTCATTGATACTTGCATCCGATAGTTGCGATTAGATGTCTCTTCCACAGTATCCAACTCATTGTTCGGCCTCATCACCGCTTTCTGGCGGTTAGGCAGCGTTCGGGCACCAGACAATGGGGTCTTGCGAGGGTTTCTCTTGGGTCCTGTTGTCGACCAGCCTCGCGGATGTTGTCGAGGTCCTTGTTGTTCGACAGTCATACTGAAATCCTGTTCATCGATAGAGAATGTGATGTCGCGTATCTTGGCTTGCGGTACTGGTGGTGGTGCCGTGCCACGACCCTCAAAGTACTTGATCTCATGTTCGACATCCGCCTCATCACTTTCAGGGATTGCATAAGTTACAGGGGGCGGTTGAAGCTTCTGAGTACCACCACGCTGGGTCTCTTGATCGCTCCAAGAAGTGGCTCTTGTCTCGGTCTTGGGAAAGCTCCAGGCAAAGTTGGACACTTTTGAAGGAACCGAACTGCTGTCGATAGGGGGAATAGATTGACCTTCGCGCGTTGTAGGCCTGGGCACTTCCTCGTCTTCATGAACAACCTCCGTGTCTTCTAGAAACGTTTCTGCCGTTGCTTGCGGCCTGGCGGATAGATTCTTGTTCATGAGGTATTCGGCCGTTTCATCCACGCTGAGATCGGGAATGTTACCGAAAGGATCCTCCTCACTATCGAGAGTGTTGCTCAAGTCTCCGTCTGTCCGAACCTCCTTGGTGATGCTTCTCTGTCGAACCCAAATATTCTTTTCGCGATCAAAACTCATGCCTGCTATCTGTTCCGGTATAAGATGAGCGACCTTTTCAGCAGCAATGGTGGTAACATTGTCTGACCGTCGGGATGCGCTAGTAACCACGGTCTGGGCCATGGATGAGCCGGTTGAGGGATGAGTTCCACCTGTTCTAGGCTGTGAATCATGGCCGCCAGTAGCATCCTTAGGCGTCCTGTTATGACGGTCTAGGTTGTCTGTGATCCGGATATTATCCTGCTCTGCTACTATGCTGTTCTCATCCTGAGCAACTCTTGCGCCCACATAAGGCAGGTGCAATGAACGGAAAGAAGACCCCATAAATTCATCTGATTCCTTGTCCTGGTAACGGCGGAGGTGGCTGATAACGGTCGGATCCAGGTCCCGCTTGTTGGGTTCCTTCCATTCCGACTGGCGACCCTCACGGCTCGGAGGTCGTGAAAATGATAGTGGAGTTGACGGCGGCGCATCCTCATCTGGTACAAATGGCGATTCGGCCTCGGTCTCTTCAAGACTGGCTAGGCCGCTCATAGGTCGACCTTTGGTCCGAATGTAATCCATAATCTTGAGAGCTTCATCCAGAAAGTCTTGTGTAGTTACAGACCGCTTGCGACTTTCGTCTCGTGCAACTTCTGTTCTTCTCATGCTAAAAGCTGCTACCTGTGTTGCAACTGCAGTCGCTCTTGACTCTTCAAATGTAGAATCGGGGCCAGGCGATGAGTCAAGCTGTTCTCGTATGGCATGTAGTTTTGGAGATGAGAGGAGGAATGCTTCTGTTGCCTCTAGGATCTCTGCCTGCACCTCCTCACGCCTGCGCTGACTTGGTGTTGGGTTTCGTGGTCTTAGTATCTGCCGCCTTGCCAGAACCTCTGGGTCTGCGAGATGCATCGAATGGTCGTGGCGGGCGTCCTTTCTTTTACGGCTAATGACCGATTGCATGGCGTCGTGAGAATCTTGTACGGGCTTTGTTGTAGTACAGTCCACAGTATCACCCTCTGTCTCTAGTGCTTGTAATGTTCTCCGTCGCTTAGGGGTAGGATTCTTGAACGGAGAAGTTGGTCCGCGCTTGCCCTCTGCATATTCTTGCTCAACGTCCTCCTTTTCCACTTCGTCTAAGGGTGATTGAGCTGCCCCTCCTGGCTGCAGGGAAGGCGTTTGGCTAATCCTTCGATGACTGCTCGATATCCTCGTCAAGCCCTGCCGTTTCGCTCGGGAAGAAGTTCGAGGCGGCGGTGATCCATCATCATATTGAAAGCGCATAGGGTGTCGGCTCCCAGGAGGTGCAACTTCGATAGATGGAGAACCGTCTGGGCCGCTGTTGTCGAGTTGCGAGGCCTGTGATGATAGGATGGAAAGTTCTTCGGGGAATGAATACTGATCGAGGGCACCCTGGCCAAAGTTTTCAATGTTTGCTGAAACGGGCTCAAGAGCATCTGTTTGTCGTTTCTTGTCCGATGGCCCAGCGGTGCTCATATGAACGCTAGTCTCCTCTACCGATGTCAATCGTGTCTGCTTCTGAAGGATTTTCGTTGAATCGCTATTTTGATCGTTTGTAGAACTCTGCTCGACACGATAGTCTAGCTGGCTTAGTCTTCGTTGTAAACGATTACTTGTGAAAGTGTCGTGCGCATCGAATAGCTTCAGTGGACTTCCAGACGTGCGTGCCCGATCTGGGCTTAGATGATCGGATTGCCGCGGCCTGTGTGGAGTAGTAGGGCTTTTGGTAGGGCTCGAACTTTGTTCATCCTCGTCTGCAGCAGATATTCGACTCAGCGCCGCAGTACTTGAAAGTCGAGTGGCAAGCTTCGCTTGAGGAGATGGACTCAACGGTCGTCTTCTAAAGGATCCGTCGCGAGAGTAACCGCCTCTCCTCATCTCAACAAAGCGACCAACATCAGCAAAGTCGGGAGTTCCAGCTGGGAGATCCTCTGGAAGGGACATATCCTGGAGCCTCGAGAAGGAGGATTCTTCACGAGTGTTTTGAATTGAAGAGCTGCCTTCCGAGGCCGGCTGAATGCCAACTGTGGGAGGTCGGGGACCTATGTGACGTAGCCTATCTGCCAGTTCTGAACCAGTGAAGTTTGGAATTGGGGCAGCATTCTGTCCCACTTTCAAATTTGTCGTAAGATATACTGGGCTGAAACTCTCGTTCTCAAATTCGATCTGCCCGCTAATCGTTCGTTGGCTGGGTTGACTTGTGGAGTGTCGAATTTGTGATCCACCTATGGAGCTCTGTCCATACTGTTCACTCAATGAAGCATCGTGGTTTTCTTCAGCTTGAGCGTTGGAGATTGACAGATCAAGAAGCTCATCGACCAGTTGGTCCTCCTCGGCCTGTGAGGGTTTGGCAGTGGGCCACGGCGGCGGACTGGATGGTATGGCATTTATCTTTTTCAGCATCCCTAGCCTGCTCTTCTCCTTTGTTTGTGCATCCGATCGCTCAGCGCTTGGTTTTTGGAAAATGTTCTCGAGGCCCATTGGACTAAACAAGTCCTTCTGATCGCCGTAACCAATGTCGCCCTTCAACAGTCTCCTTCTCCACTCCGGTGTGTCGTATTCAGTGACTTGCTTGTCCGGCGACTTCGATTTGGGTTTTTGTTCTACGGTGCCATTGCAGACGAACGATTCATCCAGAGATGCCCCAGAAGAAACGGTGCTACCGGCAACCTCCGATACGTCGGTCGATGCGACTGGGTGGACATTATTGTCGCTCAAGCTGCGCTCCACCAGCGCGCTTCTTCGTTTCGCAGGTTTGAGGTCTCGAGCGACCTGGCGGACTGATATTTCGGAGAAGGAGCCTGATGATTGCCGCAAGCGGGGAAGTCGGCTCTGCGGCTTCGAAATTACGCTCTGTTTTGATGATTTCGGTGATGAATCGACGGGGGAATGAGAGTCGGTCGTGGGTGCGGGTTGAGGCACCCATTCCTCAGAAAGGTCATCCAGCCAGGGCTTCATGTTGTGGTTTTGATGTTTTGGTTCACGCTCGTTGTTGTGGGAGGTTGTTTTCGACCGGGGAACGCGTCGTTGGTTTAGTTAATAATGCAGCAGCGCATGGCGGGAGCGTGATGTGCCTCAATGGCAAGTGTCGTAACAATGGACGCGTGAAAAGGATTGATGTATCAATATACACGTTCATTACACTGAGTGACAAGCCATCCCAGAGTTGTGGTTCCCTATCGCACGTGATCGTTATCGGTGCGATCTCGTCGCCAGAGCAACGGGCTCTCGAAACAGATCCGCTTGTCGATCTACGAGATACTAACTACCAGCAAGCCGGTGCAACGCCTTTCTACCGGCACTGTATCCATTTACATTCGTTCAGTACTCATTCATTACCTCGCCGCAGTTCCATCTGGTTGTTGTGTGCTTTCCGGAAGTGCTCACTACTCGCGAGGATCAATATTGAATCATGCAACTGGCCAGAACATACACCTCTGACTTAGACGAAGTCAACATAAAACGAATGCAATATTGAACCGGAAGCACCCTTCTAGGGACTGGATGATATTCCGGAGTACGTTCTGACCTGTTCTGAAATATGGCGCGGGCTGTGCAGGCTGGTCTACTGAAAGGGCTTCATTTCGAGGAGACATCACATGATCATGAGGACCTCCTGGAGCTCTGGCCAAACGACGATATCAGCATCGAAGATCAGGAAAGCAGACGTCAAAGAATAGAGGATATTGCTGTTGACTATTTGATTCGAGGAAAACGACCACTTATCCGGTCGGCACAACTCAGGGGACCTTTCGATGGGGACAGCTGGAAAAACCCATGGAGCAGGAAAAGGCATTTCCTGCGAGAGAGCCATCCGCAGAAATCGAATCGTACATACGCCAAAGGGCAATTCAGCGAGGAAACAAAGACCCACAACAAGAAGCAACCCAATGAAATGGGACCTCCCTCCTCCCGCTTCCAAGCACAATCAGACTCTATGCGGGACTCGAAGTCGCAAGACCCGGAAAGCCTCATCACTAGAAACTCACACCGGCCATTAGCGACATCTCCTCCTCAACAAATAGGATACATGGATGAAGACCTTAATGTCAACCAGTCTCGTAAGAGATCTCTATCGACACAAACCTCGCCATGGCTGAAGCGTCGGAAGTCTGGGCTCAAAGCAAATTGGGGACACAGGTCTTCTCCAAGTCCTTCACGGCCAGGGAAAGAGGCAATAGCGTTGACGAGTAAGTCTACAGCTGATTTTGTGAAGAATGCAAAACTAATCGGGGATCCCAACAGCCAACTACCCTTCATCATGTGCATCCGCCTCAATGATGATTGCAACGCCAGCTCTAGATGCTCAAGCTGCAGTTTCTGATAAACCTGTAGAAACAAGTAGGTTGTCCGGTCGACAACAGTTTCACCAGGACAAACACGATATCTCAACAAGTAGCCATACGCCAAACCCCGTAGCTGCGTCAGCAGTACTAGTTAGCAGGACACTGTCTGTGCAACATTCTAGTGCAAAAGATAGCCTTGTGGAACAACAACCGGAAGAATACGAAGAACACCAAATGCCTCTGGGTGATACTGCAGAGGATAGTGTTGACCCTCCCTCACCCAAGGATCCCGCGAGCATTCATCCCGAAGAGCAGACACGTAATACGAACCCAGAAGACGAATTCATATCAGCCGAGAGAGCTCAACCTTCGGAGGAAATCTTTTCACAATTAGTGGCTGCTGCTAATTCGCAGCCCGCACGTCGAACGTCACCCTCAAAAGAAGAAATACAAGGTTCTGCGGAACGCTGTGTAATGAGACCAAGCAGCGCGAAGTCAACATCAAGACGAGCCAAGAAGGATAATGTTGTCAATAACGGAGCTAGCCACAGCATGAGCAAACATACAGACGCCGATCCGCAACCTAAGAGGAAGTCAAGCAAGGGAGCGAAACCTAAACCTCGACCAGTCACATTCGATTCCTCGCCCATCGTCAGTAAACGCACCAAGAAAGCGGCAGAAAAGGGAAGGAAAATAACACAGGAGGAAAAATCGAAGGCCAATGGCGTGGATCTTGAGAGAACAGAGCATCATCGCCGTGATATATACGACGTCCCAGATGAGGATGATATGACACCTCTACGACACGATCCAAAGCCCAGTCGCCTATCTAATAATTATTCCACACAAGCTGCCATGATGATGGCCCAGCAAGAGTTCCAGGATCAATCAATGCTCTCTCCACCGAACGTGACACCAGGATTTGGGACAGACGGCCAAGAGGACGAGCGACGGCAACATTCGGAAGACCGAAGGAGCCCTTCCGTCACGCCGTTCCACGTTTTCCACGCCAGGTTAGACAGACACGATGCAGTAGACGAGATGCACGACGTGCCGATGAGCACGCAAGAAATGTTCGAAGCAGCCTCGCCATTCACATTCAGCACAATAAAGAAGAAAAGCGTAATGTCACGACACAGCAACCTACGATTCACCGTCCACCCCGCGGATGGAAGGGACGCACCGCAGACATCACACAGCCAGCAGAGAATTACAAGTAGCACAACACCGCCGATACCATCCGCGGAGCGCATACCGCTAAAGGAGCGCAACTCACGCCTCTCGTTCCAAAGCATCATAAATCTGTCAGACAAAGGGTCGCAAGAGTCTGTGAGCAGACTCTCGCCATTCACAATGATGCTGCCTCTGACAGATGGCAGCGGAGGTGACAGCCGACCAATTGAACTCCCCCAACTGAATTTCCACGACTCGATGGAGGGAGAAGGGTTGGACTTCACAAACGGCCTTTTGCAGAATCTCGAGGCGATGATACGATATGAGAATCGGCGATACTGATACTACTGGTAGCGGGACATGCGTGCGCTTTTCAGCCGAGATGCGGGTTAGTTACATATGAGACCAAGGTCTGCATATGCTGTTATACCTTTTTGGCCTGGGATATGATGGACAGATGGATGTAGGATGGAAGGATCCGGCTAGACGGGCACTCATTGATCCTCTCTTGCACGTCAGTCCAGCGACCAAACCAAATAACTACTTCCCGTACTCCATACCATACAAAGATAATAAAACACAAAAAAATTAATTAAGCAATCAATCAACCAAACACATCAACACCCCTTTACACCTCCATCCTTTCCAAGTAAATTAAAAAAGAGAAAAAAAGCACTTGCCATTCACAATATCTTACCTCCCCTTCTCCCCATACCACAATCCATAAGTAAATACACACAGCCATAACCAAGACAACACAAAGGATGGAACCCGCATTTTCCGGGGATGCTCGTTACCTCGCTTCGCTTCACTTCGCCTCGCCCTTGCTGTCCTCGGTTCACCGCACCACGTTCTCAGATCATTGGATGTCGATTATGTAGACGCACGCACCATCCCTGCGCGCGAGCGCAAATGGGATCTTTGGCATGTAGTCTATGTGGTATGTATGGAGTGAGTATGGCATAATTGGATTAGTTCATTCGCGAGTAAGATTCGCATTGATATGGGGGTGATTTTGTGAGGAATTATGTGAGGAAGGGGGTTCACGTGATTGTTCGTTGGTCGGCGGGAGATGCTGGATGCTGGACGTGATTGTTCGGAGGAATGGCATTGGAAATACGGGTATGGGAATTTTAACGAGATGGGTAGGGAGAAGACGGGGAACTGGGATCTGGGTACTTGGGACTTGGGACTTGGGTTTGGGGTTGGTTGTGCGAGATGTGAGTCGTGGAAGTTGTGAACTTGGTTCATGAAGGATGTCTATGTCTGTGTATACGAGAGTTTGCGGTGTAGATGTTTTGTCTGTGTGTAAATTGAAGGAACGAGTTAGGTACTCTGGAGGTTGTAGATACCTGGTGCCCAAGGTTCAGTGCGCTTCGCTGTGCGGAGGGGATATCCAATCAGTTGGGATGGTTATCTCACGTTTTCCGCGCGTGTGTTGCGGAGAGATACGATCATTCGTTCCACCCATCAACTCGAAGCTTTGATACCAAACCAAGTTACTTCCGACATTAATTGACCAATTCCGATCAATGGAAACGAACGTATACGCACGCACGTACGCAGAAGAGGCCAGCACGCATATGTCAACAATGCAAGTTGAATGGTGATGACTCGTGGTGTGAAGTTGTGAACTCTTGAATGGTGAATAGTGGATAGCGGGGAATCGGAACGAAGAATGCATGGCGTGCAACGACAAACGCGCGGACGACAGTGTCTGTGTTCCTCACATGGGCGATTGGACATTCCCTGGAGGAATTGGTGCGACTTGGATTAGTTGGATTGACTTTGCCTGGCATGGTTGGCAATGGACCACGTTGACGGTTGTGTGGTGTAGATTGTCTTGCTGTTATAAGGTACAAGTATGGTAGTTGGGTAGGAGGGTTATTGCCGGTTTACTGCATCATAGCAGTATCTCCCTTGCTATAAATTATATTTTAAAATACACCAAGTAACGATCTGATATTCTGTTTCAACGGATGACGGATATTGGTAAGTAGATTATTAGATGATACTGGCGGAGAAGATAGACGATAGATACGGAGGAGATAAACATATTGTTGGATGTTTCGCTAAGTTATCTATCTCCCCGGGACTTGGCTTATCCCCCTGTCCACATTGATTAAACAACACCGAGATGTCAATTGGACCATTGACATATATCTGTCTACATTATGAAGGAAGAAAACGATCAGGCAGTCAGTCAAATCCTATTTTAATGATAATTGATGAAGTCAAGAGCTGTATCCTGGATTATAGATGTCATGATAATGTTCAAAGAGATCTGTGGTGCCGTCTCCCCGCAACGTCATTATTGGCAAACACTTCGCTTACTCTTATTTAATCCTTGCGCCACCTCCACCACCACATGTTTAACTCGAATCTACACATCCACATCCACATCCACAACGATATCCACTTCCAACCGGGTCGTACTAAATCAATTGATCATGGACACTAAGTAACCAACTGTACTGATCTGGACGATCTTTCTTTAGCTGCCGTACCGTACCGTAATGTACATACTGTATTGTATATCCAACATACAGGCTATTCACGCACGCACATACGCCGCCACCGCCGCTACCCCTACGCCATATCTCCCCCCCTCGCCTTGTCCACAATCCTTCCAACGTGCTCGGTTCATAGGCCTTCAACTCTTCTAACGAACATCTCGACATATCTATTCCAAACTGCCCCTGGATCCCTACCGTTTATCCTGTACGACTCAACATCATTCCACCAGCCAGCCAGTCAGTAGTTGACACTTCACTGCTGTCACTGTACTACTACGTGTATACTGTACTGTACTTTATGTACTATATCGTACTATATCGTACCGAACAGTAACTGTACCATAACTGTCTTGCCTACTGGTCTGTAACGTCCAAGATAGCAGTTCCAGCCCAAGGCCAGTCCGAATCGAGTAATAGTGACTGAGGCCAAAAACCCAAGGCCCAACTACCATAACCTCACTAATTACTCTTCTACTCTACTACTCGTACATCCACACAACCTCCCTCGTTCTCACACACGCACAACTCTCGCACATACATTCGCACTCCCAGATCGACACCACCACCACCTACTGTGTAGATATCCGGATTCCTCCTCCTCCACCCCCCTTCCACCATTATTGCACATACCACAGAATCGCGCACCCGCTACCCTCCGTCGGCTCCCATTGCCATTACACGTACATTACACACGCTGAACATCCCGGCTCGTCGCTCGCCGCTCGTTGCGTCAACCGCAGCGCGCGCCCAACGACCGTTTCCCTGGCCATCCACGCTCACGACCTCCCTCGTAAATCCCCGGCGATATCTGCCACTCGCGAACCCACGCTTTCCCAGTCCTGCCCTCGTCGCGGTCTGACCAATGTCGATTCCATGTCACCGCCCGCAAACGCCCCGAAAAACACCTCACCCTCCGCTTCGGTGAGGTCAAATGCCTCCCACATCCCCGGCCATGGCGCGACCCGCCCCTCCCCTCCTTCCATTTCTTCCTCACCAGAGGTGATACCAAAGAGCCTCTCCAAGGCGGGCCGTTCCAAAACCACTCCACTCGGCCTTGAACCTATATGGGCTCCTTCGATCGATCGGCCCCAGCTCTCGGAACGTGATAGTATATTTGCGACCACATACCTACCTTCCGATAGTCCTGCCTCCTCTCCCATCTCGTCCCCAGTCGAAGTCTCGCCCAGGAACAATGCTTTTGACCGTCCTCTGCCCAACATGGCAACAGCTGCGGCTCCCGCTCGACGATTGATGGAATCGCCCATCTTCCGCCACCACGATACGCCCTCCTACCCTCCTCCCTCCCTCAAAGAACACCAAGGCCTTCTGGCCACCCACTTCAATCCGAACAGACCATTAATGGGAAGCAGAGGCATGGATGTCGGAACCCTGACCCAGAGCCCTCCTCCCTTCATGAGCCCCGTCGACTCCCCCGTCGGTCGCCCTTCCACGCCCCATCACCCCGATACACCACACGCAGCGAGCCGGCCTCTTTTGGAGGCATTGGCGGATAGCGAGGAGCGAATGAGATATAATGCTTGGCGGGAAGGCAATGCCGTCTTTCCCGGCAACAACAACGCTCCAAAACCCACCCGGGGAGTTACCCACGTAGATAAGAAAATCGAGGCCACTCTACCCAAGGCAGAACAACCGCCGACGGCGAGGAGTCGAAAGGCGAGCCATTACCTACGAGTGTTTAAGGAGAATGATGCCGCCGAGGAGCAGAAAAAGCGTGAGGGGAAAGGAAAGGATCGGCGCAATGGGGATCGGACACTACCAATTCCCTCCGAGGAGGATGAATACTCCCACCCATCGTCTGCAGTACAGTCTCCAGAAGCTGTTGTAGGCGAATCATACTTCGAACCTCTACGCACCCCGGGCCTCGATGTGACGGAGGCGATTAAGCCAGATGTTCCTGGTAGCCCACACCCGGTTGAACAGAAGCAAAAACGAGAGATTCCCCTGCGCTTACTGGAAGAGATTCGAAACTTTGGAAACCTCACCCCGGGAGCCGATTCAGGGACATCATTTTCGAAGAGTCTGCCTACCGCTGTGGTTGAGAGACTCGCAAAGGGCATCCCCACGTCGAAGTTGCACGAAGCAACCGACTACTTCACTTCGGCCTCTCCGACCGGCAGCGAGGAGCGATCGCCTGGTTCCGACGGGGAAGACTCCGAACGGGAACAAATATCGTCTGCCTTGTATTTCCCTCATCGCCAATTGAAGTCAGATAAGACCCCGCTAGAAGAAGTGCACGCAGAGAACGAAGGTGAGGTGAAACGGGAACGGAAGCCTACCGGTACGGTTAGAGGTCCCAAAGGATGGTCCAAGGAAGAGACTGTACAAACTCCTCAAGAAGTAGAAATCTCTCTACAATCCCAAGATACAAATCAATGCCTGCATGGTGATATACCAAAAAGAGCTGCCACGTCAGAAGAAGACGAGCAGTCGATGACCTCCCCAGTGGATGCGACATCAACCGAGTCTGACTATGAGTCACTCGCTGAATCATTGCATTCCTTACGCAGCGTTGATTCTAGCGTCACTGATGACTTAGGAACGACGCCGACTGCGACTCCGCGACAAAAAGAAGCGAAGCCTGTTCCCGCCCCACAGCCACCAGCACCCTTAGGCGCCGTCGAGCTGAAGCCATATGATCACCAAGTTGGTGGTCACACCACTGTATATCGTTTTTCCAGACGGGCTGTGTGCAAGCAACTCAATAATCGAGAAAACGAATTTTATGAGACAGTTGAGCGGCATCATCCTGATTTGCTGGAGTTTCTGCCCAGGTATGAATTTACTACCCCTGTCACCCTTTGATTTGAAGCTGAAATATCAGCAAAGCCATTGTTTTGCGTGGAGGTTTATGCATATCAATTCCATTTACTAATTTTGCGTCGAATTATAGATATATCGGTGTCCTTAATGTCACATATCGTAAAGCTCCCAAAAAGAAGAAAACCAAGGACAAAAGCAAGAATGAAGAGGCTGGTAATCAAGATGCTCAATCTTCGCTCAAAGCCGACACCACATCTTCGAATCATACTTCTGAACACACAAGCCACAAGGCCAGTTCTGATGAGCATCCTAGGGTTGTCAGTCACTCACAACAAACCATGCCTGTTCCCCAGGTAATTTTTGAAAACAATCGCCACATAATTCCCGACAATCTGTTTCGTGTTCCTCCACGCTCTACTACTCCTGACCCCTGGATGAGCAATTCTTCACTTCCATCCCAGTATCACCGAAGGAACCAGAGCGATATTGGTTTCGTTTCGGAGGCCTCGGAGGAGTATTCTCGCCGGCCACCATTGCCGCACCACACTAGTTGGGGTGTCACTACTATCAACAGAAAGCTGCAAGAAGAGGTCCTTCGCCAGGTTTTCGCGCCACCGCCCATCCATCATAGACATCGACACGGACATCGACGAATTCCCCAAAAGGTGAGGCCTGACTCCCCGAATCTGGTTGGGTCTGCGCCCTCCATGCGAAGAAGCACCTCGAGCGTCTCACACATAAATGCTTCATCATTCGTAGAGGAGCCGACTCGTAAGCAAGTCCTGAAAGCCGAGGCTCACCGCAAGCTTTCTGGAGGATCTCCACATTTCGACACTTTTCATGCAGATTCGGACAATGAAGCTACCTTGCGCGTGCCGCCCTCTTCCACTCTTCCCCGCAGACGTCATTCGGGTGGGGGTTTGACGCGCCGTCCTCTCGGTGTGGACTCGAGTAAGAGGCATAATCTAGAGTTTTACGAAGAGGAAGGATACACTGGTGATCGCGAGGAGGAGGTTTTTGCGATGGATGATGACCCTCCAGGCTCACCGAGCCTTCCTAGGCCAGACCTAACTTTTGAGCCCGCGAGTAAGCCGACCAGTCAACCAGATACACCAGGCGGATCCGTGGGGACAATGCTGCCAGCGCCAGTTGTACCGCAACCCATACCCTCTACACCTGCTGCTTTGGATCCCTCGAACCCCAAGGAAGCTCAACAGCAGCCCGACGAGCGTGTCCAACACTTCCTCCTATTGGAAGATCTTACAGCGGGTATGTCGAGGCCCTGTGTTCTTGATCTTAAGATGGGGACGCGACAGTATGGCATTGAAGCCAATGAAAAGAAGCAGCGATCCCAGCGGCGTAAGTGTCAGATGACAACAAGCCGTGAGCTTGGCGTGAGAGTCTGTGGGATGCAGATATGGAATGTGAAGACACAGAGTTATGTCTTTGAAGACAAATACTTCGGCCGTGACCTTAAGGCTGGCAAGGAGTTTCAAGATGCTCTCAAGCGGTTTTTCTTTGACGGGATCGGTTACAAAGCAGCTCTCCGGCATATACCGACAATATTGGAGAAGATTAGTGCTTTGGAGGGGATGATCAAGAGACTCCCCGGGTACCGATTCTATGCTAGCAGCCTACTCATGCTGTACGACCGTGGCGACGGCGAGAAGGACAAGAACCAACCACCGATGCCACAGGGCGCGTCGAATTCGAGCACAGAAGATGTATCTGCCACAGTGTCTCCTGCGCCTGGGAAGAATAATACCATTGAGGATTCTGAGATCAAGCTCAGGATCGTAGATTTCGCCAACTGTGTTACCGCCGAAGACGCAATACCCGAGGACGCATTTTGCCCCCCTCACGATCCAGACGGAGTGGATGCTGGGTACCTCCGCGGACTCAGAAGCCTCCGACTGTACTTCCATCGCATCTGGCGAGATCTGAATGAGAAAGAATGGGTTGAGCGAGGAGAAGGCGAAGGCATGTCGCTGAACTCTCCAGGCCCTGGCTTCAATGGCGTTGGAGACTGGATGGAGCCTCCTGGCGGAGACGGAAACGTGAGCGTCTGAACATTCCATTCCACTCATCAAGACCGTGTGCACTGGCTTGCACATGCCCCTTTATTAAACCATCGACCTTTCTTTGCATTTACACGAGCATGGCGTTTGGCAATGGGTGTTTTCTTTTCCTTTTTTTTTATAACGACGCTTCGGATCGGGGGGCCATGGCCGGAGTACCAACCCTCAAACGCTTTCTTACTTCGGCATGATGGTTTCACCTTTGTTCATTTTTTGTTTGCCGGCAGCAGCAATTATTTCAACAGCCCATTTTTCCACCACCCAAGCGAAGTGTTTTTTACATTCACCATTATATAATTAATTCCTCTCTTCTCCTTTTCTATTTTTCTGTCTTGATACGTTGGAACTGGGCGGGGGAGTTGGATGCGATGCCATTACGAAATTGTGGGGAAGGCAGGCAGGATGAGGTGAACGGCAGCATCATCGTTAACATCTAGAATGAGTGAGTGGGTGAGTGACTACGGAGTACTAGGAGTCACCGGCTTATTCGAGTTGCGAGCTTTTTTGAACGTTTGAGACGCTTTTTATACACGACACGAGATGGGCTCGCTCGCTTGCTTGCCTTGCCTTGCATTTATTTGCCCTTTGAAAGCGAGCAGCATGGTTTATTTAGAAATGACTATCAAATACATAACTACATAAAACATGAACTGTGCCAATTGTGCTGATTAGTTTCTTTGCTTCGCTATGGCAGTTTGCATTGTACCCGTGACCGCACTCGAATGACATCCTCCACCGTCCTCGTAACTAATCATTCATTGACATGACATCCACCCACCGCCTCGGTTACAAATTCCGACCCGCAGCTGACCTGGCGCACCCATCCAGTCGGCACACCGATGATCCGCTGCGTCGGGAACTCGCGGCGCCTGGGCGGCGGGCAAATCACCTCCATCGAGAACGTCATCTCTCTCCCCAAAAACTTAAAAATAATACAACACGACACGCACCTCAGCTCTCACACTACACTCGTTCCCCACGACACCAATTGCGAGTCTCCTCGTCTGCGAAAATCTCACCAACAATGCTGCGCGGGGGTTGGAATTGTTCACGGTTTAATTGTTTATAGCACTAATTGATAGGGCTTGAAAAAAGGTGGAAGTGAGAGAAGAAGAAGAAGCGGAAGGATGTCAGATGGCTCGAAGTCGCGCGCTCCGTCCTCTTGTGAGTTACCTACCTATGCCTATCTTCATGTATACACACACGACTGAAGCTTCCACCCCCACTAACATGTAAATACACAGTCCACTTCCTCGCCGGCCTCTCCTCAGGCATCCTCTCCGCCGTCCTCCTCCAGCCCGCCGACCTCCTCAAAACCCGCGTCCAGCAATCCCACCAAAACACCTACCTCGCCACCATCCGCTCCATCGCTCGTGGTCCCTCGCCCCTACGCCAATTCTGGCGCGGCACCCTCCCGTCGACGCTCCGCACGGGCTGCGGCTCCGCGCTCTACTTCTCCGGCCTGAATGCCCTGCGGCAGGAAGTCGCTCGGGCGAGCGTCCGTGGGACCGCCGCCGGTGCTGGTGGTGACGGCCACTCAAGCAGTCTCCCGAAACTCACGAACAGTGCGAACCTAGCCACAGGCGCGGTCGCGCGCACGTGGGCGGGCTTCGTGATGATGCCGATCACGGTGCTGAAAGTGCGGTATGAGAGCAATTTGTACGCGTACACGTCGCTGGTGTCGGCGACGCGGGATATCTGGGCGCGGGAGGGGGTGCGGGGGTTCTTTGCGGGGTTTGGGGCCACGGCGGTGAGGGACGCGCCGTATGCGGGACTGTATGTGGTTTTCTATGAGCAGAGTAAGAGGAGGTTGTCGAGGTTGGCTACGAGGATTGAGGAGAAGGCGGGGGGGAATGCTGCTGGGGATGGAGGGGTGGAGGGTGCGGGGAAGTTGAGTTCGAGTACGGCGGCGGGGATTAATTTTATGTCGGGGGTTATGGCGGCGGGACTGGGGACGACGCTGACGAATCCGTTCGATGCGATTAAGACGAGGTTGCAGCTTATGCCGGGGCGGTATACGAATATGGTGGTTGCGGCGAAGAGGATGCTCGCTGAGGAGGGCGTGAGGAGTCTGTTCGATGGGCTGGGGATCAGGATCGCGAGGAAGGCGGTTAGTTCGGCGTTGGCGTGGACGGTGTACGAGGAGTTGATTCGGAGGGCGGAGAGGGGGTGGGAAGGGGTAGGGGAGAGGATTTGAAGTTGGAGTTTATGAAGCAGGGCGGGAGAGAGAAACGTTTTGACGACAAAATCACATGTACTAACAAACTCACTGTATCATTATAACGCGAACCACCTTTTCCATATTTGTATGCATAAGTATCTATATATAGCTAGCTCTCTCTGCCTTTAGAAATGTATAACGACGCTCGAACGAACAATCATATGTACATCACTTCCAGTATGTCAAGAGAGGAACGTTGTTGTTATGCTAAGTTTAAATGTGTTCATATATCTGTAGTCATGTATCTTGGTATCTAACTATCGGAAATGCATACTCATCAACTCCACTCCCTCCCCTCCTCCACAACTACATGTTCAACGACACTATCCCTTCAACGCACCCGTTCTTCTCTAGGACGAAGCCACTCCTTCTATGCTGCCGAACCACGACGATGTCGGCGGCGAGACAGCATAAGTAGCTGCGGCACGCCGACGGCAATAGAAAGTGCCAGCGTAGCGAGGCCAAATGCAATTGCAATCGCGGACTCTGGTGTTAGACTGCTGATGCCGTTCCTTGCAGTGGATGGTAGTGTCATAGGGTTCGAAGTGATGGTGGTGAAAGAGGAGGGAGTGGTCGCGGTGGTGTTCGAGGGGATGAACATTCTTGATTTGGTTGGATGTGACGAGTGGGTGAATGTTGGTCGATCGATAGACTGGTTGATTGAGTTTGATAGTGACGGTTGGGCTTGATCGTGATCGAGTAGGTTTAATAGTGACAAGTGGATTCGATATCGTCGAGTGAGTTTGATAGTAACGATTCGTGTTTGTTTTCTCGAAAACCGTATGTCGAATAAAAGGTGTCAAGCCTTTCTCTTGATTTGAGTTCAAGTTTGGGTTTGAATATAGATTACAGTATAATTGTATAACAATCAGGTGAAGTTCGATATAGAAGACAAAGCTTTTATGAACTAATTATTCTAGTAGAGATAGAAAACAAAGAGCAGTAGTAAGGTGGATTCATATATATACATACATATCGGAATAATCACCAGCAAGGCTGAGGACTTGAACCAATTCCCTAGGCTGAGTCTGATTGGTTTGATGGAGACGATGAGAGCTGAAGTTCAGTGACAAAATCAACCTTCCGCATATTGGTGTTAACAAGGATTCCAGGCTGAGCCTGATTGGCTTGGTTGAGACGGTGGTGAGAGCTGAAGTTCAGTGACAAAATCAACCTTCCGCATATTGGTTTTCACAGGGGTTCCAGGCTGAGCCTGATTGGTTGGGTTGAGACGGTGGTGAGAGCTAAAGTTCAGTGACAAAACCAACTTTCCCCAAATTGGTTTTAACGAGACTTCCAGGCTGCCCGCACCGCGACATTCCAGTTCGGTAAAACCAAAAGTGACGGATAGTCACCATTGACATGGGCCGAGAAAGGCTATCTAAGGCATCAATTGACGGACGTTAACATATTGGAACCTTTGGCGAAGTGGCGCCTTCGCCTCCGACATTAAGAACCACTTTGCCGTTTACCGTCAAGAATCGTTCTACGATACGACGTTAAGATCCACTTCGCTGCACAACGTTAAGAACGTCTTTGCTGCACGACATTAAAAACCACGATGCTATACGGTGTTAAGAACCCCTTCATCATACCACATTGAAGGACATAGGTTTCGAAAATCGGGCTAGGTTAGCAGATCCGTAAGTACTTCACGGCAACCAAACCAAAATTCTGGACACTCTAGTCTCAAGTTGGACATTATTATGTCTCTTTTAGCACAATAGCGATTCTTAAGAATGGCGCAAAGCTTGGGTGTGCAAGGCTGGTGCATGCTCGTAGATGGATTTGGAGAGGACCTCGATGCAGGCAGGTAGGTAGAAGCGTGGTGAGTTGTTTGAGGGGAGGATATGCGGGAGGAAGGGTGGCATTGTGTGTCACTTCCAGTGCGTCAAGAAAGGAACGCTGGTATTATGCTTAGTTTGAATATGTTTGTATATATATAGACGTATATCATGGTATCTAGCTATGGAAAATGTACACTCATCCCCTTATCCCTCTCCCTATCTTCTCTATCTTCTCATCTTCCAAACTCACAACCTCACTCAATTATAACTTCGATCCTCCCATCCCCATCGTCATGGCAAACTCCGACCACCCCCTTTTCCTCCAAGGTAAACATCACCCCCTTTCACGCTGCCGAACCACGACGATGACGCCGACGAGACAACATGAGTAGCTGCGGCACGCCAACGGCAATAGAAAGTGCTAGCGTAGCGAGGCCAAAAGCAATTGCAATCGCAGACTCAGGCGTCAGAACTGCAGTATTCTCGTTTCTGGCGAGGTTCGCGGGCGTAGGCGTAGGCGTAGGCGTCAGTGTTGGCAGCGTTGTTGTTGTTGCGATGGTGGTAATGGTGAGGAAGGAAGATGTGGTAGTGTCGAAGAGGAAGGAGGATGTGAAGGAAGGGGTGGGTGAGGGAGTGGGAGTGGTGGTCGGGATGAACATTCTTGTCGTTTTTTGTTTTCGAAAGGTTGGTTGGCTGAGTGGTTGAGTGGTTGAGTGAGTGAGTGGGTTTGATAGTGACCGGTAGGTCTAATGGCGATGAGTGGGTTTGAGTTTGATAGTGACGAGTGGGTTTGATAGTAACAAGTAGGTTTGATAGTAACAACTTGTGTTAATTTCGTCCTTTAGAAGAATGTATGTCAAATAAAAGGTATTTAAGTATTCAACAATTATGCGAGACTTAATACAGAAGACAGAGTTTTGTGAATTGGTATAGTAGTAGAGATAGAAAACAAAAGCAGTGGTGAGGAGGTGGATTCATATATACATAGATGGACTAATGTTGGAGTTGTGCAGCGACCTCCAGTCGGTCAGTAGCGGCGGGCGGAGGTGCCCTGAGAGTGATGGGCGGTATCGTGAGTACCGAATGAGGGAAGGGAAAGTGATGGACGGTATCATTTTCACTGAATGAGGGAAATGGAAATGATAGGAGGTATCATATTGACCGAATGAGGGATGTGATCGTGATGGACGGTATCATATTGACCAAATGAGGGGAATGGAAATGATAGATGGGTGGTATCATATTTACCAAATCCGGAAACATGGGAAATAACTTACCAAATCCGGTGATCTGGGAAATGGTCAGCGTCCGAGCATTACCTAGTGCTGAAGGGGGCGTAAGCAACGAATGGTCATCGTCATTGGCACAGCCCCGTCATCATTCAAACAGCGAATGGAAATCTAAGAACTCGATTAACATATTGGAACTTTGGCGGAGTGCCAACTTGGCCTTCCTTCATCTTTGACGTTAGCTTCATCTTTAAAGTTAACTTTATCTTTGACGTTGGCTTCGTCCTTGACGTTGGCTTCATCCACAGTACGGCATGGTTAAGAATCAGACCCTATGCTCGATCCTGAACCGAGTACGTCGCTGTGCATAAAGCGGTATCCGAACGAGAAATTAGAAACCCTATCCTTGAGTTAAACATTTTCTCTCTTGTTTCATTGGCAAAATGGAAAACTTAAGAATGGTACGGCTGGTGCATGCTTGTGGCTGGGTCGACGAAGACTCGATGAAGGCCGGCAGGTGGAAGCGTGGTGAGTTGTTTGAGTTAAGAATATGCGAGAGGAAAGGGTGGCTCAGCGCGAAATCAGGCAGTATGTCATGGCGACGAGGCCGTGGAAGCGGTGGTACCTGGGTACGTGTGACATGTGCATATAAGAAAGGATGTTTGAGTTAAGAATCGGGTTGGTTTTCCTGGTGTATGAGCGTTGCTGTAAGCCGTTCGATACTCTGCGTCGGTCGCCGTATCGCCGTTCATGAGATCAGGAGGCGAATTTTGTAGAGAGCGACTTAAGAATCGCGCCCAGCTTAAGAATGCCTGCGATTCTTAAGTTTTTGCCGCACCTGCATGTGGCGTTCCTGGAAGCGACTTAAGAATCGGTGTCAGCCTATGGGAGAGTCGAGCATGGAGAGATACTTAAGAATCAGCCGTGAAACATAGACACTCTCCAATCACAGGGGGTGACAATAACGCAGCTGTCGGCTGCATCCCGCTCCGTCTACGTGCAGTTTGACGTGTATAAAGATGACGGCAGTCTCAGCCTGGTCAAGCTTCTCCTATCAATATTGCCGGACGAGGAATATATCTCAAGGCAGGACCGCCCAGTTGACAACGTTCAGCAACGAAAAGGCTTCGGCCTTTTCATTCTTCATGTTCAGTTGTCTTTACTCCCCCGCATTCGTCAGTTGAACCACTGGTCCTTGATCTTCTCTGTCCCACCAAAGACCTACCCACATCATGGACAACTATATATATTGTTTACACTGTTGGCTCAAAATCGAGGGATCGGGTTTATGCCCAGACTGCCATTCTGGTAACACGCGTTACTTTTCCTTCACAAATGAGTAAGGATCATTGTTGACGATTCTAGACTATTGAGGCTAAACTTGCATAGAATCAACAGCACCACGGTCTTTTTCATTCAAGACGTCGGTTTTCGGACATCGCTACCGTCGGAGATCAAGACGCCACCTTTGTTCACCATCGTCAGAGATGCGTCGAACATCCTGATCAGGATCACTGGCTCCAAACTTTTAAAGCTCGTCGCGCGGCATGTCGAGTGCCACTTGGCTAACAACACCTTCAAGTTGTCGGCCATTTTGTCTTCTTATCGAGCATTAGAAATGGAATCGTTGAGATGTGGAGTTCCACAGTTACAATTCTTCAAGAATGATTTCTTGGAGAATAAGGAGAAACTGATTCGCTGCATTGCATTATCCGATTATTGGGACCTCACTGCCCTGAAACAATTCGCAACGATACGGGAATCCACTCCGTTGAAGACTTCCTGGCTTTCATTGCACGTTGACGATGTTGCCTACTACAACCACGTACGGGAAATTATGAAAGACAAGTTCGCAGTTGAGGAATTCTGGCCCAGATACGAAAATTATTATCTGGAATTGGAAAATATCTACCAAATATTCGGTGTCCCTTATTCTGCAATGGACGGACACTGGCCCAAATACCTAGGATATGATTCGAACATACAATTCCCTTGCAAGCTCTATTGTATTGATAATCTGGAAGAAGCGGATCCATGTCCAATGACTACTAAGGCCGAATTGCATCACCGGCTCAAAAGAGTCCAACTTCGGATGAACGTACGGAACCAGTTCCAAAAGAGAGTAGACGAGATGACCGCACATCTAATGAGTCGCACCGACCATAGCGCAAGCACCGGTCTGAGACGACAACTACGAAATCCCTTCCGTCTGTGGTGTCTTGGATGGGAAGCTGCCGACGACCTTTTGGAGGACAAGCCTGTGCCATGGGTGATTCAGAGGATGAGCCTAGCTCTCCTAGCTGACAGTATGCGGTCGGTGGGGTTTTCATCTACACAGTCCCCTGAAGGCAATCACTTCTGTAGTGACAAAGAGTAAGTTCTGTTCTGATTAAACCAAGAAACATGTGCTAATTGATGTGGACTTAGGTTTCTTTGCGATGTCGATCGAATGAAACCGCTTGACGACGATCCGGATGCCCCACTGTTCAGCTGCTTCTTCGATACCTTGGAAGAGTTTTACGACCTCAAAGGGGAGGATTATCTCGGGCCTCGATACGAGTCTACACAAAATATGGAGCACTTCCGGAAACTACTGCAGTTGCTCATGTCGGAACTTGACCTGTCAGGAGAGAACGAGACGGAGGCTGAAGTGCCTGTCGGTGAAACTTCCAAAGATTCGCATCGCAGTGGTCTACATTGTTCTAGTGGGGCAGCGAAGAGAGCACCACCTTGGCTTGGGGAATCAAAGAGTACTGATGAGAGGTCAAGCAAACCACCATGGTCTACTGCAGTTGAGGCAACAGTCTGCCCCGAGGTGCTGATGTTAGCAGGGCTTGCGGTCCTTGGTGTAATTTTAGCTTTCTTGCTTGTTGGTGAGTATTCAGTATCTAAGAGCCTTGCCGTCTTGCTCAGCTGCTAACCGTTTAATTAGCCCTACAGGTAGAAGAAATAGCACTAGACGCATTGGCTAGCTGGCGAACTCTGTACGGAAACGAGAACTTGACATACGCAGCAACGCTTGCTCGCAATTGTTTCGTAATTGGGGCTTTGTTGGGTCTTGAGCCATCCTCTGTCGCAGATCTTGGACTCGACCACGACGTTGGGCCTGGACCGTCACATGTTGTTGCAAAGGGAGACCTGGATGATGCTGGACAGCAGCAATCGTCAGTCTCGTCAAACAGCTCGGTCTCTAGCGAGGAAACACAGGCAACCGTGGGCGAGGATGCTACTGTTGGAGAGACCCCTCCGCAACTGTCGGTTTGCGACTCCCCAATCTTTCCCAGCTCAGAAGCGAGCAGTGCGTCAACACCTGCTTATTTGGGGTCAAAGGCGAAGCGACGTCCGGCGTGCAAGTATTGTCTCCACACATTTTCGAGCATCAGCAATCGCAACACGCACGAGAGGAATGTACACATCAAAGCATGTGAGTATCGCTGCCGGTACTGCCATAAAACGTCCACCAATCGTAAGAATCTTGAAAACCACGAGAAGCACTACTGCAAGTCGGCGCGAAAGGCTAGGGCGTCGCCAGCTATGCCTTCCCATACCCTGAAAGATGGATTGGCATGACGGAGTATCGATCGGCTATGCTGGACTCGATTCTATGTTTTCTGCTCCGCTTCCATGGACGCTCGGTGGTTGGAAGTTTGGGCGCCGATTACCCCACTACATAACGATACCCGTCCCGACCCAGACAGTACTGTCCAATGATATCAGTGGCTTCAGGGGTAAATAGACCAGTTATCTGAACAATTAGAAGGCGTTTGAGAAGTTTCCTCCGGTGCAGTTCGGTTTCTCTTTGATCATGCAAACATTCAATGTGCGTCCACAGTTATGCCTGTAGCAAGACATTGGAATTGGGCGTTACTGGCTGGGCACCAATGAGGCATACGATGGCGCAGCACCGCACACGTGCCCACCCTGGTGCAGCCAGCCCTACCGTGTCCTGATCTTCCGTCTTGCGCACAGTCGATCCTTGCCGCCGTTCCGTCATCGAAGGTCGTTTTCTTGCAACCAAGGCCCAGGACCGGCCTCTCTCGCAGGGAAGAAAAAACTGCGAACTGGCCGGAACCCCTTCACATACGACAAGTACGTAGGTATGGAGACTTTGCTGAGTTGGCATAGTTTGCATGTAGAAGGGGATCCTGGGCCTTTGTTCTTGCTTTTGTGCGTTCCTTGCGCCTCTCATGATTCTGCCTGTCTGCAAGTACTCCGTACTTCGCACCGATAGAGCAGAGAGCGGTATCTCGCTTCCAATGGACTGCTCATGTACGGAGTACATGCACCTATGTATTTGCGCTCGCTGTTCCTCCGCAAGAACATGTTAATATGTGGCATTGGGATTCCAGGATTCCGACATCTCTGAACAGGTTGCACGTTTCAGGGCCCTTCTTGACAGATCGGTGGGAACCTTTTGTGAGGCGTAAACGATGACATAGGGCTTCTTCCCTCTGGTTCGGTGGCTGTGCGTGCGCAGTACACAGTTGAAGACCTTATTGTGTAGCTGTGAAGGAAGGGTAGGGGAACCCCTGTTCTGAGTCTGACCGACTTTGACTGACCGGCCATTCTTCTTGGTCACCGGGCTCTTTCTGTATGTGTCTGTGTCTGTGTCTTCTTTTCTTTCGCATTATCCTAGATTTCTCGGTCTCTCGTTGGTTCGGGCAGGTTGTCCTTGTCTATGTGTGTCGTAGTTTGGTGGTAGGTGGTAGGTTTGGTGCAGCATATGACAGTTCCCCCAACCCCCCCTGGTCGCTCTTGCCTGTCGTGACTCGTGCCTGCCCACTCCCCCGTAGTTGGCCCAAGTCGACCCCTCCATCTCCCACTTTCCCTCCCTCTCTCTCTCTCTCTCTGTGTCCCACCGGAAAAGACAAACACACGATGACGTAGCATCCTCTTCAGGTTTCCTCCTTCCTACTTCCTCCTTCTTCCTCTCTGTCTCTTCTTGTCCTCGCCCTCTTCCACTCCTCCACTACCATTCCCATCATCCATCATCCATCAACAATAATCGCAATCGATCAACCCAACTACCTTACCCAAACACTTCATTCTGTACATGGAATCCCTCTCATCTTCATAGAGGCTCAACTCCACGAAAAACCCAACCATCTCCACTAAGTCGGTCCATCGACAAGTTCAACCCAGTCACCAGTCCAGTCCAGTCCAGTCTACCTACCTACCTTGGTATCCAAGCCTTGACTAGTTACCGCGCATCCGCCGACGGTGAAGCAATACCTACGCCACGCCACCCTACGACTGTACCCTTACCCTTACTCATCATCTCTTTGAGCGGAACTGCTACGGAGCACTACTCGTACCAGGTACATACATCTCACAAAGACTACTCTTCCTTGTCAAAGCGTCAGGACACTCTTTCCCACCATCAGCCTCGATAAATACACATCTTCTCCCCCGCCGTTGCTCCCTTCTCTTCTGACTCTTTCTACCCAAACGCCTCTCTACCCTTTGCCCACTTCCCTGTCACCCTCTTCTTTGCTTCCGTCTTTTGCCGGTCCATCTTCCCAATCTTCTTTACAACCCTGCCCACTTTCGACTGCGCTGAGGCTGCGAGTCACTCCACCAGCTAGATTATCCATATAATCGGTACTATTCCCCTCCCCAAACCAGTTTCTAATCCTCTCTCGCTACCTCCATTTTCCAACTAACATCACCTTTCTTAGCACGACGAATACGCCAAATCCAATCGACACCAACCTGCTGCAAGAAATTTCCACACCAGACACTCTATCCAGCCTTTTACCAACCCACTCTTTCTATCGCACTGCTTGGTAGTACTGCTCGGAACACCGGCACTCAACGGCCCAGAGATCCATAAGGCCCGCCATGTCCGAATACAGCTACGACGACCGCCCACGTCACAGGCACAGGACGAGAGAACGGGAGCCAGAATACGTCTCTGAGACCACCTACATTGAGCGCGGAGGACGAGGAGCACCCAGTCGTGACCTCGCTTTCCGTCCCCATGACGACAGCATCGAAGACATCCCCCGCAATTTCCCACCACCGGGCGGTGCCGAGTATCGACAGACAAAGTATCGCGAGACGTACGAGCCTCGACGTGACTACGACGATGACTACTATGACCGTCGCAGTCGCCGCTCGTACGACTATGACTACCACTCAGATGACTACGAGCGACGTCCCAAGCCCCAACGCCGCAAGTCTGTTGTCGACAACCTCAAGGAGATAGGCGAAGCTGCCGGTCTAGGCGGCGTCATTGGCGCTGTCACTTCAAAAGTCCGCAGTAGCTCTCGTTCTCGCTCCCGACACCGAAGGGACCGTCACGACCGTGGCTACGACAGCGAGTACGATGAGCGGTCGTTCCGCGAAGATCGTCGATCCCGCCGACACAGCTCCAGCTCGCGCAGTCGCAGCCGAAGCCGCGGACCAAGGAGCAAGAACGCAAAGTGGGAGCAGGCCGCCAAAGCTGCCATCGTCGCCGGTGCCGTCGAGGCCTTCCGCAGCCGCAAGACCCCAGGACCTTGGACAGGCGAGAAGGGCCAGCGCATCGCCACCGCCGCCTTGGGTGCTGCCGGTATTGACAGCTTCATCGACAAGGACCCTGACAAGCACAGCAAGCGACATGTCGCTGAGTCTGCCCTTGGAGGTCTCGTTGCCAATCGTCTGGCCAATGGCTCTCGTTCTCGCTCTCGCGCCCGTGCCGAAGGAGGTTCCCGCTCTCCTTCCCGTTCCCGTTCGCGCTCTAGGTCCAGGTCTATCTTCTCGCGCTCCCGCTCTCGAGGTCGTTCTGCGTCCCGTGGCCGTGAAGAGGGTGGTCACAGCAGTACTCTGAAGGATGTCGCTGGTGCTGGTGCCGTTCTCGCAGCAGGAAAGGCCCTTTACGATCGCGTACGATCTAAGTCCCGCTCCAGGCGTGAGCGATCGCGCAGTGTTTCAAGCGAAGACAGCTACGTTCCCTCCCGCAGTCGACGCAACCGCGCCTACTCTGATCACGGCCGAAGTATGGATGGCTACTCGGAGGCTCCCCGAGCTAACACAGACCGCAGAGTAGCAACAACCGCCGGTGCTGGCGCGGCCGCAGGCGGAGGCGCCTTGACCAAGGGGCGGCTCGAAAGTTCTGACTCGGAAAGCACGACGGACATGGAAAAGAAGAGGAGGAAGATGAGAGGTAAGGAACTCCTGACTGCTGGTTTGGCCACTGTCGCGACGATTCATGCTGCACACGGCGTCTACTCTTCCATGGTCGCTTCGGAGAAGCGCCGCAAGCTCGTCTCGGAGGGCGAGATGACGGCGGAAGAAGCGCGCAAACGAAAATCGAAGAACATGCTCCAGGACGCCGCTGCCGTTGGCATCGCCGCACTCGGAATCAAGTCGGCCTTCTCCGAGTGGAAAGAGATGAACGAGCAACGGCACAGTGTCAAGGAGATTGAAGATCGTCGCAAGAAGAGAAGAAAGCTGCGTGAACGTCGCGAGAAAGAGGCCCGGCAGAATGCTCTTTATGGCATGAACACTCCCATGGCTAATCCGTATGCCTATCCTGTAGCTGCTGCCCCTTATCCGCCTACCACGTATGCGGACGCAAACCCCTACGGTGCGGTGCCGCCACCGCCCATCGGTGCGCCTCCTGCTCGATACTAGATAGTTTTTCCTTTTTGTTTTGGGTTTCCACTTTCCTGCTTTTGTACTTTTCTTTTCTAGGGGGTTTTGTGACTAGACGGACGAATCTCCTTTCCTTTAGCATCATTGTGGGCACACGGGTGCGTATATCTCTTTCATACTTAAGATCGGCTCTCTTATGACCCCGAGGCCTTTCAATTTTCTGATATAATCAGCGTAGCCGATGCTGGGAGGTTTGGTCACATCGAAGTTTGCTTCCTTCACACTCTCCTTCGAGCTTCTGACGGCCTTTATGAACATGAATGGAATGGATCGAATGATACAAGACGATGGATTATTGGGCTAGGACTGATGGACGAACAGTGTGGTTGGCGTGGTACGAATTGATGGGACATCCTAGTCAATGAGTTACACGATGAAATGAGTCGGCCGGAGGCTTTTTGTCTTTCATTTTCTCATGCCTTTTTGAACACTCGATATGCTGCTTATGTTTATGTGGACCTTTGGTTTTATTTTTCCCTTTTGCACGACTGTCACGACCTGTAATGAATGAGAATGGGACATTTTATACTCAAGAAAGAATATTGTCAATTTCCGCGCTCTGCTCCTCATCTCCTTTCTCGATAGATGTCTTGACGTGAATTGAAATGACTGACGTCTCTTTGATCCGTGGTTAGAGTGAAAATATAGTTACGTGTCTATTCTATTGTACGTGGGAAAGAACTGCATTCCTTACATACCTCGTGCGACCTAAAGGCAGAGATAACAGATAAACAAAACAAACAAACAAATACTCCGTAAACAAATAAAGAAACCAGGAACAACACACAACAGCACAATTGCAGACTCGAAAACAAAGCAAGTGACCATAGTTAAGGGAGAGATTGGCGTCGAGGTTTAGGATGTGCAGTATATATGTCACGATAATCAGTTCTCACAAAGTCATGGAATGGGGAGAAGAAGAAGAAGGAGAAAAGAGGGGTATATTGTTTTTTTCGCGGGTTTATCTATTGGTTATTTCGAGGTAGCTACTTCCTTTGCTACCGTTCCGCCACAATGGGCTCACAAGGTTCGCTCTCCTTTGGCTCTCTCTGGGGATGGTGGGTAATTACGTGAGAGCGTTGGAGCGATGACAAACGGTGTGGAAAATTCGCATTGGGATATTATCTTCCCAGCCCATCTCAGCCCATTTCATCTGGTTTCGTATATCTTACACAGGATTGATTCATTATTCATTTGTGCGCAGCGTGGAGGATGTCGCGCATTTCGCACTGCACAGCCTCGCATCCCCACCGCTTCTCCTCATCCACGTTCAGCATGTGCGAAAGGAGATTCTGGACTCGCTCCGCGGTGGCCGCATCGCTGCTGACGCTGAGTCTGTCCGCGAAGTCGGGCGGGAGCTCGCCTCTTCGGAGACGCGTGAGGGCGTCGTAGCGCTCCATGCGCGTGGAGAAGTGCTGGAGCATCTCGAAGCCCACGACGCCCAGCGCGAAGACGTCGAGCTTCTCGCTGATCTTGCAGCTGGCTTCCGGCCTGTAGAACTGCGTTCCGACGGGCTTTGCGGTGGCGTTCGAGGTCATGCAGTTCTCGCCCAGCGCGGCGACGAGGCCGAAGTCGCCGATGCGTGGAGTCACATGTATGCAGTCGCGGCCTACACACGGTCCGCAACTAGAGAGATCGATTGATCCGACTGGGGGGTTGCGAGATGTGGAAAGTGCTAGGAAAACATTTGCTGGCTTCAGATCTCGATGGACGACTTTGTTGTCATGCAAATATTCTACTCCCGCGATTATGCTAGAGAGGAGTTGGAGGGAGATGCAGGGGTGGAAGCAATGACGTAGATGGTTGGTTTGGTGAGGCGACGGCTCGACAGACAGGAAATCTGCAAGATTAGTATCGTAGAGACTCATTTGGACGTTGAGAGTCAACACCGGACCAGATGGCCTGGTAGATACTAAATGGTTTGGTACATCGCTGTTCTATGTTAGCTGGGTCATTATCGATGAAAGGGAAAAGGGTATAGCTTACCTATGCGAAAGTAGACTCTGGGAAAGATCAGAGGTGCTCGCTTGATCATGAGGCGAATGTGACCTTGGGATGATCTCGACTTCTTCATCTTCATCCTCGACACTGGGGATGGCACTCATTTGTGACCGGGTCGAGGATATGGTTGCTACTGTCATTTGACTAGCCTGACTAGCTCGGCGGTTCCTGCCACTGACATTTCTGGAACTACCATTCAGTGCGTTGCTGTAAGAATCGGACTGTGCATCATCACCACCACCTCCAGTATCACTGTACTCGAACACAATGTCTGCTCCCGCTCCAGGATCCGAACGCTGGAATGGATCTCCAATTGACAGACTGTCAAGCTGGGCGTGTGCGCCGTCCATCTCATCATCGAACGATGCGTCCTCAAGCAGTCTACCCTCTCTTACAAAGGGGCCAGGCGGTACGGGAACATCTGTTGGTGTTGTTGAGAACTCTAGCCAACAGTTATAATAACGAACGATGTTATGGTGATCGAATCCGGCAAGTGCACGCACTTCCTCAAGCATCGAGTCCATTTCCCGGGGCCCATTTTCTTGGATCTTCTGTAGCCGGGCGGGACTCACCATGATCCTCTTCACCGCATAGAGTGAATTGTCAAGCTTATGCTTCACTTTGAACACTTTGCCGTATCCACCTTTACCAACTACCCCGAGTTCCAAGAATTCTTCTATGTACCTGTCGGTCCTGAGGCCAAGATCAGGGTAGGGCAGTGGTACAGGAACAGGGTTCGGAAGACCCCCCAAAATAGAGTCAAGGCTTGGTAGAATGTTGAAAGACTGATTTCTGGATACCAACGCCCGGGATGGACCATTGTCAGACTCATGGGTTTCGAGAGTCGTGAAGTGATTTTGCGTTGCAGCCCTGAGGTGCTCCTGAGCAGCAGCGCGATGGATCCTCATGTCATCAGCAGAATATTTCTCGCCATCGGAACCAGAAAGCTGACGAGATATCGACTGGAATGCAGCTGCGGCGAGTGCTTGTACCTGGGGATCCTTGAGATCAGTCTTGCCTAAATGCTTGGCTGCGTCTTCCAAAGTTTTCTCTTCGAGCAGTGAGTGTAGCAGCAGGTTCTGGATGTAAGCCTTGCTACTACTGTTCCTCAATGGCCGGGGTCGGTCAGCCGAGGGTGTTTGCACTTCTGAAGCCGTGGACCCAAGGGTGTTGATCCTCGAGAGGGTATCTAGGTCCCTGGAAGCGCTGGTGCTATCATCTTCTTCTGTCGTCTCTTGATGCTGATTGTCCGAATCATCGTCACTGGATGTATCTTCGCCTGGTTTGCGGAACATGAACATGATGAACGAAGATTAGGCAGTGATGATGACAAGATGCCAACAGCACTGTGACTCGATGTTACGTACAGTGCTTTAAAGGGAATGACAATTAAACCTTTTTATCGGCAAATGAAGCATCAATGCTCGGCCGATTCATCGAGACAAGACCAGAATGATGTCCGGGGATCTACCAGAGTCCTGAACCGGAGGTTGTGTTGTTGTTGTTATGGTCCAGGATAGTTATCACCAAGGTAGCGAGCTATGGCCAATTCCGAGAAGGATTGGAAGTATTCCGTTGCAAGACCAGCTATATCATAGCAGATGGTTGGGGGCAGGAAAGTAAAAGAACGAAGCAGAAGAGTGAAACGTGTCTTGATCACACCTGCAGATGGATGAGTCAAGAATCAAGACATGGTGGGAGTGGTGAGTAAGTGATGTTTTTGTATGTGATTCTGATCCAAGTGATTGCGAAGGGCGGAAGGTGACAACTTTCGGAAGCGAAACGCTTGGACGAACGTGGAACCTCCGAGGGCAGCCACACAGAACAGAAGGCTACGTCACATGAGCTACCCCTCCAACCAATCAGCCCACTACTACAGACGCGCACGTTCTCTCGTACAACGTTCGCGTCAACCATCCCGAACTCACTCCATTCTATCCACAAACTATGCATCCGGCACGCGACAACGCGACAGCTGGTAGTACTTGTAGAACAGAGACAGTATAGAGAAAGAGAGAGACAACATGAAATCCCAATTACGATATCAACACCTTTCTGGCACCTGACCACCTATTGCTCCCGGCTACACCTCATATCAATCACCACCACCATAATGCCGCGACAATTACCCTGGGCGAAGAAGAATAGCACATCCAGTGCTCGAGCGACACCTGCAACAAAACCGCTCAAAAAGTCTCGCGCCTTGCTGGATGACGACGATGAAGATTTCTTTCAAGGAACAGTCCTGGCCTCAAAGGGCAAAGGAAAAGCACGCACCAACAGTTCCCAGGATTCATTCGACGACCTACCAGATATATCCACCTCACCTGGGTCCCCGCGCAAGCGCAGGAAGCATGCATCTCCCGCTCGAGTCCTGTCCTCTTCGCCGCCCCCTATGGACGACCTCCCGCCTCCGGATGTAGAATTCATGAAGAAAGGGCTTTCTAGGTTCGACTTGCGCGACGACGAGTGGATGATGGTTGAGGATGAATTTTTGCAGACTGCCAAGTTGTTCACTATGCACCTCCATCTTGCTGAGTATGAAAGGCTTAAGGAGACCATTCAACAAAAGAAAGATTCCATCAGGCCTGTCGCTGCGAACGCGAAGCCTTCTGCGGAAGCCTCGCTCAAGGCTAAAGCTGATGCACAGCTGATGACGCAGAGGGAGGCACTTAGAGATATTCTAGACGGTAGCGGAAGTGAAGAGTTAGATGATATTCTTCAACCTCCCACCAAAACCTCTGTCATCAGGCCTGTGACTACACGGCCCGACAGAGTCGATCCGAAACTGTCTACCAGCGCAAACAGTTCAAAGAGAGCAGCTACCCCGGAGACCACAGACAGCGAGGATCTGGATGCACCAAGACGCTCTGTCAAACCGGCACAGAGCAGTAGGGACACCTTCGTCCGACCTTCTCTCCCACCAAAGCGAGACACCGCACCCATACCGCCCGTGCGAAGGCCCCCATTCATGTCATCCAAAGCAGACCGACCAGCAGCACAAGCACCAATACCCACGCCAGCCCGCCAAAGAAAATCACCTTTAGACTACCTCGACGACGAAGAACGGACCACACATTCCTCCTCGCCCTCCTCCCGACCAACCCATCCATCATCACCAACCAAATCCGCCCATACACCCGCGCGCTCCCATTCAATCCGGCCGCACCAATCCCAAAGATCAACCAGTACCCGTCCATCCTTCGACCTCCTGTCCGATCTAGACTACCAACCCCGCCACACCGTACCAAAGGAGGCCCCTAAGTCCGACCATCATCTCCTCGCCAAACGGAGACAAGAACAAGAGAGGGAGAAGGAGCGGAAGAAGCAGGTCGAGGATAAGCAGAAGAAGAAGGCGATTAAGCTTGACGATATACCCACGTTTCTTATCTAAGTCTTCTAATTCTCAGGCTTTTTTGTTTTATTTTGGGTTTTGCGCTTTATGAAGGACGTTTCGGAGGGCGTTTTATGGAGGAGTTCTGGTGGATTAAGATACCCCTTTCATAGAAAAACCACACGCTAAGTGTAACGAGCTGCAGTGAAGACACGTGCGCGGAGGCAGTAATTTGAATAATATATCTTTGCATATGGAAGTGTGCTCGCGTTCATCTTCCATGTCGTGTTCTTTCCGTCTTATTCTCATTGCAATGCATGTTCTAGTATCGAACCACTACAACAGAGGACGTCTTCCTAGTCAGCAAAATGTCGTCAAGGTCCTTATAACGAGACGCCACTCGGCCTCTTTCACGACCTACACATCAATCGCAAAGAGCGTGACACGTAAGACATAATTCCGTGTATTCTATTCATTCAAACGACTAGTCGAGAACACAGCCATCCAAATCTCGTACAGGCTTTATACGTACATACAATCACTCATCCTTCCCGCCCTCCCCATCTCCCCCTTGCACACACTTTTCAAGTCTCTTCCTCAGCTGAATATCTTATTGAAGTACTTATCAGCCCAGTTCTTATCAGGCGCGGGGACGAAGTTCCGCGTGTACTCCTCAATCTCCTCGAGATCCTGCACGAGGTCGACCTCCTCTGGCTTGCGCCACTTGGTTTTCTTGATGAACTTCCAGCCGAGGAAGAGGAGGGGGAAGCAGAAGATTGACATGTACCTATTTCCCCTCGTTAGTATGCGGCGATGGAGGTGGTTGGGGGGTTGGACTTACGAGAACAGGAAAGAAGGGATATCCCAGTTCCCCTTGAGGAACACAGTGTACCCGCCCACGAACGCCATGACGAATGTGCCGACGAGACCGTACCAAGCGGCATACGGCTGGAGGATTCCCTTGTAGGGCAGCGTGTTGCGATCGATGCCCTGGGCCTTGAGCGCCTTGTAGAACTGGAGGAAGGTGAAGCAGCAGACGCAGTAGTTGATGAGCTGGCTCGCGGTGACGAGGTTGACGAACCACTGGAGGACGACGGCGGAGTTCTGGCCGAGCTGGAGGAACGAGAGGAGCGCGATCGCGAGCACGATGCCGACGCAGTAGATGGGCACGCCGTGCTTGGTGCATTTTGTGAGGACGCGGGGCGCTTTGCCTTCGAGGGCGAGGCCGTAGAGGGAGCGCGAGGCGCAGTAGACATAGGAGTTTCCGGCGGAGAAGGCGGCGCCCAGGACCATGGCGTTGACGACGTGTGGGAGGCCGTCGATCTTGAGGCGGTTCATGGCGACGACGTAGGGGGAGGCGGCGGCTCCAGGTTGGTTGGTTTTGAAGGCCGTGGTCATTTCTGGGTCGTTGTAAGGTGTGTTGATGCCTACGCACAAACTGCCGAGGACGAAGAAGGCTGTGAGACGGTAGAAAACTGCGTTGTATGCTCTGGGTAGCACTTTTCGAGGATTTTCGGTCTCTCCGGCCGCCATGGAAACGTAGTCGGGTCCGGCGATGGTGAAGGAGGCCTGGATGAGGCACTGCAAGAATCCTAAGAATTTCCCAAGATTGCCTTCGTAATAGAGCGGCGCAAAGGCTCCTGGATTCTTCCAATAGCGGAAACCATACCGGTCTTTCAGGGGATTTCCTCCCAGCATGGAAATGAATGTGAAGATGATGAGCCCGATGATGAGGAGCACTTTTCCAATCGCGGCCCAGAACTCAGTCTCTCCGTACCATTTGACGGCCAAGATGTTGATCAAACTGCTCGCGTTAGTCCATTTTCTAGGATCTGTAGTATCTCGTATACGAACGCATAGAGGAAAATGATTAGAGCGATAATCGCACCTGTCGGCACAATATCACTCCAGAAGTGAATGATGACATTGCAAGCCACGATCTCGAAAGGAACAAGAGCAGCCTCAAAGACAAAGAAGTTCCAACCAGCGGCTATGGCAATATCAGCAGAAACTCTGGGTAATGGTTTCGAAGAACATACCAACTCCTAGAGCATCATCCACAAACCGACCTGCAAATCGAATGAAAGGAGATGAAATGGGAAGAAATGTGACCATTTCAGCTATGCCTAAATTTACGTTTAGTACATGTATCAGGGATTAGGGACTAATGGCGCGAGCGGCGGAGTTGCTGGTGGGCATGTAGCTTTGGGCTTTAGAAAAAGTCGCTTTGGTTTTTACATACTTAACGTCACGGCAAGGATGAAAGTGCACCTGACAACACGTATTAGCTCCGTTACTTGTAGATGTTGGGCTTGTAGTTCTCCTTCCGGAGTCTTGATATGGATTGTCGGTGCTCTTAGTCGAGTCCAATTGGACCTACCAAATTGTGAATGCAAGGAACAGAGACGCAGGACCGCCGTTCATCAAACCCTTTCCGATTTGCACATAGAGGGCAGTACCAATAGTTCCGCCAATGCCAATAAGCTGAATATGGCGAGGCTTAAGCTTACGATGGGTCGAGTCGTAAACAATCTTCACACTCGCAGTTTCGGATCCACGGCGATTTTCGACATCGTACTCAAAGGGAGCTTTGTTATCACTTGGTCCAGTCTCTCTAGCCACGCCTTTCTCTCCTCGAAAGATCTCCGAGGAGGAGTAATTGGCACCAGTAGTAGACGCCATTGATTGCAGCACCGAGATCAGAAATCCTCACAAGGGATAGAGGACTGCTCAGAAATCGGAGAAATGAAGTAGTTGCAATGTGATGCAGGGAATCATAAGGGGCGAAGCAGCAAGTACTTGTACTATTACATGGGCACAAGACAGGGAAAATGCGGAATTGAGTGGGTAGGTCTAGGACATTGCTACAGTTAGTTTAGCGTAATGGAGGAACTCGAAGCAGTCCTCTCATTTGTAGTGATGGGCACAGCAGCAAGACATCGAATGGCAAATGTGCTTGGCCCTCGTACGTCTTCCGTTTCTCTGGAAGTCGGGCATGGCACTTAACGTAGTTTGTCTTCGGGGGGTCCATTGCGCGTGGATAGCCCCGCTATGTGAATGGATCGTCTTGCAGGGTACAGTGCAGTGCCTATCAATCCAGGGTTCTTGATCGGCCGTGAAAGTGATCCTGTTGACATCTGATTCGACTGGCATGAGATCCTTGTACAATGTGCAGCACATGCAGCGCCTGGTAAAGACCCAGCCATTGCAATTGGAATTGCGTCACTGCTGCCTTCTGGGAGTTGAAGCAGAAAGATGAGATGTAATGAGCGGGAGTAAGCTCATGGCACGATTGGATGACGCTGATCCCATGGGGTTGGACTCGTTGGAGGTTGAATTTTACGAACACGTGAGCCACGATATGCGCCGTGCACGCTCCGAGAAAGGTTTGGCGTCAGTTCACGAGTCGACCGAGCTGGAACCAAAGACGGCTGTACCTTGTACAAACGTCCGTTCTCTTCACCTTCTTTTCGGTGGTGCTCCATTCCAAATATCCTGCTTAACTCGGCTGCCCTTTATTATTGACAATTCCCATCATCCTGAATCGACAAAATTGCATGTCGATTTGCCGTCTTTCCGGGCGATAACCTTTCCTTATCCATATCATCGAGCTCTCACGACTCCGCGGCCTGTGGCTTCTTGTGCGTGGCAATTGCCTTAATGCTGTCCCACTCTTAGGTGACAAGATAGCGTTCATCTCAACTCGGGTGCCCCGAATCTTGCCTAGCATCGGCTGCGGTAATTTGCAACTCTGCTGCTTCCCAGAACCTTGATTTTTCTGGGCTCAATGATCGTTCCCAATGATATGCCGCTCTTTTGAATCCTCTTCGCTTGGCGCAGCTGGGCTGACGGTTGCCAAAAAGCCTTCATTGTGCTTCCTTTCACATAGAAGAGCTTGTCTGAACAGCCATTAGGTCTCAGTCTCGTTGCGGAAGGCAATGGTCCTGGAGTCGTGAATCGGCATTCGAAATCCTCGAATTCGCTCATGTTTGCCGCAGAAAGCAACGTCTTTCCAATATGGCAGTGATCACTTGCTGTCCGTATTTCTAGTATTCCTCCACTGCTCAACGTCGTATCACTTAGCAAGTTCCTCGCATGTCGTGGGATAGCGCGGCGTGTTGCAAAGCTAGCGAGGATGGTTCACCAAGGTAGTACTCGCTACGGCGTGCAGCTAAGTGACGGTGCCGGTGGCCTATTACTGCTCTTGTCGTGTTGACCTGGGAAAGCCGCTCATTGCCACATGTTGCTGCACTCAGCTGTACATTTGCAATTGTACGAACAAATACCACCCCGCGCGCGCCGTTGGCTGGCTGACACCACCACGACGTACCGGGCACCGTGTGTTGTGCATCTTGCAGTTGCTTGTCCAATGTGGTTCGAGCTCGGCTATCCGGTGGTCGAGAGATGGTCGCGTGTGTACGGAGTGTCAACTAGGTAATTATTTTCCGACCAGGTCAACCCACATGCCGGATTTCCAGGGCCCTGCAGAAAGAATAAAGGAACGAATAGTCGCAGTGGGTCGTTCGTAACATTGAGACAAGTTATGTACCAATCGGTCTTGAGTCAATTATATATATGCCTCGGTGACTCGGTCAGTAAACGCCTGTGCACCTGAAGCCGAGGATCAAGTAAATTGGCATCAAGCCAATGCACATCATCAACTCAACGATTGTCCAGTCCAATCATTGAGAATCTACGCTTCGGTTGGTACCGAACAGATCTTTATCGATACTCGTTGAAAGGCAAATAAGTTTGACATGGTCAAAATGCTAAATGCGATACTACGCCCTCTGAGGGCCTCCCCAGCCACTTTTCATACTTTAAAACTGCATTCATTCAGTACATCGAAGGCGAACAAATGTGGCCGGAATTGAAAGTAAAACTGCCAACTTAAGTGCATTGACGTGCCTCAGAGTATGAAAAGAGACTCCCAATATCCGTGTTTTTCGACCTAAGAGCTAAACATCTCATCGTATGAAATATAACTTATTACCATCCCCAAGAGAGTAGGCGTAGCGTCTTCATTCTACTGCTACCAACTGGTTCAATATTTTCCAATGAAAGTTATCTACTAATAAGCTCAATAGATACAGGAACTACCCATTTCGGGTTCTTACATACTGTACTTGTGTATCCGTAGAATTCTAACTTACATATGCTCACCACACACCGATTTCTACTACAATAAGATCTAGACCTCCGAAAGATCGAACGACACATTAATCTACGTCTAGAATACGCCTCAGTCCCAAAGAGTACTTCTTGGGAGAGACATGGTCGAGCTTCGATTGGTCGTACCAGGTGTGAAGCTGCCGTGAATCCGGGCTGGAACTGGGTCTTAGACTCCGCTGGTGCCGCTACAATCAACAGTTTTTCGATAAGTTACCCGAACAGGTAATGTTCTGTTCAGCCATTGTACCAGATTCATTAAAAGGGCTTGTCGCTTGCATGCGTATGTCTCGAAATATCATTAGAAGGCTTTCGATTGCAAAAATGGTCTTTTGTCTAGCTGGTTTCATGTTCCAATTAATTACACGTAAAGAAACATTGCAATCATTAAACACTTGTGGTAGAATGTCGGAGCTTGGGGAAATTTTACGCGATCCATAGTTGGGTATGCGTCGGTCGAGTCAAAGCTCCTCGAATTTCTAGATATCGATAATAATTAAATTTCCCCCACCACCACCTCCAACCCATTACATCCCCCCCAAAGGCAATCCCTCCACTACCCCGGAGACCACCATGGCCGACGAAGACGAAGACGCGCCCAAGCTGCGCAACCAAGAAGACGACGAAATCGACGCCAGCGAAGAAACCCAAGATTTCCGCTTCCTGAACAACCTCCAGTAAACGCCCTCCCCACCCCAACATTGTCACTCCTTACACACGGCGCGGGAAATCTAACAATCAAACCGCAGTGCGTTCGATCCAGGCAACCTCTCGCTCCCCAAGCGCGGAGAGAAAGACTTCGAAACCGATGCCACCAACCTCCAACTCGACACCCTCGAGGCCTCGCGCCAGGCCATGCACAGCGTCCTGTCGTGGACCCGCGTGCACAAAGACAAGAATCGTATTCTTGGCATGTACCACGCGGAGAGCAACATGGCGTACGTCGAAAAAGCGAAGACGCAGATGTTCCAGACGATAGGGCGCGCGAAAGGCGGGAAGGAGTGGCTCTTGCCTGAGGAGGCGCTGTTCTTGATCGAGCGTGGCAGTATGGATTGCCGATGGCCTGTGAAAGAGGAGGAAGGCGAGACTGCGAATATTGAAGACGGTGCACCGATGAGTTTGCAGGGTGCTTACTCTGCATTCATCGGGTTTGAAGAGGGCGTAGGGGGAAAATTGACACTCGAGATGTATAATGTCTACGCGGGATTGCGCAGGTCTGGATACATCGTTTTCCGCACAGGAAGCTGGGACGACGATTTCGGCGTCTTGCGGACGGATATGACAGAACCCAAAGGATCAGAATTACAATCGCAGGGAAGCATATTCTACCGCTTCTTCGCGGAGATCTGGCGACGAATCAGCACGCCAAACCGCAATGTCACCGCAGATGGCCTCCGCTTCGGCCCGCTCGTTAAGCCGGGTCTCTATCGAAATTATGCAGATATATACCGACTCCTCAAGATCGTCCCCACCCACGACCGCAAGGCACCTCCCAGCTTCGTGCTCCCAGCCGACCGCACCAACCCCTACCGACTCCACTTCGACGTCTACAAGACCGGAACTGGCAAGTTCAGCAAGGCTCGACGAGGGGATCCGGATTTCAGGGTTGCGGTCATTAGCGCAAGGGACACTCCTCTTCCGACGAGCTCGCAGTTGAACGACTTACTCGCGACTGCGCCGTACTCGCCCCCAGATCCGGCGAATAAGAATATGTATGCTAGGTTGAAACACGGGACGAGGAATGTGATTTTGGCGGTGGTTGATAACGGTCTTCCGAGTTACATAAATGTTGCGGATACCCCCTTCGATGGCGAGAGGTTGTTTGAGAATTCCCTCAAGCCGTTCCGCGGCAAAGGTGGTGGAAGAGGTCGCGGTGGCAGAGGCCGTGGAAGAGGAGGCAGAGGTCGAGGCAGGTGAAAAGGGAACTTTTGGCGGGACGTAATGATCACAAATAAGCTCGACTGTGTCTAATGAACCAGGACACTGAAGTCACTTCTACTGGGTATTGCAATATTGAATTGCGAAGGCCCAGCTTCTCAAGTTGATTCTGAGTTGAGCTGCAGTCGGAATCCGGTTTCCTTAAAGCCGGACAGAAATCCAGACATATACTCTAGGCTTCTGGTCAAAGAAATGACCATAACTCCACAGGGCCATCACTTTTTGATATCAAAGCAAGCATGGATCCACGAAGCCAAATCATGTATTGGCAATTGTGTTTGCAAAGCAACGTATGAGTTAAATCTACAGAACATGATATCCTCAATATATACATTTACCAACGTTCATCAACTCTATTCAGGCTTGCAAAATCTATGCCAATTTTCCAGGCACGAAAGGATGTCCAGCGCTCAAACCGCCGTCCACAGCCCATGCTTGACCGTTCACATAACTACTCTCATCGCTTCCCAAAAACAAAACCGCCCTCGCGATCTCGTCGGGCTGACCACCTCTCCTCAAAGGATTCAACTGCCCAATCTTCCCCTCCGTTCCCCTCGCCCTCGCAGCATCATACGTCGTCTTCGTCATCCCCGTCTCAATCAACCCAGGACAAATCGCATTACACCTAATCCCGGATCCAACCAACTGATACGCACAAGTCTGCATCAAACTCACAACCGCCGCCTTCGACGCCGAATAATCCGTCGGCCCAGCATTCGACCTAATCCCCGCAACCGACGCCGTCCCAATGATACTCCCACTCGGATACTTCTTCCCCTCAGACGTCTTCAACATCGCCCTGGACGCATACTTCGCCGCCAGGAAAACCGACAGCGCATTCGTCTTCATCATCTTCATGAACCCCTCGCTATCCTCCTCCCAGAACACCTTCGCGGACGAGATCCCCGCGTTCGCGAAGAACACGTCGAGACGCCCGTACTTGTCGACGGCGTCCTGTACGACGCTCTTGACGGCCTCTTCGTCACCCGCGTCGAACTGCCGCGTGTGGATGTCGACGGAGGGGTACAGGGAGGCGATCTCCCGCTTGTGTGTTTCGAGGTGCGTGGAGTCGAAGTCGCAGATGTAGATGGCACGCGCGCCGTTGCGGGCGAATTGGTGCGCGGAGGCGCGGCCGATGCCGAGGGGGGAGTTGGCGCCTATGGAATATAAATTGTCAGCTATCAAGTGTATACACATAGTTGTGAATCCGGGTTATGTTGAGGTGGGTGGTCGTGGTGTGTTGAGACATGTAATCATGAATTGCACATACCTGTGATAATGACGACCTTATCCTTTACTCTCCTACAATTCAAATACACCCAGTCAGCCTTTGCAATCTTCTTCACATTTCACCATTCGCCATACGCGAGCATTTGGAAGAATAACACTCACTGTCCAACCGAATCACCAGCAATTTGTCTGATCTTGGGGATGTTTTCGAAAGTGCCCGGGTCGGACAAGGGCTCGGACAGCTCTTTGGACAGCGCCGGTGACGGCTTGATTCTGACTTTGGGGTCGGTCGGCATTGTGATGGATATTTTTGGTTTTGCTTTACGTGAATTGTCTTTTGGGGTGTAGAAGTTTGTGAGGTCGGCTGAGAGGCGTGTGATTGAAGTGTGAGAATTGAGGGAGGGTGAGCTTATGGGTGGATGTAGGTACGAGTACCTAGGTAGTTTATTGTTGGAGAGGGGTGCGGAGGTCCGCGTGGAGCTTGGGCGAAATCTGGGGTAAGTTGCCGAGGCAAGATCGGGGAGTCCGAAGATGCTGTTTCATTCGACAAACCTGGAGAACTGCTGGGAAACTATTACTAGGAAAAAATAATAATGTCATATTATGAGTATCACAGACGTCCATAAACTAAGGCAATTCCATCATTGTAACACAGCCCTTGCCTGTTACTCCATGGGGTATCTCAAAATGAGCTTGAGGCTCCAACAAAATGGACTGATCATTACCAGTGCTTGACGATAACCAACCAATCCCCCTCTTTAACTCCATTAACTAGCGCCCAGAACTTCTTCCTTTTCAGTCCTTCTCTAGGTGCCATATCCTCCACGGCCTGCCTTCCGTCAAAATACTTTAGCATCATTGGCCAGTTAGCCCTCAATTCCTCATCCTTGAACGACTGTCCGATCTTCTCTAACCACCGCGCCTCGAGGGAATTTGCTTTTTGTGGTGATAGGACGAGCGATGCTGTGTAGTTTTTGTGAGAGAGCCGTGGTGATGGCGGTGCTGCGATGTTCGGGGGCGAACTCATGTGGGACGGGCTCGTAGGCGACAAGGCGTGCGCTGGTCGAGACGGTGAGACAGTCTTGACGTGTAGTGGAGATGGCCGATGAGGTTTCGTCTGGACATATGAAGGATGGCTAGGTGATTCTGGTCGTCCTGACAGAGCGATAGCGGTACGGACGCTGCCAGTACTTCCGGCATCTGACGCGGGTTTTGCAGGGCTCCCCCTATATGGTACGGTTCTGGGAGATAGAATTGTGCTTGCTTCCATGTTCTCGTCCTCGAGGTCACGCCTCCCAAGTCGTCTCAATGGCGTTGCGGGTCGTCCTGCTGACAGGAAGCTGGATCGCTTGTCGGACAGAAGAGATTCGTTGTCAGATACATCTCTACGTGCCTCCTCGGCTTTCTTTGCCTCAGCTTCACGTTCCATGTCCACCGCGACCGCTGCCTTGATCTCTGGTGTTACTCGCACCCACGCAAAGGTCCGCAGTTGCGTGACCCATCCTCCACGCATGAGCCATGCTAATATCTCCATGTACTTGTCCTTGTGTTCATTGGTGGGAATGAAGAATCTGAAAGGTCGAGGAGTACCGGACAATAGGCTGAGTATCTTCGCTAAAGAAGGAGATGTAGGGAAACGTGCGGTAAAAGCAGGAATTGCTCCAGCTAATGCTGACATGTCTGCATTCGGGGAAACGATGTACGTGTCGGCAGGATGTAGCGGAGTGATCAATCTGGCACGACGCCAGTAGACCAAGTGGCTGGCTATGTACTCCATATCCTGAGCAAGGATATTGTGCTTGATGGATATCTTCTGTAAGCTTTTGGTGGGGATGATATTGCGAATATAGAATGCCAGCGGTCCAGCGTTGTTCTTCGCATCTCCTTCGAGCTCTTTAATGAGTGTTTCTGGGTCATCGAGGAGAAGCAAGGCCGCATGCTGTGTCATTGGCGCATCGTCCTCCTCTCTGATGACATTTGAGGTTGTGAGCCATAGCCCGGGCATTTGCGGCTCCATGGCGCTGGGCAGATATGGCGTGGAATCCGCCTGCGGGATCTGGAAAGAAGTATTGAAGGTCTTGTCGAAGTGTATATGGGCGATCTTATCGGTGGATATGGCGTTGAAGAGTATAGCTACAGATTTTGCGAGCGGTGAGGCGTTGATAATTTCACGCCATGTAGAGGTGACGGCTTTGCCATTCTCCCGCGCTGCCTGCTTGATATTGATGATCTTTTTCGATTCTTTCCAGACGTACTGAAACCGAGCTTGCTCGTATTTGAGTGCTTTGGCGAACTTTCTTGTGACGTTGTCGTACATTTCCTTCACTCGTAGTTGATATTCAAGTGCCGGAGGGTTTAGAACAAACACGACATTGAACATGGTCATATCGTCTTGCGAATGATCCGTAGTCGAATTACTCCTGGCATCGGAGCCTGCTTCAGAAGGTGCTACAGATGGTTCTCCCTCCGGAGAAGAATGGCCATACCCTGGCTCAAAGAGAGGGGGGTAAATGAAAGACTCATTTCGTTTCAAGCCATTGCCTTTGGGTGGTGTTCCAGCCTCTTCTTTGGATCCCGGCTCTGATTCTCGCGCTTTGGAATCAAGTACCAGATCACCGTCTTTTATCTTTTCCTCATCTGTTCTCTTATCCTTCTTCCGCCGTCTCTTCTTCCATTGTCCATCATCTCGTACAAACATGGGGGCTCCTACGAAGACTATACCCTCAACCCCGAGCTCAAATCTTTTCTTGTTGAATGCTCTGCTGGGACACAGCATCTTCTCGAGCGCGCTAACTCTGAAGCCTAGAACATTGGTCCAGTCGTGATCCTCTTCAATGCCTTTCCCAATCGAATCATCCTTCCTGCCACGCTTATCGTCCAAATCTACATCCTCCTCGTCCACGGTCTCCTGACGGCCCCATGCGCCCGTGGCGTGTCGATGTTTGTCTCTGTCTTTTCCACTCGTTGCGCCAGTCCTGCCTGAACCGCGCCCATTGCTTGTCCGACTTCCGACTTCGATATCGTCTTCACCGCCTTCGTTTTCGGCATCGCTGTCCCAATCGCTGCTCGTATCATGCGAGTGGACACTTCCGGTTGAGGTGTCTTTTCCAAACCACGCAGGGATGTTATTGGTAGCTAGAGCAGCTGCAGATGGCGAGAGAGGTGGGTAATGGAAGACGAGGCGAGGACCCAGTGAGCGCGATATCGTGACGACGAGAATGGCCTGGAGATGCGACGCGGGTGGGAGAGGGAGTGACATGATAGCGACCTGTGCGGCGGGGGAAGTGCACAGGAAACCCAATAAAGATCAATTAACTATTTCGCATAGCAATACCTGCGTCATCGTCGGTTTCGAGGCCTACGGAATCGCGGTATGGAGATTTTGGGGGATGGGTCAGGTGTGGAGGTGGACGACGCGACCAGAACTTGCGGGGAGCTTCGGAGGTTTTGGCTGCTTAGTGGTGCAAGCTCTAGAAGTTGCCCCCACCTTCTCTGCCTCCGCATAGAAAGATACATGTTACTCTGACCTTGCGCAATAAGAGCCGACCTTTTCTAAAAACACAACTGTTGCATCTTCATTAATATCCAGTCATCATGGCTGAAGATCCAAACGCAAAATACGCAATACACGAAGCCTGTCGCGAAGGCCGGAGTGCGTAACACCTCGCTTTCCCATCTCTCCCACCAACTAACCTCCCATCTCTAGCCGCCAAAGTCGAAGCACTCCTCAACGCAAACCCAAAGCTAGCAAACCTCCGAGACCCCAATGAGCGTCTTCCTATCCACTGGGCCGTATCCTACAACCATCAACCCATCGTCGAAATCCTCGTCCAGACCAAAAACTTCGATGTCGATGCGACGGACGGATCAGGCTGGACCTCCCTCATGATGGCCTGCTCGAGAAAAGAGGCGGAACAGATAGTCGACTTGTTGCTCCGGAAAGACGCAGACGTTAATGCGAAGACGAATAACGGCCTTACGGCGCTACACTTCGCTGCATCGAAGAATAACCTGGACATAGCGCGTGAGCTTCTCAAGCATAAGGCAACGGCCCGCGTAAAGGACAAAAGAGGACAGTTGCCTCTTCACAGAGCTGCTGCTGTGGGGAGCGTGCCCATGATGAAGCTTCTTCTTGGGGAGGGTAAAAGCCCGCTGAATGCGACAGATATGGATGGGATGACAGCATTGCATCATGCGATATCAGAGGGCCATGGTGATGCTGCATTGCTGCTGTTGACATCAGGCGCCGAATTTGATAAGAAGGATAATGATGAGAAGCTACCTTTGGATCTGGCACCCGATAGCAAGACGAGGAAGTTTATAGTGCAGGCGGCGGAAAGAGAGGGCATTGATCTGGAATAGAAAGGCTATTCAGATCAACTGTGGGCGGACTAAAAGATTGATATACCCCAAGCGCGCACGATTTAGTATCTCGTATGTATAGATGCAACGACTAAAGCAAAGCGAGCGGACTTTGCTGTAATGAAATAGCGCAATGAGAAGAATTCAGAGTAGGTATATAATGCTATCATCTACTAATACACAATCAAGGCTCAGATCTGTTCATTGATTGATTTATGGAAGATGTGAATCAAGGATCTCATTTCATCGTTTGCACCAAATCCCGATAAATCTTCTTGAGATCGGCTACGTCTCCTTCCAACTCTTCGACTTTCTCGCTCTTCTCGCCGAGCATCTCAAGAGTGGTCTCGTATCGCTCGTTCATTTCCTGCAGCTCTGTCTCGAGCTTCGCGAGCTTCTCATCTTGGCCGCGCTTCTCTTCAATCTCACGCATCAGGGAGACGACTTCTTCACGAGCCTCATCTCTCTGCGAGGCAAGACGTGTCATTTCCTCCTTGGTCGTCGCCTTTTCAGACTCCAAACGTCGTACCGCCGCACTCATGCGCTCCACAAGCTGGACTGAAGGACCAGCCCCAACCGTCGAGACGGAGATCATGTCATTGATCGTTCTTTGAGGGGATGAGGTGTTCTCAAAACCATCGTCATTGTCAAAGGTGTGGATAGATGGAGTTGTGGAGATGGTTAGGCCATTGAGATTGGAAAGCGACGAAGGTATCGAATCTTGGCGCATCGGAGGAGATCCAATCTCAGGCGTGCGGTTTGCGCTTGATCGCGTTCGACTACTCGAAGGTCGACGGTCGTCCACGAACATGCGATCCATCGCTGACAAGGACATCTCGCCAGTTGCGGATCGAGGTAGAGGTCTCCTAGCATGGAACCCTGAAGGATCAGGCGAATGCCTACGGTTGGATGCGGACGGTGAGTCGGCACGTAAGAGATTGTCCTGGGACAGCTGGTTTGGTTGCATTTCCGTTCGCCATTTAGCTTTCTCTTCTAGAAGGCGTTGTTGGAGGTCGGCTTCCCATATCTTCTTCTCTCTCTCCAGATCAGCTCGAGCGTCCTCTGCAAGCTTTTCTGCTTGTGCCAATCGGGCAAGGAGTTTTTCGGATGATGTACGTTGCTCCGAAAGATCCTGCTCTAAAGCCCTCGCTTTGTCATTTACGCCGTCCAATTCGTCTTCTAGTCGACGAGCCTTTGAATTGACATCCCGCGCTTTTCGCCTGATGTCAGACTCGCGCTTAGCGATTTCATCACGATCTTTCTCCAATGCTGCAACCCTCGACGTAAGGGTGCTTTCGATACCCTGCCAGTTCTCGGAAGCGAGTGCGTATTGAGTCTGTAGGGTCTCAATCTGGCGTAGAAGAGTGGCTTGAGAGTCACCCGTGACCGAAGAAGACACTTCCTCAGAACGACTACGGAGGAGCTCAAGTTTCGTTTCGAGGTTCTGGGCAATAGTTAGTTCTGAATGACATTCTCTCGTGGTCGAATATTACAGTAATTTCATTCCGCATCTCAATCTCTAAGACTTTCGCTTTGTTCTGTTCATCTGCGGCAGATTCTTTTAGATCTCGAAGCTCTCGTTTTGCACGATCCTCGCTGAGCTTCTTCTCGATCCGCATATTATCGAGGTCTTCCTTGAGAGAGGCTGTGACTCTTTTTTCCGCTTCTAGAGCACCTGTTTGCGCCCGGTTTTCAGCATCCTCTGCTCTCACGATAGCTGCATTCAGCTGCTTCCTGAGTTCAGCTATTGTCAGGCCAGCTTCTTCTCGTTCTGCCTTGATCATCTCTATGTCCTTTTCGATTTTGGCAACGATTTTCAGCTTTTCTTGTGTTGCCTTCTCGGCAGCTTCGGCACGTTTTGCTCTATCCGTCTGCTCTCCGATGCTCTTCTCCGCCTTGGTCAGCCGCTGTTTCAATAGCGTAATCTCTTTCTCGGATTCCAATGCTTTGGCTCGCATTTTCTTGATAGTTGTCAAATGCTTCATCTCGGTTTTGGACAATTTTTGTCCCTCCTCCATCAAAGCTGCAATTTGTTTATCCTTATCCGCCAATTTCTTGTCTGCAGGTGTTGCATCCGAGTCAGACGTAGACTTTGCGGAGGATGCTAATTGTTGCGATAGATATGTGAGCTTAGACTGAAGAGCGTCGATTCTTTCAAGGTGTGAGTGAAGCTCTTCGCGATGATCACGGAGAGTTTCATCGTGCGTCTTCTGAAGTGCAGCAAGTTCTGTTTCGACATCGGCAGAGATGAGTGATGTCTCGGGTTCTGCCGGGGTGGAAACATCGACAGAGGGCCGCGAGGGTATGCTGTCGATCGATGGGCGAGGAGACTCCACTGGAGGAGTAACTATCGAGGGTATAGACATAGTCATGGATGGAACGGCTGTTGAAGTGGGCTGTTCAGTGACAAGCACTGGGGTAGCGGGTGCAGTGATCTTAGAATCTGCCTGCGCAGGCGCTGGAGATTGGCCTCGAGGAACGTCATCTTTTCCATCTTCCGCCTTAGGCACTGGCGCCGCGTCTACAACGGATTCAGAGGCTCTCGAATCAGTACTTGTTCTTCCAGCGCCGGCTGACACTGAAGCACCCCGAACTCTTGGGCTGTCCGGCCTTGAGAGATCGGAGGAGGCCCTGGGACTTTCTGTATTGCTTTTGTTGACTGCTCTTGCTAGTCGATCTTGCAATCGCGAGTTTGGTCGACTGTTCGAAGGATTGCGTGATAGTCCTGGAAGATCAGCTATAACTCCAGACAGTGCATGTTAAACCAGATGGTCGGCCATGCCTAGGTCTACCCACCTTGTTCCTTCTGTACCCTCTCCATCCCCGGTCCTTTGTCCGCAGCGCCTTGCTTTGCAGTTGCCTCATTTGCTCTCGACTTAGCGCTTGCCTGTTCATCTCCTGCAAGTATGGTATCAAGCTGCGATTCCAGGCCTGCGACGGCACCGGAAAGGAATGAGCCCCATCTGTTCCCTTTATTTTGTTGGGCGCTCATGGTGGGGCGATTCGAGAAGGAAACGGGCGTTTGTGTCTAATTGTAGCGCTTGCTATCGATCACCGTACTGTGGTCTTTCGTCTCGGTCCATTCATGGCTCGTGTGCGCAGGATGCCAGGTAAGACTGCTAGAAGCTAGCTTGTGGCTCGAAGCAAGGTGGTGATGGCGGGGAGCGAGAACGTTCTCGATCGTGGTGCTGCTTGCAGACGGAATGGGCCTCTCTTTCGATCTGCAGAACTACTCGTTGGGAATTGAGGCGATCTGACTGTCAGTACATTGGCACAATACTGTGTAAGGCCACTGCGCAAGGTGTTCGGAAGCGTTAGTGTCACTACGTAGGACCCTCAGACGTCGAAACAAACACGACGACGACTGCGGCCCGTGCCCTCGTAATTCCCGACCACCAAATGAATCCTGTGACTATATTTACATTCATTTACCAAAGCTACGGATTGCCTTACAGCTGTGCATTATACCTCGCTTACACAACTTTTGAAAATGCCCATTATTGCTGTTAGTATACCCTTTTCTTTGTGCAAGGTTCATCCTTCATGCGATTAATGATCAATCTCGCTGGCGGGTCGTGTAGCGTACGTCACCAGCTTATACACGACATACTGCTCGGTATATCGTCGTTGGTCAATGGACTTCAAGACGAATGCCCTCTCTTTCGTCACTGAAAACCAGCGCTTCTTTTTTTTGTGAATCATTACTTGACCAGACTTCTCAATACTAACATACCCACAGGCGGTCGGCCAAATATGCAGCACATCATCGATGGCTCATAATCTACGGCAATGCCGGCAACTGATACAAAAGGCTTCTTCCGCAGGAGCAAAAGCTTTGTTCCTACCGGAAGCCTCCGATTATATAGCCTCAAATGCAGCAGCTACTGTATCCTTGTGTGAACCCGTGGAGAAATCGGAATTCGTCATTGGCCTTCAACAGGATGCTCAAACCTATAAACTTCCCATTCACGTAGGCGTCCATGAACCGACAGAGGATGGAAAGAAAGTCAAGAATACTCTTCTATGGATCGATGAGAACGGTAAAATCGCACACAGGTACCAAAAGTTGCATCTTTTCGATGTAGAGATAAAAGATGGACCAATCCTTAAAGAATCCAATTCGGTGGAGAAGGGGAAGCGCATCGAGGACCCTTTCAGTACAGCTCTTGGGAAAGTAGGGTCACTAATATGTTTTGACCTCCGCTTTCCTGAGCCTTCTCTTGCGCTGCGAAATCGTGGTGCGCAGATAATCACATATCCATCAGCATTTACAGTGCCTACTGGAAAGGCACATTGGGAGACTTTACTCAGGGCACGTGCTATCGAGACACAAAGTTATGTGATTGCTGCAGCACAAGTCGGGTTCCATAACGAGGAGAAGACGAGGAGAAGCTATGGGCACAGTATGATTGTTGATCCATGGGGGAAGGTCGTTGCCGAATTGGGTGGTGAAGAGGATGAGAAAGGTAGAGGTCTAGATGTTGGCGAAATCGCTCTAGCTGAACTAGATCTTGACCAGCTTGAGAAGGTGAGAAGAGAGGTGCCTTTGCTGAGGAGGACGGACGTCTATCCCGAGATGTTGTAAAGCCCATGGGCACTGGTGGTCACCCGACCATTCGAAATCATGAAGATTCACTCTCGCCACTAGTAAACCAATAGAAGACGTGTTCAAATCGGCGCCTGGCCATTCAGCATTCATATTGTGGTTGGTGTGGTCAGCCTCTTCAGACTCATACTTCAACGCTCTTAAAAGGCCACTATCCCAGCGCAAACCCGGTCAATGGGTTCGAAAGACACCAAAGCGATTGTCCATTCCACTAGATTGAATCTATTGGGCGATATCAATCCCCAAAACGGTAGAGAGTTTCTCTGAATGACGATTGTGTGGTTGTCTAACAGTGGAGAGCCGTCGAAGAACCAGTGGCCCGGTGACACTAACCAGTCACACAATCGTGGATTGTAGACACCCAGTGACTCAACATATTGATGTCGTGTGTTATATTTAAATATACAAGTCGCTATTGACAATATTACACAACTACGGTACAGCCTTGCAAACAAGGACCGCAAAGCTCTTTTCGACAATATGTTGCAGCAATATGTTGCAGCCTACATCCTCAGCAAGCTCGTAGAGCTTATAAGAGAGCAGGACATGCCGCAGAACTGAAGAGTATTGCACTTTGGGTATCCCACTTCAAGGATATTACACATTCACATCCACTTGCGCTTGTAGCACGCAATCCAGTCAGTCTACAAACCATCACGGTGCTCGGATTGGCCGAAGCTACCAACAAGGTATTCACAGTCAACACCCGACTACAAAGGTGCACGTGCCCGCATCTATATATGTCCAGAAAACGGACAATAACTTGAACACTCTTCCGACTTCACGCATAGTTAAGGCAACACTGAGCGGTCTTTCCAAATCGCATTTCACGCAGACTCGCCGCAAGGACTATTCTGATTCGTTCCTACCCAGCAGCCGAACGAATATAAGAACAAGCAACACCCTCGCCTTACCACCGCAACCCTTCCCTAGGTACATATCAAACGCAAATAAAATTAACAACCAGTCGCCATGACCTCATCACGATCAGGGCTTCTTAATGCTCCAACAGAGATACTCCTGGAGATCATCGAGAATCTACGGTTCGACAAAAAGTCTATCGCAAAGTTGCGATCAGTTCATCCACGCATTCGCAACGTAGTAGACGACTATGAAGTCTCTATTACAACAAAATATATGAAGAGGCAGCTTCCGCATGCCTTGGTGGACTTCCCTGGCGACAAACGCAAGATCGGCTACCGCTGGCTTGCAGAATGCGATTATAACTACGATGTCGTGGACAGTGTCATGGCTGTCCTGACGTGCGAGGAAAACTGCTGGGCAGTCCAGAGGCACAATATGCCACTGGCGAATACAGGACTATTAATCCTGTATCGACTACAATCAATAGGTAAGATCTCATCCACTTCATGATCGCATTGAAGAGAGAACTAACAGTAACATAGAGAAACATGCCGACAAGCTCGCATTCATAAAAAATCTACCGCGGGATCCCCTCATTGCCATGTTCGTGGCAATTCACTACTCGACATTGACCGCCCGGTACCATGGCCACGGGATCATCAATCAAAAAACGTACGGCCGCTTCCTCGATGCCAACCAACTTGAGTTGCGAAACGACGTAGAGTTCTCTTTCGCAGAGGCCGCAATGGATCTGGGTGCTCAGTTCATCGTCGACGCCCTTGAAAACGTCGACTCCTCCGAAACGTAAGTCATCGCCATCCGTGGTTATCATTTTGTTTGGTGAGTCAGTATGCTAACGAGTTTATAGAGCATTGATGGTGTTCTACCACGAACACACAATTCACGACTGGGATCTGGACACAGTCGCACAAGGCGAATTCATGCCTCCAGTCACCCAAGGTCCCTTCAAGAAACCTGGAACAAGGCCTCGATCGCTATACACGACACTTCTTGAGCGCATGGCCGAGTTAACAAAATGTCCACTATCTGATGTCGTGGACAACACGTTGGATGAAGTCGAGAATCCCAATCACGATCTAGCATGGATCGATCTTTACGACAAGGCGAGGCTGATAGCTGGTCTTGATCTCGAGGAGTGAGCGGTGAGGGCGGAGCAGATGATTTATTTATACGCGAAACGACTTTTGATATGACATATGTGGGGAGGTTAAGTTTTGCTTACATTTTTGGCATTTTGCATAGGGGAGCGTAGGTGTTGCTGGTGGGTTACGCAGGAGATGACAAACGTATTCATTTCCTCAGCATTGGGATATCATTGGGATACATGAGGTTCTAGACATATAGATGTCATGTTGGAAATCCCAGTAAACCGTTTGAATAATAGTTGCCGATTCTTTCGGGGAAACTCATGTTTCTTTATTTTATTTTATTTTATTTTGCTCGCACAAATTATGTATTAAAGAGACACGATATCAATCCAAAATACAAACACACTACTACCAAGCAAACAATTACAGTTAATCCAACACCTCATGAGCATCTATATATTAGCATATCAGTATGAAACGAACCAACTCAATACATCACTCTTGCACCGTCACCGTTCTTTACATTCACCATACCACACATCCTCATCTCAGTCCACATGATTACACCCCAACCCCTTCCCACTTTCCTTTCCTTGATTACATTTCAGTATTCACACCTTCCAATGAACGGCATAAAACAGTTGTACGTAAAAATATCATATCATAGACATATCACACCTCCTTTTCGACCACACTTATCGTGAAAAACTTCGTATGTCTAATCCAACGGATAAAGAATGTATAAACAAACAATTACTATCGGTCGCCATCATTACTCCTTGAATTTCTACAGGTCCAACCCTTCTTCAGCATCACAGCAAAGTTTCCGAATTTGTTGTCTCTTTTTGATGTTTTTTTTTCATATTGATATTGTTTGGAGACTGCTTATCATCACTGATTGATACGTGCGTATTGATCTCCGCTACTATAGCACCCTTTCTGTTTACTTTAAATTGTCTATAAAGTGAGTATCATGATGTTTATTTGTATATACCTAGGTATGCCCCCCCCGTGCCACCCATACGCCTAGACCATGACACTGTCTATTCATCTACACGGACCTCAAGGACGAATGAATGGGTAATCACATCTCCTCATATCGAATACCAGCGTGCCTCAAACGAAGCAGGAAAGGGCACCAAAGCACGAGAATGAGCGCTTGAGGCGCGACTACACAAATGGCCTCGTTTCCTTTTTGCTTCCGTAGAAAGGAAAACTATAGGCTGATGAGCAATCAACGGGGAGAATCAAATGGTTTCCTTAGCTGTGGATACATGTTGGCACCGTGTGGGTATTGCATTCTCGCATGAATCCAAGAATTTCCTTCTACATCTTCGTCGTATCCAAGCGTTCTTTTCCTCGTTTATCTTCGTCACCGATGAGTTTCCAAGACTGTGATTTGACGGCAAGAAAAAACGTGGCTTACATGCGTCCACGATTGGGATATGCTTGCTTCGGGAATCGTATCTCTCACTACATATGCATGGAACGATCACTTAGGTGCATTCTACAATGACGCAAGTCGGAAGCAATACCATTCACGGGACATTACCTCGTAGTCGTGATTATACCCTCGACAATTTAATATATTCCGGACTGGAAAGCCACACGTGGGAAGTAGCTCCACGTTCTGGAATATTCGTCATCATAGATACCTTCTTCTTGCGTATATAGTTCCAACCTCGATGCGGGTATTTGTTGATTCCCGTTCCGCTCGCCGGCCAACCACAACGTTCGCCCATTCACCGCAACAAGCAAGCACTTTACATATCAATTCTAGTTTCGGAAAACGTGGGCGAACGATCAACGGGGGAGGGGGGTTCACGGATACAAAAGATCATACACAATGCACATGGCGACGGGTACGCTAGACTTAGGATAGAAGCTTGTGTTGGAAGGTGGTCGGGCATTGAGAGTCCGTATGTACATATGTATGCGATGATGGACAGGGATGGAGGAAGTGTGGGTGTGCGTTTTGTTGTTGGTTGCTCTCCCGAGCGTGACGAATGAACGGTATGTACTCTGTGCGCCGAAGTCAGACACTGGATAATCCGTGTGCACAAACAGACAGACAGACAAAAGCTTTGGTGGTGAGATTGGTGAGGCAATGAGTGTAATTATCGTGCTGCCGTGCGTACGAGCAGAGCGAGGGAAGGTCTGTGAATATTGGGTATGACGATGGTGGTTCCCGAAATAGGGCATTTACATTATCGATTGTTGGCGTGGGTTCGGTGTGAGTTCCAAGCATATACGAGGTGCATTGTGTTTTCAGACTACAGTACTTGTATGGGTTAAACCCCGGAGGGAACCGTACCGAGTTTGCCTCGATCGAGTGATTCAAGATCGGTCATGCTTGCATTGCATTGAGGACGGGTATGGCGCCTTCTGTGGGCGGGGGAGAAAAGTCCACTGGTGGTGCAGAATAATGGGTGGGTGTGTGGCTGACCAGCAGCATCTCCTCTCTCGGTCACCGCAATGGCGTGGGATAGTAAGTTCTAGGATGGAGTTCCAACGTGCACCCATGAAGATTTCGTTACCATGCGGACGCTGTAGTTCGATCTTAAGGGACTGCTCTGTTATCTACTTTGGGAACAACACCGTTTGTTGCGTACAATGTTGGGAATGTGTAGCAAGACGGTCCACGGGTAAGCCTAAGTCTTACCTAGGTGCTGGCTACCTGGGTACTTTCCATACACTGGAGCCTCCAACGCTAGCAGATGCACCGTTGGCGTAGCGGCCTGATACGCATCATCAGACGGAGAAATAGCCTTAGTTTTCTTTCGCAGTTAGCACGTTTCAGATGTTGCGAGGCGAGTTGCTCGCTAGCGCACGACTGTGGAGTGAACCTTTCATGATAAAAATTGTCAGGTACCAAGAACATCCATATTCCCATTGAAGTTCAATTAAGAAATGAGTCGAGTAAGTACGACATAAACGCATGAATGATTTAGAAAAACATTCGATATGTTATAGAGCGGTGCCTGAAACGAATCGAAATGAGTAGTGGCCCTGGCCAATATTGTGTGCAATGCATGAGAAACGCGAAGGAAGCTGGCTGTTTTGCAGTTTAGAAACCGACTCAGGTGTTCGACGGCCAGGCCCACTAAACTTCTCATGCGATGTGTGGCAAGCGAAGCGACCGACGAACGTCGAAGAGGCGATATCATGTGAAATGCTATTTCTGGCTCTCAACCGATGCGTTCGAGAGGACTCGATGGATCTCTGGCATCTGCTATTCTAGCGATAGACCGACCTTCCACCAGCGGGAGCAAGTCCGTTCGCTGGTTACGAGCCCAAGCGGGCGGCGAATGCGTCCGCTTCCCTTCCGAACTGGGGACCAATATTTATTTTGGATGGGGCTATAATGGCCCATGGGTCGACGGCGGGACGCCGTTGCTCGTGGAATCCCATAGAATACACAGCGTAGCATGCTACATGCCTCGTAGATGCCCTTCCAGTCTCTGAACTAAGGTGCCGGTTGTAAATTTCCGCCTACTATTTCTCAAAGTCGATGGATGTACGCTGTACTATCCGTTGTGAGTTATCTGTACCATTTAAGGCGGGGTAACAGGACCCTTTCTCTCTGGTGAATTGCCATCAACCAACCTGCATCAGAACGTTTTAATTTGGTGCAGGCTGGGCAAACAAGCAAGATTGATTAACTCATCCTGAAGAGAGAGGTTGGAGACGAGGGACTTGCCCGTATAGTTAATCAACGTGCATGTCGCACCACAAATACGGCAATCGATAAGGTAATCAGCCGCAATGCCGTCTGCTGCGCATCGACATGCTTTGTGCTAGAGGTGATGGGATTGCACTGGCGGGAGTGTGAATGGGCAACATTGAGCTAGATGCTCCGTACATACAGCCTAGAGATGCGCATTATTGCTGAGGAGCAGCGGTGTGGAAATGTAGGTGGCCATTTGGCGCTATCTAACACCCTATCGAGCTGAGAGCGTGGTGACAGCTGTGAGCGCGCGGCTGGGGCCAGTGGGCGATGCAGTCGTCACATTTTGGTCGACTGCGAACCGCCATTGTGCGAGCGTGACCACGACGTGACGGACTCTTGACGATGACGGCGACAACGATGGGAACAGCTGCGCGTCATCTAATCAACTAGCCAGCGAGCAAAACGACAACTTATTACCCTTGTGTCATTGTGTAGGTACACTTGATAGAGCTCACGGAAGATTGCGACATGCGCGCGAATTCGTTTGAACGAGCGAAAGATTCAGGGTGCGTGCTCTTGTGGCACCTACGAGGAGCAGACTGAGGTGGGCTACCGTCTACGTAGGCAGAAAGTAGGTACGGAGTATTAGTAGATACCTACAGCGTACGCAGGTAGTCTACGCGTGTCACTCTATCCCATACCTACCCCACGAGGGCACGGGCAGACTCGTGGGCGAACAGAGCTGGCCATAGCGGCAGTCAAGACGGTTTGATTGATTCGTGAAGAAGAAGCGGGAAATGACGAAGAACCTTGGGCTCGGTGACATTATGATTAAGAGTTTCATGAGCCAGTGGGCATGGCGTCGCTGGGCACAACAAACACAGGCCCAGTTCGTCATTGTTGTGATATTTGGATCTGCAGCCGCACGGTACGAAATCGTCGATGGCTTTGCAAAATGGAAGAAAAGGGAAGAGAGGATGCAAACAAACGATAGGTATGGATGTGATTGACGACGTCGACGCTCTGGATGATTGAATCGGCTGAAGAGGCGCGAGGAGGCATTATGCATATACGCAGGGTGTGAGCATACGCTGTTGTTCAGCCGATGTGACACGGCAGTATAAAGCGCACGATAGGCTCACTTGGACAACTGAGGTCTGACGATAGATCATAGTGAACTTTATAATATTTGCGAGGTTGAATTGAATGAATCTGTATGGTGTGGTTGATGGACGAGGAAGTGGAAGTATTGTGCGAGTACACAGTACGGAGAACCTTCACAGCGCAGCGTGTTTGTGTATGAGACTTGGAGTTGAGGGTTGCGTTGGGGTCGTTTTAGAGCTAGAACAAGGGGTTGGGTTGGACCAATAGGAACTCTAGACCTGGCCGTAATCTGATTAGCGCGTTTCTTAGTGTCAGGGGTATTCTTTGTACCGCAGGTGGAGTCGAATGAGGATTAGGGGAAGGGAAAAGAGACAAGAGAGATGGAGAGAGAGAGTCAGTCCAGTCAGGCTGTTTGAGCACTTCTTTAGCTGAAGTGACCAATGCTAAGGTGAGAAACATCCTTAACCCCTGATACATTTACGAGTAGAGAGGAGTAGTGTGTCTTGGGTTTCTGTATGGCCTCTCTTATGGTCCGTTGCCCCGTCTCACTCCTCGTAGACTCCATAGCTCGTGCCGTCCAACACTTGCTCTCTATTGGATGATATCCCTATTTCTACCCCCTTGTACGCAGCTGAACCCCTGTTCCCTGTTCCCTTGTCCCCTGCCTCTAACCGTCCCTTGCCCTGCCTTTCCTGCCTTGTCACCCTTGCGCCTTCGCGCGCAACACACAGACACGGACACAGACATAGACACAGACAGGAGAGGAGAGAGTAGGAAGACGAGAGAACGAGGAGAGCAGACCAGTAGGCCGCCTCTGCATCTATTGCATCTGTTACACGACATACTCTCTTTCTCTCTCCCCAGTCTCTCGTTCACACTCACACTCCATACGCTCGCTACCTCAACTCACCTCACTCTCCTCCCTCTCCCTTTCTCCCTCCTACACCTACACGAGAGTGCTTCTATAGCCTCAATTCTACGACATCCCCCATCTCGTCGCCGCCCTGCCAGTTCTCCGCACACCGCTGTGCTGTGCTGCTTCCTCTCCTTAATTCGCAGGCACCTCATACTCGCTGCTACCATCCCCCTTCGCCCTCTTTGACAGAGTGTACCATCGCCCGTCACTCTCGCGACTTTCTCTTCCAAAATCCCTACTACGCCCCAAAACCTCCGACTGTCTCTGTCATCCAGAGTCACTTGTGTGTCGCAGCCACTTCCTTCCCGTAAGCTTTGTCTTCCCTTGGGGTAAGTCTCCTACCGAATCTCTTTCCTCTCCATCAGCTTTGCCGCTAAAACATCGCTGACAGCAGTTGCACCCCATAGACTACTAGGTGTTCACGGACTCCGATGCGACAAGCCCATTCCTTATTCTAACTTCTGTTTCTCATTCATCCATTCGCTTCCTCATCAGTTGCTGGCCTCGACCACGCTCCGCATTCGTTCCATCTTCCCCAAAGAGTTCTCTACCGAGCCACGAGTTCTCGAAACCACACTCTCCACCGTTTGACATCTTCAGACCCGCATTTGAAACATCACGACCCTTGGTTCCGTCATGAGGATTTAGCTCTGAACTTGTCTGGACTGTTTATCATTTACGCTGGATCCCTCGATACATTACCATTCATATACGCACATCTAAGTCTGTAGTACTGCCTACTGGCTCGCCCTCTATAATGGGTGTTCCCGACCCGCTCATTCCCCTGAGCGATCACTGTTCTATCGTTCACGATGGAACCCTCTATGTTTATTCCCCTGGCGGATTTCAATCACTGGAGCTGCGCGAAGGAGCAAAATGGAAGCGAATGCCCATGGATGTATCATTGACGGGCGCGGAATGTGTAAAAGTTGTACCAGGTGGAGACAACAAGGCAGCAAAACTTTATGTCGTGGGAGGATCTGTGAATGAGACGGCCGCAGGATGGGACTATCCAGGATTGATGCACTATTCATTCTCCGACAAGAAGTGGGATTGGGTGCGACCCAAAGACTTCGTTACGCAAAATCGCCGAAACCACGCGGCTACTTACCTGCCCAAGACAAATCAGCTCGTTGTATATTCTGGATCACAGACCACTGGAGACCTCGGCCCATCTTCTCAAACATTCCTCATCTCGCTCGACGCTCCCTACGGCGTGGAGAGCCGACCTTCGAACGACGCCCCTCCCTCAGTAAAACCTATCCTATTGCCATGGAGCGAGGACACTGCCGTAATGGTTGGAGGAGGTGCCACGAACCAGGCTATCTTCCTGTACGGCCCGGATGGTTGGGCCAACCTTGGTGTCTCACTAACAGAACCCATCGTCAACCAAAATGTAGTGCAATGCACGTTGGTGTCAGGAGACGATGGAAGCAAGGTGTTGGAGAAGTTCGATATGAGCAAGACACCAAACGAAGTGAGCCGCATTGCACTTCTAGAAGCAGGGGGAAAGGTTGCCCCTCCGGGAAAGACGGTTGGTGCGCCGAAGAACAAGCGCCTTACAATCAGCGATTGGCCCACATACAACAGCACGTATGCACCTGAGGTCCCTCGATCTGGCTTCTCGGTCGCTCAGGGAAGTGATGGTTTAGCTGTCATCTCTGGCGGGAGCGAGGAGGACCCTCTCTGCATCTTCGACCAGACATCGAACGCATGGGTCAATGCGACACGTCTGTTCGAAGGAGAGCAAGTGGTGCTAAAATCAACACCTTCCTCAACAATAGCCTCTTCAACACCCGCCCCTACGACTTCTGCTACGCCTACAGCGTCCGCAACTCAGGTGCCTGTTGTCCCCGCCGCACCAACCAACAAGAACAGAATGCTTACTGTGTTGGGAGCGACGCTCGGAGCCATCTTCGGTATCGCTGCCATTCTGATTCTACTTCTCTTTTGCCTCAAATACAGGAAGGCTAAGAACAAGAAGAAGGCACAGCAAAGCGGCTACATTGAGAAGGACCGACTCAGCTTTGCTGATCGCGGTGCAGAGTTCATGCATGAGGCTGGTGGTTCCGTTGGGCATAACTATTCTTCCTCCATGAACGTTTCTCAGACCTCACTGGCAATCGTCAGTGGCCAATCAGGAGGCCAACACAAACGCGGCCTAGGAAGCGACGCCAGCACGGCGGGCTTGGTGATGAAGAAGAGCCCACTTGGCTACTCGGAACCTGTGGAACTTGCCAAGTTCGATCTGAAGCCTGAACAATTGGTCGTCGCGGACGAGAAGTTGGTCAGGCAGAATTCGGGTCGTGTACAGCACAGCACCGCAAACATCAGCCGCAGCCGCAGTTCTGGCTGGAGCAAGTACTTCGCCAACAATGAAGCCACCAACCTTGCACACATGCCATCTGGACGCTCGACGTATGCTTCTGAACGTACCAGCACTGGTAGTCAATCCATGTATACCGACTCTCGCATCTACAACCACCCCTCACAAGCTATCAAGCCGCTTGAGATTCCTAAATTCGATGGCCAGCGCCTCAGTAAGGTACAAACGGGAAGCCCGACATTGGGTAATTCGAGGGAAAACCTGCCGATCCATCAGCCAATGCAGGCTGAGCTTGGAAGGGCTAACTCGAACGGTAGTTCCCGTTCTGGTCATACCCACGACGACTATTATGCGAGGGATCCAGTGAAGAGCTGGACGCCTGTGGGCGATGACGAGAGACCTCCTAGCAGTAACTACACCAATAGTATGGTCATCGAGCCTAATGCTGGTCGCAACAACGCTGGCGACGGCCAAAGCTCTTACTACGCCGACGGAACGAGCTCGTTCTATCCCAAGAGTAACTACAGTTCCTTCTACCCAGGCCAGCCCATGCTTGGTCTCAATCTCCCCGAAGATCGCGATAGCACGTTCACTATGTTCCCTGGTGCCGCGGGTATGCAAGACAAGGCTCAGCAAAGCCAGCCTTTCTACCCAGAACCCCCCCGATTCCCTGGCCAAGGAGGACCAGAAGGCCGTGAGAGCACTGTAACGGTCTTCCCTGGTGGTCCAGGTGGCCCTCAAGAGGCTGCCCCAGCGCAGAACAAAGAGTCTTTCTTCGCTGAACGTCCTCCACCGAGAATCCCTGGCTTCGGTGCCCCCGAAGGTCGCGAGAGTACTGTCACCGTCTTCCCCCATGGCGGAGAGAACCAGGACACCCGTGGTCAGACCGACATGTCATGGCTGAACCTTGGTGCCGGCAAGTGAATGCCCACAGGCCATGGGTAACCTCATCTGCATCATACGACAACTTCCACCATCCTTCTCGAAACCGGATTCAATCTCTCCCTACGATACATTTCCCACGGATTTGTTTTCACCAAGTGATTTCAAAACGGGTGTTGGCATGTCATTCCCCACCCGAAAAGCGCTTTTCCTCCTGATCATTGTCATCTCGATCTACATTCTGTTCAGTGCATGCATAGCCAGCGCCGGGCAATCGATTTCTCTCTCCATATTCTCTGTTTCAATTCTGGGATAATCAGGGCTCCCGCCCTCCTACCTACCGCTCTCTTTTCACTCGCAACACAGCCTCTTCTGTGTCTGGCACATACATAATTGAAGCTCACCGCTTCGCGACCGGTCGCTACAGATACCCGACGCCGCCACGCTCCTGCCAGCGTCAAACCATACCCCTCCCGCCGTCTGTATATACTCCTAGACCCGCAGCGCACTCTGTTCACGGCCAGATGGCGCTCCTCTCTCTCTATATTTTCATTTCTTGTCTCTCATTATTCTGACGTTACACCCTTTCATTTATCATTCTCTTGATGTTTTGTATCTTCCTAAACCATATTTGCATCATCCACCACTTTCTTGTTTATTCACTCCTCTTGTGTGTATATGGGCAGCATCATCATCATCCTCTCCTTCATCTCCAATGGCGCACACTCTTCCAGCATAGGAAGGAAGTAAAGGAAAGAAATATCTCTATTTTGTAGCTAATCCGAGCTTAATTGCCTTCGATAACGAGGCAAAACCTGGCGGCGAGCATAGTCACGCCTCTTGTTTCCCTCCCCAGTTGTTGATAGCAAGGGGGGGGAGGAAAGGGCGTTGGACATATTGAATAGTAATGAGAGAAGATAATTTAAAAAAACAACACCCAAACAACTCGTCTGTCTTGTGCGCTGTGTGATATGTGATTGTTAAATTGAGGTGATTCGACTTGCTATGAATGTACCAACATCGGTCATGTCGAATGCTACTCTATGCTTACCCCGTACGTATATACCTCAACCCTAATGACCCCTTCCTCCCTCTATGTATACGAAGGACAAAAAAGCTGCATGAAGCGAACACCCCCTTCCCTCTCTGCGTCAATCACCTACGTACTTTTATCTAGTACGTAGCCGCATTCACGCCAACCCTCCCACCATCAGACAACTGCACGACGCCATTGATGTACGCGCCCGACTTGCCCACGAGGAACAGCGCCAGCGCCGCGATGTCGTTCGCGTTGCCCTGTCTGCCCTGCGGCAGCTCGTCTGTGCCGTACTGCTTGTTCGCGCCCTGCTGGTTCATTTCTGAGGGGTAGGGGCCCTGGATTGATTCTTGTTAGCGTTGCTTGTGGCGTTGTAAAGATTGAGTGTGAGGGGGTTGAGAAGGGGGAAGGGGGAAGGGGGTAGGGGGTAGGGGGTAATTGAGAGTGACTAACTGGTGCGATGACGTTGCTTCTGATGCCCCATTGTGCGAGGTGGGTGCTCAGGATCTTGCCGACTTGTACGGCGGCTGACTTGGTTGCGTTGTATGCTAATCCTGAAGCCGAGAAGCGCCTGTGGGGGTGAATTAGAAGATTGGGGATAGATAGACAGATGGACGGATGGGTGACTATCGTACATGAAGCTCGCAACACTGGCAACGCTGATGACATGGCTGAGACGGTCGTCATCCTCATCCAGACCGAGTTCCTTCAACTTGGACCTGTCCTGCTTCCTCGCGACGCCAGCTCCCGTGACCTTCCCGGGCGCGAATCCGCGGCGCGTGTTCGCGGCCTCAAGGAGCGGGAGGAAAGCAGCAGTGACGCCGACGAGGGACTGCGTGTTGACGGCGAACGTAGTGCCCCACTCGTCGTAGCCGTCCAGGAAGGCGGCCTGGAGCTGCTCGATCGAGTCTGCCTGGTTGATGGCGGCGGCGTTCTTGGGGCCGATGACGCCTGCGTTGTTGAGCAGAACGTCGACGAATCCAACTTCCTTTTTTATCTGTGCCGCGGCTGCGGATACAGAGTCCTGGTTTGCTACGTCTGCTTGGATTGCGGTGAGTTTTGAGGCGGCGTCCTCGGGTGCTGAGGGGGAGCTCTGTAGTGTATTGATGGCATCGTCCAGGACGTTCTTGCGGCGGCCCAGGAGGTAGATCTTCGAGGCTCCATTTTGTAGCAATGCTGCGGCAATGGCTATTCCAAGTCCTGCAGATTTCAATTCAGCTGGTGTCGTTCATGCATGTTGTTTCATAGTTTCGTGATGGTGGTGGTTGTTATCAATACATAAGGGAACCGATGTGAGGGGCATTGGTGGGGTAGCTTTTGAAGTCGAATCAATGACAATGCTAAGGACGTTGTGGTACATACCGCTTCCGCCGCCGGTTATCACGACTACGAGCCCCTTGGCACTGAAGAGGCTGCTGGGGTTGAATGGGCCGTCGATATTCATGTTTTCGTCCTTGTTGTTGTTCTACAACGTTGTTTCTGGCATGGCCATTAGAAGATCGTATTTACTAAACACGCAAACCGTAAGTGGATGTCGTCATTGTAGACCTCGGAAACATTTCCGTTCGACTTTTCGGTATATAAATTTCAACTGGTCTTCTGTCTTGAGTTATTGGAAGGCATAGTGGACGATGTAATTTCTTGAATTTCTTTTTGTCTTGATTGGTCTCTGTCGCAGAATTTGCGTGTATAGCTAGACGTGACTTTTTATCAGACGTACAACGGTGATGGGTATCTCCCCTTATCCCAAATAAACGCCATAACACCCGGGCAATGCTGAACGATTTCTCGTCCATTTAACCTAATTGGTTACTGCCGATAATTTTCAGACCCTGACTCTCCGCCGAATATGCCAGCACGTAGCGGTATGGATGCCAGGCAACCTGGCTCGCAGATTTGGTAAGGTCCTGAGTATGGACGATCTCTCCGGTTTCTACATGTGCAATCTGCATTTTCTTCTCGTCATCGGCGCCTGCAACAACATAGCTGCCGTCGAAAGAAAAGTCGACACTTTTGACTGGGTTCTCGACTAAGTTGAGTGTCCGGACGCAGATCCATTCCTGGGTATCCCAGAGCGACACGAGCGCGTCGGAACCACCAACTGCTAGTGTTTCGCCACTTGGCGACATAGATAATGCGTAGCACAATGAAGTGTGCCCAGTCAGGGTTATGGGATTTTCGAAGGATGGGTATCGAAGAACCTTGACGCGCCCATCGCCATTGGTCAGGAAAAGGTGTTTACCCGACCAGTCGAACACAGAATGGTTCGTAACTATGGGCTGTTGATGTTCGGAAATGGGAGTTAGGGTGGAGCGGTCGAGTTGGATGAGTCTGTTGTCCTATTCAAATCATTAGCATAACGCTGAGCCTGTCGCTGAACTTGCGAGTACTACCTTTGTGCCCACTACTATCTCTTCACCATCCGGCCTCCACGTTATTGTGAAAGGTTCGCCGTTAACTTTGTATTCGCCCACACTAGCTTTCGACCTCACATCCCAAAAACGTATAGCTCCGTCGGCCGAACAGCTCGCCAGCTCGTTGTCATTGATGGGATGGAATTGGACGCGCTCGACGGGGCCTCCAAGGCCCTTCAACTCGGTTGAATGCCTGACATTGGGCTTGTCGGGGTTCCAAATTCGAAGTGTACGATCGGCTGCTCCAGTCGCAATGAACGTACCGCTCGCATTCCACGATAGAGTGCGAATAAAGTGCATGGCTGGGACAACTGCGCCCGGTCGGAGAGTATCCGTGTAGGTCAATGTTTTGAGTTTGGAGAAATGCGGCGAAAAAGACGCCTTTGGTAGCGATCGCCCTCGAGCCGGTGGTGCCATTTTCGAATGTTCTGTTTCTTGCGATCTCGCGGTGATCGCAGGAAGGTGTCTTTGTTGCGATAGCTTCGAACCGAATTGACTGTGCCAAGAGACAGGGATGGGCCAGACACGCCATCACGTGCGAGGACTACGCCGCCATCCACATTATTGATTCGCAACTTTTTCAATGATATATGAAGACAAGACTTGAGAACCTGAAAGAGTCTTTGAAAAACCTTTAAATTATATTACAATAATGCCATTTCCTCACATATGGAATGAAGTGATAGAAGCGAACAAAGACAGACGCAGTGCCCGAAATGGACTCAAGGCGTTCTATTCATGAGCCAGAATGTTTTATGCGGATCTAGTGCTTTGATGCGGTGTTTTAAGAACGTGTTTGATCGTGATTTATTCGACTCGGACATCGCTCCGAAGCAATGATTCCGAGATCACTGTACGTCGATTGTGCATTCTTTCTCACACCCATTCTTGATGGTACTGTTCTCGCATTGTTTCCGTTGGAGGATTCTGATAGTCAGGCATTGGGTTTGACTGAGAAGTATACATGTATCAAGGCAACTCTGTGTCGTCCTTGACACTTTGGCTTCATCGAGGACCATATCATGCCCTTTGGTGTTGGCAGTTGAACCTTTAAGCGTTCTGCTTTTGGAATCTTCCGTGTCCAGTGCGTGTAGGGCAAGCCTGAAAAGCGCGTCGTCTTGTTGAGTGCCATTGGATCGCATGACTCTAACACCACTGGAGGTCGATCGAACCGGGCTGGACTTTTGACCTGCAGGATGTTGTCGAGAGTGGTCGCCGATATGTATTCGTGTACATGGTTGCGGCCCGCCTATATGCTTCGAGTTGCAAGCTTTTCCTGCGATGGCATTTGCCGCTTTGGTGATGCCACGAATGCTATTGTCTGCTTCATTAATTGAGGGGCGGGTCCCATATCTTGAGATAACCACGGAAGACACGAATATAGCCAGATGAAATAGTGTGAATACCCTCATTGTGATAAAAGAGAAGACGTTGCGCGTTCAGAGAGACGGTGGTTAGTATGAAGGATCTATACTTGTGCCAAGTTGTTATGGGTAATGTTGGGAGCTTCCAATATATCAATCCATGGTACTGATTCAAGTTTCTCGGGATTGGAGCCTAATTGACCCTACAGTATCTTGTTGACATCCCCATAATGTATGTCTAAGAACCTGGTAAGTGGAAACAATTGACAAGATCTGAGGAAGTCACAATCAGCTATGGTGCGTGGAGTGTAGGTCATAGGTTGAACATCTTTCACTTCTATGGGATAATGGTTTGTTCGATAAGCATTCAAGAAGTCCATAGACAACAACCCTAGAGAATTGATGATGATGATGATAGGATGAAATCCGATAGGGCCCGTTGTTCATGCACGTCATGCCGCAAGGGTGGTGTGAGCTACTGTAGCGCACAGGCCATCTGAACCCTGACAGCCAGCTTTATTTCGAGCTCACCTTATCGTCTTTCGTAGAAAATCCTCGTTTATACAACACTTGTCTGCCATTAAATGATTGTTAGGTGCCAAATCCTTTTAGGAAACCCTTGACATACCTCTAAGATACAAATCTACCATCATGAGTGCTTATGGAGGCCCTGGCGGTGGTCAAAAGATCTCTAAACCAATACCGTAGGTTCCACATCCAAGAATCGCATCCCCATCCCTCGCAGTGCACGATCCCTATAGCCGCGCTGTTGCTTATTTGTACTTCATTGCAATTCCCTAAATGAAAGAACTTGAGCTGATTACTCCCTTACTTAGGCCTGAACGCGGCTCCTTTCCACTCGATCATGACGGTCAGTCTTCCGTGCACTGCGCTTGTCCGCATTGAAACGCCGTTCCATCGGTGCCAACCGTTCCCTACCTGGCTAACACTCCATTCCAGGCGAATGCAAGCACATAATGTTATCCTATCTCCAATGTATACGCTCGCATCGTGGAAGCAACGATCCGGAATGCCGGAATCTCTCGAAATCATACCTTTCCTGCCGCATGGACCGGTACGTACCTCGGATTTCCTTCTTTTCAGAGCCATGGGATATACAATCTGGGCAATCCGGCCGCCGCTACCCTCGTATGTGACGCTTGAGGTCTATCGCTCAAGCAAGGGAGAAGTCTTGTGACACCAGTCTGTCAAAGCAGCATGGACCGGGTTCGCGGGTCGCTTTTGGACAATTGAAGGGTGGGGGATCCTCACCCTCAAGCAAGGGAGAAGATCCTGCACCCTTTCATTCCTGCCATCTTGTCAAGATCTGAAACGGAGCGCCCAGATGCATCTGTCGACACTGTCAGATCGACGTCAAGTCTTCCCCATTCGTCGAGACGAACCTCCGATGTCGTCGAGAGTGCCTCCCGCCTCCACATATCTCAGCGCCTACGACATATTCTGCCACTCCACTTCTTCTGTCACACTACGTCGGCAGCATCCGAGCGGACTATTGAATTTGGACAACCCCTCCAAAATAACCCAGTTGGACTGAGCTTTTTTACTGACTAAATGCGGCGATAGGAACCTCATGGCCCATGACTCATTCAAGAATTTGGGCTTTGGCGACGGCGCCGATGGCGACGCAGCTATCCCCTCGCCAGCACTCAACTCTGCAACTGCAACCTCAACGCAAGCGCAACCACCAATCCAGCCTCACGATAAGCCCTCCAAGTCCTAAGTTGACAGCACCCCCCAGCGTATCATTGGAATGCAGGGTCTGTCAGGGTCTTGAGGTCCTGGTCACTGGTTCGGGTGCTGCCGAGCAACCGAACATCTACCGTGCCCTGCCAACTCTCCACATACATCGGATTTATCACCGCGGGCAGCGCGTTCCTTTGCACTAACCGGCAAATCTGCGTTCCGCGAAAGGGGGGGTGGGGAAGGGGGAAGGGGTTTCGGAAAAGGCAATCAGATGGGGCTGCAGATTTGACAGGTTACATTGCATGAAGCAGTGCTGTGGTGTTCTAAGGCGTCTCAAGTTGAGACAAGCACGGGTAGAGCGAGCGAGAGAGCGAGAGACAAAGAATGGAAAATCGAAGGGTTGCCCGCTTTGGAAACAAAAGGAAAAGAGGGATAGCTGCACCGAGTGACAAATAGGGAAGAGACAGCCTGCAGTTGACAGGTTGACAAGACGCAGGCATCCTTTGCGGGTTACACTTGCGCCACACCCAGTGCATCCCAAGGCGGCAGCAGTGCGAGATCAATGGTCGAAGGGGGTGAGCCACAGCGTCGGGGCGCCAACCACACAACACCTCCGCTTTCTGGTCGTACTACATCAAGAATTGAGGGAATGACAAATCTTTCTCAGTGCCTACTGAAAACTATTGTACCTTATGCCTCGAATCCATCCTGTTGCATGCCACCCCCAGCCCATCCAGTCTATACTGAGCGAAAACCAGGGACACTTACCTCTCTCTCTCAACAGAGACTGACTGACTGGCTGAATGACTCGTACCGTTTCTCCCCCGTGCACAAAAGCAAACCATCGTTCAAAGTTTTCCTATCCTACATTGGGCAATAGATCGACCGATCGCAACGACACTCAAGTGTAACCGTGTTGCTCAACCCAAACACTTGACGCCATTACCCACTACCCACTAACCCACTAACACCACCAGCCGAACCACTCAAATCGTCATCAAGAGATCAATCCGTTCCCAACAGCAGCAGCGCCCGGCCGAGAGAAGGAAGCACGAAATGGAGGTGCTGAAACGACGGGTCGAAGATATGGGAAACCAAACCCCGCACCATGGGGAGAACGGTGAACATGATGGACGGGTGGATGGTATTGTAGGGGTTTCACTGGATTGACGATGTAGTATGTAGGTAGTAGATAGAAGGCCAGGGTTTACTGGTAGGGTTGCGCGAGGAGGAACTGAATGATGGCGTAGGGTTTGGTTGAGCAGTGAACATACTACTCGTTCGATTTTCGTCGTCGAGGAGGAGCCGCCTCGTGAAGTGCAATTCGTTCATGTCTGTACGGAGTAGAGAGACGCAGACAGGCAGACAGCGTCAACTCTCCCCTCCACCTCCATCTACCTAACTTACCAAAAGTTTGCTCCTCCCCATCCCCATCCCCATCCCCTCTCACCGTGTGACCTCCCCACCACCGCCGCCCGCCTCCCAACATCTGCAGTGCCTCCATCAGAGACACCAACACCGACACTGAACAATCGTCCTCTGCATATGTACACCTCTTGTGCGTAAGAACGTTCTATAACACACATCTACTATACTCCACTGCCACTGCCACCAACTATCCACCCACACTACAGCCTCCCTCCGTCCCCCATCCCCCCAAAGTGACATTTCGTTCAAGGCAACTTCTTCCCTCCCCCATCCTTCCCCTCCCCCTACACTTTCCAACCGTATGTTCATACGTACATGTCTCAGCTCGTGCTCGCGCCCATGCACGCGCGGTTTTCCTTCCCCTCTACCGAGAGCCACAGGTCGGCAGGCGGGAAACCTACGACGCATGTCTCACTCGTCGTAGTCCTTCTTTCCTTCCTTTCCCACTGCCTAAACTGGCTCTCGGGGGAGGAGACACCCTGTCTGTCTCGGCAGCGCAGCCTTGATGTACGGCTGGTTTGTAGACATGCAAGTATGCGTCTTTCCGTCGAGCATTCTCCCTCCCCCTCGCCAAGGCCCGACGGAAGAGGAGAGGAGGGGGTTGTAACGAAACGAACGTCATTGTATCTTGTAGTTTGCTACGTAGCCCTCCTGTCCGTACCCTTGACGAGGCACATGCGCGGGAGGGAAAGTGGGAAGTGGGAGACCGAAGAGAAGAAGGCAGTGAGACACGGTGTCCCCAGGCTTTTTGCTTTTTCATGCGGCATCCCGTTGATGGTGTGCTTGTGCTTGTGCTGTCGGTCGGTCGGTCGTGCGTGCGTGGGCGGGGTTGAGTTGCTGCTTTTGATTTATGGTGAGATGTGTAGGCGTCTACGTCTACGTCTAAATCTACTGGGAAATACGGTGGTGAGTGACTTGACTGGTGTGTGTGGGTACTGCCTCAGCGGCAGACGGGCCGGGCGTGTGAAGGCAGGACAAGGCTGGGTAAGGTGAGGCTTTCAAGATAGCATCCGCGGATGGCATGTTTTTGAAATGACCACCGCAGATGAGCGAACAGCGTGCGTGGGGTCTGTGGAGTCGTCATATGCTAAGGAAACTTGACTCTGTGTCTCTCTCTTTCCCTTCTTCCCCATTATGCTCGGCCGTTCATGCAATCGTTCCCAACTTTCCTAGGATACACTGATAGATTGCCGGCTGTGAACTGCACCTGAGGCAAAAAGTAACCCACGCAAAAGAGGCAAAGGAGACGGAAAAGGTGATGCGTACTACTCACAGCCTACCTATCCTCCCCTCCTGGTTCTCTCGTTCTGTTACGAATCCCCATAGATACCACCCATGTACACAGCTTCTTACCAAGCAGACAGACAGACTCCCCTCCCCAACAAAAAAAGCAAACGTAGCGTACAGACGCACACCCTCTCTCCCTACCCATGCTTCCTCCCCATTCTCCCAGCAGAGGGACGTCCACAAGCCATGCACCGACGTCCCCCTGGCTACCTAGGAACGCTCCCATCCCTTCTCTCCTGCCCATTCCTGTACGGCTGTGCTGAAACTGCACTTCCACTTGCACTTTCACATCAGAAATGTGCACCTTTTGGCATTCATCCTTTCTTCACTTATTCTTCCTGTGTGCATACATACATGCATACGTACATAATCCAACAGTGAGGCGGACAAAAGCCGCACAGGGAAGGACGTTCAGAAGCACCCACTCACTGTAGCCTGCGCTCACCCACTCACCCACTCATTGCGAAGCAAAAAGGGACAAAAAGGCAAACTGAGTGTTGGATGTACCGGACTGGGCTGGCTAGGCACCACCGCCCTTGACAAATTCACATAACCAGTCAGTCCTGAGGCTGCCATTTCGTGACTACGAGGGTGTTCTGCTTCCTTCCTTCCAGGCAGCGAATAGCAGGCGAGTAAATAGCACGTCAAGAAGGTAGCAGGCAACACAGTGTTCAATGCAGATCGAGGTCATGGCATGTTTGGAAATTGTATAGCATTGTTCCTTTGGCAGACGTACGAGAATTATAAGGAACTGTGTGTGTGATAGATGGAAAAACCCTGACCCCTAAACCCGAAATCCGGTGAAAACCAAACCAAAACAAAGGGGTGGGGAAAGACAATAGTAGCAAAAGCACATAGAACATGAGATTCCATAACCATAATTCAAATAGAGATCCTTCGGAACAGTGACCCACACAATGCGCCGTGTATATGAGATCAGGAATCCGGTCCTTATCCGAGTATGCACGGTGCTTCGTAGATTGCCACTGCAAGCGCCTGGTATGACCACGATTTCCATTGGAAAAGGTTGGTCAGCACAAATGAAGAAGTGGAGAGGTAAATGCAAGTATCGGAGAGTACAAGAATGCCATGAACCGAGAAATAGGCGCGCAACAATGAGAGAATGAAAAACCTATATCGCGTTGACCGAAAAATTCATGTATAAAGAGATATAGCTAGTGGGTGAAAATAAAGGAACTCCAGACCTTGCCGGCGGTAACACGGCTAGGGATATGCTTGCTGCTTACTCCAAACGACGCCGAAGTTGATGAAATGGTGTAAGACGTGATAGATTATGTAACGAGATGGGTATGAAGACGCAAAAGTTCGCGCATAGACCGTCGTGTGCCAGCAAGGACGGTACGTCATGGACCTCCAGCCGAGGCTGGTGAAATGGAGCGTGCGGTCCAAGGACGAATGAGACGGCGTTGTGCCCTATCATCATTCCAGCGATGCGGAGCAAGAGGCCTTTGGCGTGCAAAGGGCATGGTCTATTGGTTTGCCGTGTGCAGGATCTGGGTGGGGTATCGCTGTAGGGTATCAGGGGAAGAATCGCAGGTGGAAATGACAACAATGAGAGTCGCTTCTGTGTGTGTATGTGCTGACAGAGCCTTGCACGTCTAACAGTGAGCATGGTATGGGACGATCAGCCCATGTCCATGCCATACTCGTCTTCCTCTTTCAAGCTGAAATTGCCGTTGGAATTACCGCCTTGCGGGCTCATCCAGTATTGCTGGTTGTTATTGTTGCTTGCGGAGTTCGATCCACTGCCGGTGCTCTGCATGCCAGGGCTCAGACTTTGTGGTGAGATCTGGTTGAGAGGCTCCCCAGCAAGGTTGGTGTGTTTGGGTACTCGCAAGCCAGAGCCTGGCCCACGTGAGTACTTGAAGTTGCCCGCACCGTTCCTTTCTACGGCTTCGACCAGCTCAGTTCGCATTCGTCGCTCCTCCTCAGTCTCTTCGGAGTTCCATTCCTCGCCCGTAGCCTGTTGAAGGCGTGCACTCAGCTCGTCAACCTCATTGAGCTTCTTGTACAGCATCCACATGAGATCACGGGTCCAGCTGACAGCGCCATTCAGGATGTCACCCTTGTTAGGGCCCTTGTCTTTGTCCTCGATTGGGAGGCCTGTTGTTATGGCACCGGCAGCTCGTCGGCCACCGCCAGCAAGCAGTGACGTGGCTTGTGGAGGTGACATGCCAGTCGCACCCAACGTAGGAGATAGAGGACCGTTGTTGTTGATGTGCTTTCGGATCTTCTCATCTTCAAGTCGATGCTGGGGGACAAGACGAGACAGATCATGGATGCGCTCGTTTATATTGTCTCTCCTGCGGCGTTCGACAAGGTTATGTGACTCGCGTCGACGACGCTTCTTTGCATCCTGCGTCTGTCCAATGTCAACCTTGGTAGGGAGAGATGCGTGCTTTCCAGAGTGCATGACCTCTGAGATCTGCTGGTGATGATGCAAGGCAGCATTGTGCGGCGACTGCGTGGGTGAATCGATCCACGAATGGGCACTACCAGGCGTGTTGTCCCACTGGCTGGATGCACTCTTCTGGTGTCGATGCATGTTGGTCATGATAGGTTGAGATGCGAAGTTACCCGAATCAGGGGTACCCAGATGGAGACCTCCTACTCCTAGAGAAGGAGTCTTAGGAGACATTGGGCTGCGATTGTCTGATCCGTTCCGGCTCATAGGGGCGGGCATCTGCTGGCGACCTAGCCTGCCAGCCATGGAGGCAGGGAAGGCCATCCGCTGCGGCGTAGATTGATATTGAGAGAAATCGAAGGCTTGAGGTTGAGTGAATGGGCTCTGGATGGGAAGATCATCGGGTGTGTTGGAATAGATCTGCATACTGGGGTTCCCGGATGCCTGGCCATTCGTATGGCCTTGGAAGAACCCATCCTGGTCTTGACCGAAGCCATTGAAGCCGGACTGATGGTCAAGATTGCCTAATGAGTCGGCAAGTTCGTCGTCGGCAATACCAGCACCTCCCGGAATGTAGCTAGTAGAGCCACCGAATTGACCGTTCATGTTGAAGCTACCGGTCATGGTGAGGTCAGAAGGGTTGATGCCACCCACATTATCGTGGGCGCCGAATTGTTGGTTGTTGAACTGTTGGTTCATGTCGAACCCGTTGTGAGACATAAAGCGGTTTGGGTTATTGAAATGCAGGTCTTCAGTCTCTTCTTTGATGAATGGTGTTGGAGAGCCAGTACCGGCCATGCTGTTACTGAAGAAATTATCGTCTAGGATATCGTCAGAATCGAATCGAGGATCCAATCTCGAGAGGGTCTTCTGTGGGGAGTAGGAGGAAGGAGGGGTGAAAAGGGGGTCCGCTTGAGGGACAGTCAGTATGCTTTCAAGCAACATGAGGAAACGAGTGAAGGGGTAGTCGATGGAAGGGTTATGGGCAATAAGTGAAGGGTCGAGATGTGATGGTTAGATATATACAATTGGGGGTGGGGTTCAGGAAGGGCAGACCGATAAGGACGACCCGGTCTGAGCCGAAGACAATTCTGCCTCCACCAAGAGGTAGTATCACAAGTAGCGGTAGCCCCATGACGGGAGCTGGGGATGTGACGAGAGGCGTACTTACTGGCTGCTGGCATCACTGTTGCAGTGACCCCGGAATGTGGATAGGTGAGCCCGAGGCCCGATGCTGGTCCCGGGTCTCAAGGATCTGAAACAATCTCTCTTCGACCCAACCGAGTGATCAAGGAATGTACACTCGCTGGCTTGCAGGTCGAGTGCAGCACGAGATGGGTTGTGACCCTCTGAAAGCCTTGAAAAACGATTGCTCGACTTCTGTCTCTGGGAAACACAAGAACAATTCGAGCAAGCTAGGCGTGCTCGTCTAATGGTTCTGTTAAATTAGGCAGAGCACTGTTCTCTCGAGGGGATTTAGAAAGTTTGTTCTGGAAGACAAGCATTAAGACCGCGGTTCTACAGTCGATATGGGGAATGTTTAAGCTCACCTAGGCGTAGGCTGTGGGGTGTATTGTATGTCTTTGGAAAGCCTTCAAGGGTGTGTAGTTCCCAGGCGGGTGGGAAGTGACAAGAGGGTTGATAAGCGGAGTGAAACAGCGAGAAGTAGGGGGGCAGTTTGCTCGTGGCTGTGTCTCTATTAAGATGTCAGCGGCAGCTATCCACCAAGAGTTGTTGAGCGGCTGCAGGCGAGTTGCATAGGCAGTGGCGCAAAGGAATAGTAACGAGTACGGCGGAGGGCTGCCGCCCTGCACTGTAGTGGATCCTGTGTAACGGGAACCAAAAGCAGAGAAACAGTTGGGATCTTGCCGGTAACACAGTAGAGGAGGATCCGCTTGGGATATTGTGCTACAGCTTGACGGTGGGCGGCGAGCACACCCTGTTGCGAAAGTGCAGCAGCAGCAGTAGCAGCAATTTTTCCCCAACTTCGCCAGAGACCCAGCAGAAGGGATAGAAGGGCAAATAGTCCTTTGGTGAGTCTCCCTCTGATCACGTCCACATGCGCTTAAAGGGCAATGGGGTTGTTGCGCAAGTACGGAGTAGGTGGAAGGAGGTATGAAAGGAAAGTGCGGATGGCTGACTCACTCACCTTAACACAGACAAAAAGACGCAGGCCGACAGGCAATTACGACCAATTAGGGATATCGCTGGCGAGCGCAAACAAAGCGTAGTAAGATTCAAAAGTGAATTGGAGACCTGCGGTAGTATGGTGGAATATATTGCTGGTATGGCTGCGCGCGGTGGGTGGTGGAGGAAGGGAGGTGTGGGCAGCAAACGCAGGCGGTGGAGGACGAGGCAAGTCGGGGGAGAGGCGCGGAAGTGTGGCTCGGCTTGGCTTGTTCGATTCTGAGAGAAGTGGATTGGAAGAAGCACCTAGGACAGGACAGGATCCTCGGAATCTGAAGACAGATAGGAGGAGGACGTAGAGGAAGAGGAGGACAGAAGCCTGTGGTCGATCAAAAGGTAGATTGATTGTATTTCGGTTGGACAGCGGGGTAGGTGGTGGGCGTTGACTCTGGAAAGAGGGTTGTGTGCGACGTGGGTTAGAATGCGGTAAGGTATGGTATGTATCGTATCGTATGGAGGGAGAGAGGGAGGGAGGGAGAGTGGAGAGTGGAGAGAGAGTACGAGGTAGACGGATATAGGGATGAATGTGCGTGTGTTAAGTGTGTAAGAGAGTGTGTGTAGTGTGTGGTGTACACTGTAACTAACTACAATGTACGAAGTACACTACACTACTAATGTCGGTGGTGGTGGTGGTGGTGGTGGTCTGAATATAGTTTAGGTGGGTGGGTGTGGGATGGGATGCGCCGACTGGGTTCCCTCTATGAAGCGGGTCGCAATGGCGGGGTTACGACGGTTTGTGTGAGGCGAAGATCACACAGGCGCGCATACACAAACTCCGGATAGTGATGGAGTCGTATGTCGTCGCAGAGTGGGAGCGTAGAGGATAGATGAGGGATGAGAGGAGGAGGTGAGGAAGAGGAGGAGAAAGAGGAAGAAGAGGAAAGGGCGAGAGGAAGGGCAAAAAAAGGAAAGAGAGGAGGAGGTGGAAGTGTTAGGTAGAGCGAAGAGGCCGACGTTTAGGGAGGACAAGAGTAGACGAGAGACAAGAACCAGTCCCAGTCCCAGTCCCAGTCCCAGTCCCAGTTCCAGTGGTAGCCAAAGGACGAGGTACCTATGAGGTACCTATGAGGCACCTTGGTAGATAGGCTGTAGGTTACTGGTAGTCGGGGTACCTGGGTCACCTATAGGTAACTATTCGTAGGGTGAATTTGGCTGAGAATATTGGCTGTGGCTGTTGTAGGCGGTGAGGGATTGTCGTCTAGCCCAGGGCCGGAGAAAGACTGGCCACAATGACGGAGTAACGAGGCAATGAATAATTAGAACGATCTTTGTCGCTCTTTCTCTCCAATACCGGTACTGGTACTGGTAGTAGATAGTAATTATTATTATTACTATTACTCTTCCCACAGGTCACTGTACGGAGTATGTACTGTGTAATGAATGATGCAGTCAGTCTGTCTGTGTCTCGCGGGTAAGAAGGTAACAGGACAAGCAGGGAACACTGGACTGGGGAAAGGGTCCTCCGAGCGGTGCGAGCGGCGGGAGGGAAGGGTGCACCGCCAAGAGAAACGCCGATGTTCACCAACGAATCAGAGTGGAGCACCTACGGCGGATTGGCAGTCGAGGTAGACAATGCAGACAGATGCAGACAATCGCAGGCGATGCAGGCAGGTCCAACGCGCGATGCAGCCGATCCTCTTCTTAAACCTTTCAGCTAGACCGAGGAGAGGCGGAAGAGATGATGGAGGTGGTCGGGGCGCTTGAAACGGCAAAAAGGGAAATCAAGCTGATGAGGGATGATGGATGATGCTGAGGATGATGTGATGCGATGTGCCCGTCAGTACAGTACAGGAAAGTACTATACTATACTATACTATACTCTACTATCCTTCCCGTCTATTGTCAGTCAGGTAACTAGGTCTCGGTCCGGGTCCGTCTGATGTAAGTCGTATCGGTCGATGATGATTACTATTGCGCGACAGTAGTAGTGGTGAGTAGAAGAAGTCTTGAATGGTGGTAGTAGTAGAAGTAGTAGCTGTACCGGTAGGCGTCATGAAACAAGTCTGGTTGGTATTCCTGTGGAGAAGATCGGTGGAGGTAGGTATGTGTATGTGTATGTGTATGCGAATGTAGCTGTGCATGTATTGTGCAGATGGAGTCGTAGATGGATTGGTTGTGCTTGCTTGAGCCTTGTAGGTACACACACACACGTACTGTACGAGATCTCAATAAGATATCACTTTAATCGTAAGAAGCCGAGCATGCAAGCGACTGGACGAGGCGGGATCCCGATATCAATTTATACTTTCCGTTTCCAACCTGGAGCCGCGCTCACTTGCCTGCTCGCTCGCTCAAATCGATCAATAGTCAGTCAGTCCTATGCCTTGCACCCTACACCTACACACTCCACTCTATCTACTGTCCAAGGTCCATGACGGTGTGTGTGTGTGTGTGGGCATGCTTGGGTGAGCGATAGATAGTGAGGGTGTGCGTGTGTGTGGCTCATACCCATCTGGCGCAGGCCTCCCAAATGCCTTTCGCCTCCGAGCCCTGTTATCCATGTTGAAAGAGAGGGTCATCTGTTAGCACCATCAAAGCAACATATCAGGAAGTGCCATTTCTTGTCTCAGCTCCCCCCCCCCTCCTCCTCCTCCTCCTCCTCCTCCTCCTCCTCCTCCACCTCCTTCTCTACTACCCCCCTAAAAGGACAACCCGGCTGCTACTTGAGAGAGGGCGCAATGTGACTCATTCCACACCAGGACAATAATGCTCTCAGATGTCCGCCCATCCATTCTACGATAACTTTGGCATCTGCTTGACTCGGAAATCATGGATATCGATAGCAATCCACCATCTGTACCGGCATTTCCCCTCCCCCCCACCCACACCAAACCCATATATTTCATAAACGCCTGCATCCTACGGTAGTCTGCGACTTGGCGATTACCTTGATATTGTGCGGACTGTGTAGTCCTGCAGGCCTGGTCGGGCAGTACGTTAGGTAGAGTATAGTTAGCACAGGTGGTTATGCAAGAGGCATGGGCTGCACCGCGTTAGGCATAGGCATACAGCAGCAATCTAATCGCATGTATAGGAAAAGCATGTACGATATGTACGACTTTCCTGTGCTGTGTATCTACTCATGCTACTTCTGTGTAGGTAGGTAGGCAAGTTGGGTAGTAAGTTAGCATTGGGTTTGGAGTACATAGATCAGGTTTAGGTAGTTAGGTAGGTGGTAGGCAGAGTAGACTGTAGTCTGTAGCGTACATACTGTGTAGTCTATCCGAACAAGATCCAAGCCAAGCTCACCCCGGGGACCCCCTAGTGCATCATCACTCACCACCACTGCTACCACCACCACCACCTCCACCTCCACCTCCACGACCAACTCCATTGTCTATCTGTCCATTCTGCACACCATCTCCCTTCACCACCCCTCCTCCAATCGTCCTCGTCGACTCCATACGTCTCGGCCAATCATCTCGGACACGGGCTTCTCGGTTATCCTCCTACCCCAGCGCTCCCCGACATCGTGTTTCTCGTCGCGTCCTACACTCTCGACTCCTAAATCACAAGCCTGCTACTGAAACCCTTCTGTCTCGCATTCGCCCATTGGATCCTGCCTCCCCAGGTGCTAGAAGATCATCTGCACAAAATCTTCCGTTGCCGCCGCGCGGTGGACCTTCTCTATACCGTAACATAACGTCCTGTCTGTGTTGCCCGTGCCGCCTGTCCTTCCGCAGTCCCCGTCTGCTCCTAGAGGCTGCCTGGCGAGTACACGACCGTGCCCCTAAAGGAAACTCATAGGCAACCTCTGGCCATAAAAGGATACTTGTATCAGGCAAGATCAACTCTGCGCCGCTGCGAACGATATCTGTGCCATACTCTTTGCACACCTACACGAAAGCCACACCTGGGAACGGGGACTGGGCTTATACATCAGCCTACTTTCTAGGGTGGGGCACACGGCAGCTACCCTAGCCTGGATATCCTGCGTCGCCTGCTGCGGCTCTCCAGAAGCTTTCCTGCTACCTTCCGGCTTCTTGCTCTTCGGCCATAGTCCATCTTTGCGGCACCAAACAGGCTTTCTCACCTACCCTGTGGACCATCCTTACCCCGTGGCCTCAGATATCACCCACGTCCATTAGCACATCCAGTATGGCGTCCGCCTCTTTCCGGGACTCGATGAACTCGCTGGGATGGAGTAGAAGGGACGCGGAGGTCCCCGTGAACACCTCGTCTCCCACCATTCTGGGCCGACTTCAAAACATGAACCCGTTTGGTTCGGGTGGCTATGTCAGGCTTCCCACCACTGAGAATCCCGGTGCTCCCCTACCGGCACCAACGCGGAGAGAAGAGGAAGAAGGGTGGTTTGCGCGTAAGTTCGCCCTTTCGTTCTGTTCAAGGTGGCAAAGATTATGCAGGCATTTTGATATCTTTGTTTCCCCCCTTCTCCAGCACTCGCAACCGTAACTCTCTTGTTCTGGTGCACACCAGGGAAGAGGAGCGTCGTTCTGCCTTGGAAATACTCCAAGCAATTATACGAAGCCCCAAGCCTCATGACCATTCGGTGAAGGAGAGACGCATGTATACATACATACACTAGCTCCTCCAAATCTTGAACAGTTGCCTGAGCACTTGGTGTACTGGGCTCCCATGGCTTCACAAAGGCATACTCGTTGGCCTTGATTTCACGGCCTCTGATCCATCAGCTGGCTTATCACTGCATCGATCGACAGCACAACGGTGACAGAAGGGAGTTCCTGCGTATAGCCGTGGTCGCAGGAAACCTGCATATTCGTCCGCCGCCAGTATCATTTTGAACACTGCTAATCCCGATGTCTCATAGTTAGCCGGTGGGATCGACTCCTCGTCTTTGGCGGCCTGCTTGTGTCCGCTTTAGCCATGTTCGCAGTGTGCTTTGCGTTAATGTTTACACCTGTTTTCATCGTGAAGCCCAGGAAGTTCAGCATCTTGTAAGTGGAAATCTCCATTGTCTCCTTCGACCACCACCACAACAACAAATGAGAGTTGCTCTACGACCACCCAACGCTGTCGGTCACCAGGATGCGCTGCAAAGCTCCCCCAGCGCAAGCCCACGATAGTCTATCACTCAGCTCATGGTCTACTTGACATCCTCTCCGCGGAGCTTCCTAAGCAAAGAGGCAGCGAATAGGCACATCTCCTTTGATGTGCCACCCATGACCCTTCTCATCCACGTTAGATCGAGGTTCAAGACCCTTTATCGATCATGCGCGGGAGACAGAGACAGGGGCGCTGTGGTGGTGTGCTTCGTCCGACTTCCCTTATTTCATGGATCGTCCCTTTGAAGCCGTAACAGTGTGCTAACAATGTGTTTCTCTGACTCAGGTGGACGATGGGCTCTGTCCTTTTCCTCTTAGCCTTTGCTGTTTTGAACGGTCCTATACAATATGGTAAGCCCTTCAGCCTCAAGATGGCTGGCTGTCCCTGCGTTCGAGGCCTTCCATTTGCGTGAGGCACATAGCTAACTATCGCATTTCTGCGTAGTCCAACATCTCATTTCTGGCCCAAGGCTGCCATTTACGGCAGCTTATTTTGGCAGTATAGCTCTCACTCTGTATTGTTCCCTTGGGGTAAGTCTTGCACCCTGATCCCTGACATTGGGCCCCTACACACTACACCCTGCAAGCGTTGAAATCAATGCACACTATGCATATCCCGCGCAAACCCTGTCGCACGTCTTTCCCCTCCCTCCTTCCATTCCCCACGCTAGGCTTATCGATTGTCGTTTGAGACGCGTTCACTGACTGAATGTCCTCGTGACGACATAGCTCCACAGTACGATCCTAACTTTTCTGGCGTCGCTCGTGCAGCTGATTGCTCTTGTCTGGTATCTTGTATCATATTTCCCCATGGGATCAACAGGTTTACGGTTTGCTGCGCGCTTTGGTGGAAACCGTGTCTCCGCCTGGATGAACGATTAGGCAACGTCTCGCGAGACAAAGCACTGCATCTTCACCGTGGAAGAGAGACCTGCGATGGATGGTGGTGGCTATATTCCTATAGGTGTGGGCGACGCGTTACGCGTCAAACAAACAATGTACTCCGTACTTGGCAACCCTGCATCGTTTGAAGCAAACATCTCACCGTCAGGGATCCTGGATTCGGAAACCAGGTCTATCACGTCGCATCATCACGCACGCGGCGATCTGATACTAATCTCACTCTGTGTTTCTCGCCTTTGATTGATCAGCATCCTATACACCTGCATGCAAAACTGCAGAATTGTGGTGGCACACCCGAGAGCGCCAGCCAGGAAGGCCTTAGGCGCAACACCGGTGCGATGCGCCTTGTCTTTCCCTGCTTCCTCGCTCGCCCGCAAGCAATCAAATATACGTGATGATTGCGCTTCCGAGCAGCCACCTTGTATGAGTCGGATTTCGGCAGCATTGCACAGCTTTCTGGCATCTGTAGCAGTCATGAGTGCAAATCGCGATCATGGTGGCATCCCGTGACCGCGTTGCGAGAAAGCCCTCTTGGTCCATCTGTTTCACTGTCCCCTTGGCGTTGTTGCTTCGGGCAAACTCGTGAGTGAGAGATGCCCTGCCCTATCTATCGTGCTAGTTCGAACCCTTAGAGCGTTGAACCTGGAACGTCTAGCGAACTGTACTAATGGTGTGAATTCCCTCTATGGATTCAATCATACACCGATCAGGCAAGAACGCGCACCGGTCCAGCAACCACCGGGCTCATCGTCCGGTCTTGTGCACGGCAACCGCTGCACCCGCCCTGCAAATATACGGTGAGAGAGAGAGAGAGAGGTTCGAAGTGCTATCGTGAACTAGTAGTTATAGTGTCGTAGATATCCGGCATCCTGCGGTCGCTTCCAGACCTGCTCGATGGTTACGGGATCTACGAAAATGCAACATAGCTCTTATCAATAGCGGCCGGGGCAAAGATCCGACCCAACCCTCATGTGGAGCATCAACTATTCATGATGTTATCAAGCAGCAGCAGCAGCAACAATAATGGAGGGTAGTGGTGTAGGGGGTGGTTGCAGAGACCTCATGATCCCGCTTTACTCATTGATAATCGTCTGAGGTGGTGTAGAGCGCGAGCCAGGGTCGGTTGATGGTGTGGACTACTCTCCGTACACAAATTGCATTTCCCCGCATTCGGTCTGCAGAGTGCTACACTACACTTGCGGGTTCGCTCTGCGAACGCCACAACGTGGGAAGGGAAAGCGTACGCAATTAGGAAGCGTAGGGGACCTAGCGATCTGCTCTCCGCTTCGTCATAGAACTATCAGAAAACGGATGATTTTCGCCTTTTGATATGCAGGCTTGCGGCGGGGGAGAACAGGGCAGGGCCCCCCCAATACTGGTCGTATGCGGACTGACGTTCCGGAGCTCGCGGCGCGCGTCGTAAGTCGTCGTCGTCGTCCGCCAACGTCGTCTTTAACGAGCTGACGCTTTACGGAGGCGTTGAAAGGTGCATCGCGAACGACCGAAAGGAGCTGTGCCAATACTTAATACGGCTCATCTGTGTGCAACAATAGTGTTGGAATCATAGGTTAACTAAGGCCTTAATATCAAAGAAGGCTAGCTATCCCTTCTTAATTAATTAACTTTTCTATTTTTATTTTGACAGATTGTAAGCTTAGGCTTAATACTTGTGCTTTTCGTGATTTTGATTCTGAGGAGAATGCCTTGTAGAGCCTTCCGCCACCAGTCTCTAGCTGTGGTTGTCGTTGCAACACAAATTATGCCACCAACCCCATGTGGCATTTGGTATTGACGATAAACTCCAGGTTTGCGTAGCGGTACTAGCTTGGCCGCCTTCCCAGTGTCTGATATCCTAGCCAGCTCCATAGGAGAGGGTACTATGTGTAAGATTTCGTACATGAATACTGCGTACTGGAGCTTTAGTATCTTGGGGCAGAATTACGAACCAGATGAAGGAATTTCAGCATATCAACAAGAACTTGACAAGCCACAATCAATTTCTCCTGCGCACCCAAATGTGACATCTGTACTGCGTTATGGCATGTAACTCACGAGTTCTAAACGTTGTTTGCATTGTCGGGAGTCCCTTTTCAAGCTTCAATTCTACATATTAGATCTAGCTCGAAGTCTCACTCGCAGATCAGATTGCTTCCAAAACCAAGCGGCGTGAACATGCCACTCCGAATCTTCTTCAGCCAACTCGATCTCAAAGTGACGAAAGATCTGTGGAACGAATTTCCCCATCTCCATGATCGATATATTCTTCCCGATGCACGTGCGTGATCCGTGTCCAAACTATCCAGGCATCTCAGTAAAACAACATGCTATTAGGAAACAAACGAAAAACTTACTGCTAGAAAACTGCGATCCATGAGCTTGAGCTGCTCGGGCGAAGCTTCAAGCCACCTTTCAGGCCTGAAATCATCTGCGTCGGACCCGTATATGTTGCGATCCATGTGGACTACTGGCGCGGAGATGCTGACGTTGGTGCCAGCGGGCAAATGGTAGCCGCAGAGTTCTGCACCCCCAGTGGGTACGTATCTCTCGAGCGGGAATCCAACGGATGGATGCACGCGCATTGCCTCCTTTATCACAGCTTGTCTAAGCAGCTGGGATTAGCCTTTACAAACAATTTCCTGGCGAAAGAAATTGTTAACTTACAGATACGTTAGATTGAGACATTCTTCGAAGGTGATGGCTTTCGAGAGTTTCCCCAATCGATCGGCTTCCTGAATCTCTTCGACGACTTTGCTGTGGATTCGCGCGTCCCTGATGATGAAATAGATTATGGCACGTAGGGCTATGGCAGTTGTGTCGCTGCCCGCCAGACTTGCTCTCCTTAGTCGAAATCGGACAAGAACAAGAGATACAACTCACAGGTTGTTCGATAGATGATTGACCATGTCACGAGGTGAGATTTTGCCCGATTGCTCCTTCTTTGCGCGCAATTGCGACAAAAAGTCTGTTCTGGCCGTCCGTCGCTCACTGTCGTCGTACTTCCGCACTTCATGCTCTGTGATCTATGACCTTGCGTTATTACGTGCAGTTTTGGGTAGACAATGAGGAATGATCTCACCTGGAGAAATCTCTCCATCGTATCCGGCACAAGACGACGTCTCAGCCACTTCCACCTCGAAGCAAACTCAAACCCCCTAACCAAGCTCTCAACTTGCCCAAGCAACTTAACGTACTCCAAGCCATCGTTGATCTTCCCAATCATACCATCAACATCCTCCCTCTTCTCCATGAAACCAAACCGGCGCTGGAACGTAATGCTCCCGATGACATCAAACGCATACCACTGCAGCCACTCTGCGAAGTCGACCGCTTGCCCCTCGAGATCTCTCATGGCGTCCATGAAAATCCCCGTGCACTCGTCGGCGTACACCTCGAAGTTCCGCATGTTGGTCATCGAGAACAGCTGCGCGACGGGGCTTTTGAGCGCTTTGTGCGCTTGCGAGTCGCGCTCTGTGAACATGCTGTCCATGCGGCGGCCCTGGTAGTTCAAGGACATTGTCGTGTAAAACGGAGTCTTTGTTGTCGTGGTCAATACTTACTCACCGAATCCGAAGACATACACTGCGATGATGCTACTCACCTTCGTGAAGTTCTTTCCAAGGCCGTAGATTAGGGGAATCATGGCGGGATCTGCGATAGAGACGTGTTTGGGACCGACACGCACGATGGGACCGTATTGCTGGTGTACACGGCGGTACTGGAGAGGTGCGTCGCCCTTCCAAACGAGACGGAATCGGAAGAGTATCGAGATGCGTGCTAGCCATGGTCCTGGGATTTTCCTGAGTCCGCTGCGGTGTTCGCTGTATGCGTATAGTAGGACGAGAAGGGATGCTGAGAGTAGTCCGAGTACTCGAGCATCTAGAGTTGATAATATCGGTGAAAGCATGGTAATGTTATGGTTTTGGAGGTACGGATCGAGATAGATAGAACGGCATCAGTGTATATGCTCATGTTACTCCCAAGATATATATGTATATATACTGAATTATCTAAACTAGTTCCTTGATGGTCTACCTGAGGTTGTTCAGATAGTCCGGCAGCAATTGCGCTAGAGTTCCTCCGCGATGGAATCCGGGGTAATGCGGATCAAACCATCTCAACGGCCCGGGGAAGAGGGGGAAAACATCACTAGCCTTTTCAATTCCATTCTGCATCGTACGAAGTATTGTACGAGTACAATAATCTCAAGATGTAGACCACCGCTGCCATGCGAGCTTCCGAAATCCCTCACCCCGTCTCAAATCACGTGCATGCTGTCCTGTCTTGAGGACGCCCTTACATTCCAGACAGTTGAAAACTCCTTCAACCCCCGCAAAACATACTTGAAATATTCATGAATTCTATAGCAAATCACTCGTTGCGATTAATTTTGGAATAACCCCAATCCACTCTCTACTGATATGTCAAAAAAATCCGAGTTGCGGCTCCGAGTTTCATGACCTGCAGGTCTCTAAGTAGTGTCGATCCGGAGGAACTTAGAATGAACGTTTGTTTCGGAGGATCTTCCAACTCGCATGAAGCTTTCTGAAGACTAGTTCCAAATGAGCATCTGCAACTATGCGCTCGGTGACTGGGGCGGTCGCGACCGTTGCCTCTTTGGAAAAAGGGTCATCGTGAATTTGGAAGAGTACAGAGGTCGCTTTGACGTGCATAGCTAAATGGGGATGATGCCGAGATCTTACACAAATTCCACCAAAAATCCGTGTTTCTTTAGGTATGGATGTAACTAGTACAACTACGCATTCCTGATCGTATATAGTCCCGTCAGATGTACCTGATTTAGAGTTAATGTACCCATCCTCGCCATTACTATCTCCCATAATTCATCGACATTAAGTGGTGGTGGCGCCCGTGGTGCTGTCCATTGGCTCTTTTTGACAAGGCGTGCCTCCTCATAGTTGTTGTCTTTTTCAGCAGCAATAATGATAGGAATCATCTGAACAATACGTTCGATCCCCATCCTTGAATCCTATCCTGTGGCAAGTCTTTCCACCACTGTCGCCATGGCTTATGTGCCTCCTTTTTCGTCTGCAGAGGACCACGCTTTGTGGTGTTGCATTTGCCATCCGGCCATGCTGGTTCGATAGCATTGATATCAGGGCTATTGCCCAGCCATCCTGAAATAGCTAACGAGGCGATTCAGATGATCAACTCCGCACAGGCAGCCTGCCGCTTTGAGCACTGGAAGGCCGACTAAGATAGTCCCGCTCGCCCAAAGAGGGTGCAGCGAACGAAGCGGGTGCAACCCACTCTCCATCTCACCTGCATAACCAACGACCAAAAACCAAGATTCGACGGACCATGCGAGATGCGAATAATGCGGGAGCGAGGGGGAGGGGGAGGGGGAAGGTATTGGCTTAGGTGTGCAATGCTTCCAGGCGAGATTTGGTCTGGCTTTGTCGTACGGTGCGTGAGATTGTCTAGCAGGGCTGAAAGAAGGTTATTGTGGCTTGCTTGCTATTGAGCCAACAGGTTTTCGTCTGAAAAGTGACGGGGATTCCGAGGTGAGTGATTGAGTAGGGATGAGGGTTCGATCGGCGGCCGCCGATGGCTGGCATCAGAGGTTTATCTTGTGTTCAAGAGAGGGGATGCCTTTGATTATGTCTTGAGGCGTCCTGGTAACTAGAGTATTGTATGCGGTCGTTATCGATAAGGAAGTATGTCGTCGGTGCATCACTCCGACGGTAACTTCCACCGTGCTTCGATGCCTACAGATATGCATAACATTGTAATATCAAGCTGGCCTTAAGGATATCTAATAGCTGACCGAGAACTTAGAAATACAAACAACTGGACGCTCTTCTTCCCCACGTGTTGCGCGGCCCGACGTCTGCGCCGGCTGCGGGATGAGGTTGCGGTTCGTCACTAGGCCTGATAGTGTACCACTAACCCCAGATCCCCTCTTGAGCTCAATCGGCAGTTGTACTTCTACCTCACTTCGCCCCAATGTCACGACTTCTTTGGTCCGCGAATTCGCAGTCCTTCTCGCGTCTTACTGCTTGATTCCTCATCGGTTGTATCAGCGATTGGTTGAATCCCACCAACTAACACAATTACAGCATCGTGAAGCGCTTCCTTCCATTTCCCCTTCTCTGTGGTCGTAAGATGCCCCACCGCGAGCATACCAGCCTGGATTATATGGCAAGCAATGTGGGGTCAATTGAGCTCTATTTTACCTATCCATAGCATTTATCTAATGTTCCGCAATTCGAATCATTTCCTTAACTACCTAGCCTTTAGACACTAACTCTCTACTTTTTTTGATCGCGCCTAAAATCAATCTCGTTCGTATGTATTTGATTGATCGTGTGTAACCAACCAACCAACCCTATCCCCGGACTTTTTGCACGACACACACGCGCTCCACACGGCGACGTATTTATATCTTTTAACCAGAGTTTAAGCAGCCAGGATGCCTGCCACGCTTGACGATCCCAAGGAGTACCAGAGGATCTTTCACTGGGCCGAGACTCAGAAGGATGGCGCGGTGCCTTCGTTCGCGACGAGGAAGAATGATCCTTATGAGGTGAGCCCATGCATCCTTATCTTAATCAATGATCAGGCAATACGACACTACAATATATTCTCACGAGAGAGAGAAAGAGTGATGTTCATTCGAGATATGCTGACGTTTGTGTTTCCAGTACCAATCCGGCTTTGACAACTCGTACGTTAGAGTCCCAATCAGTGCGGCCATGCTATGTCCTATTAAAAAAAACAAATCTTTTGCTAACAAAACCCGCGTATAGCTTTGCTTCAGAAGCAGTACCAGGTGCGCAGCCCCCTCTTTTCTCGCTCCAACCTCCAGGAGCTCTACCCTCTACAGACACGTGCTGATATGGATATATATCACAGGCACGATACCACAGGGCCAAAATAGCCCTCGGTCCGTGAGATTTGGGCTCTACGCAGAGCAGATGACCGCATCCGCATTCGTCGCGCCTCGCCATCTGAACAAGAAGGCGTGGCTATATCGGGCGAGGCCCGCTGTCGCGCACCAGGGATTTGTAAGGATTGTTTTTCCTTTTTTGTCTGTTCTTTGATTTGGGGGATTACAGTCAGATTTCGGGTTAAGGCGTGCGTGTGAGAGCTGGTAGGGTTGATGGAGGGAGGGGGTGAGATTGCGGCCGGGTAAAGGGTGGAGGGGGGTGGGAGGGATTATGGCATGCTTAAGGCCGACTGTGAGTGGCGTTTGCGGTGAGGAATGGGAGTTTGACGAAGTGGTGGAGAGAGGTGGACGTGGAAAGAGTTGGAAAGATATTTTGAGGCGCATATCTCTCTGTTCTGCTTGACTATGGTATAGTACAACGTCATGCGCTGACCACCACTGCCAGACCGATCTTCCAGACAACAAAGACACAGAGTCCAATTTCCTGCCACTGAACCCACGCGTCCACGTCTCACCCACTCAACTAGCCTGGCTCCCCTTCGACATTCCGACCGATGGCAAAGTCGACTTCGTGTCTGGGCTCAAGACCATCGCGGGGTCTGGTGACCCAACCTTGCGAGAGGGACTGGCCGTCCATACGTTCCTTGCTAACGCGAGCATGGACAAGACCGCAACGGTGAACTCGGATGGTGATTACCTGATCGTGCCCCAACAGGGCGCCCTCGACATCCAGACGGAATTTGGGATGCTCTTCGTGCAGCCGGGCGAAATCTGCGTTATTCAGCGAGGCCAGAGGTTCAAGGTTGGACTTCCAGACGGGCCTTCGAGGGGCTACATTCTAGGTACGAGACAGAGGCACAGTCCCATCACATGATTCCACTTCCATTGTATCTTTTGCTGAGAAACCGTGAAACAGAGATATGGGGCTCGAACTTCCAACTACCCGAGCTGGGACCGCTAGGAGCCAACGGCCTCGCCAACGCGCGAGACTTCCTCCATCCCGTAGCAAAGTATGAGATCAAGCAGGAGCCGTGGCAGATCATCTACAAGCTCGGCGGCAAGTTCTTCAAGAGCACGCAGAACCACTCGCCCTTCGACGTCGTGGCCTGGCACGGCAACTACGTGCCGTACAAGTACGACCTCACGAAGTTCGTCAACGTTGGCTCCATCTCCGTCGACCACATCGACCCGTCCATCTTCTGCGTCCTCACCGCCCCCTCAAGAGACCCAAGCGCCCCGCTCGCGGACTTCCTCATCTTCTCTCCGCGATGGGACGTCGCGTCGCACGTACGTCCTCTTCCCCCCCCTTTCCCCCTTCTTCCACTAACACCCCTCCTTGCAGACCTACCGCCCACCCTACTACCACCGCAACGCAGCCTCGGAACTTATGGGCCTCATCTACGGCGAGTACGGCGGGCGTTCCGACTCCTTCCAGCCCGGCGGCGTGTCATTTGAGTGCGGATTCGTGCCGCATGGCGTCGCGTACGAGGAGTTCAAGGCCGCGAGCGAAGCGCCACCGCCGGAGATGCGGATTTCCAAGGATGCGGTCGCGTTCATGATGGAGAGTTCGCGGCCGTTTACGATTACGGACTGGGCGTGGACGAGCGGGAAGAAGCATGAGCACGAGCCGAAGATGTGGTGAGTACTTTTCTGTCACTGTTTTTCCCTTCTTCTGCCTCTGGGGGCTGGGGTTTGGGGTTGGGGTTGGGTGTGGATTTGAGTTTGAGATGTGCTAATGAAGAAATAGGGATAATCTGGTGGATAATTTCAGCAAGCATAAGGATGAGGTGGATAGGATTTTGGCGGAGGGGGTCAAGAAGATTGGGTTGGCTAATGGGAAGTAGAGCTAGGAGGATTGTCTTCGCTTTCAATTTGACGATTCAGCGTGGAGATTTTGGGACGTTTGCAAGCTACCTATGGTTGTATATGTGGATCAATTGAGCTCTGTTAAGAATAAGTTGAAAAGGCGTCCGGATGCGAGGAGCTTGGATGATACTATGTGTCCGTGATGTTTGTGCTTTTCAAGAGAAGTTGAAAAATTGAAACCTAGGTCTTAGATTCATGCCTGAACATGAGGTCTGTTATTGTTAGTCTTTATCAATTCGATTACCCCTGACTTCTGATCTTCTATGACCCTGTAGAGACCATATGTGCCTGGCTAAGAAGCTATGCGCCTTATATTATTTAGTTGCTGATACGTTGAACTTGAAAAGGCTATGAATCATAAAGTATTACTGGAGTCTTCGGAAAAGGTGTAGATCAAATAGTCACATTCTAAGTATGAGCTTCTTTTGGATGAGTCGAAGTTCGTCACTTGCGGTCGATGTTGTGCCCCACTTATACCTGAGCCACCGACCTTTATCGATAAACAGCCACCAATCCAGCCCCGCCCTGCGCCACAGATGTTGGAATTTGGAAACAGCCCCCAAGGCAGATACCTACCAAAGCTATGACTCGGACATACATTCACCCCATAATCCTATCTGCAAAGTGCAATTAACCCAAAAACTGTAAGGATTCACTCACTGCGCCCTTTCCTGGTGAATCTGACTCATTCATCATCCTTCTTGCGCCTTTCTGTTTTGTTTGTCCTGCTTGCTTTCATGGCCCTTTATATAAACCCCATCTTTTCCAGTCTTCATGTTCACTTCCCATGCAAAGCTCTCAGCTCACGCGCGACGACCCAGGTAGCCCGTCAACATAGATTCGCAACCAGATCCCGTTTAGACATACACACCACAGCCAGGATGGCGCATCGCGAGACGGCGCCGTACACGGCCCAGGCAAGAAAACCCTCCTCTTCCCCCGCACTGCTGCAAAACCCCAATGCTAACATGTCTCTCGCCATCCAGAACCCACGCGAGATCACACAGCTTATCCACTCGCTCGAGGGACACAAGGGCAACAAGTCGAAGAACTCGGGGGGTTTCTCGGTCCGGAAGCACACGTTCGAGCTGCCCAATGGCCGGACCGTCGACTCGTGGAAGATGAGCGATTGGGACTACAAGAAGGCGAACCTGCCGACGTATGCGCGGGGTCTCTTCACGTACAAGACGCTTGCGGGGAACGACGAGATTGCAGTGAGGGGCTACGACAAGTTTTTCAACCATGGGGAGGTGCGGAAGACGGAGTGGAGGAATGTGGAGCAGAATACGAGGGGCCCGTATGAGCTGAGCGTGAAAGAGAATGGGTGTATCATATTCGTTGCTGGTCTTGACGATGGGACACTGTTGGTTTGCAGTAAACACTCGACAGGTGCACGAGCGGACGTCGAGCTGAGCCATGCTATGGCGGGAGAGCGGTGGGTGGAACGTCATCTCGCTACTGTCGGCAGGACGAAGTCGGATCTCGCGAGGCGGCTGCGGGACATGAATGCTACGCTTGTGGCAGAGCTCTGCGATGACGACTTCGAGGAGCATGTCCTTGCATATTCCAAGGAAGAAGCTGGTCTTTACATCCACGGCATCAACCTCAACCTTCCTGAATTCGCAACATACCCGGGACACCTTGTGGACAAGTTTGCCGATGAGTGGGGAATGAAGAAGGTGATTTACGTCATGGAGGACGACATCACAAAAGTCAAGAAGTTCTTGGACACCGTGGCAGAGACCGGAAACTACAACGGACGCGACACAGAGGGCTTCGTGATTCGGTGTCAGGCAAGGGAGAATGAACATTCGCCATGGGTCGATTGGTTCTTCAAGTACAAGTTCGAAGAGCCATATCTCATGTACCGGCAGTGGAGAGAATGTACCAAGGCGATCATCGGAGGGAAGCCCCCACGCTACAAGAAGCACGTGAACATCACCAAGGAGTATCTTGATTTTGCACGTCAAAAGTTCGTAAAGAACCAAGGGCTTGCAAAAAAGTACAACCAGAATCATGGAATCATCAGGTTGAGAGAGGAGTTCCTCGCCTCCCGCGGGACAACAGGTGCAGATATCATTCGTCAAGAGATGGAGGGCGGCGATGTGGATAGCAAGGATGTCGTTCGAAACGTGGTGCTGGTTCCCATCGCTACTATCGGATGCGGCAAGACGACCATTGCCCTCGCCTTGGTGAAGCTGTTCGGGTGGGGCCATTTCCAAAACGACAACGTCAAGACTAAGAAGGGCCGCGGCCAAGTCTTCGCTGACACAATATCCTCATTGCTGGTCACCAACCCCGTCGTTTTTGCGGACAGGAATAACCACCAAAAGCGCGAGCGAGACCAGCTCATCAACGATATCTCTAAGACCATGCCAAATGTGCGGTTTGTGGCAATTCATTACGTCCATGATCGAGCCAACTTTGAGCCAATTCGCGCGGCAACACGGGCCCGTGTATTGTCGCGTGGTGACAATCATCAGACCATCCAAGCTGGCTCAAAGGATCAGGGTGAGATCATTGAGATCATGGAGGGTTTCATGCATCGTTTCCAGCCTGTCGACACGTCCGACGCACCTGACGACCATTTCGATCTAGTCATCGACATTGATCCTACTATCGAATCACGCGAGAACCTGGAGGTTGTCATTGAGAAGCTTCACTCGACATATCCCGGCCTATTCAGAGATCGCGAGATGCCTACTCCCAGCGACCTTGATGCCGCTGTTCAATGGGCCATGGAATACCAGCCTGATTTCAAGATGGATCTGTCGCGTGGTGGCAACAATCGAGGCCAGAATCAGAATCAAAACCAAAATCAGAACACCAACAAACGCCAGAACGAGCCGAAGCCCAAGAAGCAGCCAAAGATGGAGTATTTTGGCATTCGCGTACAAGCCCCGCGGATCAATTCCATCCTTGAGGCCATGTTCCGCGACCAAGATGCTCAGACGGCGAAGTTCTTCCGTCATCTCCAGAATGGGAGGCGCATACAGGCGGAGTTTCACGTTACACTAATTCACCGAGCATCAGCTTCACAGCATCAGCAGTACTGGGAGAAGCTGAACGCGCTCCACGGTGGTGTCATGCAACAGGCGAACGGAAACTGGGAGCCTGAACTTGGCAAGTGTGGAGTGCATCTCGAGCGAGTGATTTGGGACGAGCGGATCATGTGTTTTGTCGTTCGTCTCAATGGTGCTGCGACTCTGACGGCTAGCAATGAGACAGGAAAAGCCACGGAAGAGGTGAACTTCGAAACAGTGAACGCAGTTGCGCACATCACGGTAGGCACAGCCGATCAGTCCATCAAGCCAAAAGAGAGCAATGACCTACTTCAGCGATGGTTGAACGAGGGAAGTGGACCAAATGGGATTGGTGAGCTCGCCGTGAAAGGCAACCTTGTGCTTGAAGGGAGCGTAAGAGGTGTCCTGGGCAGGTCTTGAGAAGTGACATGCTGCTGCAGCCATGACGGACAATGAAGTTTCGAGCTCTAATGGCCAAGCATCATTCACAGCAAACTCCGAATTCGGGAGCAAAAAAAGCACGAAGGGAATTTTGCCAACGGCGACGGGGCGATGAAAACATTTGGAAGGACTATTAGCATGATACCACGGCATTGAAATAGTATGTGAATACATTATGAGATCTCTCCTCAGTCTTGGAGGCAAGAATGCGGGAAAAACAATGAATGAAATCAATGATTTGAGATGATTTGAAGAGTTAATTGTCCAATGATGTTCGGGGGCGGTTTCCTTATCGGGTTAAGCTCGTATTTGCCACGAAGCAAGGCAAGGCGTGCCCCATTTTTGCAAGTGAACCTCGGGCAAAGCTCGCCATACTTGAAAACAGAGGTACATTACAAATCAATGGTGGGTACATTTCTTCACGACCATATCTCGTTGATTACCAATTGAGCAAGAGTATAAGTACTTGGAAGCTTCGTATTTTTTTGCTCAGGCATTCTTTTTCGTCAATTCGTCCAATTGGTGTTTGCAGCATCTTGATCTGTCTTAAGACCATTCATTTGTTTGCTCCCAAATCTTCTCAGAGAGAAGTACCAAAAGCAATCGTCGTTTATCCGATTCAGCAACGCCTGATCAAGTATCGGCTTCGTATACGAACTCTGGTTTAAGTTTGTATAACACATACACAAATCATCACCATGGCACCTCCTGATGTGAACGTCGGCGTTGAAGGCCTCCCATACTTCACCCCTAAACACAAGATCTCCCCAGGAACGCCCTTTGATAAGAGCAAGACTGTCCCGACTCTCTTCACGCCTCTGAAGATCCGAGGCACGACACTCCGCAACCGCGTTCTCGTGGCGCCAATGTGCCAGTACTCCACCGCCTCCAGTGGACCTGACATTGGCGCCCTGACCGACTACCACGTCGCAACGCTCGGCCACTACGCACTGAAGGGAGCCGGCCTCGTCTTCGTCGAAGCGACGGGCGTGCAAGCCAATGGCCGTATTTCGCCCAACTGCCCTGGAATCTGGAGCGACTCCCAGATCCCCGCCCTCAAGAGGGTCTCCGACTTCATCAAGAGCCAAGGCGCCCTCAGCGGCATCCAACTCGCGCACGCGGGCCGCAAAGCCAGCACCGCAGCGCCCTTCCTCGCAGCCAACGCCCCGGGTAAGAAGCCCAGCTTGCGAGCTTCCGTCGAGGCTGGAGGCTGGCCTCAGGACGTCGTCGGCCCCATGGGCGGCGAGGAGTGGACGTGGGACCTCAAGTCCGTGAGCGACGAGACCGGCGGCTACTGGCCACCGCGAGCCCTCAGCGAGCAGGAGATCAAAGAGCACGTCCAAGACTGGGCCAAAGCCGCTCAACGCTCCGTCAAGGCCGGAATCGACGTGATCGAGATCCACGGTGCCCACGGCTACCTCATCAACCAATTCCTGTCGCCAGCCACCAACCAGCGTACCGACAAGTACGGCGGCTCCTTCGAGAACCGCACCCGCATCCTCGTGGAGATCATCCAGGCCGTCCGCGCCGTGATCCCCGCCACCATGCCCCTCTACCTCCGCATCAGCTCGACCGAGTGGCTCGAGGAGACCGAGACCGGCAAGAAGACGGGCTCCTGGACCGTCGAGGACTCCATCCGCCTCGCGAAGCTCCTCCCAGGCCTCGGCGTCGACCTCCTCGACGTCAGCAGCGGCGGCAACCACCCGCAGCAGCAGATCAACATGTTCGACTCCAAGGACTACCAGACGCGCATCGCGGCGCGCATCCGCTCCGAGCTCAAGAAGGACAACCTCGAGCTGCTCATCGGTGCCGTGGGCCTCATCACCGAGGCCGAGCAGGCGCGCGACATCGTCGAGGAGGGTGGCGCCGCGGGCTCCCTTAACGGCATCGATAACTCGGAGATCGAGAACGAGGCTAGGGCTGCGCTGAAGATGACGGAGGGGAAGGGCGGTGATGCGCCCCAGGCGGATGTCATTCTCGTCGCCAGGCAGTTTATGAGGGAGCCCGAGTGGGTGCTTAAGGTTGCGTGGAGGTTGGGTGTTGATGTCGCGTGGCCGAGCCAGTTTTTGAGGGTTAGGTTCCCGAAGTTGTAGAGGTGTTTGATGGTTTACTTTGCATCGTCAGCGAGGGGGGATTCGTAGTCTTTTGATACCATGCATAGACGAAGACCAAGACTTGTTCGGATGAATCGAATTGAATCGAATTAGATTTATGATAAGCTACCGTTTTACAAAAGAAAACAGTGCCTGCCGTGATTAATATGTATATATACAGTGACGCAATGAAAAGATGTCTAATAGTGATGAGACAATGAATGTCTACCCCCAATGCAATGCTGACAAGAAAGAAATAACAAGAAGATCTAGAGACATCCACCCGTGTCTAATTAGAATCAACCGGGAAACGATACAACCTTCCTTTCTCCCCGAACAATCCTCCACACACACCACCTCCAAGTCTACGCCTTACTCCTCTTCTTCCCCTTCGGCACACGCACCAACCAGTAGAGGAACATAGCCCCCGCGATGTTGAACGCAACATACACCCACAGCAACCCAAAGTCCCTCCACCTGTTCTCGAAATTCGCATGGATGCGATCCAAGAACATATCCGTGTTATCAATCTGGCAGAAATGGCACTCCTCGGTACCGTTCGCGGTTTGTCCGTCCCGGAGGTATCCTCCCGCGACGTCCATGTACGGCTGCAAGTACTCTCCGCACGACTGACCGCTCGGCGGGAAGAAGCGCTGGAACTCGTTGTCGGCGCAGTGAGCGGGGGCGCGGCCGAGGGTGGTGGAGAGAAGGCTGGAGACGAGGTAGGTGTAGGGGTTCACGCGGTACATGAAGATCCAGAAGCCAGGGAGGTCGTTGGGGCCGGCGAGGATACCGCAGAAGGCGTAGAGCATGATGCCGAGGAGGGTGGCGAAGGCGGAAGCGATTTCCTCGCCAGGGGCTCCCGCGATCAGCATGTGGGCGAGGGTGGAAGCGAAGAGGAAGGTGGCCCAGAGGATCATGAAGGTGAGGAAGCCGCGGATGGCGACTGCGTCGGTGGGCTCCGCGTTGCGCCATAGGCCGATGGGGTAGTACCAGACGAAGAAGCAGAGGACGGTGACGAACTGGGGATGATGGGTTAGCTGCAAGAAGGAGGCTGGGTTTGATGGGTGTTTTGAGCTTACTGTGTTGAGAACCATCTCGACGAAGATGTTCGACAGGACGAAGGTTGGCCAGGCGTAGGTCTTGGATTGCCTCTCCCTTGCTTCGTACTGGCTTCTCTGGACTGTGAACATAGGTAGGACTTGGTAAAGCATCTGAATGGTAACGAAAAGGAAAATGAAGACGCCAAACACTGGTGAGTTGTTAGAAAACACATAGATGTAAAAGGTGTGGACCAAACGTACTCTGATTCTGGAGTCCTTGCTGCGTATTAGTGCCGTCGAAGAACGAAAAGCCGATGAAGATCGATGATCCAACACACAAAAGAAGTCTGGAATAGATGTAAGAAGGCGTTCTCCAGTATTGCTGGAAGACACGCATTCCCACAGCGGTAAGCTGGGTCAAGAACGGCGCGGCAAATTCCTGGTACTTGGAGGCATCCGAATCAGCAACAGGGGAAGGTTGATTCGCCAAATTTCGAAGGCGGCCAAGCTCGGTCTGAACTGATTGATATTCATTGCTGCTTCGCCATACGGTGGGCCAGTCGATGTCAGTGTGCGCTCCGGGGGCCGCGCCGATAACATTCAACATGTGTTCGGCGGGGTTTGCACCATCTGGGCAGGCAGGTCCTCCGTTCCTCACGAAGTAGTCCATAAGAATCTGGGAATCACGTCCGATCTCGCCGAAGTAGACGGTTCGTCCACCTTTGGCAAGGAGCAATAACCGGTCAAACCGTTGGAAGAGCATTGCAGACGGTTGATGGATCGTACAGAGAATGGCTTGGCCGTTACGTGTGAGCTTCTCCATCAAGTCGCAGATAGACCATGAGGTCTGACTGTCGAGTCCAGAGGTAGGTTCATCGAGAAACAGGAGCAGTTTCGGGCGTGCTGCAAGTTCCACGCCGATTGTGAGACCTAGGATAGGAGATTAGAACCAATTTTGTGGGTTATGGTGGATTAACATACGTTTACGCTGTTCAACATTTAGACCAGAGCCAGGGATACCAACGACAGCGTCGGCGTACTCTTCCATGTTCAGCAGGCTGATGACTTGATCAACGTATGCGAGCTTTTCTTGGTGGGAGTATTCTGGCGGTTGTCGCAAGATTGCACTGAACTCCAAAGCCTCGCGCACAGTCGAGGTAGAAAGATGTATATCCTCTATAGCATCGTAGTTAGTATAGTTAACCAGAAATGGGTTCTGAGTTAGACCTACGTTGCATGCAATATCCTGTCTGTCGTTGAAAAGAATCGTCGAGTTCTCGCCCATCAACAAACATATTACCAGTGATAACACCCATTGTGGTTCTGCTCGCAAGCACATCGAGTAAAGTGGTTTTGCCGGCACCAGAGACACCCTGTCCAATATGTTAGCATTTCACTTTCACAAAGTGATTCAATACATTGCACGTACCATCAAGGCAGTCAATGTGCCAGGTTTGACCCAGCCATCGACATGATCAAGAATAGTGCGCGGTTCGCCCTTGATCTTGACTTCGTAACAGACGTTCTCCCAGTGGAATATCGAGCTTTGCTTTTCGACTTGGAACCCTGAACCACTGCTTCCATCATGCTTCTCTGCCTCAACGACTGGGCCGCCTCCTGTTTCTTCATCTGCATTCTGACGCTTCGCCTTCGCTCGCTGCATCTTACCACGTCGGAACACCAAGACTTCGCCCTTGGATCTCTGCGAGGCGACGAGTTCTGTCATGATTAGATGCAGAGCGCACAGAACGATGACGAATGCAACGATGATTCCGAAGTTTCGCCAGCGATGCGACCATTCGTATTGGTAGGCTGTCCGGACATAGGTAGGGCCATTGACACTGTTGAGGCCTGGCACAGCTCCAGGAACGGCGCATGCTCTCTGATCAGGAGCGACATTATCGTAAGGACCACCAGAAGGTACGAAAGCAGTGCATGGGAAATCACGCCCTTCGAATTCGTTCACTACCACGCTCTCGAACCCATATGCAATGGGATTGATCCATCGCATCCATGACGCCCAGCCACGCATGTATGGAATTGGAATGGCAAACCCGGTGTAAAGGACGAGACCGAGAAGAATGATTCCTGAATTGCGTTAGAAGCCTGCAGTACGTAAAGCAATTTGGAGATGAACCCACCACTTGGTGCAAGTGCCTGCTCGATGGTCTTCGTAATGGATGCAAAGAATCGGAAGAACATGCTCATGGAGAGTGTCATTGTGAAGGATATCAGCATGAAGAAGAAGAATGGCCCAGCTTCGCGTCGGAGATTTGACATGAAATACAAGGTTGAGTTGACGACGAAGGCGTTGGTGATTTTGTAAGGCAAATCAACGATCATTGAAGCAAGTGCTTCGGCGCTGGGATGGTACAAAGCATATCGGTTGTGCTGATGGATGGTCAGTGTTCCTCCTCAAATATCTTATCTAGGTTTAATTACCTTCTCGACTATAGTTCTCTTCTCGTATAAAGACATAATTTCCATCATAGAACCGAAACCGTTGAGGAGGACCATCATGAATAGGACAGCTCCTCTCTTGAAAAAGGATGATGTATTGTCCGGTAGATTGAAGAAGATACTAGCAATAATCAAAGCCTCGACAAAGTTCACGAAAAGCATTGTGAGTGTTACACTGGTATAGGTTTAGCAGTCTGTTCGAGGTGGTGAATTTCCAGGGGATGAATATGTACCTAGGATCATTTCGTAGACGTTGCACTTCCCGCCACATACATAGCTTGACCTGACCCCAGTATGAAAGAGTGAAAGGCGACTTTTCGCGCTGAATTTTGGATTTCTCCAGCCGTCTTGACTCGGCAAACTTGTCTTGGCCCTCTCCGTTAAGAGGATTCTCACGATCGTAATCTTCGAGTTGCCTTAATAGTTCCTTCCTTTCGGGGCTCTCGTTCCAGTGGCGAGCAAAGTCATCGGAGGTTCTTGGGGCCAGGTTCTCGAATCCAGGCTTGACTACTCGCTCACTTGGTGAGGTCATCGACGTGAGGAAGTCAGGCGTAGTCTGGGAAGTTGGGCATTCGAAGCCTAGACGCTCGAAATAAGCTCGCGCGGCATCTGCTTTTCCGAAAAAGATCTGACGTCCTTCATACAGCACTGTGACTTTGTCGAATAACTAGAGAAGAAACATATTAGCACTTTGCCATTTGAGTCACTGCAACCTTCAATAGAACTTACATCATATGCTGCTTGAGGTGCCTGATAAATGGCGACGACTGCACACGCAGAAAATACGTCACACTGTGTGCGAAGTGTTTTGCAAAATTCCACAGCGTTCGCCGAGTCAAGACCTCTCGTGCTATTGTCCCAGCATTGCACAGCAGCATGGCTGAGCGCTGCTTCAGCGATCGTCACTCTCTTTCGTTCACCACCAGATACACCACGGACAAGGTCGTTTCCTACGCGTGTATTGATTGTGTGGCTAATGCCAAACATTGCCATGATCACATCTCTAAGATGCTCTGCGTATTCATGGCGACTGACACCTCCCGGGATAACTTGAGGCGTCCGTGCTAGAGCAGCGAATTTCAACGCAGTTCCAACGGACAACTGTGGAAAGTGAGCATCAACCTCAGCGGTGTAGATAGCTTCACCACGGAAGGCTGAGTTCATATTTTCCGGCGTGATACCATGATAGTTCAGATAGGAATCCGGGCTGACTTTGAACCCGTGGGTTTCACCAGCGATGGTTTTGAGAAGGGTAGAGCAACCCGATCCAGGAGGGCCGAGTACACAAAGTTGTTCTCCAGGTAGCAGGAGGCCGTCGAGGTTCTGCAAGATATCAATCTTCGACTGACCCCTGCCGAAGAGTGCTGGAAATTTCAGTATTGCGTTGCCAGCACTGGTTTGGAAATCGGTTGGCGAGCCCATGCCCCAGACATTGAGATTTCGGAAGGCGACACCAGCTTTGCGAGCAATTTGATGATCGGAACTGTATCTGGCATTGTAGAATGCCCTTGCCCATGCCTTTGCTGAGAAGTGGCCGCTGTTTGGATCCAAATGACTACCTTTCTCTGCGGTAAAGGGTGACTGGTGGTGATCGTACTCAGACCTGGTGGTGAACCGTCGCGCCAGGTTTAAGATCTCCCGATCATGCTGTTGATCTGCATCTTTCTCGTTGAGTTCTATGCTGTCGGTTGTGCTGGATTCGGCTGTTGTTCTGTTTGTTCCTCCATTTGATACATCTGGTTCTGATGGCCGCTTGTCGATACGACCAGGAAGGCTGAGCGCAGCCGACATGACTGACGAGGTAGCTAATCGCACACGTAAGATTAATCCTGTTCGTACACTGATGTCTTGATGTCGTGGAAGATGAAATGAGCTGAAGGAAGTCGAGCTTGATAAAGCTGAGATGTTCGATACTTAGGATGGAAAGATTAAAAGATAACTGCACAATAGGGGCATAGAATAGAAAGATCTTATATTAGAAGAGAGTCTAATTATCAATCTCTGAACGCGCCTGAAGCCCCGCGGACGATATCACCGCAACAGCGAGCGAAGAATTGGATGAAAACCGAAACACGGAAGTTCAAAGTTGCACCGAAAGCCGATCTATGAAGGGCGGAATCTACAATGTTGCCTCGTACTAAATGTCTTGGAACGACGCAATATACGCGAAACGAAAAGCTTAATAGTTCAAGATGATGATACCAAACCACAATGAATCGCAGAATCCCAATGAAAAAAGGGACTTGGGTCCGAATGGCGCGGCCCGCGGCCTGCGATGGATCAAAGATGGCCATGATTGGATAGTCAAATGGTGTAAGGGCGTAGACTTCCGGGTGTTCGGACATTCAGAAAATCCGAATGTCCGGGAGTTCTTCACAGCAACTAATGGACATTCGACACAACGCACGCGAGGAATCCGAGCAAACAGTCAGAGAGTGAACTAGACTGTCATCTCAGCCCTTGGCTTCCATCGGACCTTGCCCTACATCTAGATTCTCAAATGTCCATCCCCAAGTAGATTTGCGAACCCCCCTTTGATAAACGAGGAACTTCGGCATTTCGTTACTGCGAATGCCCACCTGTAATTGGTGAACCCACTTGTCGACGGGCCTCATGCGTTAGGCCAGCAACGCCATCATGATGAAACTCGCTGTTGGTATAACTTCATGTTGCCTTCTGTCGCCAACTAACAAATCCTCAGTGTCAAAGATGCAAGCACAAGAAGGTGCATGCTGTTCCCTATCATCCACGTGGTTGATCGCTAAACATCATCCTATCAGATCAAGTGCGACAGAGCAGAGGGTACATGCCACCAATGTGTGCTCGCCCAAGCGGAATGTATCTATATTGAGCGCAAGAAGAGGCCTCGTTTAACCCAGTCAGTTCCTGATCTCGTTGTGCTCTCCATTTGGTTACGCCCGGAACACGATATCACGTGCCTGCCCACTTCTGTCATCCACACATAGAAGAACAACATGTCACAGTCTCTGGCTTCGTATTCATTTGTGTCGAGTGCCTTTTTAGTCGTTTTAAGTTAGAGCTTACGTCTGTACTAATATGATTACTGAACCTTAGACAAAAGAACGATGTGACGGCTTTGAACCGAAGGCTAGAGTTTCTCGAACGGCAACTCAGCAGATCAGAAAGGGAGGCATCAAGTTCATCACTGCCGAAAGATGATGTTCCCCTTGATCCTTCAACACAATCCAGATCTTCAGTATCTCCTGTATCTCCTGAGGTGCTACTCACCGTGGAAGGAAACGGCCAGGCTTGTGAGTTGTAGTCATGTCAATGTACTATCGTGTGTTAACAGGTTCTGAAGCATGGATTCACCGACTCGCCAGTGACACTAAGCGCAACTTCGAGAAGGTCAATATCCAGAGCCACCAAAGCCCTGCTGATACTCCAGCGAGCTTGACTGTCGACACAGCCATGTGTGCGCTCACTAAGGCATTGGACGACCTCGCAAACTTACGCATTCGAGATGAAGTGAGGCCAAAGAGACTTGCTCTGAAACTCACACCAGACAAAGCAAGAGAGTGTATCAAAAGTAAGCAGAGACCGGATTGCCACACATAGATATTTGCTGATGATCTGGCAGTTTTCATGGAAGTCATACAGGCGATGGTAATCCCTCAAGCTTTCACGAGCGGCATCGACCTGGCAATACTGAACGTAATACCGGACGTCATAGAATCATCAATGTCTTCCTATGTCAATATTGACCCTTGCATTAAGGTCATATACTACAACGCACTTTACTACGGTCTGCGCAGAATCGATGGCCCAGGCAGTGAGCTTGCTCAAGCAGCCTATTGTATGTGCTTGGAGGCAGTTCCTGGATGGCTGAATACAACGGCTGGGACAGATTTGGACGCCCAAACTGCGGCCTTGACTGTAAGTCTCAATGTACTACCTGCACCATACACCACCATATTCTTTCTAATGGATCTCCACTGACACGATTCTTTGAGGCATGGACTGCTTGCAACCAGTTCGATTACCAATTGTCGTGGCAGTTCCATTGCAAAGCATGCCAGTTCATAAAGGCAAAGGGAGTGGATCGCCTTGATGCTCGTCTTCCCAAGTCCGTCGATGAAGAGGATTTGCAGCACAGTTCGCGGTACCTATATTGGCATTGCCTACAGACAGACGATCTTTTCAGAATCCTATACAACAAACCTTCGGCTTTAAGATACAAGAAAAACGAAGTCAAGCCTCCTTCGCTGTTCACAGCCTCGAATATGCAGCCTAGTGCAACACAAACGATCCTGTATAACGTCTGGGTGCGATACACGGCCATGACAAGAGAAATGACCGACGAATTAGACAAAGCACTGGCAAGTAATGGCACAGAAGATGCAATGCGCGTTGCCGATGAATACTGCTCCAAACTCGAGAACATCATCATCGAATGGGATCTCGAAACACTATCCAAAGCCCCCAAATACTCCAAATCAGTGGCTCTACTTTTCGCCGACCACACGATGAACATCTACGCCACGATAATCGGCGCGAAGCGACGAGCCCGCCAAAAGAACGACACGCCCCTTGTCGACGAACTCGGCCTCCGCGCCGCCCGCAAAGTCATCAACCTCATCCTCTACTTCAACACGCAAACCCCCGGGTTCGGCGACGCGGGCGTCATCTTCGTCCACTTCATCAGCTTCTACCCCTTCTGCGCCGTCTTCTCGCTCTACGAGCACATCCTCGCCTGCACGGACCCAGAGCAATGCGAAGCGGACCTCCAACTCCTCGAGAACATCGAAGTCGCCGTCCGCGCCGGCTGCGAAGTACACCCAGACCTATACCCCTTATCCAACACCATCACCGCGCTCAACGCCGTCTCCCGCAGCACCCAAGACCTCCGCCGCAACGGCCCTAGCCCTGCCTACCAAAGCCCGCCAACCCACTCCTCCTCCGCTTCCACCATGCCCTCCCCCGCGACCCAACAACACCAACAACCGCACATGAAATCCTCTTCCTTCACGCCCATGGGCCAGTCCACACAGCCAGTCACCTCCTCCCGCGGCTTCAACCTCCCCATGTCCACGCTCGACGGCCTGCAGTTCCAGATGCCGCCGCCCGAGTCGTCGACGGTGGGGCCGTTCGGCCCGGGCGTACCGCTGCTGCAGGACTTCCCGATGGGGGCGGGGGATAGCTTTGAGCCGTTGGGGTTCGTCAGGGCGCTTGAGAGCGACTTCATGGCGAAGAATTGGCACGAGCCGTGGTGGGATATGAAGTGTGGGGATATCGGCGCGGGCGTTGAGGGTGGGACTGGGGATGCTGAGATGGGTGGTGGTGGTGGGTTTGAGGGGCAGGGTTAGGTTTTGTTCGTGGGTTTGTTGGTTGTATGTTAATGGACTGTAATGGTGATGAGTGGTTTGGAAGGAAGGAGATGGGTTTCTTTCTACGCTTACGCCGTCTAATAATCATGGAAACTTGAATGTATAATTACGATAAGTAAACACATAGATCTTCAGATTAGCGCCAATGATACGATATGTATATCACGATCATATCAACGCGCCCTCGGCATCGACAAAAGTGTACAAGTATAATCCCATCCTACCTCTGAACATCGATACTCAGAATCTGAACCGCTGCAATCAAGAAACACACAAACCTCCAAAACCACAAAGTCCCCAGTGGGGACGTCATTTCTACAACAGTTCAATGGCATTCATCATTGATTATCGCAACGAGAAGGTCTAAGAGTAAGGAACCTACGCCATAATACATATGTACTAACTATCACCATCTCGATATCAAGTATAGGATGATATTGGTGTCAAAACTACACGCAACCACGCTTACATCTCCCTTCGATTACTATCACATACCAGCCAGCCCATCCAATTCATCAATCCAATTCCATTCCCACGCTCTTCGTCCAACGAAGGAAAGTCAGGATGTCGTAAGTCGTCGTCGACTCCTTCGGCACGACTAGTCGATGAGCAGCTGTTTGTTTCGTTTAAGTTTTAGTTTTAGTTTTCAAATCTTTTTTTTTGGTTTATATGGACTTATTTCCGCATCAGGCTTCCTGTGCATCTGCTAGCTGTGCAACCCCAAAGTGCATATCCGCGGATATAAAACCACTGGGGCCCGTAATCTAGATCAGTGTCTCGGCGTATGGGAGGCGGATCCGATGGGGATATGCCCATGTGTCTATTCATGTATTTAGGTATCTAGAACATGGTGATAGTAATGGTGAAATCATGTAGCGGGAAGGAATGAATGCACGTGGGCATTTCAGGACCCGGGGTTTCTAGTCAAGTGCTGGGGGTCGGGGTCGAGGCAGTTCTCGATGAGTAAGTGAGGGGAGATTCGAGAGGTTTCGACATGGGGGGGTTAGATTGATAGACATATGGTTTTGAGATTGGGGTTTTGGAGGGGCAAGGGTTTCTTGTGGTATCTCGCGGGGGGCGAGCGATGGAGGGAGATTGGGGTTGAGATTTGAAAATATGGGAATATATTGTATTCTGCGGATTTTGCTTCCGGGTTTGGTGGTTAGTACTTGGTGTGTAGTACGTATGGTGGTTGAGACGGGGGCTTGTTTTTGAGTTATACGAAGGCGAATGGGGACGGGTTGGTGATTGCATTGAGGATGGGGTTCGTATGGGGTCTGGAGGGATTACGCGGCGTCCCCGGGGAATTCAGCGTGTCTTTTGTGATATATAGTGATTTCGTTGTATATGAGTGAGTGTGGTAATTATGGTTATTTTTAGGAGATGCGAGATTGGGACTGCAGGCACCGGGCCGGGACGAGACGAGACGAGATGAAGCAGGGCATGGTGCAGTGCGACATGTCTTGTGCTTGTGTTTTGCCGGATACGTGGGTCGCGAATCGAGTGCAACTTTGTGTTGGCTGCAGCATGAATGAATGAATGGATGCTTGAGCCAAGTATTGCTGGCTAATATGTGGTTGATTCGCGGGTGAGTGTTGCTGTAGTTGAAATTCCTCGGCGGAGTTGCTCTAGACGAAGTGCATTACAAAATAACCTTATGACCACCATTCTACTGGGATTTGAAAGGCGACACGATGGTAGGATCGCTTCTCATCCTGCCATGTCTGATAATCGTCATTATTGGTGTGAAATTCCATCAGTGGCAATTAATCTTTGAATATATCGTAAATTCGAAGAATTGGGCTGCCGTGATTGGTGCACTTCGCGTCAAGACCGTTGAGCGAGAAACGCTCGTATTCACGTGATGTCCGATACGCGCCGGAACCGATATCGCTGAACCCTGTCGGAGGCTTCTTAGCTGCTCTGAAAGGGGTCGTCAAAAACATGATGGCTTTGCTCAATTGAGTTTGTCGCCTAGGAAACTAGGCAAAGAAAGTGGTGCCAGGCACATCGTACTGTGTAGACGTGAGGAACAACAATGGGGTGCGCTACGGTAAGGTTGTACAAGGAGCGTTGTGCCGCTGCCGTACATACATGGGTCGAGGAACAAACACGCAAGAAAGGGTCAGGCATATCGCAGGCAGCCTGATTCAAATCAGTGCACACGGAGTACAGCCCAGCCCCTCATTGTTGTGTCGAGATCGATTGATTATTGCATAGATACGGTATGGGCAGCAGGCAGCCCAAGCCTTGTTCAAGCTTCATCGAGGGTCCGTTGGCCTATTGTTGGCATCATAATTCCCAGGGGCCGAAGGAGAGAAACGTCCGTATGGCATTGTTGATGGCCGGTGTCTGATCGTAGGGCCGATGACAGCATGTTTCCTATTTCTTTCTCTCTTTTCTCTATTAATATTTCATCACCACCAGCTTGGTGGGGTTGGGTCACAAGACAAGGTCCAATAATCCAAGGCTCAGAGGTTTCACAAGCCGCAACAATTGCAAATCGGATGGATGGACCCCAATGATCGGAGGGCGGCATTATTCTGAGCCGGGGCTGTAGCCATAGCCGGAAGAAAACGAGGCGGGAGAAGCAGTGGAGGAGGAATGATACTCGTAATAACGGATAACAATCATGGTGTGGAAATGTCCATCACCATATGATTTATTACATGACGAGTAGTATGATGCAAGTCAATGCTCGCACAACGGCCAATGCACAGCATCCCGTCTCTAAACAAGGTAGTCTACCGGTTACTTATCGAAAATAAAATAGAAAAAAAAAGGCGAGAGAAATGGCTGGGGGGTTGGCATCGCATCGGAAAGGGCCGGCAAGGGCATTTGGGGCAGATTCGTACGAATTGTACACAGGCAGGTGGCAGGGTTGGTTAAGGATTTCAAGGGAAAAAGGAAAAGGAAAAGGGCAGGCAGACGACCTTCGTTCATTCCGTTTGTCCCGCCATAGCCCTTTCCCGCTCTTGGCAGGCCTGAAAGAATGATGACAAGAAATCTTTTGCTCGTTGGGGTCGGGTCTTTCGTCTCTCGTCTCTCTGTCCCATTCGTTATTGGAGGGGTAACCTACCACCTACAACCCACACCCACATCTCCATCCTCTCTGTGCACACACACACACACACACACATACGGAGTATTATTCGTACACAAAATAGGCAGACACATCAATCCGTTTCATTACTCATTGTGTCACATCATTCTACTCGGATGTACTCCGTACATTGAATTGGTACTCGAATGTATCATTCCATGCACGATGCTTTCTACGGGTGCAATTACATGATATCCATTGAATGGGAACCCAACGATATGGGACCATACTGCTCTGGACGGAGAGTACTCCGTACGTCATGCTCCTTCAATGGGATAACACCGTACGTGCCTGGGTACCTGGTACCCATATACCGGTACAATTTAATATTGAATCTGGGGAACAGTCGTAGCGTTGGAAAGATTGAATGGATCGTGACGCCCAATGTCAATCCAAAGTAGACCGTGACGGGATTCCACGCACTGGTAGCGAAAGAAGTAACAGAATGGAGAAAGGAAGGAAAATAATGAATTGATGGAGAGGGGCGTAGTATGGTTACTTCTTTTCATTGAAATGCAAGACATGAGGCATAGCGAGCGCGTGCCGCGGGAATCACCAAAGCGGCGCTCCTGACGTAGTCAAAAGCGATGTACACTCCACCGTACGATGCATTTCCCCGGTTCGTTTTGTATCATTGATAAACAAATGAGCCCCTGATTGTTCTTTGGCATACTTATGTGAAAGGGCAACATTGATATGAGTACCTAGGTAGCAAGGACATGTACCTCACTCAGCATGAACATCAAATCCATTCAACGAAGGATCGAAGGGACCAACAGCGAAGAACAGAAAGGATATCGGATACAAAAGCTACAAGTAAATAGCAGAGGAAAAAAAAACAGCCGAGAAGAAAAAGAATACATATTATTGCGGGACCAGCGTGGGTAATTTTTTTTTTCTCGGGACACCAAAAGTGTTTAGTTTTCATATTAGTACCGAGTTACTTGGGTGGAAGCAACAAAAAAAAATTCGCGCGCTTTTGGACTGATGACCTGCCATACACACAGTAGCGACAGTAATACCAGGACTAAGTAGTCGAGGTAATTGGGTATTCTACTATTACTCGGTACATACACTCATACACACTCACTCACACACTCATTCACCCTACTAATCCTACTACCAACCTTACGCTACGGTCCACAGGTTTACCGTATACGCTTCTACCATCTCCATCTACCACCTTCCGCCCACCCAAATCCGCACTATTACCTCTCTCTACCTTTTTTTTCCCTCCCTCGTACCAAATCCGAACAATCCCACCACCAACCACTAATCCTCTAACTACGGAGTAATTACTTAGGTACTGTACTACTTGGTACTTGGTAGTTACTTACTCTACTTTACCTTTACTTTACTTTACCTTACCCTCACTCTGTCTCTCACTAACTCACTAACTACCCTCTCTTTTCCCCTCCCTCCTACGCCTGCGCCTACGCCTACGCCAGCGCCAGCGCTTCTTCTTCTTCTTCTCCCACACAACCCACACACGACACTCTCAATTTCCTCTCCCCCTCTTCCTCCTCCGTGGTTCTGGTAATCTTCACAAAAGGTCGCCAGATCTTTTCTACTTCCTTTCCTCCCTCTTCCCTCTTCTCTTTTCGCCCGCTACCTCTTCTCCCCACCCGTTGCTCCCTCTCACTCAACGACCCCCAAGTTCGTCTGTCTGTCTCACTCCGCCGTGACCTCGAAACACTCGTCCCTAGCGAGTAATAGTGAGTGAGCAGTGAGTGCCTACTGCGACCACCACCACCACCACCACCACCACCACCCTCGCCAACAACAAGGTCAACAAACACCACCTGCTCTAAATACCCATCTGCCTCCCCGGAGATACTCTCTTCTTCTGGCGACAGAAATCTCTGGTTATAGCCGCTCCATCGGATTGTAAACATCCTACATCGTCGTTGGCGCGCATTCGTCTTCGCACAGGTTCAAAACTTTGTAGGTCAGTTCTGCCCGCATCGCTACTGCCGACCCCCGCGACCGTCCTCCTTCCTTCCTTCCCTTTTCACCGCGCGCCGCTCCTCCACCAATTCGACCCTCGGGCGTGCCTCGTTTGTCAGGTACACGTTCTGTGGCGATAGTACGGGCTGCCCACCGTCCACGATCGCCATCGTCACTCATCTGGCTCTGTGGACGTCTCCGACATTATTCCCTACCTGTTTTCCTCTTTTCCCCAGAGTGCTCCCTGGGCTCGCTGCAAGCCACTTCCTGAACACGTCCCCTTGGCTGTAGGCAACTTTTTTTTGGGCCTGTCCTCACAACCCAGGTTGCCACTTTCGAACGCACATTCGGGGTCAAGCTGTACAAATAGCTTGCTAACTCGCTCCCTTCCAGAATTTCGTCCAGCCTACGTCACACCTTCACGGGTTCCTTCACGAATTTCTCAACGACTTCCCCGCCGATTCATACGATACATCCACGATCAACGAACTTTGCTCTACGCTCACAACCACGTACTCTTTCCTCTTCACGCTACAGCGGAGCTAAAGTCTCTGGATCGTCTTGCAGCGCACAACCAACCCTCGGTGAAAACCAAGGAATCCAAGTGCGGAGAGGTCGATAGCTGAGCCTCTCCGGACACAAATCACACCCTTTACGATACTGGGCGATTGATCGGAGTCTTCAACTGAGGACCAGAAGCACTTCCTTCATTCCTCTCATACATACACATACACACCTGCACGACCGCAATTTATACCCCCACACAGAAACTATCTCAACAATGGCAACAACCACACAGCCACGCCGTCAAGGCAACGAGAGCACAGCTCCCTCTACATTTTCTTACGCACAGGCGGCCAAAGGACTCTCCGGCACAGCTACTTCCGCGACAGCCCCTAGCAAATCAACATCCGGAACGAATACGCCCGCAAAGGAGTCGCGATCAAATTCGATCCCAGCAGTCGCTTCCGTACCCAGCTGGGCTGATGACGCCGATGCTGACGCCGAACAAGCAAACGCTAGCAATCTGAATGGAGCACGCGAAACGACTTCACAGGTGTCACCACCAAAGCAAGCCGTCACCCAGCCGGCTACCAATGGCTCGGCCGTGTCGTCTCCAGACCTTGGAGCCTCTTCGGCATCCACCGCCGTCAAGGACGATGACGTTACGTCGTTGCAGAATGGAACAGCAGAGTCGTGGGAAAATAAGTCACAGGCTTCCACTTCCGTAGATAAGACCTCCGAGCCCGCAGAGACTACGGCAGAGAACGCAGAGAAAACAAAGGGCAAGGGAAAGAAGGCAGACAAAGCACCGCCCAAGGTGCTGCTTGATGCACCAATACCCACAGTCAACCCTTGGGCGCGCAGGTTGGAAGAGCAGAAGGCCAAGGTGGTACAGAAACCGGCCGCTAAAACGAATCAAACCAACGGTGTCCCTCAAGGACCCTCCTCTGACGCTACAGCGAAGAGAAGCAAGCTCAATCCCTCATCGGAGAGCGGCGATGCCAAAGACAGGAATGTTACTGCAGACGGAAAGCACAGGCAGGATCGCAGTAAGCAAGAGCACGACGCGGAGAAATCCAGGAAGGGCGGTAAGGGCAAGCCGTTCGACAAGAATTCAGCGTCGCTCCCGCTTCCTCCTACGCGTGACCAAGAGTCATGGCCGACGCCTGAGACCGCTGTGGACGAAGACAGGAAAAAGAACAACGGAAAAGCGGATAAAACCGAGAAAGACCGTAAAGACAACGGGCCTGCAAGCAAGAAGGAGTGGGTCTCCATGCCTTACACTCCAACCGTTGTGTTCAGTACCCCGTTGCCCGCTGCAACGTCGCGAAGAGGTGGCCGAGGAGGAGCTCGTGGCGGCGCGCAGAATCCGGCCCGAGGCAACAACATCGGTGCTAATACCGCCGGAAGCGCCGAAAAAGATGCCTCTGTGCCGACTCCTTCGATCAACGGTGATCAACCAAAGCACGGCCGTGCTGATGGGTCCAACGTGCGTGAAGGTTCTCCCAAAGAAGGGCGAGCAGCCAATGCTAACGCAGCTTCTGCAAAGACTGGAACGTCTTCTGCAGAGAAAAGCTCTAAAGTTGCATCTGGTGCCGAAGCTGATGCTCACTCTCGCAATGTCTCTAGCGTGACCGACGCTGCAGTTAACTCAACCACCTCCGCACCGAACAACAATTTCCCTCGCCAGTACCCAAATCGTCCTGGCAAGGGTAGGAGGGGAGATTTCGCGGGTGGAGATCGCAGGAAGGATGGAGATGTAAACTCGGCCTCTAAGGATAACTCCGGAGCCGCAGACAAGCGCGCATCCGCTAACCAGAATGATGGTAAGTTTATTTTGATGCAATGGTTATTTTGCTCTCCCTATCATCTTCGTAACAGTCGATACTGACTTCAACGAAACAGCTGAGGACGCAGACCGACGATCTGGCGCTCCCCAGGAAGGTCAGGTCAACCCGCAAAAGGGTGCCCCAAGCGAGCGCCGAGGCGGCTTCAATTCGTTCTCAGGTCGCGAACGTGGTGGCCGTGGTGGGAACCGGGGAGGTCGAGGAGGATTCCAGAACGGAAATCATCAGTTCACAAATGGTCACGCACCTGCGGTCCAGTCCACTTCGTCTTTCTCTCTCGCCCGCTCACCACCAAACTTCCACCCCGAACAGGCTGCCTACTTCCCCGCCCCTTCTGGACATGGTCGTGGGTACAGGAATGGCCCTCGATCGCAATCCGTCACGAATGAGAACATGTTTGTACGCATGCCGTATCCCGGCATGCCTCAGCAGCTTGCACCGATTCAGACGTTTGCTCCAGCGCAGTCGTACGACTACATGCCTCCTGTCAGCGCGGTACCTTACAGTCCATATGGCGTCGACCAGTGGACCATGACCTCAATGGTCTCTACTCAAATGTACGAAAATCAAACCACCAGGCTTCATGACAAGAGCTAACATGTATTTAGGGAGTATTACTTTTCCGTCGAGAATCTGTGCAAAGATATCTTCCTGCGCAAGCATATGGATTCGCAGGGCTTCGTTTTCTTGAGCGTGCTCGCCGACTTCAACAGGATTAAGCAGTTGACAACAAACATCGACATCATCAAGCATGTCTGCCACGCCTCTCCCACCATCGAGTACCGAGTTGGCGTTGATGGTAGAGATCGATTGCGACGACGAGAGGGCTGGGAACAGTGGGTTCTCTCATCCTCTGACCGCGACCCGTCGGCACAAAATGATGGCCCCGAGGAGCTGCATAGCCCGCCCGTCCCGACTTTTAACGGATTTGATCCCCGTTATCCAGACATGCCACTGAACGGAGCGCTTCACTCAAGCAACAACGATGTCCCTACTAATGAGTTTAAGGGTAAGGCAGAGAGCCGTAACTGGGAGAACGGAACACAGGATCATGTTCTGGACCCCAATGCGCCTGCCGTCAATGGATTTGGCAGTGCTAACGGTCATGTCAACGGCGTGAATGGACATGCTGTTGAAGCACCCGTCAACAACGCTGTGAGTGGCGAATTTGATTCTTTCTCTGATCGGCAAGTCAAATCTTTGCGCGTCATTGTTCGCGAGCAAGATGGACAGCCACTAGAAACACATCTATCTCCCTCCGTTTTACGAACCTTTTCTAATGGACCAAACAGCAGTAGAAACGGTGTACCTGAATCTGCTTGGAGGCGTACCGAACGGTAAGACTTCATGTCGGCGCCCTCACTACTAGAAGTTATGCTTACGGTTTGGAATAGTGTAGCAGGGTCTGCAGCGAGGACTCCCTTGTATTGGGTCAAGAATAAAGATGCGCCCGTGGAGTCTCCTCCTCTCGACTCGTCAAACGAACCCTACACCAACCTACGAGAAAAAGCATTATCCCAGCGTCAACTATCAGCACTTGGAACTTGTCCCCACGATATGAATGTTTTGTATCAGTTTTGGTCCCACTTTCTCATTCGCAATTTCAACACTACAATGTACGAGGAATTCCGGCGGTTCGCCTTTGAAGATTTCCTTCACAACAACTCAGTTGTTGGCTTTGCCAACCTCGTCAAATATTACGGAGATACGTTGTCATCCTCGCAAAGTCTCATTCGAGAGCGCGTCGCCCGGGATTACGTGGATCTGGTCAGAATCGAAGCTACAATCTTACGGCCAGCGTTCGATCAGTTGCAATCTTCCTTACGCGAAGGAGGCCTTAGTGATCGAAATCGCGACACGATCACCCAATTCCTTGACCCTGAACTCAAAGCGTTTCTTGGATGAGGCAAACCCTAGCTCAGTGGCGTTTTCGAAAACAGCAACGGTTATTTTGTAATGGTGGCGACCGACGGCTCCTGCTTCGATACATCTTTGTTTCATTCCCTACCTCTGCCTGTTTTCCACGGCTTCCGAGTTCTTGTCAGGCCTAATTTTTCTTCCCTATCGGATATTACATGGTTGAGGGGCTCCCTTTTTTTCTTTCAAAAGTTTTGGCTTTGGCGTTCGTAATGGTTTCTGGCCGGTGGAAGCATATCTCCTTTCCTAGACATCAAAGTGGGTGGGTTCAGCCCAAAATTCCTCATGTTCACACGACAGTTTTCCGGGACGATACCTAAACTTGGGAAGCCCGAGCTACAATGGGAAATGGCATTGTGGCGTCTTGCATTTCGTCTCTCCACTACACTCACGGCATAGCGACAACTGTTATTCGCTAAATCTTCTCCTTCGCGGGTGTACTATCTCAGTACACTGGTCTGTTTCCCCGAAAGATCAAATCACTCAAAATTCCCTTCATCTCTGCCTGTTTCTGTTTCTCTTTGTTTCTCATCTGAGCTCGCGTGCCGAAAAACTGCTTACATCCGGGGCTGGAGGACCCCAGTAAATAAAAGCTACGGTTTTTTGTTCCTTTCATGTAAACTACAACGTCAGAAAGTACATGTGTGTTAGAATATCACTGTTTGGTGTGGGTATAGAAATGTCTTCAACATTGCGTGCATGTGATTGAGTGGAGACGAAGCCTTGAATTATGATGTCATGCGTTGTCACAAGAAACAATTCAAATGCTAAATCAAAAGACGTTGCGGTTCTTCGACCTACGAGGTACAAGCAGTACCCAATGTTTCGAAAGAGTCATGCATAGAAGTTAATAAGAGGCCATGAACCAATCGATATCTCCCCTAGGACGAGATTTGATTGACACGTATTTCTGTCGAATTACAACTCATCATCTCTTGCACGTAGATCTGTCAGGGTCCATCTCCAACGGCTAGTGCGGTAGGGCGAATCAGATGGAGCGTAAATGTGGGGACCCGGCTACCGCCGAGTGGCGACATCTGCGCCACAATCGCCTTAAGACGACATTCATCGCCTCTTCCCCGCAACCCTTCTTCCTCTTCCTCCAAACTCATATTGACTTTATTGTCTATCAGGCGCTGGTGAGATCGCCTATATTACAATGGCCTCAGTGCTTCGCTTCCACCAGCTGGTGGCCAAGAACGCGAAAGTGTTCAAGTAAGTACTCAATGATGCAACTACCGAGTGACGTTGACTGACTCACCGCAGGGCCGCCTGGCGACATGCTGCGAAGCTCGTCCAGAATCAACTACCACCTTCCATCCGGCCAACTCAGGCACAACTTCAACCTATCCTCGCTAGGAACGCTCCCAGACATCCCATCCACCGCGTCGCTTTCTTGAAGCAGAGCAAAGGTCGGTGGTACAGCACTCACAGTGCCATCACCTCCACGGTCCGCCGTTTCACCTCCGCTGCAACTCGCTCGTCCGGCGTCAAGTATGACCGCTCATCATTCCCAAAGTCTCGCACCGGGTTTGCTGTGAACAGCCAATCCGGACGCGCACCCTTTGCGTCGACGCTTCGCCCCAACTTGACCGGCGGCACGCTCGGAAGGACCGCCGGGGGATACGCTTGGGGATCTGGTAGAGCGGGAGGTGCTCGTTACTTCTCGCATGGTCCCGCAGCGCCCGCCCAAGTCATCAACAACGTTTCACAGGCGGTGCGAGCGTTCATGATCTCTGGGTCGAAGGCCCAATTCGACGGCATCGACCCGCGTACTGGCGAGAAGCGATTTAAGTCTGTTTCTGCCCTGCAGGATAAAGTGAACCGTACCCTCAACCGGTCACCCAGGGCCACCCCGGGAACGACAGTCAGCTTCAACATCAACCCTACCGTCACCGCCCTCTCGCCATTGAAGGCCGTCAAGGGCTTCCCCTCCTTCGCTCAGGAGAAGGAGACCCTTAACCAGGATGGTCTCATGGACGTTCTCTCCGTGGATTTCTCCAGGGCTGTCAAGGAACTCGCTGCTGTGCTGAGAGATCTTCAACGGCTGTCATCGTTGGGTGATTTACCGATTACATACGAATCGTCCAAGCTTCGGGTACACTTCCCCGGCTGTAACTTCGAAATCGTCGAAACCATTTGCGACGAGCTAGGAGTACAGCGCGGGGTGATCCAACAGGACGAAGACTTCGACTCCTACGTCGGCACGGACATCGCTCTGCTCTTCCCCTTTGCACCGAGCCGGACCCCCTCTGAATGCTCCTTCTATGAGAAGTCGGTCACAGGGCGCCAGCAACCCATTGATTGGCGAAACATGATGACCCCCTCAGAGCTCTCGGACAACTACTCCACCCACTCAGAGTACGAACTCGACTTCGAAAACGTCACCGAGAACCCGTACTGGGCCTCCTCCCCCTCCGGCTACGAGAGTCTGCACGAGAGCGAACTAGAAGATTCAATCGACCTCACCACACCGCTGGAGTACCAAGGAATCGAAGGGATATATCGGTTCATGGAGCAGTGCGGACCCACTCGGTAGAGCCCGCCGCGTTTGCGTTGCGGGTTCCCAGCGGCGGTTCGTAAGCTCACTATATCACGACCGCATTTGATGATTTTCGTTCTTCCCTTTTTTTCACAATACCACTTGGCTTCAGATTGGCATGTTAGCAAACTTGGGTTTTTTTCGTGGTCATGGATACACTCCTTCCCTCTCCTATGTAGCAATATGAAAACATCTTCAAAAAACAAGCATTGGTCTCCCATCGTACCCTCTATTATATACTTGGCGTTTAACATTTTGATTTATCCCCCCCCCCCCCCTCTCTCACAATGCCGCGAGAATCCCCAACGAAAACTGCACATCAATCTTTTCCCTGGTGTCTCAGTCGTGGAGTACATCTTAGAAATTCAAAGAGAGCAATGAGCATGAGCAATAATATGTACACACAACGATGTACCGGCTGTACCGAAAATGCAGCCTTAGTGTAGCAACGTACTTGCCACTTGCAGACTCTTTATTGGCTAAGTGTCTTCGTTAATCACTGTTTACTTCCTTTTTAAGAAAGTTACAGGCTGTCGGGAGTTATCATGTGCCTCTCCAAGGGCTAAATTCTGCCCTATCTTCCCTGTAAACAATAATTCACTAATCAATTACTGCTCTGAATTAGAACGATCTTTTAAGTTCGTTTTTCTAGCTCCCATTCTGCAAGACCTGGGTTGATCCAGGTTTCTGTTTGGAATTGTATGCAGACGCGGAAGGTACCCAAGCCGTGAGATAGAAGAAGACGCACAGTGCGGGGCATGCATATAAGATGCGTCACAATAATAAATCAGTGTAACCGAAACGCATTCACCGGTCTGACAGGAGACCAGTCATGGTAGGCCAATGGGCAACGACCAAATTGGACAGTATGGATGGACCACTATTTTATAGGTAGGTATAAAGGGCCGTTGTATAGTTCCACTTTTCACAATCTGTAAGCTTACTAGCCTTTTTGTCACAATGCTCTGTACCAACTGTAGCCAGATTTTTGCAGAGCTTCGCCTCGAGATACCAAGGAATCACCCATCCACCCTAAAAGATGTCCAGGTAGCAGCATCGAAGTCCTGCGCGATCTGCACAGAACTATGGGACTTATTTTGCCGCCAACAACGGCCACTGATACCCAGTCCTGCACCCTCTTCGAAGCCTGTCTCAAGATATTGGATCGACAAACGTGGACAACATTACACCTTGACTTTCATGGCGAACGCTCTTGGAGTCGATACGCAGGGACCGAAGGGCTTATCGGACGTTATTCAGCTATTTGTGCTACATAGGGTGAAAGGTGTGTTCATGAGAAGCAAGTGTTAGGAGGGATTACTAAAACTGCTCCGTAGATGCTGAACTTCTACCGAAATACACACCACCGGAAACTCTTGACCTTGAAACTTTTCAACCTCTTGCACGGCATTGTTTATCCCGCTGCCTCTCAATGCACTCAAAATGTAACTCCACCAATCCATCGCGCTCTCAGCTCCCCATGCCCACACGCCTCGTTCGCATTGGCGCACCAACGTATGACCAAATCCAAGTAGTGGCTCATTCTCATTTCGATTCTACTCCGGCTTCAATCCCTTATGTGACACTCAGTCATTGCTGGGGCTCAATACCCATCTTCACGTTAACATCCACATCCCATCACGAACTTCAGTCCGGAGTTCAGATGTCGCGCCTTAGCAAAACATTCCAAGACGCACTTGCCGTAACCAGAGCTCTGGGCTACCAGTTCATGTGGATAGACTCCTTGTGTATAATCCAAGATTCGATGGATGATTGGAACCATGAAGCACCGCTGATGCAGAACGTCTATCGCGGAGCGGTTTTCAACATTGCGGCGACGGCCAGTGCGAACGGTGATGGAGGATTGTTTCGCTCGCGAGATGTGCGATCTCTCGAGCGAACACTGGTCAGCTTCACATGTGAAGATGGAAGCAGCCAAGTCTATCGGCTAATATCCAATGAGTTCTGGCGCAAAAGTTTCGAGGGACAACCGTTGATGGAGCGCGGCTGGGTTGTGCAAGAATTACTTTTGGCGCCCAGGGTACTGCATTTCAACGAGGGTCAGATGTTTTGGCACTGCTACGACGTCGCGTCGTGCGAGACGTTTCCAGAGGGTGTCCATACTGCCATTCCCGTCGGGGATAATTCTCCAAGTTTCATCCTGGCGTGCCTGGATATCCCGGCCTCTGTCCATGATGACCCGTCGTCTGGTAACAAAAAGCTAGCCTTAGATCTTTGGGAAAGAGTCGTCTGTTATTACACAAGATGCAAACTAAGCTACTTGGAAGACAAACTCGTAGCTGTGGCCGGCATCGCTAGGCTTGTCCAAAAAGCTATCTGCGACGAGTACTGCGCAGGTCTATGGGCAGAATTTCTCCCGACCCAGCTCCTCTGGAAGAGCCGCTCTGTCAATCCCCAATCGCAGGTTTATCGAGCCCCATCTTGGTCGTGGGCGAGCGTAGACACCGGGGTGATGTATGGATGCGAACCCCTGTCGGAGTCGAATTCCAAGTACCTTAAGATATTGGTTAACATTATAAATCATGAAGTCGTGACTGCTACTCAAGACCCTTTTTCGAAGGTGATAGGTGGCACTATTCGACTCTCAGGACACCTTTTTACCATGGTGCTACGACCTTCGAAGGCGGGCGAGTGGAATGTCTCGATAGATGGGAAGGAGTTCGATTCAACGGGACAGATTGTACTTGATTACCAGCCTCCAAGCCCTGAACTTCATTGTCTACCAATATCAGCCAATCTATACTTCACTCCGGACGTTTCCTGTCTTCTACTTGTCCCCACCGGAACGACAAAGGGACAGTTTATGCGATGCGGGGTGATGCAAAATTTCCAATCAGCGCTGGGCATGTCAGACTGGACTGAATACCAATCGATCAATAGCCACGAGTGGCTGGAATACGAAGCTATGGAAAGCCCTGGCGTGTACAGGATATCTATCGTTTAAAGTGGTCCGGAGGCAGGCTACTACAAAACAATGCTCTTGAATCAGCGACACCGCCACCCCATTTTCTTCATCAAGAATGCTATCATCTTCAAACTCCGTTCAAACAACATTGACTTTGGTCAACACTGCCGCAGACAGGAGTTAGTTTAAATGAAAGATGGCAATGACTCAGCTTGCACCGTGAGGAATGCTTGGATGCATCTTCATTTGCACTATGTTTGAAGATGTGGCATATTGGAGAGTCAAAGAGTTGGCAGTATCCTACCTTCAATCATTTTCTATACTATGTTTGTACAGCAGTATACCTATACACCATAGCCACTTCAAAAGCCAAACTGATATCTCAATAACCATTCAACTCATATCTTATACCTTACACGTCCACCTTTGAAAGTAGGAGAGCATCGGGAGTCATGATCGATGTCACTCAAAACAGTCCAGGGTCAGATATCTCCCTTCTGGATATTCCTCGAGCCGGTACTAGCCAGCTCAATCAATGCCACTCACTCTCAAGATCATGACAACAAAGATCAGATGAGATGAAATATGCAAAAAAATAAAAAATAAAAAAGAGGAATCAACCCAGGTTTGAACCTGAGCTGTTTCCAGAAAAACAAGAACAGAAAACAACGCTTATTGGCAGTATCCGATGTATGACCCTTTAACATTGTGCAGGTTTCATGAAATCGATCAAGGTCGATTCCACTCCGGCCACACAAGTCGTGGAAAAGCTATTCTTGGTAGAGCCTGATTTCTCTACTTCAGTGGTAGCCTCGGAATCCTTGAAAGTTCTTAAAAGTTAAGGCCTTTATATAGGTTCTATTCTGTTTTACTCTTTTCTTTCACCTGTGCACTCAGGACGGCTAGCGTACTTGCCTGTCTGAATACTCACAATCTTAATTATCATTCACTTAATACACACACTGGTCAATGAATTCCAACGCACAGATATATACCCACGTCTTCTTCTAAAATCTAATCAAGAACTTATTTGCATAATGACCTGCCCCTCCTAGACTACCCACGCCAATGATGATCGCCCGAACGGGTACGGCACGACCCATTCCTACAACAAGCCTCCCCCACGCCCGACACGTGTGGTTGCCTCGCCACCTCACTGGCCAACGATACTCAACGTCGCACACCTTGATGTATACCAACAACAACACTTGCGCACTTCCATTCCTCGTGAATAAACTACCGCCCGTTTCCTGTATACACGTGCGCTGCCACGGCCAAGAGAGAGGCCGAGGATGACATTGGGTTTAGGTATACTATTACTATTGCTGCCTGGTTTAGTTCGACGGGAGGGACGTCGCTCGTATGCGGCATGTACGAACGTGCAGTAGATCGCAATTCACAATCCGATGTGTATATATAAATCCAATGTAGCATGTCCCTTCACTCTCATCAAAAATAAGAGATACTCCCTCCAGCATTTTTGAACTCAAAGCCCCAACAACATCATGCATCTACCGTTCCTCCTCCCCGTCCTCTTCACTTGCACGGCCCTCACATCCGCAGCAGCAGTGGCAGCAGCGGCGAAACCGACCGTGTACCTGATCCGCCATGGCGAGAAGCCAGAGGAAGGTACGGGGCTCAGCGCGGAGGGCGTCCAGCGCGCGCAGTGTCTGAGGAAGGTATTTGGTAAGGAGTCGAAGTATGATATTGGGCATGTTATGGCGCAGCAGTATAAGCCTGGTATGTTCTATTTCCACTTCTTTTGCCCAGCACCCATCTACCATCACGTATTCCCAACAGCATGAAAACGCCAAAGAGAAGAGGCAAAGAAGGGGGCAGTTGTTCTGAGACAGCTCACTCTGATACTAACGACCACTTACCCAGACGGCAAACGCAAGCGCGCATACGACACCGTCCTCCCCGTCGCCACAGACCTCAACCTCCCCGTCGACCTCTCCTGCGACCGCGACGACCCCAAGTGCGTCCGCAAGGTCGTCGAGAAGTACGATGGCTCCGGGAACATCCTGATCGCGTGGGAGCACGACGCGCTGAGGGACATTGTGATCGAGATGGGGGTGAAGAAGAAGAATGCGCCGAAGTATCCGGACGACAGGTTCGATCTGATTTGGACGTTGGCACAGCCGTATGAGGAGGTTGTTATTGGGGAGGAGGAGTGTGAGGGGTTGGATAGGAGGGATGAGAAGAGGGAGAGGAGGTTTTAGGGGTTTCCTAGATGAATTGAAGAATGAGAAGCTACTTGATGCTTGGTTTGAATCTTTCTGTGTTCAATTGGTTGCTTTGGCTTGTGATTCGGATGTTAATATGCGGGACGTTATGCATTTGTCCATTGTCGATGATGATTGACTTTAAACAACAATATAAGATATTTTGCGTTTGCTGGTGTATCTCAGCTGGCAACCCTGTGCTTGACAGCACATGCATATACGTATGAGCTTACAGCGTAGTTTAAGTGGATGCGTAATGGTCCATAGCATGTATATAAGATGCCAATCCTTCACAAGTGATATCAATGCTATCAGACATTGGACGATTCTCGTTGAGTGATGTCAGATCTCACCAAGTCAATATCAAGAACGTAAGCGGGACGTGTTCCGCGCCGCAATCCTCCACCAACAACCTATCCGATAATACCTACCGGCAGGTATTGTACGAGTAATCGACCATCTCAAAGGCAAACTCCCCATCTCGTCTGCCCCGCAAAGCGGAAGGCGGAAAGCGGCAAAGCCCTTGGCCACTTATCCGAAAACGCGACCAGTTCCCCTCGAACCGACCAATAAGCACAGACGATGTCGTAACGAAAAAGCCCTTATTCCCGGCACGATTCGCGTTTATCAGATTTGCCTTAAGGAGAAGAAGGGAAAATTCCCATTCGTTATCATCAGAAGCCCGTTAGTTCGTCGTTAATAATTGTACTTACCTTCGTACCTCGGACTGGGGGCCTTTTGCTTTCTCCTCAAAAGCTAGATACGCCGCCCGCCCACCGCACTTTTCTTCTTTAACCTATCTTCCTCCACTTTATTTGCCTTCTCTTTGGATACTCAGACGAACGTTTCGCGGTTATGGATACTCGTGTGCACCCTTGATATAATTGCGTGTATTGGATCGAAACTTCATTGTAGCTGGACGACTTTGCGCCGCTTCTGTCCCATGCATCGTTGGAGGTCTCTACACAGTGCGGAGCTTGCCCATTTATTCCCGGGCCTATGATGACGAATCATGAGTCACCTCTGCGCGAGGTTGGAGATGGGAAAGAGGAGGATGGTTCTGTTCGTGACCGCATCGATGGGTCTGTGAAGAGCAAGGATGATGTTGTCAGGGACGGCAGTGCGATAGGGGATGGAGGACGAAGGGATGCGACGAAGGGTGAGAAGAGTGATGAAGTGCCTGCGACCGATGGAACTGTAGAAGCTGGCGAGCTTGAGGTCGATGAGAAGAAGGTTGATGAGCCGCCTAATGGAGGTTACGGTTGGGTTATGGTGGCTTGTTGTGCTATCATTAATGCACGTAAGTTTGTAGCTTGGATGAATGCTCTGCGATTTCCTTGTTGCGCTGAGAATGAGTCGAGTGTTGTATAACTTAGAAGGATAGGCTAACATTCTGATAGATACTTGGGGTCTCAATTCTTCCTACGGAGTGTTCCTCGCATACTATCTTGCCAACGACGTTTTCCCCGGAGCAACCCCTTTGCAATACGCGTTCATCGGCGGACTCTCCATCTCGCAGGCACTGGCAGTGTCGCCCGTTGCAACCATGACTACGCGCCTCTACGGAACCAGAACGACCCTCCTGATCGGCGTGTTCTTCGAGACCATCTCCCTGATCGGCGCCTCTTTCTCGACCAAGATCTGGCACCTGTTCCTCTCCCAAGGAGTCTGCTTCGGCTGGGGCATGGGCTTCCTCTTCGTCGGATCCGTCGTCATCGCGCCGCAATGGTTCAGCACGAAACGCAGTCTCGCGAACGGCATATCAGCCGCCGGGTCCGGCGTCGGCGGCCTCATCTACTCCCTCGCCGCGCAATCCATCATCCGCAACGTCTCGCTAGCATGGGCATTCCGAATCCTAGGCATCATAGCGGGAGTCGTCAACTTTACGTGCGCCATTCTCGTCAAAGACCGCAACAAGCAGATCGGATCCAGCCAGCTATCCTTTGACCACCGGCTCTTCAAACGAATCGAGTTCCTGGGCCTCTTGACCTTCGGATTCCTCAGCATGCTGGGCTACATCGTGCTCCTGTTCTCGCTGCCCAGCTACGCGCGGTCGGTAGGCATGGACGCCCGGCAGGGCTCCATCATCGGCGCCGTGCTCAACCTCGGCCAGGCGATGGGCAGGCCGCCGATCGGATACTTCAGCGACAGTTTCGGCCGCGTCAACATGGCGGCCACCATGACGTTCCTGTCCGGCCTGTTCGCGCTGGTGGTGTGGATGTTCGCGGACAGCTTTGGCGTGCTGATCTTCTATGCCATCGTAGGTGGTGCAGTTGCAGGGACGTACTGGGCTGTCGTTGCGCCGGTCACGACGGAGATCATGGGAATCGTGGATTTGCCGAGTTGTTTGAGCATCACGTGGCTGGTTTTGGTGCTGCCGACGACTTGTGAGTTTTCCTCTCTTCTTGGACGTTTGTGTCTATGTTACTATTGTCCTTTTGACTGACTTGATGTGTTAGTTGCCGAGCCGATCGCCCTCGAGATCGTGGCGTTCAACGGCGGGACGTACAGGGGCGCCACGCTGTTCGCGGGCTTCATGTACGTGGGCGCCGCGGGGTTTCTATGGCTGGTCAGGGCGTGGAAGATGGGGGAGTTGGAGAGACAGGCTGCGATTCTGGGCCGCAGGGGCTCGAATATGGATCCGTTGACCGTTGCTGCTGAGCATCGTCCAAGTGGCGGAGAGGGAGGGAGAGAGGTGGGAGGTGATGTGAAGATTACGCCGTTTGTGACGAGGCTGTTTAAGTGGCAGAGAGTGTAGATGCATACTTGCATATAGGTTTTGATTTCTTTGAGATGTTTGGAAAGGGTTGGTGTTTTGCATATAGGCATACTGCATTTTGCGTTTGCATTGGATGGAAAAGTGTACATAGATTCCCCAAAGCATATATGAATGTATAATCTCTCTCTACAATCAATTCGTCTCTAAACAAACAACAGTTCCTCCAATTGGCTTCCTGCCGAATTATAATGTACTCCCATACCTTACCTAGCTACCTTTCTGCTCTTAAAAAAAAACGTATCACTAGATTCGCGTATAGCACCTCTCTATACTTTGCACATTATCACGCACACGGTGTAAAGTACTAGGCGGCACACACCCGAAACCCTTCTAGCTCCCGCTTCCTTCTAGGCTTTCTAGCGCGAACCCGCTCCAAAAGAAACCCCTGAACCAGCGAAAAGTAGCCAAATTAATTTTCCGTGACTTTTTTTGTTTTATTTTAGCTCCGTTTCCGTTCATTATTTATTTGTTGTTTGTTTCGACGCGTAGAGGGGAAGCTTGACGCGTGCGGGAGGGTGCATTGAATTGATATAACACCACCTGGGTAGATTGGTTCATAGAGTCTGGGAAGCAGTAGGCAACTACTCGCCCCATGCAGAGGGAGATTGAAGTATTCTACAGGTTAAAGCTTTAAGGGGGGTGGAGGGGGGAGAACGGAGGGGTAGCTCCATTGAGGAAATTTGGGAACGTGGCCCGCCGGGAGCTTTTGCGGACAGCGAAGCGAATAGTTGCCTACCCTTAACCATCGAAGAGCGCGACGCGGCGGCGCACAGCCAATGGATCTCGGTCGCCGGCAAGAATCTGAGGGAGAGGAAAGGACAAGTCACACGTGTTGGATGGCAAAAAAGAAATGTGGTGGTGTTGATCGATTCCGGGATTGGGGGGCGATGATGACGAAAGACGAGAGAGAAGGGCTCCGTTAGAGGAGAATTGTTGGTGAGGCTTGCGCATCGCACATCTGACGAGAGAACACAACATGTTGGTAAGGCACAGTTTGATAGATGATGACGGTTTAAGAAACAGCCGAATGTCGCACAGCGTCACGGTTTCCATGTGTTTCGTACACGACCGTGTGGGTGGGAGGGAAACGGGCGTGCGCTGTGTGTAACGTTGGAGAAGAAGAAGTAGAACGGGAAGAAGGAATGAATGTTCTCCTCCTATCCTATCAAGGCGATGCTCATGCTTCGTACCTACATTGTTACTGGACTGGTACGGAGTATTGTAGGTTAATAATGTCATGCGGTGCCATGTTGGAAAAGAGGCTGACCCCTTGCGGCATGACACGTTCTCCTGGCCCACACCTGCATCTTCTCTAATAGTAGTAGTTAATACCTAGGTAGTGACCTGGTTGTACCTACTCTGGTAATTTACTTGGATGGTGACTTACCATTCGCTGCCCAGTCCCCTTTGGTCCATCTCTCCTACACGGTCTAACACCTCACACTCCTCCACCCCCCGTCATTGTTCATCGCCCATCATTGCTTCATTTCATCCTCGTCGTCTCTCGTGTCCATGCTCCCCGTTTCTGTCTGACCTTTCGGTCTCCCAACCAATCATTCCCCCGCTGACTTAGCCTCTCCTTTCCTACCTACCTACCTATTCTCCCCCAACTAATTATTCCCTCCCTCCTCTACGCACACCTCACCTCTCCTCCTCCTCCTCCTCCTCCTCCAACAGTACAGTCGCGAAACTTCGCATCCGCCCGTGTTGTCGTTGTTTCTCTTCACTGCTACTGCCGCTACCTTCGAGGGATGTTTGGTCTTCCAGTGTTTTCCAACCTCATGTCGCTCTTTTAGCTACTTTACACTCCTTTCTTTTGTAGCCCTTAATAATATCTACCGACGTCACACCTTGGTTCTCCCGCCTCAGGACGATACGGCCAACCTGACCTATTCACGCGTTGTTTGCCCAACAACCCCGAGAACCATCCCGTCTTCCATCTGGACGAGCGACTCCCTCCTTCTCGCTACCTCCAATCCGCCGAAGGTGCGCGTCTTTCCCCCCTCCGGACCGTCTGGGCCCGCCCGTTGATAATTGAATGCAAGCTCGACGCAAATCCTCGTCCTCCTCGCTCCCCTTACCGTCCTCGCCTCCCTCTGTCTTGCACGCCGAGGCCGATCCGAACTACTCTCCGGACGCTCGTGGCGCGCCATCTCCGGCACAGACTCTGTGGACTTGTCCCTCGCCGACTCAGACCCTTGGGTACTCGAGCCCGGAGCTTCCTCCACTTGCTTCGCTATCTGCCGTAGGAAATCTCCCGCGGACGCCCTCCACTGTTGCAAGACACGAGCGCACCGATAGCACATCGTACTTCACCGCTAGCTGGGGAAGCCCCTATAGACATCCACCTCCGTCCTTCAATCGCGGTCGTATCGTATCAACTAATCTCGGGAGCGACGATCTAGACGACTCGACCCATCTCGAATTCGGCCTTGAGCATTTGCTTCCGCGCCCATTAGAAGAGGATAATTCTCCGAATCGATTCAACCTTGAGCACCTTCTTCCTGATCATCTAGAGCAGGACGAACCCTCAAGCCAGTTCAACCTCGAACACTTAATTCCATCCCGACTCCCTTCAATCCTCGACACACCAACACGTTCAGGGTCTAATTCCAATCCCGCTACACAATCACTCGACCAGAGTCCATCCGAAGCGTGGGTTCGCCAGTTCTTAGACCGTCGTTGGAATCGAGAAACGAGCAATTGGGTCAGTGACAGTGAGACAGATCGTAGTGTCAGTGAGGAAAAACCGGTGATCGAACAAAGCAAGAAGAAAGGACACCCGTCGAGGAAGAACAACAAGACCCTGAATCAGCAGGATTTCTGGTCGCACTTTAGCGAGGGTCAAAAGGAAGAACTCGGCAAGATGATGGCATCAAGGTACGCCAACCCGGACACGCACTCACGGCAAGGGTCCGGGGGCAGTTTAAGATCGCAAATGGGCCGCAGTTCGAACGTAGAAAGGACTGCTGCAGCACCGAGCGTGTCGAGTCCAGTAGAGGCACCTAAGCCTTCCGAAGCCCCAGCGAAACCGGCAGCACCCGCCGCAGAGCAAGTTTATGCCCCTCGCCCACGCAAGAAGGTTTTGGTCAAGGGAAAGGGGTGCATCATTTCAATCGCGAGAGATGTTCCTCGCGGCACCCCGGGCTACCCACCGAAACCAATGACGGAGGCTGCTGTTAGGGAGAAGATGCAGCAATTCGAACGCGCAGGATATGATACGAGGGGATTCGGACATCGACAAGGCGATGATACTATTGAGGCAACTGCTTTGTCTCAGAACCGAGGCATCTGGCCAAGCGATGAGTACATTCGAACAGAGCGACTCCAAGGCCACCGTGTGCGGGTACCGAACAAGGCGGATTGGGACGCGTATGTCAACCATCTCACAGAAGCGAAGCTCGCAGCTCTAGGTGTGAGCTTAGGTGGAGATGATGAGGATCTATCTGCATCAAGAACCGCTTCTGCCGCGCAAATCGCCCTCCCCTTCTCGCCCCCTCTTCCCACCTCTTCCGCGGGAAGCCACCGAATCCAACGACAAGGGAGCATCGTTTCTGGTTCGTTCCCACTCGGCCCTTCGCCTGGTCACGTCTCCCGACAATCGATGGCGTCGCCCATGTCGGCGTTCGGTCCTGGGCGCCCAAGCATGCACATGCACAGGCATTCGACTTTCTCTCCCGCCAGCTTCATGCAGCAAGCAACTTCACCGCTTAACGGTTCATGGTCTCCGAACAATTATTTCGGTGTTCAGGGTGCACGAGGCGGATCGCCTGCTCTGCCGCTGAGTAGGCCAGATCTTGCCGATATTGTTTCACCCAGCTCTCCATTTGGCATGCGACCCAACCAGCAATTCCCCCTCACACCCTCGCAGAAGGATGATTTGTTGGCTCACATGCAGGCTCAGCAACAGCAGTTGCAGGCCCAGTTGATGAACCATCAGCAGCAACAAGTTCTTGGCATGCGGCCATCCTCGACACTTGCCGAAGTTCCTGAGGACGAGGCTGAAGAGGAGGAGGCACCACGACAGATGACACCACCCCTGAAGCACGCCACCCAGCCTGGCCCAGAGATTACCATCCCCACTCCCCGCGGCCATCGCCATAACATTAGCGCAAATCTTGAGCGTGAGGCACGGGATGCCGAGTACCACCTGGAGGAGGTAATTGACAAGCAGTTCAACGAAGGGGGAGATTTCAGCACTGAGCCTGAAAACGCGCAGGATTTCAAGCCCTTCAACCCCGTCAACAAACCACACTGGGACACAGTCTTACACCAACCCCAGCCGCACAACAGAGCACACTCTCTTGCAAAACCTTCGCAGAGCAGTCCTTTCAATTTCGCACCCCAAGAGAACCCACGTGGAGACAGCGATGGCGCAAAGACAAACATCTCCGATGTCACGAACCCAAGTTTGGAGGATGGAGAGCTTCACGAAGCCTCAAATGCCTCAACTCAACACTCCAAGGCACCTTCGCAGGTCAGCAACTCGTGGAAGGATCCCAAGTTCGCTTTTGGAAAGCCAGGATCGGCGATGCACAGCAAGCATACATCTCAGTCGTCCGTTTCGAAGTTCAATGTGGAGGCAAAGGAGTTCAAGTTCAATCCTTCGGCCTCTTTCAACCCCACGGCTTCGTTCAGCCCGTCCGTTTCATCCAACTTCTCCTTCTCGCCGGCGCTCAACTCAACTGGCTTCGATGCCTCGCAGAGCAACAGGACCAGCCTGGATGGCATGTCCGGCTTCAATGTCACTGCACCATCCTTCAAGCCTGATGCACCAGCATTCAAACCCGATGCGCCAGCCTTCAAACCTGATGTGCCGGCTTTCAAACCAGATGTGCCGGCTTTCAAACCAGATGTGCCATCTTTCCTGCCCGGCGCCCCAGCGTTCAAGCCTGATGTTCCAGCTTTCAAGCCCGACGTTCCAGCCTTCAAACCCGAGGCACCACTTTTCAAGCCCACCGCGGAAGCTGCTCCATTCCAGCCCACTCTTAGCGGCAATGCCATGCCTTCAAGTGGCTTCAACTTTGCCTCGAAAGGACCATCATTCAAGCCCGACGCACCGGTCTTCAATCCCGGTAGTTCCAGCTTCCAACCAGCGCTGCCCAATTCACCACCCACAGTCATTTCTTCGAAGATCTTTGGTAACGTTAGCATCTCGGCCAACGATATCATCAAGCCTGCCAAACGTTCGAAGGCGGTGCCGATCATTCGCCCTGACACTACCAGGCAGAAGACCCCAGAGGTGGAGGAAGAAGTTCATGAAGATGAGGCAGGGCGAATTACCAACGCTGATGGAAGAGAGAAGCGTGCTCGACGCGGTCGTGCCGACGGAGACGAAGTGCCCAAGTTTGCTCTACAGCCGGTACTGCCGTCGCAGCCAATGTCCGAAGCAAGGTCTCCTCAGACTAACAAGCAGGAGATCCAGGCTGACCGCGAGGTACTACCAGAAGACAAGGAGAATCTGTCACCCAATGCCGAAGATGCGCCTGCTAAATCAAAGACTCCTGAATCATTGCCTCTTGCCGAAGCCGAGGCTGTTGAGGACCTTGTATCGTCCCCCGAAAGTGATGCGGTTACACCGACAGTCGAAGAAGCGCCCAAGCCTTTCGGCAAGACTCACAAGCACAAGAGCTCGCTGTCGGCTGCCGCGAAGCCCTTCGAGTTCCGCCCTCAGAACAGCTACGATCTTGGTATTCACGTCACGAAACCATCCGTCTCGCAGAACGAGGAATTGGATGTCCACTCCAGCCCTGCTCGAAACGCAAGCCGTAGCCCGGCTACCACTTTCCGACCAAGCGACGATGGATCGTTCAAGACTGCTTTGGAATCTCGTAGGCACGTGCAATATCCTGAGAGCGAGAGTGTGGACTTCGACCAGCTTGGCCAAGCATCTTTCAACGATATCGACGCCGTTATGAAGCATATGAATGAAGAAGGATCCGACTTTGGTGTGGAACGCGATGAACCTGCATGGGAGCCATCATCACCGAGGCTTTCTACTCATGACTTTGAACGCAACGACCTACCGCCAACTACCAACCTGCGAAGCGACGCGCCCAGCCCCAGCCCACGGAGGCTCTACGTTCCTCCCAACATGCACGCATCATCGACTTCGATCATCACTCAAGACCCCTTCGACGACGAGCGCGCTGGCCTTGCTTATGAGTCGCCTGTGCATCGCTTGAATAATGCTGACGAGGTTCCTATGAGCGACTGGGATGAAGGTCTCTTGTCTGAAGGCGAAGACAAGATCCAAACTCGAAGTCGATTCTTTGACAGCCATGTGGACGACATCATCGGTCGTCTTTTGCAAAACCGCTTGGGCCCTCTCGAGCAGAACTTGCAAGTCATTCAAGACTCCATTTCTATGATATCGCAAAGTTCTGTACGTGGCCGACGCAGCATGTCTACGAATGAGCGTCTCGATAGTGATGCAGATGACGAGGACGATGAGTTCGGTACCGATTCTCACTTCCGCAATCGATCTCCTAGGAAGGACAGGAAGATGGAGAAGATTAGGTCCATCATCAAGGAAGCTCTCGAGGCTAACCAGCCATCCATCACATCTCTTCCGGTCCCCGTTCCGGAGCCGATACTGCCAGAGCGTATCCGTGATATTGTTGCGGACGCTCTTGTAGCCCACCAAGAACAGTCTCGATCATCCGAACAGGCTCAGTCTGAAAACATCCGCGACATCATCACGGAAGCACTTGCTCACCATCAACCACCAGCTCCTGCGGTCGCACCTGTTACTAATGATGACATTCGATCAATTGTTGCGGAGGCACTGGCTGCGCAGGAACCCAAGCAGACAGCCGATATTCTCCAGCCTGAGGACATTCGTGCCACTATCATGGAGGCTTTCGCAACACATGTCCCGCCCCAGGCTCCCGCTCCAGTACCTGAGCAAATCTGGCCAGACGATATCCGCGCCATCGTCACAGAGGCAATCGCAGCCCAACAAGCACAAGTTCCCGCAGTCGAACCCATCCAGCCTGATACCATCCGGTCCATTGTCGCAGACGCTCTATCATCTCATCAACCACAGGCCCCTGCTCCAATTCCGGAGATCGTTCAGCCGGATGAGATCCGTGCTATTGTTGCAGAAGCTTTGGCTTCTCAGAAACCAGCTCAAGCGCTCGAGGCTCCAGTTGACATCCCTCAACCTCAGGTTGACTTGTCAGAGATCTACCAGGTCATTGGCAGCTTGAAGGCCTCCATCGCTCAGACCACCAGCCATAATCTCCAGGCTGATGAAGTTCGCGAGCTCATCGACGATGCCTTCAAGCGTCAAGACATGCAAGTGGCAACACGAGAGGAGTCGCAGGCTATCCAGGAGAAAGATGCACGGATTGCCGAGCTTGAGCGTATGCTAGAAGAAACATCCGGACGCCTCGCAGAAGAGGTCGAGGTTCGCCAAGCTCTGGAAGGCCGCGAGGCTGATTCTGCCCGGTTGTTGAAGGTCACAGAAGAAGAGCTTCTCCTGCTTCGCGAGGCCGCAAGTGATGATGAGCACAAGATCCGTGCTCTCAGAGATGAAGCAGAAGATGCCCGCCGAAGTCTTGACACACTGAACACAGGCGACGAGGAACTCCGCAACAAGCTGATCGCGTTGGAAGTCGAGAATGATGAACTCAAGCTCAAAGCCGTGGCTTTTGAAAGCTCGGAGGAGGACATCAAGCAAAGACTCAATGCTGTCACTGCCGAGAACGAGGCACTCAGCTTCACTCTCGAGGAGCATCGCCTATCTGCCGACAAATGGAGGAACGATCTCAAGCAGGCCCATGAAGAAACTGAGAACATGCGTAAAGCTGTTGATACTTCTCGCCTTCAGGCTGAAGAAGCGGCACGCATTCGTGAAGCGATGCGATCCAAGTTCGAGAAACTTCAGCAAGATATGATCGTTGCTTCTGGACAAGCCGGTGCTGAGCGTGTGCAATGGCAGAAGAGTGACGAGGAGCACATGAAGAGGTATGAGATTCTGAGCGCAAGGATCGAGGCTGAGGGCCGAACCCGCGAGCGATTGGAGCGTGAGCTTGAGAGACTCGAGACTCAAGAGCGAGAGGGTATGAAGCTGAGGATCACTCTCGAGCAGTCCCAGAAGCACAATGCCAGGCTCGAAGAGACTCTTGAGCAGCTCAAGCACGAGAGCATGGAGCACCAGCGAGCGGCTGAGCGTTACGAGCGAGAGTTCAGGGAAGCCCGGGAAGCTGCACATGTTGAGATCAGACGCACTCGCGTGCTCATGGAGGCGGACCTCGATGCCGCCAACAACCAAGTCAACATTGTCAGGGCCGAGCTTGAAAGCGAGATTTCCCGCGTCCGTAGCGAGCTCGACAACGTCCGTATGGATGCCGACCATCTCAAAGCCAAGCACGAGCTCGACCTCGAGGCTGCATCTGATGCTAAGAAGCATGCCGTGGACGAGGCTCTCGAAAAGCAGGAGCTTGTATTCCGCGAACAGCAGCAGGCTTTCGAACGCCGCATGGACAGGCTCACCCAAGAGCATTCGCGGGCGCTTGAGATTGCTCATGAAGATATGCAGCGCGCCGAGGCCTACGGACAGGACCGATTGTCTCTCGCCGACAGCAAGATGGAACATCTCAAAGACAAGGTCTCTCTCCTCGAAGAGAGACTCTCCATCGCCAAGGAGGCCGCAAGTGCCGCTGCGGCTGCTGCTCAGTCTGTGAAGTCGCCAACTTTCGCAGGACCTACCTCCTCGTTCAGCTCTGGAGGACCAGAGAAGATCTCCGCGCAGGCGTTGCGGGAATCCATTGCTGTGCTCCAGGAGCAACTCCAAGAGCGAGAGTCACGCATTGAGTCTTTGGAGCACCAGATCGAGGAAGTCGATACTGATGCCCCAAACAAGTTGAAGGAGCGCGACACTGAGATCGGTTGGCTCCGTGAGCTTCTTGGAGTGCGCATCGATGATCTGAATGATCTCATCGACTCCTTGGCTCAGCCAACCTTCGATCGTGAGACTGTTCGTGACGCGGCGATCCGCATTCGAACGAATTTGCAGATGGAGCAGCATGAGAAGGAACGTCTGATCACTGGTGGTCAGTCATTCCCAACGCTCTCCACCCTGTCCAACTTCGCGTCGCCCAAGGCAGTTCAGCTCGCTGCAGCATTCGGCAACTGGCGAAAGGGTCGTGAAAATGCTTCCAGTGCATTGGCTGGCTCGGGCAACAACTCTCGCAACCAAACCCCATCCCGCACAGCTCCTGGCCCGGCCCAGTCCTTCCTCTCCGGCCTCATGACTCCACCAACCTCGAATCTTCGACGAACACCCGATCTCCCTTCCTCAACCGCACGCCCCCAGAGCCTACGAACGAACTCGAACAGCTCGCGGGGCTCTAATGCTGGCTTCGCCGTCCTGGGTAAACAGCCCATTCCTAGCACCCCACCGCTATTGAGGAAGGCTAGCTACGACCAGGACGCCGAGGATGGCCACTTCAGCGAGAGCGGTTTCTACGATGACGAGAGCACGGTTGATGGAGACATCACGCCCATCGGTCTGAACTTCGGTACCGAGCTGAGGCGATAAAGTATGTTTTACGACACAAAAACACAAGAACCAAACCAAACTGAAACACTTTTCCTTTGTACAAAGTCTCCTTTTTTCCTTTTATCTCACTGTGACTTGCTTGACTCCCTCCCTTTTCTCTTTAGCGAAACCGGCGGCTCAAGACTGGAAAAGAATGTGTACCCCCTTTCTAATATTTTTCCCTTTGCTGTCGTTTGAGCGAGAATAGGATTATGTGCCTTAGCGCCCCCCCAGCATTTCTCTCTCTTTTTTTTCGGATGGATGGATTGGATATACCCCCAACTACTACTACTACCCCTTTTTCACTGTCTTTTCCTGTATTTTTCTGTATCAAGACTGTCAAATCACCCTACAACTACATAAACACCCTCTTCAAGATTGGAAACATGGGGTTTACTTTCCTACATATACCTATACCTATAGACACACAAACGCACCGATAAAGTAAAGAAAAAGAAAAAGAACAAAAAAAGATAACCCCTTACAAATATAAATAATAATTATTGAATATAAAAAGATTTTGGACTTTTACGTTTGTTTAACACCAAGTGTATTCATGGAAGAAAGTCTGATTCTCTGTCGCCACCGGTGACTACTGACTACTATGGGAAATGTCGACAGGAGTTGGTACTTTCCCTCCTTTGCTTACACTTCCACCTCTTGATTGTCTTATGTTTCTAAAAGGCAGGCACGGAGCTAGCTGTGTTAAGCAAAAGCCCAGTAAAGAATAAGGGGGTAAGAGTCTAGATGGTAAGATGGTAAGTCAGGACACCTAGTACATTAGTACAACAAATACACCATAGGGAATAGTAAGGGAAAGATAGTATGTGCATGAACGAATTGTTCGAGGGTCACTTCTTGTTCCGTCATCAGTAGATTGGAAGAAGAGGCCGAATTAGTTACCGGCGCGGCGTGTATGAAGAATATATAGTTTCTTGGAGAAAGTTTCTGTTGGCTTGAGAATGACTACATGGTAGGTACCGTACGTGGAAGATAGGGTGGAAGTGAGGCTACATAGGAGTGGAGGTGAGTCCATAGGGCGAAGAGTAAAGTTAAGTGCATAGGATGAAGAATGGAAATGAGTCCATACGAGCACAACGAACAGTAACAACATGTCCAAGTCCCCTCACTTTCACAGCCCCCATCCGTCCAACCGCTAGACGACGCTTCAGTCCTCGCAGACGAAGCCCGACCAGTCCCTCCCATCCCTCAAGTTGCAGATAGGGGCAGCAGCAAAATACTGCGACACGCCTCTGGCGCGATCAACAGCACGACACTTCCCAATGCTCACTTTCACAGCCACAGCCTTGAATCCCGGATTTGGGCCGTCGCACCTGAAAGGTCCCCTGTTGCCGTGGTCCTCGAAGTAACTGCAATTTTCGATCCAGCCATTCCATGGGGGTCCCTTCCAGGGATTGAACTGGAATTTGCCTGTCCCGATCACCGAGTACTGGTGTGAAGATTAGAAAGGTAGGCCGAAGGGGGGAAGGAGGGGGGGGGGACGGACGTATCGAGGCGAGCTCCTGCAGTTGTTCTCGCGGATCGTGGTGTACCAGGCATTGCTAGTGCCGCAGAGTGCGATGAGGCCGATTGTAGCTGACGAGAGCTTCATGATGGCGGTGATGGCTTGAGGGAAGAGAAGGCTGGGAGTTTGGTACGTAAGGACAGTTAACTCAGATATTCTCAACAGATAGGAGAAGAAGGAGATTGACGATGTTGATGGAACAAAGGGTTATGAAGAGGCAAGACGACGACTATTATATATGGGGAGGGCGCGATGTTGAGTCGCTCCTTCCCTTCAATACTCGCCTTCCCACGTGCTCCCATTATGATGCAAGGCAAATCAGTGAACTCTATACACTTAGATTGATTTCCGTGGATGCGGATCCCCTAGATAAAAGACAGAGGATTGTCCCAGCAATCGAACAACCCTAGTAATCTGTCGTTTGCACTGTGTTTTGCTACACACATATTTGTACCACAGTCAGTACCTACATACAAACGGTCAGACAGATCCGACCAATTCCTCTCCTCCATGACCTATTTACCTCTCCACCCATTGGCTGTTCCCAAAATACCGTGAATCCTTACATAATCACAGAGACTATGTGCATACCGTTAACCGTTTGCAAACTACGCTCATAGTACCTGAACAAATGCCCAAGACCCATAGCTCATGTTTCCTCCCTGCGCGGGAGGTGTACCGGTTTTCAAGAGAGAAAAGGTAATTAGGTGTAAGAGGAAAGGTCACTTAGAAATGATGCTCGCGGAATGAAGTTCGTGGAGGATGAGTTTCGCTTGAATTACTACTGCTACTCATCCAGCTACTATCACGCTCACCCACATGCTACAAGTCATAATACCACTTCCCAATGCAAACCCTGGTTTTCCCTTCCTTGCTCGCACAACCGAAGAAGAACAAAAAATCATCGAGAAAGCCAAAGCCTATGAGTTCAAAGAAAAGATACAGTAACAATGATATTCGCTTCGCTGGACAAACATACATGCATAACAGGGCCTTGCAAAACTCCAAATGCGATTCATGGTTGTGGGGAGGTGACTTTCGTGGGAAGTGGAACAAGAAAGTGGAGGAGGGATCTCTGAACCTCGAGAGTGATGTCGTCGTTAAGTATTTGTGTGCGTGTTTGATGTTGATATAATCGGTACGCCGTTAGACATGGTTGTGTGGGCTGAGAGACTGGAAGATGTATGGAAGGACACGGGTAGATATGCTCGCTTGGTACGTGTGAATCGAGGTAGACTGAAGAAAAGAGAAGGGTGCCAAGTCCATTGGTGAGTCCTGAGTGCGGTAGTAGACCGATGTGATTTCTTGATCGACGTTCCAACGGCATATCCTCTCGTCCTCAAGTCCAGAGCCAGCGCCTGCACTTTTCCGTGCCGCAGAGACACAGGATAGCGCCTTCTGACGGGCTAGACGGCACCTCGACATCGTCTTCCTTGTCCAGGTAATCGAAAGTGAGCTCCGTGCCCTTTGGTATAAATTCGCAGGCAAATAGCGCGATGTCGTAGACTCGACAGTCATGTTTGTTGTAGCTGACCGTGTACTGTCTGCAATTCGGCTCGCAGGAATGGTTCATGAATTTCGTGGGGCCGCCCATGAATTCCCCATCCACAACGTATATGTCCTCGTCTGCGAGCCCTTCAGATTCTTGGAACTTGTCGAGCGAGTAAAGGTAGGAGCCCTTTGCCTTGGACGTGGCGGCAGCCTCGCGGCGATCGGCCTCCTCGTCTGTGATGATCTCCCCGCGGTATGTATCGATGAATTGGCCCTCGTGCAGGTCCTCTTTACACCGCAGCCCCCAGCCTCGTTGCGTAGTTCTAAAGATCTCAAGCTCAACCGTGCGACCGAATTGGACGTTCTTGTTTCGGCAGTAAGGCCCGCACATGCAGCTATCATTGCACTCGTAGATCGGATTGCGGGAGTCGAGATAGAAGCGGACTAGACACCCAGCACGCTGGATTTTCGTTCCTTCTGCAAAGTAGGGGAACTTCTTGGGAAATCCCATCGTAGAGCCGCCCGAGGCTTGGACGGCCTTGTACAGCTCTAATTGCTCGTCGTCCAGACGCGACGTGTCGACTGCGGCATACTCGAGACATTCGCATTTCTTGGTGTATTCGCAGCCGATGCTACGACCCATGTTGGTGGAGCACTGCTGACAGCCTTCCTGAGTCTCCGGATCCGCTTTGTAAACGCCATCCCGGAGGATGTATTCTGTGATATATCGGAAGCGTAGACTAGGCGTGGAGGCATCGTGAAGGTTGAGCAGGGTGATTGGCACACCAGGAAGTCTTTTGAGCCGTCTTGTGTACTCCTGACGAATCGCGGCCGCAGCCTTTTCTGTTATTGCGGTACGAGCTGCTTGGAGCATCTCTGGTGTAGGTACATTTTGTATGCTTAGCCTGGCGATGCTCGGTCCGGAACTCTGCCAAATAGTTAGCTCGGAACTTAGAGCTCGAGGAAGATGTGAATGCTGAACCTGCTAGATATATATTGGCGGTGAAAACCCCACTACCTCTCGAATCGGTACAAGTGATGATGGTCTTTGGTGAGAGAACAGGGAATAACCACTTACGCTACGTGCGAATATAAGCGTATGTTGAGAGTCAAATACACCGTTGTAAATATCTGGAAGAGGTGCAGGTGAAGGAAGAACCGATGCTACCGAGGTTGACTGATATGTAACCGACTGTTGCCTCTCAAATGGAGATGGTCGGCGTTCGTACTCAGTCTCGTTGTCAGGACTTTTGCGCTTTAGAAGCGACCTACGCCTAGTCAGTCTTGAATAGCATTAGCAAGTCTAACAAGGCATCTTACTGAGAAATCGAGCGTGACTCAATATAATCCTGAACGTATTCCAAGCACCTCGCAAGATCGGAAACACTATGCCAACTTAAAGGCGGGTATTCCGCGTCGCCGTTGTTCTTCCAGCGAACTAGATATTGCTCTTCCTAAAGAGGTAATATCAGATTAGTTCTATCACTATTCAGACGAAACAAATGCCACTTACCCCATCTTTCGACCTATGACAGAGGACTGCTTCGACCTATTATGGGATTAGTAGTGAGTTTCGTGAAGTGGTAAATGTTAGTCGAATTGACTCACGCGATCGATAAGCACCCGACGACGGGTGGGTGTACTGATTGGTATCGCAACGTGCGACGGCATGTCGCCTGCCTGGCCACGTAATTAGCCCAGTTCCACAAACAAATAAGATAGCAAACTCGGCATTAAACAGCCCCAATAAAGAAAGCTGTTCTGCCAGATGCTAGGCGCGTTGCGAGCTAGTAGGAAGCAAAGGTTGTTGTCTACAGCCGACCACTAGATATAGCAATAATATAAATAGCTCTAATATAGTAAAGCAACAATATTAGCATGATAGAGTACTTACTTTCTTCTTTATCTGTTGCGTTAAGGTAGGGGCCGGATTCAGGGTGGAGCAGGACAGCAGGTTAGCAGATGTAACGATAGGTTCGACTTACTACACAAGGTAAGAGGGGTATATCGCAGAGGTTTGTATAGGGTAAAGCGAGTATCAAGACAGGGTAATAACTCTGACTTATCCAGGGGGATAAGCTACTGTTGTACTGGTAGGGTAATTCCAAAAGATCAGATACAATTTGTTATTGACTACGAAGAACTCCTACATATGAAATCTGGCAATCTTATATATCCGTCCCTCCTAGTCTTTGCTCAGAGTGCTCGATACTCTTGGCGGTCGAGCATGTCGAGCACTGCTTGACTTGCTCGATCCTCTTGGCAATCGGGCACATCAAGCACGTCACATGATGCTGGATCACGTGACTTTCGTCCTTGGGTGTCATCAAGCCCGCTGGTTCTGATCTCCGACTTCTCGTCCCAAGTACTTGACGCCTTCTTTGTCCTCATAGGTTCTGGTGTTGTAACAGAGAGCTACGGGCAGACCATCTTCGTTTTCTTGTCTACTTCCTGCCTATTCTAAGACATATCTAGTCCCAGTCTTGAAGTGTCAAAGGACGTCTGTGCAGGTTCCCGAACCCTCCTGTGCGAAATGTTCGATAGTAACAATATCGTAGATGTTTCATTAGCATCTATGAACCATTTGTTCCGAGATGGTCCAACTGGACCGCCGTACACTGTGAGCCTACTAGCGCGGCCCTCGACCCTTATCGATAACCTTAAATTTTCCACGCGACAATCTTCTCTGCGAAAACTAGAAGCAGACTACGGGACAAGTAAAAGTTTACCTATCCAGCAATACATCAACTACCGGAACCTCCGCGCAGACATTGCACATAATTACAGCGTCAATCGATCTCCTCCAAAGAGAATTGGATAGAAAAGAACTCAAGCGCCCATCACACCCAAGTTCGCACCGGCTCCGCGCCCTCATATCCAACGACCATGGCCTCAGAAGCACAGAACAGCCCGTTCATAAAGAACCTCGCATCAAGCGGTACGCCTCCCCCTCCCCTCCTTCACACATCTTCTTCCCCAATTCCAAAACCCTAACATCCCCCCTCCAGACAAAAAAGTCCGCGACACCGCCCTCTCCTCCCTCCGCGCCTACCTCTCCGCGCAAACCACGATCCCGCCCCTCGACCTCCTCAAGCTCTGGAAAGGCCTCTTCTACTGCCTCTGGATGCAAGACAAACCCGCGATCCAGCAGCGACTCTCCCGGGACCTCGCGTCGCTCGTCCTCGACCTGCAAGACGGTGTCGCGCTGCCGTTCGTCGAGGCGTTCTGGGTGACCATGGCGAGGGAGTGGAGCGGGATCGAGGCGCTGCGCATGGACAAGTTTCTGTATCTCGTCAGGCAGTATGTTAATGTTTCGTTTCGAGTGGTTGCGAGGGGGGAGTGGGGGGATGGAGAGAAGGTGGAGAGGTGTGTGGGGATTTTTGAGGAGACGCCGTTGAGTGCTGGGGATGTTAAGGTGCCGAATGGGATTCGGTATCATGTTTTGGATGTTTATGTTGATGAGTTAGAGAAGGTGGCGGGGGATGCGTGGGAGAAGATGCCCGTGGAGAAGATGTTGGAGCCGTTGAGTAAGATCGCGAAGGAGAGTCCTACGAAGAGTGTGAGGGAGTTGGCGAAGGAGAGTTTGCAGGATGAGAGGGTGAGGAGATGGAAGGGGGAGGAGGCGAAGGGGGAGGAGGCGAAGGGGGAGGAGGGGGAGGATGGAGAAGAGGAGGAGTGGGGTGGCTTTGATGATTAGGAGGTCTACGCATCGAGGGTCGAAGTGCGAAACTAGAATCATTTCAAGCGTGGCGTTTTGTGGGAATAGGCATCCCCTTGTTCATATTTGCATAGTTCCTTTAGAGGGAAGAGTAAAAGATCTCGTTTCTGTCTTGATCCCGTCATGCACAATAATCTAAAAGTCTGTTGAATCTCTAACTTTTTGATATCATTCTACCTACCCAGAAACACAACGTGAGAGAAATTCTCATGGCCACGCCGGATCCTCTAACCTCCTAAACAGAGCCACATACTTCATCCCCTTATTCCTCTCCACCTTCTTCCCTTCTTCCGTCTCCGTCCTCATAATCTCCACACACTCATCCTTCTCCTGCTCCTCCTCCCTCACCCTCTCAAAGCTCGGATGCTTCTCCAAATGCTCTACCATCCACTTATGCAGATCCTCGACATCGGTAATCGTATACACGATCCCGCCGGGCTTCAGCACATACGCATACTCAGAGTTCAGCGTGTACGACACGATACGCGCCTTGTGCTTCCTCTGCTTGAAGTGGGGGTCTGGAAAGCAGAGGAAGATCTTAGCCAACTGGCCCTTTGCGAAGAAGTTGGGCAGGAACTTCATCGTGTTGGCGCGTATGCAGGCTGCGTTTTGGAAGCCAGACGTCGCGGAGTTCTGGGCGCGCAGGGCGCGGACTTTTTCCTGCACGTACTCGGTCACTGATGTGCGGATTTCCATGCCTGGATTCGTTTTGTTAGATGCCGTTTTGTCTCTGTGGATTTGGAAGGAAACGGTTTTGAGGAGATAGGGAAAACGAACCTAGGATCAGTGAGGTGGGAAATCTAGGTGCGAGGGCGAACAGCAGGCCTCCGAATCCACATCCTATGTCTGCGATCTCGACTGGTTGTGTGATGGCGATTGCCTTTTCTGAGTCATGTGACTCTGCTTCATCCTTCTCTTGCGGTTGCTTCACGGCATATGCGGGATAATGTGAGGCCCAGTCCATATCACTGGGGCTTTTGGGACTGTGAAAAGGGTCAGTGAGTGCTCTCTCATTGTCTTCATGGAGGAATGCCACCGTACTAGGCCAACGAGTGGTCGGAGAAGGGATTGGCATGGGCGCGTTGCCTGTAGAATTTCTTCTTCGGGAGCGCCGCATTGCTCTCGTCTGCGTTTAGCGATTTTTTGTATTCCTCGCGCTTTTGACGCTTAGCAGGTTCGCCAGCCATGGTGAACGGTTGGAGGAATCGTATTTTTTTCTCGTTGTTGGTTGGTTATTGAAGTGGGCGAGTGGTTGGTGGTCGTTGTTCTTGCGTTAAATTTTGCGGGAACACCCGTTCATTGGCTCGAGTACGAAACCGCACATCGTCGACCCTTCGCGATAAGCGGAGAGAAGAAGAAGAGGTCGAGGCTGCCACACGCTGCGGCGGGATATGGCCCAGTGCGGCAAGGTGTTCACGAAGCGAAGATGGAGGTGGAGTCAAGCTTTTTCACTAAATCGGGTCGTCTCACATGCTCGTCACGATCCCACCGGAGGGTCGAGGGCTTTGGGTCCACCCAGTCTGAGATCGCACATGACGTAACGTCCGGGCAAAGCCAGCCATAACCATGTTTGGATACGTTATTCTACACCGTTACAGCGTGCTACAGACCCAAAATGCAATAATCAATTGCCGTCGCGCCCTGCGGAAGCAATCCTACCAGCAGCTGGCACTGCGAAAAAAATTCGAACTAAATAGAAGTTGTACACGGGAAAACCCTGCAAAGGAAAAGCGCGCTCAAGATGCTGTCCAATAGAAATACCAAACCTTCAATGCACCGATCCCATCATCATCAATTCGTGATATCACCGGAACTCGATTGCGCCCTGGCAACCATGATCTTCCACATGTTCGAGTTTCAGTTTTTGAAACCTGGTTCACGTTAGCTGCGGTGCACCGCACGAGGAGATGGATGTGTGACGTACTTCTCGCTCTTTGCGTGGAAATAAATGCCCTCGATTCCACCGGATATTTGATTGAAACAAATATAGTAGAAACCCTCGAAGCTGGCACCATTTATCGTGCGTACTCGATGGTCGGGGACCAGGAAGTATTCTTTCCACCGCATGAAGATATGCTCCTTTTGCATCCAATCCTTTGTGATCAATTCGGGCCGCGAGGAGTATTTGATCAGTGGTTTGTATGCAGGGAACCGCGCCCAGTGTTGTCGGTCGACCTTTTCATTCGATCCCCATTCCGGATGTTGTGTAATGAAGGTGTACTTGTTGCCGATTATTTCGCCCTCGAAATAAGTGGTCAGGCTCGGGTGGTCCTCGGTGAGACCTGGAAAGGTATTAGAAGCGCATGGGATGAGACATTGTGGTGTTGCACGTACCTTTGATCCGTAAATATCCGCACATGAACGATTCCCGCATGTCGACATATTTGATCTCGACCTCAACTTCATATTGCTGTCGGTCGGATGTTTGGTTGCCCTTGAATCGGCTACCGGGGCGAAGCAGCGACGAGGATGTGTAAGGTAGAAACTGCAACCAACATCAGTATACTTGAGTAGAGGTGTCGCGCTGCATTGTGATACAGACGTGGGAGTACAACTGACTCTGTGGCTGGGAATTGGTGATGCGAGTAAGCCTGATTGCGACCATGAGGTAGGCAGAGGGCCTGTGGCAGAGAGCGGCGACGCGTGAGAATTGCGTTGTTCCTCAGTGGCACCTTCATCTGTCGCAGTATTTGTGCTCGGCGTAGGTATGTCTCTGATTGGACCGTCCGATGCGAGATCTAGGGTTTTGGGTTGTGAATTGGCTGGCGGCTGCGCGTCAGGTAGGGACTCGTGCTCCGCAGGAGGTGTTGGCTGTTGCATTGGAGAAGCAGCGGGGGAACGGTCTTCTGTATTTGATGGACTGGGCTGTTCGTCGTTAACGTTATGGATAGGGTGGAAGCGCGTCTCTTCGGGAGGACAGGATGTGTGGCCAGCGAGATGGCTCTCGTGCTCCGCTGGCGGCGAGGGCATCGCATCATCGGGAGTCGGCATGGTGGAGGGATCAATGAGAGAGCGTGGTTCAATGTCGAGGACAACGTCGCACAGACATGAGATGTATTCAGAGGAAAGTATCAAAAAAAGGTAGACGCACACAGATGAATCACAAGTTTAATGGTAGTTGGAAGAAGCGGTGGGAAGTGATGTCCATGGTTAGACTAGGACTAGGAAGAGGATGAGAGAGAGTAGAAGACCCAGAGGAAGAGCACCTGAGTCGGTCGGAGAGGGTTTAGGCGATTTGCCCAGCAGAGTCAGTCCAGTCAGTCAGTCAGGTATTAGAGAGTCCAGCCAGACCAGACTACCACCCAGTAACTACACTGGCACACTGAACAGCCCATACGGTACGGACCCCAACAACTGATCCTTACACATACACACACACGCACACTTACACCCCGTATCGCACACACCATATGTCACAGTGCGCACACATGTACATGTACATGTACTCTTACACTTGTACACTACACACACCCATCTGCACTTAGGATATCCACACTACAACCACTCTGGAAGCTTAAGCGGGGAAAGGATGGGAATGGATGGGATGGGGGATGGGCAAAGCGAATTGATGGGGTGGAGAGGCCATTAGGGAAGACGCTAAACCTCACGTGGCACAGCCCGGAAATCCCACCTCAAGGGTTGTAGGGTCTCGTAGGGTCTCTTAGAGTTTCTGTAAGGTTTCTGTAGGGTTGGTAAGGGTTGTTGGGTCCCAAGTCCACAAGTACACAGTACAAGTAGTTACTTTAAGACAAGTAATAGATAGTAGATGCAGGGTGCCGGGCCCCCCAAAGAGAAGAAATGACAGCATGGTATGTGGTAATTTAGCCAGAAACATTCCACCGGACAACGACCCAACCTGTTGGATTATTGGTGTGAGCGTCACTGCTATCTATCTCAAAAGTCTTGTCTTGTCTTTCTTTGAATATGCTGTGCGAACCTCCACGCGGCATCTCTTCTGTATACTATCATTCCCCCCACAATACCGACTCCGTACTGCGTACCCCATGAAGAACCTCTAGTGGGCCTACTACCTACGAAGGAGGACTACCCACACCGATCAAGATGAAGACTCCAGGAAAGTGGCGCACCTAAAACGACGCCACAGGTAGCACCCGTCTTATGCAAGTAGGTTCACATTCTTACTATGATCGGCTTGATCTGATACCCTAAGGCTGACAGTCCCTAAGTTCCGTACGTACGCAGATCCCTTCACACAGTGCACACGTGACCAAACGATTCGGATACAATTGTGTTTCTTCTTTTTGACAATATTAACTATCAAGTACCGATTGGGTACATTGCCCATAAAATTCCCCAATGACATTCATCAAATCCTTTGGATCGTGTCAAATCGACCACGTCAATCGGCAGCACGTTCGTTCATAGTGATCCCAGTCCATATCGAAGTAGTCCTGTCCGTCATCATCCATCCTAGACTTTCCAAATACATCGCAATTGAAACTTTTGACAATTGATTGGACATTCTCGTCGTTTTTGGACATAGTTTCATTTTTCTCGCTCTTCCTCGATGGGTGATCCGGTATCCACGCCATCTGCTATTGTACAAACATGACATGACGCCTAACGCCGCTCATCTGAATGTGCTATTCATTTAGATTGGCTTGATCTATACGGGGTTAGCAAAATCTTGTGATGATCGCGATGAGACATTCAAATAGTACCTTGAAGTGCAGGGAGATAAGTGAGAAGACGAGGGCCTTCAAGTCTTGAACAAGATAATAAAAGACACGCAATCCTTCCGGGTCGGATGAGTCCTGAACATCTTGAAGCGAGCCAATTTTAGCAGTCTATACTCTTTAGTAAACTTTGATCATTTTCGGTTTGCTGAGGCATTACATACCTCAAAGGAGATGTGTTCATTGCCCAGGCGGATCTCGAGCTCTTGTCGGCCATCCTTGTTTTTCTGTGGCCATTTCGTATCATCTTCCCTACGTAGTATTAGATACTCCGTTTGGCCAAAGTAAGAGTTCATACTGACTTTAGGATTTCAGAATCCTTAACAATACGCTTGATCTCTGCGACTAAAGCATCGCTAACGCACACTGAGGGGGCATGTTAGGCTCTCTTTCTCAGACTAGAAGCGCCAAACTCACTCTCTTTTCGGATCAAAGAATCGTTACGATAGTTGGAGTTGTTGGCATATCTAGCGGAGGCGCTTCGTCCATCTCCAAGAACGCGGAAATCGAACTCTGTCCAACGTCAGTCGCGACAACTACTACGGACCAACAAATGTCCTTACCCAAGAATTCGTGGCCAAATCTTCCCTGATGGCCGGAGCTGTTTTATAGCATTAGTCTTGGCCCACATTCACAGACATGTGCGCACAATACATACTAGTATCGGAGGTAGAACGGGTCCCCTGAACTCATGGTTGTGAATATGCGACTATGGTCGCGTAGACTCCAGAGTCAACTGATTCTGAGATGGTTGCCGAATGGGATTAAAGCGGTGTACGGACTTGTTGTCGTCGGAGGCAGAGATTCACGATGTAACTAGCGGCGACCAGGGTCGTTATGTAGGCGAGGGACTGCGCCAAGCCCGCCGACCAGTATTTCGAACAGAACACCGTTACGGTGATGTTGGTCAACTTCCCCCTCCCCCATCCGCGTTCTATAGCTCACGAAGCGGCACCAACTCCCCGTGTGCGCTCATTTATACTTTGATATTCTCCTGTTGCCGCCTTAGTTATTCCGATCCTCAATCTCCATACGAATCTCCCCCGCGAATCTCCTTTTTATACACGTAGCACTCCGGCTACTCTGGACATCGAGGGCATTGACGGCTGACGGCCGATTGCTCGAAGGCCAAAGGCATCGAAGCCAAGGGGGAATATACAATTACTTCAGGGAATAGTGCGAGAATTGAATAGACGGACACAATGGCGACTTTCTTGGAGAATGCATACAGTCTCGTACGCACCACCTGGCGTTTAAGAGGAGCTCCGTAGCTGACTTGGATTGGAACAGGTCCACCAGGACAACTCTGCCGACGTCCCCTCTCAGAATGAGCTCAAGCAGTCTCTCGAGAAAGGCTCGGACGAGCAGAAGATCGAAACTATGGTACGCGCCGCCCTACGTTGCTGCCCCGCGATAGCTGTTGAGCAAACCCGACCTGACCCCCCATACAGAAGAAGATCCTCTCCATAATGCTCAACGGCGACCCTCAATCGGGCCTGTTGATGCATATAATAAGATTCGTCATGCCTAGCAAGTCGAAGCCTCTCAAGAAGCTCATGTACTTTTTCTTTGAAGTCTGCCCCAAGTATGACGCTCAAGGTAAGCTTCGTCAGGAATGGATATTGGTCTGCAATGCAATTCGTTTCGACTTGCAGGCACCAAACGAGTACGTGAGGGGAAATACTCTACGCTTCTTGTGCAAACTGCGGGATGCCGAGTTGGTGGAGCCGCTCCTACAGCCCGCACGTCAATGTCTTACCCATAGGCACGCCTACGTTCGAAAGAATGCTACCTTCGCAATTGCCTCCATTTTCACCCATCTTCCCGAGCTTCTCCCCGACGCTCCGGATCTCCTAGTCACTTTCCTCGATGACGAGAACGATCCTACTTGCAAGCGCAACGCTTTCGCCGCATTGGCCTCGATCAGCCACGATAAAGCCTTGGAATACCTGAGCACCGTGTTCGACTCCATACCAAACCATGACGAGCTTGTTTTGCTCGCTGAGCTTGAGTTCATCCGGAGGGACGCCGTCATCAACTCCCAGAACAAGGCACGATATCTCCGACTTATTTTCGATCTCCTCGAATCTAGCGTTTCCACTGTGATCTATGAGGCTGCACACGCTTTGACTACCCTGACGAACAATCCTGTTGCTGTGAAGGCCGCGGCAAGCAAGTTCATCGAGCTTGCCATCAAGGAGCCGGACAACAATGTCAAATTGATTGTGTTGGAACGTGTCGATCAGCTACGAGAGAAGAACGAGGGAATACTGGATGACTTGACCATGGAAACCCTCCGTGTACTTTCAAGCACTGATCTAGATGTACGAAAGAAGGCCCTCAACATCGCTCTTGAAATGGTCACGAGCAGGAATGTCGAGGAGGTTGTCTTGCTTCTTAAGAAGGAGCTCATGAAGACTGTTGACGAACAATACGAGAAGAACAGCGAGTACCGATCGCTACTCATCTCTGCTATCCACCAGTCGGCCATCAAATTCCCAGAGGTTGCAGCAAGTGTAGTCGGGTCGCTAATGGACTTTATTTCCGATGTCAGCAGCAACGCTTCGGCTGTCGACGTTATTTCGTTCGTGAAGGAAGTCGTCGAGCGCTTCCCAGATTTGCGACCCTCCATCATCGAGCGCTTGGTTACTACTCTCGGTGAAGTCCGTGCTGGCAAGGTCTACCGTGGTGTGCTCTGGATCATTGGAGAATTCTCTTTGGAGGCCAAGGACATCCGTGACGCTTGGAAGGGCATCCGTTCGTCCCTTGGTGAAATCCCTATCCTTGCGTCAGAGCAACGTCTCCTGGACGACGCTTCTGAGGGCAAAGAGACCGAACAAGTCAACGGACATGCCAAACCTGCAGCGCCTTCAGGATCCCGCAAAGTCCTCGCCGACGGTACATACGCCACAGAAAGTGCACTTACTTCATCAGCAGCAGCGAAGGCCAAGTTGGAAGCAGTCAAGAACTCGCAGAAGCCCCCTCTCCGACAACTCATCCTGGATGGCGACTATTATCTCGGAACTGTCTTGTCAAGTACTCTCACCAAGCTTGTCATGCGACATTCAGAGATATCTAAGGATGGTGCCCGTACAAACGCCCTTCGTGCCGAGGCCATGCTCATCATGATCTCCATCATCCGTGTTGGTCAGTCGCAATTCGTTAAGACTCTCATTGATGAAGACTCTGTCGACCGAATTATGTCTTGTGTCAGGTCATTGTCAGAATTCTCGCAAAGAAAGGAGCTTGAGACCGTCTTCTTGGAGGATACCAGGAAATCATTCCGAACCATGGTGCAAGCAGAAGAAAAGAAACGCGCGGCAAAGGAAGCTTCTGAGAAGGCCAAGTCCGCTGTTAATGTTGACGACTCTTTCAACATCCGACAGTTGAAGAAGCGTGACGTAGATGGAAACGATGAGATTGAGCAGGATTTGGAGAGGGCCACCGGTGGTGACACGGCAACTGAGGATCTGACATCGAAGCTCAGCCGCGTTGTACAGCTTACTGGCTTCTCAGATCCTGTCTACGCCGAAGCCTACGTCAAGGTATGTATTACTTTCGTTCCCTTAAGACAGCCTATTAACTTCTCCAGGTACACCAATTCGACATTGTTTTGGACGTCTTGCTGGTCAACCAAACAACCGAGACCCTTCAAAATCTGACAGTCGAATTTGCCACACTTGGTGACTTGAAGGTTGTTGAACGCCCACCCACGCAGAATGTGGGTCCTCACGACTTCATCAACATTCAAGCAACTATCAAGGGTATGTATAATGCGTATCAGTATTAGCAGCGGGACTATTTCGCTGACCTCTACAGTTTCTTCCACTGACACCGGTGTCATCTTCGGTAATGTCATCTACGAAGGCGAGAAGGGTGTTGACTCAAATGTTGTTATCCTCAACGATGTACATGTTGATATCATGGACTACATCAAGCCTGCGCATTGCACCGAGACGCAGTTCCGAACCATGTGGACCGAGTTTGAATGGGAGAATAAGGTCAACATCAACTCGAAGGCCAAATCGCTGCGCGACTTCCTGAAACAATTGATGGCGTCGACCAACATGAGCTGTCTCACACCGGAAGCATCAATGAAGGGAGACTGCCAGTTCTTGTCCGCAAATCTTTATGCACGCAGTGTATTCGGTAAGCTGACCTTCTCTTCCATATCGTCATGGCCCGCAGTACTAACAGCCACCAGGCGAGGATGCACTTGCCAATCTCAGTATAGAAAAGGAGGGAGAGAATGGCCCGATAACGGGTTTCGTGCGCATTCGAAGCCGATCGCAAGGGTTGGCTCTAAGCTTGGGATCTTTGAAGGGGTTGAACAAGGTATAATGTCAATCTAGGGCCAGCTAGCGATATGAGTTTCGAGCTAGAAGCGTTTGTGATTACCTGAAAATAAGAATGAGACTTCATCTGTCTATGCGCATGAGCATTTCCAAAGCCAGCGATCTCTGGGTATGAAAAGTTATGACAGGCATGGGAGGGTTGGCAGTAAGTACAGTGCTGGGTCGAAGGGAGAAGCATCTCAAGATCTGGTCTTTGCATCTAAACGCGCATTGCGCGTCAATATATGCAGGAATATGATTCTTTACTATTATTCGTCCGGCACAGTTCTACCCATTCCGTGATATTGAATCCTTGCCCGCTTTTCACGAGCATTTTATTGGCGCCCGTTTTGATACCAGAGTTGCCTTATTCGGAGCAGCCTCGGCTCAAGATGCCTGTTCCTCTACTGATCTGTTCCCTCGTTTGCAACGCGGCCTCCACCATTCCCGCGCATCCGTAGTTACCTGTGCGCAAGATGATAGCTTACTACAGCTGACATCTCTCTACGTCCCCAAGAGTCTCATTCGAGATATGCAGACACATTCATTCAACTTCTCATGACCATGGCGGAGGACGATCCCTTTAAAGACCCTGCGCTGGGTACCACCGAAACGCCGCAACCACCAGAACCATCGACGAACGTCCCTGACACGCTTGCTGTAGGAAGGAATGCTTCGTTAACGCTAGGACAGGACTCTTTGGTGGTCTTGGGTATGCTCTTTCTGTGCTGTCAGCATGGAACACAATACTAATAGGGGTGACAGACGAGGCACTTTTAGATAACAATGGCGGTTGCTGTGGAATTAGTAGCCTTTATAGCAGTAAGTACCAGTGTTCCAATTGACATACAATGCTGATGCCTGGTAGAAAACAAGACCACTCGTTCTATACCCTTCTTCAACATCCTCTGGGCAGAGCAATCCGAGGATGGCGAAATCACGATACAATACGCGCACGCCGTATCGAAGCAGGTGGTCCGGCCCGCAATCATCAGCTACACATTAGACAAGACGGACAATCGCACGACACATCTCTGGATAGAGAAACTGTTGGATCGCGCATATGGGGCCTCCAAGCGAGAGAAGCGTGTAAAGGTGCTCATCAATCCTTTTGGGGGCCAAGGTGGAGCTGTGAAGATCTACCATAAGCACATTGCGCCCATCTTCGCTGCGGCCCGATGCGAGCTCGACGTCGAGAAGACGACACACAACGGGCATGCGGTAGAGATCGCACAGGGACTGGACGTAGATGCGTACGATGTAATCGCATGCTGCTCCGGCGACGGCATCCCGCACGAGGTCTGGAATGGCCTGGGCAAGAGACATGATGCTGCGAGGGCGCTGGTGAAGACAGCCATAGCACAACTGCCCTGTGGATCAGGCAACGGCATGAGTCTCAACTTCAACGGGACGGACAGCCCGAGTCTCGCGGCTTTGGCTGTCGTCAAAGGACTGAGAACGCCCTTGGACCTCACCTCCATCACACAAGGCGATCAACGAACGCTCTCGTTCATGTCACAGTCCGTCGGTCTCGTCGCCGAATGCGATCTGGCAACCGAAAACCTACGCTGGATGGGCAGTGCACGCTTCACATGGGGCACGCTCACCCGCGTCCTTCGCAAGACCATCTACCCAGCCGACATCGCCATCAAAGTCGAATACTCGGACAAAGAAGCGATCCGGCAAGTCTACCGCACCGAAGCCGGAAAGCCACCCCGCAGCCACGACGACCGCGAGATCCCCGCCGCGGACGCGGGCCTCCCTCCCCTCCAGCACGGTACCATCAACGACCCCTTGCCCTCGTCGTGGGAGCTCGTCCCGCACGACAAGCTGGGCAACTTCTACGCGGGTAACATGGCGTACATGTCCCCGGACGCCAATTTCTTCCCCGCGTCATTGCCCAACGACGGGTGCATCGACGTGGTGCGCGTCCGTGGCGACCTCAAGCGCCACACGGCCATCGCCACGCTGCTCGCGGTCGCGGAGAACAAGTTCTTCGAGCAGCCGACCGTCGACTATCAGAAGGTCACCGCGTACCGATTCATCCCCAAGAACCAGGCGGATGGATACATCAGCATCGATGGGGAGAGGGTCCCGTTCGAGCCATTCCAGGTGGAGGTGCATAGGGGTTTGGGTACGGTGCTGAGCAAGACCGGTCACATCTACGAGGCAAAGGGGGTGTGAATGACGAGTGGGTAGATGGAAGTTGAGGTTGTTGTAGTATGCAGATCAGAGATACCAGGTACTATTGTTCCACTTGTTTTAGATCGTCGTAAACTCTCGAGGGTATTCAATTACTTGTTTTTATCGTTGTTTTTGAGTTTTCCAATTTGGAGGATCAGTGGTAGGTAGTCCATCGCGTCGTGCAAGCTGCTCAGCGGTCACTCTTGGTGAGTTCAATCCCTCATCGAAGTGCGCCTACTACTTGTTGTGGATAGATAGACCGAAGCCGATAATTTTTTATTATTTATTATATATCCTTCATACCATCGAATCTATTTTTTGTCGTTTATTTTCATGTTCCAATCTATACTTATTAATTTGAGTTCTTACACTTACACAATCTTGGTACACTCCACTCCGCCCCTGAAGTAATGACTCACCGAACTAGAAGAAAAAAACCCAAGACCCACATTCAATCACGACCCACCAAACAAGCGCACAATACTCTTCAAATAATAATGAGGAAGAGCAAACAATTAACCATAGAGTTGTATTTTGCAGGCCATAAGATTTAAGTAAATTCAAAAACTTCCATCAAACAAGTCAATTCGACTTCAAGATTCGAATAAAGCTTGATGGCGCAGCGGAAGCGCGCCGGGCTCATAACCCGGAGGACGCAAGATCGAAACTTGCTCAAGCTACTTCTTTCTTTTTTTGCATTTTTTTGTTTTGAAATACTTTTTTGGTCTGGCCTTCTTCAGAGAAGAGCTGATTTGGTTTTTGGTAGGAGCGTTCGTGTCTGAGGTTAAGGAAGTACTACTTACCCACTACTTCCTGCCCTCCTTCTCCCTCTCGAGAAAAGTACAAAGTTGTTGGAACAAATTGTTGATATTGAGTTGTTTTCCTTTGGCTTCTTTGCTGTCCTTCAGTTTACATCTTGAGTAATTGGTATCGCTGATCTAGAACAATTGAAGATTTCGTTTGTGGCTTGGGCGGTCACTTATTTTGTCATGGATTGTGGAACAGTATTTTGTTTTGAACCACATTTGCATGGTACATGAAGAAGATGACTTCCTAAGTGGTCTTTTGTGCAGGTTCACTTTGTTCATGGGCTAGTATTTCTTTGGTGGGTAGTGTTCGTTCACTCATACCTGTCTGTGGCGTGCTATAGAAACAGAAGTCAATGGGACGGACCGTTTGGACTGTTTTGGGACGTGGATCATCGACGGTTATTGTACATTCAACATAATGATATTGGGTATTTCAAGTCGCATTCGATTGTTATGATATAATAAAATTCGGGAGATACTTCTTCTATGCTAAATAAATACCTAAACATATTTTCATGCAGTCATATCCCTTTTCCTCGTGAGGACCGCAACTCCCTCCACATGTCCCGTTTGCGGGAAGAAGTCGAAGCCCCTCAGACTCTCAATCTCATAGCATCCCTCTCCGGGACCCTTGCCTCCGTCCACACCTTGCATACCGCCCACCAGCACGCCGATGTCACGCGCTTGCGTGTGCACGTTGCAGCTCACGTAGACTACCCTTGCGGGGCCGTAGCGGATGAGTTGGCGCAGGAAGGACTCGTCGCACCCTTTTCGCGGCGGGTCGATCATGACGACGGTTTCCGCGGCGGGGGTGTCGATGTTGGCGAAGAGGGCGGCGGCGTCGGCGGCGATGAATTTTGCGGTTGAAGGGGGGAGGTTGTTAATGGTGGCGTTGTTGGTTGCGGAGTTGATGGAGGATGCGGCGATGTCGATGCCGAGGGAGGATTTGAACAGGGAGGAGAGCGTGATGGTGAAGAGACCGCTGCCGGAGTAGGCGTCTATCAGGTAGCTGATCTTGGGTGAGTCGTCGGACTGGGTGGTTGGGAGGATGTGTTCTCGGATGTATTGTGTGAAGCGTGGTAGAATTGAATTGTTGTTCTGGAAAAAGGCTCCGGCTGGGTTCACGAATTGGAAGTCATCGATATATTCGGTCGTTTTGGCGTTCGGGTCAGTTACACAGGTCTTCTTGTGTATGAAATCACCCCTGTCCTCAATGACGGCGTCTCCGTCTGTTTCTTTCGTTACGTCGTATTCAGATTTCGAAATTCGTTCTGTGTGCTCCCTCAAAAGAAGCGTGGCGCCCTTCGTGTATTTGCTCAGCTCGTCAGATACCCGTTTCCGCTCGCGCCTGTTTCCGTTGCGGACAGCTTCAGTGCCAATGGGGCAGTCTTCAATGTCGATAGTTTGCCTCGTTCCCTTCTTCATGAAACCGATAGGTGGAACTTCCTTGAAGCTTCGCTTTATGCCGTTTCGGCCGTCACTTCTCCTCGCATCCGGAGGACCGTCGAAATGTGGTGTCAATTTGGTCCTATATCCATACTGAAGTGGGGATCCTATGGTATCCCCTATGGCGGGTATGAGCTCCGGGGCAAGGTTGGAGAAGTTTTTGTATGCCTTTTCGACGATGGTCTTCTTGTGCGCGAGTTGGAAGTCGTAGGGAAGCATCTGGAACTGACAACCGGAGCAGCGGGAGAAGTAAGGACATCTGACGAGACTCTCATCTCGGTGCTGGGATGGCGATTCCACTTTAACAAAATCGGCCATGGAGTATCTCTCTTTGTCGAGATGCCTGAAAACCTTTGCTGTCACAACGTCTCCAGGTGCAGTGAATGGGATGACGTAAACTTGCTTTGAATCCGATCCTACCTGAAATCCGAGGCCATCACCAGTAGAAGATATCTGTTCGATCTTGACCTGAATCTCCGAAAGCTTCTCTGGCAGTGGTTGGGGTTCTTGCTCGGCGCTCTGATCCTCTCCGTTGCTCTGAATATCCAATGACTTGAGTAGAGCATTGACGTCTTCAAGCAACACTTCCTCATTGTTACCGTTCGTTTTTAAAATTTTGCTCGTATCTCCATGGCCGTTCCTCATCCTCTTATTTTTGAATCTGTAACTTCCCCGTGACCCTTCCTCGCTTCGCAACGGCGTCTGCGCATATCTCTTGCTTCCGCTCTCATTTCCGTTCGTTTCCACGGGCGCAACATTTGCTGCCGAAGATGCCATATTGAATTGATTAGTCCGAAAACGCCGTCCACTGCGTGACAGTGTCCAAAGGGCCGGGCGTAGAGATTTCAATATCATGTAGAATAAAAAAAAAGGTTGCAGAAAAGATGTAAGTTGGGGGAGAAATCCCCAAAACGTATTAGCACGGGAGTGTTGGCTTATGTCACCAAAATTCCGACTCTCTGATTCGGAGGAGCCGCACCAAAAACCCAAAGAACCAGTCTAGTCCAGTAGAGGCAGAGAGCAGAAGCAAAACCTCCGACCCACCACGGGCAGCAACAGCAACAGCAAGACACCGCATCCGCTCCCGCCCTCGACCCCCCCTTCTCTCCTTCACTCGCACCGTTCTTCCACAGAGTCAATTGGGGGCTTCCCAATTGCGGAAATCGGGGCCCGCACAATGAGTGTCTGCCGCTCCGCAAGATGTCTGTTCTCGAAGGCCACAACAGGTCTTCCTAAATCTGCACCCGCACCGGCGACACGATCCTTCCAGACGACCGCCCCAAGGCCCGCACGCAGGAGACGTCCTCACTACCCGAGCATCAAGGCGGAGGAGCTCCAATTGCTCAACAAGGCCGCCGAAGCCACCTACCCGAAATATGACACCACCGAGACCACACTGCTAGAAAAAAGATACACACCGGACCAGATCGCCGCGATCAAGGCCGCAGAAACTGCAATTGACACTCGAGACATCCTGACGCAGGGACAGCGGAGATCAGACCCATGGCTGCTGCCATACAAAGACGACCTCGCGGAGATGGACCCAGTGACGGATCACGCTGAGAAGCTCTCGCACAAGGACATCCAGGGCTCCAAGACGTTCCGGTACACGAACCCGGTCGAACGTGACGAGGCTATCACGCAGGTTGCGATGGAGCAGCTCGCGAAGTTGTATCCGGACGGGGTCCCCGAAGAACTGAGCGCGGAGGCGCAGGCGGATCTCGAAGACATGGTCGGGACGGCCATGACGCAGGCGGCCTTCGACCCGCGAGCAATCTACACGTCCAAGAACCCCAAGGCCATGGCGACCATGGCGGACCCCCGCCACTCCATTGTTCAGCCTGACCTGCCACGGATCGAGAACCGCATGATGCGCCAGACGACGAGGCTGGCGAATGAGGAGAAGGAAGACCCGCGCGAGAAGCAATTGCTGCAGTACATGCGGTGGACCAAGAAGCAGCTGAGGGGCCTGACGATCAAGACGCTCGTCGTCCACGGCGTCGTGAACCAGACCCGCATGGGCAAGATCAGGTCTATGTACTTCCTGACCATCGCTGGCAACGGCAATGGACTGTTGGGCGTTGGCGAGGGAAAGTCGGTTGAGCCTGCGGATGGAAGAAAGCAGAGCGTCATGTCTGCTATCAGGAATATGAAGGCCATTCCCCGATACGAGAACAGGACCATCTATGGCGACCTGGAGAAGAAGGTGGCCGCCACCAGGGTGCTGCTGTACTCCCGACCACCTGGTAAGTTTCTATCATATCCCCTTTCTAGTGCTTTCACTCGTTGGAAATCACAAGACCCCAAGAAAGATCCATAGCACGAAATAAAGTAACCCTTCTAACAATGATAGGCTTCGGTCTCCGCTGCCAGCATCTCATCTTCGAGATGGCCCGCGCCGCCGGCCTGCAAGATCTCGCCGCCCGCACCCCTCGCTCCCGCAACAAGATGAACGTCATCAAGGCCACCTGGGAGGCCCTCGTGAACCAGAAGCTCCCCGACGAGATCGCGCGCGGGCGCGGCAAGAAGCTCGTCGACGTCAGGAAGGTGTACTACGGAGGTAGCGTGCATTAAGTGAAGCAAGGCGGAGGTAGTAGTTGAAGGCGATCTGACACGACCTGTTCAATTTTGTTTCAATCAATTCAAGGGCCGATTGTACGATATGGGGAGGAGTTTGTTTTCATCATGTCGCCCTTCCCAATCTACCAACGAACGCCATGGAAGACGAGCATGGGGCATACCTCATTATAGACAACGACAGCGGTAGTGGTAGGAGGAGTAGATTCGCGACAACGACGTCATGCACACGTACTCCTTTTCTCTCCCTCCCATCAAAAAATAAAACACCTTCGCATTTTCAAGGGGGGAAACAGCGGCGGCGGCGGCATCTGTACATCTCTCTATATGTATCAGTAGTATTATTACATATCATCATCATCACCATTACCATCCACGTCCCATATATATTTGAAGTTTTTTCGTCCTTCTTCTTCTCTCCATCTCTCTATACACATGCAAATAAAACTCGGGGTATCATATCACACCATGTTCCCATCCTCTCCCATCCCTCCCTCCCTCCCTCCCCCCCCTCTCTTTTCTTCTCCCTAATATCCCACCCCACTAACCCCCTCCCCCAACCCCTCACCATCCTCCCCGCCCTGTCCATCCCCATCGCCATCGACAAACTGCTGATTCAAAACAATGCTATACACGCTCGCCTTCAGCAGCGTGAAGACGAGACTCGTCTTCCGCTCCAGTCCCCTCAATGAGTCTAGTATCTCGGCGGAGGGGTTCGCGCTCAGTTCGGCGAGGAGGGTCGACATCTGCATACCATACGTCAGTCACGATGGTTGGGGAGGTTGTGGAGAAGAAGGGGGTAGGGAGGGACGAGGGGACGTACGTTATTCAGGTTGCCGAGGAGGCGGGCGTATTCGTCGAGGATTTCCTGCTCGAGGGGTGTGAGGGTTTCGGTTGGAGAGGCGGTGGTGGTTGCTGGTGCGGCAGCGGCAGAAGTGCTTGGGGTTTGGGATGTGGAGAGGTCGGATGATGCCATGGCTTTTTTCTGCTTTTGTTGGGTGCCAACTATTTGTCTCTGTGTGTAGGGTATGTGTATGTGTGTGTCTAGTCGCTAGTGGTTTGGTGAGGTTTGGTAGGGTCGGTTGGTCGTGGAGGGAGGTGTTGAATACGATGTTGGTAGGACGAGTTCGAGGACGGGGAATTGGTGGGAGCTTCGTTCGTGGCGCGGACAGCGACGTTGTGGAATATGCTGTATGCTCAATGGTTGTGTGGACCAGAGCCTCGACTGAACGTAGAGCAGGTGAGAGATTTCGTCCTGTATGGAGTACGATGTAGTTTGTTTGCAGACAAGCAACAATTGCTTTGATGTTGTGGTTTCGTTTCCGACTGTTTGGTTGATCGCGGGGAAAGCGCGCCTAAAGTTGAACAAAAGCGCGGGTAGTTTCCTTGGCACTGCCGGTTCACGAGCGGACTGACGTACGGCAGATCTGATAATCATAACGCAAAGTAGTATTTTCTTGCACTCTATTCAAATAATTGTCTCTGCACTAAGAGAATATAGAAATCCGCTCATTGTCCCGACTCTGCAAAGAGAGCAAGAGATTCCTTGAGACGAGAACAACTTCGACACCACCCCCGTCCATTCTCCAACATGAACAGATAAAAGACCATGCCAAACGCCGAGGAGCAATTTACAGGTTCCGCTCAGTGACCAGCAGCGGCATATCGAAGAGCTTAGTAAGGAGCAGGCGGGGGAAACTATGAAGAGAATGCTGCAAGACCAGACAGATAGTACGCCAATGCCATGAGGAAAAAAAGACAAGCCTTTGTCAACCGAGCCTAAGGAGTGGGACAGGGAAACGCGAAAACGCCTCCTGATGAATAAAAAGATGCCAAAGTAGGCGGCTACTTTTCAAAATGCTACAAAAACAGGAAGTGAACGGAAGTACAGCGCAAGTGAAGACCGGTCTAGCGATGAGAATTCGTGTGCATTTCGATTCCATGCTCGGCTTCAGGTTGGCTATGGTCATCGCCATCGTGATGGAGGGTTACACTGTTGAATTCTTCGAAAGGATCAGCGACCTCACCCATGGGTGTGGCGAGTCCTGAATCAAGCGGGACTCCTTTGGCCTTCGCTGCGCTTATGTCTACGCTCTGGCTCTCTTTAACATTCCTAAAGTTGGGTGTCTCTATTCCGCGACCTTGGTTGGGGATGATTGGGGGCTTCGAATGACGGAGCAATGCCCATTGCGTTGTGCGGAAGAACGGATGGGTCTTGACATCGGATGCACCTGCGCGGGACCCAAGACGGCGAAGTTCGTCTTTGATGAGCAACTTTCGAACGATTGATTTGCAAAGGCTGGAAATTTGTTAGCTTATGAAGCCTGTCACCTTGAGAAAGTGTACATACTTTGAAACCGATGTCACCCCAGAGCCTTCTGGGAAAGGAACTTCGTCGCGGAGAATGTTTGCAAAGGTTGCATTTCGATTCTTGCCCTTGAATGGGGTGGTTCCGTAAAGCATCTCGTAGATCAAGATACCTAATGTCCACCAATCAACTGCACTGGTATGTCCACAACCTTTGATGACTTCTGGGGCAATGTACTCCTCGGTACCGACGAACGAATTGGTCCGGAAATTCGCTATACAAGATTTTGTGTCGATCGTGGGTAGGTTACTTGACGAAGCTCCGTTGCGGCCAACAATCATGGTCGGGCGACCTCCGGGATCGGACTGCTTTGACAAGTCGAAGTCTGACAACATGATATGGCCAGATTGGTGAAGCAAGATATCTGCGAAAGTTAGCCTTGTTAAAACTAGCAAGAAGTTCAACAGGCGAATACGTACTCTCTGGCTTCAAGTCTCGGTAGATGAAACCCATAAGATGAAGGTACTCGAGGGCAGCCGTCACTTCGGCAGCATAGAATCTCGCTGCGTCCTCATCTACACACTTATTCGGTCGGGTTTGTAACGCTATATATGTTAGCAATGCGAGCCAATGGAAAAATGCATACATGATCAAAGAACATACCCCTGAAGAATTCACCACCACTGCAGTATTCCATGCAGAGGTAGAGATGTTCCTCGGATTGAAACGAGTGGTACAAGGTAACAATGAACGGGTGGTTGCTTGTTGCGAGAATTTCTTGCTCCGCAAGAGCACGCTTGATCTTGTTACGCTTGATCATTTCCTTCTTGCTCAGCACTGCATTCTGTTAGCCGTAGAACATAGTAAGAAGAGGGATGTGCGGAGTTGTACCCTTCATGGCGTATAACCGACTTGACTTCTTCTCTCTGACCAGATATACCTTTCCAACATCGCCCTTTCCGATCAACTTGATCTTGTCAAAGCTGCCGGGTCCGACCTCCACATTCCGAACCTTGATCGAATTGGAGCTGTATGTCCTGCGGAAAGCAACAGAGTTGCGGATCTGACCTGGAGTCGGTATGGTCTTGGTAGAGTCGAGCGGAAGGAGATGGTCCGGGTCGGGGGGCAAGGTCTCGACCATACTAAGTGTCGACGAGTTGCCGTGTTGCACCAATGGCTCCTTTCCAAGCTCAGCAGTCTGGGGCCTCTCCGTGTTCTTGCCAGCTGCAAACAAGCCCTGTGCGTTGGGGGCCGATGCCACCCTGCGCAACTTTCTTGCGAGTTCTTCCTTTCCAGCCGTGGTGGCCTGGTCATTGGCACCGCTCACAGCAGCTGTGACATTTGTTGTCAGGATGGGCGGAGTGGCCGTCGGAGAGGGAGGGACGCTACCTTCGTTGTGGTGTCGCAGGGCCGGCTGGCCTTGGTGGACGAAGTATGGGTTGGCGTGGGCGGTGGGGGAGACACCGTCGTCCAAGGGGTTGCCCTCGCTGGCAACGGTCTGGGATCGGTTGCGACTGATGTGAGGGAGGAATCGAGACTGGCGGAAGCTGGACTTGGAGTCGTTCTTGGGGGTGCCGGAGGTGGAGGCGTCGTCGGAGTGCTTGCGGTCCTTGGCGTCATTGTTGCCGGAGCTGTTGATGCGGAAGAAGTTCTTGATCTTCTGAGAGACCTGGCTGTTGGAGCCGCCGACCTGCTTGTTGGAGGAGAGCGGCAGGCCGGAGAAAGTCCGCTTCTCGGTGAGCGTCGAGTTCGACGAGCTGAAGAGCTGCGTCATGGCGACGGTGTCGAGAGGTTAGGTGGAGTGGAGAAGTGAGAGGTGAAAGTGTGTGAGGTCGCAGTTCGCAATCGCGGCAAAGGTGGGTAGGGTTGTAGGGGTAGTGATTGGTAATAGTAGTTGGAGGATGGACGTTGGGGGGGAGGGGGTGTATAGCTGGATGGCAGAATACACGAATGGATCAGCGGGCCATGGCCGATGGACGAGAGAAGGTCAGGTCAAGTGTGGGCGAAGACCTGCGTTTAGAATGGGTGAAGTTGTATGAAGTCGAATCGAGAAAGTTTAGAGAGTGGTGGAAGTGGTTAAGATGATGGATGGAAAAGAAAAAGAGTTGAGCGAGAAAGAATGTTCGCACAGGACGGGAGGCTCGAAACGGCGTGCAGAAGTGGCAGAGTAACTGGGAAGGAATGCGAAGGCGAAGGCGGAGTCGGATGAGGTTGCGGACGGGGGTACTTGCGTGACCGGGGGGAGGTGGGTGCGTGCTGCTAACTATATTTCGAGCGACAAAGGACTACGACGACGACTTCAATTTTGACTCCTTTCTATGGATTGGAGTGAATTGGATTGGATTGGATTGGATTGACAAGGGAGTGAAGGAGTATAGAGAGAGGAGGGTGAAGTGTGAATGGTGATTGTCTAGAGGAGAGGAAAGGAGAGGAGAGGAGAGGAGAGGAGAAGAGTGAGGAAGAGTAGACGGGAAGGGAAGTCAGAAGAAGGCGGGTGTACGAGTGCTCAGTACCTCTCAGTGCACAATAGGGACGAGATTTGGTGGAGTACAGATAGGTACCGGACGGGTACAAGATAGGTACGGGTAGTGCAATGGATTTGGTCGGTACCAGTAAGTAGCTATTCAGTACACAGCTTAGTCGGCTACAGAACAGGTTGGTTATCTAGAGAAGGGAAGGAGCGAGGGGGGACGGGCAAAGGGCAAAGGAGCTAATGACTGGATGGGGAAGCCGCCGAATGGATTTGGGGGGAGTCGGACACGTTCTGGCTCTCCAGGCAATCCCACGCCCGACTCGTCTGGCTGGCCTGGGCACAACCATTGAATCCATTGAATCTCCACCCGAATGAACATAAATTCCGGAGTAAATCATACCCAGGTACGCCAGGAAATAATTAACTATTAGCCCGAGTTGTGGAAGATACGAGTAGCATGGCTGACATGGAAGGTTAAACGACCGATGGAAGGTTTGATTGTTTCTAGCGGTGGCAATTACGACTACCATCCTACCAACCACCAGGTACTTGTCCTTTCTCTAGTATCTATCTCTACTGTGGTGCTACCCCTCAAAAGCATCTCATAGGATACTAGAAACTACCTAACTCCTACTCGTACCACTACGAGCATTATGCTATCATCCATCATCCACCAACTACTGATCCTGATCCTGATTCCGTAGCGTGAGGATACCTACCCAGGCACGTGCCAGGTACTCCGACTTATCTGATCCAGATAGAATGAGGTTGATTGTCACTTTGCCAGACCAGACCACGAGAACAATAGTTTATGGCTTCGTTGATGAAATGGAATAATTGCACATAACTGTCTTGTTATTCTGTATTTGTAAGACAACAATTGCACCTTTCGCCAGCCTAGCAAGCATATCATCAATCTAAACTCGCATTGCCCCAATGCTGTCCGTCTGAGATGACATCGCTGTGCCGCACCGTGCTATGCCATACTTCGCCTCTCTTAAACAGAGAAAAACCAAAGAGAGACATCCCCCAGAAAAACAAAGTAATTGCCTGACGCTTATTCCAGTAATTCTTAGCAATACAAAGACATCCGAGTGCCATCCCATCCCATCCCATCACAGCTACAATAAACACACACAACGACGCCGTGGCCACCGCAACCTCCTATTATCAAATTGTCCGTCGTCCGGTGCGTCCCGTCGCGCGCGCGTCACTCAACTATTGCGAATCCACTCACTTACTTACCTACTTCGCCGTAATCATCAATGTCTGCTTGCAAATCAAAAATGATCCGAAGCCGAAGCTTATGGCGATGACGTTGACTCCCTTTTTTTGCCGGAGACAGACAGATAGACGACTCCGATTCTCAATCTCGAAATTCGCTGTTTCTTTGCTCCGGCCTGCGACGCTCTCTCTGCCTGCATGCATCCCCAGTACTTACAACGAGAAGTACAACATGATTGTGAACTCAGTACAAGTAGATAGGTACACAGTTGACATGTTCTTCTCATTTCATGTGGTCATTTACTTCTCTACCTCTCTCAACCTGCATGACCAGCGTAGACTACAGTCCTCTCGCCTTTAGGCTTCCCGCAGTAGTGAGGCATGTGGCGCATCCATCGCCAGTGCACGATGCACGATGCACGACGCCGGATGCAAGAATAACACCTAACTAATGCTGCTTGCACATCGATCGGTACTGCAAGGTTCGTGATCACCCTGAAGTTCTGGAACACTGCCAAATCGGGGTTCGCTCGCTCCCGACCAACCTGCCAACTGCATCCCTTCAAATCCAGCAACCAACGTCTTTCTCTACGACTGTACACTTCCATGCTCTTTCTCACATTCTCTATTTTCAATCCATTATACCATCCTTACTTCTTCACACTCAAATCCTTATGCTAGTGACGGCCAATGTTATGAGCAGGGTTACAAATGATACATCTTTATTAACTCAAAGTTGCTATGATACAAGACGAATATGACCATTGGGCTGATGAAATGCAACCGCGACTGCTAATATCCCCACCAGTATACCATCGCTTGGGGAGAAGGGTAAGCAAGCAGAACATGCATCGTCACGCCGACCACTTGAATCAGCAGACGATACCATACCACAGCCTGACCCATTCCCGTTGCATTGGAAATGTCCGACAGGTAATGATTCTGAATACAAGGATGTGATGCTCTGCTATCGGATATCAGAACATTGCCCGAGAAGAAAAGGTAATCGATGAGCTATCCATATGCCCCAAACCCCTTCGGTGCGTGCTTTGGGAAATGCCATCGCCGCCAAAAAGCATCGTGATTAGTACTGTTCTTCGTAGTGCCATATGTGAAGATAAAATCGTGGACAAGGGATTGATAATGGACCTGCTAAGACCAACGGTCTCTACCCCATATAGCGGACCCAAGAGTGGAAATTCCTCGCCTTGCTAGTTGATTGCCAATGGCGAAGACAAGCTTTGCGTCGATCTCGTGCGGAATGGAGAAATTGAAGGCGCAAAGTCTGGAAAGGGAAGGAGACTCAACGACGTGTGGATTCTCCGGACTTCTTTGGCGGGTTCTCAGCCATGTACTTGTCCATGTCTTGACGCTCACTGGCCCTGATCTGCTGGAACCGGGTTCGCCACCTAGCTGTACGCTTCTGCTTGTCATCGTCGGGGGCCATACGTGCATCATCCTTCCTGGGCCGTCGAAGCTTGTTCGTGACGTGCTCAAGTTTCGCCTTGGCGGGAGAATGCTCCCCAGACTTCCTCGTGTTTCCAGATGCATTGGCGGGGGACGAATCCTCGTTGCCAGTGACATGGCCCGGCTTGGGCTTGCTCGGAGAAGAGGACACCTTCTGTTTGCCTTTGTTCGAAGAGTTGCCGAAGCAGGAAGCTCCTGGCTCTGCCTCATGATCTTCGGTGGTGGGCTCGATGATAAGACCGGCCAGATCATCAGCCGCCCCGTCCAATCCAGATATTTGTTTACGAGCGGCTGGCCGCAGTGAGCCGCCCTCTGCTCTTCCACTTCCTAACTTGAAATCTTTCGGCGAGGGAAAAGAGCGAGTGGAGAATGGGGTGGTTCCACCCGCTGAAAGAGTCGACAATTGATTGCCGGAAACTTGGCTACCGAACCCTTTGCTCGACCGCTCACTCACGAGGTGAGAACGTCCAGTTCCGACCACCTTGGTCATTGCGAGAGAATGCTGGCCCAATATTGCCTCCTTTTCAGCAGTTTGATATTGCTGGGGAGATGGTTGAGCCGCTTGATGGCCGTATACGTTTGCGTTTTTGGGATCCACGACATCATTGTACGTTCCACGAGGCACAAATAATGCTGATTGGGGCTTTCCGGTGCGAATGTTCTCAGTTAATTGGGTGGCAGAGTCGAGCAAAGTGCCCCCAGAAAGATTACCGCGAAGCGATGATCGGATAGAAGAACTACCGTTGACCTCTTTCGGGGCATGCTTTAAGTCACTTCGTACTTCCATCAGATAATTAACGAGGCCATCGACAAGTCCGGCGAGAAACTCCCGGTTATTCGGGAGCCCTGCGTGTTGCAAGCCAGCCTGATAGCCCTCTTGGTAAGTTGTCGGGGCATGGGCAACAGGTTCAGACGCAATCGTTGGCCAATTCAGGTCACTAGCTGTTGGATGGCCCGATATCCTCGCATCCATGACGGTTGGTGCTTTTGGAACAGAAGACTTGTTTCCGAAAGCCTCGGGCCAGGAAGTCAGTCGCGGCAAATCTTCCTGCAGGCCTACACCAATTCCGACAGATCGGCCACTCGAGCGTTGCGAGTTCCAGGGACCTACGGGCCACGACTTCTCTGGGGTAATCGGTGCAGTGACATTTTCACGCGATGATTGTTGTGACGCCTTGTCTGGCGCGATCCTAGTCGACGAGTGTTCATGAGTATTCGTAGGGAAGAAATCGCTGGTATCAATGCTGGAAAGGCTGGGCCTCTGAGAAATAGCTGTTTCCTCGTGTCGATGAGACCGGAATGAAGGGACATCTTTCAGTCGCCAGGAAGGTTGCTTTGCTGGAGATGGCGTCGGGGGCGTAGACTCCTTCGCGACGGACATTTTTCCACTGGTGTTCTGGGCTGGCTCATATGTCGGACTCTTGGGGTCGAGAGCAGAGCCTTGAGCAAGTGGCTTTCTGCATTCCTCTCTGGGTGGTTTGATCTCGATCGCGTGCGAACGACGACTTGCAGAGCCTGGAGATTGTGCCAACTTCACTCCTTGGGGACGTGCTAGTGGCACGGGGCCACCGCTAGTTGACACCTCGTTGGATACAAACAGTTGATTGTTCTGGTTGAAGGGTGCAGGCTCAGGCATCACACTTTGAGGCGTGGGATATGGCGGATACATCATGAGCGGACCATAGGGATTTGGAGTTGGTAATGCGAACGGGACGCCCATAGTAGGATACATGGAGTGCTGGTGAGGTGCTTGAAATTGTGGCGGATACGGTTGCTGTATCAGGGTTGTAGTGGTATCAGAAGGGCTGGAAGTATTGACGTAAGCTGCAGTTGCTGCAGCGGCTACCTTTGATGCTTCTTCTGCCGCAAGGATTTGTTTACGCAGCACGTCAAGCTCCAAGATGAGGCTCTTCTTCTTGGAGATTATTTCCTTTCGCCAAGCGGGGCCATTAGAGTCCGATCCCCAAACTTCGGCTTGCTGAACATTCTTGAGCTCCTGCTTCTTCATAGATTGCTGTGTAATGAGGGCCGAGAGATCATGACCGGCAGAAGGCTGCGCTTGGGAATTTGGCGGCTTGGAAGACAGAGGGATGTTGGAGCCCAAGGTCGCGGACACAGCCCTTCCTGACTCGAGGGTCGGTTGGATGGGTTCATTTTCCGGACGATTCAGAGAGGCTCCAGGAGCAGCAACAGTATTTGGAGCACCGGCAGTGAAGGCAGGAAGAGCATATACGCGGTCCCCGATTCGAATGACAGCCTGTGTGCCAATTACCTCGACCTGGGCAAGGCCGTTGACATCAAGCTGATGCGGTGGCCCCATGAGGTTACCCGGACTGACGTTCCTGACCGAATGAGGCTTCATGTTGTTGTTGCCAAACCGCGCGACACTCAAGGGCTGTAAATCGCTGGGAACAACCCGACCGCCTGCAGTGACTCGCATGCTAGGCGGGCTGCCGTGCTCTTTGAGAAGTCTCTCAGCCTTGCCACGCTTAACGGAGGGAGACGGTGACGGCTTCTTCGGGTTGTTTGTCGCTGCTGCGACTGCAGGAATGCGTGATGGTCGAAGTTGTCTTTCAGAGTGCCCGCTGACAATGCTCGCTGACGCGGATGGTCGGAGAACGTGTTCTTGAAACAAATGTTAACTTTTTTCAAGCGTCACGAAATGAGACGAAAAGTATGATGAATTTAATGGTTACGATGAGTGTCGGAGGCGGTGTCTCCTCAGTGCGAGATAGGTTGAAAATAAAGATGGATTGAGTTGCCTAGCAACGTGAAGTCGTCAAGCAAGCGGGTGGGGGCAGTAGTGAAGGCGGGCGGGGTGGCGAGATACGAGGAGACGAGAGATGAGAGGCGATAAGTGAGAGGGAGAGAGGGACAGAGAGCCATATGTGATAATAAAGATGGAATGGTGAGAATGTTGAGAGCGGAAGAGGTGAGAGTGAGAGAGGGCCAAAAGAGTGAGAGGACGTACCCTTGATCACCTCTTCATCGGCGAACTTGTCTATCGAGACGGCCGACTCAGAGACCGAATCCCTGAGTCGAAGGAGTTCTTCAACCTTGTATGACATGATGATACGCCGACCACCTAGCACGACGCGGCGTCAAGGACCTCTTGATCCTCACGGTATCGACTGAAGGTCGTTGCGAGGATACGCCTGACAAGGACCGAAAAGAGGGATGATTTGATGCGAATATCTGCATTGAAACTATCAGCCTCTCTGTGCAAATGCTTATGTTGAACAGTTCATCGATCAGAAGTTCCATCAGGGATGCCCCTCCATTCTCTCTTGACACTGACCTCAAAGCTGTTGCAAATCTGCAGAACGAAGAACGAGCGAATGAACAAACCAGTAGCTATCCAAGAGCCGTGCAGCAGCAATGACAAAAGAAGACGTGAACAAATGAGTGTAGTTGGGTTACAAAAGATCGAGACGTCGATGTGGTAAGTAGTTAATCGGCCTCTACCAGTTCCTTCCACCGTTTGACTGGTTATGGTTTATTGCTAAGGGAAGAGCTACAAAATAAGGAAAACCAGAAGGATGGAAGAACGTACAAGGTCAGAGCGTTGTGAGCATGAAACTTTGTAACAATGTACCTACCATCCAGAAAGCTAGTTCAGTTCACCAGGAAATAGCGAATGAGAGAACACACAGAAAGAATTGCTCTGAACGATCTGATCTTTTACCAAGCAGGAAAAGACAAATCAACGTAGACAGTGGCAGTGGAAAACAAGTGCAAATGCAAATGTGAATAGATATTGGGTTTCATTTAATTAATGGATTGCATGAATGTATACCATTTCAAATCAGCTAAAGTCTCTCCGTTGTGAAGACATATAATCCATAAACGCCATCGCTGTGCATGATCCGATCCCACTGAGCTGAGTAGTGGCGATCGTATCGCCACTCTATCGTCTATTTCTTGTACTCCTGGCAGTTGACAGAGGCTCGAACGCGTCTTCGTCGTCCGATATCTCGTCTTCGCTAGGCTCCTGTTTCCTGGTGGGTTTTTGGGCACAACGAGCGGGTTGACTCCGCTGAGTGGCTGGCTGCGAAGCGAAGTTAAGTGTTGATTGCTTGGTCGCTCGTGCAGCAGGCTTTCTGGCAGGTGCTGGGGCTTTGCTGGACTTTGCTGCTGGCTTTTTAGCTGTGGTTCGTGACGGTTTTACGAAAAGCGCTTCTTCCTCTTCCTCTTCATCGTTATCGTCGACCATAACAATATCTGGATCCTCGTCATCGTCAGATTCCTCCTCAAAAACCCTTCGCTTTCCACGTGTGGTCTTTGTTGCGGCGGGCGCCTTTTTGGTAGCTGTGGCACGAGTTGTACCACTAGCTTTGGCTCGTCCACGTGCGGCCGGCTTCTTTGGAGCGATGTTGCCTAAAGCTTCCTGTCCATCATCTTCGGCATCAGTGTGTATGAGTGCGCCAGGTTGGTCCGCCCATTCTCCATCAAATTCGGAATCCCAGTTGTCTGGCTTTGGCTTGAGCTTAGCCTTCCGCGTCTTCCTAAGCTGTCCAGAAGCGAACAATTCCTCCAACTTCGCACGATACTCGTCCATCTCATTAGTGATGTCGTCCTCGTTGACATCGTTTGCTTCCATCAAGTGTTTGAGCTGGCTGGCCAGACTCTCGTTGACGAACATCTCCATTGCGTGCTTATCATCCTTGTCCACGAATTGTGCCACAGCATCGCCAAACGAATTCTGTGGCAAGATCGTGAGAGATTGTGCGGTAAGAAACTCCTTGACTAATTTGTCCACCTTAACAGTATCCAGCGATGATAACTGGGCTAAAACAGCTTCGTCTGGTAACTCTGCGTTGTTCTTCAATGCCCCTGGCAGCGCATTAGTTGGAGCAATACTGCAGATTTGGGAAACGTACGATTTGCGGTATGCTTCTTCCGGTAAAATTGCACAATGTCCTGTGTGTTAGCTACTCTATTCTGAAAGCGATTCGAGAATCTTTGGGGATTCTCGCACTTGAACTCGCCAGGTTCAGGTGCAGAGTATTCTACCCGTAATCGGATGAGAGGAAGGGGGATTTCAATGTCATCCCTGTCCTCCGTGTCGTCTTGGAGTTCCAACCATTCCCTTTGCGCATCCTCTATGAGTTGATTGACTATGCTCTCCAAATGCTGTGTAACTTTCGCCCGATTGTCGTTCATCCGCCAGATTTCTTTTTCTTTCATAGCTCGTTCTTCTGCCAGAACAATCTCCTTCATCACGAATGGTCGGACCGATTTCAGACGTATCGATTCCGATGTGAACTCCTTACCAGTGATACTTAATATAGCAACGTGTTTTGGCACCGCTTCTCCGGGCATTAACGATGTTGCAACCGAAGATCCAGGCTGCATAACATGGAAGCCCATCTCGGGATTATACCGTGGGTCTATAAGACACTCATGCTCATGACCCCAGACCACAAGGTCCATGAATTCGGGTAAGAAGTTTTCTGGGAGGTAGCCAGTGTCTGTATAGGCATGACTTGGTCGAATTAGCGTGCATACTGTAGTCTTTGATACGACGACTCACTGGTTCTGGTGAACGCTCATCAGGTTGAACCACTCGTCCTTTTGTGTACCAGGCTGGAAGAACTTGACACCTCCATCTCTAAAGGTACGGAATAGACGCTCGTCTCGGATATTGCTCATTCCGTAAAGAGCAAGCTTCGTACGACCTTTTTGAAGAAGAACAGGCTTGACTTCAACATTGTCGGCTTGGCTGCTGCGGCCATAGTAATTGACCAGACCAGACACCTGGAGGAGGTCAAGGGCCGAGAAATTGCCTTCCTATGAACAACATAAGTACAGTGATTTCGTACTACGGATAGCAACTTACGCCTGTGGGATCATCATGATTTCCATGAATCGCAAATACAGGAATCGCAACGTTGATATCAGGATCCTCGTAATTGACGTGGTCGGCGATTCCCGAGAAGTTTTGGCTCGCATCGCTCAGCATCTCCAACTCACATGGCTTGTCGCCGAGACAATGCATTCGCAGTGAGCGCATGACATAGAACATGGATTTACGCGATGGCTTGTTGTCGTGAAATAGATCTCCCGCGTGCAATACCATGTCGACATCATGCTGTTTGGCCAATGCCATCACTTCGTGGAAAGTCTTCCAACTATCCTCGCCACGTACAGAGTCGCGCTCATTGTAGCCGACATGGCTGTCAGTGGCTACGAGAATTCGGATAGTATCCGCACCTGAAAATTGATCAGTCCTCGTTCTTTTGATCGGCCAGTAGTCATACTTCGCGGATTACTACGAGCGGGCGCCATTGCGGATGCAGGTCGGAGGAGAGGTTTGGTCAAGGTATGAGTAGGTAGATTGCGAGAAGGTAAGCTTCCCTATAAACCCTCTCGATCTCGACAGCTCCGGAGCCTATTCAGTAATGGGACAAGGCCCAAGGCAACAGTAGCACACATTATAAGCGAAAGCCTGCAAGTTTCGCGGGGATGTCGACGCGCAGATACCCGCCTAGCGCCAAGAACTCCGCACGTCATCACGTGATGCACGATTTCGAAGTTGCGCCCGAATCGGAAGCCTCGCAACCTCACCTCGTGCAATCTACACACAATGTTTCCTACAAGAGCGCTGTTTGCGCGCTCAGTCTGGAAAGGTATTTCTTTTTTCGCACCCGATATCAAGTAATGCTAATTGATTATTTTCTAGGACCTAATATTCTCCCGTAAGCATATAGCACTGAAAGACTTTTGCTCCGCAGCCGTTGAACGAAGAACAGTATTCCCATCGTACGACCGAAGCCTGGGGAGAAAGTCGCCCCCATCAAGACGCAGGCACGCTCCGCTACTATCCTACCTAGTTTCGTGGGATTGAAGTTTCAAATACATAACGGAAAGAACTATTTGGACCTCACAATAACTGAGGATATGGTGGGACACAAATTAGGAGAATTTGCACCGTACGTTGCCATGATGTCAAGTGCAGACAACAGGAACTAATATGACCACAGTACGCGGAAGCAGTTCACATACAAGCAGACCAAGAATAAATGAGACTTTTCTGTTTGTAGTTGCATCAATTGGAGTTTGGGTATCATTAAGGGAAGAAGCATTGCAAGCTTTCCCAATGTACTGTTATTGTACAAATATCATTGCCCTTTCAGGGATTCGATGTGCCAATCTCCTAAATTCCAAGATGGATGTCTGTTGCGCCCTGTGAAAATAGTTCCCCCAACGCCAGTTATGCTTGCTTTGATGTGAAAGTTCCGTTTGAAGAAAGAATACTCCGTGTCCAGTTCTGGCATGTCGCATGTTTATCGGTAGAATTCTCCCCTCTTGACGTTAACACCATATTCTCCGACAGCCATTCCGAGATCCTCCATGGTGAGAACTGTGCGGCCTTGCCCACCGCCTTGCCCACCACCGCCATAACCTGGCCTTTGAACTCCAAGATTCAAACGAGCATCTTTGTCTGCCTTGCCGCCCTGGCCGCCGCTTGCAGCGGCAGCACCTTGTGGGCCACCACCCATCGGTCCTGCGCCGCCTAACCCTCCCATCGGATTGTTACTTGTGGTATTGGAAGCTCGGATGCGAGAGTACTGGTACGCGTCGGCTGCAATGTCGGCAATGAACTTCTGGGTAGCAAGGGCAAGCAGCCGAGCGAGGTGAGGAGAGGTTTGCGGTGGAGGTGGAAGACCAGCGAGGGTTAAGTAATAGTTGGTTACCGCATCGGGTATCTAGACGTGTTAGCCAGCACTTGGAAGATACTCCGCAGTCGCAAGCGACTCACAATGGGCGCATAATCATCCATCTTAGACATGAACTCGCGCAAAGTTGCATCTTTTTTTGCAGGGATTCTTGATTCAAGGAGGGCTGCCGCTTCTGTGCCAACACCGTTTGTGTTGGACGGTCCTGCGTCAGCCGCGCCATCAAGATTCATAGCATCCGATTGAGGTGGATTCGCGTTGATATCATTTTCGATCGCGGCATCCAGCTCTTCGTTCACTTCCATGTTGGTATCCTCGGTAGGTTTCTGCGTGTTTTCGGCCATGATGATGTAGTAGACAAGCGATCAATCGCTCTTTGCCGAAGCTAAGTATGGGGGGAGCGTGGGGAAGTGAATGTAACCAGACGTTGCATGGCTTGGCAGCCTCGCCACGGCCCGAGGATATTCCGCCTCCTCTTGATTGTACGTTTGTAAATTGTCTGAACTGTCTCGCAAGCTTTCTCAAATTGAAATGGCAAATTAAAGTCGCAGTAAATGTAGCACGTATGCGGTGGTCTACTTTAGCGGGTCAGTTTGCTATATCATAGATGGTTCTGGTTCTACTCTTTCCTAGAAAGTCTACCAAAACCCAATAACTACAGCTTCAAAGTGGAAAAATCCTTTAACTTAATCGAACCATGCGTACGGAACATTGACGCTTCCTTGCAAACCAAAGCATCTAATGGCAGACCATACAGCGTCTTTGCATCCATACATGCGTAGCATTGACGCGCGCGGTAGACATCGATCGCTCGCAATGAAAGGAGGTTTATAAGGAGGTTTACGCGGACGTTCGTGCGGAAGTTTCGAATAATTGCATTTTCTTGATCTTTACGATCAACTGAGTGCTCATACTTTGTACTAGCGGCCCCTGTTCTGAAATCTAACAACCGTCGTCGATCAGCACTACGTGCTGCCTGGGCCACCGAGGAGGGCAAATCTCCGCACGATACTGGGGCCGATCTCATCATACTCTGCCTTTGTGTGGCAGTAACTCCTAAACTCTGGCGTCTGACCGAGTAAACTTCCTCCGAACCAGGGACCGTGTCTTTGCCTCTTGTGCGTGATAACCTGCACATCCAATCCTCCGCTCTTGGCGCCTCCGCTTTTCGCCTCTGAAGCCTTGATCCTTGCATCTACGAGGTGGCGAATATCTCGCTGTAAACGCCGACCAAAATCCTTGTATAGTGTCGAACCTCCAGAGAGCACGATGTTTTTGTACAGGCCTCTGCGTACGTCGATAGGTGAGGTTTGGATGACCGTATCTACGATAGTCGGTAAAGGAGTAAGGAAATCCGAGGAGTAGATTTCGGGGTTGAAGAAGATCTCGGGAGCCAAGAAGCGCTCGTATCCAACATCTACTTGCACGGATTTCCCGTTCGGGTAATTGACCGTATGTTTTCGGAATCGATCATCGGCTTCACGATCGAAGCGAGAGAACTCCTTAACGATGTCAGGGGATACATAGCAAAACTCTTCCTTAATGCGCTCGGCGGTTTGTAGAGAAGAGTCGGGCTCGCCACGGTCTCGGAGAAGCGATTGCACAAAATTGGTGATGTCGCGGCCAGCAATGGGGACACTCTTGATGGAAGAGCCAATGACGTAACCTTCTGCCACAGGGATAACATGAGTAACACCTGCACCGGAGTCGATGACAGTTCCAGTGAGAGAGCGGTCCTGAACCTTTGAGCTTGTCCAGGATGCGGCCAGGGCAAGCACGGCTTGAACGGCGATGTAGAGACCGGCGCAATTGAAGGATTCGAACATGATTTCGGCAGTGTTTTCACGGTTCTCGGGAGGATTGAGGGGCTGTGGTTATTTAGCTCCTAGTAGTACAAGTCAGGAGTGTGGGTGAGAACATACGGGTTCAGTTAGAAGGAAATAATGATCTTCCGGCTCAACCCTCAAGTATTTAAAGATCGAATTAGACCAAAAGCGTTCCATGAGATCCTGCTTCAAGTCAGTAGGTATAGGATTAGGGGGCAGCTCCCTCACGAACCCAATTGTCTATTTGGCCGTGCCTGATCGGATAATGGATACCGTAGCCTGGGCCGGCAGAGGCGGAGAGAGCTTCATCACCGATGAAGAAATCCAGATCCTCAGTTCCTCGCTTTGCAGAGAGATGTCCACCGGGACCAGCACCGCCAGTCAAAAAGGAGGGCTTGTTGGCGACAGCTGGTCGTCCGGAGCCTGAGCCGCCGGCACCGGCTGCTGGACCTTTGGTTGCTATCGCGGTAGGAAAGACGAAGGAAGGGGAATCGTTGCCGGCAAAACCTATTGCAAGTATGAGTACGGATGACTGTTGTCAATGGCGAGAAGTCATACCAAGCTTCGAGTATCCCGTACCGCTGCGGAAGAATGTCAGTATGCCGTTGGACAACAGGTGTATGGGTAGGCTGCTAGCTTACTTGTCCATGACAACGGCGGGGGTTTGGTTAGCCATCTTTGCTGCTGCTTACTGGGGTAGTTAGCTGGAAGTAAGAGGCAGCTCGGGAGAGCCCAGTTGAGAGAAGAGCGCGAGGTGGAATTGGCGGTGGTGTTGGTGACGATGGTTGGGTGTAGGTGGTAGTCGGTCGTCGTCAAGAGTGGGATAGATACGAGCCAGCGGTGGGAACTCGAAATGGGCGCAGTCAAGGTAGGAAAGGCTGCCCCGCTCCGCTGTGATGAACCGTGCACCACGTTTTCCACCCGCCAAGGTACAGCGGAAAGCTGAGATGGGACATTGTAAGCAAGAGGATATATAAAACTATGTATATCTCTCGGAATCATAAGTTTGATTATAAGCTTTCGCTCGAAGCTCGAAACTCCTTTCTTGCCATAAAAGTATATGACAATTATCTACCAAGTTACACCAAGAGCGAATGAGCTCTGTTCTGCACATTACCTAGGAATTGATCACAAAGCTATCCCAGGAGTGTTTGGCAGCTCGTGAAGCTAAACATGACCATTAAATTTCCTCCCTCTCTCTTCATATCCTGTTTGTTGTAGCAATCATGACCCTACATTAATTGCGAAGAAATCACCTAGGTAACTAGGTACTTGTGCACTCATCCTCCAGCCCCTTGGTCTGCGACGCTACAAATCTACAAATCTGGACATCTGGGAAGGTGAAGGAAGGAACGGCCGACAACAACAGTACTCCACCGCGCCTTATTCACCTCCTTCACCCTTCCACTACTCTTTTCGCGTAGGATACCACGAACTTCTCCCCATTTGCACCCCGCGGCTCAAAGCTGCTTCTCTCCAGCACAAACGCCCTGTGGCGAGTTCATTCATTTCTTCTTTACGTCTCCCGCCCAACCTTTCCTATATCCTTCGATTACTATTCTTTCACGGCCTTAACTCCTTCACTCAGTCCTCCAGGGCTTCCTCCTCCTCCTTCTTTCTTCTTCCTCATTATTCGTTCTAATTATCCTCCGAGTTCTGCTAATCGATCCAACACCGCTCATCGAGCAAACGAGCCTGGACATCGGAAACAACATTGACTTCTCTTCAATCAATTCTGCCCCACTAGATACATCGAGCACCCGATAAACCGTGGAAAAGAACCTCAATTACAGCTGTTTCAGCCGGCGATTTCTAGTAAGATTTTTGCACAGAGAGAAAGGAATGTCGGCTACAGCGTCCACGGCAAGCAAGGCAGTAAATGCTGAAGCTCATTCACGAAAAGCCAGCGGAAGCCCGCCGCGCGCGGAAACATGTTGCATATTCGTCCATGCCGGTGCTGGATATCACAGCATCCAGAACGAAAGGATCCATCTCGAAGCTTGCAACGAGTATGCATTTCTACAGTCAGACGCTTCACAAATTTTTTGCTGATGTATTCGAAGTGCAGCTACCTTAGCCATGCTGGTTCTTCGTAATGGGGGAACTGCTGTAGATGCTGTGGAGATGGCGGTCAAGGTTCTGGAGGATCGAGAGATCACCAATGCTGGCTATGGCAGCAATCTTTCTATGGACGGTGTCGTAGAATGTGATGCGTCAATCGTGGATCATTATGGACGCAGTGGTGCAGTAGGAGCTGTCGCTCGTATGTATGTGTATTCACTCGGAAACTCTCACTAACAACAATTACAGAGATCAAAAATCCAGTGTCCCTAGCACGATTGGTCTTGAACCACTCTATGCAGAGTCTGACCTTAAGGCGCGTGCCACCCAATTTGCTAGTTGCACAAGGAGCGACGGACTTCGCATACGAGCTGGGAATCCCCGTTCTTCCTTTCGATGCTATGATATCTCCTGCGGCGAAAGACAGGTGGGTCAGGTGGAAGTCAGATTTGCGAGCTGCTGAACGCAAAGCGAAAAGGGCAGGGCTTCCACTCTCTTGCTGGAGGATAAGGGACGACCCTGACCCTCAAGATGAACAAGTTCGTCAAAATATGCGCCGAGCCCATGAAGAGACTCTTTTGAGGAGTGTTCATGCCGTCAGCCCGCCGACATCACCGCTGTCCCTGAGTAGCACTACGACTAAAAATCCCCACCGTACCTCGAATATATCTGAACATGACGAAGATGAACGGTTAAAGTCTTCAGAGGTCGAGCGGAACGGATTCTCGAAGTTTCCCACACAAGCAAATCAACCCGAAAGCCCCGTCATTGTGACTCCAAATACTTTGAAAGAGTCTTCACGGCACGCTTTTATCAACAGTACACAGAAGGTTCCGACGTTGAGTCAATACCGCAAAGACAACATCAACATCCGGGATAGGTACACCAATAATCATACATCAGAGGATACAGATATGGTCGACGAAAGCTCCCCTGTAGGGCTGTTGGCCGGGTCTGATCTACCCCACGCGGCATGGTCGGATGGAGTTCAGGAGACAACCCGATCACTGTCAACGCAGCCGACACAAATCAGAGCAATGACGAACTCAACAACTTCTTCGACGACTCATAGGTCTCTTACCTTTGAAGAAAATCACCGGGATGCAATGGCTTCTACTATGCCGGTCACCCCGGTAGATACAAACGTGAAAGCAAGCCGTCCGACCCGTTCGTCTGCGGATTTGGGAACGACCGACTCTGAGGTTGACAACATCACTGATACTGTGGGCGCTATTGCCGTAGATGGTTGGGGACATATTGCTTGCGCAGCGTCATCTGGTGGTATTGGCATGAAATACAAAGGCCGTGTTGGGCCTGCCGCGCTTGTGGGAGTTGGCTCTGCAGTAATTCCAGTTGACCCAGATGATTCAGAAGAAACATGTGTAGCTACAGTAACCAGTGGTACTGGGGAGCACATGGCAACCACAATGGCCGCTGCAGTGTGTGCGGAACGCCTATACCACAGCGTACGCAGAGGCAAGGCTGGCATTTATGAAGAAGTAAACGAAGACGAAGCTATCAAGGGAATGATTGAGAATGACTTCATGGGCGAGTTTCTCATAACCTTTTTAGAGACATGACATTGATTTTTTTCTTAGGTCACCCCGGCGTCAAAAACAGTAGCTCAGCGGGGGCTATTGGCATTCTTGGTGTTAAGAAAGTTCGTGGTGGAATCTTCCTCTACTTCGGACATAACACCGACTCCTTTGCCATGGCTTCCATGCATTCTGATGAGGACAGGCCGTGGTGTGCTATGTCGCGTAGTAATGGCAATGGAGCTATCGCACAGGGAGGCCGCATGATGCCAATTCGGACGAAGAAAAAAAGGACAAATGCACCGACGCGGTAGATTGTGCTGCGAGGGCCAGCTTTCTACCGTTTGCATAACCCGATTCGAAGCCAGCCTCATCCTACATCAGAACATATGTACTGATAACCCACACCTCAGGGACGTATTGTAGCAGGGCCGATCAGTCAGGTTGTATAGTCTATCAATGTCGAGACACGTTCCTGGTCGGCTTGCATCTCCACGGCGCTCATTGCAACTGTCTTTGGTAGACATTGGTGGACTTCGTGCTAATACGTGTAGCGTTTTCTGGGAGTGCGGGATTGTGCAAGTGGCAGGGTAAAAGTTGTCCTCAGGATAGAGTTCAGAAGGCACGTCTCGCCTAATGTAGTACAAGAGAACCAAACTTCCCAAAAATTCAAAGACTTTTGAATGCCCTATGCTTAGACCTAGACTTACTTTCATAGTTCAAATATGTCTCAATCCCTGCACACATACACTCTCCAGTAAGGCCTCACCTTGATATGGCTGGCGCCTGTACATGTATCCATTGGTCGATCAAACAATGTACACTGTCCATGATATATGTCATCTTATGTCTATTTGAAGGCTTTCCTTGACCAATGACACGAACGTGTTTCTAAGATCGCCAATACCTTCCTCGGCCGGCTCTCGCCGCCAGATGGCCCTCAAACGGTAAGAGCCCTCCACCCGTCCCATGAATATGGCCAAAATTTTAACACCATCCCAAAATGCTATACGTTGCCAAGAATCCAACTCCGACTCCTCTATGAATGGTATTTTCCCAAAGAGAGAGAAAATATGCAAATAGTAATGAATGATGAACAATGGGAACCTCCTCACGCGTGCATGGGCGTCCCGGATCCCGCTGGCGTGCTACCGCCTGGAGTGGCCGAGTCGGCGCCAGTCGCCCTCTTCTTTTTCTTCTTCTTGCGCTGGACGAGCGCCGGGGTCGCGGTCTGGGCGCTGCGGAGAGAGAGGTAGGAGCCGCATGTCATGCACAAGTTGTCTGGAAGACTGGGTTCGCAGAAGACTGGTAACGGAGTGTTAGTGAACAGAGTGGATATAGAAAGATTGAAAGGGAGGACTTACTGCTCAAGCACACGCTGCAGACATAGCCGATGTCAACGACCTTCCTGTGGCAGAAGCATGCAGCTCGGAAGTCGACACCGCCGGCACTAGGCATGATGAGGCTCCGTCTCGCGGTCGCATCGGGGAGGAAGCCCATCATCAGATACTGCAGTATGCCTTCTGGCCGCTCGGGCTTCATGTAAACGCCGCCTGTAGCATCTGAGGCTTGCTGAAGCAATACTGTATCTCCTGCCAACTTCAAGATGTCTATTGGTATCCTTTTCCGTTGTGCAGCGAATATTGAGTTCATAACCGGAATGTATTGGTTCGCGAGGTCGCCGGACACGGAGATGATGAGAATTCGAGAGGCCAGTGGTGTGCGCTGTGTCCGTAGCTCTGCGTCCGCGAGGTGTGCTAACGGATTCTCGTGGGACATACTCTCGACCGGAGAATGTAGTAGTGTGGATTTGGCAATGTACGACAAGGCCAGTGATAATGCGCCGCCTATCAAAGTCGTCGGGGTCGCCTTGAGATTCTTTTCGGATGTCTGGTCCATCAAGCTTGCTACGTTCTTTAGAATAGCGCTTTCTATGACAGAGAATGGCCGGTATTTGTTCGGGTTGTCCGGTACGCTGCCGCCTTCTCTATGTGTACCATTCATTTCGATGTCTCCATTTGGAGCGCGATTTGACAGACGACTTTTGGGAGTAGGGTAGAGCCATTCTGCTTTGTTTAAATGTGATGCGATGACTGCTACTTCGTTTGCGTTTCCGGACGCTAGGTGTGCGTTTATGAAGACGAGGAGGTTGGCAATGGCGCGCGAGAGAGGCAGTGTTGATGAGAGATGCGCCCATGCATGCGGGTTGGTGTCAAGAACTACAGCTAGAAGAGATGGCGGTGTCTCTTTACCTTGCTATTAGCCAGAATAACCAAGCTCGTTTATGGGTGGGATTGTACCTTCATCTGCTACGATGCGGCGATCTGTGCCGTCAATCGCATTCATGGTGCAGGATCAAAGAAAGATTTCTTCTAGTCCCTATCTTGGATGCTGGCAAGAGATATGAAGCATCATAGCATAATATAGCCTCTCTTGTTATGAATATTTGTCGTCGGTCCTGATTATGAGTTCAAATAGAAAAGCGGAAATGACGTTGTAGCACTTATCATGAACAATGTTTGTGGAGATCTCAGTGGCTTCGGGAATGGTCCGTGCTCTACCGTCAATTACGCTATCACGTGATCAATAACGGATGACTTTGGGATTTGAAGAGCCAATCAGATCCGTATGATTGGGCAAATGGCTTCAGCTGAATGTCCTCAGTTGAACGTTGGCATGTAACCTTGTACTCTCGTAATGGTGTGTCTGTGGTTTGCCAAAGTCCTCCGTACAGGAGGACTGCTCGGACACTCAAATCTTCTACAAATAACAATGCTTCGGAGTCGGCGACCGAATGGCGCAAAAGAAATATGGATTACTGATGCACATCGGTACGACTTTACGAGTAGGATGCGGCCAACAGACACCTAGAGATGTCGAACGCCTAATAATGCTAAATCCAGAGCTGAGTTCATCAGGTAGATACACGGAGCATGTGAATTAGTAGGACAAGGAGGGTATTATGTGTACAAAGTCCAAGCCGGATATGAGGCGTCAGCTGGTTTCTTTGTAGGTGCTCGTACGAGAGACGAAAGCTGGGGTTGGAGTGGATCTGATCTGCATTTGGTACCCATTTCGTTCGACTCGTCGTCCCAATGAAGGCGGGCCGAGGCACTTGTTCTCGCACTATTCAATGGTCTCACAAGCTCCATCTATCTACCTACCACTCCATCTTCTCCAGGGTCCAATCTTCCCGCTCACACCCCATATTCCCGGGTTACACAGGACATTCACCACGGCCAACTCTACCCAGTAAAGGGTTCAAAACTCACTTCATTTAAGCATTTCAAACGCTATTCCTTGCTTGTCTTTCAGTTTACTCATCTTGACAAGAGAAGCGGACATTCCGCCGCTGGACGCTTAGTATCCGCAGTTGTGTTTCAAGCATCCCCGCGACTTGAACAACCCCCGTGACAACTAGACTCAGCTCCATCACAGTCGCACATACTCCCTAAGACCGACAACATCAACCTCCGTTCCACCTTGAAAAAATCAGTCTCGCGAACAAATACATTTCCTTTCTGATCTGGTACCTGATTCAGAATGGGGGAGACAATTCGCCGTGTCAACGGCTATGATCACAATGCATACACGTACTATCCCGTCCTAATTGTGGGTGCTGGCGCTTCGGGAATTGCCATGGCATGCCAGTTGAAGGAACAGCTTGGGTTCGATCAGTTTCGTGTGTTCGAACGTCAGGCTGGCATTGGCGGAACATGGTGGATCAACAGGTGAATAACTACACCCCAAATCGATTTCCTGCTGTTAGTCTGTAGTCCTGACAAGCTTTAGATACCCCGGAGTTGCCTGCGATGTTCCTGCCGTATTCTATTCCTTCTCCTTCGCCCAGAACCCACAATGGACTTCCTTCCATCCCCCAGGCCGAGAGATTGTGCAGTATTATCACGATGTCTGCCAGAAATACCAGGTCACCGACAAGTTCGAGGTCAATACCGACGTTGAGCAATGTCGATGGCTTGAAGATGAACAAATGTGGGAGGTCACGCTGAGGCGACTGATTGCAGGAATGGGTGATCTCTCCTCGAAGGACCGCGCGAAAATAGTCAGAGACCGAGGCGAATCAGCTGTATATTCAGAGACTGAAGTGGTCCGGGCAAAGGTGGTGGTGAGCTGTGTTGGTGGCCTGGTCGAGCCCAAGGGCTGGCCTGATGACATCCCAGGTATCGAGAACTTCAAGGGCCCAGTCTTCCATTCTGCCCGCTGGGACGAAAGCGTCGATCTCACAGATAAGAACGTGGTTGTTGTTGGTACTGGTTGCAGTTCTGCCCAACTGGTGCCGCGACTACCAGATGCGCCGTACAATGCCAAATCTGTCACTCAGTTGATGCGATCGCCCCCTTGGGTTGTACCTGCAGCTGATGCCCCAGGAGGTGACGAGTGGTGGGAGAAGAATGGCCCGCGCCTAGGCAAAATCCCAGGACTCCTACAGACCCTTCGTTTCCTTATCTTTATCGGCGCTGAGGCAGTGTTCTTCAACATGTTCCCAGACACAGAAAGGGCAGAGAAGGGACGAAAGAAAGTTGAGGAGCAAATGCTTGCTCGTATGAAGAGGATCGTTCCAGAGAAGTATCATGAAATCCTTACACCCAATTATGGGATAGGGTGCAAGCGACGGATATTTGATAAAAGGTGGTATCAGGGTCTGAACAACTCTAAGATTGATCTCACCACACAACCCCTAAGAAAAGTGAACGCAGCCACAGTTGTCCTTGGTCCAGGCCGGACATACCCACCAAGCGAGAAAGACGATACTCCTGAGCGGGAGGTACCGGCAGACGTGATCGTTCTTGCGAATGGATTTGACACAACGAAGTGGTTGCACCCGCTGAAAGTTTCAGGACGGACTGGCAACGATCTTGTCGAGACGATGGATGAGAGAGGTGGACCACAAGCTTATCTCGGCACAGCTATGGATGGCTTTCCAAACTTCTTCATGATCTTCGGCCCGAACACTGCCACTGGACACTCCTCTGTCGTCATGGCGTCTGAGAACATGGTCAATCATTCTCTTAACTTTATCAAGTTGCTTCTGAATGGCGAAGCAACTAGTGTAGATGTTAAGCATGAAGCCGAAGTTGCGTTCACTACCGATTTGCAAGCAAGTCTCAAGAAGACCGTATGGCAAAGTGGTGGCTGCACCAGCTGGTATACAACCGAGAACGGCTGGAATTCGACAGTCTATCCGTACGTAATTTGCACACACCTGCACAAACTGACATCAACTGACCAAACATATAGCTACTCGCAAATTGACTTTTGGCGTAAATGTACCTTCCCAACGTGGAAAGATTGGAACATTGAGTATACGAAGAAGGGCTTATTGATCAAGCGCAGCCGTCGAATCCGTACGACTCTTGCGTTTGTCTTAGCCTTTATCGGTGCTTACAGATTTTATAAGAGTGGCCTGACTTTGAGAGATGTCAGGGACTTTACGGGGACGGTTTTGCAATACTCTTTGCGCGAGGCTGCCCTATTGAGGGCTTTCATTATGAAGCAGGTCTTTTCAGGATGAAGTTGTCAAATGTAATAGTCATAGAGAGTAATGCCGATGAAATGCTGATGGAACTCGGCCTTTTGGTCAATGTGAAATGATGACTGGCAATGATGATAAGTCTCGAAGGCACAGTGTCGGATCCAACTGTGATAATGAAGCAGTTCACAGCATCCGACCCAATCGTGCCAATCAAGCATGTCACAGCTCGGCTTATTACGACGAGACAAGGGAGTTCCCACACTCACCCACTTTCCCCGCAGGCGATCTAACCCTAGCTCTGTTCTCTAACCTGGCCCGTGCATGCTTCTCCGAGTCTACAACTCCGACTTGTCCTGCCAACAGCTTCCTGAGCTGCCGAACGGGTTGTCGCACTCGAGGTGGATGGTCAACATGTCGCCCACATCTACCACTAGGAATGGCAGCGACACCATGAGCCCTCCGAACGATCCGGGCGCGTCGCAGAAGCGCAAGAGCGAAGAGAGTGCTCCGCAAGCACGCGCGAAGCGCAATCGCTACATATCCATTGCATGGTACACGCGACACTCAATGAGAAGCAAAGATTCTTTTGGCTGATATGGATGTATAGCAATGAGTGCAAGAGGAGAAAAATCAAATGCAACGGGCAGACTCCTTGTCAACGATGCGGCAATCTCTCGCTGGAGTGCTTGTATGCGCCCAACTGCTGCAACAACTTCAAAGACTCGGAGTACGCATCATCGAAAGCCTCTTCAATTAGTCATTACTAACAACATCCAGTGAATTCAAGCAGATGTCTGCGCATATATCCACCCTTCAAGACCAAGTTGAACAATTATTTGCGAATCTTACATCCCTGAAGAGTCAAGTCGACACACAAAGCATGGGTTCAATAGGAACTCCGTACCAGAATCCAGAGTATGCTCGCTCGATGTCAATTCATACCCCTATGATTCCACCATCGCCTGCTCAACAACGGAGCAAGTCTTTCAGTAAACATCCACGGTTCCATGGGCCCACGTCGAGCGCATTCAACTTGGGAGTAGCCAAATCTAGCTTGAAGACAATGGGTATAACTGGGGCTGAGGATGTTGAAGACGAAGGTGTCGTTACCCAAGACGTCACTCCGATGGGTTCTCCGCCGCAGTCAAATGCTGCATTGTCTAAGGGGAGCCTCCACATAGATAAGGATCCCATCTGGTCTCTTACAAAATCGGAGGCTGTTCGATTGATCCAAGTTTGGCAGGAAGAAATGGGTATGATGTATCCCTTTATGGATATTGAAAAGATGCTTCGTTATGCCGACCTGTTGTTCTCCTTCGTCGAAGCGGCATCACGGTCCGGACTTATGCAAGGTTCACGTCCAGGCCATGACGCAATTATGGACGATCGTACAAGTATTTTGAAGCTGATTCTAGCAATCTCTCTGGTCCTCGAGGGCGGCGGAAAAGATCCGCTAGGAGAAAAGCTATTCTGGAATGTGCATGAAAGGGTCGAAAAATCTCTCTCAGGTTCTGTTGATTTGCAGGGAATCAACATGCTTATATTGACTGTAAGTATCTTTTTGCGAGCGACAGTGAACTTCCTCTCTAATAGTGAGTGCAGGGAATGTACCATTTCCATCGGGATGACGAAGCGCTCGCGTGGCGCATCATAGGCTTGGCTGCCCGCCAGTGTATTGAACTCGGGTTACACAGGCGCGAGACATATAGTGGCACGACATTTTCGGATCCTGAGGAGCAGGCTACGGCAATTCGAACTTTTTGGTCTGTTTACGTCCTCGACAGAAGATGGAGTTTTGGCACAGGCATGCCATTTGCTTTGCAGGATGCAGATATTGACCCTAACCTCCCAAAACCAGTAAGATGAGATCCTTGTGCTGTTATTGATGATTAATAGTGTTGACATATCTGCAGGATGACTCTTTACCATATCTCAATGCGATGATATCATACAGTGTGATAGGATCCAAAGTGTGGCGGTCCATCGCCAACGCCGATGCTTCCCAATACAACATCAACAAGGAAGATATCAGCTTTCTTGACTTTCAAATCTTGAACTGGCACCGGTCAATTCCAGAATCCTTGAAGTTCGTCCATCCAGAAAGTGGACGCGCCCCGGAAGCTGCGTCGCGAGGTCTTCATCGGCTGCAAGTTGCACTCTATCTACGAGCAAATCAGATGCGAATTTTGATATATCGTCCTGTCTTGCACACGGCGACAAGCATCATGGAAAATCTCGAGTTCGCACATACTGTTGTTAAGGTCGCCAAAGATACTATCCGAATTCTGACCTACATTAACCAGGTCTCGGATATTTATAAGGCCCAACAAACCATGTTCAACTACTTCCTCATATCTGCTCTTGCTGTACTGTTTCTCGCTGTTGCACATGCACCAGCTGAATTCAGCGCCCAGTGCCGGGACGAATTCTACATGGCGTTAGACCTCGTGCGAGGCTTCTCGTCGAATTCGTATGTTTCAAAACGTCTTTGGAAGACAATCAAGATGCTGAAGGAAATTGGTCCCAGGCTGGGTCTCAATGTGTCAAATGCGGACACAGCGGATGCGCACTCCTCTGCCGCAGTGGCTATGGCAGGCCTTGCTGGTCATCAAGTTGATGAGATGGCTGTCTTCTCAAATGGCAGGAATGGACACTTGGATACACCCCACGGAATGGTGTCGGATCTCACAACTTTGTTCGAAGCTGCAGGCGGATATACCAATGTCCTACAGAATGGGTTTAGTTTAAGCTCTGCTGAGATGGCAAGTGGAGAATTCGCGACGAGTTTTGGGCACGAAGATGAGTTAGCAAGGATTATGAGAGATCTGTTCTGAGAGTGGAGCGCTTGAATGAAATGCAAACCTCTTTGTGTTCTTTCCATTACATTTTGGGCTCTTACATCCTGTTTGCAAGAGAAGTGATTACAAGTGCGTATTGAAGAGGAGAAGAGATACTAGACTATAGTAGTTCCTTACCTTGAACATACACTTTAATTAGTGCCTAATATCTATGATACTCATACCTCTATTCACAAATTCTTTTACCAATAGCGGTAATATCTGGCTGACCAAGGTGATGTATCTGATCACGTGCCATTATTGTGAGGCGGGGCTGGAAATGCCAAGCCTGTTGCGCACCTCATCTCTGACAGAGCATATCCGACGTACACCAAAACATGAATGTGACAAGTTGCCATCCTGAGCAAGTGCCACGAAGAAGTCTACAATCTACCACTTAGGACTCGTCCTCTCCTACGTCTTTCATCCCCCCATCTTCCGGGTCACCTTTCTCCGCGCTTTCCTTAGCCATTCTATCACGAGGTACCACAGCATACCCGCGAACTGTAACAACATCGCGAGCACGAGATGAGAGTGTTTGCAATACTAAAGCTCTAATTAGACTCCTCACGCTATAGATTTGCGCCGATTCCAGCGGCCTTCTATAAAACGTTATCCGCGCAAACCTTCTCGTTCCCCTCCCCCACAACCAAATTTCGACCCCGCGCCGCTCTTAACAACAATTGAACTTCGTCGCTAGTACGGACCGCTTGATCGAACGTCCGATAACAGTTCGCCTTCATTGGCAATTGCTAAACAACTTGTTGGCTCGCGCGGAGCAGCCCAGGCCGCGCTGGCTGATTTAACCACTTTCCGTCCACACTACAACTGCCATGTCTTCCTCATCGCAAGTCACAGAGTCATGGATAGCCTCATTCTGTGGCCTACTAGGCCATGAGTACTTCGCTGAGGTTTCCGAGGATTTTATTGAGGACGACTTCAACCTTACTGGTCTGCAATCGCAAGTACCCATGTACAAAGAAGCCCTAGAGATGATCCTCGATGTGGATCCGGAAGACGACGAGGACGAAGAAGACGAAGAGGAGGAAGACGAAGAAGATGACGAGATTCTAGGTGATGATCGTCCAGCAGGCTACAGGCGAGCAAACGACAGGAGACACCTGCGGATGTCGTCAGATCTCAGCGTGATCGAGAGTTCTGCGGAGCTTCTGTACGGCCTTATCCACCAACGCTACATTACTTCACGGCCCGGTATTCAACAGATGGCAGAGAAGTACGAGCTGCAACATTTCGGAACTTGTCCGCGAGTCTATTGCAACTCCTGCAAAGTCCTGCCGGTAGGATTGAATGACAGTCCTGGACATGAAACCGTCAAACTTTTCTGTCCATCATGCCTCGACGTCTATACACCCCCCAACTCGCGTTTTCAGACGGTAGACGGAGCGTTCTTTGGCACAACCTTTGGGTCGCTCTTTTTCATGACCTTCACGGAGCTCGATATCGGTGGAGCCCGTAACTCTTCCGCGGGAGCTGCCGATGCTCTGCTTGCCATCCAAGCCGCCAACCAAGAAGCCAAATCGCGCAACAACACAACCCCTCCCAACATCACTTCCATAAATGGCGTCGCCCCACACAACCTCGCACCTGGCATCGGCCCAGGTTATATCTATGAACCACGTATATACGGTTTCCGTGTCAGTGAAAGGGCACGGTCAGGCCCAAGGATGAAGTGGCTTAGGATGCGGCCTACAGATATTACAGAGCTTGATGAAACAAGAATATACTGGGAGGAGAATGCCGACGAAGGAAATCGGCCCGATGAAGATGACATGAACATGGTTGATGTGCAAGGCAGCAAAGGTGTACCTGTTGATAAGAGAAAGAAGGCGGTTGCAAGGAGGAAACGAACAAACGGTGGAAATGGTGGTGGTAGCCCGATGGATACAAACGGCGTGGGCGTAGCGGGCCCAGGGTAATCATCAGATACATGTTGGGCTTTGGCCATCAGAAGAACAAGGAAAACACATCCGGCTCGCGACTTACAACGTTTCCGATGTAGACGGGGACATAAAGCGTGAGCTAGAGAAAGCTTCAGTCGGGGGGAGCGTGGTGTGTTGCGGTTTGTCGTGGTGATTTATTAGCTTGGGTTAGGTTTTTCTCCTGATTCTTTAACTTCTCTTCGGCGTCATGCCTTTACCCTTTCGAATGTATTCTCGAGCGTCATCTTAAGCAGAAGAGTCTACGATGTTCCACGTTTTGCTGTCACTTGTTACGATGTATGTACATGGTAAAAAAGGAGTTCCAAGCGCTAAGATCACTATAGGCCATCAGAGAACCTGCGGTACAAAGCTGATGATCGTGACATCGGAAAGTAAGCTGATATCTCAAAAGGTACAAATACTTCCTGTCAACAGATTCCGTTACGGTGGACACGTGCCCGCTATAGTATCAGTCTTCGTAGTACATGTTGGTTTCGCTCGAATCCCGCCCTAAGATGTACATATATGTGATCGAGATACGAAATGCCTGTGTCGTCAACGCCTGTGAGGCAATAATAGATTTCATTGTATAAAATAGGACCATCTCGTATCATAAGACTATGGCATTACTTCCATTTCATTAACATTAGTTTCCGCCTTGACATGTAATTGAACCATTTGGCCCCCAACATATGTTAATGAAAACGCCGTGAGTCACAATATCAAAACTCCTCTCCAACAGCTTCGGGATCAGCGACTCCAGCGACATAGTCTGAGGCTAATCTTTCATCGATGACAGCGCCTGGCATGTTTATTGCACCAGTCGCCGGTTGCTTCACTCCAACCTCTTGCTGTCCCGCCGCATCATTCTGTGGCTTCTCGTTGCTTTGGCCTTCAGGGATATCAGGTTTATCGAGATGCACATCCGTTGGCGCGTCTCCGCCATCAAAGTCGGCAAGCTGAGGGCCCGTCAAGGCTGCAGGTTCAGAAGGATCGTAAGCCCAAGTTTTCGGCCACGGGCGATTGACAGGCCTTGAACCCGGCTTGTTTTCGAAACCTGGCGGCAGGTCCAAGAATGGCCAGAAGGCGTTTCCAGAGTCATGCTTGGATTGGATGTCTGGTGAGGCGGTGCAGCGCCAGTCCAGAGGGCATCTTTGGCAGTTTGGTGGGAGGTTATATGGACATCTTCGCCAAGGCTGTTGGGGATTGATCGGTTCGGACTGTTGAGAGTGGCGGTCGTGTACATCCAGTGGGGAGGGTTGGTGTCGCTCGGAAACCTGTAATGGTGATGCGGTGCTGAGCGGGAGCAACAGTGCGAGCACTGTATAGACCTTCATGTTGTGTCAAATTTGTCCTGCCGAATTCTGGGCAAGGTCAAAAAGATGCAGATATGATCTAGTACGGCCCTATATTGAAATGGCAATGCAAGGAGCTGGGCGCCGGTAACGCCAATATTCTTGTGACGACGTCAACCGGGGATCACAAGAATGCACTACCGGAACCGAGAGATAGGAATGATCAGAGGCATCTTCTTGCTGGCCACATGGCCAAATTTCTTTGAGTTCAACGTGTTCATTATTGGTCGTAATAAGATCGTGCTGTACTACATATGTGCCCGCTTCTGTGGGAAAGCCAGATATGGCGATACCTACAGCCGACATCTCGTCGCCAGGGAGCAGATTCTATGTTCCGCTGATCACAACACGTGCAAGTCAATTACCATTTCTCGACTGCTGGTCTCAAATCGATCTCCCAAGTGAAGTTTGTGACGGGCTGTGTATGGAGCCACCAATAATCATTGGCGATCTAGCAAAATGTGTCAACGGCGTATGGATGAATTGGGTCAATTTGACTTACCCCATCAGGAGATAATTTGTACTCAGGCCCAAGATCTTTCAACCACTCCTTCGTTCGAGGGATATCGATAACTCCATCAATGATCGCGTGAGCGACGTGGACTCCCTGTGGGCCGAACTCCCTTGCTAAGGATTGGCTGAGTGCGCGCAGGGCCCATTTTCCGGTTGCAAAAGATGCCATTTGGGCATTGCTCTTGACCGAAGCAGTTGCACCCGTGAAGATCAGAGAAGGAGGGTGCTGGGACTTTTGCTCAACACCTTTCAGCAATAGTGGTAGTGTTGCTTGAGAGAAGTTGAAGCCTCCTTTCGCACTGGTGTCTAGTGACGTCGAAAACACTTCTTCTGGGATCTCGAGGAAGGGTTTCCGGAGAAAGCCTCCACTTGCATTGTAAATGGCAGCCTTGCAATGATATTAGCATCAAGCTGGTATTGCGAGACTATGATCATAAATTGCATTGAACGTACTGCTGCACCAACATCGGCCCCAAATTCCTTCTTGATCACCTCGACGGCGTTCTTCACACTGGCGGAATCTGCAACATCAGCGCTCACACCGATAGCTTTGCCTCCGCTCTGGTTAATCTCGTTCGCAAGAGACTCATAGCTCTCAGGCTTCCTCGCAAGTAAGACGACGGGATATGTAGCAGCGAACTTGCGAGCAATGGATGCCCCGGTACCGGGACCCACACCAGCAACAATGGCAATGAGCTTTGAAGTCATAGTAGTTGGAAGCAAGGTAGTAGACTCAGAGTATCAGGCAGAAAACTTCAGTAGAGGAGACCCTTGAAAGAGGGCTCTGTTATTAAATACCTAAAGGTTGATGTTTAGTAAAGCACCTAGTGATGCGATACTGGGGTCTAATTGCATGATGTAAGACCGATTTACAAGAATGCGGAGGTTCGGCTCTTCGATGATTAATAACCACCCGCGCACACAAACACTTACGCCGTCCGAGTAGTCCACTGGCACCACCCCAAAGAACCCCGTTCCATATATTGCGTACATGATGATTATTGATCTGTATGGTCAATTTGAAAATATTTCATAGCAATATGAAAGAAATGCAACAGGTGACACCAAGCAATGCATGGCTTCACCACCTGTTGCCTTCAGCATAGATAGAGATCAAAGGATTTTGAGATCGTTAGTCAAACGAAGTGCTCGTTCCATAAACATGCATGTTGCTAGTTAGTAGACCTCTCTTTTCATGGGAAACCTCCGGAATGGTCTACGATTAAGCTGCGACAGTTGTCGTCCATTTCACTCTTCGCTATTCGTTTAACTCCGGGCAACCATCAGGAAGGGTTGAGGAGGTGATATTTTAGCGTGAACGTGGGATCCAGGAAGTAACGTGGGCATCATGAGTGTGCTGCTTGGTTGTCATTGTTAGTGACCACGAGGCGCTTTTTTCCACGACGATAACCTGCACATGTCCGATACAAGCCTTTCGACTAGTTCATTTGTTCGATCTAGAAGTCGATAAAACGCCCCCACTTTTCAATGCCTTTTTGCATGTTCGAGGTTGTATGGAAAGATGATATGCATTCCGATCGCTCGATGAAAGAGGTAGAGCCCGCGCCAGATTCTCCGGGTAACCCAGCCATGAAATTGTCGTCAACCTGAGAAAGCTCGTGCAATCATCTATGCCTCCCTCTTCTTTGCTGCCGCCTCCCGACCATCCTTTATTCTCTCCAAGATGTTCTCACGGTCCTGTTTTGTCGTGTTAGTATTTCCTTCATTCAACCTTCCAGCATGGTGATTGTACCTTGTCGAGCTTGAGCTTCGTAACGACGACCTTGGAAGCGGCGACGGGGATGGGAACGGACTGGCCGTTGCTCTTCTCACGGACAACTGTTCAAAACACTTAGTATAAAGACCTTCTCCCTCAATTGTGCATTTTCGAACGTACCTCCGTTGATGTGAAGGGCGAACTTGAGACGGTAGACGGAGGTGACCTTGCCCTCACGTCCCTTGTGTGTGCCACGAACGATCATGATCTCGTCCTATTCGACGTTTAGTACTCGCATTTCGTCGGTTGGGGAAATTTCGAAGTCATACATCTTTTCGGACAGGGATGCTGTATTTTGTCAGTACAAGAGGCCACATCAAAGCAGACTGTGGGAGAATAATTACCTGCGCACGTTGTACTTCTCGCGGAGTTCCTTGCTCAATGGCGCCTGAGTGGTGTCAGAACTCCTCCTTCAATCCAATCCAAATTCTGCGTCGAGATGTGTACTGACCGACATGATCACACGGCGCACGCTACTCGGCGCACTGAAGTGTGCCTTTCGCGACTTGCGGCGTGAGCTGGCGAGTCCCTGGTTAACCTTCGTCATTTTGGAGGTGGTCGTTGATGTCGGGTATCGTGGTCGTTGTCCTCGCCCTGAAATTGTCGGAGCTGTGTGCTGCTGGAAAGATTCGCTTACTTAGTGCGCGGCTTGGCCTTCGGTGATATATTTATCCGCTACCGAGTCTGGCCGACGACATCCAACTTATTCGACGCGCATCGCCTAGTTCCAAGGAACACCACATGACTAAGGCAATGCCAAACGCGCGCCACGCGCCCAAACCCTTTCCCTCTAAGTTTCTACAATAACGGCCATCTCAAGTTATATAATCGTCGCGCAATCATTCTGCACGATCCAGTGGAACCCTAACAAAGCGACAATACGGATTTCACTTCCATGGGCTCCTCCGACACATCTAGCAAGGCGATTACCCAAGGACGGGGTTCGTCGCCGAGGTAGGACCTCTCAACCATGACGTCCAACAATTACAATGGAGGCGGTTATACTAGTAACCACCAGTACTCTGCATACCAATCTAATAACCCTGCCGGTTCGATCTCACGACAATACCAACAACCTGCTGCCCCATCGTATACCGCGCCGCCGATCAGTACTCAATCATATGTTCCGTATTCGAACGACACCTACAGCAACCATGGGGTTTATGCAAGCCACGACAATACACTGGCAGGGAGCAGTTTTGGACACAATCGTGAACCCCACAATAGAGCCGCCGAAGTGCTGAGTAACATGTCCAACATGAGCTACACAAACTCGACCGCAACAGATACAGCAGCAGTGCACGCAGCGCGCTATTCGAATGCTTCTCCCGTGCCGCGGCAAGCAGCTCATGCTGCACCTATCCCTCCCCAAGCCGCGTATGGCCAAGTCCAGGCGCGTCCCCGTAGCACGAATGCTAAACGTGGACTTCCCTCGCCAGCTACTGGTGTCGCGTATCCTTCACAGCAGACAACGAATGTATACAATCATCAACCACAGCCGAAGCGAACATCAAGTCCCGCTACAATCCACTATCAATATCCTTCCCACATACCGCCAGCGCAGTCAGCACAGTCCAAGCCTGCCGACCCAGTCCGACAATTGCCTAGCATAGACTCTGCTGGCCTGTCACACGCGAGTACCGTGAACGTCCCTGAGCGGTTCGACAGCAATGCAGTCAATACGGTGGATCCCATGGCTGTTTACGATCTATGGCCGGAATACCGCCGACAACAAGAAGCTCTTAGGGAACAAGAAGCTCTTCGAGCACAAAAAGCGGCTGAAGTTGCAGCTCGTGCGGAGAAAGAGCGTAGAGCTGAACAAAAGCGCAAAGAAGAAGAGCAACAATTGGAAGAGAGGCGTAAAGAGGAAGAGCGCCAACGGGAGGAGGAGCGCCAACGGGAGGAGCAACGTAGACTCGCCGAACAAGAAGAAAAAGCTAGACAGGAGCGAGAAGCAGCAGCCGAACGTGCCGCTCAGGCTAATGCGCCTAGTTCCGCAGCTTCTTCTGCAGAGCAAGATCTTGAGGCAGAGATTCGGGCAATGATGGCGAAGATGCGGGAATTGAATGGCAAAGATCCGGCATTGTTAGCAAAGATTTGGGAGGAGGAACGTCGAGCCAAGGCTCCCAAATCACCCACGGTTCAATCGAAGACTGCTCCCCAACCAGTCACCTCAGAGCAATCTGCACCACAGCCTGCTACCACCCAAGCTTCAGCACCTCAGCCTTCTAAAGCGAACACAGGCACGCCGCGGACCACTAACCAGCGGAAACCGGCAAAACCCAAACCAAAGTCAACCTCTTCAACACCCATCCAGACATCGTCTATCGAGCCACCAGTATCTTCAACAGCACCAATTCCGGCCTCTCGATCCATAAAAAACACAATCTGGCCACCTGGAAAGAAGGCACAGCTGGCACAAGCTGCATCCTCCTATCTCAATGGCATAAACCCTACCAACAATATAAGTGAACAACAAGTCTTGGGCTTACTTGATGGAAATCCTTCGTATATTGAACTTTGTGAGCAACTCGAGGCGTTAGGGTTGAAACTGGATCGTGCAGCATTCGCAAAAAATCTATTGACAGCTGTGCCCGACATCAACTCAGCAACACGCGCGCAATCTCAGGCTAGGGCGAATCAAGGACCCTCAAACGGTACGTTAGATGGATCTATCGCGCAAAGAGTCCAGGCGCCTCCACCTTTAATGAAGCCGAAGACCCCTGCTGCTTCAGGCCTTGCCGTTCCGCCGCATCCAACGCTGTCTACGCACACCGCACCGTCGCCAGTAATGAATACACCACAAATACCTTTTGCTGTGCAAAATGGATCTTCAAGCCAGGCTCCTTGTCCGGTGGCTGAGATGATACCCATCAAACCAGAGCTCAAACCTCCAGCGAACAAAGAAGAGGCCGCACGGAAGCGTACTTTCAATGACTTGATAGATCTTACACTTGTCGACGACGAGGATGTAGAACCAGCGCCTAAGAGATCGAATCTTGGCACTGTTTACACCCACGGCACTAATTCAACCCCGGCGTTCGACACTTCCATGTATTCCTCGAATATCATATCACCACCGCCTCAAGTAAATGCCAACGAACCTAGCGCATACCCGCCTCAGACTTTGAGGAATAGAGTGCTTGCCCAACCACTTGATAAGAGAAAGGCCCTGCGACGTTCCTCATATAATCCCGCGACCATTGCGCGAGATGTACTCCTGGCCAGTGGCAGGCATCCAGACGCACGCTGCTTGAATGGGCATCTCGACGTCCTCAGATTACATGCGCAAATATCTGTTGATGCAGATCTCAGCACGTTGAGATGGGATCTAATGGATCCTGGAAATCCACCGAAAGGTTATTATCGGGACAGAGCGCAGGATACGGTCGACGATGCAGACGACGAGTCTAACAGTGACGACGAAGGCGCCGCTCAAGTGAAACATGAAATAGTGTTGCACACCGTCACAACTGGTGGGGACCAGGCACTGCCTGACCCTACTAATCCATTTAAGGTTAAGCGGCGTGGGAGACCTCCCAAGAGCGCATATACCACTCCTTCTCACACTCCTATCACCGCACGCGCGACAGAGTCAAACTCGAAAACAAACTCTCCACGACCTAGTCCTGCAGGTGTGGGCTACTCTGCCTTTCGTTCAATGGAAACCGGCCCAGACGGGCAACCGGTTCCCAAGAAGAGAGGACGGCCTGTAGGCTGGCGGAAAGCCATTCACGGCGTCTCCGCAGGCCAACCAAGTCCTCTTGCGTCACAAAACACACCAACACACCAATCCTCTCCTGGAGTACGCAATCCAGTTGTGATCAAATCTCGGTCACCAAGTGTTGCGAGGAGCGCGCCTCGATATCAATCTTTCAAGTGTCGGTGGCGCGATTGCAAAGCTGAGCTGCATAATCTCGAGACCTTAAAGAAACACACGTATAAGGTCCATCGGAAAGAGAACGTCCAGGGAAATGTAGAATGTCTTTGGAACAACTGCAATACCCACTTCACTACCGATGCAAGATGGCGTGAGCATCTTGAGAAACACTATGGGCAGATTGCATGGGAGCTCGGAGACGGCCCAGCTAGTGGACTCTCTGGTGAAGAATAGCATCTTTCATCAGGTGTCCAAGCTAATCCTTCGTCAGATGCACATGAATCTGATGCATACCTTAGCGATGCTCAAGGTCGACTCGTAACTCCTCGAGTCACTGCGACCCCTTCACCTAGCCTGTCAGACATGCAAAAGCGGTCTTCACCCGACCAACGCGGACTAGGACGAGGACGAGGGCGGCCGCCTAAAGCTACCTCTCAAGAGCAAGAAGCTCGCGACACCTTCGATAGAGTAGTCGCGCACAAGATACGAACCGGCGGCCCAGGCATTGACCGAGGAGGCGCTACTTTGGTCAATGAAAAACGCCGCAGGGGATTTTCTGAAGATGACCAGGAGGAAGAAGCTTTCGTAGATATCGAACCGTGAGGGAAACTTAGTAATAATCGGTCATTGGCCATCCAGAATCAATCAGCTGGAAATGAACCCTCTACGAAACCTGGACAGCTTTTGGCACCGGTCTGGCTAACATCGAATGGTGTAAGCGAAACCACTAGAATAATCGTACCACTTGGTATATTCGAGAGCTTTGTAGCCCCGTGCTCCTGAGCTTAAATCATAATATACAAAAACTGAATACCGGCAACCAGAATGCAGGTTGTGCTGAATTGATATTCTTCGCATGCATACGTGAACGCCTGACTCTGAGACACCACGCACCCAAGTACCAATGCGTCAGTCCCTGTGTAGATGGATAGCAATCCGACTCTTTTAGTCCGCGAAACATCTCCTTGTTATAATCGCTGTTAAAGCAATCCTGTTTCTACTCTTCTCATCCTCAGCTCCTTTTCCCAGCAACTTTAGGATTCTGTGCGGCCGCGTGGTCTTCCGAATTGACTTCGAGGAAATGGTATAATATTATCAGAAGCATGGCGGCACTCCCGAGGAAGATTGCGAGCGAGTAGAGTTGCGAGTCGGTGATCATATTGATATCGGCGTGTTGCGGTATACGAGGCGATTGAGGGTTGGAGCTGCCACGGAGGTCAATTCGATCGCGTTTATTACAGCGTAGGCTTTTAGGAACATACTTGCTGTATATGTACGGAAACTTTTATCGCAAGGCCACTTTGTGGTTATCGTCGCGGTATTTCTCGTTGTATGGATCACAATCAATCCCAGTAATGGTAGACTTGAGAACACCTGGAGCTTCTTACGAGTACTGGTTGCGAGGCCAGGATCGCTCTTGGCAAATAAAGAGACAGGACAGGGACGCACAGGCCAAACTCCAGCGACCGCCGCCACCAACTAGGCTCCGCTCCACCCCACCAAGAAGCCCGCCCACACATACTCCGTCATTCTTCGAACTTTGTCACTTTGCAAGAGAACCTCTGTCCGATTCCTACGTCCTTGGACCCTACCCTCGCGGAGAGCCACCACTGTTGCCGGGCTAGTTTTGGGGATTTTTTGGACCTTGCGCTTGTACAGGAATATATTCTTACTAGATTTCGGAGGACTTGGATACTAGAAGTTGCCCATCATGCCGCCCAAAGGAAGAGACCAGCCAAAGGCTTCGAAAACCGCCGTCGACAAGGTATGGACCATGCAAAATTCAACAGTGGGCCGAATATACTAACAATGGCGTAGACGTTTGGTATGAAAAATGTATGTACCCATATCTACACGATCAAGACCGCGGTTGCCCAGTTACACTTTGCCACGAGCCTCACTTCACACCCAATCGCTTGTTGTTGGATATAATGATGGTGGGAATTTGGAGCCATCGTTCAGGACAAACGATGACATTGTGTCCAATTCTCCGGGCTACATTCCCAGACAGACCGTCTGGCGCTCGTTCTCCACATGAATATATATTCATCAAGATCGCTAACTTTTGCGCCGTAGAAAAAAGGTGGAGCTGCCCAAAAACAGATCAGGCAAATCCAGCAGGCTCAGGCATCTGCAAAGACCCCCGAGCAGAAGCGTAAAGAGGCCGAGAAGGAAGCACGAGAGCGCGAAAAGAAGGCCGCCGAGGATGCTCGAAGGGAGACCGCCGAACTCTTCAAGCCTGTACAGGTGCAAAAGGTTCCCTTTGGCGTTGATCCAAAGACTGTCCTTTGCCAGTTCTTCAAGAAGGGAAATTGCGAGAAGGGCAAGAAGTGCAAGTTCTCTCATGACCTGAATGTGGAAAGGAAGACGGAGAAACGAAGTTTGTACACGGACAGCAGAGATAAAGAGGAGGAAGAGGAGAATAAGAAGAAGGACCAAATGGATGACTGGGACGAGGAGAAATTGAGGAGCGTTGTTCTCAGTAAACATGGAAACCCCAGGACAACGACAGACAAGGTCTGCAAATTCTTCATCGAGGCGGTCGAGAACCAGAAATATGGCTGGTTCTGGCAGTGTCCAAACGGCGGCGATAAGTGCATGTACAAGCACAGTCTGCCTCCAGGGTAAGTTCATCCGACATGGAACTTTCAAGGATTGCATAGTTAACAGATCACAGGTTCGTGCTCAAGACCAAAGAACAGCGCGCCGCTGAGAAAGCGCTTATGGACAAGTCTCCTCTCAATACGCTCACTCTCGAAGACTTCCTCGAATCTGAGCGTCACAAGCTGACAGGTACACTCACACCCGTTACTGCCGAATCCTTTGCCAAATGGAAGAAGGAGCGCATGGACAAGAAGGCGGCCGAGGAACAAGCCAAGGCCATGAAAGAAGCAACTGGTCGTGCTATGTTCGAAAAGGGCGATTGGCAGGATAGTGAGGAGGAGAGCGATGATGACGACGCCGACGGTGCATGGAACCTCGAAGCACTTCGGAGAGAGACCGAAGCTGCAAGGCAGAGGAAGGAAGAAGAACGGCTGGGTCTGGCATCATCCGAACAAAACGCTGTGGAGGTGGAGGTCTCTTGAAATCAGCATCACCATATGCATGTTAACGGCATTCTGGATCGGAAAACGAGGCATTGATACCACTGAGCCGCGGCGCCGATAAAGGCCCGTGAGGTAGCATCAGCATGGTGGCGGAAGCAACAAATTGTGGAAGCATACACTTTGGGTGCCACGGCCCGAGGCAAGCTTTGTGCTTGAGACTGGGATCGAGGCACCCGAAAAAAAAAGTGCCTTGAAGCGCTGCATTAGACCAGCCGATTTCACTGCGACGCAGAGGAATGTAGTGTCCGGAGTCAGATACTGTTGTTCAAGATCATTGATATTTACTTATATATTCTTATCCACATGGAATTCAGGATTCTAATTCGATTTAGAGATGTTTTCAAACAACGTGTGTACCATTTATATACTCTACGCATTCTCTGGATAATGTCCTCATGATTATCAAAACTCATCACGCTGCTACCATTTGAAATCAGATGCCGTTCACTTAGTGCTCAACTGATACAACTCGGCATAGGCACTCCAAATTCCTACATACCTTGATTATAGATACGAAGATTGCTCAAACCAAGAAGAGATCTAGCAGAGAACTACAGGTACGGTGACTAGATTGTGACAGCAATTACGTCAAACATAACATCTTCAATATTCAGTCTGACGAGACAACCACTTGACTGAAGCACATGTATGTAGCAACTTGACAGCCTGTCCATGTCTTCCTTGGTCCCTACATCTTCGTTCTCATTTCCCGTTGCACACACACGCACATTTCCCGATCCTTAAAGCAAGACCCTAAACACCACTTATCTCACGCCTCACCCTACAGACATATTCACCTGGACCTTTCAACCCCCTATTTCCCTAGCACCCACACAACCTAGTGTCGTTCCTTCCACACATAAATCACAGAACCAACCTACCTTCCCTTCAGAGAAACTTTAGAAGGAAAGGAGAGTATGCGTATAGAAAGGACGTTCCAGGGACATCCACCTCGGTATGAAGAGCATCGTGTGACTCGGAATCTGCATACATGGAAGAAGTGTGTGCACAGCTAACATAGAACATGCATCACAGAAGAAATGATATTCGCCGCCATGTAACCGCCACGTCTCCTGAGTACTAGGAAAATCAACCTTGAAACTCCTCCCCACGTCGTTGCCTACAATGCAGATGAACAGTGAGGTGCTTCAAGACAGACTCATCATGGCATATACGCCTCACTCACATAGAATACAAGTGACTCGTAGGATTCCGTGTGGTTTATGCCGTGTCATAGTACGTATGACTGTAGAGGCAAAGGGCAGTCATTATCGTTTCAGGATGAGAGTAGTGCCTGATGTTTGTGTATGGATGAGTAGTTTGTACTAACATATTACGCTTCGGTGTAGTCCGAGGACTCCATGGTATATGAGTCTGAATTTGTATGTGTAAATCGGCCGTTGATTTATGAAGGGTTAGAAAGGGGAAACCATGGTATGAATGTAAAGCTACATAGCGGGGAGATGGCATTTAGACAGTGAGAGCATCTGCCTTTCATGAATCATCACCTTTGTACTTAGCACATGGGAGAGAATATATGATGCCAAGCTGGATGGAGTCAGTCTTATTATTCAACTGACATCGAAGATGCGTTATGTGACATTGGATTGCTCATTGTGATTCGTAACGTAACAGTCATATTTCTGTAATAAGAGCACACGTGATTGTGGTACGGAAGAGTGAGAGCTATCGTTGTAGATACTGGGATTATACCACCAGGGAACATGGATGGCGCATAGCAAGGTTCAGATACGAGTAGGTTTGGCGTGCAACGATGAATCACAGAAGTATGGATGGAGTCATATGATGACCCATAATTAGGGCGTTGGAGTCACTCAAACTTATTTATCACGGAATAGTCACTTCGAGCCGCTGTAGGTCGTGTTATAGGAAGTATAGATTGGATCATAAATATCAAGACTAGGTCGCGAAAGGTTTGAGATCAAAGCACTTTCACTGAACGGCAACTACAACAATATAGCTTTTCTGAAAGGCTGTTGCCGATACTCTCGATAAGGACAAATAAGCGGCACAAGGAGGAGTCAATCAACCCATTGGGAGACTACGCTCCGAGCGCTGAGCAAGACGCAGAAAGGACAGTATTCCATAAAACAAACAATGATAGAGAACATTAAGAAAATAGGAATCGCAACCATCATCCCACGAAGGGAGAGGTCGTAAAGAGCCACCACCTACGAGAGGGGTGGGGGGTGAGGCTTAACCTCACCAGCTCATCAAGCCCACCACGAACCAAATCGGGCAGACTGATATATTTATGCACCATTGTAACCATGCGCAAGAGCAATGTTCTTCCACTTCTCTACTTCGGCCTCAAGCTCTGCATTTCGCTTCTCCAGAGTGTTGACATGATCAAACTTGCGCTGTCGGGAGTCACGAGCGGCAAGGGTATTGCGGGCTCGCTTCATAGCGACCTTGTCGTTGGGGTCAACAGTGATGTCTGGGAGAACACCCCTTCGACGACGGCTCTTGGAGATCGAAGCATTGATGACTGGAGAGCTTGAGACGGACGACTTCCTCCTCGAGTCCAGGATGGCAGGGGAGTTCGCACTGGACGAGTTCGAGCGTGCCATGGACTGGCTGCTTGGGGTGCGCTCGAGATTCAGGGCCGCTGGCGCCGGGATCTTGATGTCTGGCGACTGCGACTCCTGCTCGGGGAACAAGGAGTACCAGGTATCAGGTCCTCCTCCCTGAAGGCCATCGGCGGGGTTGAACAGCGGAGAAGTTTCGAAGCTGTCGTTGATCATGTAGGGAGATTCACCAATATCGGGAGAGGTCAAGTTTGTGAACGCTGTGGAGTGCGGGGCAGAGCCAAGGGAGTCTCCAAAGATTTCCTTGGGAGAGACTGTGCGGATCGACTCCGCGGCAGAGTCGTTGATCGAAGTGAACGCCGAAGCGGGGAAAGTGAGACCCCACTCCAGTTCGTTCGAAGCAAAGGCGGGCCCGAGGCCGGCGCCTAGGTTCGAGTCGAACGAGTTATTTGTGTTCAGATCTATAGGGGAGGTGAGTCTTTGAATCATGGAGGAGCGAAGATGGTGAGTAGTACCTGCCATAGTAGCGATGTGGAGTTGTTGTTGTTGGATATCGGTATGAGTGCTAGTGCTAGTGCTGGTGGTACTGGAGAACAAGGGGACTGGCGGACGCTGTTGTAGTTTCGGTCGTTGTTGTTGTAACGGAGGCTGCTGGAATCCTGCAGTGGGTGACGGGGCAGAATTGGGGTACAAGTTGCCTAGGTTAAACGTAGGATGAAGCTGAGGAGCGCTGGGTGCACGCTGCGGTCGTTGGGCCGGCTGGTCGAAGAGCACGAAGTCGCTGTTGACACGCGGGATCGCGAACTCGGAATGGGACTGCTGAAGTGTTCGCCGCAAGGCTGGGGGAGCTGGTGAGGGAAGCCATGTTGACTGTTGAGAAGCCGTGATGGACGACGTAAAGTCGAACCGGGGTGGGTTATTGGAAAGAGAACTAGAGCTGCACGAGGCTGGGCTGTAGTTCAGAGGTTCCGCGAGGGAGGACTCTGAAGTGGGTTGAGTGGAGAGTATGGTTGTTATAACGTTGGGATCCAAGGTGTCGACTTTAGAAGGCGACTTGAGAAGAGAAGAAGGGGGGGAATCTAGAAGGCAGCCATTTTGATCTGTGACTGTCTTATGATGTGTGTGTGTATTGTATAGTTGGGTGAGGATGGAAGAGAAAAGAAGAAGAAGAAGATCAGGCAGCGAGAGGCAGAAAGCGAATATTATGTAGTCTGTGGATGGCTGGTGGTGGGTTGAATGTGGGTGGGAGAGAGAGTGAGCCTAGAGAGGGAAGGGCATGGGTTGGGTGGTCCGGGCGGCGTGGTTTCGGCCTTGGCGGGTTGAAGTGTGAGTCACAACTTTTTTCCCTTTTCCCTTCTCTCCCTCTTCCCTTCCTTCCCACCAACCACAACCACCGCAACCACCATCACCATCACCCATCACTTACTTTGTTTACGCATCCCTCCCTCTACCTAGTTAACTATCCATGGATGTGGGATCATTACCCTCGTAACCCTCTCTTTCCCATCCCATATCCCGTCGTATTTCCGTTCGTTAGCATCTGTGCATCTGTGAAACCGACATTAACGTCAACGCCCATTTCAGTGACCGGTCCTCGCTTCTCACCCACAATTGGTCAACCTCTTGCATGGGAAGAATGTGGGCTGCATCGCGCTGCACCGATTTGTCTCTAGTCAAGGCGAGGTCCCGTAAGCAGAGCGGCGGCTGAGTGTGCTGGAGTGCTGGTGTGCGTGGCCCGCCCTTCGTTGCGACAATTAACAACTGCGCAACTCGTTGAATACCCACCATCGCCCATCTGCTCCTCCGTAACTACTTACCTAGTCTCCAGCAGGAGTATGCAAATCGACGTACCAGACCCGCTTCTTTGCTGCTTTCGAAATGCGCGCACGCCGTCTCACTCGATCGCTTCCACTGCACCCTGCTCTGCTCTGCGCGGGCACGCAGGTTCGCATCACTCCTCCATCGTTGCACCTCGTTCATCAATCAATCTATTCAGACCGATCTGTGTACGCGTTCTGAAGCGCAAGTCTTCTTCTCGTTCTCCTTCTTCTTGTTCGAGAACCAAGACATTACAGACAACCACTAGTCCACGTGCGCATGTGTTAACTACAACTTTCGCAACGCCTGCCTCAATCAGGCACTTGTTATTTCGCAGGGCGCATATCACGGGCCGGAGGCGCGCCAGCTGATATTGGCCCCGATAGGGCCGGAGTGCTAAAGAGCCAACAAGTAACCAGGGAGAGCCATTCAGCACGATTAACGATCCAGTGCAAGCCAGTTAACCCGTCTCGGAATAAACCAATCCCATCCCAACCCCGTTCATCCCGCTTCTTACGAGTAGCAACTTGCAAGGGCTGCGCCGCCGCCCTTTATTGTTTACGGATGCCTGATCGATGACCAGGCAGGTGCGCGGTTCAACGCAAAGTCAATGAGGCTGTGGCATTATTGCTACATGATCGCAGCGCTTCGACTCCATACTATTGACGTTGACGGAGTGAACGATTGAAGCGGTGAAGGTTTCTTTTCAGAAACAAGCAAAGCATTGCGTTGCGAAACCACCACCTCCCCCGGCTTTCAAGCCACAATCACTATCATTAAAACTAAACCTCTAGCTTGGTGCTGTTCACGAAAGAACTGTCTCTCGCACTACGATAATGGTGTTGAACAAGCCCGATTTTCGCTCTACTCTTTCCCATCGTGATCCTTTTATCCGATAAATCCTCACTTTGAACCATTCCTGAATATTTATAACATCGTCGCTGTACCCCAAACTGAGATGCTTCATCATGTTGTTACAAACTTCGGCACCGCCGTTCTGGGTCGACGTTTCACCATGCTATGAGTCACTGATCGACCTCTAAGACGCTTTCGCTTGCTTGTGGGGACGGAGTGCATCCTCCGATGGAAATAGAAGTGAGGAACGACTTGATCTTGGCATACCCAATTAATCCTCACCCCATGATTTCTACCCGCTTTCCCGTCGCAAAAGGAATGAAATTCGAATATACGGAGTACAAAGTAGTTTCTGATCATGCACCATATGTTTGCAACGTTCTGCCTCGGTACCAGTCAATCTCTGCTTTCAATTGCGTCGACATCTGAGACACAATCACGATCTCCCGATCAGGACTATTCCAAGTAAATGCTCCATAGCTTTACAGTCTTCACCTTGAACGTCGGAGACTTCAACAAAGATTCGCGACCTTTGCGATTCTGACGTAGTAACCAGCTATTTGAGCATGAAGCATCGGATACGTATCCAAAGCTCCAACTGGCCCCTCGGATACGTACGGATGCTTTCGCATACTCAGTACCTTCACCACCTCTGCTTTCACAAGCCAAAGAACTCTACGGCCGTGTACGGCAGCGTGCATATAGGTCTACACGGAGGCTGAACTCTCCCAAGTTTCTGCCTTCTGCTAAACTTATGTCGGCCGCGGCCTTCTCACAATTGCTATCGCTGCACATGTTCTTCAGGTTGATGCTACGCTCCTTGTGAGAGTTAGGTTGCTTCACCAGCTCTTAGAGCATCGTGGATCACGGAACATGCCATCACATACATTTCATCTGGACATGGCTGATCGAACGCCTTAGAAATGCTTGATGCACTTTCTGCATTCCTTTCTAGGACTTGGTCTTTCTGTAATTTGGTACGGATGTTGCACCGTTTACTAGTTCGCAAATTCAGGGACCTGCTTTGAAATCCTCACGGATCTCACGCTGAGCCCCATGCCCTACTCACCCTAGAACGACACCTCCAATTGTTAGGCTGCGACCTTGGAGGCCATTGGACTTTTCCAGATGAAGTCGGGACTCGGACCTGCTCCGACGATTCTGTCTTGCTTCATCCACTGCGCCGAAATCCGAATAGACTCGTTTCAATGCCGCGAACAACCCTGGCCAAGGCATATGGACTATTCCATATGGCTTCCACGCACTCGTGGGTTTCGGACTTGGAAGCATTTTGTCATTACCTTCAATACACATATCCCTTTACTTAGCACGGCGGCGTCTGGTATTGCTTGTTGGCGCATCTTCGCCGCGAGGCTTTTCGCCGATCGCTGTAAGATTCTGAAGTCTCATCGTTTGGATAAGAATACGGCCACTACTCTTGTGGTATAACACGGAGTCTATTATCCAAGTTTCTAAAGGGGTGACTGTCCATCAGGCTTAGACCGCCATTATCCAAACAGAGCCTGGACGGCCCAGCCTTAACGCCTCCAATCCTAACATCCATTGCTCAGATATATTAGCTCTGCAGATCCCCAGGTTTTCACAGCATCTCGGAATTAAGATTCTCTCCCCCGAGTGCATAGAAAGATGACAGAAGGTTCTTCATTTTGAACTAGCGGGCGAGCCTCCGTCAATCACCTTTTTCCATGTGTCTCGCATTCTGAAGTCCACGGCCGGGCTTCAGCAATCTCCGCACCCCCGCAGTCTTCCCCCACAACATCTCACGATTCCATCTGCTCAGGGTCCAACAACTTAAAGGGACAAAGGAAACTCTTGACGACAGAATAGCTCCTCTCATGGTCTTCACCGACATTTGTGTCGTGCTCCTCTGCACTGATTTTGGTGAGCATTTAGAGGATTGGCCTACACTACTGTGTCAACACCACTGTGCTTATTTCCAGCCGGTGCTAAGCAATAGATGTGCTATTTGAAGCACATTGATATTTCTCGAGAGGCCATGATGTATGATGATTGTGGTCTTGTCACATTGGCATTCACAAAGTACGATTAGTCTTTCGGAAAACCGCTTCTTGGTGGTGAGAGCCTTATTCGCTGTCTGCGTGATTGCATAATTAGACTTCGGCCCATCCAGCGGCCATTCCCTGCTGGAAAGGTCAATAATAGATCTAGAAACAACCTGAAAGGCTCGGTTGGATCGGCCGATATTGTACGAGTATCTTCACCGTGCTTACTACAAGGAATTCTTTAGGGGTCTGGCTGCTTTCGTGCTGTGGACGTGCGGTGTGGATCTTGCGGTTGGTACCGAACCGAACGGCGGGTCCGAACGGCCAGAGCGATGGTAATTGCGGTCACCAAATGAACAAGAGCTTATCGCAAATTCACTTGAAATGTCCATCTATTGGTCTATGACCGTAGATATCGGTATCCCTTTCATACCGTGCGCCAGAGTAGTTCACACAGCCACGGACCATTTTATGATATCAGAGATCAGATCTAAGTAAAGAACGATTATAGTAATCATTCATAGGAAAATCGTTTGCTAGCGCAGAAATGTTCAGAAATCAGTAGAGACGATCGATAGGACTGGCCTTTTGTGCTTGGAAATATTGTAGTTTCGACGATTACTCCACAGCGGCCAAGCTCTTAACGCGAGGCGCAGATGAGTTTGATATTCACGGCCAGGACCGTTATTTCTAATTTACACAACACAATCATGTCGATCCTGTTGTCATTGCAACTATTTGGAAACTTGCGTACCATGAGTGTGCCTTTGCACAGCCATTGGCTTATGTTTAATCAATGGATAGCCGAAAGGGTTGTGAGACTTTTGGAATAAGGGATAAGGGAGAGACACAGTGATAGCGGAGTGCTCGGCCGTAGCAAGACACCAAATAGCCGTACCCTACCAGACTTCGAGACTGCCTGGCTGCCTCTCTGCCGCAGCGAAGTCTAGCGGTGACGTCGAGAAGTACGCTTTAGAATAGGTCTGTGGTCAGAATAGTCTGGTGTCCTGTGCATACCTAGCGCCAAGGTCTAAATCGGCCAAACTGGGTTCGGCCTGTCCTCGGTGCTTATAATATCCTATCAGCCCTACGATACTGAGCCGAACCTCCATGACTGTACCTGCAATTCCAGCCTGGCCTTTGGTATTTGCTATATAGACACTTAACCTATCATAGAGTTTACAATCATATCGTACAATCCAAATCTCCTCTCGGTTTCTTCACAGTTCACATGGCCGACATCCAACCTGAGAAGCTCCATTCTGCTTGTGATGATTGTCGTAAGTTGTTGCTATGGATCATGCCTACCAGAAACCAATCTAATCTCCTTCAGGAACACGAAAACTGAAATGCTCTGGAGAGTCACCGCAATGCAGTCGATGTGCCAGGGAAGGCATCAGATGTGTCTACTCACCACAGAAGCAAATGGGTAGACCAAGAAAAAGGAGACGAGAAGACGAAGTGACGCCGCCCGAACCAACACCTGAAATACCACCTGAGATACCACCACATTCCTCTTACGAACTTCCCACTACCCTTGCCTTTTCTGAATTTGGTTTGATCTCTCCACCTGATTTTGGCGACTTCACTGGCCTGCCTCTACCTCAGTTGCCGCAGGATGACGCCTTCTCTGCTGCTACATTTTCTCTGAGCAATGAATCGATCATTGCTGCACCACTAATGGATGGATCAAATATGGACTTCAGGTGTGTAATTCGGCTCACATTGTATCACTGATCCATTCGAATACTGACCTAGAGTAGCTTTGGACCGAATGACACGATAGATCCAAGTCTATGGAATCCCCAAGCCCAGGAGGCAGCTTCGATTGACACGCCCATTTCCCTAGAACCAGCACAACCAGAAGGACCATGCACATGTCTCTCCATCATGTATCTCACACTTTCCGACCTCCAGAGCCTCAAATCCTTCTCCTTCCCTGCCGTCATACCTGAGCTCCGCAAAGCAATGACGACAGCCGCAGCAATTGTGCAATGCGAAAGGTGTCCAAAGGAGAGCTTCACGGCCATACAGAACGTACAGTCTCTATCAGCCTTGCTCAGTGCGATTGCAGAGCGTTTCCACAAAGTCCTGGTTGGCATCGATGCAGAAACCGAACGCCTCGAGCGTACGGGTGAGAAGAAGTTGTTCCGGATAGGCGACCACGATCCCTCACTACGACATCTCCACACGGGGCAGATGGACTGCCCAATGGGCTTCAACGTTGAGCTCGAGTCTGCAGTGTGGAAGAAACTCGCCAAGAAGGTGTTGAAGACCGAGGTGCACGGCGGAGGGAGCAATCCATGTCCCCTCGTAATGCTTCTGGAGATGATGGAGAAGAGACAACACAAATGGCATGACGACAATATGAATTTGCAAGAAAGGGAACGCATTTTTGGGGCCCAGAATATGTGCAAGCCCGGCGATGCAACATGTTTGCGGATGATTAATCAGATCAGGCACATGATCGACCACATGAAATGGGATTGAGGTGGAGTTATTCGTACATTAAAGATTGGATATCGACTTAATACTACATCCCTGGACCGGTTCCGGGCTCTTATTGAGACAGATTCACCAGTGCAACGATTGTATTACGGAACCAAATTTCATCGACGGACAGAGGTAGAGAGACAGTGCGTAGGAAACCGCAGCGATAGAGAGGATCGCTGTCAGCAATTTTGCATGCCTCCATGCATTGCACTGATGGAGTCTGGTTAACAAATGCTCTCACGTAGATTGTTCATCGTCTTACCCGTGAGCTCTCTCTGGATGGCCAATTGTCCTTTTCCGTACCGAAGCCCTTCTCTTCGTCTTTCGGCACTGTTACGGCACTGATAGATTTAATAGAAAGAGAGAAATCTCCTTCTTGGTCTCCGAAGAAGCTGCTATTGCGTCAATTGTGATGACTCTTGCAAGGGGGTTGCATTAGAGACTTACCTCCTCATCATGATGCTGAACCTCTTCACACTCTTCGTATTCAATTTCTTAGCATCTTTCTTCTCCTTACCTCTATACGTCGGAGTAAGTTTATCCCACGTAATGAAGACGAGCGAATCATCCGTCAGCGCGCTCTCATCCAGTTCAAAGTCATACTCATAAGACACAGTCGACTGTTCGCGACCGTTGTCAGGATTCCGCGGAAGTAGTTCATCTTTCAGGATAAACGTATATCGCTTTCCGTCTGCTTTTCCGAGGTCGAGTCGGATGCCGTCATACGCTGACAGGTCCCAGGTGGTGTCGTCGGTAGAGGTGCGCTGGCTAGCGAAGCCGGCCCCTCCGAGCGTTTTGATGTCGAGGTTGCCGTAGAATCGGGCGGTTGATGAGGTTGTGTCAAGGTATGACTGTGTACGGTGTGAGAAAACACATGATGCATTGAGCAATTGCAATGTACCTGAGACTTTCCTCCTCGAACGCGATCATCGCTTGCAGTCCAGTCTGCAGCATGCCAACCCCTACCAAATCTTTTAATACTGCAAATTTTTCTATCAATGGCATTGGTCCTTACTTGTCTCCACCGAACAGCGTAGTATGCCCTTTTTGATGCATGATTGAATACAACAAAATATGATCGACTACGCGTTATATGTTTCTCAAGACTATGTAGTGGCTTTTTGTGTCATCGGATGCGAATTGCAGATGACCTCATTACTCGTGGAAATGCCGACATGGCCCGTGCACACATTCACAAGCACGTCCTTTGTACTTCCCCACAAGTGTCCATCAACCATAAGGTATCTACCTAGGTAGCGATCAAACATTACAGACGGTTTTAGCATATTTTCCATGAATATTTAGACGGCTAGAAAGTATGGACTTCAGACCGCTGGACCGTATGGATGGCTCAGACCAGAGCCTCCTGGATGAGCCTTTTCAGCCTTTCTATGACATTGTGAAGAGGAAGCCGGTGCTTGTGAATCAGTCAGTTTTCAATTATCTTTGATGATAGAGTGCATGCTAACGAAGCGCAGAGATAATAGCTATGATAGAGCGGTTTTCAGAGAGAGGCCGCTGCTTGGAGCACTGCTTTTTGATAACAACGCATCCGATGCGAGAGATCATGCTGCAAACGAGAGAAGTGCGACACACCAGAGTATCTTACAGACGGACTTTTCTCATACTAACGTCTTCATAGCCTTCTTATCGTGGCTCCGACTATCTGTGTATATGGCAGTCGTTTCCGTCGCCATCGTGTTGTCTTTCCATCTGAAGTCTAAGCCCAGTGATACCGGTAGGTGCCATACTTCTCCTAGATTCGGAAAATTAAAGCCAAATTACTATACGCCTACTTGACTTCTTTACGCACAAAATTCACCACCAATATGGTGTATCTAAGCCCAAGCTGACACACCATAGAAAAAAGGCTTTCACTTCCCTTCGGCATCATCTTCTGGCTTCTCTCTGTCTCCTGTCTCATATCAGGCCTGGCCAACTACATCAGTACCATTTCGAAATATAGTCAACGAGCTGCACTCGTGCAAGCCGGGTGGAAGACCCAGATGTTGTTCACCTTAGTGGCAACTACCATAGTTGCTGCTTGTGTATTGTTTCTCGCAACAAATGCGCGGAGTAGTAAGTAGATTGAAGGAATTATAACGTCTACTTAAGGCGTCAAGGATTCTCAAAGATATTGGGGATCATAATCTAATACCTTTTGGATATTGTATCTAATCTTCACATACTTTTATACACTACTTATGGCTGGCTATAATTTCAAGAACCATACCCAAGTTAGAACACGGGATTTGTAAATGCGTATGCGACAATTCAACTGACCACCTGGCGGCTCAGTCTGTTAATAATCAGCAAAGAAGTCCTTCCGGACAGCTAAAAGATGCAAATTGGGATTTTTGCCTAGTTTCAAACCTGCGGTACTGCTACGCAATCATCTGTACGCAGACTTGAAAGCTGAGTCGGGTTGTCTCAATGCACCAGTACTTCTTTGCCAGCTCAGCAATGTTGCACTGCATTGTCTTCGATCGATCATGTTCGCACAGTTCAAGCAGATAGACACTTGTCGGGCTTCTAATGAAGGATTAATTATCTGGTCTGTCTAATACGACACGATTGAATTAATGGTAGGATTTGTATGGTCCGTGCAATTTCTTCCTTTCTCAATAATTTCGCCTGTCCTCGTAAGACTGGTGAAGTCGAGTGAACATTAAACCACGATTTAACTCATCACTTAACAAGACGACTATTATGTCTTTGCCGCCGTCATTGAACCGTTACTGGGCCTTCATGGCCTCGTGATCTCGCGGGTGTATCGGCAGAGTTGTGCCCGCCGGAGAACAAAAATAGCCACTCCCCAAGGCGTACCAACTAGTAACCACCCACCAATGGATCTCCCAGACGACCGACTACAACAGCTCACCAAGTTTCAGACCACGAAATGGCCGAAGCGCAAGCTGTCGGCAGGGATCCTTTCACCGTGACATCAGGTGGTGGAGAAAGTTGGAATTGTCGTTGATCGCCGTTTTGTTTCTCCTGGTCAGTATTATAATTACTTAAACCCTTGTTACCTGCGTTGCTATACAAGCTTCCTCTTGTTTGCCTTCAATAAACAAACCACGCTGCACAACGGTTCCGGTCACACGAACCTAACACAAGTACTCACTGAACATAACCGGCTCTCCACTCTGCAAAAACCCGTCAGTTCACCCTGCTGTCCTTTCCCTAACCTTCGTACCCGTTCAAACAACTCACCAACATCCAGAACATCCACCATGTCCTCCGTCGCCACCTCCGCAGCCGCACCCAGCGCAACCTCCTGCACCCAGCAGAGCTTCTCCGACTACCCGACACAAGACGTCTTCTGCGCCTTCGACGGCCGCTCCGGGATTCCAGACAAGTACGAAGACCACTTCAAGACCTGCTGCAAGGACGCTCCCGTGCAGAAATGGGCGAACGACTGCTCGTTGTACTGTCTCTCCGCCGGCCAGCCCGTGTCCAGCCTCATCTCCTGCCTCCAGGAGCAGGGCGTCACGCCGGGACTCATCTTCTGCAATGGAAATAACACTATGACTGCTACGGCGACGGACCTGAGCCCTACGAAGCCTACGGGGACCGCGGGCTCTGGGTCGGGTACGAGTGGCCCGCGCCAGTCGACGGGCGCTGCGGTCCCGGCCGTCGTGCCGCAGGGTGTGTCGAAGGCTGGTCTGGGGATGTTGGCCATGATCGCTATCTCTGCCTTCGCTGGTGCGATGTTGTAGAGAGGCTCTTTGGCCGAACTTACGCATACAGACAGGATTTCGCGAGGAGATTACAGGGGAGTGAATGTACAAAATGGAATGCATGATACCAGGCGTCAGTCAGACTTAAGTCCAGGAATTGAGGGTTAATAACGAAGCATTATGGGTATAACATACACTATGTTCAATTTGAATCTTTTCACACTTTGTTTGTCGTTGTCCAACATTATCCACGTCCGTCATTTAAATCTACTTTCTATTTACTGACAATCATAGCTATATGGAAGCCTTCCAATATGCCTCTAACTAACCAGCCAGATATAAATTCACTGATCCTACGACTGCTGCCACAGCTCCAACTCCGTGCTAGCAAACATAAACGGCCCAGCACCCTTACCATCATTCCTAGCGATCGGCACATTGACATAATACTGCGATCAAGTTAGCCCGCATCCCTCAGATTCCCGACCATTCTTCTTAAACATACCTCATACGAGCCATTCGAGCTCAAACTGCCTACCACAACCGTCCCATCAAAACTCAACGTCCCATTCTTCTCCCTGGTCACAAACCTATCCAACATCAAATCGTACGCCTTCAACGCGGTCGGCCTCCTCCGCTCCTCCAACAACCCGGTGCGAATCCCCTTCAGAATCCCATACGTGAACATGGCCGTCGCGCTCGCCTCGATGTAATTCCCCTTCATGCCCGGATACGGCTCGTCCATGACCAACCACCAGCCCCCCGACTCGTCCTGCGCCTTCTCGACCCCGTCGGCGAGGGTAGTCAGGTAGCCCCTCAGCCGCGCGTACCCGGGGAGGTTCTTAGGGTACACCTGCAGGACCTCGACCAGCGCCATGAAGTACCAGCCGACCGCGCGGTCCCAGACGTGCGGACACGCGCCCGTCACGGGGTCCGCCCACACGGCCTTCTTCGACTCGTCGTACCCGTGCGCGAGCAGGTTGGACGTCTTGTTGCGGGTGTGCTGTTCGACGAGGTCGAACTGCAGCGCGATGTCGTTCCAGGCGGTGGTGTTGGCCGGCTCGAAGATGTGCGTGTACGTCGCGTAGAAGGTGTCCGCCATGTAGATGCCGTCCAGCCACATCTGGTTGCGGTAGACGGGGTCCCGGTGGAAGAAGCCGCCGGTGGGCGTGCGTGGCCAGCGGTCGAGCTGCGAGCGGAGGGCGGAGGCTGCGACGGCGTATTTGGTTTCGGTGCGGTTGGACGCGAGGTAGAAGTGTAGGAGGTTGTTGCCGATGCGGAGCTCGTCGACGGAGTAGAAGGAGGAGTTCCAGTTTAGGAGGGTGCCGTTGGGGAGGACTTGCGCGGAGACGGCGTTGGAGACGTAGTTGAGGAGGCTGGTGTTCTGGTGGAGGGTCGCGGCCTTTTCGATGCCTTCGTGGAGGACGCTCGCGACGTAGTGGGAGTTCATCGTTTGGGATTTGGAGAGGAAGGAGGTCGCCATCCAGGTTGAGTATGGGAGCGTGGTGTTGTCGCTGGCGGCGAGGGCAATGGAACTGCACGCCAGAAGGGCGAGACTGGTCGCTGAGGAGTACATGATTGTTGCAATTGAACTGCGAAAGAAAATATATACAAATGAAGATCTTAGAACAAATATATTCTCCGACGGGCTATTCAATACCAATGATCAATCGTGAGAAAGCAATGCTTCAAACAGACTCGATATCAAGCAGCGTGAATCTGCCACAGCAAGCAAGACGAAAAACAATATGTACAAGCACAACAACGAACGCTCATATCACCACAGTCGACATCCCAACCCCATATTTTATACTCAAACCAAAACAATCCACACGCAACGACTATTTCCCCACAACGTAAATTAAGCTCGGTCGTTCCGCTCCGCTCCCCATGCTTAACCCTCCTTCCAAGACAATCGACAATCCGCCATACCCGAAGCAGGTCCTGGCCGAGACGATCCCCGGAAGAATAGATTAATCGACTCACAATCTTCATATGTCTCGGTGGAATTCTGTCGCGAGGTCATAGCATTCAAACGTTAAAAATCACCGGCGATATTGGGGAACGTGGTCTGGAACTTGGGGACGGAAATTTTAGGGGGAGGGATGTGTATACCCAAGACGGAGAAATTCGTTGTTTTCGTTTTTCTACTTTGAGAAGGAGGACGTTGAATGTGATTATTGGGATTGCTTGGGACTGCGGGGGATGAGCTACATACCCGTACCGTACCCGAACCCGTACCTGGGCGTGCCTGAGCCGTACCTGAGGTCATCCATGATCGGTACCGAATCGGAATGAAAAGATGGACCTACAACGCTGTGCTCGAAATGGCAGTCCGATACATATATACGCAATCCTCAACGTAATTGCTTCATCGAGTCTGGAAATACCTGACATACTGGTTAACTATGTATACACACTTGACCCTTTCTATATGAACGTACGTACTCGTTTCTCCTCATCTGTGATAATTCCAGTGACCTTCTCCGTGGTTCAACAGTCTCAACAGTGATTGATTGTCCTGTTTTAACCTAGGAAAATGGTCCCAATACAGCCAACATTCGCCGTAGAATGGGATAGAAGAAGGATAAGACATGAGAACGTGGAGGAATCCGGGCTCCCCTTTATATACTGCTCTTAGACCATTGTTGTCCTGTTCTTCTTCCCTTTCACAAAAAGGAGAAAGAGGCCAAATCAATCAAAAAGGGGAGAACGAGTAAAAAGACCTCCTCACCATGAACCGCATCACCGTTCTCGGCGGCGCCCTGGCTGTCATCCAGTCTGGGTTCCTCACCCAAGGCCAGAATCTAACAGTGACGCCGCCAGCAACGGTATATCCAACAGTGACGCCACCGGCGACAGTATCTCCAACATTGACGCCGCCGGCGACGGTATATCCACCAGTGTCGCCAGCAGTAGTGACGACCACGCTGGTGCAGTTCATAGCCCCCAATCTCACGCCCACCCCGTCGCCTGCCAGATGGAGTAGCGTCCGCATTCCCGCGACCATCACCAAGGGCAAAGGCAAGACCTCGTTCGCCACCCCAATTCCTGTCCGCCAGGTGATCTGGGACGACGATCACTACGTGTGGTGGCGAGCGCCGGAGGTCGACCTCTCCAACATCCACCTCGTGGAGAAGCACTACATCGAGAAGGCCAACACGCCCTTCAGGGGCTGGGTCGACGGAACCGACGACGAGGGCGAGCCCATCCGCAGCGTCGTCTGGGAGGACAATGGCCGCGAGCACGCTGAAGACCCCTCCTGGGCCGAGAACGACAGGTCGTTGGGCGGCGAGCAGTGCCGTGAGACCGAAGAGGAGCAATGGGGTCCGGGTGACTTCATTTGCACTCGCGATGGCGAGGCCATCGCCATCGCGTACCCCCCGGTGCCTCCGGACTGGAAGGACGGTGATGAGCAGTACTACAACGCGAGCACCACCTGGGCCGTCGCCGGCGCGACGCCGACGCCGACGCCCTCTCCCTCTCCCTCGGAGGTCAAGGAGGAGAAGAAGGGCCACTCCCCTTACTACCCCACGGACGAGCAGAAGTCGAGCATTTTCGTCAAGGACGAGCTCAAGTGCTGGTATGCAGAGAAGCCGGGGTTCAAGATCCCCTGGCACGTCGACCTGGACATCGTGGGCGCCGCCATCCACGAGTACTGCTACTACACGCCCAACCTGCACAAGACCATTGGCATCGATGTGCAGTTCCCGAAGATGCAGACTGGTTTCTTCACCGAGGACAACTCCGGGTGGTCTGTCCATACTTATTCGGACAAGCAGTCCATCATCGAGGTCAATATCAGGCAGGCGTTTGGGACCAGTGAGGGCTGCGATGCCACCGTCTACCCGCAGAACCCGATTCAGTGCGAGGAGTTGCTGTTGAACACCGTGAATGGCTGCTCTGAACTTGAATCAATGGGCACCGCCTCGTCCGTCTCGGATGTCTGCACCATTTCCGAGATCGTCGTTGCTCCTTACAATCCTCACATCGTCTGGGAAGAATCTGAATCCAAGTCGGAGGCTATCAAGCCGAGCTTCGGAGAGCCGACGTCCGCCGCAAAGAAGGAGAGCGAGACGCCAAAGCCCACCAAAGAGTCCTTCTCCAAGCTGAGCAGCTCCGAGACGCCAAAGGCAAAGGCAACGCCAACGCCTTCGCCTTCTCAAACCTCAGAAAAGGAGCAGAAGCAGCACACCACCATCTCTACTGCGACGCACGCTAAGCAATCTCGTCCCTCAATCCCCGACATCAACATCGACGAGGACTTCCTGCCTTTCCTCAAAAGCCTCCACCGGGGCCCTCTCAATCGCTTCAGGCCGAGCTTTGCGCAGTCTGCAGAGCAGCAAAAGCCCACGAAAGAGGCCATCTCTTCGGCAGTCAGTTCTCCGGCAGTCAGTTCTTCGGCAGTCAGTTTCAAGAGCATCTTCGGTCGCTCGGACATTCCGAGCACGCGTTCGTGGTCGAGCCAGGTGACGTCCTTCGCTGCTGCCGCCGCAACTCCGACTCAGAGCGCGAGCAAGAGCTGGACCACGACTTGGACGGTGCACGGCGGTCGTTGAAACTTGTGATTGTTCTGGCGGCTACTTCCCCCCTCTCTTTTCTTTTAAGGTAAAGCGCTTAGGTGTTGTATAATGCCTGTCTCCATGGCGGAAGTAACGTCAAGAAGGGAAAGGGAAGGGAAAATGGGGAATCGGTAGGCTTTGCCCTCATATGGTACAGTGCCTGCCACGAGAAAGATCAAATGGTCAGTTGGCGTTTTTGTTTCTTTCGAATGGGGAATTGCTATACGTTTTTCTTTCAAAACAATTATGACTACAGTAGTTCTAATTCAAGTTAATTCCATATTGTTTCTTATTATGAATCCGAGTGTTTGAAGATGGTCAGCTTGCATGCAGCTGCAGTTGTGAGTGATTGTTGATTGTTGGGCTGATGGGACTCGATACCATGTCCATGGCTAGACTCAGGACCGGGTGCGATGTTCTACTAGGGGTAGGTCCCGTTCCGAAGTGCTCATATGCCAATTGATTGATTGATTGATTGATTGATGCCTTCGCAATCTCTCTATTGTCAGTCAGTTGTCTTTTGCATGTCCGTGTCCAATGATGTAATGCAACAAGTGCCCCGCACTGTTATCTTATCTCCAAACTCCGCATTCGGTAGCAAAGAATATGTTGGGGCAGAATGTTGGGCCAGGCGTCCCCATCACTCAACAATTTTATACAGTTTGTTGTTGTTCAAACGTCTATTAAATTATCTTATCTTCAAGAGATTGTCGTGCCATACGACTACGACGGGTTGAACCCTAGCGTGGCGCAAGGCGAGCACTAGCTATCCCCGTAGCTAACGAAAATTGCATTGTTACACAACCTCATCGCAATCCCAAGATGCCTCTAAATCATCAAAGCTGTGAACGCCCGCCAAGACCAATCAGCGACTGGTGCATGACTCTGGATATATCCCTCCTTTTATGCCAAATTCTAGATTACAAGCTAACCTCAACACGACCCTCCTTTCCGGGAGCACCACCCTGTTGCAGGGAGGGGAGGAGGTAGGTGATGTCGTCCCAAGGATGCCTGTAAAGGCCAGTCCTCAACCTCTTCTGGTCGAGGAAATGGGCAATGAGACCGATGCTACGGCCGAGAACGAAGAGACCGTTGAGAACACCCATCTTAAGGTAGTCCTCAGCCTCTTCGGGAGAGAAAGCACCGCAGTTGCGGACAAGGTCAACGAAGCAGACAGCAATGCATCCATCGACGTTGAGGATGAGGTTGTCCTTCTTGGAGGTGGTGACGGTCTCGACAGCAAGGGCGTAGTCGAGCATCTTGGAGCTGGGGAAGTTCTTCTGGACGTACTCCTTGACGAGCTCGACACGGAGATCGGGGTTGTTGCGGGACTTGATCCTGTGACCAATACCGGGAACTAAAATAAGTTAGCAAATGTGTACAGGTTTTAGTCTTGGTGAAAATATCTTACTGAGCTTGTTCTCCTTCCTCATGGTATCGACGAAGTCACGGGGGCTGAGACCCTTGTCATAGGCACGGGTGAACTCCTCAGCGGCACCATCCAAGGCACCACCGAATCGGGATCCGATGGTCAAGAGACCGGAGACCAATGCACTGATGAGGTCCTTTCCGGCACGGGTGGTGATGATGGTGTTCATGGCACCGGAGACGGCGGGACCGTGATCGGCGGTCAACATGAGCACCATCTCGAGGAAGCGGCTGGCGTAGTCGGGGAGACGGCGGCGGAACCACAAGAGAGACATGACACCACCGATGCCAATGTTGTCCTTGAAAACATCGGAGATGGGCATGCCAGCGTAGAGAAGCTCCTGGCCACGGTCATCGGAGATGGTGGAGATGAAAGCAGCAGGCTTTCGGATGAGGCCAAGCTCCTGTGCCCAAGAGTAATCAATGGGGATCTTGGGGACAACGGGCTCGGGCTTGGGCTTGATGGTGCCGTCCTGGACGAGCTTCTGGTAGACCTGGGCGAGGGTGGCGGGGAGCTCCTCGAAGGTCTCTGGGACGTGGATGCCAGCTTCCCTCATGGTCTTGTTCTTGATGGCAGCGGTCTCGAGCTGGGAGTTGGCGAAAGAACCGGCGTGTCCGAATTGGACCTCAGTCTTGAGCATACCAGCAACGGTACCGATGGCCCATGCAACAATGGGCTTGTTGACCTGGCCAGACTTGACGGCCTCAATGACACGGTACTCCTCGACACCACCGACCTCACCGAGCAAGACAATGACCTTGCAGTCAGGGTCGGCCTGGTATCGGAGGACGTGGTCAATGAATGTGGTACCGGGGTACCTGTCACCACCAATGGCAACACCCTCGAGGACACCGTCGGTCTCGTTGGCAATGATGTTGTTCAACTCGTTGGACATACCACCAGACTTGGAGACGTAGGAGACGGAACCAGGGCGGTAGAGCTTGGAGGCAACAATGTTGTCCATCATACCACCAGTGTTACCGATCTTGAATGCACCGGGCTTGATACCACCGACAGTGGCGGGGCCAATGATGGTGACACCCTTCTTCTGGGCGACGTGGAGGATCTCACGGGCGCGCTGGGTAAGTCAGTTTCTCGTCCATCTTTGTTAAGGGAAATAGAATTGCGAGGGAAAATTATTGTCACTTACGCGCTCGGGGACACCCTCAGCAATGATGGCAATGGACTTGATCTGGGGGAACTCCATCAACTCCATGGTGGAGCTGTAGACGGAACGGGAAGATGCGAAGTTGACGACGGTGTCGACATCGCTGTGCTTGGCCATAGCCTTCTCTACTGACTGGTAGACAGGCAGAAGAGTCTCGCTTGTGCCCCAGTACCTGCATGTGTGTTAATGAGTGTCCAATTGGAAGCCATCGAAGCTTCAATTTTTGGGATGTGGATGTGTCTTGGCAAACGCACATTTTGCTAACGAACTGACCGCCGAAAGTGTAGATGATACCGGCAACGGAGGGCTGCTTCCTCTTGCAGATGAAGTCGAAGTCGAGCATGCCCTGGACAGCGCGGGGCTGGAGTCCGCTATGCGAGGGTCAGAAAAATGTGTCCCATTGATTGTATGTGTTTTCCGCTGTAGCATTCCTACTGCGTGGGGGTTTTCCTTACTAGACGAAGCATCGTGTCTTGGGGTGGAAGAGAGTGTGGGCGGCGGGAGGGCTCAATGGCCTGCTGGGAGCGACGAAACGACGAATGTTGTCATTTGCAGAGAGGCTGTCGTTGGCAGAGGCTTGCGGGGCAGACCCGTTGACGGGGGCAGCTGAAGGCATTGTGACCGATGGGGGGCTGGATCGATCGAGGTCAGGAACAGCTCTGAAAGTGGACTATATGGAAGAAAAGAAGTATCAGTATGAAGTTATCTCGTGATGTGTGGACTTTGGAGAAATCGGAGTTGCGAACAGTCGCGAGGTCAGGCGGTCGGGTGTGTTCGTGTTTTCGGGCTGACGTGAGGGTGCTAGGAGCTCGGAGCGAAGTGGCAGTTGGTCTTGCGAAACAAGAACAAGGGTGTGTCTGTGGAGTAGGAGAGGGTGAAAATAGAAGAGGCGATTGAAGGGTAAATGAAGGAGGGCACGCGAGTACAACGCCGTGAGCGGGGAGTGAAGAAGGCGCGGAGTTTGTGAGATGATCGGAGACGGAGACGGGTTGGTAAGAAAATAGATTGAGGACAAGGCGGGATGAATGGCGGAAAGGAAAATGGGTGGAAACAGATCGGACTCACCAGAGGATTGAACAATTGATGATGCCACTGATCGGGCAAAGGAGAGAGGAGTTAGAAGAGGGAGAGAGGGATGTTGAGGTTGAGGATGGGAAGAAGATAATGGTTGAGCGAAAGAGGGAAGGAAGGAAGGGAGGGAGGAGATGGTTGAGAAGGAAGGAACCGTAGACAGAGTGGATGCTTTTCCCGATAATAATAATAAATTTAATCGTTCGGTGTTGACAGCAGTAATAGCAGTAGTAATGGACTAGACGGTAAGAGAGTGAACAGCAACTCACAGTAGTAGTAGTAGTAGTAGTAGTAGTAGGTAGGACTCGTAAGGATGCTCGTAGAATCCCCTTAGTTAGTACGGGATAGTAACGGGATGTAAATAATCGCCGTAAAGAAGTAGCGGAAGTGGTGGTGGAAGTGGAAGTCAAGGGAAGAAGAAGACGCAGCCAGGCCAGGGTAAAGATGCTAAAAGAATAGGGCCAAATGCAGGCTGGGAAAAGAATGGGGGGGTTTCCATGCCGCTACCGCCACTTCGTCCCTTCTTTCTCGTCCCCTACACGTAGTACTCGTAGTAGACACACGTAGGTGGACACAGGAAATAGAGGGGACAAGAGCTGTTGCTGTGTGTGCAATGAGTGTATCCATCCCCTCTCTTCTCCCCCCCCACCCCAGTCGAATCGTAACTCCGATCCCTTACCCATGCCCATGTCCTAACCCTTACCCTTGCCCGCAGTTGCGCACTACGCCGCCGACAACGCTGCCGCCTTTTTTCGCAACTGAAGCTGTTTTCTCTCATCGCCATTATTGATACCCGTCTCGTCTTCCTTTTTTTTCTTTCTTCCCTAAATTGTTGTTCGACCCTTTGCCTAGACGGGATTGGCGGATTGACGGATTGGCGACAGAACGATTGGCAGGGGATTGTTGGGGTAAGGCCGAGTGTGGCACTACCAACTAGGCGCAAGTCGAGGAAAGCCGCCCCCCTCTCTTGACCTCCGGGCGGTGAACGGGGAGCCGTGCGTTCCAACAATTTTTTTAGGTATTCTCCCACCCCACCACCAATTGGCTACTGTGTATGCTCGCTCTCGTACCTGGGCGGACGAGCATGCGTGTCCATAACGTGTACGGTGTGCGTACGGTATGTGAACAATCAATTGAATGCAACACACCGCATCAAAGCACTCTCAATAATCATCATCGCCGTGACCATGACCGTGACCAGAAATCGTAACCATGATCATTGCCAAAATAATATCCATTGTCGTTTAGCGATTCGTCAATCAAGCCACCCTTCCAGCCAACCAGGCCACGTAGCAAAACAATAATGGCAACCTGCCAAAATCCATTGCTCCGCACTAGCCTTGTCGTTTTTTTCTGTTCCATCTTACTCGTACTTGATGAATTGGGTCCAGGTTGCGAGCCGGGTAATTGGCGTTGGATGATGGATCGATGATGGATCTGTTGAACAATTCTCTAATCTTCCCCGTTCCGACTGTTCCTACATCCTTTCCTTTCCTTTCCGATAGAAGGATAGGAAAAAGGGGTGAGATTATTCCCTAGAAACAATCGGACGATACTCTAGTGTGCAGATGGAAGGATGTTGGGAGCAATTGGAAGGAGTGTAGATAGGACGGTAGGCAGATAGTAGACCGTAGTCGGATGGGACTGTTGGATTCTGGAATTGTCGGAATCATCGCGAGTCTCGCGAGTCTCGCAAGTATCGCTATAGCTGGCAAGGTCGCGATTCGGCGGTCGGTAAGGTCAATTAGAGCAGAATTAACCTCCTAGTTTACACTTGGGTATTGTAGGGTCGGTCGCCAGAGTGACAAGACCAGAGTAGGGCCAGAGTAGTGGTGGAGGTGGTGGTGGCGTGTATTGCGGTGGATTGTCCCTGGTTCCGAGGTGGGATGAACGCTTGAGCTCATTCCAGACTAGCCCATAACTGGTTCCGTCCAGGTACTGCAGTCGACTTGCATGCATACTGTAGCAGCTAGGGAAAGGGAAAGCCTAAGGGAAGGACCGCGCCAACGCAAACTTGCCCGCCGCCCTCGTAACCCTAACCGCAACCCCTCACACCTCACACACACACTCACTCAGTGAACCTCAACACCTCAACCTCAACCAACTCTCTCTACTGCATCCATACACCAGACCGCTTGTCCTACCTCTCCCCCGACTCCCTTCTCTTCAATTATCTTCCCCATAGTTTTTTTCTCTTCCACCTCCTACTCTCTAGCTCTTTCTTGTGGTTCTTCTCAACCTCAATCAATTCCCACTCTCATCACATAATATCTCTTGACCCTCTCTCTCACACTCTTTCTCTTCATCCTCACTCCAACCCACCTCTCGTCATCATCATCATCATCTTGCATTCCCCGAGTTGTAAGCCACTCAACAACATCTTAGGTACGTCTCACCAATTCTCCCCGCGCCTCCCAACTCTTTTCCATACCCGTACTCCCGCACGCACACTCTTCTTCTTTTTTTCCCTTGCCCGACCCACCTCAACTCCTACTCCCTCACCCTACTGCACGACCGGCTCTCGTCCCGCTCGGACTTTCGATTCAGACCGCCCCTCCCTCCAAATATTGCCGGCTTCGCTGTTCTTCTTTTTCAAGGGTGTTGTCGAAAATTGAGCGGCTCGATCCTACCACTGCACTAAGACCCTGTTGGATTCTTGTCAACAACACCGATTCCCTTTCCCTCCATCATCTTCTCACACGAGCTTGCCTTGCCTTTCGGGATTCCCACCTCTCCAGTCCCTCACCAATTCCCAAAGGTTAAAGAAACTCACCTCCTGCAGTTCTTCCCCCGCCTAACCACCGGCCCTCACAATGTCTGCCAAATCCATCTTCGAAGCCGATGGCAAGGCCATCCTCAACTACCACCTCACTCGCGCTCCCGTCATCAAGCCTACTCCTCTCCCCGCCTCGTCAACACACAACCCTCCTCCCAAGCTAGCTTCCCTCTACTTCGCTGCTGATGCCGACGTCAAGGGCGTCCTTGACCAGGCCGAGGCCACATACCCATGGTTGCTCACCGCGGGCTCCAAGTTCGTTGCAAAGCCAGATCAATTGATCAAGAGGCGAGGAAAGAGCGGTCTTCTGTGCCTGAACAAGACATGGCCAGAGGCACGCGAGTGGATCGAGGCCAGGGCAGGAAAGCCCGTGAAGGTTGAGACTGTCGATGGTGTTCTGAGGCAGTTCTTGGTTGAGCCTTTCGTCCCTCACTCCCAAGATACCGAATACTACATCAACATCAACTCCGTCCGAGAGGTATGTTCATGTCTTTTTTTCCATTCTCAGCTGTTGTTTCTTGTTCGATTGTTTCTTTGTTGTTTCACGTTTCGTCGTTCGCCATCGTGTTCGAACCGGGCAGAAGTCTTGCGAGACTCTGCTGAAACGGGAGCAATTCGAGTGGTCGCGCTGCAAAACAAATTTCGGGCATGTCCGTTCTCCTGTGCAAACATAGGTGGGCGGGCTCCCACGTTTTTGTTCAACGGTCGGCCGGACGAAGGGAAACCTTCCCGGCCCACTGATGCAAAGCACAAACCTTTTTTTCTTCCCAATGTAGCAGGTCCCGGGTATTCACATGTCAAATCTCCCCTTGATGCTAAATATTCGTTGTCGCTACTGCGTATCATTTATTTTCCTTAACGGTCGCGTTGCGGCTCTGCCGTCGCATCACTCGGTTGTCGCATCGGATCGTACCAATCAGGATCGTCCAATTTACTAATTATTCCCATTTAGGGTGACTGGATCCTCTTCACCCACGAGGGTGGTGTCGATGTCGGTGACGTCGATGAGAAGGCTGAGAAGCTTCTCATCCCCGTCGACCTCAAGGAGTACCCCTCCAACGAGGAGATCGCTTCCACTCTCCTGAAGAAGGTTCCCCAGGGTGTTCACAACGTCCTTGTCGACTTCATCTCCCGGTTATACGCCGTCTACGTCGACTCCCAGTTCACGTGAGCCTTCCATTCACTGCAACAGTCCCATACCTCGTCACTAATCCATTTTATAGTTACCTCGAGATCAATCCTCTCGTCGTCATCCCCAATGCCGATGCCACCTCCGCAGAGGTTCACTTCCTCGATCTTGCTGCCAAGCTCGACCAGACTGCTGAGTTCGAGTGCGGTGCCAAATGGGCTATTGCCCGCAGCGCACAGAACCTTGGCATACCCGTTGCTCCTTCAAAGGATGCTAAGACCACCATCGACGTCGGCCCTCCCATGGAGTTCCCCGCTCCTTTCGGTCGTGAGTTGAGCAAGGAGGAGGCCTACATCGCCGAGATGGACGCCAAGACTGGTGCTTCGCTCAAGCTCACCATCCTCAACTCTACCGGACGTGTCTGGACCCTCGTCGCTGGTGGTGGTGCCTCCGTCGTGTACGCTGATGCCATTGCCTCTGCTGGCTTCGCCAGCGAGCTTGCCAACTACGGCGAGTACTCTGGTGCTCCCACCGAGACCCAGACCTTCCACTACGCCCGCACAGTCCTCGACCTCATGCTCCGCGCTCCTCAGCATGCCGAAGGCAAGGTCCTCTTCATTGGCGGTGGTATTGCCAACTTTACAAACGTTGCCTCCACCTTCAAGGGTGTCATCCGCGCTCTCAGGGAGGTCGCTCCTCTCCTCATCGAGCATAAGGTCCAGATCTGGATCCGCCGTGCCGGTCCCAACTACCAGGAGGGTCTTAAGAACATCAAGAGCGTCGGCATCGAGCTCGGTCTTGACATGCACGTCTACGGACCCGAGATGCACGTCTCCGGCATCGTGCCGTTGGCGCTCATCCCCGGCAAGACGACCGACATCAAGGAGTTCTCTGGTTAAAAATCTGCATGTAAAACAGGTGTTCGTCGGGCAGCGCGTACGATGTCGAGTTTCTCCAAATACCATTTATTGAGAGCTACGACTTCTTGGTTGGTTGGGTTGGTCGGGTTGGTCCACAAGGTTAGACAAATACTGCGGCCTATGATTTGATTTGTGGCTGGCTCTTATGTCGGGTTGTCGTCACGGCGAAGATTCCCTCATGTCTAGACTTTTGCCTGTATTTCTGTGCAAATCCCATCGGCGCAGTGAATTTATAAGAATTTAATACCTCACCAAAATCATGTTTCTCATTGCTATCGTGATGTTTCCACTACTGATCACTATGGAATAACTCAGTTCGATCTCGTAGGTGGTCTTGTCCTAGAAATGTAGATCATAGGCGACAAGCAGTTACCAAAATCTCATTAATTCTAGCCAAAATAAAGGAAAAAGCAAGGCATCAAATATATCCAGAAATAGATTCCTTCTTCGTGATAAATGTCCGAATCCAAAACACCAAGAAATGCTTATAAAACGCACCGAAACGGGTATATCAACTCCTCCAAAAACAAAACCAAAAAAGCGAAACCACCCTCCTCAAAGCTACCCCTGCACCCACAAGCTGCAGTCGGAAAGCAGCAGCAGCATACACCAATGCAGGGCCTCCTCCCCCCACCCCCACCGAGTCCTACCCTACCAATAGCCCTCCAAATCGAGCTCCGTCTCCTCCAACCCCATAGCGGCCCACTGCCTCTTGATCTGCTCCCTCGCATAATGGAGCTTGCCCGCACGCAGGCTCTGCATATCGGCCGAAGGGGGGGCGAAGTCGCCGCCGCCGCCGCCGTCGCCGTGGCCCACGTTCCGCCAGTACACCTGGTACCACGCGATGCCGAGGGCGGCGGCGATGCGCGTGTGAGCAGCGACGCGGCGGTTCAGCGCGGGGGGCGTGACGGCGTCGGGACCCGACGCGGCGGCGAGCAGGCCGTGGATGTGGGTTTTGCGGGCGAGCACGTCGGTCTCGAGCAGCATGACGGCCGCCGTGCCCATGCAGTTGTAAGTGCCGTGGGTGAGGGGCGGGAGGGACGCGTGCAGCGGGTTCGGGGTGAAGAGGTCGAGTTTCGAGAGGCCGTGTTTGGTCGCTGCGTCTGTCATTGTCTGCGTTGATGTTGGTTGGTTGGCAAAGTGAAGCGATGTGTCAGATTTGGTGGTTGTAGGTGGGGGGGAGGAGGACGTGGAGGGCGGTTTCGGTGAGGTGCTGGAGGATTACCATTTTGCCGACTTTCTTGTCGCAGTTCTTGCAGAGCGTCATCGAGGGCTCGAATATCGAGAGCCGCTGGCTGCTGCGCTTGCAGTCCTGGCATGTCGTGAGGAGCCATCTGAACCATATGTCGCGGTACTTGGGCCCGGAGGCTCGCAGCCTGGGCGTCTTCTTCGCGTGCACGAGGAGGAGGTGCCGCGCGTAGTCTTCTGTGATGTGGGAGAGGCGGTGGGAGGTTTGCGCGAGCAGTTCGAGTGGGTGGTTGTGGAGGCCGCGGAGGGGTCGTGAGTTGAAGGGGCTGAGGTGGGATAGTATGTTGAAGAGGATTTCTGGCGGGAGGGATTCGAGGGTTGACATTTTTGTCGTTGCAGCTTGTTGTAGTCGTGGGAGTTGGGGGTAGGGGATTGTGGTTGTTTTGGAGAGGGAGTGAGGTGTTGACGTCGGGGTTGTTGATGTTTGTGAGGTTCACGTTAACTTTCTCGTGCTGGATGACGGGCGGTATCGATAAGGACTGTGGGGAGCCGTCATTGGTGATGGTGGGGCAGCATGGAGTGGACTCGATTGACTAGTGTAAGGCTGGACAACTGCATGGAACATGTGGGTATTGTCATCGTCCTTCGAAAGGAAAAAGTGGAATCGAGTCGAGTCAGGGTTAAAAAGACTTTCAAAGGGTTAGCATACATTGCACTGAAAACCCGTTCTCGATATTTGTATGTGGTTACAAAACATCTATTGCATTTCATACTTGTCATTCGCAGGCTATTCGTCGATAATCCCAATCAAAGAGCGTATAAATTGACCCATAGAGAAAGACGCCGTTTAACACCGTGTATCTGGGTATCAAGATCGTAAAGAACGTGTCGTATCTTTCCCTCCCCATCATCATCTTTAGTCCACCGACACATCTATCCAAAAGCCACCTAGACTCTCTCATTAGGCTCCACAGGCCTTGCCATTGCTGCCTCAATAGCTTCGAAGCTCTCCCTCCTGCTCTCATCCCCAATATCGCCTGACCTAGGGCCAAATTCCTTCTGCCTTAGCTCCCAGCTACCTACGCGCTCATGTGGAGTCTTCCTGTCCGCGCCACGGCCGACTACGATGCCTGCAGGAGCTGCCGCGTTGCTGGGTAGATGGAGATCGGGATCTGACGCCAACTTCGCAGAGCCTTTGAAGCCACCCAGGTCGGACCTCTTGCCACGCTCCACGCGATGGAAGCGCACGCCGCCTAAGAACATGGCGGCGGCGAATATGAGACCAGCGACCACGAGGGTAACGATAGCACCTATGACGCCAGCAACAGCGGGAGCCAGGCCACTCTTCGCCTTCTCTCTCAGCCTCGTGATGACCGTGGTGCCAGTCGCGCCCCAGCAGAACTGAGAGTTGGACGAGCATTCCTCGCACCAGTCTGCAACCTCGTTGACCATGATCCTGGACATCATGTTCTCGAACTCTGGCCAGGTCATGTCGCCTTCGGCATTGGGCTTGTTGAAGAGGACGAAGCTCTGGATGTCGTTGTTCTTATAGTCGGTGCCGTTCTGGAAGCGGAAGCGAACATAGAGGTCCGTCGTCGCGTTCTCCGGGAAACTGGAGTTGCGGCCTCGGCTGTACAACTCGAAGATCATGGTCGAGGCGAAGTCGGGCATGGCCATGAAGTTGGAGTGCTTTTCGTCGAGCATGGCGAGCGAGAAGAACGAGACGAAGGGTTGGTAGTCGCCAAACATTAGACTCAGGGGAGATGCGGAGCCCATGTAGCTTCCTTCGTCGCGGACGATCTCTTGGAACTTCCCGAGGACCTGCGCGGCCAGCGTGCGGCCGGCCATGGCTCGGTAGTCTTGGTCTGATGTGGAGCTCGAAGTGTTGCCGTAGGAGTACCATGCCTTCAAGTCGGTATAGTAGCGAAGTGTATCGAGAATAGTGCCGTTGCTTAGCTGGTCACGAATAGTCTGTTCATGTCGAGATCGGTACAGGATGTACTCGTAGATCTTCTCGGCGTTATAATAGTCCCTACAACATGCATCAGTATTGGACTTCTCTAGAACGAGTCTTACGTAGTCCTTATGGTATGGTGCTACTCACAATTGACTCTCGGTCATTGTATTGCTCAGAAGATCAAGGCTCAAGCTCTCGTAGAACTCTCTCGACTCCATCCTCGTCTCCTGGAATGCATCGGTGACTTCATACATTAGGGTATCTGCCCTAGACGTAGGACAATACTTTTCACCACCAATGTAGATGCTCATGGGGTCACGCGGGCTCAGTGAGTCAATCTGCGCATATTGATATCCAGCCAGGGGCATCTCAAAGTCAGTCTCGTTTAGTGAGTTGGTCGCATTGCCCTTGTATGGTGGGTATAGACCCTGCATGAAAGCCTGCGCAGAAGAGAAGACATTTGGTATGTCTAGTGACCGTATGAAGAGCTGCTGGCTGTCCACGATGTTCGGCGAAATGTCCGGGAGAGGCTGCTCGCCCATTGCGGTGTCACCACTGGCCGCGTCAATGTACCTGCCTCGGAATAGCTGGCCGAGTCTGTACATCTGCTGTGCACCTAGATTGGTGAGCGTGGTCGGTCCGTCCAATAGCTGAGGCGTCTTCTCCCCGGTACGAATGAATGCAACGACAGCATGGGGGTGGAAGAATTCATTGTTAGGTTCGGCTTCGACAAGCCAGGCTGTAGCCATGAGAGCTAGAGGAAGGGCAAACATTGCTGCTGTTTCGACAACCCACCAGAAGATGTGGATCTCTGGAGTGCGGGAAAGGTACAAGGCTGAAGATAGGAATGTGACAGGACAGAATGAGATACTTATTACTCCACCGACCTGGCTAAGAGCCTAATGATCTATCTACATTCAGTTCGCATGCAGCGACCCATGTTTTCCAAGCCTGGTAGAATGTGATGGAGCTGAGCTAACAGCTTATCATACAAAGACGCAACTTGGGCGGCACACGGGGGTGGGCGCCATGGGAAGCTGTGGATAGCTCGGGACAGCAACAGCTCGAGATAGGTACCCAGAGGCGCGGGGTAGTCTGCAGCCATCTCGTCAGCTTGACGCCCGCATATGGTCTTGGTGCCGTGTCTTGTTCTTGCAGATCGAGCACGCCATGATGGTAAAGGAATAGAGGAGTATGGCAACAAAGAAGAGGATCTGTGGAAACTCATGGGAGCCCCGTCACGATCCGCGCCGGATCCGACAAGACAGTAGCCTCTCCCAAGCTCTGGCAACATCGCGAGGTCTCTCCATCAACACCTTCTAGGACGCATGGAGATACTGGGGAAGCGGGGCCTTCCGCTCCAAGGATACTCCCGCGTGAGTTAGGTAAGTGGAGTTTGTACCGTGGGCGAGTGTTCAATCAGGATACGAGCCCATGTCCAAACACTCCCTCATGATTGATGATGCAGATGGAGTTGGCGCAATGGCACGAGGTACCAGAGAGGCGAGACTTGTAAGTTACTCAGGTTGCTAACCACATCCAGTCAAGCACTACAAACGTCAATAATCCCTCTCCATACAACAATACAGGGATAGATACCGCCATTCTTGGCTGATTATTGCAAAGTCCGGGCTATGACTGATTTCCGCTCAATATAGTGGCTGGCAAGTCTGTCAGGTACAAGTTGCGTCACTAAATTACGTGCGAACAATGTAAGCAAGGCTCATAGTTGGGGTTGAAAGGTATGGATTCGACAACTGCAGTGCCTGATCGGGTTCCTGCAGATGGCAAGCTATACGAGTTTTATAGCAATACAAAAGTATGGCTAAGCCCACTGGTGATCTGGCCTTGTCTTTTGACAAGGCCTCGGTAGAAATGAAGTATATCATAAACCAATCCAGAAAGGTACGGCATTGTCAACAACATCGAAGGACAGCTTGGGCTATGTTACTTCCTACTCTTGCATTAATCCAATGACGATGGTTTTGAGATGAATTTAGGTTCAAAAATAATCATTAATGCAATCGTGTATAAAAATGCCAACCGTTCCAATGTACACATAGTCGAGGGAGATCATTTATGGCTTTGCGCTTAAATCAATAATTTACAATCTGAACCAAATTTATGGAGGATATCGCATCGCTCCAAACAGCGATACTTGTAAATCCATTAAACATTAAGCGTTACTTATGAGATATTAAACATTAATTATCAGATCTTCCTGTCGTTCAGCTAATAAGTTGCTGCCCTTGTCATTAAACATTATCAGCTCTCCTTCACGTAAGTATGGTCATTAGTCCCAGATCTGTATCCTTTCGTTCCGTCATTACTTCAATTCCCATTCTTCCTCTCCTCATCTATCCCCACAGCCACCGACTCCAATTCTCTAGCCTGAGCTCTCGCCTGCTGCCTCAGAATCTTCTTCTCCTTCCTCCACTTATGCACATCACTGGCCGAAAACCCCATATATACCCAGTAGGCCAGCACCAACGCGAACGAAAGCCCCGCATTCGCCGTTTGCAAGTTGTCCGTGGACTTGATATCATTCGACCAATCCTCAAGGTTGCTCAGCCACTGCAGCACGCCGAAGAACCCGTTGACGAACCAGCAGCATCCCATGATGAGGCTGGTACAGAGCGCGCCGACGGGGTGCATGCATTGAGTGTAGAGGAGGATGTGATGAATCGTGAGATGTGGGATCTCTAAGATGAGGACAGATCCGACCGAAAACAATTGTTCTCTAAGTTGTGTTAGCTTTTGTCTTTGAATCTGTTTCTGAAAGGGGGACACTGGGGTTTGAGACTTACACTCCGTTGTAATCCTCTTTCCCCCATCTCCAATCTGGATACGCGGGTCTATTGTTGGTGTCTCTGTTTGGATTGTTCCAATACTTAAGGTATTTTTCTTCGTCTTTTTTCCCAAGGCCAATCTCGACCAGCAGCAGAGCCCACAGAAGTACAACCAGGAATGCGATCACGAGCATGATCTTGGAACCCCGGTTGTGGGAGTATAGTTCGAAGGCCATGACTCCTCGCTTTTTGTTTGAGGATGTATTATAGATTAGGCAAGGTTGCAATATTAGAAAATATGTAGACGGTATCGACGAACCAAAAAGCGCAGAGACAAAAAGGATGCAGGTAACTGGATCGGAGAATAAGGAAAGAGAGCAATCAAAAGTGGGAACCTCGAACACCTAAATAAGCTTTCAAAAAACAACCTCGCAAATCCACCGGTCAAGCATTTCGAAAGAAGACACGATCTATGTCTCTTTCGCAACAGCGACCGAAACCTTGCGGGGAAAGTTGCATCACATGCGGGTTAGACAAATCCATCGTCAGAATGCGGTTAAACGACTTCACTGCCACCAACCTCCCAAATCCTTCGAAACAAGCGACCCTAGGCCCGAACACCCAATGACATCGAACGGGTCTCTGATCGAGACCGAGGATCTCTTCGAAGCGAGGAACAAAAACCGAAGGTACTTGAACGTGAAGTTCGAGTTTCTCTTACTCTCGACTTGGGGTTGGGATCCCCTCTCCTCGCTGCTGCACAGCCTGGGTTGCCAAGTCGACACCCCAGGATTCGCGATGTCAAGATCGAACGTCGGCGGGGAGGCGCAGACCTATCGATAGACTCTAGGCGAGCCAAACGAGGCGGACTTTGGTGATCGGGTCTATAGCATGTCTTCGCAAAGCGAGCGAGATTCGGGCTTGTGTGCGTACACGTAGGCTATCTCCTCTATGGGGATTAAATGTCGCATCGGACCCTGAGAGAAAGGATTGAGGATTTGGTAATGCGCAGGCGCTGCGCCGACTTGTATATTGGGATGGGAGAACTCGGGATAGAAGCGATGGACAATTGATTACATGTGAAGCTTTGAAGATCGTGTAGGAAGTTATTGTAACCCGTAGTACTAGTCAAAGACACTGCCCCAAAGCTCCGAATGAGCAACCAGTCCTGTACTCAGTGACAGTAATTCGAACTTCTATATCACAGACTGCAATGGACAGAAGGATAACAAAATATGGTGGTATCAAACAGGGGACCAAGGTCCATTATGCTTTACGTGCAAAAGGAAAAATAGAGATTTGACAAGCAAGAAAATATGGTCGTAACCAAACGAATGTGACTATCGCGAAAATGCCAATGCCAATGCAATCCTGCCCTCCAAAGGAAAACGCCGTGATATCTGCTTAGGGGTATACGAAACCCAATCCCTACAACTTGTGATGATGATGATAAGTGAAAAATGAGGATAGAAATAATGCCATGCTGCCGTGAAACCCATTGATCGTCAATTGTTACAACCTCCTTCTATACAAAGCTGTGCCAGAGAAACACTTCATACAGCTACTCCTCGCTTCTTCCATCCACCCGGGCCTCTCCAAGCGAACAACCATAGACCGCACGCGACCCAAACGGAGATTGCCATGGCCCAGAATGTGGGCGCATAGCAGCTCTTTCCATAGCATAGAACATCATTAGGGTCACGCTCAATGCCTGGCTCGCCGGTTTCTGCTGCTTTCTGATATACGAATGCGTAGATGGCGCCCCATAGGGTCGCTCCGGCTGCGGGAGTCATGGCAAGGATTCCCCAATTGGTGCCAAAGTTCTCAACACCCCACACGACGCTCACGACGATAGGGGTGAGAGAGAAGACTGCACCATAGCCTGCACCGATTAAAGCAGACACGGCGGCGAATCGGGAGGCGTGATTCTGTACCCAACCAGACGCCAGGAGAAGCTGCCCGAGAGATAGAATGAAAGCGAACAGCAGAAGGAAGGAAATACGAGACACGGTGAATCTTCTTGAGTGGTCTACAGACTGAATGGATGCAAGTGAATTGGCCATGGAGTCAGGGCCACGGTGGTGCTGGTGTGTCGCTGCTACAGGGGCGAGGATGTCCGAGAGCGTACCGGTGATGAGACGAGCTAGAGTGGATGTGATCGCGACGATGGAAACGTGGGTTGCCGGCGAAGTCGATGCGGAAACATGTGGAGGACTGAGTGTGCCAATTATGGTACCAAGGTTGTTGATGAACGCTTCCCCAGGGCCGGTGACGAGGAAAAAGCCTCCAGCCAACCACCACATGGTGGGATCCATGACATAGCGCCGGGTTTCTTCATTCAGAAGCCAAGTCTTCTTCCTCTTTTCCTCCTCTGCATGAGCTTTCAGTCGCTCAGCTTCAGACTGCAAGAAGTCGAAAGTGGAATCAGAGAGATCGCCGGTACTCATCGTGCCGTAGCCGTGAATGTCAGCAGCCCGAGTGAAAAACTCATCTTGCGCGAGCAAGCCAGAGCGCTCGAGCTCATCGATGGCCTCATCGATCATTTCTTCCTCGTTCACAATCTGTAGCGTAAAGGTTCCGATAACGCCAACGCAAAGGAGGGTAATTCCCAAGAAGAGGAAGAAGCGGAAGACGTCGACGTCACCTTTGCTCCCATCCGGATTCTTCACGTATAGTAGCCTGCTACCCACTTGACTCTGCCACATGCCACTAAGGCCAAAGGCAGCGATAGGCACCGCAAGAGCAATACCTTTCGCGTTCCCCCGACCAAAGTTCTTTGCGCATGTAGTAACAGCCGATAGGTACATGCAACTTGTGCCCATCCCCACCGCAACGAATGCCAAAACCATGACGCCGAAAGGCCATCCATGGCCATCAGCAGATGGCGGTGGCCCGCTCTTGTATGCAAAAGCTGCCAGCAGGTATCCCAAGCCGAACATAACCCCAGACAATAACGAAGGTACTCCAGGCCCCAGGCGATCGCATAGGTAGCCGAAGGCGGGAACAGGCAGATACATGCCGAGCTCGGCGACGATGGAAACGATGTTGACCTGGACTTGGGTGTAATGTAGTTTCGATTGGAAGAGATGTCCATAAAGAGAGTATGCTGTGATGCTGCCGGCGCAGAGACAGTTCACGATGGCCCAGATGAAGCTCAGCCATCGGACGGCTTCGCGTTGGAGACGCTGACGATCGCGCTCCATTATGCCTTCTGCGACGTGCTCGAAGAAACTACCGGCGTAGCTAGTGTCGCGGGAATGTCGACTCGAAGTACTATCTGCGTCTGGACGAAGGAGTGGTTTGCGCTGTGAGTTGGCTGGATGGTAGTCGAGCTTGTCGATACCATGACTGTGAGGATGACTATGACTGCTACTGCTACTGCTACTATTCCTGTTCGAGGCGGAGGGAGACATGGCCGGGATCCGGGGGAGGGATTGGGAGGGGCGGGTGGAGGTGCGCGTGTGACGAACGTGACACCTAGCAAGCCATGGCTTGTGACTTTGGACGTCCCCTTGAATATGAAACGTTAAGTATTCGTAGGTTGATTGAATGATGATCGAATGTCTGATCGATGACGAAAGGGGGGAGAAATCGAAGTATAGGACTAGGGGAGAGTACGGAGGAGACGCGGCGGTGAAGAAGCAGACGTGCGTGTAAATGCTAGTCACTAATCAACCACTGTACAGTGTAAGTATGTACTCCCGGGTCCGTAATGAGATAAGTTCATGCCAATTGCTTTGTTAGTTCTAAGTACCTAGTCCTAAGGCAGAAGGGAATAATGTCAGTAACTACTTGTAGTCCACGGACTGCTCGGTGGTGTTGTCGCGGAATGGCGTCAAGCTTTCCCATCCAGATACGCTGAAGCCTCTGATTCGTCCATTTCCGCCCCAGTCATCCAGTTCAAACTTCCTCACTTTTTGCGGCCAGCGCAACCCGCAGCAAACCAATCCATAATCCATACCAACTTTTACCCCAAACCCATTTCCCTTTCCCTTCCGCCCATACGATAGCCGCTCGCCACTCCCGGGCAAGATGGCTCCCTCTCAGCCTGCCCACGTCAACCTGTCGCCGGCCGAGCTGTCGTTCCTGCGCTCAACCCTGTCACAGAATCCGCCTATTCGTCTCGACCATACCAAGGGACCCAAGGATTTTCGTTCTATGAGAGCCGAGTATGACGTACTTCCAGGTGCCAACGGCAGCGCGCGCATTGCGTTGGAGGATGGGACCGAAGCATTGGTCGGTGTGAAGGCAGAGGTTGAGAAATCACAATTGAAGCCTGTGGAAAGACTGGAGATTCTCTCCTTTGCTGGCGGCGACGTGGACATGGACATGGACATGGACGGCGCAGGGAATGATGACGAGAGCAGTGGGAAGGGACAAAACTCATGGATCGAAATGAGCGTTGAGATTCCAGGTTATCGCGACGACGACTCGCTACCTGTATTTCTAGCTTCCATGCTCACTGAATCTTTACTAGCTAGTGGAGAGCTCAAAGACAGACTTTACATCAACCGACGATTCCACTGGAAACTTTACGTTGACGTAGGGGTCCATTCAATTGACCTGGGAAATGCAATAACTGACGTGCAAATGTAGATTCTCCTCCTCTCCCCACCGCTATCATACCCTCTCGCCCTTCTTTCCATGACCACCCATCTAGCCCTCCTCACCACAAGACTCCCCGCCTTGAAATCTGAGAAGGATGAAGACCCTCTTTTTGACGACGACTGGGACGCATCCGTCAACCTCTACCCCAAGCAGAAAGGCAAGAAAAAGACTGGCCAGTCTCTGGAGAGGCCACCCGTCATTGTCCTTGCCATGGCTGTTGGATCAAACATCATCTTCGACCCATGCAAGGAGGAATTGGCCGTTGCGGACGCTGTGCTGGCAATAGCATGTGCTAAAGGCAAATCTTCATCTTCAGGTGCCAGGCTCGTGTCTCTCAGGACAATCGATCCCCCATCCCATCTCACACCGCCTGGTGTTCCCAATTCTATGAATTCTGCCACTGGTGGCGTGGCTCCAACTACGAGCGCTGAGGCTCTAACTCAACGCGAATTACTGGCTACCTCCGGCGTCTGGACACCCCCAAGAGGTGGCATGAAGCGAGGGTTGATCTCTGAGGTTGTCAAAATGGTCGTCCAGAGCGGCGGAATTGCTGACGAGGTCATCGATGCGCTGGAAGCCATTGAGGTTGGATGAAAGGTGACCAGCAAAAGGACATGAGAATTACCACCATTGAATCGGGTTGCGGTAGCAAACTTGTTGGTACAATCGATAGAGGAGTAATATCCCTCCCGCACCTCTGTCCCACCGACAAACACCATGCGGCCAACAACATATTGGAAGCTCTCCGTAGCGGGTGCATCCGACGGCCCATAGTACGCGATGCACGTAGCCTTTCACCCGTGGGTAGCTAGTATATCACCCGGACTACCCGACCACAGACCAAAGCAAAGCACTATTGTACGTTTGGGACGAACACTTAGATATGCAGCTGTGGAACCATATCCACACACCGAAGAATCACAACTTTTTCATCAAACAACAATTCCTTCCCGTCCTATTGTGATTCGTTTCCTGCTTGCTTTCTATGAGCCCATTTACTCGATGTCACTTCGATGATAGCAAACAACCGCTGACTTGCTTCAAGAGAGAGGACATGGAATCGGGTGTCTTTACTTTACTCCCAAGCACTGCCTAACGTTATGATGCTACGCTAAATGAACTATATGAACTATACCAGAACCAAAGTCATATTTCCAGAAACCATACCATTATATTCATTCCAAATCCAATTACAGAACATCGCAGATCAAATGGTTCCTCATCACCTTCCTACAATCCCATAGCAACAGACGCCAGTCCAACCACGATCAACAGGCCCCAAGACACAGCCAGTTCGCTCGCAGAACTCTTATTCACACTGACAACCTCGGGGTGCCCCGTCTCCTTAACGCCATCAATTTTGCAAACGGTCTCACAGCCCTTTGCTTTCCTCTTTTCCATGAGACCCTTCCCCCTCTTGTCGTGCGTGCCACCTCCAGGACCGCCAACAGGCCCGCTAGTATTAAACGTCATCTCGATCCACTGAATTTGGAGCTCTGCCGAGTCACCCTTTGACATGTTCCCACTCCATGACCCGCCATCACTCCACATGTTCATGACCACGTACGATGGCTTCCTCGGAACGGAGTAAGTATTAGCAGCCACCTGCTTCCCATTGAGGAACCAATACGAATTCTTGTCCAACCAATCGATCCTATGAGTCTGCCACTCGTCCCAGGGCGGCAGACTCGCGACCTCCTTCGACGCGGCTGCGATCTCGTCGCCAGACTTCTTGTTCACGGCCGGTTGGTTCGTATACCGGACTGTGTCCGTGGGGTCGTTGGTCAGGATCTCAATGTCGGACTCGTTGTCGTCGTCAAAGAAGGTGAAGAAGCCCGCCACTGCGCCCTTTGACCCCGTCACCCGCGCGTACATCCGCATGCTGCAGTGCTTGACGTTCTGCTGGTTGTTTTCGATCTCGCCGGCGGATTGGAAGTCGTCGAGGCGGCTGGTACGGAGCGTGAGCCACGTGAAGGGGTTACCTCCATTGTTGTTACTGTCGTCGTCGTCGCTCTGAGATATGAAGATGTTGGCGGGCGAATTCACCATGCGGACGGGGAACTCCTCGGTCGCGGGCTTGCTCCAGTTCTGGATGCTCCAGTCCGTGTTCCAGGAGGTGCTGTTCAGAATTTCGGCGTTCCAGACGGGCTCTGAGCCTGCGTCCTGCGTGTCATTTACCAAAGGCGGAGTATCGACGTATTGTCCCGGTTTGTCGGCAAAGCCACGGAAGTCATAGAATCGGTAGTATTGGAAGTACTGGGGAGTTTGAGAATCCTGCCCTGACGATAGGACATAGCAATCACAGTCTTTGTTGTTGTCCTTTGGGTCTACGAAGTTGTTCGTTGTGCTGTAGCCCGCTGAGAAGACGGGCGAGAGTAGAATGGAGGTGGCGAGTAGGATCGAGTTCTGCTGTGAATGTTTGAAAACCATGGCGATTTAAAGTCGAAAGATATGATCAAATATGTATGATTTTCCCAAAGGTCGGTTTGATATCAATATTAGACACTAGAAGAAACGAAAGACTTGCTGAACGAGCGAGGGCGGAAATCGAGGTATTTCGTAGCGAGCGTCAATGATCAAATATCATGATATGAAAACACAGGGACGAAACTTTAAAAGAATAGGGATCAGAAGAAGATGGATTCAATAACTTCTTCAAACAACCGACTATAATAGTGCAGAAGCTGATGATAGGAGAAACAAAGACGGAGAAGTCCCCTTGTTTCATCAGCGCGGGCTCACCGGCTCATATACAAAAGTCCAAATCGGGAGTTGGGCCAGGCTAGCTGTCAATAAATACCCTGCATGATGCGTCGACAATGTTTGGAGCGTCTTACAATAGAATTGACTCACGTGGCGCAATGTATGCAATGCAAGTATTCAATTTTTTCCAGCTTGTGTCACCACTGCAAATACGCGCAACTCTGTTCTCTGCCACTTTTGCTCACGATCGTGGCTTGACATGACCCGATGGCTGTGGCTCAGCTCAGCCTTTCCCCGTTCTCCAATACGTTTGGGGTAACAATCTAGAACCCATTCGTCATTAAATAAGTACAGCGCGTTTTAACTTGCATTGAATCCCATGTCACCTCGCCCTGTTTGTTTCGAAACGTATTGGCCGGACGCACTCTTCGGGAGAGCGGCGCCTAGCGTTGAAGGGACGATACTCCCGCAACCTTCGCTCGCGAAACATCGTTCTATAGCTCAAAATCCAAACATCAAGCAGCTCTGAAATATATGCAAAGAACCGATGATTGTTCAGCAGATACTACGTACTCTACAGCAGATACTCGCAGCCTTCGTGGACTGAACCTAATGGCGGAGTAAACAGATGTGCCAAAGTTCCAATAGAGAACATGCAAGACCGTCTCCCTACCATACATCGGAAACTCTTCATTAGCGGATCCAGCCGCACCACGCCATCCATGTGTGCATTACCTAGGTAGGTAGCCTGTATTGCACCATCCATTCCCTACCAAAAGAGTTCCTGAGCACTTTTTGCAAAGCTCTCCAGCTTCGTTCACATTTAGATATTGAACCCTGGGAGCCGGTGTGAAATCTACGAGAGGAGGAGAATGCCACCTCAATCATGCGTTTACCATACTACGGGTACGAAGAAACGTAGTACGATATGGTCGACCCTCGAGAAGGAGACAAAACCTTCGATCAAAATTCTTTCTCTTTACATTCTGGGAAGGGAGGTATGACAAGGGTACTATCAGATAAACCTCTTATCTTTCCATTCCTTTAAGATTTGTTCATAGCTCTCGATAGACTCAACTTTCAGAAAGCGTTGTCTTGACGATCGATCTCATTGTTCGGGCGCTAGGGTCTTAGTTCTCATCCTGTCTCTACCTATGTCGATTAATTGCTAAATAGACGAACAGATAGACGGACACACGGATACATAGCTTCATTTGAAAGTTAATGATCATCATTTAGTCTGGGGGTTGGAAACCATATTTCCTTATTACCATTATCCATGCAAAAGGGCATACACGTTATCGGCAGCCAGCGGGCGCCGCGCTACAGAATTTTAAGTTCGTTCGTTTCGTTTCAGAAGAACGCCAATACCACGTGTCTCCTACACCCTCCCAAATTGCAAAAAGAGGCGGAGAGAAGCTTATGTCTTTAAAGTTTGAGGAGGTCAGATCACATCAGATCATTTGACTCAATTAAGGTTTTGGCCGAAAAGTCGTGAGGATCTTCCTTAGAGTTCCGTGGTTGGTTTAACAAGTGGTTATTTCCGAAATGGGTAAAGCAATATGTCCATTGTTTGCGCCAGCACCAAATTTTCAAACGTTTGGATTGTGAGGCTCGGCCAATGGATTGTTGGAGGGTTTGAAGGTCAAAGTAAATGGCCGGTTGTCGATCAGGTGGCGGAGGCAGAGTTGTCTGTGGCGATCGATGCATAACATGTCATCACATTGTTTAATGGCAAGAGCCACTGGATTGTAAGCTCAATGGCCTTTCTCTGCCTTGGAGATTCTATAGTTAGTGATGAATGGACCTGGATGAGGTAAACACCACCATTGTCACAAGGAGCATTTCGATCAGCATGTTGAATGGAGAATGAAATTGGTATTATGCTCAAGCTACACAGGAAAAAAGGGAATTACAAACATAGTCCAGTGCCGTGAATGGACTGGAACAATGGGAGGGCGCTATCAGAAGTAGGTCTCAACAGAGTAATAAGAAATGGCTCTGGCAAGCAGGCCGCCGACCATAGAGAAACCATGTAGATGAAATATTGAATGGCCGACTATATCGCAAGTCTTCAATCTTTGCCCTTCCTTCTCTAACGTTCTGTCTTGGTCCAGTTGTCATCTCTCGCTCTCTCGATGGACATACAAACTATCCAAGCCCGCTCGGGTAAACATCGACTCCAAGACCTTTTGTAAAGAAAACAACACAAGCAAAAAACAGGACAGCCAGGAGAAATACGTTCGTTCGTCCGCCGACATGGTGGTATGATCCAATGCGGGATGGGATCCAGAAATTTCGAAGAAGATGCTTACACAAGGAGATTTGTAGAACGTCAAAAGTTTATACCAAGAAACTCCGGACCCATGTAGAAAGACAACATCATATGACAAAAGAATATATCAACACCGTGAATCCGCTGCAACGGGAAAAATGCGATTTGGGGTATTTACTGCACGGAACGCATGTTGTGCGTGGGCCTTGAGAGCGGCTGCTGAGCGTATTTCGACACAGGGGTCATGTCAGAGTGGGCGTCCTCCAATAGAGACTCATCGTCATGTTCGACAATGCGAGTGGGAACGTCTGGGACCTCATCGTGGAGTCTGTGCTGGAGGCTGTGCCTGTCCGGTGTTGTCGATGCACTGGCGATTGACATTGATGTGCTGGATCGGTGGCTAAGGTCCGGGGTGGGGGGAATGCTCGAGTGACGGCCAGGTCGAAGGCTCATGTCATCGTCACCATACTCGCTGCCCTGGGTAGATGGAACCCTACCGTCGGCGGAGGACTGAACGCCAACACTTGCACGTCGCTCGCTGTGGCTGTCCTCATCAGTGTCGGCTTGCTGAGCAAGGTGGAGGCCCTCGACGGCAGCGGCGCACTGCTCCGAAATATTGCGGATGATGTAGGCGATGGCATCGGTCTTGTCACGGAGGTAACGATCGGCAACATCAACCATTGATGAGTTCGAGAAACGCTTAGAGTTTCGTGAAGCTGAACCGCTTAGCAAGCGGTGTTCCATGTCGGGGCTAACGTCCTCACCATCTAAATGTCTATCATCGACTGTGCTTGCCCTTGAATCATTGCGATCCTCCTGTATGGTACCACGGATGGTGTTTGCGCGAATGGTGCTGACCTCGGACTTGTCCTTGACGGATCCCTGGACATCGACGTCCTCATCCTCCTCGGGAAGGTCCTCGAAGCCCTCCTCCATGTAGGCAGCGAGGTCACTGGAACCATTGAGGGACTTGACGATGTGCTCCATGTGGTGAGTCTGGCCGTCGATTAATGCACGGAGATGAAGGACCACACGTTGGGCCTCATCGCGCTGCCTGAGGAGGCCAGAGTTAGTATGCTCGAGGCTGGAGAGCTCTTTCTTGTTCCGCTTCCTCTCGCGCTCGAGCTCTTCGGCAATCTCTTGCTGAAGAACAAGTGCCTCAAGAGCATCGTCACGCTGCTTCTCGGTGCCAGAAAGGCGGACAGTGAGACGAGCGGCGTCATCCTTCTGTTGGTCAATGAGACTGGTAAGACGGCGGTTCTCACGCTTGTGTCCCTCGATCTTGACTTTGAGGTCCTGGGTTTCCTTGGTAAGTTGTTCGGCAAAGGCCTGGAACTTGAGGAATTGCTGCTTCCAGCTCTCAAGCTCCTCGACAAGGAAGTTGTTCCTCTTGGTGACCTTGGAAAGCTCCGTGTCCATGCGGCCCTTGAGGTTGATAAAGTCTTGCCAAGCCTCTTGAGCATCACGCGAGTATTGGTTGCGCTCTCTCACAATCTCGTTCAAGTGACGCATAGACACCTTGGTCATCAATGGTTTCTTCACAGAACCACCAAAGATGGCCTTCATTCCAGTGTTGCGGCCCTGTGATACCCGTAAGTACTCTATTCGAGAAATTTGTTGAGGGCCGAAAACTTACCAGCTTCTCACACACGTGATCCATGACGGTCATCACAGAGTCCTGGCTCCACCAATCTGGATCCTGGATGCTCTCCACTTCGCCACGCATCACAATGATTTGTCCAGCTGGGATGAGCTTTCCGCCTCCATAGGCAGATCTCAGATGCTGTGGAACACCTGTTGGTGCGACCTCACCATTGAGGGCTTGGGTGAGTCGGGTGATCATCTTAGTCCTCTGTCCAGCTGAGAAGGACGTTGGGGGATTGGATGTCAAAACGAAATTGCGGTCGAGATCGACAACGAGAGCATCTGTTGGGGCTGTGAAGAGGGAGCGGCACTCAGAGGTGACACCGAGTATGTACGGACCGGGTTCCTCCACTAGGTCCTTTGCGTGACGTGCGTGCACGACAGGAACATACAATCCACTCCACTCGTACACTCGCACACAGAATCGGACCGTCTCAGCAGCAACTGTGAGCATTGCTGGGTAATGGCTCACGAAGATGATTCGTCGAGTGGGCGAGACTGCGGCTTCGATCACACCAACAATGTTGGGAATCGACAAACAGGTGAAAAGGGGCCACATAGCAAAATTCTGGAAACCGGTAGGCGAAGATGGGAATTGGTAGCACAGGGCATAATCCTTCATGTCGATGCGCACAAGGTCGTTAAGTCGTGGAGCGGGGAAGCTCAGGATGCGAGACACCTCCTCGGCGTGGAAGAGATTAGTGGCCTTATTCCAGTGAATCCACATGCCCCTCAAGTAGTCACCGAGAAGGTTGTACAGAGGGTAACGGGACAAAAAGCTCAAGCAGTAAGGAATCCAGTAGGTCTCATCGGAATTGTCGAAGAAGTCGGGCTCAATACGCTTGCGCAGGTCGCGGATGGTCTCGGCTCTCTTTTCGTCCGCTCGAGACCACACGCGCAGGGCAATACCGTACAGAGTGTGAGAAGAGTCCTGCTGCAAAACAAACGAATGATGAACACAATGGGGTTGGCTCCTGCCGGTACAGATCTCAACATCGTGAGGGAAGCATGCCTATATCGGATTAGTGACTGTGCAGATGGGCAGATAACCAATGTTTGTGAATACTACTTACGCGCATAGCAGCGTGCAGAGACCTTGCAATGTCGTTGTCCTGCTCAAGCCTAGGGCTGCTACCGAGGATTTCTGGAAGCCAGAATGTGCCAACGGCACCCTTCATGTGGCCAATCTTGCCCTGACTGGGAGCAGGTGCCTTGACCCATTGCGATGGCTCTCTTCCAACACCACATACCATATAAGCGTGAGTCAAAGTCTTGGGGCTTCGCTGTCCTGGTTTGACGTTCAAAGTCGAGGGGAGCGGCTGGGTGATTCTGGAATGGAGGGAAGAGGTTCGGCTCGGAATGATGAGGCTGTTGTCTCCCTGGCTGGTGGAAGGACGCTCGCTGGTGCGAGGACGCAGACTTAAGGAAGGGGCCATTGCGAGTTTGGAATATGAGGCTCTGCTATGATGGTCTGGCCTTGGATGTAAGAGGCTCGAGGTATCGAATTGAACCTGCGGTTGAATAGACCCAGGAGGTTATGTGAGGACCTAAGCCGTCGAAGACAGCGAGGACATACAGGAGATGTTAATGGGGCGATGGTGGTGATATAAAAGAGGAGCAACGGCACGCGGCTAACTTGACGACAGAACTTAGCTGCAAGCACCCTCACAGACAGACAAAGCAACTGGATGATGTGCAACAGTTTGAAGGAGTGAGGATGTTCAGTCTGCGATCACCTTGCTGCGAGAGATGCAGTGAGGAGTTGCTGCAGCAAGGAAATGAAATGGTGGAGCGGGCTGGCGTCTTCTTTTGGGGGAACATGCGGCGTCGACACTTTCGGCTTGGCCATCCCAATCCCCTCCCTTCCCAGCTCCCCATCGAGGTAAGAGCCACAAAAAAATAAGGGAGCACAGACGCACGCGTGGAGCTTTGGAGCCAGTGGTCAGTTTACTGGGGGTGGTTATGGAACTGGCGCACACACTGGACAACCGGGGGGTGATGGAAGGGGGGGTGGAGGGAGTGATCAGGTACCGGACTGGACTGGACTGGGGGTGCACAAGGAGGCGTTGGAGATTAGAGAGAATAGGGTAAAGAGTAGTTAGGGGAGGAGTTAACAATCCTCGTACTAGGAGAGCAAGTGGACGACCCGTCACATCTGTCTCGCTACTAGCACTCATAGCAACAAAACTCGAACTCTCTCGCTCTCCTCTCTCAATCCAGTCGACGTCCTACTCAAACTTCCATCCAATTCACTCCTGAGAGAATTGAGCATGTCAGTCTGTGATACGAGTAGGGCCGCTCTCATCCACTCCGTCTTGCCTATTCACGACTTGTCAAGGCACATACAGTAGACAATTAGGGAAAAACACCCTCGGCTGCACAGGAAATGAGTGCTTGTCTTCGTCCAATGCCCCTGTCCGCCCACCCGCGAGCAGGGTCTCGTCTCCGTCTCTACCACCCTGCACAGGCCGCGACGAGAACCTCTTACAATATTCCACTTAGTAGTAATTGACTGCCCACGCTCCGTTCCCAGGAACGCTCATCGATAGCTCCCAAGGGACGGACGGGTACCTCGTTGTCCCCTACGTTCCGGGCCTCCTCCGTGCGTGTGTATGTATCTGCAAAGTACACTGTGTAGGTAGTAGGTACACCTTACACAATGATGCTTCCACGGTGCTACCGAACTCCTGTTAACTGCAAAATGACACCCAAAATGAGAAACGGTCGGGCAGTTTCTCGTTCTTCGGGTCAACCACGTCCCGAGAAACAAATATCGTATTTCCTAATCCTTACACAAGTTGATCATTGGTTAAGCGACAAGGAGATGACTTCTGGCGAAGGTTCTTATATCGCCCATCGTCCTTTTTTATGTTCGGTAATGTTGTGCTTTCACCCGACTTATGTAGGTACATCTACCTTCCATTCAATGTACGGAGTACTGTGCCGCATGTACTGTGATCTGGTTGGAATCCATCTCAATGTACTCAGTACAGACAATTTAACGCGGCGTGACGAAAGATGTGCTGCGGGATGCGTCAGGAGAAGGTTTGCAGATTGACAGGATGCATACGCTCTACATACGCTTCCGCACTGCATCCCGCCGCTGCCTGCGTAAAATGGATCCGCACTTCTACTGCTCTGGGTATTCTGGTGGGGAGTCGTCAATCGTTCCCCCCCCCCCGGAAGCTGCATAGCATCGCATTACCACTATCCGAAGCAAATGATACGAGCGCATCACCACGACTCGAAACTTCACGAGCTGCCACCTCTTGTCCGACATCGTTTGTGCAAAGAATAAAGGTCCGCCACTCGCGACGGCGGCGGAACCAAGCTCGTTTACTATGCTCTGCACCAAATTGGGACGGGATTGATTCAAGACCAGCAGATAGAAAACGAGCTCCTATGCATGCCGCCCGCAATGGCCACCTGCAGCGTGCTTGTCCCGCATGCACGAGCGATGCACAAGGATGCATACACTTACACAGTACACACACTAGCATAACGCTATCCCGCGAATGGGACCACCTCCAGTCCAGAACTGGCATCTGTCGTGCCCCTGGCGTGCGAGCCTTTTAATTCTGGCGACTCTGCCCGCCAGGTACTGCTGAGGAGCACACAAGTCATGTCTGCGATGATCGCAATTGCGTTGGGCTCATTGAACTGTGGATCCTTGTAACGTGCGACTGAGACCGTTTTGCATGGCATCCTCGAAAGGGTAGAATGGGAGAAGCACACAGCAATGATATTTTCCTGTAAGGATCAGTATAACTAATGACTACGAGAAGGTTGTACCCCTTCAAGGCCAATGTCCTTGCTGGAGAATCTCGCTTTCTAGACTCGCTGAGTGGGTTGCTCAACAATGAACTGAAACCTCCGCATGGCTTTATTGCGCCAATCGATAGGCGCAAGGGCGGTTGAGGCCTCGCGGGAGCCCCGATAAGACAGTGACAAGCTGAAACCGCCAACTAGAGGGAACGACGCCGCACGCTAACATCACCATCAGAGATGACAACGGGTCGGTGCAAAGACAATGCCGGCCGAAAATATCGTGATATGTCCTTCAGAGCCCTACATAGTCAATACTTTCAAGCAGTATGGAGTGCCATACCACCACCCAACTTTAAGTTGAGCTGGGTGTGAGTGATCAATGAAATTGCTGTTGATGCTGAAGCTGAACCTCAGTTGCAGACCATCCCTTGGGTTCCTTGTCTTCGCCCCGCGAGATCGTCTCCTGGGTCTTCCCTGAAGCCGAAGGAAGGGACAGTTGGTTATGCCTCCTAAGACAAGTACAATACACGCCAGTGCGCCTGTTGTCAGAAAATAATGTTAAGCATCGGGAGCGTCGGCGAGTCTGTCTTCGGGTAACGAGACGAGCCTTTCTCTGGCCCGTTCATCTTCCAACTGTTGCAGCCAGCAGTTCCTCGGTGAGCACAGTAACAATATACCTATGCACGGCACTGTAATCCGTACAGAGCAGAGGTGCGAAATCCAGCCACGGCGTTTTGCGCGTGTCGCCTGGCTTGAATGGCGGACGTTTCTCGAAGCTCAATTTCTGCTGCAGAGTCCGGCGATCTGGACTGATGCTGCTGCTGCTGCTTCTAACCTGACTATGATAGGTGCGTCTCCACTCCAAAGGTGAGGGCTGTGGTCCGGCATGCAGGCTTTGGCGACGGCATTGTGGTCATTGATGGGGAAAGAAACAAAATGATCCGACAACGCGTGCATTCTAGTCGGCCTGCCAAGACCCATTGTTTAGCTCGATCCAACCATTCATACGCCTCCCGTGGCCTCCTCACAGGTGCCACCACTTCCACAAACGCATCAAATCATTCAACTTGACGCAAGCCTTGCTGCTCTGCAATCTGTGCAAACGGCCCCTCTCAATCCGACGCTCCCTCATTTGACGCATCTCTTTCCGAAGTCTTACTTTGTGTACAACAATCAGAGATTTCTCCTTCCAAACGGGCTCATGGTTGAAGAGACTTTGTTGAGCGATCTATGCAGCTCCTGGTAGGTCTATCTATTCATGGCGTTTCCATTTTTTATGTACTAACCTCTCGTGTTAATCAATCTCCATCTGTTCATCAGCCATCCAGCCACGTGCGTCCGTAAAGCTAATTCGCTGATAGTAACGTCAATCAACCCAAGTATCGCTGTCCAGGCTGTGCCGCCCGGACTTGCTCACTGCCATGTTACAAGCGTCACCAGCAGCGTGCGCAATGCACCGGCAAACGGGACCCCACCAAGTTTGTGAAGAAGTCCCAGCTGGCTACACCCGCCGGAATTGATCATGATTTCAATTTCCTCACTGGGATTGAGCGTGACCTCAAGAAGGCTGAATCGGACGTTCAGGAAAGACTCCCGTCCGTGTCAGGTGATCCCCGACGCTCAGCACCGAAAGGACTGGTGACCGATAAACGGTTGGCCGATGCTGGTGTAACAGTCTTCCGAGCACCGAAAGGCCTGACCCGACAGAGAGAAAATAAAACTCATCTAAGTGGCAAGTATGTTCTGAACAATCTTTTCTCTTTTTCCAATCTTCGCTTTCTGACAAATCATAGGAGGCATATCGTTTGGACTGTTGAGTGGTTGCACGAAGACAAGACAAGGCTATTATCAGAATTCTCCGAGACCCAGCCAGTTGGTGAAGCATATCGCAACCTAATTGGCGAGACATCCCAGAAGAGCAGTAGAAAGAGGAAACGAGAAGCCCAAGAAAACAAGCGGGAAACGCAAGATGTTGCCCCTGTGGATGAGGTCAGAGCAGGAGTATTATCAGACGATGAGAAGTCAGAGCTCCTGCCTTCAGGACGACGAAGTCCATCTGTTGTGGAAGAAAGTGGAGCCTCCGTCAGCGCTGCTTCAACTACAGAGGCAATCACCAGTGCCAAAGTGGAAGGTCATGATGGTTCAAGCTCTCATGTCGATGAGCAATTGTCCAAATCCGCTACTCCTCGACATCACTACTTCCTATTGAAGCCACGCACGACTGCCAACAGACCTGTGCTCATCCCGATTCAGCCAACATCCACTCTCAGTGCTTCTCTGCGGGGCCGGGCTATACTTGAATACCCTACCATATACGTCTTAACTCGACCAGACCCTCCAGCAGAGAAATTCATGCTGGAAGACGAGTACTCAACACATGAGCGTGAAGAGCAAAAGGAGATGGAAGACATAATGACAAATCATCCCGAAACTTTACGCAAGCTAGCGGAAGAACAAGCTGAGGCAGCAAAAGACGACGAAGTTGATAGCGAAAAAGTCCTCCACGTGTTGAAGCAAGACCTAGGGATCCTCGACCAGTCAAATCAATAATGGCACAGGATGTATGTCTTCTGCGGAGACGGCTTCCAATGCAGAATGGTGCAAAACAAAAAACCTGCAGAAGGATTCGCGTTCCAGTTGGCGGGTGCCGCGTTCCACATTACGACTCAGCGAATTCATGCGTTACTTTCCGAGACTGCAACGACACCCCTCCAAAAACGAAACATAATATTCTAACCCAGTCCATACGTCACAAATCAACGAGAGCGGTGTTGTCGCATTGCCTTTGAGTCGCATTTGCAAATCTATCAGCAGCTCGTTGCTTTTTGGATATCACATCGACCCATGTCCAGGATTACTTTTTTCTCTTCCAATAAAGCCCCCTGACAAACTCTGTTTCCACAACGGTCGTCTTGCAGCTTCAATAATGGCTGCCACGCGTTCTAATCATCCAATTCGCGACCCTGAAACTGGAGACTACCGTTTCCAGACCGTTGAGTAGGAGGAGGGGTGTCCTGGCGAGAGTGCAACGGCTTGGCTGACATGATCACCATGGCTATCCCTGGACCATTGCCCAGGTTTTTCCTCGGTGGGAATTGCCACTCCACCTTTTGATGAAAGACATTGCCAGGCTGCCGCTATTATCAATATGTGACAAGATGGCACATGTGCTCGGGGGATTTTCGTTTGATCGACGGGGCGACAGGGCGATAGAAGTTAATTCCCATGGGTTCTGGCATCTGGCAAGCACGACTCCTTTCAAACCCTCTTTGGTGCTATTAGGCAACCATTGGGCTTTTCTAACTTCGCTCTGCTCTTTCCCAATCTTTGAATGACATGTAGTACTCCTGGAATATGGGTTATTTAGAAATTGTCAGATAAATAAGTACTGGTACAACACCCGGGACTCGATAAATTTGTGATGAAAGTTTCCAAAAAGCAAGCCACAAAATTAGAAAAACGAGTATGTTCTTATCACCTCCCGCTCAATAATGATTATTTCCATGTATATACAATACTCAGAATGACTGTTTACGAGCCTTTCTCCCACCTGAACCGTCTTGCCGACTCGCCTCCAAAGTCGATCCAGGAACCCCCTTGTCACTACCCTACCAGGACACCAGACCCATCCCTACCTCGACGGTCCCTGAATCATTCCCTCGGGTCACTCTGTCAATCCTCCGCTCGTCGAACAGCCTCGCGAGTCACATCCGTTCTCTTCTTGATAGCGCAATTGCCGTACTTCGCAATTGTCGCATCCCGTTACCCAAGAGTCGTGCAGCATGCTTCCCCAATACACTACCATCGACCACGGACCCAAAAACGACGCGATGCGACGCAACGCTGCGCTATTACTGACGACACATGGCCCATACCGTCCCTATCTCCGCGTCCCCACATGCCCTCGTCTAATGTATCGAGAATACCAGCCCAGGCCCTCTCTTCTGCTCCACTACTGACATGCATCGTACTCGCAGTCCGCCAGCATCCTTCGTCTGCGACGCACACGAGCGCGGCTTGTCATCCCGTCCATTCAACTCCATGCAACAGCCTACGTGCCTTGTGTCTCAAATATCTCATGGACCTAAGACTGTGCCTATCTTCCATGGCATACCGGCGCTATAATGGTGCATTTTCTCTTTCTCCGTTATTACTTACATACAGTGGAGAAGTATGAAATTGAACAAGTCTTTTTAACGACGCAGATGGGATTCCTTCCTCCCTTCCTCCGCCCCAATCGGCAAGAGCAAGATCTTAGCACGATCGAGTGAAAATGCCGATTCGAAATTGGGATCTCGCATGCAGCGGACTAGATGGTTAGTGTACCAAGATTCGACCCGAAACCGAGGGCGACGATTATTCTTCAAGAAGCAAGAGCTAGAAACTGGTATTGTGATCAGCAAGACTGTTGGATTTTCGTACAATACTTTGCACAAAGTTTATTTTATTGGTCAAAATATTAGGAAAGTTATGAGTAAAAGAACCATCTACTTAAAGCAGCTATGTAATTACTTTTGCAGAGGATGAACGTCTATAAGAGATGCTAGTTGTCGACCATCTAGACTCTTCCTGTTGGCCATGAAAGAAAATCCGTGGGAAATGAAAGGCAAACATGGGAAATTTGGAACGGAGAAATGTGATTCTTCGGAGAATTTGCTTGCTTGTCGAATTATCGGTCGCTCTCGGCAAATCAGTTTTGAAGGTGCTCAGGGCCGTTGATCATCTGAGCCCAAACCTGTAGTGCTGTGGAGCAGAGTAGAGCATCGCCAGTGGGATCGAGTGTACGTTTAGATCCATGAAGATTGGAGGCTGCGCTTGCTATTTCGGTGAGCTTGTCCCGGACGGCCGTATATAGTCGATGGTTTACATCCACTTTACGCGGAACCGGACAGATGCATGTGCGACTGCATGTTTCCGAACGGCTGGTGATCTTATTGTTGCTTGTAGTGGGTTAACTTCTTCCGGGCCTCTTTCTTAGAATAACTTGGCCATCGGAATATCAATAACAAAAATGTGTAGTCGGTTCTGAGCACATGGGTGAACATAATCTTGAGTAAGACGTGCTGTCAATCCTATAGTCGAAGCAATGGCGACTATACTTAAATGTGGCCCACTCGTTCCGAATTCTTATTGGAAATGACATTCATCAAATCATCACTTGCCGATGAAATGTTCGTATACTCGTAATTATAAATTGAGTGGTTTGTTGAAGGTATTGTGTATCGAGATAGTTCGTAATATGAAGCGGCAGAGGCGGTCAGTGAATCCACCCCGAGATGTCCACCACCCGCTAACATTCGAGTTTTCGAATTCATGCTCGATTCACAGCCATGGAGGACCTCGCCACTTCCTGTAACTGAGAAATATCCCTCTACGTGTACAGACAAGTACACATGTTTGGCTCAGGAACATAGTGGATCGAATATCTGTGATACCTCCCATAATTATATAACTCAATATACCATACCTCACACATCTCTCTTAATTGTAGTCTGTAGCCTGGGGCGGACTTGTGCTCTGTAACCTTGATCTTCTAGTACCAATACATTCAAGTATTTCAAAGGAGGCTTCGATTGATATCAGTACTGTAGAACAACTGGTATAACCTATTTGTTGTACCTTTTTGAAAGAATAACAAGTGAGCGATATGGTTTATGACGTGTCTTATTATCACTAAACATTTAGCCTTTATGTATTCATCTAGTTGAAGTTTTGAGAGTTTATTTTCAACATACCAATAATAACCTATATGAGTGATGATTCCTTTCCTCTCTATCTTCTAAAACGAAATAAAGCAACAACCAGCGACCCGGCTATCTATCACCTATCAATAACAAAAAACAGACTCTGACGGAGCATTTCCCTTTCTCGAATATATATATGTTTCAATTATATTATGAACTTGTTCCACTGAATTCGTCCCAAATACCAACCATTCACTGACATCGCTCAAAGTAGAAACCCCCCCCCAAGACCCATAAATCCAAAAAAGCCAAAACATAGTATGCTCCATGGAAGACAAACCATGAGCCCCCAGCCTTTTTATTCTTGTCGAAGTGCCGTAGATATCTCCAGATATGGCGAGGGGACTGGAGCGTGAAGGTTGGCTTGAAAGTGCACTAATTTACGAAGTACGCTGTGTTTATTATTAAAATGTACAAAACTGGCACATTCCTTTGATACAACCTCTATGGAAGATCCAATGAAAGAGTGGAGTCATATAGTGCTGCAAAATATAATATTCGTTCCAATTTACATATCTGACAACCTTAATGAGAATGGATGAGAATTCAGCAACACCAACACTCGACGCAATGTAGTAATGTTGAAATTAAAGTGGGAGATGAGACTGGGATGCTTCACCCTGAAGCTTCCTTCTTCGATTGCGGGAGTGGGACTGGTCGTCGAAGGAACCTCACTGCTTGATCGAAGTCTCGATGAAGGCAGATACATCACCACATTGGACCCATCAACATTATCCAGGACAACTTCTTTAGAAAAAAAATGATGAGGTCGCGAGTCTATCATTGTCTGAATATGGCAGAGCTCTATCAGTTTCTCGAAGTGAGAGATGTAAATGGAGAGACACAAACCCCAGAGATAGCTACCATCACCAAGAAGTGAGGTCGCAGAGGTATTTCACCCATTTTGTATTAATCATCAACTGGCCAATTCTCTCACAAGCGTTTCACGGGATATGGCATCAGTTCTCAAAGAGAATGGTAGTCCTCGATCGAAAATCTCATCTATGTATACCCGTGACGCTCGCCTCACAACCTCTCTGTCCCACACTGTCACCACATACCACCCACCCATCAACCTACCACACAAAAACAAACAGCGCAGTCTCAAACACATCACTCACTTCCCCCACCCCCAGAACCCTCCTCATCCTCTCCCCTCTTGCACTCACTCACGCTGTCAAAAACCCAGTCCCATATTACCCACAACCCCTCCGCGAAGAAAACTCCAACTCCACAAAATATGCAATATCTCATCAATTATACATAACCGAGCCCCTCCTCCGCCCCCTCCCCTCCTCCGATCTCTTTCTCCCGCTGCACCCCGCGCGATCGCAAAAGCAAGGAAGCGCGCGGCACTTTGATCGGTAGCCGAGCTGGAAGCCACGAAGAGGGGAGAGGGAAAGCTTAGGACGGCCCGGTGGAGGAGATTGTGGAACGCGGCGTGAGGGTGATTTGCTGTTGCACGTTGGGGTTTGATGTGGTTGTTGCTGGATTGGGAGGGGATGTTTATGCGTTGGATGCGGGTGGATGACTCGGCGGGCGGGATGGTTGTGGATGGGGGGTTGAGGATGTTTGGATGGCTGTGTGTGTGTATCTAGGTATTGATGGGTTAAGAGGAGAGGTTGAGTGCTATGAGAGAATGGTTTGGAATGTTTGAATATTGTTGTTTCTTCTTGGAATCTCTTTTATGTTTCATGTGTAATGCGTATTTGAGGTGGAGTTTCATTGGACGGGGGTGGTTTGAAACTTTGATAATGCTAAGGTTCATTACTCGTATATAATGCTTTGAGGTATGGGAATTGACTG